CTAACCCTAACCCTAACCCTAACCCTAACCCTAACCCTAACCCTAACCCTAACCCTAACCCTAACCCTAACCCTAACCCTAACCCTAACCCTAATAAGTAGTTCTATGAGACATTGGTGTTTTGGATACTCAAATTTACGCTCAATAATGAATCTTTACAGAACCAGCCAGTTCTAGCTATCACACCAGATAGACCCTGAAATGGTGCAAAACGCAGTTTCTGGACCGAAAACCCAACGACGCAGTTATCGGTGATGATAGGATTCTCCCACCTCCACTAGCCACTTAAATGCATCAACAACGCAACCATGACGACGACCATGGAATTTTTCACAAAATCTCAACCTGATACAGCATATGCGATCCTGTGAGGATATTGCAAAATACCAACATGTGATACGTGGTGCGCCACAATGTCATTATAGCATATCCACCGATGGCTCACCCACGGAACGGGCCCGATTATACGATATGATGTTCGAGATCGCAGTCCGAGTCCATCACCTGATTTCTGAAGCTCCTCGTCACTGTAATGATGATGTAGATATTGTTTGGGGGATTCTTCTCCACTACCCCGGATTTGGATGATATAAGAGTTGGACGAGTGATGGTGGATGTTTGTGAAGTTGCAATAGTTTATTATACCTTGTACTGTATTGGCTCTTCATTTTCACGCGATTGAAGTAATTGATCTAAGTAATTGAATTGGTATTCGAAAATGACCTCTCTACCAAAACAAGTATCCAGCACTACGCAGTCGGTGCCCGCTTTCTCTCATAAAGGCTCCAAATCCGCTCCCCAAACGCCCATAAAAAGGCCAAAAAAGCTCAAATCACCAGCCAAGTCCGCTACTCCGTCGAAGATACCCCTTCCTACCGAGGCGAAGGATATCGAGCACAAGGACTTTGAACTGGAGGATCCCACGGCCGCGGCGGACGCAGAGCGACAGGCGCCCGAAGAGAATGTGGAGGAGCCTGAGGAGAATATTGATTTGAACCAGGGAGCAGAGATACCAAAGGAGCAGAGAAATAGTGCGGGAGCGGCTGCCGGTGCGCTTCGGTCTCCGGCTCCGGCTTCGGGGTCGGGTACGGTTTCATACTTCCGGAAGGGGGCGAATGTCGCATTGAATCTGAAGAAGTATGCTGACCAGGCTCAAGATGTTGGGGCTCGCCTTCCGCCTGGTGTTACACAAAGGGTCCAAGGTGGAATGAAGGCAGCTGCTGGAAAGGTGTGGGATACGGCTCACGGTGCTAGGGGTAAGGCGGAACACGGTGTCGGGGATGTGGCTGGTCAGATTCCGGTTGATTTGTCCGTGTTGGAGGGACGGTCTGTTGGTGAGAGTGGAGATATTCTGAGTAATGAAGGGCTTCCCATTGGAAAGATCGTGGAGGGAAACCCTGAAGATCTTGTCGGCCAGATTGTTGGTGCCAACGGGGAGATTCTCGACGAGGATGGGGATCTCATTGGAACGGTTGAACTCATACCAGACAATGCTGCCGCTGCCGCTGCCGCGAAGAAAGCTCAAGATGCGATGAAGATGGGAGAACAAGCGCTGAGTTTCAAGGACCTCACAAATTTGCCTGTTACCAAGGAGGGGAATATAAAAGATCAAAATGGTCGGGTTCTGGGCCATGTTGTCGAAGGAGATCCGAGCGATCTGATCGGGCAAACAGTTAATGAAAAAGGCGAGATTCTCGGTGAGGATGGCAATGTGATTGGGAGAGTTGGACTTGCTGCTCCATCTGAAGTTGGTGGAGGGGTCGGAGCTGAGGACGCGAAAGGTGTTGCGGATAAGGCAGGAGTGGGGGAGATGATGCTGGACATTTCCATTCTTTCAGGGAAGAGAATAAACAAACGAGGCAAGATTATGGACGAAGAAGGCGATATAATCGGACAGGTGGCTGGAGACTACGACCCGAAAGGGTTCACTGGCAAATTTCCCAATCAAAATGGCCAGGTCCTTGACGACAAGGGCAATGTCATCGGGCAGGTCGAGATTGTTCCTGGCGAGGCTGCCGATGAAGCAATCAGCGCCCTTCGAGAGAAGGTCGGTGGAGTTGGACAAGCATTGCCTGATACTGCTGTGGTCGAAGGTCTGGTTCCTGGAAAAGCTGAGGAAGCAATTCCAGAAGAGGAAGTCCCTGGGGAGGAAATCCCAGAGGAAGCAGCCGAGAAGTTGCCAGAGGGCGAGGTCCCAGAAGAGGAGGTTCCGGAGGGACCAGATATGGAGGAGGAAGTCCCAAAAGAGCCACGACTGGAACCGAAAGAAGCCGGACTTGGGGACGAGATATCACAAGAGCAACTCCAGGAAGAAGCTATTCCAGACGAGGGCGCTCCAGGAGAGATCGAAGGTGCCGCGGAGGCTGCAGCAGACAAGATTCCGCCCGTTTCCACACTGGAAGGCTTAACATGTAATAAGATGGGCAAAATCGTCAACAAAGATGGCATCCCCGTGGGAGAGCTTATCGAAGGCGATGCCAAGAAGCTATCCCAAGCAGGTTTCCAGCTCGATGACCAGGGCCAGTTCTGGGATAACAAAGGAAACGTCATTGGCAAAGTGCAACCGACTGTACCAGAAGAGCAAGAGATCGAGGGACCATTTGCTGAGTACGAGGACCTCTTCGTGTTACCGGATGGCTGGGTTCAGGACAAAAATGGCCAACGAGTGGGTCAGATTGTCGAAGGCGATGCGAAGAAGTTGGTTGGTCGAGCTGTTGACGACGATGGGGATATTTTGGATCGAAAAGGAAATGTCATCGGGCATGCAGAGCCATGGGAGGAACCAGAGTCAGAGGTGGAAGAAGTCGACTTTTCTTTGCTTGCTGGGCTGAAGGTCAACAAGTTGGGAAATATCGTCGGGCCAGATGGAGTGCCCCTTGCCCGGGTTACTGAAGGGGATCTGAAAGCAGTCATTGGTCGATCAATCGACGCCGAGGGACAGATCTGGAATGATAAAGGGGAAGTTATTGGTCGTGTGGAGCTGATTCCAGAAGACGAGCGAGAGACGCTGGGTCCTTTCAGTGGCCTGGGGGAATTGAAGGTGAACAAGGATGGTCTTGTTGAAGACAGCAATGGTCATATTGTGGGCAGGCTCGTCGAGGGAGATGCCCAGAAACTACAAGGACAGATGGTGGATGAATCAGGAGAGATTTTGGACAAGTATGGAGCCGTTAAGGGCCGTGCTGAACCATACGAGCCCGAAGAGGAGGTAATTGAGGAGGAAGATCTGTCTGCGTTGGATGGAAAGACGGTGAATAAGATGGGCAATGTGGTTGATGAACATGGCACTCTCTTTGGGCGGATTGTGTCCGGAAATCCCAAGAAAATGGCAGGCAGAAAAGTGGACGGCTTCGGACGGATCTGGAGTGACGATGGCCAGGTCATCGGCCAGGCTGAATTGATCCCTGCTGACGAACGAGAACGGCCAGAGGGACCATTCTTTGGACTTGAAGGTCTTGTCTTGGCCAAGGATGGAATGGTCGTCGATCCTAATGGTCAGGTTGTTGGAAGACTCATCGAGGGAGATGAAAAACGTCTTGTTGGGCGACTTGTCGATGAGGACGGTGAGATCACTGATAAACTCGGCAATGTCATTGGTCGTGCAGAGCCCTACACTCCAGAAGAAAAGCAGCGGGACATCAACCCCATGGCTGGATACAAGGTCAATCGCGACGGGGAGGTCCGCGATGCAGATGGGAACATGATTGGCAAGCTCACCAGCGGTGATCTGCAAACGGCGATTGGAAAGACGATTGATGATAATGGCTATGTTGTGGACAATGATGGCAACAAGATCGGCGAATGCACTCTTCTGGAAAACATTCCGGAAGAACCTGAGCCTGAGTTATCCCCTGAGGAATTGGAGAAGCTGGAGAAAGAAAAGCAAACGAGAGAGCTGGCAGCGAAGATGTGCTCGATCGTGCAACAAGCGCTGGATTCCATTGAACCGCTTTGCAAGCAGATTACAGAGGTATGACCTTCCCAAACGTCTAATCTCTCTCCTCTAACCCATTTTAGCATCTCGATGCTGCAGATCGCAAGCCCAAAGAAGAACTGGACGAGGAACAGCTAGTCCAAGTGGTCAAACCGTTGATAGAAGAAGCCGGACAGATGCTCCAAGAATGCAAAGGCGCTCTCCGTGCCCTTGATCCAGATGGTCAGGTAGCAGCCCTAGCGAAGGCCCGCAGTGCCTCCCAGGAAGCTACGCCCGAGGAGTATCGATTGGCCGAGCTGTTGAAGGAACTCACACAGAACATCGTCACTACCATTGAGAATGGCCGCAAACGCCTTGCAGGTATGCCGCACGCCAAGAAGAAGATTAATCCGTTATGGGCACTGCTATCCGAGCCCTTGTTCCAGATCATTGCTGCAGTGGGACTGCTACTGAGTGGTGTTTTGGGGATCGTTAGTCGTCTTCTGGACGGACTTGGGCTGGGTGGATTGGTGCGTGGCCTGTTGGGTAATTTGGGACTTGATAAGCTGCTCGAGGGACTGGGATTGGGAACAGTCACTGACGCTTTGGGGATGGGGAAAAAGTAGTACATTCTGGTTGGTTTCTAGCGTACTTATCATAATTGTTCTGAGTCTGTACGTCTCTGTTGCTGCCATCTAATGTCAATGTTACTTTCTTTCTCCATAGCAAAAGTCTGCCAATGATCTTATTTGCTACTTAATTGTCAATTCGCTCACCACATCATCAGAGATTAGGTTGGCATCCGAGCGGAATTGTTCCATCCTGTTATCTTTAGATTAAAAATAGGACGCTCGGTTGTAGTTAAGGGTACACTGTTCTTGAGTGAAAAATAAACCTTGATCAGCTGATGTTATTCTACTTTGCATCATTCTAGTAGAAATTCGGCAAGTCTATCGTGCAATTTGGCGATGAAACTCTTACGTTTGAATGTGGCTTTCATACCATACTTATGTAATATCCAACCGCGAATCCGACTTGCCAGAACAGTAACACATCATGGGTGATAACATTGCGCGAATGTTCCCCACTATGACAATCGATTGTCAAGATTGCGTGACTGTAGATAAGATTTGCAGTTGTGGATCTCTAGCTGCATCATGCGGGTGGTCTGTGAGCAAACAGAGAATCTTGAAATCTTTCCTCAAATCTCCAACAACTTTGCCAGTTATCACTACGACCCAAAACAAATAATAATAATAATAATCAATGGAGTCTTTCGCCAGGAGTTTCCTGCTGCAAAGCTTAGTGCTGGCAACAGCTATTTTCCTTGATTTAAATTATTAGACTATCTAACAGTATACCTTTAAACTATAATATAAAATTAGGAAAAATAAATAAAAATAAAAGGGAAGGAGATTTCTATTCTATATAATATCATCTATCTATATATGTTAAGAGATACTGATTCCTACCATGTCTAGTGGTGAACCATCACCATCATTTCGCCTACTATAATCCAGACTGGCTGGATGTCTACATAGGACGAGGTAGTAGCGTAAGGGGTAAATGGGTGCTTCTTTACTGCTAATCTAGTTGATCTTGAGGAGCTCAACCTCGCTGGCCAATCGTTAGCTACCAAAGATCAATCATTACATTCGCAAGACTTACAAGACCAGGGTGGATCCCGCGGGAATCTTGCCAGCCGCCCTGTAGAAAAGCATGTTAGAAGGGGGTAGTTAATCAATCTCTGATGCATTAGCTTACTTGTCGCCGTAGCCGTAGTCACTAATGAGATTGTTATCAGTGGTCCCTTTTCAATGTTGCCCTTGATGAACCAAGTACAAGTACTCACGGAGTAATAGTCAGGGTGGACTTTTCGCCCACACTCATCTCCATCACACCCTCATCCCAGCCTACATAGATAGAATTAGTAAATCAAGTCCACATGCAGGAAGGTCTATGAGGATAAACAAGAAAAAGTTTACCTTTGATGACCTGTCCGATACCGATCTGAACATTCAGAGGACCACGGCCGGGGGTCCTGGAGCTATCAAACCTATTGGCGTAATTAGCGATCGAAATATAAGCTGAATGGCCACGGGATGGCAGCTTACTGCTTGCCCTGGAAGCCCTTGCTGGCTTTCTTGGCATCGTAGAGCCAGCCAGTGTAGTGGATGGACACTTTGTCACCCGAAGCAGGCGAGGGGCCGCTACCGCGGGTAATGATTTTTCTCTGGACACCCATGATGAGCTGTAGGTCAGAAGAAAATTGAGGCAGGGAGGGGTAAGTGCGGAAGAGAAAGGCGGAATGGAAGGCAGTTTGATGACAGGAAAATGAGTGATTGCAATTTGCACGCTATGGCATGCCGTATTTTCCCTCAAAGTGGGGCCCTCGACCACGGCGGACGAGAAGCGAGTTGTGGCCAAAACGATTGTTTTCTATAAAAATTTTTATATAGATATACCCATTTTTCACTATTTCCGCACTCTATTTACCTATATCCCCTGCTTGTTTTGAACAAGGGCACATTTTATCCAAGGTAGGATAAGGCCAGAGTGTCACGTCACACCCTAGGATCTCGCAATGGTACCAAACCTGTAACCTGTGACACAAGCCTGGGGATATTAACCTATAACCCTAATCAAAGTTTAAGTTAATACATTAGACTTATAAGTTAAGTCCTAAATCTCTACTCAAACTCAACTTGTGTGACACTAGCTATAGTCGTCATCTACACTGTCACTAGTGGAGTTATCTTCTCATTTCCTACTATTACTACTAGCAATCCTAAGTATCTACCAGTAGCAGCTGGAGTTAAATGTAATTAAACAAATTCTGAGCCAGAACTTGCTTGTGGTTGTTGCTGAATTTCAAAGATTTAATCCGCGCAAAAGGAGTTGTTTTTCCACAATCCAACAATATTGAAAGTTGAGTGATGTCCACGATGACGGTTATGAAAATTTTGTGGACTAACATACTTTTATCCAGATGAATGCATCACATTTTCCATTGGAAATTGCACCCCAAGTTTAAAGTATCTATGTCATGTCTTATTGCTTTGGTTTTGAGAAACAGTGTGTCAGGGACCAAGTTTCAAACTCGACCACGATCCGGAATTCGATTAAGTTTTCATACCTGAATCCGCCCGGGACAGGTTTTGTTGTGTTATCAGTTCTTCCCAGCCTATATGTTTTCGAATGGGTCACATGGTTGATTAATGAGAAAGGCCATTTAAGTAACATAAATGATAGGAAAAAATGGCCCATCAGCTTTGTTCGCACGAAAGGACTTCAAATCAGCTCAGATCTTCCGGATCGCTCCATTTACGACTGCTCAAGTATATGTACTCCAAAACAAGCCCTGGCAGAAGATGCCCATGTTTGACCCAGGATAGATTTTCTTTGTGAACAGGGAGCTTTGTGGATTTTGCGTTTGGGACACATTCAGAACAGGGCTTGTCGGGCTCGAAAAGAAAAGAAAAAATCATTCATCGACATCGCGAGGGTGCGCTTCCTGGTACTTTTGAATTTCCAGGTCAGTAATGCCTGGAACAGCCTCATATCTGGTTAGAGGAGCCAATGGAATGTCGTGCTCTTTAAACTGCGCCAGCTTTTGTTGCGTGAGCTTGTGGGTTTTGTTGACACTGTAGATCTTGATACGGTGTGCTGAGGATGTGACATGCAGACCCCAGTTCCAGGCTGCTCGCACATTAAGTGGCTGGGTATTTAAAGAATTGTCCCAACACCTGCACACAATCTCAATCCAACCTTCCACATCACAAGGAAGGTCTATCTCCCATGTCCTCCAAGTCCATTTGCCCTTCTTCGATAGTTTCTCTTCTGGAACAGCGTACCAGTTGAAGCCCCCATCCGCTGACAGCTCCACACGTTCAGGCCAACGACCACCACCAGAGTAAGCCCAACCCTTGCAATGGATCTTGCCGCTGTGCATAATAACTTGGTTCTGCCATGGAGACATAATAGCAGAGCTTACAGGCATCTCCTGGATCTGGATTCCGTCCATAGGGCGCTGGTTATACTTACCCATCTGTTGGTTGAAGTACAAATACTCCCTGCTTTGTACAGGTGCCAGAGATGGACTCTTAATGGCCTTGATGCGATATAGCCATTTCACACTGCGAGCTCCAATATATCCCATCACGATCACTCGCAATGGGAATCCGTGGATTTTAGGAAGTGGTTCACCATTCATTTCCCACGCAAGAATAACCTCATTGCTCTTGACCTTGGACCATGGGACACTGACAACGTAGTTTCCAACATTAAGGTCTTTCACATATGTTTCAACACCATATAATTCGAGGTGCTTGGCATTGTTGGTCAGCCCTCCACAATCTTTGATTATCTTTTTGAGACTTATGCCTTTGTATCGCGCAGTACCTATGGCACCCTCGGCCCATGGAGCCTGGGGAACTTCGTCACCTTGGCCAGCGTACGTAGAGATCTGCTCAATGCGACGAGTTCCGGAGCATTGCATCGTAATGGTCTTCTCCATCTGTGGGAAGACGGACTCGTCCATCAGATCTTTCATTGTATATGTTTTCGGCGACTTGACAAACCCATCGAGCTTTAACTCGAACTTTTTCTCGTCGATGAGGGGGATACCACCGTGGTTACGCACAAAGTGAAGTGAGTTTGGAGTAATAACCTTGTCTGTAACCAATCGTTTCGGTGGCTCTCCGTTGTAGGGGAATTGCAGCAGATGCAACATCTCGGGATGCTTCTCTTTCAGAACGGTGTTCCAAGAATCATCGGCGACTCTAGTTAGCTCCCCACCTAGTGCGGCGTGCCATGACTTGAAGTCGTCGCCGGGTAACACGGGGTTAGTGGGAGGTATGGGTCCCCATTGAAAGTCAGGACACGGTGCAAAGGTTTGCGATGTCAAAATTTCGTGTGCTTTGGCTTTCTTTTCAGGGTAATCCTCCCACTCAACGTAGCTGGAAAGCCGCGCGATTGATTAGTCCAGCTGCTTGTAACGATACAATGTGACCTCAAGGAAAACTGTACCCTGTCCAGCCCGGCTTTTCACGGGCAAAAAGTTTACTTCGGTCACCAATAGCGCGGATGGCTTTTTCATCTTTCGTCACTTGGGTTTGCGCGGGCGGAGCGACGAAGAAAACTGATTTGCCACTTTGATCAATGATGGGGAGTTTATGGGCAGCGAGACCCTGCTCAACCATCCACTCATCAGGGCGGTTATTGATCGGTTTGGTGTACTTTGATCGAGTTTCCATAGTGGAACGATTTGGGGTAGACATGTTGAAGTAAACAATGAGTAAGTACTTCTTTACAGAAAGGGTCTCGAGACATGTGGTCTGTACTGGTTCTTATACCTGGTAGATTATGAGGCCTGCAGACCGACACGTAACCCTTGTTCTGAATTTATGTCTGGATGTCCAATCTAACCATTTATGGTTAATGCCATACTTGGTAACTAAATACTTTCCTTGGGCGTCAAGATCAAGGTTTGTGCATAATCACATGTGGCGGATAATGCGTGTCATGTCATAAGAGAAATAAGTTAACTTTGAGTACTCATTAAAGTAAATGAGAAATTACAGTTTCACAACAGGTTCATGTTTGTTACAGAGCTATGTTTATGTTACCCAGGGAATATGAGTTCGATTTACACGTCAGTTGTCTATAAAACGACTGGTGGCAAAATGATACACAACTGTATGCTTAAAATACGCCCTCGACCCAGGTTAGCAAAATCATAGAAGGGATCAAATTGAATGATTGACATCATGACTTCTGAAGCGCATCCAGTAACTTTACCTCGACAGATATCCCACGCCACCCATTCAGTTAAATAGCCAGGGCAATAATACACCTTGTCGCAATCTGTCTTAAATTGTAGTACTACCCAATTTGGCTGGAATGCAGTCCATTTGATTTCGAAAACTATGACGCTGGAAGACTTTCGGATGTTGCGGAAAGACAAATTTAACTGATTCAATTTTAGACATCCAGTAAATAATGATCTCATCATCAATCAATCGTGATCTATCTAGGATAGAATGGGCGATCTAGATTGTATGTTTTATTTTATTTTAAATTACCCAATTGATTATTGGCATGCATAGCAGATGGATGGTACATGTGGTGAGCATCTGAGCATTCACTGAAATGGTCATATAGCGTGGCTCTATTCTTTTGGGACATCCCGAGGCACCATTTGAATTTAACTGAGTCCCTGATATGGATTGGACCGTTGGGAATACCTGATGTTGACTATATTCTTATCGCGAGAGCAGAACGGCTTGTGGATATGGGAGGCCAAAATCATAACATGGTAAGTGGGAGAGACATGTACAGGCTACAGTGGCGTGAATTGATACTCTATTAATGCAAGTACATCATGGCGAACAACATTGGCCATGTCAGGCAGGACCCACCAGGTCAGACTTACATACATACAGGAAATACACAACTAATGAAAAAAGGGTTAGGGTGCCCTAGCTATATTTGGTAGCTAATTGAAGTTAGTCTTTCATTTAGAGGGAATAAAACCTTGCCCGTCATTAGATATGGATTAATCTCTTTTCCAGTAACGGAATGTGACATAACCTTGACATCCGATAGGTAAGGAATGCACGATACGTCCGTTGACTTTGCGCTCAGACCTAGCATTCAAGGGCTCAGACTTCTACCCATAATTAAGTTTCCCTCTGGCATCATTGCTTCTCTAAATTGTGGCCCAGCAACAACTCAGCAAGCGGATATATATAGCATCCCTCCTTCCGTTATCTCAGAACTTTGACACCCAACGCGCTTTCAGAAATTCTGGGGTAGGAAGGTGGTGTCTATGGACACTAAGTGAGATACTCCCCATGTGAGGCCATAACCCATATTTTCTTCCTAGTTTAGGCCATTCCCATACAAAATCAGCTAGATATACCGAATTTTTAGGAAGATTTTATGAATTTCGGAATAGCCAGGAATTTCATATTTTATATGGGAAATTGATTTAAACAGGCACTTTGCTTCGTTAAAAAGCGAATTTCGTTACTACTGGGTTCGTAATAACGCGGATTTACTGTAATACGTCTGCTCCTGACATATATGCTGGAGAGATGAATCTATAGACGAAAAGAACTGTGTGCTGATTAGGGCAAGTCTATGGAACGAATCATATCCAGTCGTAGAATCATGATCCGTGGTTCCGGTCGCGAAATAATCACTTTCCATATACGGATAAGGATAGCAGCGCACGCTTAACTCAGTTTAGTTACGCTGGCTAAGAATTACTACCCACCAATTTTGGGCGGGTGGAGTGGGCATGGTATGCACGAAGAATACTACCAGCCAGCTATCAATCCAACCTCTACCCTGGGTCTCCTGCAGCCAGATCTAAGTGGGCTTTCTTTCGATGGGCCCGAGCGAGAGTGGGGCGAGCTTTCTCCCATACGTCACCTTTATTCGCTTCTGCTGAAGGGTGAATGATCAGTCCTTTGCCAAATGGGGGACAAGACTTGCGGAACTTTTACATTTAGACACGGTATAGATTAATGGTAACCCTTAATCGATCTCGCCTCAGCAATCCTTTTACGTTTTCTACGTTCTCACCCGCGTTATCAGAGGCCTTATTCATTCTGCTTGTCCTCCCAATGGTGACATCACCTCTCTATGAAACCCCGAAAAACAACATTCTACAATCACCCGTCTTCGAAAGGAAACAAGAGCTTCAACCAAAATTTCCAAATTCATCCTCTTGCACCTAGACCCTTTCAAGCCAAAGTAAAATTCTCCGCAGACATCCTACTGCTGGTGAAAGTTACATCCTATCTTAAAGGGTGGGGTTGGGTAGATCCCCCCCGATGAAAGCCTGCTGTGATAGCATAATCCATAATATGCAGCTTTGATCGGTCACCAGCGAGAGCGAAATTATTCAACCATCTCTGCCCTCCTCACACTCTTCGTGGTGGCTTTCCTGCCTCTGGCAGATCTTACCATCGCAGAAAGGGTCCTAGGGGCTTATGTTTTCCAACGCCATGGGGACCGCACAGCTGAAGCCTGGCCACCTACTAAATTGAGCATTCTGGGTTACGGTCAAGAGTAAATGACTAGCACCTTTTTCCATGAACGTTATATGTCATCAAACTCCTATTAGATCGAATGGATCAGTGCCGACATAGTCAACTTGGCCCAGGTTATCGCGAGTGCGCCGCAAGATTATGTTATCAAGAACCCAGGAGATGGGTTCCTGTAAGGCCTTTATCCTCCTATTGGCTCTATTGCCACAGAGATTCCGCGCAATAGATCAGAAATCCAATCCCCAATGAACGGCTATCAGCTGATTCCGATGTCAGATGTACAGTCCGGTGATATGAGTGAGTACAACATGTAGCTTCAGACCATCCTGCAACAATGCCAAAGTTGGCCGCAATAGCTACTTCCCCTCAAACTCGTTTAAAAGCCTATTGTCGTCTAGTAGGGAGCTTTATCGGTCTCTTGAACCGCTGGTTAATGAACTTGAGCTGAACTATAAGAATGGATACACCGTATGGGATTGACACCATGTGGCTTTGATTCACAACTGCACCACAAGCTTCCTCTCATCCAGTCTCCTCACTGATAAGGTAATGCAAGAGCTTCTTATTCTTGCGAACGAGCACGAGTTTTAACATAGCATACAACAGTTCAGATGAGATACGTGCTGTTGCTGGTATGACTCTTGATGTCAAGGTTCTCACAGGTTTAAACGAAAAAATTATATCTGGCGGCAAATCCAAACTGAACATTCAATTTAGTGCCTACGCCTCTTTCATTTCGTATTTCGGACTGGTCAAGCCCCAAAACGCAGATGAAAAGTTCGCTAGTATACCCGACTATTCTTCGTCCATCGCATGAGAGCTTGTGAGAAATGATTCTGGCACCGGGATTCCCCCCACATCAGATATTAGAGTCCGCTTCATGTTTCACAATGAAACTAGCGTTGAGGGCTCGACACAGCTACAAGCTTATCTGCTTTTTGGACAATCCACTCTCAAGCTTCCTTCGGGGCGGTTTGTTGAGAAGTCAAATCAGGTTGCCATTTCATCTCAGCAGCAATGGTGTCAGGCCTGTGGAAATACCACTGGAGTCTGCGCTTCGACTTCCGATGATACCGGCGGGGATAGTTCATCCTCCAGCTCATCGTCTCTTTCTTCCTCGAACAGTGAGATGAGCTTAGGAGTGGCAGGTGTCATTGGTGCGATGGTGACTTTGTGTGTTCCTGCTGGGCTGTTGGTACTCAGCATGCTCATCTTTAGCCTACAACTCATGCCCAAGAGTGCGCTCACCGGTATTTATCGACCGGATGCTTCTCCCACACCGTCGATGAACGATTTAGCGTAGGAAGCTCTGATGGGAAGTAGGCTATATTTTGTATGCAATAAACCTTATGCTCAATATTTTCTCTTTACAAGATCGTCTTTGTTACTTGGTCATTACTTTCAACATCTTAACCGTCATTCCCTGTGCTTCCCCAACTAGCATTTCTGGGAGGGACAAGGTGCTACGTTGAAAAAGCCGGGCTCACTAAGACAACTGCATATTTCCAGGGAACTGAGTGAACGATAGTGTCGCTGACGTAGATGCTGTTATGCATGGTGGTGCCTGCCGCCCAGTGCGGGCAGATCCCAAAAACCCAATATTGAGTAGATATGAGCCCAATCTTACCCTTCTTTCTTCTCTGTATCTCATCCTAGTCGGCTTGGATATTCAAATTGCTTGATCACCTTCGATCAAGCGAGTTTCGCGTAACTTTGTGAAAAGGCGAATCCATTGCTTGAAGAGGAGTTACCTTGCACTTCAACCTGTTCGCTGTTCAAGCTCGGAGGTCACAGTAAAGTACTTGTCTCGGAAGTGTCGCGGAGTTGACTTATATTCGCTATATTTCTGAGTTCGACGATAAATGGGAAGTTGGGTGTCACCATAACTTTGAAAACATCGCCGAGGCTTTTTTACCTTTTTGATGTAGTTCTCAGCTTTCGCCAGAAGGCAATCCTGCCTTGAAGGCCTGAGAGAACTGCATCTGCTTTTGGCTGGCTCTGGTATCATTGCGTGATGTTTTTCATCGAACCCATCGTTTGGTGCTGCCAGTTTACATCGCCCTCGCAATGGTCCACCTTCGAGAACGGGACGGTATTGCGAGATCGCAGCCACGGCAGCATTTCAGCGTTGCCATTCAACCTCTAACGAATGCGAAGCTGGCATTGTGAAGAACTTTTCAAGAACATCAAACAGCTCTGGTAGCATTTGGTCCTGATTGTGGGGACTTCTTTTGCCTCGTCATCGTCAACCACTGTCCCGGAAGAATGCCCTAAACCCTTTCCTTCGCAGGACTCTTTCCAGGCGGCTGAATGTATTTGCTCTCTCTCGCGTCAACCTTTCCAGGCTTATCAGCATTTGATCGCTAGCGTCATGCTGACACAGTTCCGTGGCTTCCATGTACTCAAGGTGTTCACGAAGGGATGCTTGTTGTTCAGCAGTCAAGTGCCGAGGTCGTATCTTATCAACCCATCTGCCCATCCGGGTGGTTGCGCACATCAGGCTTTTGTTTGAAGCTCGGCCGTTCAGAACATTTTGCATATCAGTATCGATGTGTCGTGGAGGATAGTGATTTAAGAAAGTGCTAATATTGGCATGCTTCATGATCAGATTCTGTTGTGCTTCGCTGACTGAGTCATTTCCATTCAGTATGTTTCCTCCACATCGAATGAAGCCATCGATGGATTTCGCCAGGTCTTTTCAGCCTTCTAGATATGGCGCCCTGAGTCATGGGGCTCCTTCCATTTGGAGACTGCCTCTCCATCGACGATTTCTGTCTTGCAGAATAGGTAGCTATCTTCGATTTCAAGATTCAATCGTAACTCTAACTGCTGGTAACCATCTTCAACAAACGAGCTTAGAAGTTGTTCCATTGAATAAATTTCAACAATATCGAACGCTTGCAGCCAAAACAATATGCCAAATATGAAGATGTGAGGGATGAAGATGAGCGAAGGATCGTTAAGAATTTCAGGGAGGGAAAAGTTGTTCCTGGCGGGTCATTGTTAGAAATTTGAAGATTCAATTTCAGTACAATACATACACTTGTGAGATCCCAAGGAATTTCTTAGTGTGTTCTGATTTGATATACACTAGGAGAATAGGAGGACCATCGTCAGGGTCTCTCTGGATGGAAAACTGGAGATGCGTGAATTGTAGCGAGAGAAGGGCACTCAAACGATTCACTGTGAAGGAAAGGATCTAGAAATGCCCCATTTGATGTTTTCAATGGCACATGCGATTTCTCCTGCTGGTGAACCAGCTATTCCTCTATGCAAGCCCTCCGAGTGTTTATTGCGGAGTGAGCTGCTACCAATTCTAGCAGCTATCCACAGCCGCATATCCTGCGCGAGGATTTTACAGATCATCCGGTTCTTCCCGTATGTAATACATATCCACATTACTACAGGATTTTCATACATCTCATCTGGCAAAAAACAAATGTAATTCTTCAGATCATGGCATTTTCGTTCATCGGAAGATACGGGAGGGTAAGCCAGGTGTATTACGATGGTGACAGCTTTTTGGTTCTCAACAGCGATCTAGTTGACTTTCAGGACGATTCAAGTCTAATGGACATCTTTGTTCAATATGTTGTCAATGTCCCTGTTGGTTGTACGACGGTCTTTCCTAACGCAGTATGATAAATTGAGGCACTTTGCTAGCTAGACACAATCGATATTACTGCGGGGTATATATTTTACTGTTGAGTTTTTCTAGGTTAGGCATTAATAAGAAGAGGTAGTTATCTATAGGTTTTTTGGCTATTCCTAGCCCGAATGAAGGTTGTTAAAGCTCGGCTGACTGCTTAAATACAGTGAGAGTTTATGTTGAGGAAAATTGAGGAAAGAATGCTGCACAATGAAAAAATAAAAAACTCAAATTCCAGAATATGGCGGCAGTTTCTTAAACTTCTACCAAAAGATCTTGGATGGGGCTCTGATCGGAAAATTGAGGGATTTCGGGGGATTGCAGCCAATGGGACTGGGTGTTTTATCAACTTATCTTTTGCAGGCTGGACGGTCCCAGATAAGCTTATCATTATGATATCTTCAGACCCTTTATCGCGCTCGGATCTCCTTCTATAAGCTTCTCCGCCCAGAGACGACTGGTTATCTACATTATAAATCAGAGCACAGAAGGCTCGGGATCCTAATCCTCACTACTCGATTTATCAAAAGACCCTTCGACAACGTTCACCACGGGGTAATGCATCGACGATGGACAATGATAAAAAAGACCTTCAAACATGTGCAATTACTGTCAAAGATGCAAATCTGGCAGCTGGCCAAATAGATGAAGTGCAAATCGACCCAGATCTCGAACGGCGCACCGTAGCAAAGTTTGATAAGTACTTGCTGCCTCAACTCTTCGTCATTCTCATTCTCGCCTACTTGGATAGATCCAATGTTGGTATGCCGCGTGTTTTCCCCCTTGCAGATTGAGAAAGCCTTCTAACCCCCACAGGCAATGCCAAAGTTTTTGGCTTTGAAGCTGGTATCGGCCTCAAAGGGAACCAATTTAATGTCGTATCAACAGTATTCTACCCGGCCTACATCGCATTCGAAGTACCATGGACGATGGCAGTGAAGCGATACGGGCCTAAGAATATCCTCGGGATTGCCATGTCGGCCTGGAGCATCACGACCATGTGTACTGGGTTTATTCGAAACTACCATCAAGCGCTTGCCCTGAGAATCTTGCTTGGTTCCTTTGAGGCTGGGCTTGTTCCCTGTATTGTGTTTATTATATCGACGATTTGGTCTAGGGAGTCGCAGTCAAAGCGAGTTGCCATCATCTATGGGAGTAACTGCCTGTCAGGTGCTTTCGGGGGACTCATTGCAGTGGGTATTTCCATATACGAGGAAATGTCTCCCTTCAAGTTGACTAATTCTGGTAACAGTATGCGATAGAGAGCATGGGAACAAAGTCTGGCCTGCCTTCATAGCGATGGCTTTTCATTCTTGAAGGAGCTATCTCTGTTGTATTATGTGGCATTTGCTGGCTTCTCCTTCCCGGAACCGTTGAAGATGCATGGTTTCTGAATATGGAAGAAAAAGAAACCATGTGGGCTAGAAGGCGTCGAGACATAGCATATAAAGGAACTCAAGAATTCTCCTGGTCATATGCTCGCATGGCATTCGCGGATCCCTTTATTTACGTTGCGTCGTTAAGTTTCTTCTGCTACTCAATTGCACTTTTCGGGTTTGGGACATTCCTTCCAACAATCATCAAGGGCCTTGGGTATGTCTCTCCATTATCCAATTTAGACTTGGCTTGCTGACTGCACATCTGTCAGATACACATCGAAGGAAGCCAATTATCTCACAATTCCGGTCTACATATTCGCCGCTGGCGTCTTCCTTACTGCAACCTTTCTCTCAGATCGCATCCGAAAGCGCGGGGCAGTCCTTATACTCTTACCTGTACCCGTTATCGCCGGCTACATTATCGTGTGCAGCACCGCCAACCACGCAGCAGGCTACGTCGCGATGTTCCTATGCGGTTCTGGGATCTACTCCTATAACTGCATCATATTGGCATGGGTGTCGAATAATCTATCTCCCGACTAAAAACGCAGCGTTGGCGTCCCATTTTTCGTTTCTCTTGCCAATATCTCGGGTGTTGTCTCGTCTTATATCTACCCGCCTTCTGACGGTCCAACATACGTTACTGGTAACGCAATTAGCGCTGGTATGGAGGCGTTGGCACTTTGCGGTGTCCTAGTCCTTTGGTGGATGCTGAAAAGCCGAAATGCAGTAAAGCAGATGCTGAAAGCTCAAGGCGGGGAGCATAATGGAAAGGAAGGGGACAGGGCGCTTGATTTTGTGTATAATCTCTAGACCCTGTTGCTTAGGCCTCGAAATGTTGAATCATCGTTCCATTCCGGGTAGTATTCTTATTAAGCCCACGAAAAAATATTCCTCATGAAGACCATAAGGCCTCGATTGAACTATATAGATAGTCTTTGTATATCCTTGCACGCACGTATATATATGCAGGGTAGTCTGTATACTACAACCCATCAATAATCCCATACAGAACCATGGCTCGCACCTCACTCCCCAACCAACAGCTCAACAGCCCTCCAGGCCTCCAAACAAGCCCAGGCGGAGAACGGAATATCACCAAACCACCGGTATACGCTGGCTGTCAGACGTAGGCGTATATACCCGAAGCAACGATGCGCGAGGGACGAGCGAGCTGGAAGGTGAAGGATTTGCCTAGCTCTCTGTATGCCAGGAGGCTAAGAAATCCACCTATTTTTTATGCGAGAATGACGGGGGTTAATTCCAATGGATGAGATCGGGGTTTAGGGATGACTGAACTGGGAACGATGGCCTCGTTGTGCCATGTACTTCCTTTCAAACTGATATAGCGGAGCTCACCGTTCTGTCCCGGACCTTGGTAAAACACATAGATCTGATTATCGTGGACAACCGCAGATGGGGACATGGACATTGCATCTCTCAAATCCACTTTCGAGGGATAATCCCAGCTTCGTCCATTGAACACGACAAAACAAAGTTGACCATTTCGCCCGGCCTCTTGATAGAAGACGTGGATTCTGCCTTGGAACACTACCGCATTCGGTGTCAATGAGATAATCGAATATGGAACTTGTTGTGGATCCGTCCAGACGTAACGTCTGTCAACCTCCTCCAAAATGGTATACCAGAGCTGGCCTCGTTGCTGTTCGTTCTGGTAGACGATCCTAATCCGGCCTCGGTATCTGTCAACTGCAGGAGAGTCGCGGATTGACATTTCCACGTTCGGAACCTCATGCTCAATTTCCCAGGAATCACCATGACCATGATAATCCCCAACCCATATTGAGTTGTACGCCGAGCCATGTTGGAAGAATAGATAGATCAAGTCCTCCTGGGCCTTAGTGGATACACTCATCTTGAAATATACACTCCGCGAGACACTTTTTTTCGATTAAAGTGGGGAGGAATGAATTGTTTTAATTAAGTCAAAGATAGGACTGACTTGCCAACCTGTTATGTCCACTGCGAGGTATTTTCAGCTACGCCCTGTTGTTATGTTTCTTCAGAGTTTGCAGATCAATGTTCTGACGCAACCCTGCAGACTGATTCATCATCCCGTAGATGTCAAATCATTGGAGCAGCATAGTAAATGTCACGCCAAATAGTGGGTCAGTCATGCGGAGCACCCTAATTTCACTGCTTTGACAAACCACGAATTGGCACCTGTCAGACACGTTTATCAGACCCACCGCAGCTGAAAAACCGACGATCGGAGTTTTCAGCTGTGGCGGAGTGCTGTTGGGTGCACCTATGTAACCATTTCAGGCAACGTCATGGGCATTGTTACCATTCACTTCTCCAGTTTTAATCATAACCAAAGCATTCAACCACGAGGAAAAGAAAATGAAAGGCCAAAAATTGATAAGGAAGCCAAGATTATTATACTAACTACAGGGCAGTCTTCCCGATGGACATACTTGCCTAATGCGACGCTGGTTTCTGGTCTTCTAGAGTCTACCATTACCAGAGAGACTTATTCTTTTCTATTAGTGCTGAAATTCTGTATGTAATATTGCTGTATATATAGTATATTATATTTACATAAGCCCTTTGTCCGATGAAGTCTTTGTATTCATGTGGGGGCTGGCACGTTCAGCCGATAATAACTAGGCTTTTTCCTTTATTATATGAAGATCCAGTAGCAGTCTTGAACTTTCCAGGTAATTTATAGTACCTATCATGTACCTATCATCCTCAGGCCTAGGCTATTATCAAAGCCCTTTATTATAAGCATATAATTAATCTCGCCCTATACCTTAACTCTATTTACAAGTACTATATATGGGGCATCAGAACGTTTCCTCCAAAACGATAATCATTCAAAGTATCTCTGGTGATATATGGTTATATTTTGTATCCATACCATAGACACAAACCTTGAAGATGCTCCTCTTTAATATCAATAAATCAAAGCCTCACAAGGTGGCCGCTGCCCACCGCGCAGCTCGGTGTCCGTTTATGTTATGTCTTTTTTTTATCTACGCAAGTTGATATCTCCTTTTGAATTTAATGAATGCTTTGAATCCAGTTCTTTCCTAATCCGGCTAGCCTTATCATAGCGTCCTTGAGAGTGGGGATAGGTAATTAGCCACGTAAGCAATCTAAGCAACATCACCAATTCACCATATTAACAATGCCAAGTAAGGGAGTCTCTGTGTACACTTACGTCGGCGTCGCGGGCTACTCAGTTAGCTTTTCTGTGCCTGAGCAACAGGCTCTGCGTGATGCGAGGCACAATTTCACTAGAGACCGCCTTGAGGTTGACTCCTCGAAGATCAACGGGCAAGGCAACTTCACAGGCCGCTTCGAGTGGACTGTATTTCGCTATGGAGAGCGCATAGCAGATGCTTACAATGACATCAATAGTTCGACGGGCAAGGTCGAGGGGGGTACAATGATAGCCACGAAGGACTTCCACCCAATTGTCACGGAGGACGCCATCATCACTTACGGTTTCTACGCGGCCGGGCACGGCGAGTTTAACGGTATGACAAACCGCCATCAATCGTACGTGACGATTTGCTCAAGAGAAAATCATGCCTGGATGGGCACGGTTGCTCCCCCAGAGTCTCCTGCCGCACAGCTGCCTTTCTCTCGTTTTGTGCTGGCCGCTCCTCATGATAATGGAATGAACAGCATGGCGACGTGCGATTCCATCTTCCAGCACCTTAATAAGGACTTGGTAGCAGTAATCCGAAAGCTAGTCCCTTTGCTTCGGCATGTCAAGCACATTCCGGACCACTTCCTCATGAAGAAACTGCCGCACATCGTTTACAGTTTGTCCATCACACAGAAGAAGACCATTTCTGTCATGCTCGACATGGGAGCACGGTACTTCGAGTTCCGCCCAGCCAAGCTCCTACCCATGTTTCAAAAAGTCTCTTCCCTGCAAGACACCTTCTATTTCCAACACGCGTGTATCCCCGGCCTGGCTTTTGATGACTTTCTCCGCGAGCAAGTTGCCTTTCTTGACAAGAACCCAACCGAAATAGTGATGATCCATATCCGATGGGACAATATTGTCGCTGATTGCGAGAAGCCCACGACTACGGAGCTTGAAAAGATGCTGAACGAGGCTTGCGCAAATACGACCAACGCTCCTCTTACCTGGGGTGACCGAGAGTGCTTTGCACGGCCAATCGAGGAACTGCGTAGCACCGGAGTGCGTCTTATCGTCGTCGTCGATGCGGACAAGTACGATAGCTGGACAGCAGAGGCGTACGCAACACTCAGTCCGGATCCTATTCTTGCTCGCTTTGAGACCATGACGACGGAGGGCCAGGAAACCTCTGATCTGACGATTCTGCAGTGCCAGGCAACCTCGCAATCAATCAAAGAAGTACTCGTGCATAGCCTGGTCGCCGCGGAGGGGGCCAGCTCCTCTCTTACCTCGACCAAAGGCTGGCTTGACATGCACACCCTGCCGTGGATCAGGGAGAATGCACTCCATAAATTGCGTGCAGAGAGGAACATTGTCATTATGAATGATTTTATAGATGGAGCGACTGTCGACACGTCAATTTTGTTATCAAAGCAGCGGCTATCTATGTAGATATTGTTCAACACCATGACTCTGGTATATTTTATGATAGTTTACTGCGAAACAGAGAATTTTTAGAGATCTGATTTCTATAGCATATCCCTATTAGGTGTCTTAAGTATGCAGGCCATTGTGAGGATGGTTCGGTTCAATCTACCTAGCTTATAAAACCTCTCTTAGAGAGTTTACTATTTTATTTAAAGTCCCCCTGGAGCACTTCTAAACCATGTATTTAACCAGTTGGCTAGTAAATCCTGCCGCTACGTTGTAGGTAGAGTATGCATAACTACTGACTGAAAAAATCTCTCAAAAATGGAAGAAGAATAACAATAATATATATGAGTACTGACCTATATGCCCAGTCGTGTGGCCATCACTTTGTGGAATCAATTTCCGAAGCTGAACCCGACTTGCGGCGGATGTTTGTACTTTTATCTGGACTTAACCATGGCTCGCTAAGTACACCTAAACCAGAAGGAGGTGTTTGCTGCCCAAACGGATGCCGCATAGATGAAATCGAACCCTTACTGGCCGCTCCTGATTAGTCACAAACTTTCAACTAACTAAAGATGACAGTTAAACGGTTTTGGTGGATGTCCGTAGCCCCATACCCGAACTTAAAAACCCCACTTCCCCTTCTCTCCTTTCGCAACCAATTTGCAGGATTTCACAACCATGACTGAAAGCACTTCAGAGATCACAGTGGTTAGTGGTCTTTTCATGATTAAATAAGGCTATTCTCACCTCTCATCTAGGACCCTGATATCTACTCTGCCACTGGTTATGACACTGATCCAGGAGACTTGCAGTCGTGAGTCCCACGGCGAATCATACCCCTAGTTACATTGTCAATTGACAATGGATTTAGGGACACCACCTCGATCGCATCCTCGATAGCCAGGGGCCGATTCGAAAATGGTCGAAGGTCTGCCCATTTTCAGCCCAAGTATATTTTTTAAGACTAATCTGAGATGTAGATACCAGGCCACTAAAGAAGACGACTACTGGTCAGTTCTGATGGATTAAAACTTTTAATCAGAGAGTAACATTGTACAGGGGTCCCTCTGACGATCAGCAGTTTGAGGCATTTGAGATTGGGTAAACTGCATTACACCCCCTCAGCTTCCAGTCTGATATTAACAATTTCCAAATCTCAGCCACTTACTATTTCGGTTGCTTGACCATGAGCAGCCGAATTCTCTGTTCCGCGCCCCTATTGGTGATTCACCTAGGGTGAATTAATACTGAGCAAATCCTCTTTTGAACGCCCCGCTAACACTATAATGTAGAACATCCTGGACATCGGAACTGGTCAAGGTAGTTGGGCAATGTAATCCAAGGAGCTTCCCGTTTCAAGATAATCTCTAACAAATCATTAGTGATGTTGCCGATCTCTATCCGTCAAGTACTGATCTTCCTAATTGATTCATTCTATTCTTGGATTGACACCGACTAGCTACCGTCCGTGGCGTGGATATCTTTCCTCCGCCCTGTTCATGGATGCCTCCGAACTGCATCTTCGAGGTAGATGATGTCCTCCGCGAATGGACATGGAAAGAGCCGTTTGACTTGATTCATATGCGTCTAATGTATGGCGGATTCTCTCAGGAGGGATGGGACCAGCTGTATAAACAGGCCTACGAGTGGGTTATAGTCTGTTACCCAATCTTCTAATTTGTCAAGCGCTAATGTGTTTTTATGTTTACTCTAGTGCCCTTGAACCCGGTGGCTGGATCGAGCAGATGGAATTGGACGTGCGAGTCTACAGTGACGACGGTAGTTTGAAGAAAGACAACCAACTATGGGGGTGGGGATCTCTATTTATTAGATGCTCTGAGCGCGCTGGAAGGTCGCTCAGAACACATGAAACAATGCGCGGTGCAATTGAGAACGCTGGGTTTGTGGATGTGCATGAGGAAAAGTACAAGATCCCCATAGGAGCTTGGCCTAAGGATAAGTTACTGAAGGAAGCCGGCCGCCTCCAGTATGCCCACTGGAACGCAGCTTTAGAAGGCTGGGCAATGTGGCTTCTCACCCACTTTGGGGAACCTGAGCCGTGGACAAAGGAGGAGGTGCATGTCTTTCTGGCTAAAGTGCGTGCGGAGTTAAGGGATCCGCATATCCACGCCTATGAACCAGCGTAAGTTCTATTTTAGATTGTACCATTGGCTTTTGCTATACTGAGAATCTTAGGAACCGTGTATGGGCACGAAAGCCCACCAAGGAGGAACTGAAGTAGAGGGAGGGAAATATCCAGATCAAGACAACGCTATGAAGTCGCTGTGGATCTCTTAGATTATTAGCAACAGACTTCCTGTTCTTAGGTTCTATTATAGTGATTAAATCAGTTTTAGCAGGCGAGAATCAAATTCATGTTCTACTCCAGCTTTACCTGGAAAAATATATTTTTTGAAAAAAAAAAAAAAAAAAAAAAAAAACCCTATTAGACTTCTCAATGTCTATATTTTAGGGAAGGATACCCCTTACCTATAAAGAAAATTATTAGTAGACTTTGACCATGAACTTACTGTATAGATGCACTGACTCGCAACTTTTTTTCTATCCATTTATCCATGTTGAAGATAGACCTCTCCGCCACACCGAATAGCGGTGAGAAAGCAGTCATCCGCTATACTGAAGCCTCGCCGCGGAGAGGCCATCCGACGGGATAATCGTTCGTTCGTCTCGGGTAGTAATCATAGGGGCTTCGTGAACGAACGGTCATCCTGGTCAATATTGCAGCCGATGACCTGCTTCGTTTGTATAGAGAAAAGGGTCGCTTAGGAATAGTGCGAATGACCTCGTGTATTTAAAGCGACGATATCACTGTAGTCAGATAATTAAGCACGTTGAAGAACTCCAGCCTTTCACATTCAAGTATCTACATGCATGAGCTCTAGAATACCAGGCTGATATAATATATAATCCAGATTTCCAACTGTCACTACTTGCTATTGCCAAGACACGGCTCACACAAGGCTGGGGAAACAAAAGCTAAAATCTCGAGCCCACAATGCAATGCACCAACTAGATGAAGATACCCCCGCCATGGCTCATGAAGTTGTCCCAATGGCCGCCTCCTCCAACTGACTCTTGGCTGCATAAAAATGAATATTCCTGCCAAATGAGACTAATGCTCGCGCTATTGAAGCTACAATGCGCGTAAAAGTCTTCCTTCAAATCCCATACACAAATCCACCCTCGCACTTTCAATCCTACTTCCCATCCATTAAACCTCTATGGCTATAACAACGTGCAATCTCCAGTCATATCAAATCTCCTGGCCAAGGCAAAAAAAATATGGATGCCAAATGAGTGTACAGGGCATTGGCGAGTTCTTGAAATGGCGTCGAGTCAAGTCCTTGTTCTAATATCAACGGGACGATGGAGGTCTAGATAGGACCGAGCTTATTACACTCCAAGATCGTCCATCAGACCATTCATTCTTGTTGAACATTGGAAAAAGTCAAATATGATCACAAGTGCGGCTCAAGACGATGAGAATGCCACTCCAGTGAGAGCACAAACCAATGGGATGGTTGCAGCAGCAGGGCACACGAAACGCAAGACTTGGATTTATGGTGTTCCTTTTTGCGCTAATGCAACGTCCATTTACTCCTAGTCAACATTATTTTAGTCGCGATAGCCGCTGGATTGTCAAGAGAATATTCTGAAAATGCCGGGTTTTCGACCTGGGCAGTGATTTATAGGGGCAGCTGCACTTTATCTGACGGTTGGGTGGTTGCGCTCCATCTTATTATCAAGATACTGAGTACAGGCATTCTAGCAACTAGTAATAACTGCATGCAGACGCTCATCGCTCCTACTCGCGAGGAGGTTGATAAAAACCATATGCGACGTCAGTGGCTAGACATTGAGAGGGCAAGTGTCTGTTATATCTTCACAATCAAGTGGTATCGACTTGTACTATGCGTGGTGTGGATGATAATAGCAACACCCTTCCATCTAATGTCGGTCTTTCTATATTTAAAAGAAGCAGTTGTATTAGTTCAGTGCCTAGGTACAATTCTGACATCATTCAATCTTTATCCTCAAAAGAGTTTGAGATAGTCGTTGGACCGAGAGATCTAAGCTCAGATAACATTTGGAACCTCAATACGCCGGCTCTTGAGAAATGTTTGTGTCTTCTTCGCATGTCAAATCTGCGGCACTCCAGTGGCATGAGTTTGCTCATGATATCGCAACGCAGAAATAGAAACGACTGACTCTCCAGCAATGTGCGAACTTGAACAATAGCCCTGATGGCATCCGGACAAAAGCCGTTGTTACACTCAGTCAAAATTTGACTGTTCACAATGGTGGGGACAAGTTGATACTATGGATTGGTTTGTCCTTTGATGGACCAGATGGTAGATAAGAGCCTATCGACCTGTACTGGGTAGACCACAGCATCTGGACCGTCTATTTTTCAAGCAAAACCTATGGCTCAGATGACCTCTCACGACCAGTAATGGTACTCCATTGAGGCTATAAGATTGTGGAGGGCGGCTCAAGGCGGTATCCTATTCTGGAGTGTCTTGCAATTTAAACTAAGGAAGATTGCCAGTTGCTATACAGTCCGCCTCTGTGTATAGTAATCGTTCTCACAATTTTGGTGAAAGTGATAGCAATATTTTTGGTAGCAACAATGGACCGTGGCTCAACACCTCTTCTCACTATAGTTGACACAGTGGCATCATTCGTTTCCAGACCTGATCCCATTACAAAGAGATTATGCTAGATGTCTAGTGCAGATGTTCAATGTGGCAAATGGTCAAATCATTCTATCTCCGGGCTCTTCCATAATCCTGCTGATGGTATTCCACCTCCGTTCCAATATTCAGCGTGATTTGCTGCTGCTGGCATCAGGGGAAGAGAGCTTGGCTAGCGATGGCCGGATATTCAAAGAGGATACTTGTGAGACGCAGCTCGTTCCAATTGATCAGAGCAAGGGTGTTGGGGCTGTGATTGGGTGGGCATTACCGAGCTTTTGGGTTTGGTTGGTCAAAGGGCGGGATTACTGGCTGTGGACAACAGGCAATTTATGGAGTGGGAAGCAGTGGGCCAAAGAGTTTTTGAGATGTATTGATTAGTGGCTATGTATAGGTCAAGGACTAAAAGCAGTACTACGATTGCAGTTGCATGCCAATGGGATTTTTCAAGTATCTGTTTGCAATATGAATCATTTCTAACCTATCTAAGCCGGCTTATGTCTATCTATGTACAGAAAAATATCTATGACTGAAACTGGGACAAATGTACACTTCAGTGTGCGTGATGATCGGAAAAGACCCCTTGTGAAGCACATGCCTTCTGGCACTCCTCTAGAATCTTTGCTTGCTTGGCGATATCCCCCAGCTTGCCAATGACCTTTTTGTTTCCATCCACAAAGGTGAAGACGGCATATGGGATCTGTACGTCTTCGCAGAATTCCCTGACAAGATGCTGAGTCTTGCGTAGATTGTGCCGCGGGATGCGTGGGTATAAGTGATGGATAGCCTGAAATTGCAGGCCACCGTGGAAGAAGTCCAGCCAGGTTGGACAGTCAACATCCATGGTTGTGCGCAACATCTTTTGCGCAAAGGATTCATGGACACCGAGGTCAGCTGTCGACATGGCATAGTGTGATAATGTGATCTGGACATGCAGCGGGGCAGTGACCATATGGGAGATGAGAACAAAAAGAACCCGATCAAACCATGTTGGAATGCTGAGATAGCAGACACCATAGCCAAACCAACACCAGAAAAACAGCTGTCCGGTCAGCTCGAGCCAGGGAAACCAGCGGACGGCACGATTTTTTCCTGGACGGAGCAGGTCGAGAATGATGTGTTCCCAGCTGAGATAGTACAGGTTGAATCGACCGAATAGCAGAATCGGATAGTACAGATAATTCTGGTACTTGACAACGCATTTGGACACGGCATCATATTCCATCACCCGGTCGTAGTAGGTGCTGCGGAGGCTCTTGAAGAAGCGGTGCGACACTGCAAAGAACGGCATGAGCTCAATATCCGGGTCGTGTTCGGGGGAGTTGGTCATGATATGGTGCACATTGTGGCTGCGTTTCCACCAGCCCAAGCTCAGTCCTCCCAGGAAGTCTGCAATCATGATGCCGATACAGGTGTCCTTTTGAAAGTCATGTGTAATCCCCATATGGCCAGCATCATGGGCAGTAAACACCAGCTGGTGCCAGAAACACCCGAGGAACAGACCGGCGAACCCAAAGCACGAGGAGCGTAGACAGAAGATGAACAGCCCAAAGAGGATGGAGTAGCGAAGTGTCTCAACGGCATAGGCAAAGTAGTTGCAGTTGTACAGTCCTTCTGCTTCGATACGCTTGTTGAGCGCACGGTATTTCTGCGTGATATGGTCCTGGTGTATCGCATCAAGAGGCGGATAGCTGTCCTGGTCGAGCAGGATTTCCTTTTGTGTACGAGCGTCCAGAACGCACGAATGCGCTTCAGGGTTGGGAGCTGCTGGAGGAATCGAGCTGACGGCAGAGGAGATCGTCGAAGCGGAGTTTCGACGTCTTAATCCAGGTCTGGCATCCCCAACGTCGAACACTGGAGACGGCGGGCGCGAGCTCAGCTCACTGGAGACTTCCGAGTCCAAGGCATCTGCGTCTTGATCATCCTCGGGGTTGTTGTGTCTGAAATGGCCTCCTTGGATGGGTGGCACGAAGTTGGTCCATCTTCCGTGGATGGATCCGATCTGGAATGCATTCATGCGCTGTCGGGTTTCCTTCGAATGAAGGCTGCCATTGTTAGCAATGGCCTCGTATATCTCGATCAGACGACTCACGCATTGACTTCATCCGTCGCATCTCTTCCCACCATGTGTCTGATTGCCAACTGTCCCCCGGGGTGATATGGCATCCAGGCATCCAGCTTCAACACCTTGCTGTCAAGGATGATGATAAACTGGCCAGCAGCAATCCTCCCCTCGATCTCCCTTCTAGACAGGACATTCTCGTTGGCCCTCACCGGGAGAGGCGAGCTGTTCATTGGAAATGGGTACAGCGAAGACAAGATATCGAGTATGGCCAAAAGCTAGCAATTGTTTGTTACGATGCAGACAGCAGATGGCGCGAGGCAGTACTTAAAGCAGAGATAGGAGAACATCTGGTCAAATAAAAAAAGACTATCCACTATTACGTTGCCTGGAGTCCCCAGGGGATCGAGTCGTCCCCTTTACACCGCAGTGGGGTAAAGGAGACAGCCCGCTATTTGCGCTGAAACAACGTAGGACAATTATCATTTATCACGGCAATAGTCCACATTGGAGCACTGACCACGGATCGCTCTGCACAATATGCGTAATATGAGCCACGAGTGGTAGATCGGGGCATGTCTTTTGCGTTTGTCCCGACGCAGGACGCGGCTCAGCGCTCGGTGGAAGGACTAGTTTCATTCTCGAATATCATGAAACCCAAAATGTGCAGGGTTGGATGCTGCCCGGAAAACACTTGCGATAATCCATAGATTCTGCTAAAAAGCGACCACGACTACTCAATTGGCACTCTGCCACCCCCGTCCAAATATGGCCTTCTCACCAGCCATGAACGACGAGTTGTCCTCTGCAGACCGCCATCATTCGCCCCCCACACGCAATGCTCGAGGCCTGCCAAGGCCATTTCACGTGCTTGGCCAGTGGGGCCCCCCAACGCGATCCACAGATCCCGTCCAATGGCGGCTATTCTCAGTAGTGATAAGCTCACGGCTGGCCACTCCTTAATCCAAAAGGGTTTGACCGCGCGTAGACTAGCCGCTTTGGGAATAGATCGCACATGACAGAAGATCGATGGAGGCAAAAATAAAATCCTCTCACACCCAGGGGCGAATCTGCCTGGTCATATTGTCGGTATTGTTTCAGCGATATTCTTAGCACACCCAATCTAGACTAATCAAAATGACAGAACACCCCAGCCAGATGGATGGTTTTCCCAATTGGTCTCGGCTCGAATATCTTAGTTGTCCCCTTCAACGCTTGCTGAAGCTAAGCTCGTACTCGTATGTCCAACCAGTGCGCAAATATACAGTGAATGGCACCAGTCCAGCTGCGTCTTTTAGTCATAGCCAGCCAATGGAGCACGCGTCTGCTGCAGTGGTGGAAAATTCGAATCAGACTTTGGAATTGGTCATAAACGGCCATCGAAATATAAATGACAAGTGATGGGAATATTGAGAATGCAAGTAAATATTCGAGATGGCGAATAAATCGAGACAGGCCACCTTTGTCGACGTGAGGATTTTGCTGTGGCAGTGCACTTGGCTGATTCATGGTCAGCTCGCTCAAATATATATATCTACAGAGTAAACGTGACGGGTCATCATCCATATTTTCTGCCTGGTTTAGGCCATTCCCACAAAATCTGCTGTATAAAGCGATTTTTTAGGGAGACTTGATAAATCTCGTAGAAATGAATATCATGCGTTGTATAGAAACATCGAGTACTGTGGTATCAGTGTCGATGTTGATAAGGATGTTTGACTCAGCAGAAGCTGCCTGGGATATAGACACTCAACCTCATGCATATTAGCTCAGCGTGATGTCATTCCATATACCACCCGGATCAGTTCACACCGGCCAATCCCACCACTTTCAGCTGAAACCTGTTTTCATCGTGGATACCCTCGCATTCGCATGTATTCGCATCGATTCTCCATTCGTTCTATTCAGTCTGGTTCGTTTGGCTTCACTCTGCATCTGGCCATGACCGCACATGACGTCATGTCGAAACCCCTCCTCGACATTAAAAATTTGTCGTCTCCTTCTATCTTTTCTCCTACTGAACTGTCAATCATTCCCACATTCCAATTCACATAGACCAGACATCAAACGACAAAATGGCACCCGGCCAGTTTCCTGTCGACTTGACGCAATTCAAGCACCTCAAGCTCGACCCCAAAAGCCCGAAACTGTCGAGCGAGCAAAAGAAGGATCTGCTTCACAACATTAACATCTTCCGAGATGCCATCATCGCCTTCACTGCAACCGGATCTGCCCGTGGACTGGCCGGCCACACTGGCGGTCCTTTCGACACGGCGCCAGAAGTCTGCATCTTACTGGCCTTGATCAATGCGAACCCGGGAGGATTCTATGATGCCTTGTTCGACGAGGCCGGCCACCGCGTGGCCACTCAGTATCTGCTGTCTGCCTTGGACGGCAAGATCGAACCTGACCATCTGCTGAACTACCGCGAGGCAGACTCGAAGCTCCCTGGTCATCCTGAACTCGGCCTCACGCCCGGCATCAAGTTCAGCTCTGGCCGTCTCGGACACATGTGGCCGCTGGTCAACGGCGTTTCCATGGCCCACAAGGAGAAGAATGTTCTGCTGTTGGGCTCCGATGGATCCCAGCAGGAAGGAAACGACGCTGAGGCCGCTCGCATTGCGGTCGCCAACAACCTCAAGGTCAAGCTATTCATTGACAACAACGACGTCACCATTGCCGGACACCCCTCCGAGTACCTCAAGGGATACGACGTTGGGCGCACGCTGGAAGGCCACGGCCTCAAGGTCATCCGGGCCGAGGGCGAGAATGTGGATGCGCTGTACGCTGCCATCTGCGAGGTCATCAACTTCAGCGGCCCTGCTGCCCTCATTGCAGACCGCAAGATGGCTGCGGGCATTGAAGGCATCGAGGGCAAGACTCACGCCCACGATGTCATTCCCGTCGACGTCGCTCGCAGATACCTCACGCGACGCGGATACAGCGAGCAACAACTCGCCTTTTACGACAACATCAAGCCTTCGTCCAACCCGCATAAGTACCAGGGCTCGACAAAAGACAAGGGCTCCAACCGGACCATCTTTGGTGAGGCGGTCAACTCCGTCCTCGATGGCCTCAGTAAGGAAGAGGCTGTCCGCCGAGTGATGGTCATCGACTCAGACCTTGCAGGCTCAACCGGTCTGAAGGGGATCCAAACGAAGCATCCCGAAGTGTTTGTGCCTTCTGGTGTCATGGAGCGAGGCAACTTTTCTGCTGCTGCAGGATTCGGATTTGGCAGCAACGGCGAGCGCCAGGGTGTCTTCTCGACCTTCTCGGCCTTCCTGGAGATGTGCATCTCCGAAATCACGATGGCTCGACTGAACGGCTGCAGTGTGCTCTCGCACTTCTCCCACAGCGGGGTTGACGAGATGGCCGACAACACATGCCACTTTGGGCTGAACCACTTCTTTGCCGACAACGGGCTGATGGATGCGGAGGTCACCTCGTTGTATTTCCCTGCGGATGGCGAGCAGATGAAGGCCGTGGTTCGCAAGGTGTTCTTTGACCAGGGATTGCGCTTCGTCTTCTCCACTCGCTCCAAGGTGCCGTACATCCTGAAGGAAGGTAGCGACCAGCCGCTGTACGGTGCCGGTTACGAGTTCACGCCCGGCAAGGAGGAATTCATCCGTCGCGGATCCGCAGGTTATGTTGTCTCGTACGGTGACATGCTGTACCGCTCGCTCGATGCGGTTGAGCGTCTGCGCCAGGACGGCCTCGATGTTGGACTGATCAACAAGCCGACACTCAACGTGGTCGATGAAGAAGCCATCAAGGTCTACGGCTCGAGTCCATTTGTTCTCGTCGTGGAATCCATCGCCCAGAAAACTGGCCTCGGCTCTCGTCTCGGAACGCACCTGCTGGAGCGCAAGCTGACTCCGAAATACCAGACGATGGGCTCTGTCAAGGAGGGCTCTGGCGGTTTGTACCAGCAGGTCAACGCCCAGGGGCTGGGGCCCAATGACATAGTCGCGGCGATCAAGGAGGTTGCCGGGAAATAATTGTAATTGGTTCGGACAGCGTGTGATTTGCTTTCCTAGTTATATATATCCATAATCTCAAAACTGTTTTTAATTCGTTCAATTTGTTGTGCTGGTCGTATATAAACACCTGATCTTCACTTGCCACAACAAGATGGTGTAGATGAAACCATATAGAAGACAATTGGCGATGAAGCAAACGAGCAGTTTAATATTCTTAACTACACGTCAACTGAACTCCTTCCGGACCACATCCCCAAAGATCCTCACTCCCTCTTCCAACTCAGTCCGAGCAGCAGCAGCAAAAGTCATCCGAAACTGCAGTTCTCCGTTCGGCTTCATGTTGGGCGAAAACAGAAACCCTTTAGTGACTTGGACTCCATTCGCGATTGCATTCAAGTTGATTCTCTCGGCGATCCCAGCCAGTAAAATGTCACTCTCTTCGATCTCCATTCCTCTGAACAACGGATGCTTCTTCCAGTCCAGACGAATCCACACAAACATGCCATATTCCGGTGGCACCCAATCGCAAACTTCTGGCAGATATTCGCCACAGGCAGACAGCATAATATCTCGTCGACACCGATACTCCGAGGATAAATGATCCAGCCACGAACCAAATCCCCGATGACCCCAGCTCTGCTCGAGTAACGTCCAGAGCATCAGCTGTGACGGACCACTCACTGCCCCGGTGGTCACTTCGTGGTATGAAATGAACTTGTTAATGATCTGCGCACTGGCAGTCACCCAGCCAGCACGGAGACCGGGAGCGAGCAGCTTGGACGTCGAATCAAGACGGACAACACGGCCAGATCGATCGAGTGAGACATACGAGGGGAGATTGCCGGAGCTCTCGATCGATGCTTCTTGCCCTGGATGGTATGATCCCATTCGGAGAAAGTAATACGGATCGTCCTCGATGATGATCAGATCGTGCTCTTCCGCAATCCCGTAGATTTGCTGTCGTCTTTCCGTCGACTGAGTGGCGCCAGTTGGATTGTGGCCGGTGGGAATGGTATACAACACTCTTGGTTTGGGTCCTCGCGATGCATCCCACTCGGTCAATGCGGACTGTAAAGCGTCTGCCATGAGCCCTTCTGCATCCATTTTCAATCCTTCAAACTGCACACCAACTAGTCCCGCTGCTTCAATCGACCCGGGATAGGTCTGCTTCTCAGCCAGAACGATGTCCCCTCGATTGCAGAAAATACGCAACGCAATCTCAAACGCAGCCGTTGATCCAGAAGATAGACACACTTCCCAATCCGCATATGGGGGATCATGCACCATCTCGACATGCTCAGTCAGGAACCGGACAAGAGAGGGACATCCAGCCCCATGTCCATAGTTCAACGCAGTCGAAAGAGTATAAACATCTCCGTACTTTCGGACAGTCTGTACAGCTGCCTCAATACCATTTGAAGTCTGTTGTAGACCGAGAGAACTGCCCTCGAACGTGACCGACTCCCATGGATAATAATCTGCCGTTGGCCTTCCGGTGGCGAGGGAAATGACTTTACGGCCACCGAGCGAGTTGCCTAGCTTTTTCAGGGCAGAACCGGTGAATCCACTGCTTTCAATGCTGAAATGATGATTTATTGGCTTTGACGGTGGTTTGTTCTTGTTGTGAGGTGATTTGAAAAAGTCGGAGCATGTATACGGAGCGACGGTGGAGGGGAGGGGCGCTGATTGAGCGCGAATAGACTCGATGTCGGACATTGTAAGAGGCATGTTGGATAACAATGTAAATATAATCATGCTGATAGGATAGCAAGTTGATGTTCTTATATTTCTATACCCCCGCTTCGGATCGGACAAGATAGGATCGGAGTATCGGCGAGATGTCGTTATCTTCGTGCCACTGGTATCATATGGTATCATCTGCATGTCTCATTCTGATGAATTGATAGCTATATATCTGGCAACGGGTCTAGTAAGGGATGATCAGCCAGATTCTCCCAGAAAGCAAACTCGAAATCCCACGCATCCTGGCCCAGAACGGCAGTCCAATCGGCGCTGCCCGCATGGGGCGCCATTTCAGAATGCACAGAGTCGAGGAACTTCTGGATCGTCTGCGTTGCTTTGGATAATAATGCGTAATTTGGATCTCCCGGTCGGATGATGGTTCCCACTTCCACCTCTGCTACGAATACAGTAAGATCTTGTAGTGTTTTAGTCCATGATATCCGGGCTGTCGATAGAGCGTCCCGCTCTCGGAGCATGGCGAGGAGAATAATTCCCGCTGCGGGAAGGCCGTAGTAATTGACCTGTTTCTTAGCATGGGGATAAAAGAGAAAAGAGGATACCTACCTTCCAGATGAGTCCTGTTCCTGAATTGACAAGTTGATCTCGGAGAAGAATCGTTTCTACAATCAGAGATAGCATTTGCTGTGCCACCTCGATAATACATACATCAGGTTCAGCCGGACTGTCGAGCAAGAAAAGACGCAGCAGGAACAAGACGTGCAAGTGGTTGAGGCGCACACTGGCTATAAAGTCGAGCTCAAATGGACTGCGATGGCATTGCTTCAGACTCCCATTGAGTTGGAATTGAGGAGGAAGACTCTGCCATTGGGCCTTGGCTTGCTTTTGAATGATGCTATTCCTGTCAGTGTCGTTCGACTATGACAGACAGGACATACTTTGCTTTCTGGATATTTGCATCACTTTTGCCATCCCGGGATATCTCCATAATGTCTTCTTTCAGCAATGCGCACGATGCAGACCAATACGTCTCTGCTATATAGCTGGGTTTGGCATCGCGACCAAATGTCCAATCCGACAACTCAAAATGGTAAAACCGCTTGCTCATTCGCGGTGGTCGACCGAGAAAGATGGCGACATTCTTGTCTGCCGAATAGAGTCGAGCAGCAACTGCCTGACGTAGCGTCTTTAGAAATGGCGGAGTGTCGGGCTTCGATTCCACATTCTCGTGGTAGCCAAGTGCATAGATTGACGCTATTCCATCTCCGAGTCTTCGCCATGAATGGTAACCTGGCTTGTTAGCGCATGATGGTGTCTAGGTGGATAATTCATACTCTGATCTCCATCGACATGGGAATGCACGATAAAGTTTTCATACTGCAGCATAAGCTGCAGATCATTCAGACAGTCTAATGAGAGAGAAATCTCCAGGGCCTGATCGCTCAGTTTGGTGGCAAGCCTCCGTAGTGCGTATTGCTGCTTCTCGCTGGAATATAGAGGAGGAAAGAAGGGCACATCCATTGTCGCTCGACTGACGGCTGAGAAGAATATTCCTACTGTCTCCCAGCGGGCATTTCTATGGATGAATTGCGCTGCGAAGCTGTCGATAGTCGATGTCTGGCTGAATCGCAGTGGCCGGGCTGAATTCTGCAGCCAACGGCGGGCATAGATGAGGTGCCAGTTCTCGTCAGACAAGGTCGACAACAATCCAGCCATCGTATCCATGCATGGCTTGACAAAAGGCTCTGCGAGAGCCAGATTGACCCCTTTGGCATTCCAGAAAGAGACGAGATTGGTCAATTCGTCCAGAGGGAATGTGCTCAACAAATGCCGCAGAGCATCTGCACACTGTCGTATCAGAACATCGTCGCCTTCTGTCTGAAACGGCCTATCAGGACATGGCTCATCAGATCGATGATCCCGATCCGGGGAGATCTGGTTGAAGATGGCAACATGACTCGAAGACCCCAGATAGCCGGGATTGGGATACGGAGTTCGCCTCGGGCTGAAGGACGGCGATGGATCTGGAGAGAGGCTGCACCGAAGCCTGTCAGCAGGTCTCGGAGAAAAATAGAAAACACAGACCTGACCGATTGCACCGGAATTGGAGACGATTGCTCTGCTCGTTTCCGCTTGAAGGGCGTCGCGCGGTAGACGCAGAGGGCAGCCCGGTTGGCGTTTCTGCAGCGCGTACACACCGGTCGCTTATGGTCGCAGGCCAGCTTCGATTTCCGACATGCCTCGCAGGCTGCCAGCCGTGATGCCATTGCCTATCCTGTCTGTTTGGTGCTGTCGGTTCTCCGTTGGATGAGGGGAAAGTGGGAGGTTTTCTTCGGCGAATCGGATCGGAGTTCGGCGAATCCGTCCTTGTCCGACTATATCGTGAGTATTTATAGAGACAACCCCTATGATTGGATATCGACAGAATTATTATACATCATCATGGTAATCAAACTGGCAGACTATCTCTTCACTCGCCTTCGCCAAGTCGGCGTCCACTCCGTGTTTGGTGTCCCTGGCGACTACAACCTCCGCTTGCTTGACTTTGTCCAACCTTCTGGCCTTGACTGGATTGGCAATTGCAATGAACTCAACGCGGCATACGCTGCCGATGGCTATGCTAGGATCAAAGGTGTCTCTGCGCTCATCACGACGTTTGGTGTTGGCGAGCTGTCAGCCATCAATGGCATCGCCGGTGCGTATACTGAAAGGGCAGCGGTCATCCACATCGTGGGCACACCATCGCGAGCACTGCAGAGCTCTCGGTCTTTGGTGCATCATACTCTGGCAGATGGCGACTATCGACGGTTTGGCGCGATGGCATCTCATGTAACCGTTGCACAGGTCGATTTGAAAGATCCCCGTCGTGTGCCTGGACAGATCGACTGGGTTCTGGGACAGTCACTGCTTCATAGTCGGCCAGTCTATCTCCAAGTGCCGGAGGATATGGCTGATGTTGATATCGATGCATCCAACTTGAAGTCGTCCATTTCTGTGCCATCTGCCCCGGTTGCTTCGCTTGGGTTGATTGTGATGGAGCGTATATTGGAACGGATATATACCGCTCGGCACCCACTGATCTTGGTGGATGGAGAAAGTAGATCGATGGGAATTCTTGATGAGATCGAGGAGCTGGTACGAATGACTGGGTGGCCAACCTGGACGACCGTCTTCGGCAAGAGTCTGATCAACGAACAATTGCCGAATGTGTATGGCATCTATTCTGGACGGTTGGGCCGTCTGCCATGTAAAGATTACTTTGATTCAGCAGACTTGATTCTCAATATAGGGCCTCATTACAGCGATACCAACAGCCAGAACTTTACAACTATTCCAAGCCAGGCTGCGTCCGTTACCTTCTCGCACAACTCCATCCAGATTGGCAGTGAGGTCTATCCCGACATCTCCAGCGACTTCGTCTCTCAGCTCATACGCTCTATCGATGAATCTTGCATTCCCCGAGTCACCGGCCCGCCAAAACCAACCATCAGGCCAGATCTATTGAGCCCATCTCCTGATATCACGCAGAAGCACTTTTACCGCATCGTGAACTCGCTCTTCCGCGACGGTGACCTCATCTTCACCGAAACCGGGACAGCCGCACATGGAGGTCGCAACTTCATTTTACCCCCCAACACAAGGCTTTTCGGTCCAGTTACCTGGTTGTCTATCGGTTATATGCTTCCTGCTACGTTGGGCGCAGTGCTGGCTCAACGGGAGCGGAACAATGGCAGGAATACCCGCGGGATTTTGTTCATTGGCGATGGCAGTTTGCAAATGTCAGTACAGGAAATCAGCACAATCATCAGGGAGAAGTTGAATGTGGTCATCTTCGTCATCAATAATGGAGGGTATACCATTGAGAGAGCGATCCATGGCAGGAAGCAGGCATACAATGATATTGCATCGTGGAGACACGCACTGGCCATGAGCTTCTTTGGTGCAAATGAAAGTCATGCTATCATAAACACATTCGCCGCAAGAACATGGGAACAGCTGGACCTCGTTTTAAAGGACCAACGAGTTCAACAAGGAGAGGGCGTCAGAATGGTCGAAGTATTCATGGACAGAGAAGATGTTGACGGGGCTTTGTTGCGTTTGATGGAGAGGCAGATCCAAATGGAGTAATTATCTTGAACATATTAGACCGTTAGACCGTCTGTACACAATGGCGATTATCGTTCAGCCAAAAAAAAAAAAAAAAAAAAAAAAAAAGATGCCTCATCGTCTAGCGAAACATTCTTTGATATTCCCTCCACTCATCCGCATCCAGAGGCCCCGGATTGTGCTGCAGGTGTATGTTGAATCGACTGAACATCAATGCCAGCACTGACAATTTCCACAGCACCGTATGCACTTCGTTGCCGGCAATCATAGTGGCAACGAGGAGAAAAAACCGACAGGATGGCGGCAGCAGTTGGATGAATTATTTGAAGATATTTGATTGATATGATTCCACTTTCCACTATATCCCAGTGTTTAAAATATTGTGTCAGAAGAGTATAGAAGGGTTTAAGGATAGTATACACGATACTTGAACATATAGCTATACTCAAGTCCTGCACTATTCCTCCTCAACGATTTCTACTGCCTTTTTGAAATCCTTCACTCGATGATCACACTCGACCTCCTCACAAAGACGTCGCCGACGCGAATGGTCCAGGTTTTTCACAAACTCAAGTCCTCTTGCTCGCTCCAGGTCGGCAATATTATATTCGAATTCAGCCAGCCGTTTCTCAGTTGGGATGCGGGTGTTGGGAAGGACAAATGCCGCAACAGCCACCTTGCCTGTCGTGTCATCTGTATCTTCTTCCTCGCCGTATATGACTTTGTAGAAGTGAGTGGGAACGGCCACATTGGGGGGATTCCCAATAACCTCATATTTCACTCGCCATTTCCCATCCTCGTCCTTTTCCGGCAGATACAGAGGCCCAGTCACCACCCGCACAGACGGATATCGCTGGGTCAGCCTGCGGCAAAAGTCCTCAAAGTAGGCCCAGTAGTGTCGATTGAACCACACTCCCACCTGTGGACACATATTACTCATTTGGAAGGTCTCATCGATGGCGTCTTGCGACCATTTTGCATCCTCGGCCGGCACCTGGTGACCACGGTCGTACCCAGAGTTGGAATAATCGCGCGGATCGGCACGAAACGCCACGGGGATGGATTTATCTGCCCGAAAGACGTTTTTGCGATCTGCGCTGGCTTGGGATATCGACTCTGGCGTGATATGCTCAGCAACCCACGAGGGATTCCTGGTCCGGCGGTCGTAGGCGCCATACAGCGGCAGCGAGCTCAATTCATCGGCAACGGGACCGGGAGAGCCGTACTTGAGAATGCCTTTGGGATCGACGGGGCTGAGACCCAGTGCCTTTGCACTGATCGCGGGACCAGGACGCTGCACGGGGAGGGATCGGGTGCCGATGACAGGGATAGTATCCGGAGGAGATGGAGGGATGATTTCGAGGGGAGGGTGTTCGGGATGAGGTGGTTTCGCGGGTTTGTGCGTGTACCAAAGGGCGACGCCAGCGCCTGCTGCAGCGCTCGCTGCAGCAATGGCTGATAATCTCGCTTTGGACATGGTGGCGCTGTTTTTGTGTTAGCGGAACTTGAAACGTGAGAGCATACATACTGTTTAGCTAAGTATATGGTCCATGCGTTGTATAACGCGTTGCGATAGACAGGAAACTCTCAGAGAGGAGGGGAGATTAAAAGTGAGAAAAGTGAATGTCAATTATGTGGACAGTTTCTTGACACTTTTTGATTGGATCATTTGACAATGTGACGTCGATGCAGTTTCACCTGTCAATCTTTTTACTAGTGGGAGTGCTGGCTGGCGACAGGTTGCTGGACCAGCACAAAGCTATCAGCGTCGGCTAATAGACAGCATGCATCATGCATTGCTTGGTTGCATGCTCACTGCAACCTACTCTATACTGGGACTACATGGAAGCGGAACAACCTTGATCAACGTCATTTGCACTGCTGGATAAGAGTAAGCGATTAGAGCGTAGCATCCACGACACAACTTAGAATGCCTAGTAAAACTCAATTAGCCACTGTGCTGTCTAAGGTCCGGGCCGGGTTTAGTTGAGCAGCGAATCATCTGGTTTGAGATGGAGATGCTATCCTGTATTTTAGACACCTACACTGCGTGGTGGACATGAAGTACTTTACGGGCATTTCCGAAACCAGGATCACGTCAGCCAGCCACAGCTGGCATAGGGAGAGATGTTCTGTATCCATGAGGGCGGATGTAACATTCTTGCAGAACAATGTGGATCTGCTGTCACTGATCATCACGTGCTTTGCCATCCATAAATGGGAACACCATAGGTCCAATCGATCAGACTCAATGACGAGTTGAAAAAGACAGTAAATCCCTGTTGAATCTGAGCGTCGCACCTATGTTCTTCGGGTCTACTCAATGACTTCTATAGTGTGGAATTCCGTGTGCAGAGTAACAAGAAAGACAGAGAGAAACTCAACGAGTAGATCACCGCACAAGGGGTATATAATATGCGTCCAGCCCTGGTCTCTATCGACTTGAGCGTTGCCCTCACGGCGGAGGCGCATGGACAGCCATAGTTAGACACAGCCACCACCATCCAGTCCCAATGCTATCCCTTGATCAGATTTTTTTTGTCCACCGACCTCTACTCTGGCGAGTCGCAGTCTGTCCGGTGAGCTCCAACTTTGACGGCACCCAGTGTGTCACCACGCCTACTTGCCCTCCCAGCCAGTACTATGATCCAACTGGCAAGATTTGCAAGGAGATCCCTGACTGCCATCCTGGCCAATACTTTGATTTCAGGGAGAGGGACTGCAACCCAACACCAAATGTCCACCAGGCCAACAATGGAATGGCGCCTTCCAACCCTGTCCTCCTGGTCAGTACTTTGATGGCAGCCAGAAGACTACATATAATCCCTTATGGGAATCGAATGTTGTTGCTCAGTCGGTCGAGAATCTACCGGATACGATCAGTATAACTTCATCGAAGGCGCATGTCTTACATACCCAGCGATCGAGTTCGGCCTCGCTGTTTTGATACTCCAAAAACACCGTATCCAGTCGTTCTGCATGCATGTCAGCACGTCCATTACATTAGTACTAGGAGACTTGCTCGAGGTAATGTTGAGCTGATACTGAGTGATGGGATCATCCAAAAAGTTCTCCAAAGACGCCTTTGCAGCCGGGTCATTTCCGACCTGGCTAAGACTGAAGCGAACAGCTGCACTCCATAGCACCTTGGCCTGGGACGAATCCATGAGACATCGCGTCCCTTGAATAACCCTTGGACGTCATCCTCGTCATTCTCGTGGCGATCGCTCTCTGGTCACCGACCCGGTTCTCGTTTGCCACGGATCCGCTGTCATCTACGGCGCATTAGGCAAAGCGAAATTAAACGGCCACGATGGACATACCGCACTACAGGACCGGCTGGTATAGAGCCAGCTGAGCCATGATCATCACTTGCTCCCCTTGTTGAGTTGATGGCTAGGATCATTCTTCAGCAGGGTTGCCTTCCGGATGACTGGCCAACATAGGGATCGTTCTGGGGATAAATGTCGTCCAGCCCCGTGGCCTCGATGAACATGCAGAGATTGTGCCGGAACTCGTCCTCGGTTTGGGGGTCATCTATATGACCGCTTATACTCAAAAGCTATGTTGACCTTGGGTCTTATAATATTTATGACACACCTATCACCTTCTCAATGGCCGAAAGCAAGATGAATGTGGTGATATCAGGGCCATTCTGGATAATGGGTATGTTGAATGAGTCATTCTATATTGTTTAACCTTCTGATGAGTCGTGGAACTTGGACATCAGTCAGAGCCAAACATTGCCAGTTCGCTTTTCCATGACCGTCGATTGATTAATCTTAGAAACACTGTATATCTGAAGATGAAGGCTCTTCCTCTACGCACATTGTGTTATCAGTTCATGACCACTGATGACATTCAATCACCGGACACCATTCGCCGAGTTTACAGACACCGAACCATCTGATATTTCAACGGAATGTTTGGATATCTTATGTTGACCATTTAATCAGCATGACTTAATCAGCGGAAATACCTGTACTATATTTAATATGGATCCAAGCACATGGCGGACTCTATCAAGCAAAGAGTATGTCTGCTGCTGGCGTAATGGCTGATCATGTTATAGATAGTATACGTCGGCCTTTGCTCGGGGTCGGTGTTTGCAAATATGAGATTTTTTTTTTTTTTTTTTTTTTCGGATCAGACGGCAGCGTCGTTAATCTGACAGAAAGTAGACTGGATAAATAGACAGAGATGCCAATGTGCAATTTACCTAATACATTGGCCAATATACGCTGGAGATAGAATGGGACCCTCGATAACTCACGATGCAGTTGAAAGCGATACCAATGACGATGACGCTGTCCTCGTCCAGTTTGACGGTCCAGATGATCCGGACAATCCGCACAATTGGCCATGGTTCCGAAGAATATGGGTGACCTTCGTGCTGGCTCTTTTCAATCTCATTGGCACCATTTCCAGCAGCATCTTTGGAACAGGGAAACACGAAATCATGGACGAATTCCACGTCAGCAGTGAGGTTGCTGTTCTGGGAACATCTTTATTCCTCATCGTACGTCTCATTGCTTTATCTCTATTCATTGGCTGATCTTTCAGGGATATATCTTCGGCTTTTTAATCTTTGGCCCTCTATCAGAGAGATTTGGCCGGAAATATCCCCTGATCCTGGGCACCACCATTTCCTCATTGTTTGATCTGATGCCGGCCCTGGGCACCAATATAGAAACCGTTCTGGTCGGTCGATTCTTCGCAGGCCTCTTTGGTGTCTCTCCCGTGGCAGTGTTAGGGGGCATTGTCAGCGACTGCTTCACCTTGACGCATCGTGGCACTGCCATGGCCTTTGCAGTGGCTCTGGTCTTCTCTGGGCCGACATTTGGTCCGGTTATTGGTGGTTTCATCACTGGCTCCTCTCTCGGCTGGCGATGGACCATGTGGGTGATCATCATTGCTGGACTGACACTGTCTGCTGTGGCAACTGTTGTCTTTCCCGAAACATATCCAGCCATCATTCTGAAGAAGCGAGCGCGGCGACTGCGCAAGAAGTATGGCAATCCAAATATCAAGAGCCAGTCTGAGTTGCAAGTTCTCACTGCTCAAGATGTGGCTCGATTGTATCTCGCTCGTCCGTTCTGTATGTTACCGTCTTAAATCCAACAAACCACGCTCATCGATATCCAGGGCTCTTCGTTACCCAGCCCATCCTGGCGCTGCTGACTCTCTACCAATCGTTCATCTATGGTGTTCTATTCCTGTTCTACTCCTCGTATCCCATTGCCTTTGGTGAGGTCCGTGGCTGGCATACTGGTCTCAACACTCTCCCCCTTCTCGGCATCATCATCGGCGTCTTTACCGGCACGATGGGCATGGCCATCTACGACCAACTCTACTTCCGATATCACTGCCATGCCCCAGACGGATTATACATCCCTGAAAGCCGTTTACCGCCCATGATCCTCGGGGCGGTGCTTATTCCCATTGGAAGTTTCTGGTACGCGTGGACAGCCAGCCCGAACGTTCCCTGGCCAAGCTCGGTCTGTGCCAGTATCATGATCGGATGCGGCATGTATCTGCTCTTTATCCAAGGCTTCAACTACATTGTCGATTGCTACACGAGCATGGCCAACAGTGCTATGGGGGTCAACGGGTCGATGCGCAGTGTCTTTGGCGCCGTGTTTCCCCTTTTCGCGACGCAGATGTTCCACGGCGTGGGCGTTGCATGGGCGATGACAATCATCGGCATTGTGAGTGCGTGTTTGATTCCTGTTCCGATTGTTTTTTGGTGTTGGGGGCATCGGATACGAATGTGGTCGACTGCAAAGGTTTGATATGAACGTATCAGGGAAGTGTACTATGGATTCAATCAAGGATAGCAATAGATTCATCAAATAGCACATTCTCGATATATACCCTTACTTAGATTCAACCTTGTTATCAGTATCCTGCGAGAAGTATGATTGCGTATTCTAGGTCTAAGGGGCGTGATGGAAGCATTTGGTTGCTTCACCTTGATTGAATGAGTAGGCCCAGGCAAGAGCTCGATTGGCCCGGATTGCCCGTTATTGAATGATGCAGATGGATGTTGCAACGGGGATTGAAGCTGAACAATCGCCGAGTGGAGATAGTGGAGACACAGCTCGGTCATTGATGCATTCAAACACCGATGATATCGAGGATATACCAAATGGACTGTAAAATGCCCAAATTCTGCTGATATCCTCCATCTTCAGTTTTGATCTCACTCTGATATAATGCAGCCCATCACCCTTTATTCCCACCAATTCGGCCCCAATCCTTGGAAGGTCGCCCTCATCCTCGAAGAGCTCAAGATTCCCTATACCACCCAGTTTGTCGACTTCACCAAGGTCAAGGAAGAGCCTTACACTCTGATCAATCCCAATGGCCGTCTTCCTGCTATTGAAGATCCCAACACTGGCATCAAGCTCTGGGAATCCGGCGCCATCACGGAATACCTGATCGAGAAATACGACACCAACCATCAGATCAGTTACTCTTCCTTCCCTGAGCGATACCACACCAAGCAATGGCTGCACTTTCAAGTCTCTGGTCAGGCTCCTTACTACGGGCAGGCTTCCTGGTTCCAGAAATTCCATCCAGAGAAGATCCAGAGCGCAATTGACCGATACCGCAACGAAATCCACCGGGTGTGCAGTGTTCTCGAATCGGTTCTGAAGCATCGCCACTGGCTGGTTGGCGACAAGTGCACCTATGCTGATCTGTGCTTTATTGCGTGGCAGCGCTGGGCTCCTCGATTTGGAGGAGAGGACATCTACGACCAGTTCCCTCATGTGGGTGCTTGGATGAAGCGAATGGAAGACAGACCGACTGTGCAGAAGGTCTTTGCTGACCAGGACCGGGCTATGGAGGAGGCACAGAGCTAAATCATGTATTCTTAAGATATAGTCTACTTCGTACATGAATCCAATCAATACAGGTCTTGTCGAATTCGTGTCCAGATGTAGCTGCTGTATTCGCACTCACCGGATGCAAGGCAAGGATAAGAAAAGTGACCTCGTGCTGGCTCCCTTTGATTTGGCCAAGATGGACAACACGTATAGTCTGCGCATGGCACAAGCTTATGTATGGGGCTTGGAGTTTTACAATACGATCTACTGATGCAATGCCTGCTCCGTCAGACTTGTCGAACAGCTCATCTTCTAGTATGAGGATCCCTCGTTGCTCAAGGCTTTCTCGAGAAGCAGGACATGGTTGTGATGATTGTGATGGTAGATGATATGAAAAATAAATGAAGATGCTACAGTTGTCGTAGTTCAACGAGTTATTCGTAGCGCTTCAACACCAGACAGGATATCGTCATCCCTTCCGTTCCTTCATCAACGCAACTTCCTCCGCTCAATTCCCCTCGTCTTCTCGCTCTTCTCTCTTCTCCGTCTTCCATCCGTCCTCGTCTTTCGCAATTGTCTGCGCATCTTTCCTACGTTTCATGTCAGCATACATTTCGAACCAATGGCGCCAAACCCGATAAGACGAGCCCAATATGAGCAAAACCGAATATCTTCTTTTAAAGATGATACCAGATCATGCTGGCCTAATGGTTCTTGTTATCGGCGGAGTCGCCATCATTCGTCTTTGGTTCTGGGCGTATATGGCCATAAAGACCAAGTATGTTCCTGCTGGCCCCATTCACCATACGGAACGACACTGACCAAGGTAGGGCTACATTCCTCACCGAGATCATCCCCAAGCACGCTGGCCTGGCATTCTTTGTTCTCTGTGGCTTACACGAGGATCGCATCCCAGTACGCAGTGTATGCTCTGGTTATTGAATGACGCTGACATATACAGGCTCACGTCCGTTCCGACCTACAAACGATACGAGAATCGGTCACAACGCCTTGCAATCGGCAAGCACACAAAGGGCGTCCAGCTGGACAAGAAGTGGCCGTCCGAGTTGGCTACGGTGAAGGCATTGTCATGGATCATAGTGCATTGGGATGGCATATTCTACCAATGGTGTATCTCGTCATTCATTCATTCATTTTAATTCCTCCTGCATTTCTTCCACCCAGCCTGTCACGTTGGAACAGGCCTCCTTGGGGTCTCGCTTGAACCGTAGAAGAAAGCCCTGCACTTCGGCCAGACTGTGTTGCTTTTCAGGCACAGACTCAGCAAAGCGAGTAGCCAGCTCATCCAGACTTTCCGGTTTTTCCTTTGCTTCTGCAATCTCTGGTACATCGCTATACATGCTCAGGAATAGACTGTGCAGCTCCTCATGAGATGGAAGGTCGAACTGGACGTGCATATCCACGCGACCGGGGCGAATGAGCGCTTTGTCCAGATCCTGCGGTGCATTCGTGGTCATGATCAAAATGCGTCCTTCCTGGGATGAAACACCGTCGATGGCATTCAGCAGTCCAGATAGAGACACGGTGTTTCCGTTTGTCGTTGTATTCTGTCCATCTGCTGACTTGCTTTCCTTACTGGATAGACTGCCTCTGTTCAATCCGGCCGCATCGATATCCTCCAGCAAGACGACGCACCGTGTGGGCACTTCGGAGAATAATCGGATAAAATGCGACTCGGTGATGGTGGGATCCAAGAGGCTCAGGACGTAAATATCCAGACCAAACACCCCCGCAATGGCAGACGCCAGACTGGTTTTTCCCGTGCCAGGAGGGCCAGAGAAGAGATACCCTCGACGATAGGGAATGCCGTGGTTGGCATACCACTGCTGCGTGTGGGGATGGAGATACTCGTTGATGTCTTGCAGAATAGCCTCTTTTTTGTCTTTCTTGAGGATAACCGTCGAGATATCTCTGGATGATCTGGAAGCCACGGGTTTCCAGCGGATCATTTCTCGTGGAGTGGTCATGGCCCGGTGGACGGTGATGCTAGAGACAGATACTTGACGCCTGTAGGCTCTGGCTTCTTCGAGCAATGCGACGATGGGAGAGAGAGAGAGACTGAGGCATTGCAGCTTCATCGGAGGATTGCCCTCGACTTGCTGGGTGGACGTGATGGGCTCGTGGGCGTGGTTGAAGAGAATCCACGTCCCCTTGAAGCGAAAGAAACGCGATCCATGGAATGGCTTCAATTCCATCGACGATCCGTCGTCGTTTTGCTTGTAGTTGATTAGCTTGTCTGGCTTTGGTCTTTTGTCCGGCCGCATTCCTTTTTCTCTCTTCTTTTCTTTGTGCTCCTTCTTCTCGCTGCTGGTCGTTTGTGCAAGGACAGAGCGGAAGTTGCAATCCTTGAAGACATGATCGTTCATCCAAAGGATGATATCCTCGTACAGCTGGTCTTCATCTTTGACATGCACCGTAGCCAGACAGGTCTTTTCGGCATACGCGTAGAGGATTCTCCCCGCTGAGCGGAGAGAAGTGATCAGGCCGAGCAGAAGCAGGCCAACGTTCATAAACAAGAGAGCATCGATATTGAGCGTCTCCTGCACGACAGCCAGGACTGACTGGATTCCGGGCATCGGACGAGGCATTTTGATGATCTGAGATGCAAAGAAACGAAGTCGTACAGAGTATTTATCCTGATTTTGATGCACCGCCACAGCAGCAGCAGGATGCTCAGCCACACTTCCTGATTGGGCAGTGGGTCTCCACAAATGGCATCATCGTCAACATCCCACCATCACAGCCAATCAGCACTTGCAGAAGACCCACTGGAAATATTTGCCACAGACTTTCGTTTGATTTTGACGGACTCGATATTTAATATTCATCCTCACAGCAAGAAATGGCCGACGTTCTCGAGCACAACGTCCGGACGATCATTGCGGCCCAGTGCCGCGTGCCTTTGGAAAAGGTAGACAGCCCAATATGCTCACAGATGGTATACTGACAGCGCAGGTCACCCTCGACGCTGATATCAACCGTGACCTCGGCGGGGACATGGACACCATGGCCTGGTTGCTCGTCCGGTTACAACAAGTATGCATCTACCCTGGATCGTCAGACAATGCTAATGAAGCAGGAATTCCACCTGGACTTTACGGCCGACGATGCCACGATTCGCACCGCCGGCGAGATTGTCCAGTATATCAAGTCCAAGTCTCAGTGAATACTATCAATATTATCTCTCTTTGATTATAACATCATTCTCTATCCTTGATCAAGTCCTTTTCTGCCCCTTGGACACTCTCCAGAAACTCTTGCACAGCATCATCATTATCTTCCCCCCTGTTGTAGACATTCTCTCCCACCAACTTCAACGGTGTCTCTCCCAGCCACTGCAGTAGAGAAAAGTCGGTAAAGCGATCTGCTCTGAAGATCTCCAGCACCTCCAAATCCTCATCATCAATAGCGCCAGGCACGTCACCTTGGAAGATGTATTTTTGCGATTTGGGAAAGTTGGCGAATTTCTCTGCTTTGACGTTGAAGTTCTCTCCCAGAACGGATTTGGGGGTGTGTGCTATCCAGTCAGCATGTCTTTGATATAGAGCAAGTCAGCATACCCAGCCAGTCATTCAATAGGAATGTCGACTCTTCGGCAAAATTGCCATTGTCAAGGATGAGCAGGAATTCACTTCCATTCGGACTGAGACCCTGAAGCGAGTGAGGATAGCCAGCGGGAAAATACCACAGATCTCCCTCTTCCAGATCGTCGACGAAGCTGCCTCCCTCTGGATCCATCGCAGTCAATCGCATCTTGCCATTGAGGATATACGCCCATTCGCTTCCTGATGCCAGTGCAGTTCACGGTTGGCGCCTTCATCGAGTCTCATCTCAACGCCTGCCAGCTCTTTGCTGGTGGGCAGATCCCGTGTCGTGGCTGAACGAGCCCATCCTCCTTCCTACATTATAAGCATGAACATACAGATCTATATAGAATAAGAGAAACATACCTCAATCCGAACCCGCGAGTCGGCAAAACTCCACTTCATATTGGGCAAACTGCCATGATCTGTCGTTGGAGGCCGTACGATATCCGGATTCTGCTGCTCACGATCTCGATTCCTCGGACCCCAGATATTGGCACCTCCTCCTTTGCGGATCGGAAGAGGATGGAGATCTTCTCCGACAGAGTCGATTTTGTGGTCATATGGGTCTTCATAGTCAGAGGTGTAGGGATCATCCTTAAACAGGATGGATGGAGATGAAGCAGGGATTTTCAACAATTTTTGATGTGCTTCATTCGAGGCAGTGCATTGCTGGTGAATGCTGCGGTCAACAGAAACAGAATATACACATGCAGGGTGTTGCTATTTTGTCGGTGTCAGATATATATCTGCCGAACAGCCAATATCCAATATTCCACTACAAGCAGATATTTAATACATCAGCCAGATTCATTAACGGTTTCAATATTTAACTCTTGAATATTTCATGATTGATTAATTGAAAATAATGCATGGCGCTGTGTGGAATCATCTTTGTTGATGACAAATATTCTCCTTTCTCCGTCGCACGAAAATTCCACTCCCCACTTCTGCATCAATTCTTCATTTCATATGATCAATCATATCAACATATCATCATATCGTCATATCAAGATGAACCCTCCATATCATCAAATTCCTGCTGTTGAAACAGACGCTCTTCTCGAACGTCACCGTCACGTTGAACACGAGTCCACCAAACCCCCTTACATCCACCATCTCACCTCTGAAATCGACCCGCGATGGGGGGATCTGCTGCTTCTCTTCTGCTACATCATCACTGGACTGCTGGATAGTTCTGCTGTATCTATCTGGGGCTCTTTCGTATCAATGCAGACTGGCAACACGGTCTATCTTGGCCTGGGCCTGGCAGGATTGGACTCCGGCCGATGGATTAAATCGCTCATCTCGATTGGCAGTTTCTGCATTGGATCGTTCTGCTTCGCGACATTCCATCGCTTCTTCCCTCCACGACAAAGATGGGTTCTGTCGTTTTCATTTCTCACCCAGATGACCTGCATCGCAGTCGCAGCGATCATCGTCACGATGCATCCATCAACCAAGGACGAGCTGAGCTGGAAAGTGGCCGTTCCGTTATCTCTCGTTGCCTTTCAGAGCAGCGGACAGGCAGTCACCAGCCGTGTGCTGGACTTTACCAGTCTGACCAGCGTGGTTCTTACGAGCATCTACTGTGATTTATTTTCGAATCTGCATCTGCCCGTTTCATCGACCTTGCGCAATTCCGACGAGTGGAGGAGACTGGGTGCGATTGCCTGCTTTCTCACCGGCACTTTGATCGGAGGAATATGGGCCAAGAGTGATGCTGGACTGGTTGGTGCTTTATGGACAGCAGTTGTTTTCAAAGGATTGATTGCTGCTGTTTGGCTGGGATGGAGAAAGCAGGAGTAGACACTGGATACAGCTACATGGATAGTGTAATAAATACTCATTACTGATAGATAAGCCAAATCAAACATCAATTCACTCAATCAGATCAACTAATTACTTTCTATTCGCCGTGGCAATGTGAAGAGCGCTTGCCAGGTCTGGATGGAACAATGGCCGGTTGATGCCATTCACCATCGTCATTCGGTCTCGATTGATAGAGGCATCGCTTTCATTCCTCTCGTGCTCTGACGTCTGTGGATACTTTTTGTAGCCACCTTCCACATCGTTGAATCTGGCTTCATCTGCGGTATCTGGTATGGTTGAGCCAGCTATCTCAGCTACACTGAAAATCGACTTCCACTGCTGTCCATCAGGACGAGGAGAAGGAAAGCCAAAGCCAGCGGCAACTAAAGCGCGCTTAGTCCAGCGATTGTTGACATGGGCGAAATGCCAGTCAACAGGCTCAGGATGGGCATGACGATCGAGCTGGTTGCGGACATCAATCAGATTCTGAATGCACGTCACGTCGACATTGTTGACTGACGAAAAGTCCAGAATGATGGCGCGGAGAGTTGGCAATTTAGACGAAACATCCTCGACTTCACCCTTTCTCTGGCGAGGACCAGGGTCATTCCATGGACGATCACCAAGACTGCCGTAGGAGAAGGCATTCGTGCGACGTGTGGACTGATAGATAGTTTCGACCAGATGGTCTGTATAGTGATTGGCATTGGGATAGTTGAATCCGTCAGACAGGCGATAGACAAAGATGCCAGGAGATGGCTGGTCCATCTTGATATTCGGATTGGAGCCATCGGTGTGTTTGACTGGGAGGAAGATACTTCTGTAAGACTGCTCATCCTGATTGAATTGGATATCCTGAAGTCGATACTTCTGCTCATCATTCATATAGTCACCGATGATGGTTTGGATCTTCACCTGACCAAGGAACTGTCCCTGTGCTTTGGCAATGCGGAAGAGAAGAATTGCAATCGACACGCAGATGGTGCAGTAGATTCCAATCTCGATGCTTGTAAAGACAGTAATGATGACTCCCGCGATGAAGATGATGGCATCAAGAGGCGACACTCGCCAGAAGTGATATGCCGTACTGGGAGGAGTGATGAGATCGCCAACAGCATGGATAATCACTGCCGACAGTGATGACTTTGGAATATAGAAGAACAGAGCTGGAAGAGCGTAGATGGCCAGAAGAACAACAACAGCTGTGATGACACCAGCCAATGGCGTACGCACACCCGCCTTGGCCTTGATGGCAGTGCGTGAGAACGAGCCAGTGCATGGATATCCTCCGAGGAATGGTCCAAGCAGGTTGGACACCCCGATGGCCACAAACTCTTGTGATGGATCGATGGTGTAGTTATTCACACGGCCAAAACATTTGGATATAGCGATATGCTCGATGACCAGGACGATGACAGCAGCAGGGAGTTCACTGGCAAATGAGCTGATGATTTCCGTGTTGACCTTTGGGACATGGGCATGTTTGAAGCCTCGAGGAACATTTCCAAGGAGTTTAAAGGCAGGATCATCACGGCGATGGAGGTTGACAGCAGCGCTGATCATGGTGTAGAACAGAATGACAAATACGGTGCGGAGAGTGGAAATGAAGAAGAATGTTTTGGCTTTGTGAGACATTCTCTTCGATCCAAAGGTGCATGCAGATCGAATGGAATACAGCATGGCCAGTGCTGTCAATCCCATCGCAGCGTCCATCTGCGAGGTGGGAAGATACTTCAACGTGTTGATGATAACCTTGTATGTCGCACCCCGAGTAGAGAAACCAGCAGTCTCTCCCAGCATACTCTTGACCTGACCCGCACAGACATTAATGGCAGAGCCAGTCATAAAGGCCGTGATGGCAGGCAGAGGTATAAAGTCGACGATGAAGCCAAACCGAATCAGACCGAGGAAGAAAGTGATGGCCCCGCAGATGATGGCGAGCGCCGAGGCAATCGTGGGAGCATCGAGTTCAGGGTGTTTGGCTTGTGTTTCGATGATGATCGTTCCAACTAGAGTTGACATGACAGCGACGGGCTGATGGGTTAGCAGAGTAGGTATGATGAAGCAGAAACTTACTCCGATGGTGATGTCTTTGGAAGTAGCAAAGAACCAGTAGATCAACACTCCCATGAAAGACGAATACAAGCCATATTCAGCTGGCAGCTGAGCCAAATTGGCATAGGCCATGCCTTGGGGAATGACCACCGCACCGACAGTGACACCAGCAATCAAGTCGCCAACAAACCACTGCCAATTGTAGCATAATATCCAGTGCAGAAAGGGAAAGAGATCGTAGAAATAACGACCAACCTGACTGGAGGTTGGCGTATGCTCTCTGAACCAGTCTGCCAGAGTTGGTTCTGGCTCAATATACGCATAGGAGGGCATATTGTCGTATGGAACAGAGTCTGCCAGCTTGACTCCGAGCACTTTGGCCACGCCATGGCCGACCTTGGACATTTTGTCTGGCATGAGGAAAGAGCTCTATCTAGACGATAGACAATAAAGAGGCTTGAAAGCAGGATAGAACGGAGAGAAATCTCTACTATAAAGGATAGATATTGGGAGACATGAGAATCCCTCCTAGTCATCGTTTGGCTGGCGATGTCGTGATTTTAGCCTTGCAATGCAAATGCACTAAGCTGCCAGACTGTCTATCAATGTATCATTATTATCATCATTACCATTATGTTCTGTCATTAATGACTACTGGATATGAAGCAGATATGAGTAGACTGACTGTCTGAATATGTAGTATATGTCTATTGATAACCAGGATTTAATAATTGAATAATATGAAGTTGAATCAAATACAATCATAGGGAATGTCCCTGTAGGGCTGTAGGGCTGACCCACAGCGGCATAGGGCTGAAATGACCCACCCAGACATCCGAGTTTTCTCAGGATTCAGGAGTATTCTTACATCTATAGACTAAGATGATAGTCGGATAATAGTTATAAACAAGCTGCTATCATAGTTATTGACTATCTGTATTACATTATTGAGTGCCAATTAAAGAACTATTGATGCTTCATTCACTCTCTTCCTAGTTCCTCTAACACTCATGGGACTGCGGGGCTAGGCAGCAGCGTTTTGGAATAGCTTATGCATAATAGGAGTCATGCTGGATAGCGTAACCCCATCACACAGTAACATCACGGAGCATTAAACTGGTAATTCAGATAGCAACCTCTGGCTTGATCGTGATGAATCGGACTTCCCCATCCTCATAGCCCATGACCAACACATTGTCCTTTGCAGCAACACCACTCGGGACGTTGCCTTCTGGCAGCTTCAACATCCGCGTACCCTTCCACGACACCCAGCCATCATCCAACTTGAGATCCGACAGTGTATTCAGAGCAGGTGGAGCCTGGTACTGCAAGACACCCTGTCTCGACAATACTGTCCGTTTTTCGTGATCGACTCGGGACCAAACCCTGCCACCGGAAAATTGGATCGTCTTGGATTCCTTCCAGTCTTGTCGATTCAAAAGCCTCATCCGATGATGGCGACAGAGAGCATAGCTGGTGGTGCCATCGAACAAGACACCGGCCGTGATCACCGCTTCGAAATTTTCATTGTAGCCCACGTTGGGATTTCCATGGATATCGTCCTTGACAGTTTCGCTTTCAGACTGCTCAATCTGGTCGCCAGTCGCCACATTCCATACAACGACAGTACTGTCAATCGAGCCAGATACCAGCCGGGATCCATCATCTGAAAAGGCCAATGCCCACAGGCCCCTGGAATGGCCGTCGAATGTTCGGATGAGGTTTCCCGTTGCTGTATCCCACAGGCGAACGGTCGAATCTTCTGATCCCGTGGCGAGTGACTTTCCATCAGGCGAGAACTCGACGATCCAGACGGCCTTCATGTCGTCAGCGCGGAGGACATGTCGAGTACGTTTGGTGACTGGATCCCACAGTCGGACAGTCTTGTCCTTTGAGGCAGATGCAACCAGTTCACAGTTTGCAGAAGATGCAAGATGGAAGACGTGGTCTGAATGAGATTCGTATGTTCTCTCCGAGTTGGGAACTGTCACATCCCACAGATGAACATTACCCTTCGACCCATCACTCACGAGGAGCTTGTTGTCCGGCGAGAATGCGCTGGCATCCGATTCCCCGCCGTGTCGGAGGGTACTGAGTATGTCCCCGGTCTGGGCATCCTTCAGGAAAAACGCATTCACGGGCCCTTCTACAGGACCAATAAATTGGACATAATAAGAAAGATGCTGGAGAGCGAGCCTTCCATCTGGCGACGTGACTGGATGCCTTCTCTTGAACATTTCCTCCTCCTCCCTGCTGGGCCCTATAGCCAGCGGCATGCCATTCTCGAGATCCCAAACACAGTATTCATACGTTATTGCGCCTTTGCAGGCGACTCGACGGGTATCTAAAAACAGAACCTCGCCCATGAGAAAGTCAGGACCTTCGAGGGTTCTGTACAGGGTACCGGTGTTTGCATTCCAGACCTTGACCGTTTGATCGTAGGAAGCAGATGCAATCCATTTTCCGTCTGGGGAGAATGCAGTCGAGGAGATGTGTCGGCGATGGGCTTGAATGGACAGAAGAGCTGGATCCCAGTCGGCATTGATGGAGTCTGTGGGAGAGAGCCAAGATGGAAGGTTGTGAGACTTGCGGAGGATGCTATTCTGTGGGCTGAAGATCAGCGCCGAGTACGTTTGCAGCGGTGCAGTCCGGATGGTGGAGTGGTTTCTGAGGATGAAGCGCCAGGAGTCATAAAGAAGGGTGCACAGTGTTGGATGAGAGTTATTCGTCTGGATACGTTAGAATTGAAGATGATAATGTCGACCAACTTACCGACACAGTCGAGTGCAGCTGTTTGAGAGAGACGATGCACTTGGAGGTCGATCCCAGAAGACTCATCGCTTCAAACCAATGCAGCACATGCTTCGTGAGGAAGTCTTCCGTCTTGTCAAGAGAGGCATCATTCATCTCTGCCAGTAGATGGTCGATCCAGCGACGACAAGCATATTGCAGATCATGTGGAATTGCCTTTTCTATGCTTTCATGTTTGACATCCTCAGCCAGTGCATCTGGTCTACCAAGATCACAGATGTCCTGTTTCAGAGACGACATGACAGACAGACAGTGATCGAAGGTAACCTGACTGTCCAACGGTTCGTCTTGTTCTTCTTTGATCAGATTCTGACTCCGCAGAGTCATCCGTTCCATGATTGCACTGGACATGTTAGCATACTCGTTTAACACGCAGTCTTCACGCACTTCTTGTAATCTTGGAGAACAGCTTCACTCAGTCCATCCACCTTGGCAACGAGAACCTTGGAATCCTCCTTCTCAATCGGCCAGGTAAACGATCGAGGTCCGTATTTCGTTATGCTCAGCTCCCCTTTGGCATTTTCTAATGTGTCCTGCAGAGGAACCAGCAGGGCCTTGATATCATGGGTCGTCTTGTCTGAGATCTGGGATCCGTGGATTTCAACCAACAGATCGTCCTTTTCCAAGACTTCTCTTAGCCGATAGACCTGGCTTGCGACTCGGTAAATGTCTCGCTTGGTGTTGTCGTCATTGCTTGTGTATTGGTTACACAGAGCGTCGACGGATGCGGTGAGGTTGATGAGTTCCATGATGAATATGAAGAGGTATAAAAGAGAGAATGAAAATAAGAGAGAATAGATGAAGACAAGTGGGTATTTATGCAGAAATCGAGCTGAAGGAAAGGTGACTAGATGGCGATCAACATCGGGCATGATCGATCCACTGGGCTGTATCTTCATCTTCGGCCATTTACAGTTGACATGGCAGAGAGTGATGTCATGTCGGACCCCAATCGAGTAAAGATAAACACACTATTGACTCGTCGGAAATGTCAGTGTCAACTGCTGCCTGCCGAGCCACAGAATGGGCCTATCATAAGGCAGCAACAGACGAAGCGTTCATGGTGGCTGTGGCTGTGTCGTTCGTCAGAGATGAACGATCCACGATGGTGTGGCAGCAGCCAATGGAAATGGCAGATCAAGACGATCATCATGCTTCATTTTACTTACAGGCCTATTATATGCCTTCTGCAGCCACAATCGAGTTCAGCTGAACAAGACGTCAATCAGAAATTTAATCGGACTTGATCAGACATATAAACCCCTCGAAGCATCCTTCATTCCCATCAACATCCACACCAACCATCCATTCCATCATTCTCACAATGTCTTTCCACAAAAACTGTCAAAACATCCGCCTGGAGGTCGTGGAAAACCAGCTCACTCGACTTCACTGCCTTGCCGAAACCCACAATGGGGGATGGTTGACCGCATGGATTCTCCTGGATTCGAGAATTGGAAACGATAACGGTGAGCATCCATCTTCAAGCTCTGCCACATCTATACTGACCATCTAGGCGTCTTTTCCACCAAACGAGGCTGCAAAGACTTCTCCAAGCGATGCATTTTCCCTCAGCTCCAGACGCACAATGGCGCCCCCTGGCTGGTTGCCATTTTGCCTCGCGACGACAATAACATGCTCAATGCCACAGGCGATGGGCCGAACTGGCAGGCAATTGACCTGTCTCGGCTGATCAAGAATCACAATGGTGAACTGGAATGGTGGGATGGAAGTCGCCTTCCGTTATAATCCTCCGACGAAAGACATACCCAGCGACGATGAGATGATCAGCTAGATAATTCAACTATCAATTATATCAATATATCACGGGTATCAATATCGATATTAAATACATTGAATAACACTTATGATTGCATAATAATTCTTCCAAGACCCTCAGCCAATCTGATGCATGCATATCCATGGGGCCAAAAACAAGACTTCACACATTCTTATTCAGGAGTTTTCTTCTTCCTGTAAATCATTCAATTTGTCTTCTCAATTAGCAATGCAAATGTCTTCCCTGCGAGTAAAAAAAAGTCCGCCCGTCAACGTGAGTGCAAATGACGGATTCTCCGTGGTCCCGTCGACGGATGAAGACGTCCAGAGGCACACCGTCAAGTCATTTGCCAGCAAAGTCAATGACTACTGGGTCTGGCAGATTGTCTCCTGTCTGATCAGTGTCATGGCCTTGTTTGCCCTGATTGGCGTGTTGTTTGTATACGACCACAAGGCCATCCCCAACTGGCCGTATGGCATCACCATCAACTCCGTTCTCTCGTGGATCTCGCAGATCCTGACAGCCTGCATGGTCGGTGCTGTGGCCACCTGTTTGAGCCAGTCCAAGTGGATTCATTTCAGCTCGGGCGAGCGACCGTTGGGCGAGATGAATTCGTATGACTGGGCCAGTCGGGGGGCTTTGGGCTGTACTGCTTTTTTATGGAGATCGAAAATGAGGTGCGTTTCTCTCCTTTATAATGATATTGTCTAATATCAGCAGGAGATCTGCCACGATCGGTGCCCTCATCACCATCATGGCCATTGGCGTTGGTCCCTTTGTGCAGCAGACGGTCGCTGTCGTCAACAACCGCGTGGATTCTGATATTGCTGCCTCTGCGGTCCGGACAGAATCATACGGCAAGGATGGAGTCACGGCAGACGAACTGCCCTCCAGAGACATGATGGCCTCCATCTACGGCAGTCTCTTTCTCAACTCGCAGAGCAACTCGAATGCATCCGCAACGACCGTCTCTCCCGACTGTCCGACGGGCAACTGCGACATTCCCCCGTTTCGCTCTCTGGCCATCTGCTCAAAATGCAGCGATGTCTCGCATATGCTGTCTCTGGTCCAAGGCAGCGTGGCCTGTGGCTCTGGCACGGAATATAGTTATCAACTGCCAAATGGACTGCAGCTGAATTATACATCCGAAGTCCTCAAACTGGACCTGCCAAAAAACGACTTCATATCGACCGAAACCAACTACTATTCCAGCATGCAAACGTTCGGCCAGCCTGTTCTTCCTGGTACTGATAACTTTGGCGATAGCTCTCTCTTGAACTTCTGCCATCACAGCTCCTCCCGTGGATCCCCCGACGAATGCTTCTGCCACCCAGTGTTCGCTCTTCTGGTGCGTCAACACATACTCATCCAGCATGAAAGACAACAAGGTCAACGAGACATTGATAGACTCATATCACAACACGACCATCATGTCCAACAGTCAAGACTATCTGCTCAGTCCCCCGGCGAAGGGCAACCTGACTGCAACAAACTACGTCGTCCACCGGGACACCTCCCTCACGCTCTCCGACTGGCTCATGAACCGATTGCAATTCAACAACACCTTCTCCTACACCTGCATGGATGGCGCATACATCTCCAGAGGCACCTCCTCATTCCGGAATGAATTCCTCCAACCCCTCCTCGACTCGCCGATCCCAGACCTCTTCGCCCAGATTGCAGCGGGAATGTCAACCCACGTCCGAAAGGCAAACCAAACCGCATATCTCCCGTCCACTGGCTTCTATGAGTCTTCAAACGGTGCACCCCCAGCGCAAGGGACATCCTGGACAGTCGAGACGCAGATCCACGTTCGATGGGGATGGATTACACTTCCTGTATTACTGATTCTCTTCACCATGATCTTTCTTGTCATGACTGCAGTCCAGAGTAAGATTCACAAGGTGGATATATGGAAGTCATCGACTGCACCTCTCCTCTGTTCAGGACTCGACCATAATCTGCAGGAGAGGATGTGGGCAGTAGGCGATCCAATGCAGGTTGAGAATCTCACGAATCGCGTCCGAGTACGCCTCATCAGAGACGATCGAACTGATACGTGGCGGTTGGATTCATACGATGTACATTAACATCTATATAATTATTCACCTCTATCTTCTTCAGTTCTGGGCTGCTTTCCCTTTCGTCTATCCTCCCATCTAAAAGCAAAATAGATACTGACAAAGAGAACCGTAGCCAACGCAGAAAGACCAAGATACAGCTTTGCCCCAATACGCCAATGCGGTGCTTCCGAGGCAGGAAAGGCAGCGATAGGAAGAAAGGCGCTGAATAGATAGGAGAATAGAGTGCCAGTAGCGAAGAGGACTGTCCGGACTTGGGGTTCCTTTTCGAGATGGGCAGCGGCCCACGAGCAGAGGAGCATTGTTGATACACTAGAGAGTCAGATATGGTAGAGATAGGTCGGGGATACGTACGCTCCAATATAGTTCATATACCATCCGGCCATGTAGGCGTGTTGGTTGGTTGGACGGATGATCAGGATGATGAGGGATGTGATATTGATGGTCTACTATATTAGCATAGTCTTCACAGATAGGGTAACATACCGAATGCAAGAGCAAGAAGGGCAATCGAACGCCGAAGTAGTCACTGAAACCACTGAAGAGAATCTCTGCCACTAGTTGGATGGCTTGTCCGACGATAGGGAGATAGTTGAGCATCGCAACAGAGCTGCCAATTAGCTAGTTTCTATACAGTTGCGGGGGCCTTACTATTTGGCCGTTCCATCTGCGTTTTTCAACGACTTGAGCCAGAGGTTGAAATAGTTCGACGGTGTTTGATTCGTGCCGATAGACCATGCGACTGTATTGTCAGTATTATAGATAGATGATGATATAATTACTTACTCGAAAACATCCATAAATGCCAGAATTTGAGACATCGCAGAAAGCTTTTGACAGTAATGCCGACTTGAGGGCTACGGCCAACTCTTTGAGTACGGGCGATTGCAGTTTCTATATTATTAGTATGAAGTATAAATAAAGGATTCGGACATACTGATATGGTGAGGTTTGAGATAGAATTTGGACAGTGGGTTTTGTCGTTCGGGCTGGTTTGTTAGCATCGTCTATACATCGATATAGAGGCATTCATACAAAACCAGGTAAGAGCACAAAGGCAAGCAGAGCGACAAAGATTGTACAGACGCCCTATATAGTCAGCACTATTCATCAATAGGTAGATAGAAAGTACATTAATGATAAAAGCCCATCGCCACCCCGTGCGACCGAGAGCGCCTTCGAGGTTGGTGGACAAAGCACCCTGCATGGCGCCCGACAGCATGGCACCGACGGGCTGGGCGATGTTATACAGACTCATCCGGAGAGCCATCTCATGGGGGAGATACCATTGACTAGACGATTAGATGGATCATGATGATGATGATGAGATGCATACCTGATGATGGTAAAATAACCAGGCCAGGTTGCCCCCTCGAAGAATCCAATCAGAAAGCGAAGGCCATATACCTGCTCAGCTTTGGTGACGGTGGATAGACAACATGTCAGAATGCCCCAGATGACCTGTTTATTAGCGATGTTCATTCAGTTCAATCGGTGACTCACTTCGCATGCAGGAAGCCAGATGGATGGGCCGATATGGGAGACGATGATGCATGACGGATACAGCATCACCATATATCCAATACTATTTTATTAGCAGGAACATACAGTAAGAGGTGTACCTACTTGAAGAAAGTGGTAAAGTAGTTGAGTTCATTCCCGTATAGTTGGAGATCATCTTCCATGCCGGATACATATGCATTGCTCTGGATAATTAGCATTATATAATGAATGGATCAATAACATACAATGTTGGTCTGGTCCAGATACTTGAACGCATATCCCAGGAATCCAATCGTCAAGAAGAAAACATCGAGTCGCCATACCTGTTCTGTCAGATGCGTTGACATGTTGGGTAAAGACATACCAGTGATTTCTCCTCTTTTGGATCAATTTCCTCAACAGGCGACACTGAACTGTGAGCAATTTTGGATACCTGCGCCATCTTGTTGGTGATGAAAAGACATTTGAAAAAATTCGAGGTTAAATAATGGCAGATAGTGCGACGATGGCATCAGCAGGGATGATAAAGACGTGCTGTACAACCCCGCTCACGTTGATATCAAGGTGGCTGTACTAGAAGAAGAATTGAATTGATGAGGAGAGTGGAATAAACAGAAATTCAGTCGTATTAAATTGATGATATTTAATGATTGAATGATGATTCAAGTCTACCTATGGTTGCGATGTACAATGTTGCTCAAAGATATATAGTGGCATTATGTGTAGCCACAAAATAAGATTACGCCACATGAATGAACCAAATAGTTTAAATATGTAACCAAGATATTCTAACTATAGATAACTTAGCCTTCACATTTCCAAAAGAAATATCCTTGAACCTAGTAGTTTTCCTTGTGAGGAATAAAAAGCAATATTAGTCACATGGTGATCATACCTGGTAGTCTATGCATGTCTTGAAGCCACCATGGGCTGTTCAATCATAACACTCGATTATCAATGTCTTTTATGCTATTTGCTGATAGTGATGAATGCTGTGAGACAATATGCAGGTGACCAGGGATGGAGTGTGACCATCTCGAGATAAAGTCTCAGCTGAATGAATACCAACTTGATGTTGAATTTGTCGAGGATAGAGTTGCTCCTGTACGCCATAAGGCTGCAGCATATACTTGCATGTACAGTGGAATATTCCATCTGACAGGTGTTAAGCAAAACCTGATCAATAAAACGCATTATCAATAAAAAACGGCCATCATCTGACGACAAAAACAACATCCCACCAACAACTGAGATTATGATCGACCAACCCTGTAAGCGACATCCGACCCCCACTGCCCCTGGGCTCGAAGCTTAGCCTCCGATAAAGCCACACTAGCTGCCTAATCGGGCAACGATGGGCATTCCACCTGGTGATCGACACGCTGTTTCGTAACTCTGTGTGTGCCGATGTTGCCGCGAAACCGGCGGTCTATTATGATAACCCCACGGATTGCTGATGGACTGATTCGGATCAAATTCTGTTATCAATCAGCCATCCTTCAGGGATGATAAATACCGTCATCTCCCCGACGATATTCAACCATCATCATCACCATCATCATGCTCCGGCTGTTCATCGGCATTGCCGTCCTCTTCCAGCTCTGCCTGGCCAAAACCGTCACATACGACTTCAACCTCACCTGGGTCAACGCCAATCCGGATGGCCTCCACGAGCGCAAAGTCGTCGGCATCAACAACCAATGGCCGCTGCCCATCATCGAGGTCGACAAGGGCGATCGCCTGATTGTCAACCTGCACAATGGTCTGCCGGACAAGAACTCGTCGATCCACTTTCATGGTCTCTACCAGAATGGCACCAACAACATGGACGGCCCGTCGATGGTGACGCAGTGCCCCATCACTCCGGGCTCGTCGTATACGTACAACTTCACCGTCAACCAGAATGGCACATACTGGTACCACTGCCACACTGACTGGTGCTATCCCGATGGCCAACGCCAGGCATTGATCGTGCATGACAAGACGTCGCCTTTCAAGAACATGTACGACGATGAGGTGGTAATGACTATGAGCGACTGGTACCACAACATGACCGAGGATATCAGACACACCTTCCTGGCGCCATCCAACCCCGATGGAGATGAGCCTATTCCCGACTCCTTCCTGGTCAACGACACTCAGAACACGAGCGTCGCTGTCCAGCCCAACAAGACCTATCTGCTGCGTCTGGTCAACATTGCTGCCTTTATGGGGCAGTATTTCTACATCGAAGACCACACCTTCCGGGTCGTCGAGATCGACGGTGTTTATACCGAGCCAAAAGAGGCATCGCTGCTGTACATCCCGCCTGCCCAGCGATACTCCGTCTTGCTCACGACAAAGAACACCACCACCAAGAACTTTCCGATTGTGACTGTTGCTGATTCCGATTCGCTCGACTCCATCCCGGCCAACCTGCAGCTCAACCATACGAACTGGCTGGAGTACAACGCCAGTGCGGCCCATCCGCAGGCTATCATGAGAGTTGATGACTCGACTGAGCTGTATCCATTCGACGATATGACTCTCATTCCCTATGACCGCATGCCCCTTCTCCCCGAAGCCGACCAGGTGCTCACCGTCAATGTCCTCATGGAAGAAGCCATCAATGGCGACGGGTACGCCTACTTTGACAACATCTCCTACACCAAACCCAAGGTGCCGACGCTGTATACCGTTTTGTCTTCAGGCGAGTTGGCTACCAACGCTGATATCTACGGCAAATACACGCATCCCTTTGTGCTGGAACACAATCAAGTCATCGACATTGTGGTCAACAACAACGACACCGGTTCTCATCCGTTCCATCTTCACGGTCACAATTTCCAAATGATCAACCGGTTCCCAGCGTATGGGAAACACTTTCTCGACTATGAAGACACCGACTATCGTATGATCTACAACCCATCCAACCACACTCCCTTCCCTGCTATTCCAGCACGGAGAGACACCTTTGTCCTCCCCGCGCAGGGATACATGGTTCTTCGCTTCCGGGCGGACAACCCCGGCGTGTGGTTCTTCCACTGCCACGTTGACTGGCACTTGATGCAGGGACTGGCGATGACGATGATCGAAGCGCCGTTGCAGATTCAGGAACGTGTTTCTCTGACTGACCAGCAGTATGAGGTGTGCAAGGCAGCAGGCATCAAGACGGAGGGGAATGCAGCGGGGAATGCAGAGAATTATATGGATCTGACGGGGCAGAATCAGCCTGTTCCTTTGCTACCTTGATTGGACGAGTGATAGATAAGTGATAGATGTGGTGTATATAAGCTGTTTACAAAATAATAAAGTGAATAGATGATAGTTATATTGCAATTAACATATAAACATTGTTATTCCTCCCAATTTACAGTCCTTCCATTATTGTATCATCGTTTAGTTTCCACACTCGTCTGCGCATTCCGAGAAGGACTATCATTATTAGCATGAGTAGCTCAATGTTATCTAAAACATACCTTTCCGGTGGCACCGCAGAGACCAATGCAGTTATCGATTTGCTAAACAGTCTTAGTAAATATTTTGCAGTTATGAGGATGGTTCTTACCACGCTTCTGGTCAGCTCAGCAGGAGCAGCAATGGGAGTGGCGGCGGCAATGCCGAGGAAGGCAGCGAGGGCGATGATAGACAGACGCATTTTGATGGATCAAGAGGATGTTTTGAGAGGGAAGATGGAGAAAAAGACTGTTTGATTGAGATAATGAGCTGGATGATGATGATGATTGAATTTAGACGGGCATCCATGTCCTATTTATGTCTTTCACATACCATGTTCATCCGACTTCATCACAACGCTGTACAGCTCCAATACTACCCAAGCACTGGTCCGCTCCATCCGAGTAGAAGAGGAAGGTATACCGGCTGCCAACAGATGCCATGCATTGCCAACAGCAGAAAAGCACTACAAGCAGTGGGAGGCTGGCCGATGCTGCCATCATGTCCCTGCCCAGAGATGCCAAGTAGCAGGGCATCGGTTGATATACCAGGTATACCAACCAATCAGACAGGACATTCGGCCGGTTCGGGTATCTGACAGACGCCGATTGGAACGGGTGATCTGCTCAGCCTCGTCGTTGGGCCTGGGCGTTATTGGTGTTGTGGAGATGCTGTATACAGATCAGGAAATCTCACCTCAGATTGAATCGGTGTGGGGTTGTGCCTGGTGCCTGGCCTATCATCTATGGTTGGATGAATCATATTAGCAATATGTCTGGATAGTTAATTAAATGTTATGACAAAGGATCATAACCCTGAGAACTACGTTGGCAGATGCCTGTGGGCTTACTCGATAATTGGTCCTGTTTACAATGGAGGGATTCACTCAGCCCCTCACTTTCCTTTTTCGTGCCCCGAGAGTCCCCCACAGTATGGCAATATACTGACAGGAATGAAGGTAAGCACTAGTTCCTGTTTGTGTCGTGTTGTTGAAGCCTAGCCATCCATGCCATTCTGTAGATAATCCACGGATCCGACCGCAGCCAGACGCAACAATGCGATATCCAATGCGATATTCAATGCGATATCCGGTGTCCGACATCCGACCTGGCTGCTGTATGTATGCTACGGGCATACTTGGTACTTGGTTATTGCTTTCTGCTTGTTACTGGTTATAAGGCTCTCATTATAGAGAATAGATGCATATGCGGTATTTATTCATATGTTGGCTCCATCAACAGTCAAGATGACTACCCCGCTTTTGATTTATCGGCCCTCCATCTCCCAGAACATGACTTTCTTCGAAATATTTAAATGAGACAAGATATCCTGCCTTTCAAACTTGTATTCCCCAGAGTTGCAATATATGAGTGAGTACTTGAATGTCTATCAGCCCCTCCTATGAGTACACCATCACGAGAAAGGCAATGAAATCCAGATGTCGTGATCAATGGAATATTTTACTCTTTTAGCACATCATTTCCATGGCAAATATAAATAAACAGAATCCCACAGAGTAAACAGGCACTTAAACAATCTTAAAATGGCCAAATCCAAAGCAGTCATCATCAACCCTGATTATACCATCAAAAATGCCGCAGAATACTTTTCAGACTCTGCCTATGGAGACGTGACATGGCATACGCTCCTCTCCAGCCCACAAACACCATCGACCAATCTCAGCGCCGGTATCGCTGTCTGTCGAACTGGAACAGGCCATCTCTGTCGCCATCGCCATACCCAGTCGGAGATTTACCACATCCTCGAGGGAAGCGGAGATGTCACCATTGATGGTAGCATCCACTCTGTGACCAAAGGAGCGACGGTATTCATTCCGGGCGATGCTGAGCATGGGATCGTCAATACTGGAGATGTCCCGCTGAGGTGGCTCTATGTCTTTCCAACTGGTTCCTTTCAGGATGTGGTATATCGTTTTTCGGATGTCAAAGCAAAGCTTTAGGTATTGAATCCATCTGAGATGTGGATTTAGCTTACTGGTCAACCAGGAATGATGATGGATTTCTCTGCCATTTGGCCATTATTTAGGTATCAATTCAATCCACGAACTATTATCGATTTCACTTTCTCTATATTAATTTCGGTCACCGCTTCAAAGGGCGTCCAACTGATCGTGATGGTATGGCAGACATGGCATTCAAAAGAAAGTCCATCAGAGCTAATATACAACTGTAATAAATAATGGCGCTGTCCGTCATGCCCATGTCGCTGTATGTTACTGTTTAATGGCGCGCACCGTCTATTTGCGTTTCTGGATGCTATGTGTGATAATCAAATGCTGTCAAATGCATCCGGCCTGTTATTGGGACAGTCTGCCATTGCTATCACATCCATTGAAGATGTATCCGTGCCTTGCTTTTAGTCATGCAAGGCCCAAAGGGGTTCTGCAATGTTATCGCAAGGGATGCTCTAAAGCCAGAGAGATTATAGAATGAACCAGGGAGAACCTTGCTCTGTGGATTATCCCCAGCTGTGACTGTCTATGATACCATTGGCTCATTCCCCTTTGGGATCTTAAGGAGCAACATAACTATGAAGAATATCCACCGCTTCCTGATGTTACATGAGAGATTGGACAAACTCTATCCATGATATGTTCTTTGGTTCAGCTAGCCCTGGTTTTGATGTTATAAATATCAGATAATGCAAATGCGGAATTGTTTCATATGAAATAGAATAAACATCATTTTATGTCCAATAAGGTAAGTATGACGAGTATCTTTCCTAAGCATCTTTTAATACAGCCTTGACAGTGCCTTCATGTCCTTCATCAGCGTGCTAAATATGATGCGTCGGCAAACTCATGGGAGACCAGGAACCGCATGGTATAGTCTATTCTGTCAATGATGATAACCGCAGTAAGGAATTGGATACATACCGACAAACTGCAGATCGGCATTCTTGGGGCAACCAGTTCCTTTGAGGTGACAGAAGAAGAAGCAATGGCCAGGACAGTAAAGATGCCCATATCACTGACGATCTTCACAGTCATGGTGATCGATGCCTAGAAGCATAGATTGGTAGAGTCTGACTGAGCCTTGGATGATAGATCCCACGGGGGTAAAAGTCCTGAATAGCGGCTCCGTTGGGTGTTCCAAGGACCGCTTGAGACGAGAGACTTGGTCGATGGCATTCATACGGTCTTTCACGTTTCCTGTATCTCCGTAGACAGCCACGGCAGACATTGTATTGCGTGAGAGAGGGACATCGGTGTGTGTGCTTCCCATGATGGTTCTTGTTGTATTAGTGAGATCCGTGGATCTGGTTTAAGGTGAGTGTTATAGTGGCTATATTTATACTTACTTATTAGAAATCTTCCCTAATTTAGTGGGCATCGCTTGCGCTACTTTGTATGTTAAAAATTTATTATAAATCCATGACTTCCAAGGCTAGCTGTCAATATATAGTATCTAAACATCTATGTAACGTCACTCTTTCCAGATTAGGAAGAGTCCTGCATGCCTTGTGTTGGTGTATAACCAAATCTGACAAACTTTTGTAGCTCTGCCCTGTTTACTGAAACTATTACTGGATACTTTAGCAGCCGTGTTGAACTAGTGATACATTCTTAAGAGTTGAGTGTGATAAATCAAGCCTAAAGTTCAACTGTGATTATCTATAGGAATCTGTGAACCATTTCCTGCCGTGAAATTGCAAGACTGTCTCTTTTAAATTTTAACAGTACGTGTTAGACCAGTTTTCTAAAAAACACTGTTTTTTGAAACATAAAGCTATGAGGAATGGTGTCTGCCTGAAGTATGTTCCATCACAGCATAATGACACGCTCTATTGTCTTGAATTGTACCTAGTAAATATATCATGATGTTACCTTCATCATATACTCTCATACCTCACTATGTGCTCATGTCCCGATTAGGAAGGTAGGACACAGGCAACACCAGGCACCACCCGGTCAGGTGACATTCTCAATATACCTTTTCTGGCTCTTCTCTGTCTCATATAAACCCTCTCCCCTCAGCTTCCAATTGTTGACCATCATTCTCATTTATCCTTCCAAGTCACATCTCCAAATCAAGCATATTGCATCAAGCGCCATGGAAGAAGACAGCCCGATGCCAGACACTTCCCTGGACGACTTGGCAGTTGCAGACCCCAGCTACGAGGAGTACGACGGCACGTACAGAAGCAGGGAGGTGCCAATCGAGGACTACAAGCATACCATGGAGGCTTTGGAAGATGAAGTCAACCGGTTTATGATTGAGGTACTCTCCTGTGATCCAAGACCAAGAGACAATACCTGACAGATGCAGAAATGTAAAGTCGATGCCTGTGTGGATTGGTTTTTCGAATGCCTACCCAAGGATTTACCGTCCCGAGTCGATCAATTCTGGCGCTACAGCTCCCATCCCGACTTCAATTTGTTTACCGGGGAAGATGCTGAAAAGTTGAATAGTGCCTTGGCGGAGCTGCGAACCAACCTGCATCGTCTGGTGCCGGGGTATCTGGATGATGGAATGGATATCCTCGAGAATCAGAAGTTGAAGAAGAGAATTACTGAGGGATGGAGGGCGTGGGCCAACCAGACCTTGTACAACCGCATGTCTAGAAGAAAGAAAGTGGTCCCGGAAGAGAGGATCTCTCGGTCTCTGTTGGACATACTGATGGAGAAGCAATACCGTCAGCGAACTGGGACGGCAGAACACACCGACACAGCGAGGCAGGCTGCATTCAATGACACTTGTCGTCGTCTTAGAGAGTCCATCGAGGGTGAAAAGGCATCAGCGTTGTTCTCCTGTGGCGGGACAATCGGCATTGGCGAAGCTGAAGCTGGGCAGAAGGTGGTCTCTCAAACCTCGTCGCCAGTGAGCATCTTCTGGGCGACTGAGAAGAACTCGACAGCACGAAAGGTCGTTCTGCCCCTGGATAGTACCACGCAAGAGTCCAGTGCAGATGTGCTGCAACAGCTCGTGGCAGCTTGCGATCCTGCGAGTTTTGGTCGAGGAGATGAGAACGTGGTTGACCCCAAGTATCGGAAAGCAGGCAAGATTGATCCAACTCAGTTCGCGACGAGCTTCCATCCGGCCGACTTTGGAATTATCGAGAACATTGAACAGATTCTTCTTCCGAGCATCAGCACTGAGACGGAGAATAAGTTGCAGTTCAGGAAGCTCAGCGCTGAGCTATACAAGTTGAATGTACGTGAATACCTTGCTATACTGAGTGATGCTGATCATCGAAGGTCTACTCTGGCCCATCTGGGCTATTCCGCAAGCATGTCGACACTCCACGATCTGAAAACCAGATTGGATCATTGGTCGTTTGTCTGCCATGCTCCTTCCAAGGAGGCAATCTGATCATTCAGCACAACGGCCGGAAGGTCGACTTTGACTGGAGTTCCCAGAGCAAGTTGGTAATTCAATGGGCTGCCTTTTACAGTGACTGCGAGCATGAGATCCAGACCATTACCGAAGGCCATCGCATCACTCTCACGTACAACCTGTACGTGACGACACCAGTGGGCGGTGCCATCCCATCGGACACGTCGATTGTGGTACCCAGATCACTGCCTCTGTATAGCCTCATGAAGCAGCAGCTGACGGATCCCAACTTTATGAAAGAAGGTTCGTATCTCTCTTCTACGCCGTCCAACTGCTAACCTGATAGGCGGTGTTCTCGGATTCTACTGCTCTCATGCCTATCCCCATACATCCGAGGTTGCAGAGCTACAGCTTCCACGAGGCCTCAAAGGCGCTGATCTGGTGCTGTACTCGGTGCTCAAGTCCCTTGGTATCGAGGTCAATGTTCTCCCCGTCCTCGAGAATGATGGAAAATACGGCTCTGCGAACCCCCAGTTGGGGCTAAGCGGGACTGTGAGCCATAAGAACGGTCGTTTCTACATGGGTACATATGGTGATTATGAGGCCTATGGTCTCAAGGACTATCTTGCCAAGGGGGAGAAGCTCAAGATCAACTACTCGGAGATAATGCCCCAAGGATCGGTCGACATGTCCGACATTGACCGGCGATGGAAGATGCTGTTGATGGTGCGCCGCGTCCGAGGCATGACGGAGACGTTTGAATTTGCAGAGGAGAAAGATCTGCCCCGGAAGAGTGGCAGCTTCTATCGAACTGAAGGATCCCGAGTGGCCCCGAAGCTGCGAGAGTTCGAAACGACCGATCGTGGACAAGAAGAAGAACTTGACGAGGTAAGTAGAATGACTGCTACTCGTAGTCGGCTAACGAGGAATAGACTGCACGGGATGCATGGCCCAACTACTATCTGCCAGGCATCACCTGGATCAACGAGCCCAAGCACGAAGAGATGGCGTTTAACCAGATTGCGTATGGCAATGAGGCATCGGTAGGCACACGATACTCGGTGGCTGCTATTCTGGCTGTTGTTCCGCCCTCGGATCAGAGGGCAGTCTCATAACAGGATGCAATTAGAATTCGTTATTGGACACTGAGGTCTGTTGGCTATATCGTTGTGGTCGTCAAGAATGGATTTGCGTTTGTTGTTGTCAAACACGTGACCAGAGATATAAACATCGCCGTAACCACGTAATCTTGGACTCATTCGTAGAAAATCATTACGAGCCCTTGGATGCTCATTTCGTATTCGACAGCAGCAGTAGTTCTTCTGGCACAGCTGATGCAGTAAGTTGGTGAAGCCTTCGTACTGCTGCATGAGGTTGTCGCCGCAGCAACGTCCTTATCTTATCCTCCATCTTCCCCAACCCATCACCGCATCATCAATAACTTCACCAAAACCATGAAATGTGGCCGTTTTCACCATGTTTAATATAAAGAATGGACCAAGATCAAAAAGCAGCAATCCAGCGATGGGTCGACCACGTCACCGTCAGCCAAGACGAATCCCTGTCCGCCCATGATCACCATATCCCAACGCCGTCCTCGACCTCCCTTCCCCTCCATCAAGGGCAAAAGCGGAAGACAACATCCATATCCCAAATGGCTCATCCCGATCCCCTCAAGCGAATCCGTCTCAGTGATGCTGACAGAAGACGGTCTACACTGGGCGCTCTGAGCGACAACATCACACTTTCCCCGTCTCAGACCGGTTCAAATTCGAACACGAGCCGATCCCGGCCGCGGTCCTCCAGCCCAACCCGCGTCAAGGACGACTTGTCTTTTGCGTCCCCACGAGTGAGCTTTGTGCACGAATCAACGGACCCGGGCAAGGAAGTAAAGGATTTGCTGTCATTTCTCATGGATGATTCGAGTCCATGGGAGGCGGACACGACCGAGATCCAGAACATCACGGCAGCGTCATGCAAATGCGCAATTCAGCTTCGCAGTGAGGGGTCTTGGGTCATCGAAGTGGCTCGTCCGTTATTGCAGTTGGCCATCGGAGAACAGCCGTTGGAGTGCTGGAGCGTGTAAGTTGTAACCGGCCTATATGCGTGACTAGCAGCTATTTTGCTAACATGGTATTGTCCAAGTCAAACCGAGTCCGTTGATCCCAAATACCAGCCACGGTATATCGCTCGTGATACCTGCAATCGCAAGATAGACCTCGTCGTTGGGTTCCCCAGAGAAGAGTGGGTGGATGTATACAAACGAGTGGGCGGTCATATTCGCGAGCGATGTCAGAGCCACATTTCTGATCCTCACACGGGCAGGCAGCTACTGGGTCTGGGATTAGAGGTCAAGGCATCGAATGGGGACCTGGCTGAAGCCCAGGTTCAACTAGGTGTTTGGATGGCCGGTTTGGTGTCCTGGGCTTTCGACCATCGCCGTGAAGCTGTCCTCCCGCCCCCGATTGTCGGGTGTATCGCGATGGGCGATCGGTGGGAGTTTTACATTATCTACGGCGTGGAAGATGAAACCACCAGAGAGCTGGCAGAAGTGGTAGGGCTCAATCTTTCTTGTGCCGTGAAGTGCTAACTGTTGTTGTCCAGTGTGTCTGGGGTCCTCTCTCGGACCTTGATGGTCGGACTGGGAACGAGCGACACACAGCCCGCTTGCTGAAGACCTTGCGAAGAGCAATGGCATACTCGCAGAGTCAATACATGGAGCGACTACTCGCAGCGATTGGGGATTCCAGTTCTTAGCTGTTGGACGCCTTGATAAAAATATACCACTTCAACCATCACGATCAAGATGTTATTTTTGACATGAGTTGAATGGTCGATCTGTACAAAGAAACTCAATAAGCGATGCTATACGAGATGATTCCAAAAATAGCGCGTTTTTCCCCAAATGATAGAGGATTGGTACCTCGTATTCGGTCGATCAGCACCCAGAAAAGGATCTATCTGGCCGAAACAGGCTAGCCAGGGCATGGCACGGCGATCTTTCAATGTGCAGAAATACAGATCATCACCAGAATTGTATTTGCGGCCTGAATCTCGCTGAATGAACCCTTTCTCGATGCTTTTATGCCGCATTTCCCATTTACATCACGAATACGATCTTGGCGGAGATATTAATGGAGAGCTCAGCCAGACGATGGATATATAAGTGATGTCTTCCCCGTTGCAAACTATCCATCAGCCATCTTCAATCAAGTCAATCAACATCAAATAAATCATCACAATGAAGCTCTCCGCCATTGCCTCTGTCGCTGCCATCTCTGGCCTCAGCCAGGCTCTTCCTCAACTCGAGACCCGAGCAGACACTGTCCAAGGATTCGACATTTCCAACCACCAGGCCAAGGTCGACTTTGCTGCGGCCTACAAGGACGGCGCTCGCTTCGTCGTGTCCAAGGTATGTCCTCTCCTTGTTAACCGTTATCATACTGACAGATATAGGCAACTGAAGGAACCGGCTTCACCGACGACTACTACAAGTCTCACACCAAGGAAGCCACCGAAGCCGGTCTGATCCACGGTGCCTACCACTTTGCCCGCCCCGACAAGTCCTCCGGCAAAGCCCAGGCCGTGTACTTTATCAAGAACGGCGGCGACTGGAAGGATGACGGCAAGACTCTCCCGGGAATGCTCGACATCGAGTACAATCCCTACGGGCACACCTGCTATGACCTCAGCGACGAAAAGATGGTCGCCTGGATCGAGGACTTTGTCTCGACCTACCACGAGCAGACCAAGCGGTACCCGTTGCTCTACACCACGGCCGACTGGTGGAACAAATGCACGGGAAACAGCAAGAAGTTTGCCGACACGCCCTTGGTTCTGGCGTCGTACAGCAGCTCACCTCCCAAGACTATTCCCGGTAGCTGGGAGACGTACACCATCTGGCAGAACTCGAACAAGTACAAGCATGGTGGCGATTCGGATCTGTTCAATGGGGGATTGGGGCAGTTGAAGAAGATTGTCAGTGGGAAGTGAGATGGTGAGATAATAGCGGAGGTATTATGCATGAGTCATACCTGACGTGGATCTTGCATGGTGTGATTGAGACTCTGATTGTGCCATAGATATGCATTATAATATAAGAGAATGCATTGCTGCTTATAAAGCATAGCATACAGTTTATACACAAAATAAATAATAGATAACAGCACAATACTGCTATCTATGATGACATACAAAGATCTAACATGTGACGAGATTCCCCTTTTTCCCCGCATCTTGAGTGGAGACACCCTCCGCCAATCGGAAACCGCAGATCACGGGGCATCGATGGATGAGGACGATCATTACCCAATACGGCATGTGACCATGAGACCAAGTTCCAATCACGGCTTCACGTCGCAGTCAGATGTTGTGTTGGGCTTATGCCGTGATGGCCTCATGAGTTGGGTATCGACAGCCGTTAATGCTGTTCAACATGTCCTCGCCAAGTCGTACTAACTTCCTCTTCACCACATGCACCACCATGTGGGAGCCTGCAAACCTTCCGATCCCTCGAGAATGCAAGGACGAGGCTCGCACTATTGACTTGGTGTTGCATGTGGGGTTTGGATCTCGGTATGTCTGACTTTCGCACAGGGTTGGCCTCGGACTAGCGAGATGCTGTAAGCACTATGGACAATCAGAAACGGTCCATCTCGCTCTTCTTTCCCGCCATCCGAGTCATGATCCTCCGAGTCACGATCCCTGATCTTCACTGCCCCTATGCCAAGTGGACGGCTTCCAACGAGATGCCTTTGTCGTCTCGTCCGTCTTGCTATGCGGGGGTGCCCACTGGGTTTGGTGCTGCAGCCAAGAGCGTGAGGGGTGTCGTGTGGTGTTTAGGTCATTCGATTGTTTCGGATGGAGCGGTGTATGAGAGTTGGATAAGAGACGGTTGATCCGCACGATTCCTTCAGCTGCAAGGCCCGCACGATGTTGGTCAACATGTACTTTCTCACTAGTCTCCTGGCTACAACTGCGCTGGCCGGTAGTGTCAGCGTGAACCAGCGATTGCATCACCGTCAGAATGCCGAGTATTCTGTCAAGCAAGGCCCGCTGTCTACAGAATGGACCAGCAAAGCCGGCACGAATCCATGGCCGGAATATCCTCGCCCTCAGCTGCAACGGGCTGACTGGCAGAATCTGAATGGCGTCTGGCAGTACCGCAATGCGAACAGCTTGGAGGATGTCAAAAATCCTCCATTCAATCAATCGCTGCAGAGCCCAGTGCTTGTGCCTTCGTGCTTGGAGAGTGCACTCTCAGGTATGTCCCTCTTTGCATCTGCTTCTGCGATACTGACCGTATAGGCGTCATGGGCAGCAACACAATATACTCGTGGTATTCCACCGGCTTCACCGTCCCCAAGTCCTGGTCCGGCCGACAGATTCTGCTCAACTTTGGCGCAGTCGACTATGAAGCAACCGTGTTTGTGAACAATCAGCAAATCGGCTTCCATCGCGGTGGTTACTTTCGCTTCACTCTCGATGCGACGGCGAATATCAACTTTGACGGAGAGAATACACTGCTGGTATTTGTGCACGATCCCACGGATAAAGACGACTATGTCATTCCCATTGGCAAGCAGACGCTCAATCCGAAACATATCTTCTACACGCCCTGCAGTGGCATTTGGCAGAGTGTTTGGATTGAGGCGGCGCCGGCGAATTACATTACTGATTTGGACATCGATGCCAACATGGACGGTCAAGGTAATCTTTTCAATTACTCGATTAAAAATCTTGCTAACGAGACAGTCAATGTGACTGTGCATAGTGGAACAGGAAATGCCACGGCCGTCGAGGTGACAGTCTACGATGAAGACAAGGCTATCGCGACTCACAAGGATACTTCGGACAGACCATTCCAGTTCACTGTATCCTCGCCCAAGCTGTGGTCGCCGGATTCTCCTACTCTGTATAATGTCACGGTGAAGATGGGCGGCGACCAGGTCAGCAGTTATACTGGATTCAGGACCATTTCGAAGGACAAGGTCAATGGCGTTGTTCGACCTCTTCTGAATGGAGAATCTGTGTTTATGTTTGGTACTCTAGACCAAGGATACTGGCCGGATGGACTGTATACTCCTCCCAATCGAGAGGCGATGGTGTATGATTTGAAGATGTTGAAGAATCTTGGCTTCAACATGGTTCGGAAACATGTAAGTATTCTGCTGTCGTTGATGGCCAATACTAACTATAACAGATTAAAGTGGAACCATCGCTCTTTTATCGCGCCTGTGATGAACTCGGTTTGCTGGTTATACAAGACATGCCCTCTCTTCGACCACTGCAATCACGAACAGGAGACAACGGCGTTAGTGAGACCATTCTGCCTGATCAGGCACAGCAGGATGAGTTTGTTCGACAGCTGGAGGTGTTGGTAAATCAGCACAAGAGCTATCCGAGTATCGTGACTTGGGTAAGTATCCATAAGTGTACTTGTATATCTGTCTAACAGTTCAGGTCGTCTATAACGAAGGCTGGGGCCAAATCGTCGATTACTATCCCGAGTTCGAATTGACCGAGCGAGTGAGACGGTTGGATCCCACTCGGCTGATTGATTCGACGTCTGGATGGGATGATCATGGAGCGGGTGACTTTAGTGTAAGTGTCTATACAAATATCGTGATGTATACTGACTGGATAGGACAACCATCACTATGCCAATCCCCAATGTGGCACTCCCTTCTATTCCACCCCATCCAGTCCATTTAACCCATCGCGTATTGGCTTCCAGGGTGAATTCGGTGGCGTGGGACATAACGTGTCCATTGAAAAGTAAGCCATCTCTCTGATAGAAATAGCAATACTAACAAGATAGTATGTGGAACGTGCAAGCCTCCATCAACGCCATCAACGAAACGTACGAGATCGACGAGACCCTCGAAGCATGGAACTACCGCAGCCATCTCCTCCTGACCGAACTCAAAGAACAAACAGACCGATACGCCTGCAGCGGCGGAGTCTGGACCCAAACGACCGACGTCGAAGGTGAGGTAAACGGCCTCATGACGTACGATCGGAGGATTCTGCGCGTGGACGAGAAGCAGTGGAAGGCGGATATCAAGGCGCTGTACGATGCGGCGGCGGCACGGAGCAAGGCTACCAGTGATTGAATATACCAGATATAGTGAATATAAGGTTGCCTAGATTCTTATCTCCTTTTTAAGCAATTCAAACGTTTCAACCTTTGGATATTCTGCTAAAAATGGGTGATCTTCGTGGTTTGGTGGGGATTCGATTTTTGCAGTGGGTCCGCCGTATTCGTTTTGAGGATTGCCTATTCGGGGAATTGTGAGCTTCACGATGCTATAAAGATCCCCCTATCCATTCTGTTTTCCATATTCATTCTCTATCTTTCTTTCTATTCATCATATTCATAAACCCTTCATCATGGACTTTACATTTCATCCCGGAGTCAATGGAAGCGACCCATGGGTTGAGTTCTACCCCTATACACCGTCTGCGTCGGCTGGATATGCCTTTATGGCCATGTTTGGCATCCTGACAGTCGCACACTTTGTCGTCATGTTTCCCTGGCGTGCTGCCTACTTTATTCCTCTTATCCTAGGAGGAATATGTAAGTTCTCCTATTTATATCAATGTATACCTACTAATGAACAGGCGAAACGTTCGGCTACTATGGCCGGGCATGGTCCCATCAATCACGAACCGAAATCAGTTCCTGGGCTTTACAAGAAATGCTCATCGTCTGCGCTGCTCCTCTCATCACGGCCACAATTTACATGTTCCTCGGACGAATCATCCGCTCTCTCAACGCAGAACATCTCTCCAGCATGCGGGTCAAATGGCTCACTCCGATCTTCGTCATCAACGATGTGATCTGCTTCTTTACACAGCTTGGCGGTGCCGGTGTCCAAGTAACAGGCGATGCGAATGTCATGGCCATCGGCGTCAAGGTTGTCCTGGCAGGATTGGTTCTCTCGCTGGTCGTCTTCGGCTTCTTCGTCCTGATCGCCGTGCGCTTCCACCAACGTCTGAATCAAGAATCATCGACTGTCCTCGATAACAACCCCTTCCTGCACTGGCGACGGTACATGTGGGCATTATACGTCTCCTGTTTCGCAGTGATGCTACGCAATCTGGTTCGAACGATTCAGTTCGGATCGAACAAGGAGTCGCCGCTGAACACCAAGGAGGCGTTTATCTATGTGTTTGATGCGTTCTTGATGTTTCTGGCGATGCTGGTTCTGTTGATTTGCCATCCGGGTCGGTTGATTAAGAAGGCTCGGAGGGCGAAGGAGGCGAGTGATTTACATGAGAATATGACGGATAGGAATTCGGATGTTCCGTTGACGGGGTATAAGGATGGGTCGAGATGTTAGACTTTATTGTATAGATGTTTGGGTATTGTTTGAGTTCTACGGTGTTACATATAGATGGTCATCATGATAAATAAGATTAAAGTATCTAAATACTACCTATATAATACTGGCACGGTCAAATGAATACGTCAACATGATGTAGAAATATCATTATTGCGTAGTAGCGGCGGAGTATATATAGACAACATTCTCTGCGGATAATACCAAAATATCTATATCAACTGTTTTACTAGATATAAGATATACACCATGGCTGACAACATGAATAGCCTCAAATTCAGAGACCGGATCCACCAACGACGAAGAGAAGGTCAACCTCTCACCGAAGATGAAATCATGTTCATCACCAACGAGAGTGCCGAGTTGGCGGGGGCGGGTTCAAATGGTATGCCACAACGAAGGATAGAGTATATACTGATAGTAGCAGTCAGCCCAGAGCATATCCGATGGGCCTCCAAGGCAAAGGAAGTGTTGAAGAAGCCAGCCAATGAGATCAATAAAGGTGATGCTCGGGATGTCACGTCCAAAGAGGTGAGTTTGTTTCCAGCCGGTTGATGTCGCTGATTGTTAGACTCGGGCGTTTGAGAATCTTCCCGCGACAGGATCGGTGGCGTCGCATGTGCAGTCGGTGGCTGATAGAAATGATGAGAAATAGCTTAGATGAGCTGGAGAGGAACAATGCATTCAGTTCTTAGACCTCCTGTCAAGGTTTGATACCCAAAGAGGAAAAACAACTCCGCCCTCCGCCGTAAGGGAGTTCGTAGCAGCAATTCTATTTCTTGTCATCTGCACGCAACATGTGATACCCCATATTCTCGGGGGAAAAGAGCCAATGCGTTGCAGACACTCGTATTTGCCAACCGTTGGCAGTGGACGGTTGCATCTCCTGATGCGGATGCGGCATTCTGATTGGTGCAATCGAGGCCAAGGGCACGGCAGCGTCTCAGATGACTCGGGAGGCTCTTTTCTGATTGGCTGATATTAAATGCAGTGCGGGGTTTGACTATATCTTATTGGTGGAATCATCCTGGGGAAAGAAGCAGTTCGATTGCCATGTGTTGGGACAAGCAATGCCACGATAGAGAAGAGAGAGTACAGAGGGAGAGATGGGATAGAAAGATGGGATGGATAGAAAGACGATATGATGGATGATATAGAATAGATAGAGATATAGATGAATACAATGATTGATATCAAGATGTTATACAATACTGTAGATCAACTGTCAGATCCCCAGATTGCGGGGGTTGTGGGGCTGCATTCACTACCGGCCTTCACTCTTCGCTGCGCCTTCTGTTTTTGGCTTCCTCTCTGTCGCTTTCCCACTTTCTTTCTTTCTTAAATTCTCCCTCTCCCCTCATGTCGTCTTTCTCTCTCCTCGACCTGCCTTCTCATCCATCACCACCACCATCACCATGTTGGTCGGCAACATCTACGTGATTGCGGCCGTCGCCGTCGTCGGTGGTGCTCTCTTTGGCTTCGACATCTCGTCCATGTCGGCCCAGCTGAGCGAGAACTCCTACAAGTGCTACTTCAACCAGGGCCCCAGCGGTCCGCCCTTTGACGACAGCTCCGACTGCTCTGGTCCCAGATCGCTGGTCCAGGGTGGTATCACTGCAGCTATGCCTGCTGGTTCCTGGCTCGGTGCCTTGGTCTCTGGTATCCTCTCTGATTATGCTGGTCGACGTCCCTCTATCATGATCGGCTGCGCGATCTGGTACATCCCTCTCTCTCCATCGATTTCATCATCGAACCATGCTAATCGTTCAGGATGATCGGTTCTACCATCATGTGTGCCTCGCAGAACATCGGTATGCTCGTCGTCGGTCGTGTCATCAACGGTTTCGCTGTCGGAATCGAATCCGCCCAGGTTCCCGTCTACATCAGTGAGCTGTCGCCTCCCTCTAAGCGTGGTCGATTCGTCGGTCTGCAGCAGTGGGCTATCACCTGGGGTATTCTCATCATGTACTAGTGCGTCATCCACGGCTCCTTCCTTCTGGATACAAACTAACTCATCCAGTATCTCTTACGGATGCTCCTTCATCGGCGGCAAGACTGCACAAACATACACCCCGACTGCGTGGCGAGTCCCTTGGGCATTGCAGATGCTTCCTGCCGTCTTCCTTGGGTTCGCCATGATCTTCCTTCCCGAATCCCCCCGTTGGCTTGCACGAAAGGATCGCTGGGAGGAATGCCACAAGATCCTGGCCCATGTCCATGCCAAAGGCGATCTCAACCACCCCTTCGTTCAGGTGGAATTGAATGATATTCGGGAGATGTGCCAGACTGAGAGCCATCACAAGGATTCTACCTACATCGATCTGTTCAAACCCAACATGATCCACCGTACTTTGACCGGGTTGTTCATGCAGATTTGGTCCCAGTTGACCGGCATGAATGTCATGAGTATGTGGAGTCTCTTCTTTAATCTTTCTTTATCTTAGACGCTTGATACTAACTACGCCAGTGTACTACATCGGTTATGTCTTCGCCATGGCCGGCTATTCCGGTAACGCCAACCTCGTCGCCGGTTCCATCCAATATATCATCAATGTCATCATGACCCTACCTGCCCTGATCTGGATGGATCGCTGGGGTCGACGTCCAACTCTTCTCATCGGTGCTGTTCTCATGGCCACATTCATGTACGCCAATGCCGGCATCTTGGCTACCCACGGTATTCTCGTCCCCGGTGGTGTCGACAAAGTCGCGTCGGTTCCTATGAGGCTCAGCGGTGCTCCGGCCAAGGGAATGATCGCGTGTACGTACTTATTCGTCGCGTCCTATGCTCCAACATGGGGACCGGTCTCGTGGACGTACCCTCCGGAGCTCTATCCGCTGCGTCTGCGAAGTCAGGGTGTCTCAATGTCGACGTCTGGAAATTGGGCGTTCAACACGGCGTTGGGGCTCTTCACTCCAGTAGCGTTTGAGAATATCAGCTGGAAAACGTACATCATTTTCGGTGTTTTCAACACGGCCATGTTTTTCCACGTTTTCTTCCTCTTCCCGGAGACCGCAGGCAAGACATTGGAAGAGACGGAGGCCATGTTTGAGGATCCGAATGGGATCAAGTACATCGGTACACCTGCTTGGAAGACGAGCAAGAAGACGACAACGACGGTACAGCTGGAACGGGGAAATATCGAATCCAAGCTTCCACCACAGCCGACTAGCGTTCACGAGGAGCGCAAGGTGGAGGTGTGAGGAAGTGCAGGCGCAGGTGCAATTGTCGAATTATTTCTTTAACTCTGTCAATATTCTTCAGTTAGTATCCCATTGCCTGGTTGAAATATCATCCAGATATACCCGTCATGCTTAGCATCAAGTGCAGATAATGTTATTCAATGTGATGTATCAGAATTAAGCATGTGGAGTACTTTGTATTTGCCATTCTCATAAAATATGCCGATATCTTCGGACCAGTCATCTGCATTCGTGGGGATCAGTCTATTTGTCGCCACTTTTTCACCGTTCTACGCCAGTCAATCATCATAAAATAAGATGATAGCGACGAATGGATCAACAACGCAGCCAGTCGGACAGGCCCGGTCAGAACTGCGGCAGATTCTGGATCTATCACATTTGTCTGTAGATTCACAAAATAATGTGTACAACACTTGCCAGCTGAATTTTCACTTGAAGATGGAGAAGAAGTAGAACTGGGAAAGCGGATAGGTAATACTGCCTGTAGCTAAAGAAATATTAGTTATGACAGCCTTCAGCCAAAGCTAAGGCTCTTAAGCTTAATATTATTAGTAGTGGGGATGTTAAACTTAATAGAGCTGGCATTGGCATAGTTAATCTCATTGGTATTAATTCTAATAGGAGACTGATACTTATCCTCTATACAAGCAGAGTATCAAACTCTTATCATTTCTCTATGGAAGAGCCCACAGATACCGGAATATTAATAATGATAATTTATCAATATGGATCAAATAAGAGCGATCGTGGTTCGGTCTTCCATTGCCCAATCCATTTCCTTTCGCGAACACGGGGCACAAGGCTCCACCTGCTTGACTCCTTTCAATGCTTTATGAAAGAAACGTCCATATAAGTAAACAAGAGAAAAATACATTCCTAATCTTGGTAGCGACTTGGCTTCTTGGTTCAATTGGGTCCTTAAGCCAGTCAGTCCAGCTTAAGTTTAGTGTGAATTGATTATATGCATGTTAAGCGCCTAGTCCTTAGGCTGTGTCGGCCCTAGATGTTTTAGTGACAATGAAGTTTTCAGCGGATTTATATTTATGTTAGGATGTCAGGTGGAACTGAGCTATAATATGAACATAGTGAAGTCAAAGTGATTGATTTTAGTATATTTTTTCTAAAAGATTACTCAATATTCTGACTACAAACGTTTTCATACCAAAATCTATCCAAAACCTGTCAATAGTTGGTATTGGCAGACGCCATATTTGGAAACCTAACTGCCCAAAGTGATGGAGCATCACAGTATCAGACGGTCTTTATATCTCACTCTAACCCTCTTATGCCATTTAACCTTGAAACATTAACACTACCAGGCCCTTGCAGATGAGAAAGTAAGGCTATTCTTTTCCCTCACAGATATCATAATGAGCTAAAAGAGATGCTGAACCACGGCATTTAAGATGGATTTACCAATAATCAATTTAGAAAAAAGGACTTGAAGTTGTATGCGCAGTATTTTAATAGAATACTAGGGTCCGAAAATGAGAGAATAGAGTTGTCATGATTCAAAAGGTAGTGCATGATTTATGGAATAAATGAACTCAATAAGGAGAGGTGTGCGCATTGGTAGTAGAATCATTCATGTCAGGTGGGCCCAGAACCCCACTCGAGCCTCAAGCTCCTCTATAAGGGCGCGTAAGCATGTTAGAAGAGAGCGAAAATCTTAAAGATATTGAGCCACAGCTGTCACACACACCTACCTGGATTCCTGCTTCCCGCTCAATTTTTTACTGTTCAGAATGGTATAGAAACCTATTAATCAACAGCCGATAAGCAAAAAATGTATCTGGATATCCCCTTGATCTGTGTTCCGGTTAGGCAACTATGATTGGCTTATGTTAGCGCTGTGGCTGTATCATCTGTGGGTTTCTGGGCCTCATCCGCCTGTTGCGCTGACAAATCAAAGAAGGTTTACAAACAGCCGCCCGCAGCCTGCGGGGTCGTCGCATCGTTGAGAACCAACCTCCCCCGCTATTTGCTGGTGAGTGAAAAATTGGCGCTTACCAAGAATATATATAGGAGAACAAGTACATCTTCATTTGATGAGGAGAGAGAGACATATGAGGGCAAAAGTGTGTACCTCAAAAGCCACCTACCATTATGGCTGATCCGCTCTCAATTACAACGAGCGTGGTAGCTCTTGCCACCGCTGCTTTCCAGGCCAGCAAGATCTTATACACGGCCGTCAACAATTTTCAAAGTACCAAGAGAATTATTCGGGAGCTAAAGGCCGAAGTTGGCGACTTGCATCACACTTTGGAGAACCTGGAAAAGGCGGCAGCTGAATATGAGGATGATCTTGTCGCGCTGAAATTACCCCTGCACCATTGCGAGATCATTTGCCATGAATTCATAAAGACGATTAATTCATTTGCGGTCAGGTCCAACGACTCCCATACCAGTGTGCGGGACTGGGCCTTGATGCAATGGCGCGGGGGAGACATTGCGGAATTCAAACTTATGCTGGCTGGTTATAAGTCAACAATTAATATCGCCCTGGGAGGCGCAACCTTGTACGTATACTACAACCAGGAGAAGAAAATGAAATATGGGATGAAGTCTATGTGGAACTAACGCGGAAGCCTATTGGCCTTGCTAGTCGCAAAGTAGCCGTCACAGCAGGCGTCCTCACTGAATACAAAGACCTGATCGCGAACACCCAGTCGGATCTGCAGGAGCATTTACAGGGGATTGAAGGGAGGTTGGAGGTCATTGGGAGCCAGCAAAAGCACCAGGCCAAGGAGATACATCCGGACATCCAACTCATTCGAGAAGAGAAAGACAGCACAGAACAATGTCTTCAGATCTGCACAGAAGTCCTTGATTGCATCCACAAGGCTGAGAACCGGACGGGTTCCCAGAAGGGTCCAGACCGGGTTGTTGGTGATGGTTATTTTACCCCTGACCGGGGGTCGTCAATGCCTCATCAGAGAACTAGAGCCTCGCTTATAGACTGCAAAGAGCGGCTATTCTCAACATCCAGCAGTCTCAAAAACCGCCTAGTGGAACTCGAAAGACAGCTGGCCTCTGCGTCGAAATCCGAATCCTTTTCAGAAGAGGACTATTGGCTGAAGGAGATACAAAAGGAAAAAGACAGCATTATTGATTGTCTAAATGTCTGCTCAGATGCAACGTCATTGGCGGAGCAAGCTCGAGTCAATCAGTATGAGGACATTGTGTCTGCGGATTATGCCCACCAGCTGGTTGTCTCTACGATCGGAGACTTGATTTCGGCCAAACATGTCGTCACGGGGAACAAGTCTATCCAGTGGCTGGGTCAGATGTCGAATGAAACGCTGCAGAGTCTCTCCCGGGACCGCAGTCGGCTCGAAGAAGCGGCCCAGTCGCCGCTAGAGCACGACAGAGAACGTGATGTTTTCCAGCACCGCTGGGGAAGTGGCCGCAGATTACAGCTGCAAAGTCAAAGCAGTAATACCTCTTAGGGTGAAAGCGGTTTTTGGTTGGTGTTTATAATAAGCGAAATGATTGTGATGATTCACCACCAGGCATGGCCGAAAGTAGGAGTTTCTATAGATTAGTAAGGAAAATCTTCCTTACTAGAGCACCTCTCCCCCGTTTTACACTGTAGAGAGGCACCAGATGATTTGCCTGATGTTGGATTAATCCATATGGTTAAATATATCCTCGAAGACGCTGCACTCGCATGAAACGGGGAAGACGGGAGGACCGGAGAGGGTTAATTGCAGCTCACTGCTGCGTATACGGTGTATCGGGATCATTTTAAGAAATTCGATGCAGACGGTGATGGGAAAAGCGAGTGAAATTGGTATCCCAAGTTACAGGGTTTCAGATAGTTCATCTTATTACACTTTCTTGCTTTATCATTCTGTGTTGATAGTTGATCGATCATAACTTGGACAATCCCCCCTTACAATCGAGAACGGAGAGATGGGCTGGTGTGATATCCCTGATACTCTTACATCTAATATACCGTTTAGCAAAGCCATATAGAAGGAGTCTTGACTTACCCCGCCAGTCCCATCACCATCTTCAACTCTTTATGCAACAATCTGATGGCCAACTCCACTCCCTTCGTCCCATTGTACTAGACAGTCAGCATCATACTCAATATAAGACACAAGCTGAACATACTGCTAGCCCCCAAATCGGAATCCTCCCCGCAAAACAAAAGTCTGCGCCCAGAGCCAACGCCTTGAAGATATCTGTGCCCCGTCGAATGCCCCCATCAATTCCAATGGGGATTTTCCCTTTCGCGACAGGGGCACATTCGCGGAGGGCGTCGATGGTGGCAGGGACGCTGTCGAGTTGGCGGCCGCCGTGGTTGGAGATGAGGATGCCGTCGAAACCGTGGTCGATGGCTAAGACGACGTCTTCGGGGGTGTAGACTGGTACCTCTACTTAGTTCATATCAATATGCATGAGGTGAGATAGATTACCTCCTTTCAGCCATATCGGGAGGTTGGTGCTTCGTCGCATGAAGGAGATGGCTTCTTCCCAGTTTATGCTGGGGTCATAGGCCAGAGGATCATCATCACCAGCCAGATCAATCTGTCCAGACACCATATTCGGATACGTCAGATCGTCAGGCAAGCTATATTCATTCCTAGCTTCATTCAATCGATGGCCATAAACCGGTGCGTCGACAGTGAGAAACACAGCTTTATACCCAGATGCTACTTTGTTAGCTTTCTTCATGAGTAAACTATGATATACACACCCTCTGCCCGGGATAATACATCCCTCATGATGTCTTTATTCATGAGAAAGTTCACCTGGATGATATACGGATTCCCGGATCCCTGCGCAACCACATCCTCCAGCGTGGTATTGGCGTACGACGAAAGACCCATTGGAATTCCAGTTGTCGCAGCAGCGCGCGACGTCCCAATCTCTCCATCCGGATGAGCGACTTTATGTGCTGCAGCTGGAGAGAAGCCAAAGGGGAAGGAGACCTTGGTTTCGCAGAAAGTGGTGGATGTGTCGATGGTGGAAACGTTGCGGAGAATGCGAGGGCGGATTTTGTACCGGTCGAATGCGGCTTCGTTATCGTGGAGGCTATCATCTAGTGAGGATACTCTATTGAGATGGTTTTTTTCGTGTACTTACGTTATTAAGTCCATGGCTCCCAGGTTGAAGTATTCGCGGTACACTTTGGGGAGTTTTTTTGACGCCACATCTTTGAGGTCTTGTAGGGAGAAGACGTGCTTGTCGAGGGGTTTTCCACGGTTAGCCATTTTATCACGTACTGTTTCAAGTACTATGAAGTTGTGGATTATTGAAGAATTAAAGATAGTTCAGACAGTCCAATGTGTAGAAAGTCGGTGGCATTTATGCAACTACGTCCTTGGATAACATGCTTATCTACCCCTCATATGCATGTGCGGGGTTTTGGATACACCTGCATCTGGATGAAGGTAAGTATTCGAGACGGAAAGCAGTTCGTCCAGCCTATACATTCTAGTATTTTGATATGGTTATACTGATGATTAAGTTTCGGAGCACAATGTAATATATATATGTGCCGGCTATCCGGTACTTCCTGTGCATCTGGCGCCATAGTAGCCAGCGTAAAGAAAAGCCTATTTTTATTTTATTCTATTATAATAACGTACTTGTACTATTCTGTAATCTATGCTACTAATAATACTATTTGGGTGGTATTCCATACTCCATACTTCGTAGTGGTTTCTCCTTTTGAAACGCCATGATATGTGGCTGTGTGGCAGTGCTGACTCCATTGTCTATTTCCTTGGCAGTCCCATCCGACTGCAAAGTCAACCAAGCGAAAGTACATATTAGTAAGTAAACTTCCTTGATATAGATAGTATATTCTGTATAGATATTCCCATCTGTATACTCTATCATCATCTCTACATTCCTCCCATCTATCCGTGTATCTCTGATCCGTGGAATGTTGCCAGCCGCGTGTTTCTTTTTCCCGCAGCCAATCAGAAACCGGATCAAATTCTCTTGCCCAATCACAGCCTCCCCCCACGAACTCTAAACCACAGTCAAACTTTGATTGGTTCCACGGTGGGATTCAGGGGCTTTTCACCAATCACACCACAGAGACTCTGTTGACCGTTCCCCCATCCGGTTAGTGCTGTCCCACCGGCGATGCTTTTTCCTCTCCTCCACTGCAAAATCCCAAACGGACCAAATCAAGGCTTCGACCGATCTTCATCCTTTGTCCACGCCGTACGTCATGCTCCATCGCTTCTCCCTCTCGTCCTCGTTTTTCTGCTTCTTCTTCTCTCGCTTCTCCATCGCCAGCGAACTCCTCGAGATGTCCCTGCACTACTCCCACCTTGCATCCTATCGTTGACACTCGGGCAATGCCACTCCGTCTGTCTTATCTCGACACTGCCGCTCTCCCCAGGGGGCTCCAAGCATGTCCTGGGGTGTCAAGTTGAACAGACTGCAGCATCTGTGGTTGCAACGGTTTGGTATCGCTTCATCTGCCCTCTGAACTGCATCTCAACCGCATCGCTAACCTCTACTTCTCTCCAGCCCCTCAACATGCTCGTGCGCTTCCATCCCGACCGGGGTGGCGTCCGTTCGCCCTCCGCCCGCCGTATCTCTTCTTCATCACCGGTTTCTTCTTTCTGATGCTCCTGGCCCTCGAGGCCATGCGCCGATATAGCAGCTACAACGGAGGACTGGTCTTCTTTTTCGATACCGCCAATGTCTCCCCCGCCGAGTCTTTCGCTTACAATTATGTGCCCATCATCGTCGCGCTGGTTCTCGTCAACCTCTGGACCTTTATCGACTTCGACGTCCTTCGTCTTGAGCCCTACTTTCAACTCTCGCGCTCCAAGGGAACACCGGCTGCCACTCTTTTTATCAACTACAACTTTGGCCAGTCTTTCCTCACCCCGATTACCTCCGCCCGGAGAGGCCACTGGATCGTGCTGCTCGTGTCTATCGTTACCATGTTCATTCGCATGTTCCTACCCGCGTTACAGAGCACCCTGCTAGAGTTGAGGGAAGTCACAATTGTCTCATCGGAGAGTGTGAAGAGCTGGCCCGATCTCGTCAACCTACGCACCCAAGCCAGTTGGATTGCTGCCCAGGCATACAATAACCTCGATTCTGTCATCGCAACCGGTGACGATGCCCGACGGTCGCGATCGTCCGAATTTGCCGTCGCGCCGGTCGAAGTCTCCCAGGATGACCAGCGTGAAAGTACAGTGTGGGCGATGAACCAGACGGTCTACTGGTCGGAACTGTCCTGTCAGGATATTCTTTTGGAAGATAAACTGTCAGTCACAATTAATGAAACCGGCGTCGATTACCCATTCATCTCCTGGAACGTCACGGACATCAACCTAGACAACATCGATGGAGTGCACAAGGACTGCACACTGGACTTTTCCTATAGCAGTGTCTTCTTTCCGTCAACCGACTTTCTACAGGTCCGGTATTGGGAGCCCGTGTCATCGTCCAACAGAACCTCCTCTCCGATGAAGAAAGCATTCAAAGCTAGAGGCTGCGATCCATTTGATCTCTACGGGGTTCTGATCGGTGTCAATGCAACGAGTCAAAGCAGTTCATCTAAACCCGAGTATTCATCCTCTGCCCAGGCGTTCGCTTGTAATATTGCGTACCGCAAGGCAGATGCTGAGGTGGTGATGCACGCCAATAGCTCGATAAATTCCATCAAAACCCATCCTGGAACCACCAGCAACATGACTTATTCACAGTTCAACATCGCTCAGTTTCAGTCCCTTCTTTCTCAACGCGCGCCGTATACCAGTGACTTGCTGTTTATCCAGTACAACGAGAGCACAGGCGACCGTAGCGTGACCGAACTTCCCGTCATAAGTCAGGACATTGGCGATTTTGAGCCTCTGCTAGTCCTTGACACGTCCTCTACCATGACCCAGAGCGAATTCCAATCCAAGATCACAAGAGGAGTCAAACAGTCGTTTATCCTCACGTTCACCCGACTCTTCAACCCGGACAAGGAGCCAACGTCAATCGATGCAATGAGATTCAACAAGCAGGTAGCTATTGCGGTGGTCTCGTTTGCTGCCCTGTGGTCCGAGGTCATCCTAGGCATAGCAACCGCCACAGGCCTTGTCCTGGTGTATGTCTACCAGAACCGGGAGAATATGATGCAAAGTGACCCGGGCTCACTCTCTGCAATGTGCACTTTCGTGTCTGAACTACTCACGCCTACCAACATCCTCACCAGAACGGACTATGATTTCCACCAGTTTTCCACAAGGCAGTTACGCCGGACCTTTCGAAATGCAAGATGCTATTGGCAAGATGGACCTCAAGGAAGGAAACTAGAGATCGTTCCAGGCGATGGTAAGACATTTCTTCTTTATAGCCCTTTGCAGTAACTAACAGTACCAGGCGAGCGCATGGATATAGGAGAAAATCTCCGCACCCGCGTCGACCCGATGCCACATTTCCTCGTGATTCCCTTTTTCATCGTCGAGTTCCTTCTTCTGGTCGCAGTGATAACATCTATGGGCCTGATTATCGCATCGCTTGTCAAGGATGGTAAATTTCGACATCTTACTCAGTCAGACTCGAGCTTCCTGCAAGTTGTTCTTTCGTTCTTGCCGTCGATGGTTGCATCTTCCGTGGGGTCACTCTGCCAATCAATCCATCGAAATCTCAGCATCCTCGAGCCTTGGGTTCACCTACAGAGGGGGAAGGCCAAGGCTCAAGCCTCGCTGTCGATGAACTATGCCTCTCAGACCCCGTTGGCAGTCTTATTAAAATCCGTCAAAGACCGCCACGTTCTGCTGGGCCTCGTGTCACTCACATGCATGCTGAACTTTGTGCTTACTGTGGTCGCGGGTGGTCTGTTTACTCAGCAATTGACCACTTCTCCCTTTTCGAGCACATCCGTGTTGTCGAATTATAGTAATTCAGTGTTTCTGCAGACCGACTTTGCCGCTGAATTTACTGAATACGATCTCATCCAGACCGGTATAACTAGCGGGGTCCCGATATTGCCTTGGATGAGCTCAAATTATTCCTTTGTTCCCCTCAAAGTTGATCGCCCAGAATCGGATGCCGCATATGGGGCGCAGACCTTGGGGATTGGAAGTCACCTGGAATGCCGTCAGCTGCCCATCGCAGACTCACTTGTTGAAGAGCAAGGAACGGGAAATACTTATTGGGATTATCGTCCCTTTGACAATCCCGACCGTCAATGCCAGGTTAATATGACATCGCTGAAAAATAAGTCCGAAGATATCACACTCTCCATTCACTTTCTCTCACCGGTGGCAGATGATCAGATGGATGAATGTCAGTCATCGACTGTGGTGGTGCTTGGGCGGTGGAACTACACAGCCGGATCGGATATTACAAATGACAACACAGTCGCCCTGCACTGCGAGCCTCGCATCCGAATGAAGTTGTTCTCCCTCGTTTTTGATCGGCAGGGACAGATCAAAGAAAGCGACCCAGTCAGGGACAGCTCTATTACTTCTGGCTCCATGTACGACAATGCGACCGTCAGTCTCGGCCAATTCAACAAAGCGTTCGCAGCGATTCCACAGACCTTTACAGGAAATGACACGACCGATAACAGTTCGTATATATCCTCATACGACTGGGCCGGATTTCTGGTAGCACGTCTCTACCAACGGGGCCATCCGGAGATCACCTCACTGGACCCAGCATATCTTAGTAACGTTTCTCAGACTGTATACCAATGGGTTTACAGTACATATTTTTCCCTCTGGAGGGACATCTACCTGCAGCCGTTGGTCGAGCCAGCTCAAGCAACGAACGGCACGGTAATCTACAATACGTGGGCGATGAGTCCTTCTATACCTTCTTTGGCCATCGCACTTATCATCATCGGGATTGACACGCTGGTCGTGTTATTGGTGTTCGGCACCCGTCGTGGCCGTTTCAAGGGACCCCGGATTCCACGATCCATCGGAGCGATCATTCCGTGGATCGCACATAGTCGGATGCTTGAAGATTTCCGGGGCACGTACCACTGGACGAGTATGCAGCGACGCCGTCACCTTGCAGCATTAAATAAGTTGTATGGGTTCCGGATGTTTCTGGGACCGGATGGGCGGTACCGGTTTGCTGTTGATGAGGAGCCGCCGGAAGAAGAGAAACCGCCTGATCCGGTCGATGAGGGGACGGTGGATGTTTCCAAGATAGGAGGCATTCAGCTCCAGGAACTTGGGCGGTCCACTGCTCGGGAATGATTATGATTAATGACTTGTATTATATTGATTGCTAGAAGTGTACTTTTGGATATACGGCTGTGCCTAAAAGTTACAATATAATTTTGGAATCCTTCATTGTGTTGGCTGAATTGTAATATTGACGCTAACTGCCTCTACCCACATATCTCGCCTATCTACCTCCCCATCCACCCGCCGTCAACAGTCAACACTTCCCCACTGACATACGCACTGGCACGACTGGCCAGAAACACCGTTGCTCCCTTGAAATCCTCTGGACTCCCCCATCGTCCGGCTGGAATACGAGCAAGGATACTCGCCGCCCGCTCTTTATCATTTATCAAGGCCGTGTTCATATCGGTGGCTACATAGCCGGGAGCAATGGCATTGACGTTGATTCCCTTGGACGCCCACTCATTCGATAAAGCCTTTGTCAACTGTGCCACGCCTCCTTTTGCGGCTGCATAAGCCGGGACTGTCAGGCCACCTTGGAAAGAGACGAGCGAGGCAACGTTGATGATACTACCGCGGTGGTTGGAAGAATCGGGGGTTCGGGTGAGCATGTAAGCGCCGATGTCGCGGCAGAGTGTGAATACGGTGGAGAGGTTGACTTGGAGGACCTATTCAATTAGCCTGGGCTGACGGTGGGTGGGATATGCGTACCTCATCCCAATCCTCTATAGGAAAGACATGACTTGGATGGCGTCGTTGGATGCCAGCACAGTTGAGGAGGATATCAATATCGTGGCCGTCTTTCAACACCGTCGAGACTAGGGAGGAAACAGCTTCACGGGAGGAGAGATCGGCTGTGTAGATGGTTACTTTACGGCCGAGCTGTTCGATGCTGTTCTTCGTTTCTTGGTTTGAGGTATCGCGCTGAACAATAAGTATCTTGAAGCTATACAGACTACATGCACATACCTGGACGAGAACAACATCAGCTCCTGCTTCAGCCAGGGCAATTGCCATCTGCTGGCCGATTCCTCTAGTCCCGCCAGTCACCAGAGCGGTTCGATTATTAAGTGAGAACATGTCCATTTCAGTTGATTAATTGATATGATGACTTCTACTACAGCTGGACTGTCTATCTTTATATCTGTCACCCCCACGACCCCGCATTAGATCGCCATGGCCATCTCCTCTCGGCTACCACTCGCGAATCGCCCCATCCTCGCCGTAAAACTCCTTTGGCTGCCATGGCTCCGTGTCGGTGGAGATTCTCCTCACCAGGTCCTCGTCAATTTCAATTCCTAATCCGGCTCCAGATGGCGCCTTGACGAAGCCCTCTGCTATGTCAAATACCGTCTTATCGACCAGATAGCTATTCAGATCAATATCGCCCGCTTCAACGTTATAATGCATACCCAGCGACATTTCCTGGATCACAAAATTTGGCGTCGACAATGCAACCTGGATAGAGGCGGCCAGCGCAATCGGACCTAATGGACAATGCGGCGCAATAGCTACATCATACGTCTCCGCCATGCTGGCAATGCGCTTCGTCTCGGATATTCCGCCCGCGTGCGCGATATCCGGCTGGAGGACGTCTATCGAGCCATCCTCCAGAAACCGCTTCGCGTCCCATCTAGTGTACAACCGTTCTCCGAGCGCGATGGGGATTGTAGTCTGCTGGGATAACTGTTTGATGGCTTCAGGATGTTCGCATAGTAACGGCTCTTCGATGAAAAGTGGACGATGCGGTTCGAGGGCTTTGGCTAGTTGTTTAGCCATGGGCTTGTGTAGACGGCCGTGGAAATCAAGTCCTGCATCGAGGCCGAGGGCTTTGACTTGTTTTAGGCGCTCGACGCAGGAGTCAATGGCGGCGGGAGAATCGAGCCAGTTGAGGTCTTCGGTTGCGTTCATCTTGATGCATTTGAGGCCTTGGGCGATGCGTGCTTTTCTATTCTGGAGTTAGAATAGATTGAATGTTCAAAGCAGGGAGATAACTCACGCTGCCACTTCGACATCACTAGGTCGATCACCTCCAACCCACGCATACACCTGCACCTTATTCCGCACTTTCCCACCGAGTAACTGGTACACAGGAACCCCGAGATTTCGTCCTTTCAAATCCCAAAGCGCAATGTCAATTCCCGACAAGGCAGACATGAACACCGGTCCGCCGCGGTAGAATCCCAATCGCCAGACTGTCTGCCAGATATGCTCGATGTCACTTTTTCGTTAGCTCAGGTCACCTGAAGCATGGGTATAGTGCACATACTCAGCTTCATATCCAATTATCCGAGTGATGATCTCGTCCAATGACCCCTCCACTGCCTGCGTGTGTCCCTCCAAGGTAGCTTCACCCCATCCGATACGTCCCTGCTCATCGGTGACTTTGACGAAGAGCCAACGAGGCTTGACGCGGAAGTACTCGACGGATTTGATCTTGGCCATTTTCTTCAGCTCAATTGTATATGTATACGATTGTAACTATGCTCAATATATCCTACTGATGAGCTATATTTATAGCTATCGAGAGCTATTCACGCAGTATATCCGAGTTGACCCCCACTTCCCCGCGTGGGGGTGATAGCCGGATTTCCCCCACGCGGGGAAATCAGTCCTACTGGTGGATTATTTTGCGATATCATCTGATGGGCAGGGTATATCATTGCCAATGAAGCTGATCTTCAAGTGACTATGTCATTATAAGATGCCTACAGGGCTCGATGACATGTGCAAGTCAACGCCTATCCATGCCATCCAAAATACCATTAAAATCCATATCCAACCATTCCAATGACGGCTCCATTTTGAGGAGACTCAACGCCATATCCTGATCCACACTGCGAAAAAGTTCCCGACTCAGCCCTCTTATGTACTCGATTGGCCAGAATTTCCAAACTGCCTCGAATGCATCCGCTGACTCTGATTCGATTGACATGCATAGCTTGATAAACAAATCGAGACGGTTCAGCTTCGCAATGGATGGATGAGAGTTCGTGAACTGGGTGAGGGTACGTTTTACGCGCCGAAGAATGGCGAGATTCTCCAGGTCCGTTGTGATTCGGACATCGCAAAAGAGTATAAAGGCCGGTTTTAACGCACGGAGAAGCATGGTGCTATTCTGATTAGTCCTCGGTCCTATGATTGAGAAAGAATAACCCTGGTCAAAAGAGATGATGTGGAAGACGTGAGACCTGGATCAAGATGATCATGATTCGACATATTGCACAGTGTCTGGAGTGCCCGAACCGCAACAAGAGAAACGCTGGGCGAAGACAGAAAATTCAAACGGTTCAAAGCAGAGAGGGCAGCACTCTGGAATCTTTGCTGACTGATTTTAAACTGCCCTTGCACTGCTGTGCTCTTGAATCTGCCGGGCCATCGGAGGCTGAAAAAGAAAGCCTTGGTAAAGATACAGACGCGGTGATGCAGGCGAATCTGCTCGCTCGTGCCATCTTCGATCAAACTGATGATCATTGTCTCCAAGGTCTCAGCAGAAATGTGATCCTGCCAAGGGAGTCCTTGGGATTGTTTGAATCCATCTCTGAGAAGATAGTGAGCTAATGGCCATATCCCAAGGGGAAAAACCAACCTAGCCGCATCATAACTAACAGGTTACCAAGCTCCTCTGATTCGATAATATCATGATGCTTAATGTGCAAATTGTTTTGGGCTGGAGATGATGTCCGCCACAATTTTCCTGCAAGATCGAATGCTTCCTCTATGATGTACCACCTGTTTTGATGGCCGAATTCAAAGTATTTGGGGGTGGGTAGAATAGATGGCCCTAATTCGATCTGCGCCAATTCGTGATGCTTACGCTTTTTGGTCTGTGGCATTGTTGCTTCCTGTGATTCGGGCGTATCCTCTCTGCAAAGCCAAGTCAGTAATTGTGAGGTGATTAGACTCTATCTTATTGCACGACACACTGTTCTTCCGGTTGGGTGGATTTTCCCGGGTCTTGGGCCTGGGTTTCACCTGTCGACTTGCAGTGCCAGCACTGCGGTGGCGTGTCTCTACAGTTCTGTCTGGTTGCAGTTTTCAATCTCCAGAAAGAGTCCTGCTTTCCTATCAGCAGAGTCTGGCAATATGAAATTGGAAAAACAAACGCGTTTGCGGTTGCACAGGTGGCATTCGTTCTTCTGCTGGGCAACTTCCATGATGCAAAATCTAGTAGATCTGGAAATTGAGATTGGAAAGAATGAAGAAGAGGAAAGAGAGGAAGGAGGAGCCATTGCTTTAAAGAATAGATTCCCTTATTGCAAACCGGTCGCATCTCTGATTCAAATGAGGGAAATTGATGGATCAATACTCCGTCATGAGTATTCGTTGATCTGTGATGCATCATATTGTCGGGGATGAATTGCTGCAACTCTGTCACAATCACAACCATGTTGGCGATTTCTCCGTCATAGCACCCTTAACTCTACATTATAAAAAAATCTGCAAATCGTGGCCCTGCTAAGTTTAATTACCAATGGATAACTGTATTAGTATCTTGATCTATAACAGTAGGCGCTTCTGTACCAGCCGACGTCACGATCACATTCGCCATGTCTCTGTATGACAATACATATATGTTTATCATTTGTGAATTAATTCCAGATTGATGATAATATTCAACGTCCTGTATAGATCAGGTACTAAAGAATCATAGTACCTGCTCTCCAAACGTGACTTCTCTGGCTGCGCGATCGATTTCATCATGGTTTATGTCAACCCAATTCAACGAGGGCTGACGTGTGAAGAGGTACAGTGCTTCGTCCTCTTTATAGCCACTTTTATCAGAGTGATCAATGGCTGGCGAAAAGTTCCAATCTGTTCCTTGGACAGAAGGTGTATACTCCGACCTGGATGTAAATGCACCACCGACTTCCAAGATCTTGCAGAGTAGACTGTGCATTTTCGAAACCCAGGGACAATGGAATATAAATGCATAGAGATCTGTGATATTATCTAGCAAGTCCAGATCGTCCTTGTCCTGAGTGACAACGACGTTTAGGAAGAGCACCCAAAAAGGAGTCAGGGGGTATAATTGGATTGTCCTGGGGTGGTCAGCTAGTCATTCCTAGTTGGAGATAGAGAGCATACTGCATCAAGAATGACGGATCCGGGTCATCGTCGTTCAAATGTTCTCGAACACTGCGCTTTATGTCCAGCAGAATTCTAAGCGCCTTTCGCGCACTGTCAATGCACTCTGCGTGGTCCCCAGAGTGCTTGAATTTACTGAACTCGAATTGCTTGATACTGCTCATTATGGCCCAGTAGGCAAACTCCGCGGCTGCAAACTCCCTTTCCAGGTTTGCAGACAGGATGTGCTGGAACTGGGTGGTCAGTCAGCCAATGCATGCCGGGGAAAGGAGCCTCCTTACACATTGGATGTCCCCGTGCAGTTCCTCCATTTGTTCCAAAAGATCGTCCAGTCGATCCTGTATCTCATTGTCATTTCTTTCTAGATCGTGACGTGATTCTCCATTGTTTTTGTCGAAATCAAGCCACAACCCCCAAGCAAGATCCTGAACGTGGGCAAGTTGAATGATCATCCTCGCTGGTGATTCCAGTGGACTGCTAGGGCGAAATTCACCCCACAGAACCAATTCGACTGGATCGATCTTTAACTCGGGAAGAGATGGTGTGTGTCCGAATAATGCACTGAGAACCCTGTCAAGACAGTAGCAGACATAGAGACAGGATTGAATCTGTTCTTTTTCATAATCATCCGGTTCGACACTCTGGATGGTGTGATGGTTAAGAGACATGAGCATACGGGCTGCGAATGCTGTCAGCGACCAACACCTTGATTGGTTGCCCATGTGTTGTGCTAGTATTGCCTGCGATATCAGTTTCATTCTATACAGCATTTGGGAAGGCACGTACTCCAGACAACAAAGCTTGCACGAGGGAAAGACGGGGCGGAGAGAGAAAAGGTATGCGACGCAGAGCATCCAGGGCCGCTTCCTGGTATTGGTTCTTGGAGTTGTCCATTCTGTCAGACACATGGCGACTGTGGTTCGAGCGAGACCGCTTGAGGGTGTAGAAAAAGGCCTTGGTGTACACACACACCCGGTAGTGCAGGAGAACATCGGCGCTTTCTTTCTTGTCCATTAACGCAAGGAACATCTCTTCCAAGCGAATCCCTGAGATGTGGTCAGGCCAGAAAAGATAGTCCCAGTGCTTGTCATCCTCAGATACGCCTTGGAAGTGTTAGACCTGTCATTTTCGTATAGAGTGACTGGGAAATACCTGGGAGCATCATGTACAAGAGCTCCATGGAAGGCTCTAATTCGACAAAGTCGCGAGTCCGCTCATCCAGAGTCCACTGCAATGCCGATGAGGAGGATTCCGACATTCTTTTCACAAAACGGTCCACCTCGCTCAGCACACGGGCTCTGTCTGTAGGAAGATTGGCAAGACGTTTACGCTGCCAGATTGCCCAGCTCTCGCCTGGTGTCGTTGACGGACTAATGGGTACTCTACTGCCATCCGTTTCACTACATTTCCGCTTTTTGGCCTGTGGTTGTGCTTCTGTCGCAGCAGGCCCTGTGGAAGCTTGGGTAATGGAAAGTCAGCAATGCCATTTGAAAGATCGACTAGACTTACTCCGGGGACTGAGTGGAATTCTCAAGCCTTTCCAACCGCTCAGTCAGGGCAGTGATTCTATTCAGATCAGCGAATTGTCTTCACGGTCAGGAAGGACTCACTGTGGTAACCGTGGAACAGAATCACCCTTCGATCGGGTCCGCAGGCATTGAGCCTGTGCCTTCTTGCAATTGCCACATATTTCCTCTCGATCGCATTTGACCTGTGATTTGTGTGAATATTTGTGATGGTGGTTGCTGGTAGAGACACACCTTTCTAGCGTAGCACAAGTCGCACTGAAACGTTAGCTTGGCTGATATGATACCAATGAAATACGTACAGCTGGCCTTGGGGTTGCTCTAGACTGTGGAGTCTCCATGTCAAGTGGATGGATACTTGAGATGAATATTGAAAAGATGTGTTGTAAGAAAAGGGATGCAGATCCGGAGCCCGAATCGGAGTTCGGGTCCGAAAGCCTCCGAGACGTCAAGATGTATATTGTATCGCAAATAGTTCTTAACTAGTAAATATAGCGAAAGTTGAGATTCTCCTTGTCTGTCAAATCACTAAACGCCGTCTGATCAATCTCCCACTGCCGGTCATCATCTGCAACACCCTGGATCCGATCTCTGCGCCGATTCTCCCACTGCAAGGCCAGACGCAACATGATCACCAGCGCAATCTCCACAAAATGCGACACAATCATCGACCAGATCCCAAGGGGGTAGCGCGGTGCCTGCTCCGACTTGTAGAAGAACGGGCCGGCGATGTTGCCGGCACACACACCCAGGAAGATCATGGCGTTGGTCACGACTTTCTTGGTGTGGCCGGCTATATTGGCGGTTAGGATGGAGAGGATGAGCACGAAGGAGGCATTGTATGAGCCCGTCAGATAGTAGCAGATGAGACGGCCGACTTTGTTGGATTCAGGGAGGAAGCAGAGCCCGAACGAGCCGGCGACATTGGGGAGGAGGAAGAAGATGGTGACATAGCATCTGTTGTTTGGGGGGAGACGGTCGTTGATCCAGACGCTGAGGAGGATGAGGATGGCGATGATGGCGCCATAGGGGATCTGCATGAGAGTTGTTCCCACTGACTCGTTAGATGTGTCGAGTATGAAGATAGATAGACGTACAGGTTGAAAAGCCAAAGCCCTTGATGATGAGAGTCCCAAAGTTGGAAATGCCCCCGTTGGGGATATTCCCCGAGAAGCCAAGGAGGAGAAACGTCCACACCTTCCAGTCGAGAAACGCCTCCCAGATCTGCGCCATCTTGATAGTCTTATTCTCCACACCCGTCTGATTGTCTCGCAGTCGTTGAATGGCGAGTCGTTTCTCATGGTCTGACAGTCGTTTGGCTGTGACGGGGGAGTCGGGGAGGAAGAAGATGATGATGATTCCCCAGGCAGAGCATAATGCGCCGATGATGAGGAATTCGTACTTCCACGATGCCAGAGCCCCTTTGATCTGGCCAATGCCGTATCCTAAGAGTCCTCCGATGGCAATGCCTACTCCGTTGGCTGTGTACCAGAGTCCGATGCGGATGGGTTGTTGGCGACGGGTATACCACATGCTAGTGATGAGCATAAAGGCAGGATCACTGCTGGTCAGTTTATTCTCATGTAATGGTAGGATGGCTTACCTGCATGCTTCAGCAGCGCCAGAAATGACACGAAGAACGGCAAGTTGGACAAAGTTCTTTGCAACGGCTGTTTGGTCAATATAGATCGTATACCGTATACAAGGGACATACACTGCAGCATCAAGAAGAACCCCCAGAGAAATATATTCACTCCGAGATACTTTCCAACAGGAAACTTTTGCATCAACAAGTTCGTCACTGGACTCCAGACGAGGAATCCAAAGTAGAAGACACTCGACAGCCAGGAGTATTCATCGCCAGAGACTCCCAGGTCTTCATTAATCCCGAATATAGCAGCATACGACAAGGTGGTTTTGTCAATCTGTCGATTAGATACCATCCCTTATACCAGATACTAGACTCACATAGTAAAAGGCATAGCAGACAGCCAGAAACGGCAGAATCATCCAGTCAATCTTCCACACCAGCTTTCTCTCCTCCTCGGGATCAATCGGTCCTTGGAGGCCGTCTTGAGCGAATAGCGCGAGTGCCGTATCGCCATTGTGGACTTTGCCTCCTTCGAGGTGCATTGCCGATGGTTTGTTTTGAGAATCCATCCTGTCTGCCTGTCTCCTACATTGGATCCTCTATCTGTCTCTGAGATATAAGATTGAAGTAGACAGTAGACATCATACCGTGGGGGTCTGGGGAAGTGGGGATTCTCCGCATCTGGGGTTGACAGGGATATAGAAACCCCCACGCTCGGGTGAAGACCGAGATATTCAGTAGCTATGATAGCTATCATGATCATTACTGGTGGACTATTATTTTGATGGACGTAGATCAGACAGAGTAGCGCTGTTGATGATGATGATGACATAGAACTCTTCGATTCTAGATTCTAGCTTTCTTGTGGATGGTTTGTATGTGTATGAAAATTCAAGCAGCTCAAGATATACTACTTAGTACTGTATGCAGATATATAGTGCAGCTATTATTGGTACTTTATGGTTGATTGGTCGTGTTTCTCTTGCTGAGCAATATATAATGTCTAACTGATCCCTTGATTCTGCAAGGTGTAAATGTCTCAACTCGATCCACCCTTTAAAATGATTCATCCAATCAACTGAATTGTTTACTATTTGATTATGGCTTACTATTCCAATTGGAATAAATCCGGGGAAGTGGATAAATCTCCGCACAGGTTAAACAACCCCCACGCAGCACATTTAACCAACAGAATCATACAACATCATCCCCAAACAATCATGTTGACTCGTGAGGAAGTTGAAAAACACGCATCGGCAGCGTCCTGCTGGGTTGCTATACATGGCTCTGTCTACGATGTAACTGGTAAGTCTCCTCTCTTCTGTATGAATCCTCCTAACCAGTCTTAGACTTCATTCCCTCCCATCCCGGTGGCTCAAGTGTCATCCTCCGCTGTGCAGGAAAAGACGCGACCGATGAATTCGACTCTGTCCACGATAAGGAATTATTGCAGTCTCTTCCTGCATCGTCATTTCAGGGTCACATCGAAGCAGGCATTCTATCCAAGCCAGGAAATGAAGCTGCATCCGAACCTATATCTGAACAGGGCCCACCCCCCTTACACACGATAATCAACCTGCACGACTTTGAAGACATCGCGCGACACCACCTCCCCCCACCAGCATGGGCATACTACTCCTCCGGCGCCGACGACGAGATCGCCAAAAACAACAACCAGAAAGCGTATAGCAAGATTTCTCTCCGTCCGCGCATTCTCCGCAGTATCCCGGCTGTTGATACCAGTACCAATATTCTGGGGCATGCGGTGTCGCTGCCTGTGTATATTTCGCCAGTTGGGATAGCGAAATTCGCTCATCCGGATGGCGAATGTGCGCTGTTTTCTGCGGCTGGGAAGGAGGGGATTCTGCAGATGTTGGCGAATGGGTCGAGTTTTCCGATTGAGAGGGTGATGGAGATGAGGGTGAGAAAGGAGCAGCCGCTGTTCTTTCAGTTGTATGTCAATAAAGACATAACAAAGTCGGAAGAGACGGTGCGACGGGCAGTCAAGGCTGGTGCCAGTGCGTGTGTTTTGACAGTCGACAGTCCAGTCGTTGGAAAGAGGGAAAAGGACGAGAGAATGAATCTACAGGTTCAGGTATGACCATTCATCTACTATTATCTATAAACTAACAAGATAGGCACGGGATTCGTCAATCCAAGGACAAGGCGTGGCCAAGGTCATGGCCAGCTCGATATCGCCGTTTATCGACTGGAGCATTCTGACCTGGATACGAGGACTGACTGCATTGCCGATTATCATCAAGGGGATCCAATGCGTGGAAGATGCCGTCATGGCGTATCGACATGGAGTGCAGGGCATTGTGCTGTCCAACCACGGTGGTCGATCTCAAGATACGTATGTCTATTCTATATTCTACTTGATGAATCTAACTGAATAGTGCCCAATCCCCCCTCCTCACACTGCTGGAGATCCGAAGACACGCCCCCTTTCTGCTCAAAAGCAACATGCAAATCTTCATCGACGGGGGCATCAGACGAGGAACAGACGTTCTCAAAGCGTTGGCTTTAGGAGCAACAGCCGTCGGACTGGGAAGGCCATTCTTGTACAGTCTCTCAGCCGGATACGGAGAAGAAGGCGTAAGACGGGCGATTCAGATTCTGAGAGAGGAGATCGAGATGAACATGGTGTTTCTGGGGGTGACCAGATTGGAGGAATTAGGAGGGCATTTGGTGAATTCGGCGAGACTGGAGAGGGATGTGACGGGGTGTGTGAAGCTGTAGGTAGATGAATAATGATGCTATTTATGACCCCCACGTACCCCGCATATAACGATATTTATATCTCTCATCCTCCCAATTCAATTCAATTATTCTCAACCATTAATCTGGCAATTAATCAGCATGAGTGAAATTAACGTCCTTCTCTACGGCCTGGGAGCGTAAGTCATCCACCTGATCGAGAACTATCTAACTCGTCAGAATCGGCTCCTTCTACGCCTTCATCCTCCAACGCAACGATCGCGTCCGATTGACCGTCGTCGCACGATCCAACTACGACGCTGTCAAGAATAATGTACATCTATCCACTATATACAATGAATCATACTAAGAAATAGGGAATCCTCATCGAAAGCGAAAACGACGGCCACCACCGATTCCACCCCTATGCCGTCGTCAAATCCGCCGCCGAACTGACCTCGCCGGTGGATTATATCGTGTGTGCGCATAAAGCGATTGACCAGGATTCTGTTCCACTCCTTTTAAAGCCAGCTATTAGTGAGAAGACGACGATTGTGATTATCCAGAATGGAGTGGGGAATGAAGAGCCGTTTAGACGGGTTTTCCCTGATTGCTCTATTTTGACTTGCGTGGTATGTCTTCTATACATTGTACACTGTTCTATCTAACTATGCAGACCTGGGTTGGAGCAACACAAATCAATCCCGGCGTCGTCAAGCATACCAAGTCAGAGGATATGCAGATCGGACTGTATCCCAATCCATCGCTGTCTCCATCAACCGAACAATCCCGTCTCGAGACCTTTTCCTCTCTCCTCACGGCCGGAAAGACCAAATTCACCATTCTCCAAGACATGCAACGCCAGCGCTGGGAAAAAGTCGTCTGGAACGCAGCCTGGAACTCGCTCACCACGTTGACCATGGTGGATACACAGAGCTGGCTGCATTCCTCTCCTGAGGCGACGCCATTTACACGCCGGTTGATGGCTGAGGTTATCTCCGTTGGGCGAGCGTGCGGGGTCGAGTTACAAGATAGTCTGATTGACGAGCTGCTAGATAGAATTAATTCCATGCCAGGCATTGGAAGTAGCATGCAGACTGATGCGAAGAACGGCCGCCCGATGGAGGTTGAAGTTATTCTGGGATATCCGGTGCGAAAAGCGAGAGAGCTGAAGATACAGACGCCGATCTTGGAGACGCTTTTCCTGCTGTTGACGGCAGTGGATGGGCGGTTGAGGGGGTAAATCCACCAATTATGTAGTTATACAAGAGACGTGGGGGTCAGATATCGGGGATAGTCCGACTCATCATTCATTCATACATCATCCATCAATAGAATAAAATACATCAATGCACTCTTTTATGTCTCTTGAATGACGCCTTGGACTTCAACGGCGTAGGCTTCGGCGTCAAATCCTTTCCTTTATGCGGCGGCCCCGGAAAGACCTGGTTATTGCAATGATCATCGATATCATGGCACTTTTCCTCCCAGATCTTGCAGTTGGATCCTCCCGTCGGCGGGACTGAAGCCCAGCAGTCGTCGCCTTGGCTCCAGCAGTTCTGCGATGCTTTCCAGCATCCTTCCTGGTCGGTGTATGAGGGCACTTCGAAGCCGCACCAGTTGTCGCGGACGAGAATGCAGCCGTCTGGTTTGAGGCCATCCGTCTGCACCATTGCTGACCGTTTCGATTTCTCCTTCTGCCCCGGAGTATATACATCTGGGCCGGGCATGGGATACGGCAGCTTCAACGGCGTTTCGTAAATGTTATACGTCAAACCCGGCATACTGAGATCATACGTCCCCTGTCCAATCTCGACAGTCTCCGGCTTCGCATTCCCACCATCCTTGATGAAAATCTGCGCACATCCGACATAAAACTGCGGATCCGGCGGATCGTCCTGCGCAGCATGCAGCGCCAACAACTCAGGGCGGACGAGATAATACCCCGCCTGGATATCCTCAGGTATGGTCACGGAGATATGCCCGTTATTCTCAATCAGCTTCTCCGTACACCACTTTCCATCCGCGTAGGTGTATTCCCAGATTTTGAACCAGCCGGGCCCGGCGGCGTTGCTGTCTTCGGTCGCGTTGGCGACTTTCTTCATGTACACGGCGCAGGGCCCTTTGTGGGATGGATCGATGGAGCCGGGCTGCGATGCGTCGGGGTATTCGCGGAATTCAAAGGTGAGGGTGCTGGAGGCAGAGGCTGGGCAGACGCGACTTACGGCGGATTCGCCGTTGTAGCCTGTACAGTTAGTATATAGAGTAGAAGGGGGTGTAGACGGACATACCACACGCAACATCAGGACTGGACAGAGGCTCAATGGGAAAACTGGCATTGTTGGCATGGTGGTTCATGCGGACACAAACACCATCGCCTTGGTTGTTGCCATTGACGTAGAGAGTGGTGAAGACGGTGTGGCATGAAGCCAGACCAACGAGGAAGAAAAGAAGATACATGAGAAGATGAATGAATGTGATGATCAAAGTAGAACAGGAAGAAGAGAAGAAAGAGTGGTTATATAGAAGAAGCCACAGCGCTAACGCAAGGCACTGTTTCACACGGCGCTTACAAAATGATCCGCCCTTTATTGATTGGCCTCGTATCTGCAGGGTCTCATTGAATAAGCAGTAAGATTAATGTTTCAGATGATCATCTACAATTCTATTCTGAAACAATAAGACATTATGCATCATATGAGTCAGATCGTTAAAAAGGGATGGCAGAGTAAATCGCCCGTGGAAACCCGCTGCTTCGGGTTTTTCTGCAACATCAACAACAGCAGCGACGATAACTGCTGGATATTCTCCGTGCCAAAGTCGGACGGCAGTCGCTCTGTCAGATGCTGCGTGAATGATGCATCTGTCTGCAGGATCCGGTCCACTCGGTCTAGATGGCCTTGGTCGACTTCTTCTGGCGTCAGCCCACGCCACTGGAGTGGGAATAATGGGGCGTTTGTTGCTAGCTCGAATATCTGCTATATTAATAGATCAATAGATACCATCAAGGGAAATATCAGACATACCAAACACCCCAATGCCCAGATATCAATGCTCGCATCCCAGATCCCCCGATTCACTAATTCCGGCGCGGCAATGGCCGTCGGCGTCACGGGCCACTCATTGCATCTCGACGCAGTCGATAGTGCATTTTTCACTCTGATTCCTCCCCCCAAATCGCCAATTTTGATCATCAGCGTGGCAAAGTCGGCGTCGTCGAGTTGGCCTCGCGGTCGTTGTGATGTCACCAGATACTCTGGAGCGCTGTCGTCTCTTTCCATCCCCTCTAGCCATCTGACAGGTCGGAATTCAGGGGGCTCTAGGAGCTGTTCGGTATATATCGTTTCATCCAGTGAAACCATGATATTCGCCGGTTGTAAGTCTGTCAATCAACATCACATCATTCTCATTATCCACAATAAAGCAGACTCACCACAATGCACAATCCCCAGACTATGCAAAAAGTCAAGACCCAAAACAAGCTGTCTCGCAATCGCCCGTACACATCCCACCTGATGCGGTTTCCCAGCATCAGCCATCCCCTGCCCATCAGACACCATCACCGGAAGCACAAGACACAAGTGTCGTCCATTAGGTCCATCATGCGTGAAGCTATCCAGTAGCTCAATCACATGTCGTTTGCCGGGATGACTTGACTCCGCTAGTTCAAGCAATGTAGACGCTTCATTGCTATTCGTCGATGCATCTGCTTTGAGAATCTTCAATGCTACTTGTCCTTGCCGTCTAGACGCATTAGTCTACAATCTGTAAACGGAGAAAGGGGGAGCTACAGTTGATCACGCGCCAACCACACCGTCGAAAACTGGCCAAACGCCAACTTCCCAATCACTCTGTATCGCTGGTTGAAGACATCACCCAGTTGGACTGGATGATACCCGCCTCGACGGTACTTCTCCACATCCTCGACGCCGTCGTCTATCTTCTCGAAGCGGTGCATGTTGATAAATGCCATGATGCATTCAACCACGGATGAGGAAGGGTTCTCCACAAAAATAAACCGATTGAGTTTGTCTCCAGGATCGTCATTACATAGAAATAAGCGAGAAAGTGTTGTTTCTGATTGGGTGGATTGGGATGATCATGCTCGGATTTAGTGACTAGGGCTCGGGATTAGGGCTTGTAACTGTCAAATATTCTCACTATTCCGACTAGCAGAACCACTCCTCTATCAAACCAAGTGAAATGTATGGAATCGAGGCCGTTCTCTTATCCAAGGCTTCAAAAAGGTCCATGCCAGTGCGACACGTCGACTGATGCCATTCTCCGTCTCAACAACCATAAGCTCCACTACGATAGGGTCCGGGTGAAGGTAACAAAGCTCAGTCCCTGTAGAATCGTACCAATTGTCTTCATCATTTGCACCATCCTCCAAAAAGCTGGGTCTAATAGAGAGAGCCAACACATCAAAGACAGCCTGGGGACTCTGATGACGAGCACGTTTGATGCGTTCCATGTTGACTGATCCGAGCACCAAGTTAGGGACCAACTCGCCTGCTTTAACGTGAAGCCTTGTGTCGTTTTCCATGAGGATCAGATCGAGATGGAGCGATTGGGTGTAGACAAAGATCGATCCGACTGGGCATTTGGACCACATCTCAAAAGGGAACCTTGCTTCCACATCTTGTTCAGACATTGTGCCGTTCGGCATACAATGGGCCTCGTCACATAACTGCGCGAGCGAGCGCCAGTTGCTAGAAACGAGCTTCTCATAGTCCTCCCATGTACCATCAATGTCGAGTATAGTCGGCAGACATCCCGAGAAGCAACCGGATTTCCATGCCAGGACAGCCGCAAGTCGCGCCAAGACATATTCTTTTGAGCGATATCCAAGATGGAGTTGTACCGAATGATCTACACGTGAACGGGTTTCAAGGTCTATCATTTCTTGTTCATCGCGCTCATTGGGTGATTTAAACTCCTCCCGTTCGTCAAACACTTCTGGCTCGCCTGCAGCATTCGAGAGAGGCTGTATACTCGGTCGACCGTTAAAAGTGGATGGGATCGCCCATACTGCGAGTGATGTCCGCGCTTTAGTCCACTCAGCGAAGTGGCATGTGTAATTACCAGTGATGACACCGTTGATGGAAGACCACGACCATGAGGGAAATACGTCCCCCAGGGGTGCGTGCCTTGCCACATGTTCGTTGATTGTGACCGTCCAGTCGTAACCCGGCAACCAAAGTTCATAGGTGGCGGGAGTTGAAGACACTGGGGACTTAGAATCACTATCGACGGTCCAGAGTATTGCATCACTGAAGATATTCAGAGGGAGACCATAATAGCCGGATCCCCATCTCGTATGTAGAATCCCTTTGAATGCATGCAGTATGTCGGATTCGAAAGTCAGATCCCTCTGAGTGAGCTCCCGCACCACTTTACTGTAAGAGTCTTTCAATCTCCAGAGATCTCTCAATTTGGGAACCGTCCCTTCAATCTCGTCTTGGATTTCTTCTCTATGGCGGCATTCATAGAAAACCCTGGTATCAGAGAAGAACAGCAACCTTGGTGAGAAAAATGCCTCTTGAAGAGTCCAACCCCTAGATGCCCATTTGGACTGCCGGAAGAACTCATGATAACCGTGAAATTCGCTGATGAGATGAATTCCCTGCCACTGTCTCGTCCAGTACGCAGGTCGCTGCACTTTGCCAACTCCTGTCAGGCCATGGTCGGCATCAGACCCATCGAGAGCGACCAAAGTGAGAGATGAGTGGCTGTATATCTCCCCCATGGCATTCAAAAATCGATCCTTCTTGCGAGGCTCCTCGTCCTGCAAGATACAAAGCCGATCAACCCAAATATAATCGATGCCTAGAGCGCTGCATGCAAAAATTGCATCCTCGATGACCTGTGGCAAGAGATCGCTGCTCAGAGAGCCATCCGCACTCAGACGGTGGATATTCTCTGTTGTTGCCTGCAATTGAGCACTTGCAGCTCCCCAAACGTAGCTCAAAGCTGCATATTCACAGGGGGTGGGAACCAGCGCGATACACCTCTTTCTGACATCAATCACTCGGAATTCACTTGTAAGTGTGTTTTCAGGCTTGACATGGCAGCACCTGTTTTGGCAATCTTTCAGCCACTCGGAAACCATTGCCCAGTCAACTGTCGCCTGGGGTCTGCGTATAGAAACGATATTGTGGCCTCGGACAGGATCCAGGGTTCCGAAAAGTCTTTCATCTATATCATGTCACTTAATACTCTATTTTTTCCAGTTTCCATATAGATAGCCTAGAATGGTAAATCTTACACCTGGTACAATACCTCCTTTTCTTTTCAACTGATAAGTAACCCTCTGGTCTTCTCAGGCTGAGGATTATTTCGAGGTCGTACTTGATATCCGCAAGTGAGCCGACCCTTTGTCTCACGGTAAGAATGCATGATGCGTTTCGTGAAAGGCCTGTGCCTTTAAGCAAGCGATCTGCTATCTTGGAAAACATGTCGCACGCTTCACAGTATGATGAATTCTTTTCCAAGCCTCGAACACGGCCTAGATTTAATACAAATTTCCTAAGGTTGGTTGAATATCGTGTAGGATCTCGATCGGCCAAAAGCAAACATTGTAACAAATGCTTCAATCTCATGTGCTTGCATCTCTCACATAGTAAGTCACTCGGCGTATCGGAGCAGCTTGGACACCATTTGTGGAAATACTCTTGTTTCTCTGCTGTCTTAGTTGGGTGGTTGCTGAGAGGCTGGTTTGGGATCCCTGAAGTGCCTCTGGATATGACAAATTTCGTATTCCCGAAAGAAGCACAGAGTGAACATCTATCATGGATGCCTTCCTCATCATGTTCCATGGCGCAGTATCATTGGAAACCTAAAAAGCCTGATATGTTGCGTTCTAGAGTTTAGATTTGTGAATGGATATAAGTATAGTTATTTTCTTCATTCTGCTCGGACGCAGTTGATGGAATGTCACAAGTCATGCCTTGGATGGCGCATGGCTGCCTAATGTCTGCCCAAGCGTGGGGTACACCGTTCACCTAGAAGAAATTCTGGTTTCGAGGTTTGAGGCCTAAGTTTGTGACTTGCAATAGCCCACAGAACTCATATGAAGCTAGCAGTGTATATAGAAGTCAATCCCACTCCCAGAACCGTGAAGTAGGCCCCTGGTTAATGGCCTCGAGACATGGGAATATCACCAATAAAGCAATACCAGCGCAGTTATATATCAGTATAACTTCTGTTTATATATTGGTCCAGGCTTTCTGGCCTGTGATAGACTGCTCTTGTTATTTGCCATTGGTTGTTTCAAATATCTGCTATATAAAATTTATAGTATAACAGCTGAATCTACTGATGAGGCACTCGTCGAACCACCGACTGAGAAGCAGTCCGAAAGACCGAAGTAGAAGATGGCATCTCGTGCAGCGACACTGGCTCCTCTCTTTCATCCTTTTTCAGCTTCTCCGTAATCCAAGGCAGGAAATTGAACACTCCTCCACAGACCATGATGCCGATCCAGAGTACGAGTTCAGTTCCATAGATAACCATTCCGAGAATATCGATGCTTGGTTCGAACACTAAACATGTTAGTGATAGACCGTTGACTATAAGGAGAACACATACAGACGGAAACTAGAGAGAATAAATCCCCAGCAGCATCAATGGCGATGAATATAAAGCTGATTCCTCTCACCGTGTGGTGGACATAGATATCCCAGTAATGTCGAAGAACGCCCGCGGCCAGTAGACAGGCACTGAGAACAGCCATGAGGATAATGGGCCATTGAATATCACGATCCTTTGCGGCTTGTAATGCATATATCAGACCAACTTCAATCCCACCGAGGGTGATAAGAAGCGGAACAACAGCAGTGATGCATGCCATCAACGACCGTTTCTACAATATTATTATCAATTCAGTATAATCAAATAAAGACACACCTTCCCATAGTAAAAGCACTGCGCCCACGTCACAAGACTCAGAAAAGTGAGTATTTGAGGCTGTATTCGAAGTGCCACATTAAACTCCTCCACAATATTATATACTCCCAGAGGCACGCCAGCAGTAGCCCACAACAGCATCATCGATGGCTGCAAGCCTTCCGTGTTATGTCTTCGATAATTGACGATGATCTGGGGTATAAGCTGTGGATCTTAGTGTCGCTCGACATTAACGCCTGGACCTTGTCTCACCTGGACAGACCAACAGACCTAGAATTGTTAGCTGCATTCATTGTGAGAGGAGGAAAACTGACAGCGCCTATAGTCCCGAGGACATTTGCTGCGATTGGGACGTCCATTGTGGATTATGTCGATGCAGATTGAAGCATTTCAGTGATTGAAGTCATTGATAACAGCACGTGATTGGAATTTTCTGGAATTCTGATTGACCCACCACTACCGTAAATGACCTGGAAGTGAGTTATATGATTGTTATAGAGCTATCCATATTCCATATTCGATAACCTGTCTTTGCTGGAAAAATGGTAGACAGTGACATCCGAAGCATCCGCTTTACTGTCATGAGAAGATATCAAGATGGACCCTGATGACACCCCATGTGCCCTTCCATGGCGCGTTTCAGTGTGGTTGATGTATTCCAGAACATCTCCACAATGAGGTCAGTTTGTCTAAATTAAGAATATTTATACGAGATTGATAGATTGATAAGCATACTACCTTACATGGTTTATACCACTATGGAATATTGTTAGAAATAAAGTGGCTTACCATACTAGAAATTTATTATCCCTCTAGTTCGGCAGTTATGTTTACCCTCATAATAGCAGTGCAACTACCGCTTGAACCTCGGGTGGATGTGAAACACCGATGTTGACTCAATTTTGGGGTCGACAGGGAACCATTCCAGCCACCAGGAACACATATTGATTAATTACCCGAACCGTTCAATCAGCATCCCAGAATCAGATAATATTGTCTTTTTTGTACGAGAGCCAAGGTTGAACGTCGGGGGAACCAATTTGTGGGTTACAGAGTGAGACTTGGATGCAGCATTTGCCCTGTAGATGTTTATCTGTAACTGATTGATCTTTCTTCTATTCTTCTATCTTTATGCTCAAGAATAATCTATTTTTCATTATGGAGGACTCATTTTTTAGTCTGCATTTTGGTAAATTCCCGACGCACAACACTCTATACCAATCACATCCACATTAACAACAATATCAATCTATCTAAAAACAAGAACTAGAAAACCATCGAAGCCAATATCCATGGCTCTGCTGCATCTGTAACCTCCACGAAACACTGATCGCCCCAATTTCTCGATCGTGTCAGAAACGGCTTCTGCGCCGGGTCTGATTTTTCAGTCTCTCCTATAAGTACCTCTCACTCGTATGTCCTCGTGTCCTCACTTTCTTTCTTTTCTTCTTCTCAGTCCATACTGCCGTTCTTTATCTCACCAGCCATCCCACAATGAAGGCCGTCGCCCTCCTTGCCCTCCTCGCCGGGTCTGCCGTCGCAGCGCCCACCCCCACCATCGAAGAGCGCCAGTTCGATCTCGGTTCGTTGGCCTCCAACCTGCCCAATTTTGGCGGTTCCTCCACCTCCAGCTCGTCGGGTAGCAGCACCACCTCTGCCAGCAGCGGTGGTGAGACCGGCGTCAATGCCATCCCGGACATTAGCAGTCTCCTGGGTGGTGACAATGGTTTGTTGCCCGTGAGGAAAGCTACTGTGAAGCGTGCTGATGGTGTATAGGCGGTATTACCGAGAACGGCGTCACTCAGAACAAAGGCTGCCAGCCTTTGACGTTTATCTTTGCTCGTGGTACGACTGAGCTGGGGAACATGGGGAGTGTTGTTGGGCCGCCTGTTGCGAAGCAGCTGAGCTCTTTGACCAACAACAAGGTCACTGTCCAGGGTGTCGATTACCCTGCCGATGCAGCTGTAAGTCCACATTATTCACCATAGTCATATCATACCCTCTAACCGATGGACTTAGGGCAACGTCTCCATGGGCTCCTCCGGCGGCCCCCAAATGGCCAAACTCGTCAAGCAAGCCCTCCAGCAATGCCCCGACACCAAGGTCGTGCTGGGCGGCTACTCGCAAGGTTCGATGGTGGTTCACAACGCGGCAAACTCGCTCAGCGACGGCCAGGTCACTGCCGCCGTGCTCTTCGGTGACCCGTTCAAGATGCTCAACGTGGGCAAGCTGTCTAGCGATAAGGTCAAGGAGTTCTGTGCTGCTGGGGACCCTGTCTGTGAGAATGGGTTTAATGTGATTGCTCACTTGTCGTATGGCGGGGAGGCTAAGACTGCGGCCCAGTTCTTGGTGCAGGCTGCTGGTGTTTCTTCTTAGATACCTTTATGTGTGTTAAATTATTAGATGAGATGACGAGTTGCTGTCTTGTCGTTTGTATATCCTTGGTTATGGACTTGGTGCTGGATGCTGGGTTTATGAATACTGTTATATTATCTTATCTCGATGATCAATAGAAAGTAGGTCGTGTTCAGCTGAATTAAAGTGCAGTTTACCTGCAGATTGTTGTATGTGCCAGTATTAGTAGTCAATAGACATCTGCCATGTACAACACATTATATACATGATTAAAACACCTTGAATCCACCTGGCATCAAAGTCTGGAAAACACCATGAGGATCGTACCGCTTCGCGATCGTCTGCAGCTTCTGATGGTTCTCCGCTCCGTATCCAGGGAAGATGGACTGGAAGCCGGCCGCGTCGCCCCTATTCTCGTTAGCAGCTGCATTTATTGACGGGTGAATTCACTTACATGTAGTTGAATGCTTCAAACAATCCAGCCTTCTCCGTGGCAGCGTTGATCTCGGCAGTCACATCCTTCACCCAGGTGGAGACGGCCTCATCATAAGCTGATCCAATCCATTCCACCACCTCGGCGTAGCAGAGGTACACCTTGGACGAGTCCAGACCGAGTGCATTGCCGCCACGGGCCTCCGAAGCTTTCATCCAGAGAGATCCGATGGGTTGCCAGTCGAGTTGAATGGTGGAGATGTTGGCCGCAGGCACCTTCTCGTACAGAGCCGGGAGAGCAGCAAAGAAGGTGCTGTTGATGATACTGATACCGCGGTGGAGTTCGTCGTATGTAGTACCCGACACTGTACCGGCGACGAAAACGTCACTGAAACGGTTAGTTGGTTCATTTAGATGATCGGAAAAACATACTTGATGTCTGGAACCACCATGGCGCCCGTCTCCGTAGCGAATTCACCCAGAGTCTTGAATCCGACCGTGCTGCTGATAGCGGGAATGTCGGTAAACGGCTTGAAGGCATCCGGGTAGCCGGTGTCAGGGCTGTCGTAGAAAAGAATCACAGATGCCAGCGTGGTGTTGCCGGGCACGACAGCAGGAACAATGTGTGTCTTGGGGTCGGAGATGTCGGCCGCGTAGGTAGCGGCGGCCTATTACGATTAGCAAAAGCAACAGCAAGGAAGGGCATCAGATCATACAGCCAGGAATCGATCCAGGTACTGCGCCGACACGGTGTGAGTACCCGCCCAGACCTTGGGAGACTTGATGGTCTCAATGTCGAAGCGAGTGACCAAGCCAAAGTTGCTGCTGCCACCCTTCAGAGCCCAGAAGAGATCAGGATGGTGCGTCTTGTTGACCTCGACAACAGATCCATTGGCCAGGACAACCTCGTAGTTGATGACGCTGTCGCATGCCCAGCCAACCTGGTTGCCATAGAAGCTGACACCTCCCGCCAGGAGGAGACCAGGAACACCGACTGGACCCAAACGACCTCCAGGGACTGCAAGTCCATATTGCTGGAGGTAGGAGTAGACATCGCTCCAGCTAGAATCCCGTCAGTGGCTGTCAGGAGACATACGGAATAAGATAAAACATACTGATGCGAAGGACCGACCGACAAAAGCGACTTGTCCTCGTTCACCTCCGACTTGGTCAGGTTGGACATGACGATCAAAACGCCATCATCGATATTGTTGGACCCCTAATGATCATCAGCCGTGTTTACGCCGAGAATAACCCGCTGTCCATAGTTACCCTGATTCCCATATGTCCACCGCCCCGCACCGCAAACTGGGCATTGACATCGACCAATTGACCGAGACCTTGGGCCAATTGGCTGCTGGATTGTGGACGGAAGATGCAGCCCGGCGACATCTTCTCCGTGTTGGACCAGAACTCCTGCGATTCATAGCTGTAGACGGGGCTGCCGCTGTAAAACACCGCATCTGACAGCTTATCGCCCAATGCCTGGCATCCCGGTGCCACAGAAGCATTGCACATCACATTGGCCGGAGCCAGGCCTGCCAGGGGCACGACCGTTGAAGACAGACGCATTATGGCTGATCAATTGTGCGATTGAATCCGGGGACTGGAACGGAGGGGAGAAGGGGGAGGGAGGAATAAAAGGAATCGACCGGTCGGATTAAATCAAATCAATCATCCTAAACTAACACGCGGCAGAAGGCTTGATCAACCAGAATTGGCAGAGAGAAGAACGAAACGTGGTTCTCTGGGAATCGTGGTCATCTCCGATGTTCCCGCGGCGGTTGTGGAGAAAAAACACGGCGAGAACGGAGCCAATGCATTGCTTCGGAGTCAGGTCGCGCCGCTGAAGAAAGTAGTTGCGAGTTTTCTGAATCAGGGTCAACTGGTTTTGATTCATGGTTAGCATCTAGCACCATAGTTTGGTCGCGATCTGCCAATCTCCGTGCTGATAGTCACCGCTAACTCGCTAGTTTTGCTGAGGCCATCCCCACCGGCTGCAAGAAACCTCGGCCGTGGCACGACTTGCTTCGATAGTTACGGCAACAATCGATAATCAATACCAAAATGTGTGTGGCCAGAATATAAGATGAGAGATTATCATCGAATTGATTGTGGTATCAACTTATTATATACCGGGGTATTTTTTCACTCCTTATCCCAAAAATCATCGCTCACAAAGTAGAGCCAAAGGCTCCCCATCCAAGAAACCAAAAAAATTTCAATTGAAAACGCCAAATTCGATTATTTCATCGCCATCATTAAGTCGCAGACTGGCAATCATTATGTATGAGGAGGCGAGTTCTCTATATCGAACTCGACGGTTCGGACAATTCCGTCTACTTCCTTGGAGGAAACAGGGAGCGTTGATAGGATGTGCTCCCTGCTCTCGTTGCCGAATCCTCCTGTCAATGTCGCCGAGTATTTATGACTGCCATTGGTGAAGCTCGGCTGTCCTTCGCGAGGTATCGAATTGAGAGGATGCCCGGTTGGGCGTGAACTTGAATAGTCCGCTGATGACAGACCGAGGAGACGGGGGAAGTATCGTCGCACAAATGGTCTCATGGCAGTCACGCATCCTCCAACAATGCCCAGGTTCAGCTCAATCGTACACCACCACAGTGCATCGGTGGTTGCCCCTGGTCAAGTCAGTTTGAATATCGAATAGGCCTACCTGATCGCAGACTTACAGGTCAAATCGGTGCTGTTCATCAAGACGTAAAGACTTGCCAGGCGGACGCAACTAACGATGCCGACACTATGATCGATGAGACTCTGGAATGGTCGATCAAGATTGGTGACACTTACAAACATCCCATTGCCAGAATACAACCAACGGCAATCTTCTGTCGTAGAGGCATCTGCAACCGTCGTAGCCAGGGTCTAGAATCGCCAAAATTGATCAGTGCTGGACTCCCAAGTAGTTTATTCGCCCCGGTCTATACGCACATCGGAACCAATACCGTCGCAAAGTCTGTGAAGATGCCGAGTCCTGCGTTCGCAAAGTAGAACACCGGTCGATTCATGCAAATGCCATGCTCTATCGTCAAATCCCACGCTTTCGCAATCGGCGTACAGCTAAAGACGTTGGCCAAGACACTCGCCACATTATAGGCCACCGCGATGAAAACAATTGTCCAAACGGAGATGTGGAAGGAGCGGCTGGGGAAAATGCGGAGGTAAAATATGAGGACGGAGACTTTGGTGAATCCGGTCGCAGCGCAATAGAGAATGGCCGCGATCACGTTCAACTAGCGAAGAGACTATCATCAGCGTCTTTCATCAACAGATCCCTCACTCGAGCAGCATACCTTGAGAAAATATGGAGTTAGGTGAGCTAGAGGTACATCCCACATGTGCCTCCCTAGACCATAATTCAACACTATCAGATTCGTTAGTCGTTAAGTTCGCTCTTGGGATTTGATGTCTACCTACTGTCAAGTGTAACACCAGTAAGGGCGATAGACAATATCTAGATCAAACACCATTAATCAGTATCCAGTTGGAGCTTACAGTAAGCCACAGCCGACATACCAATGATGTGATCATTAAATCTATCCGGAGTCAGCAAACTGAGTCAAGAAAACATTCAAAGTAGAACAACAATCCTTACAATCATCTGAACGAAAGTTGCGCACGATAAATATTCTAGTCCAGGTCCGAACAACCAAGGCAATGACAGCCAGCGGCAAGAAAATGCAATTTATCGCCAGATACTTGTCACCACGGGACATAGGGTTGATGAAATTCGATGTCACGCCAGGCGGCGGTGCCATCGCCGGCGTGATTGTGTTATTCTCCATGGCTGGCCTCTCTACCGGTAGTAATCGATGACAACAACCTTGATGGGAGGCGGATAAATCATAGACTCATGGGTACTGCAGCGCGACGGTATTCATATACCCAAAATTAGAATGCAGGAGTCGGGGAACTGAGAAATCACCAAAATATTACTCTCCACAAAGCGTCATAATGGTCAGAGTTAAGGTTGTAGCCACAAAAATAGTCCAGCATAGATCACCGGGCTTTGACAGCCGCTCGTTTTCCTCAGGCAGGTTCTAATCCCTGGGAGGCTGGATTCCTCGATCCTCCTTGAAAATAAAAGATTGATCGTGTTGCAAAAAGGTTGCGGATTATACATTGACGCCATACATGCTGCTTTCTCGGGGGGGAGTGGGCTATCGCCACATCGTGATCTGCATTGCTCCTCTCCGAGTCCGAGTTCGCATGACTGCGATCATTTGAATTTTGGCTTATTATTATTGCCTGCATTGTGGATTCTGTACGACGTACTACCAGACCCATGGGTGGATCAATTTGGCTGATCCATAGGACATCGTGGTGAACATTGAACACTTGTTCGGAGTGGGTGCCCTCAAATCGCAATGCTTTGTACATTATTGTTTATGTATTGTCACTTTGGCAAACGGATATATCTCAATGTCTCCCCGGGATCCGTCTATTCGCGTTCCATGGTTCAAGCTTTGAGGCTATCAGTTGGGATTACCGAGTACATAGAGGAAACGACCCCTAAGAGCTGATTAGCTGTTGATAAATGGTGAAAATGCCTTGATTGGCACAACCACCTGCGCAACATTGACCTCCAGTCATCGTGCTCAAATAACTAGCTACTCATCCCTGTTTTTCCTCATTTCTTGGGAGCGACAAGCCCTAGGCATTGTGATTTTCGTCTCAAAGGATGTTCCGCGGGCGGCGCTCCCCGCAGTAAGACAAGTTAAAACTTGAAATCTGTATGAGCGACGATAAGTAGTATCTTTGCAGGACAGAAAATGGGCGAACAGGTCAAACCCCGACAAGAACAATCCCTTCCAAGGCAGGAAAAGATTTTCTTGCCAGGTACCATCGCGGCCATCCAAGGTCCACCGTCTCCATTGTCTCCATTGCTTTGTCTTGGAAACAATACATAGTAATCGGACACCCAGGTACCGGTACTCCGGAAAAGCCTGTGCTCGAGGTCATGCCTCCAGCCCTGAGCCCCCTACCGCGACCGATCTATTGATGCAATCCCCATAGTCGTGGGACTGACTGCTTCGCTTCACTCTTCAGAGTTTACAATCCAGAACTTCGCTGGGTTTTAAATTACCCAAATTATTGGAAGCTTGGAACAGCGAGAACAGCCCTGTGACATCGCAGCCCAGAATGCATTTATGGGTTTTATGCACTTGTTGATCACTTCTTAGAACCCTCGTGAGCGCGAAACATCCGGGGCAAACCACAATTACGCCAGAGAATAACATGCACGTACGTAACAATAACAATTCATGATGCGACGGAGATAATCATGTTCTTCTCTGCATAAGTAGTCGATAATTTCATTCCACACTTTAGAAGGCGACTCCACCAAGAATCTTGACCCTTGCAGCTAATACTGACATGCTCGAGACATCAGTCGTAAACTCTCGTATGTATCCATTCACCGTCTTATTCGTATTTCGTGCTAAACCATTTTCTTCAATATTGCCGTCAAGGCGCTAGCGGAGGACCCAATCTCATTTACTCGTAAAGTTTATTGTAGTGTTTATTAGGTCGCTTTGCAGTTCGCGCATCGCCGATCGGCCGGGAAATTCCCCCTTCGTTTCTCAAAGGGAAATGGAAGAATATTCGAACATCGGAAGGCATATCATGGTCTGTACTCAGGAGATGAGGTCGTATGGCTGTATATCTCATTTGTTCTTGATTTTAAGTCGACTCAGGAGTGCATTGGCCGTATACTTTGTGCTATTTCGTTTCGTCTCTATTTCGAAACATCGGATTGCGATCCGGTGCAAATTCAAGCATTCGACCCACACCTCATATCTTTGCCATGATGCCAAAGTGTTATTGTGAATAATGACAATGACACAAGCGTCGCTGGGGGAGGATAAACTGAATCTGGCTATTTGCCCGACATTACCCCTGTAGTCTTCTTGCTTGCAGGTTTTATTTGCAACCATTGGGGGGGGGTCCCCCTCTTGACAAATATCTAGGTACCTTCTTTCAGGAGACCTTATCCCCACGAAGTCTGAAAAAGCAGGACAGAATTCGATGATAAACGTCCCACGGTTCCACAATAGGATTCTCCAATGATAAAACACAGACAAGTGCCAGTCGTGATTTGACAAGTCGGCTTTAGCCGGCGTTGACAGCACATCACCACAGCCATGAAGCTTTATGTCCCAGCCCCAGGTCTTTCCTAAACGCTGTTGAAGGTTCTCGAGCACGAGGGTTCTCATAGATATTTGGTGGCGGTATGCACTATAAATCTAGTTTGAAGCGTACCTGCGTGATACGTGGGATAAACGTTAGCATGCTCAGGTTAAAACATCTTTCAAATAAGATGTGGTCTTGTTTCTTGCTGTGACATCTCTTACGGAGATAGTTGACACCTGCGAAACCCCAAACAAGATATGGACTCAACATAAACGTGTGCTAAGAATCTCGACGGCCAATGGATATCACAGCCCCGTGATTGCAAATGCGTACTCCTGCTGGATATTGGTGAAAGGACGCCATCCACGGAGTGCGGTTCATATCGTGGAGAGAAGGGAAGCTGCAGAAGAAGCTGGGCTGTAGGAAAGCCTGGGTGTTGGAAGAGCAGGGTGTCAAGTTTAATTTGTGTGCGTGACGGGCCTAAACAGGCAACCCTGGCGAGTCACGGGGTCTCCAGTGCTCTTCGACCCCATATCTCGATCATTCCTCGATGTTCCCAAGCACAGCTTTGGTCTCACATCGCTCTAATATTCTTAACGCTTCAAGGATACCTTTTTCAGTGGGGCGATTGTCACTGCCTCAGACTATCTACATGATTCTTAATTGCTCATTCCCAGCACTACGAAACTGACCAAACACTCGTCAGTACTGACAGGACAGAACGGATTACCGGTTTTGTCCTGGACTCTTTAATGCTCTGTCTGTTTCGGGAACGATTGATACGAATAGGTTTTTATTGCCAAAATACAAGAGCTCAAGCATTCGGTAGCAGTCAATCTCTAGGCCCTCCAGCATATGGAAGCAACTACACAGAATCTGCACATTTAGCAACACAGGGAATCAAAATTCTATTCCAGCGACGACACAAGCGATATGAATATAGGGCTCGGGCAGGATTGGGGAAGTGGGGAAATGGGGGGACGACAAGACATGGTGAAGTGGATGAGGACAGCGTCCTACACTGATACATGGCCACTTTCACATTCATTGCCTATATAAATAAAGTGAACATGGTCGATAGACCGATGGCCTTTTCCAAGGCAAAGTACAACTGAATCGAGGAACGCTCCTGCAATGCCGAAGCGCATGCTTAACCATGGCTACTTCCTAGCATATAGAACATCTCTAGTCCCGTGCCACATTCTTAGACGATTGCTTACGATACTTTTCACGATGTGTGGGAGAAATGCCGTACATATAGGCTATATGTGAAATGCCTTGGACATCTACGACACCTGGTCAATTACGATGGACCCACAATGAGGAGTGGTTTGGGGATATTGAATCCATCCCCGAGACCCAGTTCTTGGGGTACCTGACGCTATTAAAGATGATATGGAACAGCTGGCGCAGTGGATTTACACGCAATCTTCAACTACCATCATGGCATTAACAGGTTTTACTGCTGTCGGCTTCATCGGCCTGGGGGCCATGGGCAAGCACATGGCCGAGCATCTGGCCAACAAGTTACCCCAAGAGTCTCAAATATACGTTTACGATGTGGTAAACACAGTTATGGACGAATTGGCTGCCAAATATCCTGGCAAAATCACCGCCGGAACATCGCCCAGAAACGTTGCGGAGAATACAGTATGTTTCTTTTTCTATTCTTTATGGACTGATCGAGTATTCACAAGCAGAAATTCATCCTCTCCATGGTCCCTGAAGGCGCCCACGTCAAGACTGTATTCCTAGATGAAACTACTGGTGTTTGCACCGTCGATCTTCAAGACCGCATTCTCATCGACTGCTCCACCATCGACACTGAAACGAGTCTTTTAGTAAAGCAGCATATTTCAGATCACCATCCCAGTGCCTCATATTACGACGCCCCTGTCAGTGGTGGTACCCTCGGTGCACAAAAAGGCACAATTGCATTTTTTCTGGGATGCAGCTCTACAGATCCGAACTTGGGTCTTATAACAGACCTTTTGAGTCTGATGGGCAAAAAGGTCATACCCTGCTGCAAACCCTCGTTAGGACTCGCAGCCAAGCTTTGCAACAACTATCTCTCTGGTCTGATTGCTATCGCTAGCTCCGAATCCCTGAATACAGGAATACGAGCTGGCTTAGATCCACGTGTTCTATCTCATGTTATTGCAGCAGGTACTGCGCAGAATGCCATTTGCGACGACTACAATCCGTGTCCCGGCGTGGTTCCTGATGCACCATCTACAAACGGATATCAAGGTGGCTTCAAAGTACAGCTCATGAAGAAGGACTTTTCTCTTGCCATGCAGCTGGCAGAAAGTGTGGGCTCTAATTTGGTATTGGGTCAACCTGGACTGGACACATACATCGCCGCTGCCGATGATCCCCGATGTCGCGACCGAGACTCGCGAGTGGTTTTTCGGTTTCTGGGAGGCGATGAAACGTGGGCAAGCAAATTCTCGGATTGAAAATTGTGTACAGTGTGTCTCGTAGTGCATGGACGCAAGTGATCGCGGACTCTTTCTCGGGATTACCCCAATTCCCCGCAGTTTCGGTTATCTGCTTCCAAAGCATAGGCTATATCCATAGCTCTGCAGTGCGAATCTATCTCGTTTTGAAGGAGGAAAATGTTCCTCTCGATGATATATCTGAATTTGTTCATTATCATTGTTGATTAACAAATGTCGACCCGAAAACTCTCAGTCCGAGCTCGTTATATATAATGCCATTTGCCATTTGTTTACGCATACTGAGCCAACCAGGCACAACACAATGACTATTTCAGTTTACCTCAATTCTATTTCCGATGCAGGGATTTCCCACATGCTTCCAAATGCCCCGCCTTACGAGATGCGGGGGAAGTGATTATCTTCTTCCTCTAGGGTTATCCCCAACCTCATAGACCACCATGTCATCCCGGACTACTCGTCGTTTAGAGACCGGTGGCATTGCCATCACAGAGCCTATTAGTGGTGTCGCAAGCCAGGAGAAGAAGTTTCTGTGCAGTATCTGTCAGCGCTATTTCAATCGCCGGGAACATCTCCAACGGCATCAAAACATCCGTCAGTTGAGCTTCCCCTGTTGGTGAACTATAAATGACTAACTTGACCAGATTACGGTCGCAAGCCGTATCATTGCAAGATATGCAGTTATTCTTGCCGGCGAAGGTATTTCCCGCCCATTAAAGGGTATACATAATCTGACGATGCTGCAGGGACTTGTTGAGTCGGCATATGAAATTGGCCCATAAAGATATTCCTTATTCTAATGTTGAGAATGTGGGAAACGGAAGCCCTGGGGTCAACTTGAATAACACACCCGTCCCTTTGTACCAACCCTCGAATGAAAATGAGTTTGTTCCTCCAGAATCTGGCGTTGAGACAGATCCCCTGGTTCTCTCTGTGCCGGTCGAAGATACTTCACTGCCTATCTCGCAACCATTCAACTTGAACTTTCTAGACGACGTCAGCCTTCCTATCTTTGACGGACACCATCCTTTCTTCCCAGAAATACCAATGCTCGATCTGTCTCCCTTGTTGCCGGAAACGCATACTTCGACAAGGATTGCAGACCATGGCAATGAGGAACCACGAGTCGCAGATCCCAGCCTCGCAGGCCGTCTATCTCGCTTTCTGTCTCCTCAAGTCGAGGATAATCGCCGCGTTCAGCCAGCAAGTGCCTTTCCAAAGGTCTCACGCGAGGACTGGGCAGCCTTTGCCAATAAACTCTCACAGTTCGACTCGGTTTTACCAGACAATTATGAGCTTCCTTCACGGCATGCGATGACACGTTATCTCCACAGATTCATGAACGGCTTCCAGCCCCATTTCCCTATCTTACATGCACCAACCCTCTCTGTCAAAGAAATGGCCCCGGAACTCCTTCTTGCTATGGCAGCTACAGGCTCACAGTACTGCCTCGAGCCCCATCAAGGATTGAAGCTGTTCTCCTATGCACATGAGATCGCACTGGAACAGATCCGCCGCCGTGACTTGGAGCACCAGTCCACGAACCGGCAGTCATTGTCTAAAGAAATGCCTGGTGAACAATTAACATCCGATAATAGGCCTCGTCAGGGACCGCGCATGGCTAATGAGTACGGGATGGTTGAGACGACGCAGGCTCTCTTCTACCTCATGGCGATGGCAACGTGGAACGTCACGAATCGATCATTGATGAGACATGCAGTGGCCACACCAAGCATGCTAGCTATGCTTGTCCGTCAACACGGGCTAATCGAACAATCACACGACATCCCATCATGGGAGGACTGGTCAAGAGAGGAAAGTGCTCGACGCACAAAACTAATCATATTTTGTTTCTTCAATCTCCACAGCATTGCAATGAATCTACCATCGCCAATCATGCTATCCGAGATTGAGCTCTTCCTACCATGCTCGGAATCTGAATGGAGGGCAGTTGATGCTGAGAGCTGGAACATGCTTCATCGACAGTCCGAGTCTCCTCCCCTGTTCCAAGACTATCTTGCCTGTCTTAATACGAATACACGAGTTCCGCCTTGTTCTGCGTTGAGCAGTCATGTCATGATCCATGCGTTGATACAGCGAATATCCACTCTCCGACAGGCTTCCCTTGAGCCGCCTCTATCGGTTCGATAGGCTCTCAAGAGATGGCAGACAGGATGGGAGCAAAATCCAGAGTCTTCTCTCACTCCGCTCGATAGGCATGGACCGATCGCATTTAACTCCACGGTATGTGGTCGTTATCCCTACTCGTCAAATGATGCTAAGTTGTTTCCAGGCTTTATATCGTCTTGCGTATATTCGTCTCGCAGTAGACATTGGGCCCGCGCGCTCGTTTTTGGAGCAAGATGATGTGCAAATAGTTCACCGACTCAAGCAACTGCCACCTCTCAAACGGGGTCCTTTATTAACACTCGCAGCACGGCATGCGGTATGCATCTTTCTCCGTTCAATTCGAGTTCTAGTTCTCGGAATAGATATAAGTGCTGACAACACCCATTTATAGCTCGCAGCTTTATGCCCACCCGTCCAAATGGGCATTTTCTTCATCGGACAAGGCCACAGCTGGTCTGTGATGCATGCCGTATGCTCATTAGACTATGCCTACCTCCTGAGTCAATTCCTCAAAGCCACGACTTCGACGACCCTCGAGTATCCACTAGACACGGATGAGCAGTCCATCGTCAGAGCAGCCAAGGAGATTCTATCCGAAGTGGAAGCATCAAGGCCCGATGGCAATCCTGCGCTGGTAAATGCTACGCCCGGTGTATTGGCCGCAAAGGTAGTACGCGCATGGGCGACGATACTTGAAAATGTCCGCACGTGGAATGCCGTTACTATGATTACCACGACTCTTTTCACGTATGCAGACTATCTAGAGAAGAATGTGGGACCATGATGTTCCAGGTGACTATAGTAAATCAATGTAATTGAACGAAACATGAATAGGTTGTATTAGAAAATATTTATATGGTGCTGAATCGCTTCATAGGCCCATATCGAGATGTTAAAGTTCGTAACCGCTCCCCGTAGAAAAATAGTGGAATGGCCAACAAAAGAGCCACTACCTGGATGGCTGTCATTTCCCCAAATACGGCCGCAGGGCCTTGTCGCTCTATCCAGTTGGTTCCGTACAGAGACAGAAGCATTCCAATCGTGTTGCGGATGACAAAGATAATCACGAGTGCCTCGCCAGTGACCTGGTTTGTCGGTATAAGCGCATGTTACAAGACGTATATTAAAGAAAACATACCGGTTTGTAGCAATCCAAGGAGTAAGTCACCGCGACGTTCGAAATGGCAGCCACTCCGAACGCTTGCATACCGTATCCAAAGGCCGCCCCGATCCAGGGTGTATCGTATGCGATGCAGAGGCCGAAAGTGAGGATCCCCGCGGGCCCGATCGTGCCTGGGATGAGAAGAGCCGGTAGTCGATATTCGGGCAATCGCTGGCCGCCGTGTCGGTTTGCATAACGCGTAGAGATGATATCGATTAGCCGGCCGGCAACGTAGAAGGCGAGAACACATCCGATAAAGCCGGATATGGAGAGTAGGCCTAGGTTTCCGATGGGCCAGTTATAGGGTGCGGCGGTGAAAGTTTTCGAGGAGGTGAGCTGGACGACGATGTTCCTGGACGAGGTTAGTTTATTCTCTTCGAGGCGATCAAAGGTTACTTACCATCCCATGGAGATACCGATGTTGAAAGCACACCAGAGCAGCTGCGGATACGACGCGCAAGCCAAGATATCTGAGAGTGTTCGGATAAAGGATGCGTTCCGATCGTAGCCTAGAGTTACAGACATCCACTGCCAGTGTGATCGCTTTACGTCCGAGTCGCGTTTGAGGTAAGTTGTTTCGCGAATGGTGAAGATGGATATGAGAAAGACAACTCCCACTGCGATAGCTAGGAAGTAGCACATCCAGCGCCAATCTTCCTCTTGTACGAGATAGGCGTTGATTAGAGGACCGAGGAAAAGACCACTGGTCAGGGAAAGATGGAAAATCATTAGATAATGCCCGCGATCATGGGGAGCGACCATGTCTCCCACCACGGCTGGCACAGTAGCGTCGGCTGCAGCTGCTGGAAATCCAGAAAGAATTCGAGAGGCGAGCAATTCTTTGTAGCTCGTGGCCTGGGAAGACCAGACATTCATCATGCTGAGTGTCAGCATGGCGAGAAGGTAGACAGGACGTTTGCCCGCGACGCGCATCAAGGGCACCCAGATGATATTCCCCAGGCCGAAGAGGAAGACATTGAAGCAGACGAGCTCTCCTGCTTGGGTTTGGGAGACACCGAATTCATGGATGATGGCTTTGGTGGCGACGGTAAAATTGCTGGAATTTACGTTGGCCAGGAAGGTGAAGGCGCAGATGGTGAGATATGTGGTTAATTTGGCTGAAGTGGACCAGTTCTAAAGAGTCGGATTAATACACAAGGGAAGATGTGGAGATTCAGAATGGCCATGGCTTACCTGGGGGTTGTTGTGGTCTATATCGGGGGCGTCTTTGGAATCAGGGGTAGGCGAAAACCCCCGTTCGGCGGCGACGGTCATGTCTTCGAGATGGCTCGAGGTGGACTCTCGTTTCTGGGGCATGAAGGACAGCGAGGCTAGGAGGATCCGCACATCCGGGGAAGAGGAGGGAGATCCATTATGATACTTAAAGCCATCTGGATTTCCCCACAAAGTGTGAGGGAGGAGTTGAGATTCGGACGACGCGAAGCTATCCCAAGTGGGGATCGCATCTTTTGGTGGTCGATCTCTTGGGATTTCCGATGGGGCCGGATATCCCGAAACAGTCTTTGTTGAAGATGAAGATGGACAAGGGTTTCTTTCATATGATGGCTGGTATCATGCACAGTCACGTCATGCACGCTCAATGAGTGTGTGTTGAGTGTTGAAAGAGTGGGCTTGAGACACCACGAGCATCATAACCTGGTGTTGACCCCTGAGATATGCAGCGCGTGCTGTCAAACTTGGTTGCACAAGTCAACGAAACAGTCTTCCAGGACCAGAATTGGGAATCCATGATGCTATGTTGCTATTTCTTTGTTGTCGATACGGAGAACTGCATGTTGATTTCTCTTTTATTTGTTCTTCCCTGATTGTTCCTTGAGTGGCTGTCTTTATATATCCCCAACAGGTAACAAAAATGCGATTTCACTTGTCTTCTGTGTTACCCATTCACCCAATACAGGCTATGGTATATTTCCATCAATCATAATGAAAAATGAAGTCTATCAACCCCCCAAATCGAATGAAGATAGACGACACCTGAGGCATCAGTAAAAATACAGGTCATGTGAGAGGCTATTCCTGTTTGGGACAGCAACATCCCCTCACGGCCGAGAGTCCTCCGCCATATTGTCCAGCACGATACAAGATACTGCGAGATTATCTTCATCTCCACGGCTGTCATTGGATATAAGCTATCATACGTGCTCAATTCCTTCATTCACATAGATCACTTCTCAAATATCTTTTTATCAACACTGCAGAATCGCTTCGTTGTCAGTCGGACTTGGTCCGGTCCCGTGCTCTCCCCGCTCCCCACACCTTCAGACTCCAACAGTCCAACCTCCCAGCTCCCGCAGCTCTCCGTGCAGCTTACAGCTTTCTCCATCTTTTTTACTCCCCCTTCATTCTCTCGAGAGACTCATCTCATCCATCACATTTCAATACCCATATCTTGTTCAATCCATACACAATGGGTGTCATCCGTCGCTTCATCAAGCTCTCCACCTACACTGGTGTTGCCTCGGTCGGCGCCTTCTTCTATGCCACGCGCAAGAATGTCGAGGAACCTCTGCCTCTGACCGATCACATCTTCAGCTCCTCTCACTTTAAGACCTTCAATCCCAACAACAACCCGACTACCCATGACTTCTTTGTCCGGAGGATTCCCTTGTCTGACATCAAACCTGACCTGCTCGAGAACAAGGGCAAGTTGACGGAAGCTTTTTGTGCCGGTGTCTGGAGTGGCTTGGGTAAGTGACTGGATCTCGTTATCACAAACCATGCACATCAATTCTGATGACCTATTCAACTATACAGGATATGCTGCTCAGCGTGCCCATCACGCCAGAAATGCCCCGGCTGATGAAACCAAGGATCACCTTTGGTCACGGTCGGAACTCCGTTCCTCAACATACGAGCCCGGCACTCTGATCACAGACCACTTCCAAGTTCTCGAAAAGACCCCCGAGCGCATCATTGTTCGCTGCGGTGACTCTCCTCGCGTCACCGGTGTTCGCCCATCTGACGGCCTTTTCGAAATGTCGGCAGTCGTCAAACCCGAACAAGGTGTGGCTGAGTTTGGCCTCAAGAGCTGTTTCTACCAAGGACTGGGCAAGGCCGAGTCCGAACCCATGCCCTCTCATATCGTCTGGCTGCACAAGCAATACACTAAGTTGTGGCTGGAGACTGCCGTCCACAACTGTACTCGGTGAAAATATGCTCTACGCTGTTCATCAACTGTACTAGAGCAAAATGAAGTTCTGGTCTCACGGAAATACCCATATGAAACTTGACGAAGGGCACATTTCAACAGTTTGAATTTGGATCGTAACTATCGTCAATTTGTATATACGCATGCACTAAGGCCTTGCTTAATGGTCTAATGAATCTTTTCTCTTGTTTTCATTCTGTCGATATCGTTGCTGAAGAGGAGAATGGCGTGAACGTCCCCATCTAATATTCATGACCACTTGCATATTTTGAATTGGCCTCAGGTAAATGTCGGACAACTTCATGGTGTCTAACCTGATACTAGGCCTGGCTGTGTGAGAGTGCTATGCACGATAGAGACAGCCCATTTACAATCCAGGAAAACCCACAGAAGGTGAATATAACTCTAATGAATGGATTTGACTACGTGTCAGTCATCCAGTGCGGTGGATTCGAAGCTTGCAAGCCACCGGAAATAATCAAAGCAAACGATACTTGTCATACTCATCAAATAAGAACAAAGGAATCACGAAAAACCAAAACGCCGGATTATCAATGAAACAGCTCTGAAATCACACCAGTTGACATGGCAGGACAGTCCTGACCATCCACACCATTGCCGTCTATCAATGTCGCTCAATACTCCCCAAAACACCTGAAACTCGAGCTATCCCTTGGAATTTATGCCGAAGCCTCCGAACCAATACGAACAGCTTCGATAATCGACTCCATGCCGGGGTGACTATTGTGGATCTGCTTGATCTCCAAGCCAGCACCTCCCAGCAGCTCCCTCCATTGTCTCTCGGATCTCTCGACTCCGGCACCGATGCTCATCATCTGAATGTCCATCGAGGACTGGAGGAGTGGAGCCTTGGTGTCTGGGAGAACCCAGTCGACAATAAGGATGCGTGAGTACTTAGGATCCATGGCGGAGATGGTATTCAGGAGGATTTTCTGGCAGATGTGGTCTGGCCAGTCGTGGAAAATGGCGCGGAAGTAATAGGCGAGAGCCCCTAATCCAGTCAGTATCCACGATCACAAATGGTCATAGCAAGAAAAGGTGGGAGTTATGAACGTACCCTTGACAGGCTGAGGATCCAAAAAGCTGTACCCCATGGTCTCAATGCCGGGCCTATCAACGGGCGCCACAATCTTGGGCAGATCCTGCAAGATCAATCTACCTGGGTGGTTGGGGTAGCGATCGCGCAGCTTGGCCAAGTCATGGCCCTGGTTCCCACCGACATCAACGATGAAGGGCATCTCCGCGCACGGGACTGCCTCCTGGATGAGGCTCTCGATGGGGTAAACATCGAACCAGCTGGGTTTACCCTCGCGCCGACTGGACATGTACGAGTTGAAAGTGGTCTGTTGTTCCTTGTGCTCATTCATCCATTCGAACTGACTCTTACCCACGGCCCACTGCATAGGCGAGCGGGAATATTCCTTGGGATTAGAGTAGTTGTGCAAGCGAAGATATTCCGGAAGTTTGCTAAGGGTGGGGACAACGAGGTCAAATCTACCGAGTCGTGCGTCAGTATCAAGCTATCATTCTTTACCGATCCAGACGGCACGGCACATACAGGCACGAAACTCCATCCCGGCCGATGGGCTGGGTCATGGCCAAAGTCTTGTCCGTGGGGGAATACACTTCCGATTCATGACTGGCACAGAGCCCAAGACCAGCCATGACTCTCATGAGACGGACTGTTGAAAGAAATTAGTTATGTCATGGTGACCAAACGACCAGTCTTATACTTGCCGATCAACCCCCTTTCAGCACCAGTACGCTCCTCCAACTCGGCCGCGGAGACCCCACTCTTGCTCTCCACGAGCAGCGGGAAGATACCAAGATCAATGACGGTCCGTAGAGCGGCATTTTGGGGCGGCTAACGGGGGTTAGCATCGCCTTGATCCAAACAAGCTCATCCAGACCCAGCGGACTAAAGTGACAGAAAACGAACCTGGTAAATAAGACGAAGGATAGTGTCGGTGGGTGACTCGATGGCCAACTTTAACTCATCCACACGCTGAAGAAGTTGGACATGTCGTGCTCCTGAAGGAGAAGTCGACTCTTCAGTGGCAAGACTCTTGATCTCGTCCGCCAGGGAGAGAATGGCCTGAGTGGATGCTGCCATGGTGTTTTGAAAGAATATTTAGATTTGAGGTATATACAAGAAGAAAAAATGGTTGATGAGTTGATGAGAAGTTGAGACCTGAAGACCCTTTATATCTCTATCTTCTCCATACAAATGAAACCCCGTAGATTGATAGGCCGCATTCTGCACTTCCTCATTTAGCCACCCATTACGGAGTACAGCAATAAAGGCAAAACCTCGACAACAACGGTTGACAGCTAACGCAAGATGAACACAGTAGATCTGCATCTTCCGTTACGAATTCCCTTTGGGTTGACCGAAAACGGTATCTATACGATTACACGGGTTGAGATATGACTATCTACATTGTACTCCGTAATTCCATCTGGGGATGATAACATCCACGAAAATATGCAGTGAAACCGGTAATATCGAGCAAATGAGAATCGAAGATCAAGACAACAAAAGCAAACAGACTATCTTCTAGACTGGACGCAAAACCATACTTCCTTCTTGCAAGTACCGAGCGCCGTGATCCTATGAATCAGACTCTATCTCCCTCATTAGGCAATCCAGAGTACTCCATAATTACCCTCTTTGGGACCGGGAACATGGCCATTACCGTATATGAAGTTCCACAAAACCTTTACTCTGTTTGTTTTGGGCATACGTACTGCTTTGGATGCGAGGGGTATTCTGCACTGGGTAGATACCTCCATTAGTCACGAGAAGTCTCTGGAATCTACGGGGGTGGGATGATGTGCATGTTGGTTATCCGGCACCCGTGTGATGATCGCCATCCCGATATCGTCGCCGCTAGACTTTAGTTGCATAATTGTTCAACCGGTCATAGTCATCCAACCTCCTAGGAGTAAGCCGCCCAGCACCAAATTGGTTTACTCCCAGGATTAAATTGACTTACTCTTCTAGGCCTAAATCGGCCTACTGAATAACGCCACTCAACCTGCAACACGATTGCATGTCTCTTCAGCAAATCGATCCGAAATCATGGCTGTCTTCATCTGATACATCTAGTGCATATTCCACGATGCATAAAGAACAGCAGATGTTACATAACAGCCACAACTCAGAGAAGCCTTCGTCCAGCATCTTCAACCATGGTTTTGAAGCTGAATCAACACCACGTCAACTGAATTTTTGACTGAATTACCAAACGAGCCGGATTTCATGTATCACACAGACCTTGGGCACTTGCATCCAATCGAAGGCCTTGAGCATGATTCTTTTTGTTTCCCGTGCCTATCGCGCCTGAGGCGCCGACATGGGGGATTTGCCGCGAAAAGACAAGAACCTTTCACAATCCGATCATCCCAGTTGATCAGATAGGTGTGCCGCGTTCTTGAAATATAGCGACTGACCCCGCGAAAATACCAATGTCATTTCGATCCCACCGCTACTCTCGTGCAGCGCTCGGACTTGATCGCCTCTGCGGGAGTGACCATTATTGAAGCAAAACCAGCGCCTACATGTAAACTTCGACGAGGGGAAGGAGGTGGGGGCTTGTTTTTGCTGCCACATCTCTCTTTTCAGTGCTAGAATTGTATACTTTGTGTGTAGATTATGTTCGAGGCCTTGGGCCGACCAGCTGTACGGTATCTTTGTGAATGACGACCATTGTCATTCTTCATGTCCCTGCACGCATCCAATAATCAGGGCTAGATGGTAGACAAGTCACCCCAACAAATAGTGACCGGGGACACGAATCGACATTGTTTGGCAACCATATCATAGTACTCAATGAAGGCGCAACACGCATCAGTCATGCTATCGATGCACCACAGCTGGGACCGTGATTCAGGGGGAAGAAAATCAGTTTGGCGAATGAAAAAAAGGGAAAAAAAAATTGAGATATATGACAACTAGTCATAGCCAGTCAATATTAGGCACTATTTGCTAGATATTCGGCATCTGACCTCGACATCGCAAGATCCCAGCTGGTTTTTGGGTCATTTTTTCTCGCCACAACTCAGCCGCAGTGGCACCCGGAGAAGAGCGAGCTGAAGCTGAGAAAAAGCAAAGATATACATGTGGGGTAAGAGCAGTGAAGATTCACATGCAGTCAGAATGAACTGCTATGGACTCCATCAGTGTAGCCATTGAATTTTTGAATTATTCCCATGGCGTTCTCAATATTGTCAGTTACGTGTTGCCATTTCCATTGCCTTTGTTGTATTTTGGGCACATATGTATATACCGCCCCAAACGCAATGTAGGTTGCCCACTGATGCTGTGAGATGCTCAAAAAGCATGTGGCATATTCCCAGGACATGAGTCCTAGATGATAAGTCACTAATACGTTTGGCAGGTTGTATGCAAATTGGCTGCGTCCGAGAGCACGAGCAGATGACCTTCACACCGCATCGAGGGGTGGGTCAAGTTTAAGAATCAATGCAAACACGCGATAAAATTCTGCACAACAACGCCATTGCAATAGTTCGGTTCCTATTAATATAGACTTACCTCAAAAGGGTACTACCTGTGGAGTGTGCTATTCCTAGGGCGGAACACTCCCCGAAATCCAAACACCCTATGGCAGGGCTGGTTCGCAATGGATCCGACCATTTGGCAGTTGCCGTCCTGTGGCATCATCCAGATATGCATCGGTATTATAGAATCAGCTTTGACTCTTGTTGCGTTTCTATGCGGTCATGCTGATATGTGGCGGTGACATGGTATTGTTAGTATTTGGCATCGGGAATCTTGATGGTTCATATTTACATGCCAACCTGAATCAACGTGTTGATCGACATTCCAAATCCACACCGCACCCAGTTTGTTGGATTCAAAAGAAGAACAACACCCAAAGGTGTTGGAACCAGGTTTGTGTTCTCTCATTCTGGTTTTTCGTACTTTAAACACGGGGTAAATAATAAGAGGTGTGAACACGTTTCCGGCCAATACCATCAATATTCCGATCGGTTGGCCACGGCCTTCCGACGCTCTGGAAAACAGGGCCACGAGACTCGAGAGGCACCTTAGGCTCCACTATGGAACCAGAGGACTGGCAATAGTTCAATAGACGGGGATTAATTGATGAAACGATCCAATCAAGACAGGAACAAGGGTACGCACTACACAAGAACCATGTGAGTGGGTCCCTTGATCCAGTCTCTGGAATTCTTCTTTCTGAATCAACTGGGTTGGTTTCCCGTTCGCATCATCGACCCATTGATCCGATTCTCATGAATCATGAGGGCAGCCCGGAATTAGCCGTCTGTTCAAGAGATCACCCCCCGAGAGCAACCAATACCGAAGAGGCATTTCTAGAATCTAGAAGTTTTCTGGGGTCTTCCTGGTGCTTTGTGATGCAATCGGGATCGCTTAGCTCTTTGTGGGCGACATGATGACTCGGCATACCTGCGGTGTGACGAGAGCCTGCTGTGAGATTGAAAGCAATATTGGTTTTCTGGATTTGTGGCGCTCCGGTTTCTGAACAGTGATGCGCAAGAACAAGAACACCGCTGCTGATAGGATGGCGATATATCATAATTGTCATGGTGATATAAAATAACCAGGATCTTAATTCGATGTAGGACGATGGCACTCCCTGGTCTACTAAGATGGCACATGTGACGTCCCGGTTGAAGTCAAGATCGCACAACTTAAACATGGAGTTGATCACGTCCGGGGCCAATAAGTATCGCCCGGAGACGCCACAATTTGAGTACACAGTAAGCCCTGCAGGAACTGTGATAGTATGTAAAACTCCCCGGTCAATGTATTCTGCGAGGGGGCTCCTATATTCGTTACTAAACAAGTTTCTCGTTCTTCACGGGCGAAGCAGAGCCCCGGTGATATCACATAGGAGCGATCAATAGTGGCTCCGGCCAGTAAACTGCTATAAAAATATTGCCTCACTTCAGCTATCTCGACGCCGGAGTAGGTGGGTGGGTAACTATGGGGCGGGCAGCATATGGAGCAAATTGGTGTGGGCTAGAAATTTCCCGATCCGGAAACCGAACTAACACCATCAACGAACGCAGTGGCTCATAGGCTGGCGACTCCGGCGAGATCTACCCATGGCCCATCAAAAGGCTGCGGCTGAGGATGACGACGGATTGCCATAAATACAAGATGGCTCCCTTCTGCTTTTTGCTGTTGATATCTAGCACGGGTTTTTGTTGATCTCTGTGTCTGGCTGTATAATATTCATAGTCATGGGTATCTCAGTCCACGAAGAGGCCGAGAAGGCCCCCACACCTCTCAGTCCAGAACAATTGATTCAACGATTTGGCCGGCTGAATGTCCTGGATGATTTGGTTCGCCTGCGAGCAGCAGATGCTATCCAAGAACCCATTCTTGCCTACCCTACCTCTGAAAATGACCCTGCATCATATGAATACTTCTCCGGGCTGGACCTGGATTCTATGATTAACCACGCCGCGTACACTTTAATGGAATATGGCTTCAGGCCGGTGAGCACTCCAGCCCCAATATTCGTGTATGCTCGGCCTAACAAAATATTAGCCCCGGGATGATGGTGCAGTAGTTGCCCTTTTCACTCAGTCTGATCTCAACATGGTCATCACCTTTTTTGCCCTCAGCAGATTGGGATACACGGTCATGATGCTCTCTCCCCGTCTCTCTGCAGCCGCGTGCATCTCTTTGTTGGATGTTGTCGGCTGTGACACAATTCTTTATGGACAAACATCAAGCATCCGAATCACAATGGGCGAGATACTGCTTTCGAGACTCGTGGCTTGCCGTCCTATAATACAGAGACCATCTTTCGATACCGTACAGCAGCCCGCCGCTGCCAGCCTAAACCGAAATCCAAACACAGAGTCCCTGACCAACAAAACCGCTCTGATCCTGCATTCGTCAGGATCGACCGGAGCCCCTAAGCCTTTGTTCCTAAGCCACAAAGCATTGATGACCCATCCATTGAGAGGACCTGGCTTGAGTTCATTCAACTCTCTGCCGTGGTTCCACCTCCACGGTCTTTCGACAGCTTTCCAGGCAATGTGGATGAGAAAGACGGCGTTTATGTGGAACGTCTCAGTTCCAATCACTGCTGGCACGCTGATTGCTGCCCTGGAGTCAGCCAGACCAGAGTCTGTTCATGCTGTAGCCTACACGCTTCAGCTGTTAGTAGATAGCTCAAGAGGCATCGACGCACTTAGGCAAGCTAAGGTGGTTACCTTTGGTGGTGCACCTTGTCCTGACGAACTTGGTGATCGGCTGGTGAGAGAAGGGGTTAGCTTTGGGGGTTCCTTTGGAATGTGAGTTCATCTGATATTTTCCCTATTTACCTCTCCTTCTCACAGTATGAAATAGGACCGAAGCTGGCCTGGTGGCTGAGTCAATCTCGCGCCCGAAAGACGACCCGTACTGGAGCTATATGCGGTTTTTCGACAATATTCGCCCATTCATATGGATGAAGCCAATAGGCGATTCGCTATATGAGTGTGTATATCTCTCTGGGCATCCAGCTCTAACCGCATCCAACTCAAATGAGCCACCGGGCTCGTTCCATTCAAAGGATGTCTTCACCCCGCACCCAACGATCCCCGAGCGATGGAAATATGTCACCAGGGTAGACGATCGAATTAATTTGGTCAACGGCGAGAAGGTTTTGCCTCTACCAATTGAAGGTTCAATCAAGCAGGACCCTCTTGTTCAAGAAGCTGTCGTCGTTGGAGTAAACAAGGCCGTCCCTGGCCTTCTGCTATTTCGCGCCGAGGAGGCTAAGAAGCTATCCGATACTGAGTATTTAAACTATATCTGGCCAAGCATTGAGGATGCGAATTCTCGCGCAGAACACTTTTCGCAGATTGCCCGAGATATGGTGGTTGTGTTGCCTCATACGGCTGTCTGTCCACGGACAGACAAGGGATCCATGATTCGTGCCCAAGTGTACCAGAAATACTCCGATGTCATTGACAGCATTTACAACAAGGGCGAAGAAAGTGGCGACGGGGCCATGGAACTCGACACTGCTGCAACCCAAGAGCACCTGATGCGACTTTGCCGGGAGGAACTGGGGGTCTCAATTTCTGGCCCAACAGCCGAATTCTTTGCAGAGGGTTTCGACAGCCTAAAGGCTATTCACATGCGACGTTTGATTTTGAGGGATTTCAGAATCGATGACAACAAATCTGTCAGTCAAAATATCGTCTTTGATGCTGGTAGCGCTTCCCGCCTAGCGGAGTTCATCCAAGCCCTCCAGAATGGACAAGGACCAAAAGTCGAAGATGAAGTATCCCTGATGCCTGGCTTGGTTGAGAAATACTCCAATTTCCGCCTGCATAAACCTGTTGCTAAATCTAAGACGACGAAGAAGAGCGTTGTAAGTACTCGGCCTACTTTCCTTTCCATCATTCCCATGCTGACAGCTTTCAGATACTGACCGGAGCAACTGGCTCAATCGGAGCGCACACCCTGATCAAACTGTTGAATGATCGTACCATATCCACCGTGTACTGCCTCACGCGTAGGGCCCAACCAAAAGAGGCTATCATGAAAGCGCTATCACAGAAGAACCTGAGTGTCATGCCTTTCCGAAGTCGCAAAATCGTCGCTTTAGCGGGTTCATTGGACCAGCCTGATTTTGGTGTTGATCCAGGCATGCTGAACGAAATGCGGCAGTCTGTATCTCTCATCATCCACACTGCATGGCCTGTCAACTTCAACCTACCCCTTTCCAGTTTCGAACCACACATCAAAGGATTATACAACCTCATTGATTTCTCCCTCTCCGTCAAACTCCCTCAGCCTGCAACTGTCATGTTCTGCTCGTCCATCTCGACTGCTTTGGGTGCCAAATCATCTGAGGTCGCTGAGACCCCCTTGGAAGACTTGGACTGCGCCCTGGACATGGGCTACGGTCGTTCCAAGCTGATTGGAGAGCGAATTGTTAGCAATGCTCGAAGGTCAGGTGCTAGGACTTTCTCTTTGAGAATAGGACAGGTTTCAGGGCACTCAAAGAAAGGCTTGTGGAATGATTCGGAAGCAATTCCGTTGATGATCAGATCAGCATTGACTTTGAAAGCCTTGCCAGAAATCGACACCACCTGCTCATGGCTCCCGGTGGACAAACTTGCAAGCAGTATTCTGGAACTGTCCAAGGCTTGCTCTCACCAAGACCTAGTCGACGGGCGGTCTGCGGGATATGTCGACGACTCCATCTATAACCTGTGCAACTCGCGAGAATTCACCTGGTCAGCAATGCTCAAAACACTCAGGAAGAGTGGATTTACATTTACCACCGTCCCATTTGAAACTTGGCTTCAAATGCTCCGGGAAAGCGAAGCTCGAGGCGAGGAGCAGGTCAACCCCGCTGTCAAGCTGGCCGACCACTATGAGGAGATGTACAGCGAAACTTCCTCGTTAGGATCGCAAAAACAGAAGATGAAGAAATTCACCACCGAGAAGGCTGAACGAGATAGCACGTCACTGAGGAATGGTCGGCTGAGAATCATCGAAGACGGGATTCTTGGTCGCTATGCTCGAGACTGGTTGAAGCGCTGGTAAAACGTATAAGATGGCAGGCCTGCCTCTTGACCTTGTATATATTGATTCGTGCTCATAGATTGTAGTAACATGTATATAGCGCCTGTTCTATACAAATATCACCAATTAGTCTAGAAGTTCTGTTAATGTTGTGGACCTTGGGGCCTACCAAAACGCGTGCCAGGCATTGTGCACCAGCCCTCTTTTGATAGTGAGCCGCGCAGTCAGATTGTCACAGAATACTGTATTTCAATCCTTGATCTGGTAGCTTGCATGGTATACTCCTTTGCTGTCAGTATACGATGAAGCATTCTTGAGGTGGTTGTTGACGAAAAGAATGAGGGTGGGGAGGTCTCGGGAAGGAGCTTCCAGTCATCTGGCAGCCAGTGTTACCACCAGCACAATCTTCACTTTCCACAAGGGAGAATATTTTACATGTCAAAAAAACGAAAAATAGGTATACAATAGCAAAAATTCACTAGTGGTCACCTAACCAGCTGCTAACCGGCCGGCGTGTGGGTTTCACATAGTTAATACCTTACTAGGTGCCCTTGAGGATTCAATATTAGTATATTAAAAAGTTATGCGCTTAGCATGGGTATAGTGTAGGGGGTGGTGATACCTGGGGCGTCACCCTCCATGATCTACACATGGATGATATAAGTAACTAAAAATGCTGTGCTCCGCTGGAAACTGAAGGAATGCCTTTTTAGTTAGGCTTGTGCTAGCAGTGAAACACTATGTATCTTAGTACAGTACATAGTCATAATCCTGCGAGGGTTGACTTCCTTTATTTTTTATTCCTTTTTTTTACACTTGCCAGGTCAATATTGCTGTATGGATGAGGACTAGAGCGTATCTATTGCGCTGTATGCATGGCAAGGCTTTGAGACTACGCTTAAATAATGATGTCTACTGAGAGAAAGATCTGACAGAATAAGACTGAATTTGTAAGGTGAAGACCTGTGGATTTCCTAGCTGGAATGATGTTTGACTTCATCATGCCATCCAGCTAGCTTCAACATGTATAATAGTAAAGGTCGGTCTCAAAGCTTACTTGACGCCTAAAATGGGCAGATAGCTCTGCAGGTGGGAGAGGACCGATTTGTCACCACCTGTGAAATACTTGGAGCTGAAGACCCGCTCTAATCAAAGTAGGTATTCATAGAGAATATCCCCAACTTACGCAAGAATTACTTAGGCTCCGAGACGACGATTCTTTGGTATAAAATGGGCACCATGACCCGATGTGTATGTACATTTAGAGACCCCGGATAGGCTGACAAGGCCTCTGATGCTAGTCATCTAGTCAAGGTCTGCCCGCCAAAAAACTGGGTTCTCTATATTTATAGTGGGTTACGGTTATACCAAGTCGTGATAGCAACTACATCTTTTGAATATATATATATATATATCTCACTATGTATACTATACTAATCACCAAGAGCGTGACGCGTATTAAATCTAGGGGGATCCATATTTTTGATAATGAGTATTCTACAAGCAAGAGAATTTCATTTATTGTCTTAAGGATTCTGGCTCCATCACCATGTTCATAGATATAGTGACGAAAACAGTCTTAAATAACAGTGAAAAAAAAAAAATCATTGAAAAGGGGAAATCATGGCAAAATTATGCAAGTGTGGTTCCACGAGGTTCGAACCTCGACAGATCCACATAGAACCACACTATTTCAAGGCCTAGATATGAGTACGAGACTGCAAAAGACCTTTTAACCTTGAAGCCAAGCCTTTTTGTTACCTTTGGCCCGCTCGATAAGTGGCCTGAATGCTACATACATCTAATGTATGACATGCTGTAAAAGCCTGCCCAAGCGCAATTGTGTGTATGTACATGGCGCACAAGATGCAGACGTGAAAGATCTGGTGTGAGCTGCCCCAGATGTCAAATTTGCCCGGAGCAAAGCGCTCTGGAGTTCGAGACTGCGACTGCCAGTCAGATCACTTGCCTTTCAAATCGATGGAAGAAGGGCTAACGAGCGTGCAAGCTTACCCCGTAAAGACTAACTCCACCGCCATAGAAAACAAGCTCTAGCAAGTACCATTTCATTCCCGAGTACTGAAGCATGTACTCGAGCCCGTACAGCCGAACTCCATGCAGTAGGGGGATGAATGCTGACGCGCCGAGCGCAACATAGGCACCCACCCTCACCTTCCGCCAGCGCAGTGTTCTGAATTTGGGTATCGAGATCAGGGCAGCAGTGGCGGAGCCCGAGGCTATGGTCTAGATTTCATGTCAGCGTATTGTGGGACCTGGAATGGCCGCGGGGAGAGTGGGGGAAGGGGGTAACTCAGAATGACTGACAATGGTCCAGTGCAATTTTTGCAAGTTTGGTTCACACGTGAAGATATAATAGATACCCGGAATAAATGTGCCCACAGTCACAATGACGATCCCCAGCAGATCCATTCGATGCCAGAACTGTTCAACTTCATGCGAGTGAGGTCCTACTAGGTGATAGGTAGCGCTGAAAATTAAACAACACTCCGCACACCAAAAGAAGATTCCAAACATGGCATAGTCTGTTCCCGAGACGTTGAGGAATTGAGGCTCAGAGAGGACCCGCATGGAGGCGATCGCGATGAGTGGTAGGAGTAGAGCCCCGACTAGGTGGGTATACACATTACAAGTCTCGTTGTGCAAGAATGTCAGGCTGGTGAAGATCTCCAGATAATCTGCTTTATCTGGGCGATAGCCGGTGAGGATGTATTTATTATCTCGCTGCCATTCGGATACCTCATGCCATGTCACGGTTCGGGCCTTAGCCGTGGGTCGGGTAGTGGGCGCCACCATGGTGCTTGTATTGACGCCCTGCACGTGCCGTTTCTTAATTTCTGTTGCGGACATAATTTCTCGACCTAGACCGAGGTACCTGAGGTGCGCTGACTGTGAATCCCAGGGGTAGTGGTGGTGGATGAAGACAAGAGCAAGGACGTCTGGGGGCCTGGTTTGCAGGTGGAAGAGCGGAGGAAGGAGACAATTGTCGCAGAGAAGATTGTGTGGATTAATATTTCGAGGTAGGTACGGTGGACAATATCGTGATGAGCGCCAAAATTCAATTGTGTAAAATTACCAATTGCCCGCACATAGCGCACAGAATATGGGTCGGATAGGCCCGTGCCGATGCCAAGGTGGATTCCATTAAACTAGTCAATGTCTAAACTAAGGTAGTCATTGTTAGGTACTTGTGTTGAGAGTATTGCGACACTATCAGCCAATAAATCCGTTATGATATGGACGGAACAAGAGGTACTGGAGCCGAGTATATTGTATGGACTATACGGACACGCTGAACAGATCGCAACAGACCTGCAGGGTATGTTTAGGTATGGTGGACAAGGAATATTTAAAGACGGTCATTCCCTGTATGCAGTTCTCTTATTGTGTCTTGACTCGAATAGTCTGCCATTCACTGTACTAAGTCATTGTGTGCATTTCAAAGTTCTCAATAAGCATGCAACCTTCAGACTGAGAATAAGAGTATGCGGATGCAAGAAGCGAAGGAAAAGGAAAATATCAAGGATAAAAGCGAGGGCGAGGTGGAAGAGCCGCCTGGTACTGTCGATCGCCTAGGAGGCACATACGACCTCCAGCGATTCGGTGACATCGAAAAATAGTTACGCAGTTTCTTTATACCTATTATTCTACTTCGCCAAGATTTCTAATGATTTTATCATTTATATGACTTTATGGCTTTATGTTTACGTTCGTGGTCAACCCAAAAACGTGCTGGCTGGGTGTTTGTTTGGTGACGTGTCCATAAGTAAATAACAGTGCACACTTGAAATTTCTGTATGCTGACCTGTTTTGGCGCTCATCACGATATAGTCTGCCGTAGTAGGGGCTACTTCGTAAACATGTAACTTCTGGCCCAACGAAACCATCCAAACCCCTGATCGTGGTGTCGCACTAAACGATGGGGGCGGGAACAGCCACTGAGTGAACAGGGTATCCGCTGAGAAGCGGCACATCTAAGACGACGGCGATTCGCCCATCTTCTGTGTGAGGACTCGAAAGTACTACCTAGTAGTGTGGAGTAAGGCACTTCTCAGTGCCGGACTGCTGGACTAAGGTATACCCCTTGGAATGACTAATTGATAAGACGTAGGCTTCTCAGCTTCATGCGACGTAGCTGAGTCGCACCTCTGTAAACCCTTCTAATCCGCGAATTCCAGATGTACGGCCATGGATCAAAATGACTCTCGGGGTCTACTAAAGGGCATTCTTGGAATTTTCGCTCGAAAACCGCCGGAAAGGGTAACGCAGCGCACTTCGTTGAAGTCACAGATGCTCGACGCTTGGGTGCGGACGGACGCATATCTACAGCATGAAACCAATGACTTTGACGAAGCCGACCCTGAGCAGGTAGCAAGAACATTGAGGACGTTCGAAAATCTTGTTCAATATGACATTGATCGAGAAGAAGACCCCGTTAGTAATATAATTTCATGGCAAATTTCACTCTTTCAATCCGTCACTTCCTGCCAACTAACACAAGGCTGTGGAGCAGAGCTCACACCACACTGTGCCTTACCCAAAGCTTCGAGCGATTCGTCAAAGGACACAGCTTCCGAATCACGATGCGTATGCCGATTCAGGCTCAACCATCCGGATTAGCAAACGCAAGCGAGAGTATACCGCTGCCATCGAGGAGCTTTCACGCATGGACATGGAGGCAAAGAAGCACCGAGTTCTGCCTCGCGAAGAGCCAAACGTGGACGATGACATGGGTGATCCCGAAGCAGAATTTGCTATTCTGATGAGGAAACATTCAATGTCGTTGCATCAGGGACTACGGGCACATTGGTCCTGTGTATGTCAGAGGTGCTCGGGCTTGAGCGTGAGACTTTCATTGCCTCAACGAAAGAAGAGCTCACAAATAGAGACGTGCTTCGAAGTATTCTTTGGCGTACGATCTTTACTGGCACTCACATTGCAGGAAGCCAAGATAACGGTCAAGTAAGCATTTGAGGCTTCGTTGAAATTTATTTTACTCACACATTCGGGTTAGAGATGTACAGAATGACAAGGCCATGAGCACGTCTGGACTTGCACCTGGTGTCTTGCCCGACTTCGCGCACATCTGCCAGTGTATCACGGAGTCACTGGATCAACGAAATTGCTTGCATCTTCTCTTTGAGGACGGGTTTTTTAAGAGACTCCGCCCGCAACCAAAAACCTTTGACGATTCCCAACTGCCTCGGATAGTGTCTCTGTCGGCTCTTTTCAAGCGTCAGCAGGAGTTACGCGGTGGGTCACCGGTTTTACCACTCAAAGGGGAACGAATCCTGGCCGTCATACTTGCCACGGCGTTACTTCCGTTCTTGGAGACGCCGTGGGTGCAGCCTTCGTTTAATCACTCCAAGATTCAGTTTTTCCAACCGCTACAGGATGGAGAGCTACCCAATATCACGAAACCCTTCCTGGCTATGGAACAAGTTCCAATCATTTCGGCCAACAAGATGGACACTGGAAACGGCCCAACCCAAACGGCCAGCTCCAAACACATAGTACATCCTAATGCCAGTGTGTTGGCGTTAGGTATTCTTTTGTGTGAGCTTCACTACTGCAAACCCATAGATTCATGGCAAAATGACACAGAGACGACCCGAAATGTCAACACTGACTATTATACCAGCCTCGGGCTTCTTAAAGAAATAGAAGTCGACGCTGGTGCAGATTATTACCTCGCTACTAAAGCATGCCTACAGTGGGAATATTTTCCTGCCGGAGAGCTTACTAGTTTTGAATCCGACAGCGTTCAAAGGCTCTTCTATCAGAAAGTCGTCAAACGACTTGAATCCGAGATATTCAAGTCGTGGCGCCTTCGGTTAGAGGATTTGAATTCTCTCGATTCTCTTATAAATGAACAATGTTGGGGCCCAATCGGCCGAGAAGTTGTCCGCCAACAAACAAGCAAGCTCGAATCCTCTGCGAGAAGGAACGAAGAATTGGCGGTCCCTTTGCCTTCAGCCTCCAATATGACGCCTCTAAGCCGTTCTTTGCACAACCCGGCAATGCTTATGGAAATGCCGACCCAACACACTCGAAGTTTCCAGAACCGCTCACACGTTGCGGAAACTTCTACTAAAAGTCTGTGCCTTTTTGATGCAAGTCATCACACGGTTTCTGAACAAGAGTAAGCCATTCTCCATATCTTGCAAGGCTCTTCTCTACTAAATATCCACTAGTACTGAACTGTCGGAAAGATGGATGGACAATCTTTTGTCCTCGATTTATCATCATGTTGACCCGTTTGACACTGCTATGCAATCTTCTGCGGGATCTATTGGAAATGGGCGCAGGACATTCGAGCCGGTACGAATAGCAATTTTAGATAGTGGATTTGATCCTAATAACTCTCTCCTTATCAATGACGATCAACGACTCGATCCACGGATCAAGGGAGTACAGAACTTTGTACATGAAACAGAGTCCTGGGATGTTCAAGATGAGATTGGGCACGGCACTCATGCCCTTGGTCTCCTCCTCCAAGTTGCCACATGCGCTGAGATTTATATTGCAAGAGTTGCGAATCAAAAGACTCTGAATCGCGACAGCTATGATGCTATCACAAAGGCAAGGATTGCTGCATACCGAAGCAAATCTTATACATATGCTAATTTCTCGGGCAGGCGATCGATTACGCAGTCACTGAGTGGAATGTGGATATTATATCGATGTCCTTTGGAATTCGCGAATATCATGAGCCGATGAAAACAGCGATATCAAATGCTTTACACAATCAAACACTGATGTTCGCTGCAGCATCGAACGATGGAGCAAATCTCGGTCGAGCCTTTCCGGCTAAATACCCCAGCGTTTTTTGTATACACTCGACTGATGGAAATGGGAACCCTTCTGCATTCAACCCTACAGCAGACGAAAAAGACGTCAACTTCAGTCTGCTCGGGGAACATGTCCGTTCTCATTGGCCAGCAGGGAAGAATGGCCACAACGACATTGTCAATTTCATGTCAGGAACTTCAGTAGCAACGCCAATTGCCGCTGGGCTTGCTGCTTCAGTCCTATCATTCGTCCGACAGCAAGAACAGGGTTTGACTGCAGGAAGTGATCTGTTGGGACCATGGTTGAAGGATGTTCATTCAATGGACGCGGTTCTGAACAGCATGGTCAGACAGAGGAGAGGAACAGGCTATGACTACATCACGCCTCACGTATTGCTTGATACGGATTCATCAAGGGAGCATGTTTACAACAAGATCAAAGATATTAAGAAGCACATGTATGACTAGAAGATTTAGTCTAATTTAGTCAATTCCTGGCTTTATAAAATTCTTTGGTATTCTCAAACGAATTAAAAGATTGAATGTCTTAGTTAAGCGGGGATACAGTAAACATTGCCGTTTTCGGCCACATCAGGAACAAGTCTCGCATTTTCAATGTCAGAACCATCAACATCGTCCACTAAAATAGGCTCTGTGTCGTCGTTTTCATCTTTTCCAATCGCCATGAAAGCACCCTTACTGTGCTCTTCAGTCTTGAATTTCCGCCCAAACCTAAGCCTCTTAACGCGAAACGCAAAAACGAATTCAGAATCCCGATTGAATTCCGTCTCATCATCATTCGTTCTGGTCCAGTGGCCCGTTGGACCGAATGTCATGCCGAGCGGGGCCACGTCGATGCCAATGTTTCCCGTGACTGCCGTACTTCGCGAAGTCGAGTACTTGATTCTCGCGCCCTTGACGAGCTTCATGCCCGTCACGAGAAAGAGCGAGACAACAGGGGCAAATCGCTGCTTGGGCTCTCTCAAGTACGCCTGCACAGCAGGTGCTTTAATGGCTTCATCAACATACTGCGGTGTCGGCTCAAAGGACACAGTCGTCACTGCGTCAAACGCGAATGTATTCGCTATTCGGCTGGAGTGCTTAACATCCACTTCAGGGCCCAGGCCTAAACCTCCTGTAGCCAGCTGCAGAAACTGCGCGTAAACACCTAGCCCCATTCCCACCTCGGTCGAAACGGTCTTCTTCCAATCGGTCTCCACCACCGGTGGATTTGCGATGGTTACGGGAACGACATTTGCTCGGTTGAGGGGGAACTGCGGCGTTGACGTCGAACGAATTATAGAGCCGAGACATAGCGAGCCCGTTGGAGGTGGATGGATGAAGTCAGATGTCGGGCAGAGAAAATAAGTCTTGGTGAAAGACATGGCTTTCAGGATTTATTTGAGATTTCAGGCTATGGATTAGGTTTTTAGGAGCCCGTATATATTTATACTTGTACCAGGTCCTGGACTGGATAAATACACTTTTTTTCCAACGTAAGCAGTAGCAGGTATCGAGGAGTCGAGGAGTGGGGTTCTGTCTTCTCCTAATCTTAACTTTTTCCAAACCATCGACGTCCCCCTCCTGGCATGTGTGGGACAACCTCAGGCTTTTTTAGCGCGCGCGCGTGGAGCGTGGTGTGTCAAGAAAATGTGTAATAAGGATCACAGAGTATAAGACAAATCTAAAAGGGATACAAACAGGTATTCCACAATACTAGCTGACTTGCATGGAGGTGGCAAAGAAACTATCGACAGGACAAGGAGAAAGAAAAACCTTTGTACTTAATCATATAACTATGTTACAATGTTACAGGGACGGCCCGCGACCCATAGATAAACTGTCTTGGCAATCACATAGTCACTTTTTAGGAACAGGTGACACTTTTATGGTCACGTGACTCGCGCGAACATCGAATCTGTTGGTGATTGAATCGGTTGATTGAACCAACTTAGTGACCAAAAGGATTGGATGGATAACCCCGGGTCCCAGGCGGTGAGTTGGCTGACTAACCCCCATGATTGCGCCAACATGATCTTGAACCACCCATGTCTTGACCGTCCTCCCCTATGTCTTGTTTAAACTTAAGGAGACCCAATCGACGAAGCCACGAAGACCACCGTCGTGGGTCTTCGGCGCATTCATAAACTATGGCTCGCATGGAGCTGGATTCCATGGAAGACGTCTTTCTCCGAGACAATCTCGGCCCGACCATCGCTGAACATGTATTGCAGTGCAGTCATTTCTTCAAGAGATATATGGCTGCGCCGGAAATTGTGCTGGACCCAACTTTGATGGACGACCAGCTGGCACGCTTTACGCTGTGGGCATCAAACATGGATGTATTTGGGCCGCCCCACGTCTCGTTGGATTACAGGCTCAGATACAGTCCAACAGTCGTGGAGATCATCCATCAGCTTTTGGACGTCATTTGTAATGCTTTGACATCTCGTAAGTAGTTGTTGCTAAGACGATACTCTACCAATTAGGACCTAGTCTAATGGGAGCTTCGACGATAGTTAAGCCAATCGACGATCCACCGCAGACTCCAAGCAGGAAGAAACGACGAATAGCGGAAACTGGCAATGCGGAGGTCACCAAGAGAGTCGACGATAGTTCAAGCGATTCGGACAGTTATGACGATGAAGAACAAAAAAATGTTTCATTAATTACCTACACTATCGGAGGAACAGTGACGCGGCTCTTCCGTTTGTCTAATGCTATTCGGAAATCCGCTAAGGCTTCGAGAACATACAAAATAGGAGGATACAACGATGACGAAGAAGCGAACAATGCCATCGCGGAACTACGTATTTACACAGAATGTTACATTCGCTTCCGGTTTCCTCACGCACCAGAGGCTCTTCGCTCAGCATTGGTTGAGGCCAATGCGCTACGGCTTCGACGACTGTATTATCAGAGGTCCCACCGAAGGCGCATTGCCTTGAATGTCCAGCGTCCACAGGCAGGCCCAACAAGTGTTCAGCTACCTAAGATACCGGACAGCACTCCGGCCGTACGTTTCGCCCCAAGCGTGCCACCGAAACAAAGGGCCATTGACGAAAGGCCGAAGCCAACCATCCTTCCGCCAGCGCCCATAACCTATGCGACTACCGCTCGACAAACTGCTGTTGGAGCTCTGTTGGCCGACTCCACGTCGGAGGTTCCTCGGGCTAAGTCTGTCCTGGTAAACAATAAATTGTCGTTCCCTCCAGTGCCAACAACAAGCGAGTGCCCATACTGCGGCGTCATTGTTGAATTCAAGGGTAATACAAAATCGGTGATGTGGAAGTAAGCATATCATTCCTGTACCTTGCCATCATAATGTAAAGTCTAACCGGCCTCAGCGACCATGTCATCAGAGATCTAGAGCCTTTTGTCTGTATTTATGCCAGTTGCATGGACGCAAGCCAACAAGATCATGGATCGTCTACATTCGAAACATCGAAAGCCTGGATGAACCACATGCAGAACGCCCACGGATATGCATGGGAGTGCAGAGCTCCTTCTCACGACCCAACCATCTTTGAGCAGGAGATCGAATTCCAGGAGCACGCTCGTAAAGACCATGGCGTCCCTGAGGCGCATGTGGGAATGCTGAGCGGTGCAGCTCGGAGACCAGTTCTCGAGAAGATTCAGGAGTGTCCCTTTGGTGACGACTTTTCAGCCCCGGAAAAGGCCGAATCAAACACCGTCTTCTCGAATGAGGCTCTTCATCTACACGTCGCCGCTCATATGAAAGAAATTGCTTTACTTGCATTGCAGAAACTACCTAGTGACGATGACCACAACTGCGAGGACGTGGCTAGCGACGCACCATTAGAAGATGATGGGTTTGCCAAGTTGCGCGCATCCATGTACAGTGTATTGGATTGCGAATCTCTAGACTTCTTGGATGAACCTGAAGATGGCGTTTCGAATATACTCGAAGAGGGCATCATTCCCTCTGTAGACAGACTCAATTTAGAGGAGAAAGACGCAGCAGGAATGACAAAGCTTCATCGTGCAGTGCGCGATAACAATTTCCTCTTGACCCAGTCCCTTATAGAACAAGGTGCAAATTTACGCAGCAGAGCGAATCACGGGGAAACAGCATTACATTACGCTTCTTTGAATTGGCATAGCGGCGTGGATATGATGAAACTGCTGTTGAATTCTGATGCTAGAGAGATCATCGATTTGAAAGACGACTATGGCCAAACACCCTTGCATTACGCTACAAAGAGAGACTTCACTGATGGGATAGAACTATTGGTTAATTACGAGGTCTCTATAGACAGTCTTGACAACTATGGGTTCTCTCCATACCTCTGGGCCGTCATTGCGGGGAAAAGTAGCGCAACTCACCTACTATTGTCTCTCGGCGTTGATGTCAACTCTACCAGTGCGGATGGAAAATCGGCTTTGGGTTGGGCAGCCAGCCTGGGCCACTCATCAATAACTGAATTACTTGTGAAGAATGGAGCCAGCGTCATGTCCATGACTCGAAACACGCAATTGGTGCCATTAGAAGAAGCGGCAACATGTGGTGACTTGTTCACGGTACAATTGCTGCTCAATAACGGCGCAGATCCAAATTATCGGGATCGCGAAGGCTGGTCTGCTATACATTGGGCGACTGAGGAGGGCCATTGGGATGTTGTGCTTCTGTTGTTGAAGTACGGGGCTAATGTCAATGCGGTCAGTTCGTATGGCACTTCCCCATTGCATTGTGCTGCAAACGGAGGACACGATAACATTGTGAGCGAGCTTCTTCGACTTGGAGCCGACCCTCTCAAGTCAACATGTCACGGTTGGACTCCACTACACCATGCCGCCTTCATGGGATATTCTCATGTCGTACAGTCCCTTCTAAATAGTGACCGGATAACATCCAATCCCTCCCAGGATAATCATGGCTGGTCAGTCCTTCATTTGGCAGTTCATAGAAGACATTTGGATACTGTCAAAATTTTGCTTGACAGCTCTATCACTTCACAGTCTCGCCTCCAGTGCGATGAGAGTGTCCTCACAGCAGAAGATTGGCTAGATCTTGAATTCGACAGCCATTCTTATAAAACTATCGGTAACTTAGCTTTCAGCAAGTCACGCTGTTGCAGGGCGGTCACAAAATTACGGCAGGCTGCCCGTAACAGCAACCTTGTTATGATCAAACTCCTTCTAGAACAAGGATGCTATGTCAATGGCACAGATTCGGGAAGAAGAACTGCACTTTACTATGCTGCAAGAAAGGGCCACATTCCAATATTGAACAAGCTTTTAGAGAATGGGGCGGACCCCAACATCCTTCCAACAGGATGCAGGACGTGGGAAGAATTCATTTCTGACGACACTATACTACAACGGCTTCGACAAGCAGGGCACAGGAAGCCGATTCCCAATCCAGAAATAGATCATCAGATAAGGCTCGCTCTCAGTCAGCGAGGCGAAACCTACACTCCAGCGCCGCAGCGCCCACTGGCAACAGCATACAAAGAAGGTGAACTGGTAGGCAAGGTGGAGCCCCGTTCCCGCATAGCCAAAGTTTGGAAACGACTGAGAGGACAATGAAATACTACCATATAAAGATGTGATAGTCTGAGTACAATCTTTAGGTGGCACTGAAAGCAACTGCCGTTACTTTGTAAGCCCTCGTGTGAAACCCATAACCATGTAGCCGCACCGATGAAATTCCACAGATAAGTCAGGTGCTATCTGTAACTGCAAAGAGGGCCGTATATAATACATTTTTTTTATTTGGTTAGTGATGGTGGGTTTCATGGCTGGGGAAGTACCAAAGAGATCCCAAGTAGATACCTTAATGTGTGATTTTACAATACATGAATTCCTTCAGTCAGCTCTTGGAATTATTATTATTATTATTATTATTATTATTATATGTTTCTTTCTTCCTTTTCTGTAGCCGAGGGATGAAACACCGGTATATCATGATTCAGGCCAAGTAGGACACTTAGGCAATCAGATAAGCTCCCCATCGTATCCTCTTCTAGTTTTCGGTGGTAGATCACTTTTAACAATGTGACGTTAATTTACGAAGCGTCCGACAGACAATTCCTGATAGCACAGTTCCACGAGCTCATTAAGGTCTCGTTCTCGCCCGTCCTCTATTTTGCCATCTTGTCAGATTCTCCTCGGCGAGTGTTCGCTCTGCCTTGATTTCACAACTAAAGCACAGTCAGAACTTCAGTTACCCAGAATAGTGAAAAGACGTACCCATACATGAAGCAACACAGGGATAATTCACACAATAGACATCATTATGCAACTATACATGTTGGTGTTGTATAGACCTTTGTAAATAAGGCTCTCAGAGTATGATCGATCAGGAGTGAAGTTATGGACTAAGAATTCGATCCAGCATTCCATCGACCCCATCAATGGTGTCAAGATTTCGTTTCACAGTTTGCCGCAGCGCCACAGGGAGGGATAGGCCATATTGCTTTCCAATGATCAGACATTCCACAAGTGCTTTATAGGCCCGCTTTTGGGTCGGTCCACGTTGTTGCTGGGATATCAAGGCACTCATTGTTTCTGGGACCGCCTCAGCAATGAGCCATCGGTGGGCGCTGGGTTTGCTCTGACAGAGAACTAAACATGACGCAGGAGGCATGTTAAGGAACCGCTCCTGTCCTTTATCTCTCGAGCGCTGAGCGAATTGAAGGATAGCAGTGAGGAAGAGAAGCAACCTGTGGGAATCATGGCCTTCGCTGATGGCACCAAGCTCATTGGCGCATGCTTGGTTCGCATCACCGAACAGTTGTTCCTCATAGCTGCCGCCGATGAATCCTTCGAAATACTCCGCGATGACCGTCGAGAAGTATTCAATCGGCCGCGGAACCTTGGTGTCAAGGATGGCGAAGTGCGTGCTGAAGAGTACTACCGTCCGGGCCACGTTCTCAGCCCTTCTACCACTCCGAATGCAGCCATCGAAATCAACCAGGAACTCGCGAACTCCGTAGTGCAATGATTCCTCCGCGTCTCGGTGGTAGGCGAGGGAGGCGAACTGTGCGAATGTCCTGGCTGAGATGTCGACCCCCTCTCTCCATTCGTTTTGAGCCGCTGCGAGAATGACACTTGAGCCTACGAGGACCCCAATTACTAGTAGGGCTTCAAGATCTGCAGTAGAGACCACTTGAAATATGAGGACTGAGAGCCCCGTCATGCTCGCCAGGTTTCTGGCATTCCTGGCTTCAACCAGCTGGGTGCCAAACTCGATATATGCCTGCGCCCATTTTCGCAGTCTGGCTGTCTTGTTATTCTTGACCAGGTCCTGCAACACATGCATCACCTCCCAGCGGCCAATTGACGAATATTTCAGGTACAGCGTCACCAATTGTAGAATAGGCGGGAACTTGAATGAAAGGGTTAAGGTTTTGATTGTGAAGTCAACCAGTCTCGATGAATTCTCGTATCGTGCAGCAAAAAGCTGTTCTTGAAGCCCCAGCAGTTGTTTTGTCCGCTCTTCCAATGGATCCACGTGTCCGTGTAGGGAGGCGACTTCTGAGGAAGTGAGCAATCCATCCACCCGGGCTCCGTGTTCAAGAAGCAGCTTGATGATCTCCTTGGAGTTTACCTGGATGGCTCGAATCAACGGCGTGTCGCCGTGGCTGGCTTTATTCTCGATCTGCGCGGACCGGTCCAGCAGCAGAGCGACGACATCCTTGTGCTCTCCAGTGACCGCAATATGCAGTGCGGTCAATTTGCTCCGATCTTTAGAATTGATCCGAGCACCATGATCGAGCAGCAATTCCACCACGTCTCGGTGGCCCCGAGTGGCGGCCCAGAAAAGTGGCGTCCGACCATAGTTATCCTTTCGCGAGGTAAAACGGCGGAAGGAAATGTGATCAGAGGCATACTGCTTGAGTAACATCTTGACCCAAGCTAGATTTCCAAAGTACGCAGCCAGGTGCAAGAGCGTGAACGAGGGTGGAGCTCCACCGTATTTTTCCTGATCCCAATAGAATCTCCACCAGTCCTCTCGGACTGGAGACTTGGTTCGGAAGAACTGACGTGAAAACTCAGACGGGGTATCGATCAGATTGAATGCGTGATGCAAATGCACTGGCCAGTATAAACTAGCATAAGCCAAGAGGGTATTGTGGAGAGACGCGTCGTTGATACTGCCGGGCGATTTATAACTTGCTTCGATAACTGCTAGGCAGGTCCGCATAATAGTCCGATGTGTGGTGTCATTCATGTGGAACATGCTGATCCCTTCAATATTGACCTGGTCACTCTGGAAAAATTCCTTTGCAGACTCGTGGACAAGATTTACTACATCTCCGTCAATTTTCACCAACAGCCCACAAGATGCAAGCCGATCCTTCACCACTTCGGTTGGAATCAGGTCGTTAGACGCCGTGATCTTCGCTGCCACTGTCAGTTCGTCAACTGTAAGAGGTCGGGCGGCGAGAACGATCCATTGAAGGATAGGGACCAGCCTTTCTTTGTCTTCGACTTGCTGGAGCAGCCGTCGATAGATTCCACCGAGGCCCTTGGGAACACCACGAAGCATGTCCTTTATTTTGTGCCAAGTCCTTCCCTTGAGCTCATCCGCGACAAACCCGACCCATAAGAAGGTTCCCTCAGCGCCGGCCATCAAGGCCTCCCGAATATGCAGGAGCATATCCTCGGAAAGCGTTTGCTCGGATGCCAGTTCGGCAACTTTGGTGGAGATGTATTTCTCGACATCTTTCCCAACCTCCATATCCGAGTCATCAAGTTTGATCCGACGGTATCGGCCGAGCTTGCTCTCCAAAAGTGCCGGCTGAGGGCGGGAGAGAAGGATGAGCTTCAGGCTTGACCTTGTTGTCTCTTCAGGTTTCAACAAATAGTCCTCCAGGGCATCAAGAAGTTGCTTGAGAGATTCCTTTTCGCACTCATCCAGGCCATCCAGCACGCACACCACCTGGCAAGACCCACTCTGCTGAAGCATGATCAAGAAAAGTCTCCACAGGGAGACAAAGCTAGAAATGGTATATTTGGTCGTTTCAGACCCTTCGAAATAGTTCTTAATATGTTGTGCCAGGTGGGGATGGAAGTTGAGCCATTGGTGTATGATGCCTCTCATAATGGCCACTGCCGTATTTCGGTTCCTGTCACGGTTACTACAGAAGTAATAAAGGAGAACGCCCTGAGCCGAGTCGACCATTGGATGTAACTCCTCAGTAATATAAATAGCCAGCATAGTTTTCCCTTTTCCAGGGCCCCCTGAGATCCAGAGGAGTGGTGGATTAGTCCCTTCCAGCCACCCTTGATAGCTGGGATGTCGTATGAGCCATTCGCAAGTGCCAGTGACCCTCCGTCCTTTCAATGCAATCAGAGATCTTCGATCAACCTCGGGTCTGGTCAAGAGCAAAGCATCCAGAACAGTGGCAGCCACCGTATATGTATCTGCTGCCAGAGACACTGGCTTTGGGGCCTTGGGGATCAACAAGAGGATCTCTTTAGCATATGCAGCGGCAGTAGCGGCAGCATAGCCCTGCCAGAGGTTATTCTTGTGAGAATCTGCATAGTCACAGATTCCCCGGATGACTAGGCATTGAGCGATGTCCATCAAGCCAAGCGCCTCCGTCTCAAAACAAAGGATGCCATGTTCGCGCGCCAACTTGTCCCTAGTCACGCCATGGCACATTAACTGGTTGCTGGACGCAACCAGGCCATAATGAACTTTGGGATTCTGGGTCCTTCGCGGTGGCCGGTGGCGGACTCTATTCGGGCTGCAACGATTGCACCCGTTCTCTGTGGGCTCGGCGGTAGTGTGGTCATAGTTTGGGTCAAAGAGGGCGTCCTGCTCTGGGCCTGGATGGGCAAATGTGAGGGTTTCCTTCTGCATGACCTCGGAGATGTAACGGGGTATTTGACTTTCACCAAGGATATTATTCGTCTCGACCTTGCTTACTGCTGTGAGGAATAGGGCTGACGGCTTATTCAACGCCCCAGTGCTGATATATTGATCTACCAAGCACTCCTCCTTCTCAAAATCGTACTGGATGACGCCCGGCCGGCCCGCCATCGGTTTGCTCACGACAATATCGCCAAGACGAATATCCTCCTTCGTACCGGGCACTCCTCCCCCTATGCCAACCATCAGGTTGAACCGGATGGACTTGAAGCTCGCAAGCATCTGCGTGGCAACGGCCGCGGCTGATGTGGTTCCATACACGCCGTAGGGTGGGTATGCGAGTACAACGTTATGACCGTCGAGACTTCCTAGAACATAGTTGTTGGTGTCATTCACACTTGAATCCGCAGGTAGGCTGGCGTGAATGCAGTCAAGCATTGCCTTGGCTGCCACCATCTCTAAGTGCAGAGTGCAAACCCATCCGACCGTATAGTCATCTCGGGAGGCCATTTCTCATACGGCGCGCCTTTCCACGGCGAGAGTCTAGTGGGGGGACTCGTTTTCGGTGAGTCAAGGAAAATTAGGAGGAAAGAGAGGAACGGGGCCAGCCTTGCATGGTATATTAAACAGGACAAAGCCCCCAAGAACAGCGCCTTGACATTGTTGGTTGGCGCTTAATCGACTATTTTAACTCGTCTGTTCGTTTCACAACGTGGGTAGGGTGGAGTGGGACTGGGCTCGGCCCGCGCCTCCTGAGATCCCTTGGTACAGACTGAGGTACGTATAAAATAGATGCATATATAATAGATACAGCGCAGTTTGATGCAGGTTAAGAGAACACTTCTGCGGAGACGAGTGGTTTTGGCTGTTCTACTCTTATAATGCCGTTTTGGAGCTAGGTCAGCTGGGAATGCGCCACAGCCTGATTTCGAGTCCAAATAGACCCCAAATGCTGTGCAGACCAATTACAGAATTGCGGTTCCTAGAATAAGTTCTGTTTTAGTGTGATCCCGTGTGATCCCGTGCGCACACTAGCTGCTGTGTCTAGGGGTAGTAATCAGTGATTACTCAACATGAAATCAATGTGGTTTTATTAATCCAAGTAACTTAAAAGGGATCGAGTTCTCTATATGCAATGTATATGCAGCTCTGCAGGTACTGCTAATATTCACTTTAGTAGTTCTTTAAGCTATAAAAACAGTTAACAGGCGTAATATAGTAACCGTGTATTTTCTTTCTTTATTTCCTTTGTTTTATTTTTTTTTATTCACTTGCATCGATTTCCATAATGTAATTCACAAAGAAAATTTAGAAGACAGTTAAATCATTAATTATCTTAACAATCTAAACAATCTTTACTTTTTTTCAAGCAGCAAAGCTAACCGGAAGCGGGGATTCATAAGTGCTCGCTTTGCAGCTTCTAGTCGGGTAGGTCTTTAAGCCGTTTGATGAATTACAGCTATGTGGGACTTGGTACTAGAATTTTACAATTAGAGTGAGTTGCTAAATAGAAAATCTTTGCAATTTTGTAGTATTAGACGATTATATGATAAACTTTCAAAGGCACAAAGAAAGCAGGGGTATTCAGAAAAACTGAAAAAGAAGCCTTAAGGGAACGTTGTGAGGGACCGGTCTATTATACAAAAGATCAAATTATGAATCTTCCCTGGGCTAAGTGTATCCAGAATTTCGGTAGTAGACGGGATGAGAAAGTATAATCTGCTAGACTAGACCAGAATAACTGCTGCTGCTGCTGCTGCAACGATCGCACTCAAAATGCTGAAAGACAGCTTGCTTGCAGCGCCGGTGAACACAGGGCCAGACCCGTCTATGCTGGAGGACGGACCAGTAGCAAAGACAGGGGTGGAGGTCCGCGCACTCGTAACAACAGAGTTCGATTGAGTCGGGACCGCAGACCACGGCGTGGCAGAAACAGTGGGAGCAGAGGTCGATTGGGCCGGGAGGTCAGACCATTCTGATGTCGCAGTATCTGGGTGGTTGGAAGTAGTGGCAGGATCTTTGCTAGTCGAAGGAGCACTAGAATGAGCAATACCGTCAACTCCCGAAGGAGAATTGCCCGAAGTGACTGTTGCAGCAGGAACGTTTGCCGAAAGAGCGTCGACTACAGATGGAGCAGCATTTTCGGCAGATTTTGATGTGACAGCGACTGGGGTGCTGGTTGCAACAGAAGGATAGATATCTACAATCTTTCCGGCGTTGGCTGTTGAAGCAGTGGGAACCGTAGTTGTCTCGGTGGGAGCGGAAACCGCTGCAGTTCCAGCCGCGGTGTCTGTGGCAGCAGCTGCAGGGTCGGTCTTTCCGGCACCAGCAGTTGAAAAGGAGCTGGCCTCGGCATCAGGGCAAATAGTTGTTCGAGAAGTGACGTACAGGGTACTTATCAAGCCACCAATATCGGTGGCCGAATGGTGGTAAGTAGTGGTGGGCTCAACAGCACTAGCCTTAGGAACGTCTGTCTCAGGAACAGCTGTCGTCCTTTCATCGACAGCACTGGTCTTTGGAACAGCGGTAGTCTCGGGCACATCAGTCTCAGGGAAGGCTGTGATAGCTTCGCTGATAGTACTGGTCTTGCGCACAGCACTCATCACAGTGGCAGTGGTTTTTGGGAGAATGGGCTCAGGAACAGTCGTCTCAGGGGCGGTTGTGTCGTGGGCGGTGGTAGTTTCTCTGGCAGCAGCGGTCTGTGCAACACTGGTCTCAGGCTCGGATGTAGTTTCAAGTGCAGAAGTGGCTTTAGTAGTGTCAGAGGTTTTCTCCGGCTTGCTTGTTGTCTTGTCACCCCCAAGTGACAAATCCGGGGTTGCAGTAAGACTGGAAGCAGGCGAGTCAGGAACCACCGAAGCCGATGAATCAGTCTTGGAGCCGGCCTGGTAAACCTTGATGGAGTTGATCTCCCAGTAAGCTTCCTTATACACAGCCGGGTTCTCGGCGACATAGTTGACACAAGACTTGATGGGACTGCTGGAATCACTCATTGGGCATCCCGATTCACCAAATACACCGCCGGCCCAGTCACCGCAGAATGTTGTGTCGAGGATGAACTTCTGGGCCGTGAATCGTTTCTCAACATCACAGCCTCCCTGCATGTTGCCCATTGGGGTACCAAAAGTGGAGGGATCAGGGTTGCCCTTGGTGATGGATTCGGGAATTGACTTGCGAGGGAAGAACCAAATCTTGATGAATTCAGAAGTCCATTCCATCGCATAGACACCACCACCCTGTTTGTTCAACGGGGTACCATAGGTTCCATTCTCGGCCTCCACTACACAGCCGATAGTGCCAGATGCCTCGCCACATTCGCTCGAAGTGAGGTTTCCAGTCATGTCGTCGCTCGTAACAGTACAGGTCCCACTAGTATGTAAGACAATCTCGTTGTTTTCATGCGTGTTGACACCTTCGATGATATCGATTTCGCCATCTTCCGGCCAGCTGGGACCGACAGACCAAAAGGCGGGCCAAAGACCACAGATGCTGCCAGGCATGTGTTCGAGATCCACGATATACAGTCCTTGCTCATAAAACCTCTTACTATCCAGACGCACAGATTCACGGCCCGCGCCATTCGGGTCAAGGATGCTCGTGTGGTCCACACCCACGTAGGCACTTCCACTGGAGGTGATGTTGATGAGGCCCGCGCTCTCAGCGCTCGTTTTGTTGACGTATGTGACATAACCGTTGGTAGGGTCCGGAGCGTCGAAGAAGTCGAAATAATCGAAAAAGGATTCGCCCTGCCAGGCCTCAAGGAGCGAATAGCTGCCCGACTTCGAAGAGGGGCTGCCAGCTGCGACGGGTGAAAGGAATGAAGCAACAGCGAGTGAACCTGCACTCATCCAAAGCGAAGAAGAAGGCATCATGGCAGCACCGCAGGGGTAGGTACACAGTACTCTGAATAGATGAAAGTGATAGCCCACGCTCACGGAGGGTGGACAGATCGAAAGTTAAAAGGGCCAAGATGGCAAAGATCAAAAAGAATGAAAGACAACCCTCAAGGCTGCTCTGGTGATGAGAAGGAAAATGCAGTCGTCACTCTGCCGACGATTGGTGGAAAGAAAGAATGGAAGAAAATAAAGAATGTAAAGGCGTGGAGGAAAGAAACGAAAAGTATGCAGGACTGGGGGGGGGAGCAAGAGTAATAAAGCAACTCCACACAGTGACCTCCAAAGCATGGAAGAATTCTCGACCCAATTAGCCGCGTTGGCCAGTGTTTCTTCCCTAGCGATAGGTAATATTATTGTGGTCCATGTTGTCGTCTATTAATCGAGTCGATTGTTATTATTATCCATGGCTCCATTCTATCTCATTCACCAGGCGCCATCCACTGGCGGGCCTGCCCTATTGGAGCTATCCAGCCGTTCCTTGGCCTGGCCGAACGGCTCGAAGCGCATAATTGCAGCCATGGACCATATTGATCCGAGCAGAGGCAGACAATAACAGTCCAGACCCCAGGGATACTTCATTCTTTGTCTTTCGCTGCGGCATGTTTGGTGGGCCGGCGACAAGAGGTAAACGAGTCAAGCCGCCGTGCATCAAGGCGGTGGCCAACCTGAAACAGGGACAACGCTGCCCAAGCGCATCCAGCGTCGCAGAAGGTGAAACAGGGGAAGACTAAATTTTCCCAGATGGAAAGGGAGATAGCCCGACACGCCGTGAGGTGGTATCGAAAGAATGAGCGCAATTCTACTGTGATGGTGGTTATTTGGGGATTTCGCCAGGCCACATTCTCTCCGCAAAGGAAGCGCTGGCCTACATTTGGTCGCTCCTGCTATGGGGCATCACTGTCGATCCGGATGGCCAGTCCGAGGTCCGTCATCCATTGTGAAAATCAGATCGTCCATCTTCAAGGCTAAAAGATTGGAGACCGAGAGGAATGCCAGTCTAGACTTTGGTGGAGACACAGGCCACAACGCTATTTTGTTGGGCGGATAAAAAAAAGCATAGAGAATGAAGACGGCTCATGGAAGTTTTTCATGCGAAATATGGTCATCATGATGACTGATGGATGTGATAGTCCTGATGGGAAACAAACATCTTTAATGGAAGGGGAATCACTTGAAGCAATTTAGCGACGATCTTCAGAAATGAAAGGAGTCCGAAAGGGGTTAGGCTGTCACGTGATGTCTACAGTGCATTCTCACCACTTTTCCTATTCTCTCTTATTTTCCCTTTTTTATTTCCTCTTAATCAAACGAGTCGTAGGAAAAGAAAATAAGATATTCTATAGTTCACAGTAGCTGTCCTCTGCGATAAACACGGTTGCGATTGATGCTCATCCATGGAAGCAGCAGATCAAAATAAACCGAGATCTGTGCAATCACATCACCAAATCTACGATTACACGAAGCTGAAACACACTTATATCATTTGTTTAATTAGCTTTAGATTGCGAATTACGTTAGAAGGAGTTATTTGTATGGGAATAAAACACTCCAGCAATGTTGGATTTCGGACGCATCTCCTCGTCCCAAACAGGAAATCAACCACTGGATTAGTAATTATGGTGGGGCATAGCAGACATCAAGACTCAGTATCGTCCACCGTCACAGATCACAGCGCTTCTCTGTCATCAACTTCTGTCAAGTACTCAAATCAAGAGCAATGGCTATCGCAGTCGCAGGTACAGGAGGAGTGGGCAGGACCATCCTCGAAACCCTCGTCCAGGATCCCAAATATCAGAACCAAATCATCGTCTTGACCCGAGTAGGATTACCCCTCCTGTCCATCATTCATTCACTGCTGACGGAATAGACTGTCAAATCCGATTCTCTGCTGGATCAGGTCCAGCAATTGCAGATTGACTACGATGATATATCCTCTGTCTCCGCGCAATTGGAGCAACATGGAGTTCACACCACCATCTCCGCCATTGGCATCGTTTCCGAAGAAACGAGTCAGTCCCAATTGAATCTCATCCAGGCTGCGGATAAGTCCACAGTAACAAGGAGATTCATCCCAAGTGAATATTCATTCATCCAGACAGAAGAGTATGCCCCTCATCCCAACACCAAGATCAACACTCACAAAATAGTCTCCTCCCCATCGACTCCAGCATCAAATTCTGGCTCGACGCTGCTGCTGCGCTGAAGAAGTCCAGTTTACAATATACCCGCGTCGTGCCTGGCTTTTTCATGGACTACTGGGGCATGCCGAACGTCCGGACCAACATCGACCCATTGACTTTTGGGATCAATATCGCCAAAGGGCAGGCCGCTATTCCGGGTGATGGAAACGATGTCATCAGCATGACATATACCTACGATATGGCCAAGGTGTTGGTGAGAGCACTCGATTTGGAGGAGTGGCCGGAGTTCAGTGTGATTGTAGGACAGGATGTGACCTACAACCAGTTGTTACGCTGGGCTGAAGAGATCCGGGGTATGATCTAACTTTGTGTCTGCAGTCTGTATCTTCTTGCTAATAGTATACAGGTAAAAAATTCCAAGTGGTCTACGACAGCGCGGACAAGATCAATCAAAACCAGGTGACTGTCCCTCCCATGCCGGATGGAATCGGGTATTCTGAAGAGGAAATCCAAGAAATGACAGCCCTAGTGAGTCGATTGACTGTGGCTGGGGCCTTCAAGCTGCCAGTAGAAAACCGGTTGAATGCACGATTCCCAGGCATCAATTTGGTGTCTGTCAAGGAATTCCTCACGAATGCCTGGAAATGATTCTACGCCTTGATGCGAGAACAGCATAAGTTCATAGTTCATAATAACACATCGCATTCTATTCATATTACAAACATCTCAGGTCATTCTCTTTGTCCCTGAAACCCCAGACAAGCCATATCGAATATCACTCGGCAAGTCATCCTCATCAGGTCCCTCGTTGTACTGGTTTTTCGTCCGCGGCTTTGCATGTCGCAGGCGATCTCCAGGGAGGATGTTCTTCTGGTCAATTGCCTCGCGTTCATCATCGCCTAGACACGTTAGCTTCGTTTCATCTTCTCTGGGTACGATCATGACATACCTAGCTGCTGCTCACTGTTAGAATATGGCGGCTGCATGGGATCGTCATAGTCCTCCCCATCACGCTGAATGGGCATCTGATTGCTAATGTAGGGGTTTGTATCTCTGGTGTACGAGTCATCGATGACCTCACCCTCAACGGGCGCGGGATCGTTCTCTGCCTCGTAAGAGTCCTCGGCTTCTCTTTCAACTTGGGTAGACATTTTGGGCTATGAATATCAGATAAAGGTATTCGGATGTACAGACGATGGTTACAGAAATAAATTACTGGATTGATAGATGGGGTATAAGATAAAAACACCAGCAGTGCGTCATGGCTATATAACCGGGGAATTGCTCCAGAGTTATCGAGACGACGACAGTCTGACATCAATTAAGGTGAGTCTATTCGAACGTCATTTTCCCAACGGTTATAACAGCTTCTTTCTAGTTCTCACCCCGGCTCAAATGCCTATCACAGGAAGCATACACAACCTAAACCTAGTAACCTCAGGTCAAGAAAGACATTGTAAAGCGACTTTACAAACCAAAGACTCATACATCACGTCGAGATCTAACGTCAAAATCAATACACAATCACGATGGCAACTATATCCTCAATCTGATATCAGTGGTGGCACTGCCATGACACATTGTTAAATCAATTCCTCGCCACTTCCCATATGAAACAGTATATACAATTCCAAATACCAAGAGCTGTCATGGATACATACATACATACATGAAAAAAGAAATCCCAAAAGGCATCACCATCAATACAGGACTCTACCATAGAATCTACGACACCATGTCCAACTCTCGTGAAGATAACGAGGTCAATGTCTCGGGTGAGGAAAAAGTCAACGCCATGCGCGGATACAAGGCGTATGTCTTATCTATCTCTTCATTTATTCAATACGAATATACTAACGAGCTACCTCAGCGCCCTGAAGAATCCCAAAGTCTCACCTGAAGGCAAACAACATGCTAGGGATGTTCTGGATAATGAAATCCACTGGGACCAGCCTCGTCAGGAACTCTATGGTATCCGTCAGCAGAATAAAGAGCCGAACAGGGTAGCTGGTGGGCTGAAAGCGTAAGTATTCGAAGTTATATTGGATTTTATGATGCTAATATACGATAGTGCGCAGGTTAATCCACGTGTGACAGATCGAGGCAAGAAGGGAGCGTCTGAGAAATTGGATCAGATGGGGCCTGGACCTCAGGAATAGTGTACATCTTGCCTGAATAGATAGTTATGATATTATATTCGGATTCTTTTCTACTAGATGATATCTTTGTTGCATTGGGCTGCTGCAAGACCTTCCTCCGCCTCCACATACTAAGCCTGATCAACACCAGAAGAATTCCCCGGTGATATCGAGCACTATCCAACAGGTAAACAAATCCCGAACTATGCAGTATCAAAGTAACATACTAAAGCCAGATGCGATAAAAACGAGGCACCAGTCCTATTCAAAAAGACAGTCGTTGCTGGATTAGGACATTGCTCGACTCGCCCATTCCAGGCCTATGAAACATTAAATAGCCATATGCAAGCGCACCGTTAACGGGTACACCTGATCAACAAGAATGCACGCGCCCAATCTATATCACATGCATAGGAATATCCAGGTCTTGACAGGAGTAGAATAGTGGGGGCATTCTTTGCGGGAATAACCGTTCTCTGTATAAGCGGGTTGAATTTTCCATGGTCTGCAGTGGCAGGAAGGATGAGTCGTCATTAGGATTGAGCATTGGAGATTTGGGAAGGGTTTCTAAGGGAAGAATCGGGATCAAACATGATCAGTTGACTGGGTTTGGGGTTAATCTATCTGAATGTTAAAACAGAAATATTATTAGTATTACCTTTGATTAATTATTAAGGCCAAAGTCTACTGCTTAACAAATTTCCATTCCGTCCTGATTACACGTCCATACGGAATCGAGTCCTCGCCCTCATTGAAGATCCTTCTACACGCACCGTATTAGCCCCAGTCACCACTCTACTCCATTGATGGGTTAGGATTCACCACATCCTCTGGCCATGCCCGAAACATATCCATCAACTGGTCGACGGGCGCAGTCATCAACCCATACGCCGTCTGGTAAGGGGGCTTGTTGGGGGCGCTGGGATGAGCACGGGTGGGCACGAACATTTTGGTCCGGCTGAACGACTTGGACAGCCGCTGGCTTTCTTCGGGCGTGATGGCGCTCTCCAGCTTGACCAGGTCGATTTGCTCCTCGTCTTCGATGTGCTTTCTCAAGTCCTTCATCAGGGCCTTGATCGTGGGGATGAACTGGGAGTTGGTGAGGTGCATGTCCTGGAATCGCTTGAGTTGCTCTTTGACCTGTTCCAGTTAGCGATGTTTGTATGTGTTTATGGAGATGACTTACAATCTGATGGTCGTGGCGGTCCTTGTCGGCCATTTCTAAGCCGTCTCTCAGATACTTTTCCATCGCAGGGTATACGACCAGCTCCTCCCCAACTGCATGCCGGGCAAGTTCCCAGACAAACTTGTTCTGGAATCTCTGTTGCTCATCGGGATCATTGGTGTTGATAATGGTTTTGTAGTACGTGTCCAGGTCATAGTGGTCTTTTTTGATCGTGTCAGAGATGCGGGCCGCCATGATTCGAGTGTGTCGGTTTTTCTATATCGAGTATTTAGGTATTAGGTATTCAGGCTGAGGATGAGAGTCTTGCATAACACGAAGCATTATATCCATGAGCTTCCTATTTCTTGCGTCATCGCGTCGTGCATCAGCTTGGGGGCGAATTGGGCCTCGATTGTTTGTTATCTGGATGTCATCAGAATGACACCAGTCACATCTTCGATGGCAGGTAGGACAAAAACGATGATTCCCATCTCGCAAGGTCAGGATATGTCGGACAGAATCTGCAGGAGACTAGCTGTTAAATTTCCGATGAGAGTCACAAGCCTCGAATCAACATACTGTTCCTCCCACTTCTCCCATCGAGAAGAAGAGTAAAAAGTATCCAGAGTCGGCCTCACATCCCGCTGGTTAACCATCATGAAGTTGGGTTGACGTAATTTGTATCTGGGCCGACAGTCTGCCTGGATAATCCTCGCCTGAACCGAAAGTGTCAAAACCTGCCTGTGAATGAGTTGGCATCTGGTGCCTGAGCGGGGAACTCACCAGGAACGCATCCCACAAAGCTTCGCCTTGGACTTTATTCCTCACTTTATCTCAGTGTCTTCATGTAAAACCCACTGTTCCCATCGACTTGGATATGGCCTTTTGTGAGGTCTGAAAAAATCGCTCTCATCTCGTCTCGTCTCGTTGAGCCCCGCTTTGTGTCGCCTGAGCGTATCCGTGTCTTCAGACTCATTTCCTGCCTGTCAAGTGACAGGGAACAACCCGACTTTATCCAAAGACATTGCCATCATGAGCGACAGGTGAGTTCCAACTCGGACCCCACTTGTGTGTCGATTTCACTGACTCGAATATCTGAATAGACACCATGCTCGTCTGGATCCCATCCAGGAAGAAGAGCCAGAAGCCATCCCAGTCCCTGCAGCCTGCGAGCCCGTTGCGCAAACTAATCCCCCAGAAAGTCCCATGCGACGCCTTTCGCAGTGGCTGTGGCCATGGTGGACGGCGACAGAATCTGAAGTCCACGAAACCCTTGTCGACAGGGCCTCTAACGTCAAACCCGACTGTAATATCACTGCATCCAAAACAACTTCCGGCTCCAAGATTCAGCAAACCAGCTCTAGATCTCGTTCCACGTCGGCACGCAGAACCGAAGCGGAGTCTTCATCCCGCAACGACAAGATCCCAGAAGAAGAAAGCATTCCCTGCAAAGCCTGTCGCATCGGGGGAGCTGTTTGTGATCGCCAACGACCCCGATGCTCACACTGTCTCGACCAGCAGATCTTATGTTTTTATGTCGAGCCATTGCGACTTACGATGGCCAGGAATAAGAAAGCGCGCGCTACTATCACGCAAGCGCAAATAACGCCATCTCAGCTGCAGCAGAGTCACTGTCAGTGTTAGTCGCATCTGATAAGATATAGCCTGTCTTAATTAATTTCGATCGCATTTCTGGGGGGCTCAAGACTATCTCTTATCGACGGTTAGATACGGAGTAGAAAAAACTGGGGAACGATAAGATGCGGAGTAGACACATCCGTTATGGAATGAAAGTTTCTTCCTGCTATGTCACAAGCAGGAATGATTTACACAGAAGACTGAATCTGTCCGTGGATCGACTGAGGATTTATACGAGAAATCTCAATATGTGTGCTATACGATATAACAGTGCGACTGAAAGAACACCTGAATTACAACACGACTTGGTTTACAGGAAGAAAGAGGAGAAGAGGAATAAGAGGATAATATTCGCCATCTGGAGACACCAGCGAAACGGACAGAGTGCCCCGAACCAAGATCGATCAACGCCCACGGACGGGGCAGGTTGTCCTGATATTACCATTCTCGGAGCACTGTGAACCGGTGCCGCACCAACTCGAATTTACCAACATGGCAGCACTTGATGCAATCTGCTGTTGTCTATTTACATACTCTTTCTGAATAGAGAGTCGATATATTTGCACAGTATCTTGAAGCATTGACTGAATCAAAGTGAGTATCAGCAAATCAGCACCATCACAACACATCAACTAACAGACCCAGATGGAAGCCGAATACACTCGTCTAGCAGATTTACTGCGCCAAAACGCAAGCGAGCACCCCAAAAAACGCTTCCTGGTTGCCATTGCCGGAATCCCAGGATCAGGAAAAACGACAACAGCCTCCGCCGTCGTGAATCGGCTCAATTCAGACCCTTCTTCTCGCGCAGCTCTCCTCTCCATGGACGGGTTCCATTTATCAAGAGCGACGTTGGACAAGCTCCCAAATCGAGAAGAGGCATATATACGTCGTGGTGCACCGTGGACATTCGATGCACCGCGCTTCGTTACTTTCGTTCGACAACTACGCGACTGGGCGGATAATACACCCGTGGCCTCACCTGATTCACCAAAAGAAGTTATATACGGACCATCATTTGACCACGAAGCCAAAGACCCCGTTGAAAACGGCATGGAAGTTACCAGCGACGCAACAATTATCATCCTCGAGGGAAATTACCTACTGCTAGACGAGCCCGAGTGGCAGGAGATCTCAACGTTGGTTGATTACCGAGTTTTTGTCGATGCAGACCTACAAGAGGCGAGAGGACGAGTCGCCAGACGACATGTTAAGGCTGGTATTGAGAAGACGTTGGAGGATGGGTTTCGACGGGTGGACAGCAACGATTATTTGAATGGGATTACCATCAAATTGAAGCTTATTGCACCTGACCTGGTTGTTCAGAGTTTGACAGAATGATTTATCTTGTTGTTGTATTTTCCATCTCATATTTTCTTTTCATTATCGTTGTATTTTGTTATTCTGCTACTACTTTGTTGTAGACTATTTTGTTGCCCATGAATACACGATGTACTTGAATGCCACCCCATTTACTCTTTGATCGTTTGCTTATGGAATACATCTATCCTGTCAGTTTGAATATAAAAGAATTGGAATGATCATACCTGGAATCTCGGGCATCCACGTCGCCCTATCCTTACAAAAGAACTCCCCCTTAGGGGGCAAAGCCTCAGGAGAATCCAGCGAGCCTACACAAATATATCGGAATTGATGTTTAACAGCATCCTACACAATCATAGTCAGATATAATCCACCCATTCAGTACAGTTAGAAGAACATACCCCATACTCTAGGATAAAACTCCCACAATCCCCGCAAAACTCACGATGGATCATCGCCCCGGATCCATTATCCGAGACATGCTCTTTGGGCATTCCTGACGTCAACTGGAACGCATCTTTGGGGACTTTTGCCGTAAGGCCGTAGTTTGTTCCAAAGGCTTTCTTTGGGATGTTATTTTAGGATCGCTTGGATGTACGGTTGATGGGAGATGGGATTACCTTGCAGTTTCGGCAGTGACAGATAGATGTGCGTGCCTCATCGGGTGAGGAGAGGGTTAGGTTATATTGTATTTTGCGGCAGTAGCAGGATCCAGTGTATGTAGGCATTGTAAATGATTAGAATGATGATACTCAGTTTGACAATCTTCTCGTGTTCAATAATAGGAGAGGTTTAATAGGATCAATGGAATTATTTATATGGTTGACGTCACTATTTCCTCCTCTGATGACACTAAAATATATATCTCCGAATTTTTGAAGATAATTAATTGCAAAACACCAAGACTAAACTATCTAGCCACAATAAAGTAATCAAGATGTTTTTCCATCTCGAGTTTTATCCTTGTCTCTGCAGGTGATGTGATAATGACATAGCAGCTCTGCAGCATGGTATGACTAACCTCACACAATAATCCACAATCAATAATGTCGACCCCACATCCGTTCGTCCCCCGCCTGGATAAACAAAGCCCCTTTAGTCGTCTAAATATTCAGGACACAAAAGATGGGAGACCAAGGTCAACACCAAGCAGGCTTGCCTGAACCCATCAAGAAACGATCCGTAGCCTCTTGTTTCATCTTCCGTGTTCCGCGGGATGGAAAAGGAAAACCGGCCGTCGCACTATTTAGGCGGAGCGAGAAAGTGAGGACATATCGGTAGGCATTGAAATTCATATATCAAAAGTTCAAGGCTTATTAGCCGACTTCCTAGTCACCATCTAGCCCCAATCGCTGGTAGCATCGATAACGAGGACAAAAGTCCGCTCGATACCGCATGGCGAGAACTCCAGGAGGAAACTTCCCTCACCCCATCCTCACTGGAGCTCTGGCGTAAAGGCAAGCCGTATACATTCAGCGACGCTGCTATCGGACGAGAGTGGACCATCCATCCGTTCGCGTTTCGTCTGAAGGAACCCGACGAAGGAGGGCTAGGCGAGGAGGGCATCCAAACGGACTGGGAGCACGAAGAGTGGCAATGGTTCGACCCTGACACGGTCTCGGACAATGAATCTTTCGGCGCCGTGCCCAGACTTCGTGACAGTCTCCGGCGTGTCTGGTATGAGGGTGAGATGCCGGAGCACGCAAGCAAGGCGCTCACGACCGGCCTAAGTCACTTGCACACCCATCAGGACGGATCTCGGGAGTTGACGGCACTGGCCCTGACGGCGTTTCGAGATGTGGTTACGCAGACGCGCGATGGTATCGACGAACATTGGTGGGAATTAATCAGGATGGCCGTATGGCATCTATGGAAGAACGGACGCGAAAGCATGGGAATATCCACCATCAATGCTCTGGTGGGCGTCTTAGCCGACATGAATGACATCCTAGGGCAGAATATCGGAGCCGAGCAGAAATGGGATCGGATGCTAGCCATGGCTGACCTCCATTTGGCGAATCGCAAGTGCATTCCCGCGCGAATCCGGGACTCGTTCGTCTCGTATATCCAATCGCACTTTCTCGCCGGCAGTGAACCCAGATCCAAGCTCACTATCCTTACCGTCTCAGCCAGTTCCACCATCCGCGATAGTATTCTCGATGCATATGCCTCGCTCGAGGGTATTGAAGAACTCGAACTGCGAATTCTAGAATCCCGACCGCTCTTCGAAGGTGTCAGCATTGCCTCGTCTCTGCTTTCAAAATTTCAATCACAGTTCCAGGACTCACCTAACAAGCGCCTCAAGATGACCATCTACACTGACGCATCAGCAGCCTTGGCCGCAGCAGACGTAGACATCGTCTTATTCGGCGCTGACCGCATCTCACCAGCAAAAGGAGTCTGCAACAAGACGGGCTCCTTGCCCGCAGTTCTCGGCGCAAGGCATGCTGCCCCGAAAGCCAAAGTTCTTGTACTCAGCGAACTGGAGAAGGTGGAGGGAGAATGCTGCGGTGTTCAAGAGGAAAATGCCTTCGAAGAGAACGATCCGATCGAGGTGTTGAGCGGATGGCACAACGATGGAGTGAAAGGAATCAGCATCCTAGAAGACGAGATTAACAGGACGAAATCCGGAAAATGTGAGACGTCCAAGGTGGAAGTCAAGAATATTTACTTTGAATGGGTACCATTATCGCTGGTGGATGCATTTGTGAGCGAAGAGGGGGTTCTGGATGAGCAGAAAATCCGGGATAAATCGCAGGAAGTGGGAGCGAATTTGGAGCGATATTTGGGTGGTTTGTGAATAGCAACTATCTTGATGACGCATGAAGTCATCACATGCTTAGAATAGAATATCGATATCTCTTGCCTTAGAAATCCATCAACACCAACACCAAAACCATCACGGCCATCGAGAAATGCATCGTCTATCACCAGGAAAACATCTCTTTAACACTTCCAAAAACCTCCTCTTCGAATACGTCATCCACAACAACCCCTCCGCTCCATTATCAGCTTCAACCCTCCTCATAATCCAATGCCCCGCCTGGGGTCTCGGTTCTGAATACCTCCAAACTGGCCTCGCCCCCTTATACACTCAACACAATTACACCCTTCTCTTCTTCCACCCTCGTGGAACAGACGGCTCCTCTCGTCCTTCCGACCCATCACAAATGAGCAGCATGCCCCATCTCGCCTCCGACCTGGAAGACCTTCGCGTCTACCTAGAAATTAAGAAATTCTCCGCATTAATAGGCCATTCCAACGGCGGGGCCATTGCCTTAGGATATGCGGAGATGTATCCAGAGCGTGTGCAGAAGTTGATTCTACTGGATCACCAGCTGGTAGGGTTTAAGGATCGCGTGCTGTTGGAGGTATTCAAGGATGATAACCGATATCGAGAGGCTTTTATGGCGCTGAAGCATTCTCCGCATCAAACAGACGAGGAATTCACTCGCCATGTGAGGGCCATTCTGCCTTTGTACTTTGTTGAACCAAAGAGGTTTGTCCCTGTGCTGGAACAATCGATTGGAGATAGATTCATGCCCGTGTGGTGTTATCGGAGTGTATATGGATGCGACAATAAGTTGTCGAATCCTACGCAGATGATCGATGGATTGACCAAGATTCGTGCGAAGACGTTGATGATCTTTGGCAAAGAGGATATGATCTGCGGTTTGAGTATTGCGACACGCACAAAGGAAGGCATCGATGGGGCTCAGCTGATAGTATATGACGATTGTGGCCATTTCCCATGGATAGAGAAGAAAGAAGAGACCTTCAATGATATTGTAGCGTTTTTAAAACGTTAGGCGAGCTCCTGAGACCTACATTTCTACTAATTGCATTCTTTCAAAATATAATCAAATGAAATTTCATCAGGTTCGTACACTTAAATAGTGCCCAAGAAAAAAGAAGACAGGGGTAGTAGCATCTCCAATGGAGGGGAATAAGGAAGCACCAAAACACCAGCTGGAAAAACAGGGCTGAATCGTAAACAAAGACCACCGGCAAATAACGCAAATCAAAAATCCAAAGAGGTATCATTCAAGAATCACGAACACGCGCCTGTCGCTTGGCCGTTCCAATATGAGTGTTGTGCACCTTGGTGGCGAACTTGAGACTGGTCAAGGTCTCTGCCAGATGCGCCTGGAGGGGGCTGACCATCACGAACATAAGAGTCTTCGAATTTCCTCCCAGAGAGAATTGAAGAAGGTAGGTGAGCTTGCTGTTTCGGTAGGGAATATGGGCCCCTTCCCTGCCTTGTCCAAGAGCCGAAATCACGTCGCCCAAACAACTCAAACTGCGATTGATGTTCTGCGTCTCCTTCAGCCTCTCTCCGGTGGCTCCGCTATGGCTTAAGCGTTCACTGCCAGCAAGATCAACCAGGTTGAGGGTTCCTTCACTGCGTTCTCCGGTCACGCTGTTTTGGCCGATGAGTTTGAGGATGAAGACGGAGTGGGATCGCGAGGAACGCTCGTTGGCCTTGGTGGCTGCCACCGACCGATTTGCTGCCGCCCGCTTCAGGAGAGACTCGACCATTTCAGGTGATTCCAAGCGCACGGTTGTGATGTCAGTGATTATTGTCTTGCATCGCTGCATATCGTGCCTAATCTCATGCTTCTTCTTGTCCAATTCGTCCGCGTTACCCAACAAGTCGTTCAGGTTTTCATTGTAAACTTCAACGAAATTACCCTCCATCGTATATGTCCAACCCTTCTCCTCGAGCTGCTGGGCGGTTGCATAGATCTGATGAACGGCGCGAGGGATCATGCCATCCAGAGAAGACATGGTATGAGTCTTTCCACTGCCAGTTTGGCCATAACAGAAGATACAAACATTGTAACCATCGAGTGCGCTTTGGACAAGTTGGCTGATTTCCTCAAAAACCTCGGCATTCTGAGTGGACGGTCCAAATACTCGGTCGTAAGAGAAATTACTGTTTTTCCTCGAGACGGCTCCAAGGCTGCTTTTTTCTTCGGGTCCGATGATGCTGATCTCCTTGGAATCCTCAGACTCGTCTGGGTACTGAATCTGAGCCACACTCGTGACAGACTCTTCTTTCAAGGGTGGACGGACTCTGCAGAACACGCGGATGTTTCCCTTCAGCTCCTGGACTTGGTTGTGGAGCTTCCTGCGGAGGGTTTCTTCCTTTCTCAATTTTTCCTTGGTTTCCTCAGTCTCTGCGGCAGCATCCATCATTCGCTGGTTGATTTGTTCAAATGCCTGAGATTGTTCTTCCCTTCCGGACTCGAGGAACTCGATTCGGGCCTTCAGTGCACGGATCGACGACTCCAGCGTGACGCTGTTCGTACTAGCTGTGTCTAGATTCTGTCGGAGATCCAGGTTGCTCTTCCGTTCCCGCTCCATTTCGTTTCGCAAAGTTTGCAGATCGCCTTGGAGTGTAGCGATTTCACGATCTTTTGTTTCCAATTCGATCCGAGTTCGTTGGGTGTCCAAAGCAGTCTGAGAGGTCATCTGGTTAACTTCACGGTGTCGCATGGCCTTCTCGTCATCCAATTCGCGCTCGAATCGCCGCGTTATTTCACGGACCTCGTCCTGGTGTTGTGCTTTCAGTGCTTCCAGTTGTTTCTTGTTCTCCTGTCTCATTGTCTCCGTCTCCACACGCTGCTTTTGATCAATATCATCCATTGCAATCTCATGGTCCCTTTGGGCATCTTTGAGTGCATCATCAGCCTTGGATAATTGACTTTTCATTGTTTCCAGCTCCACGCGCAACAAGAGGTTGGCTTCGGTCCCTTCTTTTCGCGAAGCCTCCAACTCGCTAACTGTACAGCACTTATATCAATATGCGTCCCACATAACAAACAAGCCATGACTCACCCCTTGTTTTATACAGTTCAACGGTTTCTTTCAAGCCGAAACTCTCCTGTCCAGCCTGGCTCACCCTGGAGACAAAGGCATTGAAAAATTCTTCCATGGTCTTCTCTCGGGTATCCTGGTCCCATTCTGCGCCTGTGGAATAGTTAAAACTTTTGATCGCAGAGTCTTTAGTGAGGAATTGGGGCAAAGGATATGGGTTTCTCTTCGGGGAAGTCTTGGTAGGGGAAAGGGACTTGGCTGGGAGCAGTCTGATGGGAGTAGACGGCGTTGGAATTTTTGAACCTGGGGGCTTGAGGGGTCCATCTTGAGTGTGGGTTAAGAGCTCAGGGTCCGGTACGCTCTTTGGGGGCAAATCCAACATCAACTGATCCATAGCATTGCACAGGGCAAACTCGCGGCTATCAGTCTTAAGCAACGTTCCTTTCGGACCGGGCTGCGTCACCTGAGAGCTGATTCTGGCCCCAGAGTTTTCCCTGTGCGTGCCTGACAATGATCGTGCAGCATGTAATGATGGGGCATGGGAGGAGAAAAAAAGAGATTGTCGCCTACCCTTTCTTTTCCCCAAGACACTTCCAGCGGGCTCTTCATCATGGGTATCTAACGAGGTCGCGGGACGGGTGATCGATTGACCAGCGGGCTTCCGAGTACCGAGCGAAGATTGGGAGCGAGGGACAGTACCGGCTGCGGGAGGTCGTGCGCCGTATCCGACGGTGGAAGAAAAGTGACCACTTCGTGACGCGGTCGAGGCAGATCTGGTCGACGTTGAGTTGGCACGAGTATGAACTCGGGTTGTACCAGTGGCTGATCGCGACGTTGTTGATGTTCCGGTCTTCCGGGTTTCGGGGGCTTGGGTGACGCTCTTCGAACGACTTGGTTCTGTCATGTTGTCAGCTCGTGGATACTTTGGGCCACCTTTCCTTCAGATTCACGTACGCGGCAGGCCGGAAGACTTGCCCGCGATCGTACCCGGCTGCATCAGGCCCGACCGGGAGTTTGTGTTTGCTGAATTCATTTCCTTGAGGCCAGCTGCCTGGAGACGACTGCGGGTGGCTGGTCTTGACTGTGTCTGTTCGTCTAGGTCAGTGTGGGAGTCGGGGACAATAGCAGTGACGAAAGCAATTTACCAAGTTCTCATTCTCCATGATGGGCAATGAGGGGTATATAGTCCACTACCACAGGTGTACACAGATGGATTGTCTGGGTGAAGAGGAGCTCACCGTGATGCAAGACAAAGCAGATGGACCAAAACAAAGGACAGAAAGCGGGGATAAGGGGGGGGAAACAGAAGATATACAAAAGAATCAGGTTAGAAACAAGTGGGACTGCAACATGTCAGGGCCCTCCCCGTCACTGCAACTAATTATCGCATTCAAGTGCTGCGTTTTGGGCTCCTCTTTGGCGTCTTGCTCCGGCTTGTTTCCTGTTCGTCTTTTTCGTTTCTGGAGAGACGAAAAGCGGTAAACAAACTCTGCTGACTCAGCGGTCTTGGGGCGGGGCTGTGCTAGTCTTTTCCGGGGTTAGTCGCCTGGTCCCGTGACTGTATCCCCAATACGAATTTCAATACGATATCATCCAACATTCAGTGTTGTGATTGTACTTCTTTTTCTGTAGCAATTTAATTGATATTGTTCTTTTCTTTGCGGTATCATGCAGCTAGATCCATATCGACAATCAATGGCTCCGTCTCCGGTGTTGACTAGTGGTCGTAGAACCCGTGTGCGGACTCCCCCCGGCCACTGCTAAACGCCGGCTGGAACTTCTTCTGCTCGCAGACCAGACAGCAGCTTTCCCCATATCAACCGCCCCTCGAGGCTCCTTTCTCTCCCTCACCGTTACTCCTTTTCTGCCCTCTACACTTCATTCTTAAAATTAATTCCTTGAATTCTTGATTGGTTTTTCTTTTGCTTTCTTTTCTTTATACAGCCTCAGCGCTATGTCTGGTCGTTTCGTCCGTTCCTCCAAATATCGTGAGCTTCCCCTCCTCCAACTTGCCCGCAGCGCTGGTAATCTGACATGTATTAGGACACGTCTTCGGGCGGCCGACGAGAAAGGTACGCCACGAACAGCCCCCGCCATTGAGGGGTCTGACATTCAATTGCTGGACGGTTATAATATTCACGGGTATCTATAGGAACAATGCTACGATAATCTTCGAATCTCCACGAATGCCTGGGATACCAACCTCGTCAAGGTTCGTCCGTCCTTCCCCTTATCCGTCCGCCAGAACAGGAAACCTGACGCCGCAATCAGGCCAACCCACACTATCTCTCGGTGAACTGGGAAGCTGGTGGAGGTGGTGCTTTCGCTGTGATTCCTCTCGAAGAACGGGGCAAGTTGCCAGAGAGAATACCTCTCTTCCGTGGTCACACCGCAGTTGTTTTGGATACCGACTGGTGAGCAACGATCGTCTGTCAATTCGGCCACAGAGCACAAATCTAACGCCAAACTAGGAATCCTTTCAACGATAACCTGATCGCATCCGGCTCCGATGACGGCAAGGTATGGATATTGGATAGCTTCTGCAAGCTCGGCGGTCTGGGCTGACTCGCTGTTCTAGGTCATGCTCTGGCGCGTGCCAGACAACTTCACACTCCGCCCCGATGTTGACGCCGATGACATTCAAGATATTGCGCCTGTAGGCAAGCTGAGTGGTCACCCGAAGTGAGCCCTTCCATGCCTTCTTCACCGCAAAGGAATGCGTACTAAATCCCATTACAGAAAGGTTGGACACGTGCTCTTCAACCCCGCTGCGGAAAACATCCTTTCGACGGCCTCTGGTGATTTCACCGTGAAGGTCTGGGATATCGAGGCTGGCGCCCCCAAGCTTACCTTGAAGCTGGGTGATATGGTGCAGTCGCAGTCCTGGAGTGCCAATGGTTCCCTCCTCGTCACCACCTCGCGAGACAAGAAGCTGCGGATTTGGGATGTGCGTCAGGAACGCCCCGCACACGAGACCCAGGGCCACTCTGGAGCGAAGAACAGTCGTTCTGTCTGGCTGGGTGAACGCGACCGGATCGCGACCACTGGTTTCTCCAAGATGAGTGACCGCCAGCTGGCCTTGTGGGATATCCGTGCTCCTCGGGAGCCTATGGACGGCTTCAAGACTCTAGACTCGATTTCCGGTGTATGCATGCCATTCTGGGATGACAGCTCGTCGATTTTGTACCTGGCCGGAAGAGGGTAGGTTTCAATCCCTTGCTTTTGTTTCATGCGCGGTTAATCTAACGTCAACAGTGACGGTAACATCCGGTACTACGAGCTAGAGAATGACAAGTTCGAATACCTCGCCGAATACAAATCCGGTGATCCTCAGCGTGGTATTGCATTCATGCCCAAGCGTGGTGTCAATGCCCACGATAACGAAATCACCCGCGCCTTCAAGACGGTCAACGATAATTATATTGAGCCTATTTCCTTCATCGTCCCTCGCCGAGCCGAATCATTCCAGGACGATATCTACCCGCCCACCATCGGTATGACCCCCGCTATGGGCCCATCTGAATGGTTCGCTGGAAAGGAGGCCATTCCGCCTAAGATTTCCATGGCCAGCCTTTACGAAGGCGAAGGTCTGCAAGAGGTCACTGGCGTGCAAGACAAGCCCACTACGACCGTGGGCGCTCCTGAGCCCAAGCCTGAGGGTCAACCTAAGCCCGCTGAACCAACACCCGTGAAGAAAGCACCTGAACCCGTTCCCGAACCCACACCCGTGGCACGGCCCGCCCCCTCCATGAAAGAGCAGGGCGCCTCGATGGCCGCTATGGTGAACAAGTTCGCTGACAATGAAGAGGCTGAGAAGGTGGATGACGACTCCAACTTTGATGAAGTCCCCAAGCCGACAGAGCGACACACTTCGTCGCCATCGGTGTCCACCAGCCCATGGCATAAGAAGGAAGAGCAAGCCAAGTCAAACCCTTCCCCTATCAAGGTAAATTGCTTTTTTATGTATAATCATTTCTCTGGGCTAACATTTTGTTAATAGACCCCTACGAGTGCCGATCGCTCACCCCAAGCTTCCACTCCTGTCGCCTCCACCCCTATTGCCTCTACCCCTATGGCCTCCGCCCTATCAGCGGGCGCAGCCGTTGCAGCCGATGCCGTGCAGCGGGAAATCGGAGTCATCAAAGATCTGATCTCGGAGCAGACCAAGACGATCGCATCGCAGGCACAGCAGATGCAGAACCTGACCGCGGAGATCGAGTCCCTCAAGGCCAAGCTGGGCTAGCCGAATACTTTTTGCACCGCAGGGCATGGGTCGTGTAATTTACTTTCTCTTCTTGTCAATTGCCGCTTTCAAAAGAACAGTCTCTCGTTTGTTTGTAGCCATTTAGTGTTGTCTGTTATATTTGGTTATGGCTTACAGCATGGTCGCAATGTCAATAACTTTTTTTCTTCTTTTTTCCAGTTTATTTTAGAAGCGACAGGCGATGCGTGATGATCAGTTGGTGGTTTAGTGAATGGCTGTATGCGGGGTGTTGTTTATATGTATACAGCCATTGAATATAGTTGATAAATATACAAATAACATGTCTTATACTTACTTGTCTGCCCCAAATAGAGACGTTTGTTGGAAATTATTCTGATTCATAGTGGCAATGCGGACGATTCGAAAGCTACTTGAATATATATCTCCGAGTTGCTATCATACACATTTGAGCACTGTATGAGTAGTACTTGAAATATTTGAATGCTGTCATATCTTTTAATTGTAGCAATGAAATATGCTGGAATTTTTATCATATAACTCATAGCAATGGAGTAAATCATCATGTTAGGAATACATGCATCGAGTAGGATACAACTAAACCGCCGCCGACACTCGACTTCACAGATAAACAGATAATTATACAATCTAAACTGAGATTCATGAGATACAATACAGTATTTGACATAGATTCTTTTTTAAATTTGCAGATCTATCTACTCTGTCAATCGAATTGGGCCAACGCCATGGTTATTCATGCAAAAAAAAAAAAGATCATATCGTGGGCTCCATATACATGGCCATTCGATGTCAAAAATGCAAAAGAGATCAGATCAAGAAAGAAAAGAAGATGTTTCTATTTACGCCCATCGACTGGCTTCTCTTTCCTTTTCTACTCGGGCAGCTCGAGCGGAGTCGGTCTCCTCGTCTTCGTATTTGTAACTCAGTCGTCGTCCGCCTGCGAGAGTTCGATCCTGTCGACTGTCGCGTTTGCGGCTGGGTTTGCTGCCGCCATCCATGGCTTCGCGGCGCTGTTGCTCCTTTAGTAGTCTCTCGCGATTGCGAGCTTCTCGCTCCAGAGTGTGTGGATCCTTTTCCAGTTCAGATGTTTTGGAGGAACCCTTGTCTTTGTCTCCGCTGCGGACGTCATCTTCACGGCTTCGTTTAATTCGTCGGGAATGATGTCGAGAGGAGTATTCGCTGCCGGCGGGTGACTCGGTTCGATCACGGCGAGATCGTTTTCTGTCCCGCTCGCGATCCCTATCCCGCTCTCTGTAGCGGTCTCGATCCTTTTCTCTTTCTCGGTATCGCTCTCGATCACGATCACGATCTCTATCACGGCGGTCCCGGTCCCGATCTCTTTCACGGTCGCGATCACGATCCCTATCTCGGTCCCGGTCCCGACGCCTGGAGTCTCTGTCCCTCTCTCGCTCCTCTTCACGGCGACTAGAACGATCCTTGGTGGGCCGATGGCTGCGACTAGATGTCTCCATTACCTCACCCGACACAGAAGCCTTGTCTCGAGATGTCAGACCGTTTTCCTCGGGAACCGATGGAAGACGGTCAGGTGCACGGGAGTCTCCACGACGGCTAGCGCTCCGACTCCGACTGCGGTAGCGATACGAACGATGAGATCGACGTCCATTCCTTCTATCCCGGTCTCTTTCCCGGCGTCGGGAGGATCTTCGAGAAGAGCGAGAGGGGGAACGGCTACGGCGACCCTCTTCTGTCGCATATGCCTCTTCACGACGGTCCTCACGGCGAGATCTCTTTTGTCGTTCGTGTCTTCGTTCACGGTCATCTGCATTGCCGTTAACGCTCGGGGAGCGAGGGCGATTGGGACGGTAGGTTTCAGCTTGATGGCGGGCTGGTGACCGGGATCGAGTTCTGGATCTGGCCCTTGACCTTGACCTCGACTGTGATCGTGGTCTTGACTCATCCTGAGTGTTTACTGGAGTCGCACTTTCGGAGACATCAGGTCTGACAGGAGGAGCAGATCCTCGTCCCTGTTGTGACTGGAAGTTCCGTTGTCGTAGCACGCTCGTATTTGGAAGGCCTTGTCGCATTGCTCGGGGAGCAGCGGGAGCACCTTCAACGCCTTGTCCTCGAGGTTCAACTTGCATATTAGGCCCAGCCATGAAAGGCGCACCAGGGAAGCCACGGCCACCAGGGAACGGGCCATTCATGTACCCGCCCCTTCCAAAGCCGGGGCCCATATACGCAGGCATTCCCATAGGACCAAAGGTCATTGGTTGAGCCATATTTGCCTGATCGAGGCTGTCAATTGTGGGTATACCGCGCAGCTGTGACTCGTCTGCTTGGACTTCGTCTGTAGAGGGCTCATCAGCATGCATGGCAGCGGACGGGTTCTCGCCATTTGTCTCGTCCGTAGTCTCCTTTGGTAGGCCTTCGGGAAATTCTTGCTCAACGCTAGAAACTTGCTCATCCTCGGGCTTAAGATCAGTTGCAGCACTTGGGTCTGCCGATTCAGGATGGACGCCATCCTCGGACGGCATCTCTGGGTTGACATTAGGGGAATTCGGGTTCTGCAAACCTAGCTGGTTAACATTAGGGGGGTAATTAGCCTGCATATGTCCAGCAAAGCCACCACGGCCACGGCCGCCAGGGACAAAATATCCACGACCGCGGCCGCGGAAGTTGCCTCTGCCATACCCGGGACCATAGTACCCATTCTGAAAGTCTTGGTTAGGGAATTGTTGTTGCTGCATTTGAGCATAATTTCCGTTGGGTTGAGACATATTATATCCGCCAAATCCAGAGGGGGGCCCGTACTGCGGGCCCATACCATTTGCGAAAGCATTTGGATTGAATTTATCTGGGCCTCCATTCCACATATTGTTCTGAGAGCCGTCCCATCCCCCGTACATCCCCTGACCAGCGTCGAAATTCATTCCCATATTCATGCCACTGTTCATGCCATTCATGTTCATCCCGTAGCCCCCAAACATACCCTGATTCGCGGCCATCGGGTCCATTCCCATCCCAGGCATTCCTAAAAGCAGGCGTCAGTCAGCAATTGCCACACTGAAATAAAGCGGTAGAAACATACCCATAGAGTTTTGGAAGTTTAACATGCCATTGGACATGAACTGGGCCATTGGGTTGAACTCCCCGGTTGCATTGTTGAAGGCCATGTTGGGAAATGCCCCGGCGGCCATATTGGGTGCCATAGCGCTAGGAGCCATCTGACCTGAACCGGGAGCTTGTTCTACATCCTGCTCAGCAGGTTGAACTTCGTTGGCATCTGCGGCCTGGTCCCCTTCAACGGGCCCTTCCGGCTCCGCCGCATCATCCTTGGGCGTATCAGCCGCGGTATTATCTCCATCTCCGGTCTACGATATTGTTAATCAACATCTAATAACATAGGAAGAAGAAAGTATTACCTGAACCTGTGATTCAGCAGGAAACTCATTATTCGCATCCGTCACATTTTCCGTGCTAGCTTCCACGAGCTCATTTTCCGTAGGTGGCTGCTCTTGGTGTTCCTGAACGGCCTCCACAGCACGCTCCTCCGATACGACTGGCACAGTATTGTTATCGGGAACACTCGTAATTACCGGAGCCTCTTGTTGAGATGGGGTTGCATCTGCAGGAGTAGCAGGAACCGGAAGAGCGGGGGTCGCTGATTGGCGGTCCTTTTCGCGTTTCTTCTCTTCTGTACGAAGGAAAGCTTTTAGGGTAGTCCGAAGAGCTTTATTCGGTTTGCAGAGGTCGGATGAGAGCGGGGTGTGAGCGCAGACGGGACAAGTTTCCGGAAGTGACGATTGGCCTGCAAAGATTGGCATTAGCAAGAATTGTTTTATGGTGGAAGGAAAGATGTTGGTGTAGGATAGGCAAGCTCACAGTTTTCGCAGATAGCTTGGTCACAGCACGGTAGCCGGAAGGCGTTAACAGCCAGCTTGTTGCAGATAGCGCATCGCAGTTTGTAAGGGATTTCATCCTGGGTGAGGGTGCTGCAGATTCAAAAGACTAATCAGTAACCAAGCTTGAGACGTTCTGGTCGACGTGACTCACCTCGCGATGTCCATTAAGCCCGAAGGCTGGTCCGCTACAGCCATTGGGAATGCAGGCAAAGCGGCCAAAGGCGGACAGGTTTGTGTGATCAACAGGCTCACGACAAGGAGATAGCGAGCCAGATGGAGAGGGCAGAAGGCATGACTGGTCTTGCCATCAACACAAGGCAACGCCCATTCTAAAAGTCGCTGGAAAGTGAATGGAATTGCCGCATCTGTCGCAATCCGAATCTGAACGTCGACTAAATTCTGGTTGTCTAGACGGCGGAGGTCGGAGCGGAAGAACCACGCTCCGGATTATATGCTCTACAGCTCTACATGCGATGTTTTGATTTGATTATAGTTTTGATCTTTGATTAATGAGTATTGAGATATCGGAATATACTCTACTAGATACGATAGAAATATGTTGTGCGTTATGGGCATTTCAACCTAAATAATCCTTGAACCGTGGTGAACGTTAATCCAAGCTGTCGATCACATGCAGCACCGTTGAGTTTGGTCTTGATATTTGTGATTTGATCTTATTATCTATATCAGCTATATGTTGAGTGTAGGCATAGGCATGTTGATAAGATTAAGCTGTCCTTGTGTTCAGTTTGCATACAATGAAGCAAGGTGAAACAGCCTCGACACGGGGATGCATGGCAGGACAGACAGTTATCAAATACAGCCTACAGCCATCACGAGGGAATACCAAGACGCCTATCAGATTAGATCAAGTTATTTAAACCGTCACCGATGCAGAATACCAGAACAGTTTGGTTCGAGGATCGATGTAACCCAGCGATACCTTGAGGTTTCAGCTGAATGCCCATCGTCCCCCCACATCTCGGGAGCTCTTGTATCATCATAATGCGTCTGGGACTGTTTCTTCGCAGCCTTGGCCAGAGTGGCTAGCAAGGATCGAGCAGACAGTCTGTGGCTGAAGGGGTATGATCAAAATGATCCAGGGACAGCATAGGCAGCCAACATCAGGCAGCTGAGATGAGCAGAAAGAAAAAGAACCGCCTGATGCACAAAGGCATCATCCAACGAGCGCGTATATCAAAGACATTGGACCAGTCGAGGATCACGCGTAATCAAAGGCGATGGCCAATCAGCGATCCGACCATCCGGGACATTTCTACGGGCGGGGTGGCGATGGAAGCAGGAATGCATCATAGTATGTCAATAAAGGTAGAGTAAATAGTAGAGAGAAAGGGAGGGATAGGGAGAGAGCATCAAAGCAAGATCAAACAACACCAGAGGAATTAACTGCCTGCATGAAGACAAAGATCGGATGGAGCCATCGTTGCTATTTCAGATCGCGGGCCCAAAAGAACAAATAACAGAAAAGGCACACGAGAAAACACAGAATTTTCCAGGAAAAAATCCTTATTTTTAGCGCGAGGCCAAACGGAGCGCAGGTTAAAAAGGGTCCGTTTTCTTTTCTGCTGAGGACAAGAAAAGAACTTTTTTCTTGCTCCTGCCACAGCCATTGCTTAAACACACGCACCTTACCGTACCAATACCGTACCAATACCGCCTTCAACACCGGGGAAAGCTTGGGCCACCCGTGGCGCGATCTACAAAAACATTCGATATAGCATCATCATTAACTATCTATCACCGCGCGTCCGACGCTACAAAACCCCTCGAACTGGTCCACTGCCATCGACCATTCAATCGCTCTGTGATGTTCTAACAATTGTATTTCTATTTTCTCTCTTTTTTTTTCTCTCTTGCTTTTTCTTCAGCTCGAAAAGGTACCTCCTGGCCGGCGCGCGTTATCGCCCTCTGTCGCTGACGACAACAACTCTTTAGCGATGACAGACCAAGACAACTCATACAGACCTCATTCCCCCGACTTGAATTCCTTCCAGTCTCCGTTTCCTCCACCTGTCTCCCACTCTATCTCCTACCAACAACCCACTAGCCCTGTGGCTCATCGCGCCTCATACGACGACTCGCCTTTCTTCACCCCGCAGTACCAGCGTCCCGCGCCCCCACCCTCCAGAGTCCCTCAACAATATATCCCCCCATTCACCGAGGCCAACTTCGATTCCGATATGGCCCGTCGATCGTCTCGAATCGCGCGTGCAGCCGATGTCGCGCCTGTCCCGGCTGCCGTGCCTGATGTTGCCCCAGAGGTCGTTCCCGAATACGTCCCTGAATATGTGTCGGAATACGTCCCAGAGGTTCCGGAACCTGTCCCCGAAATGAAGTATGAAGAGCCCGCTGTGCCAGAGGAATCGTTGCAATCGCGTCCCGGCGCAGATGTGGAGGTCAAGACAAAGTTCCCCGTGGCGCGCATCAAGCGCATCATGCAAGCCGATGAAGATGTCGGCAAGGTTGCCCAGGTTACTCCCATTGCAGTTTGTAAGTTTCCTCACCCTAACATGAATGAAGTATTGCTAATATCTCTACAGCCAAAGCACTGGAACTCTTCATGATCTCCCTCGTCACAAAAGCCGCCAAAGAAGCCAAAGATCGCAATTCCAAACGCGTCACCGCGTCACATTTGAAGCAGGCCGTGGCCAAGGACGAAGTGCTGGACTTCCTGGCCGACATCATCGCCAAAGTTCCCGACCAGCCCGCAAGGAAAAACGACGACGACGGCAGCGACCAAAATGAAGGGAAAAGGAAACGCGGTGGACGACGACCCAAGGATGACAGCGACTAAACCTTTTCACCCTCCGCGCGTTTCTTATTTGATCACTTGTTTTGTTCTTTTGCAAATGAATTGATGGGCGATATATATTAGACTGGAATGGAGAGCTGGCGCATACCTTTGATGGCGTTGTGGTGGTGAACATGGCTGGGTTTTCATCTTTCCATGTGAATAGGTACCCTCTGGTTCCTTGTTTTTTCTCTGGGTTTTCTTTCGAAAATAATGGGTTTATTTATTTAATCATGGGTTGTTTCAATCAACAACTGCTGCGATTTGCAGCACTGCTCCATGCTTCATACCTATCTTTCTGTAATGGCATGACAGGCTCCCTACTTGAGCCTCATCTACCCATGTAGTAAATGTAGACAATCCTAATAAACAATGAGCATCCTAATCCTCCTTCGAAATGGAATCTATCAACATACACAATGGGCCCATTACCCCTGTCCTCGTGTGGCGAAGTTCCCCGTCACGGAAGACGTCCGATGCTGCCTCGACACTTCAGGGGGGAATCAGCAACAATACGAGATGGAACGGCTAACTGCTCACGGCAGATGAATTGGTGCATGACCGCATGTAGCTTTAAATAGAAGATGCAGGGGCAGATAGAATAAACGCCATGTCATTCAAGCGTGTTAAATTCTAAATCCTACTGGTCTGCATAGATGTGGTGGTTTGAATTATGTGAAGTATACTTTTGAACCTGGTACTGTGGTTTTTCATATCCGCGTGGACATTAATATGGGGTATGAAGTAGGTAGTTATTTTGGATTTTGATGGACTGAAAACCTGATTGATACAGACTAATATCATCCCTACATGATAATGTGATTGCTTCATAACTATAGTAGCATCCATGACTGCCAAGCAGACTCAATATCTACTATATTAACTGTCAGATAATACCCACTGAACATCAATATTAACGACCTTCTGATATTATTCTGATAATCTATATTCTGACTGTCCACATAATATTGATCAAGATGATTCAAAATCCCAACATCTGATGCCCCAAATACAACACGAAGCGGTAGATATGAGGGGCTAACTGCCCTTCAGCCAATCACCTCGCGTCCTCTTTTTGGCCCCCGAAAACTAAAAGGACGTTGTATGTTGTATTTCTGCAGAATCGCCTGTGCTAGCTGCAGATAAATAAAGATAAAAAGGGTAAAAATAAAAGAAGATTGGCAAAAACAAAACTCAGAGGAAAGCAAGAAAAAAAAAAATAAGCTCATCTTATTGGTCGATAGACTTTCATAGAGTATCACATACTAAGTGCCATGGAAGTAGACTAAGTAATTCATTGATGCAAGCCCTATCTAAGTTATCCTAGGTACTAGTACATCTAACATCCTGTGCCTTTAAATATAATAGTGCACCATTTGGCGATTTAACAAAATTTACTATAGAAATAAAAGTTAGAATTTTTAGAAAGTAAATATAAAGAGGCGATATTTTAGACAGAACTTATTATTAACTAGGTAGGCTACCTATAAGATTAGGACTCACTGCGTTGATAGGTGGTAATTCCGCTCCCTCACCCACGTGACCGCACAGAGGGTCAACTGCGACTGTGTATGCTACCTTAGTAGTATGTACGGAGGCTAAAACAAGTTGATCATGGCTAAGAATTGTATTTAAAATCGCACAATCGGGCCTATCCGGCAACGGCAGCGCATTCGACTCCAGATCGAGAGGTTGTCCGTTAATCGGGCTGAGCTCAGTTCATTTTTTTCATCCCTACTAGGTTGATGCCTCTATTGTCGTCCTCTTCTACTGAGTGGATTTCTTGGCATTTCTTCGGTTCGTGGCTTGTTTTCTTCTTTTTTTCCTTCCGTCTTCTTTACCTGACCCATGTGTGTCATATGTTCGAGCTAGGTATACGCCTCGTAGGCAGCCCAACCAAGTCTGTGAGTTGTACGCTGTTAGTAAATCATCGAGGGAACATAAAAGACGAATCATATTTCAAAAAGTTGCTAAATATCACACTTGATTGGGCCTTTTGCTTGAGGGCTTGCGCGCGTATGTGTAGGCGCCCAGCAAATACAACAGCTGAGTAGTGGACGCATATAGGTAGGAATATACCAGCACCCGCATTAGGTAGTTAACTGATTTAGATATGTACTCTACTCTGCAGTCAGAGTTCCAACCAATCATATACCGCATAATTGCCAAGGTGACCACTCCACTTAGTAAATACGGTGATTAACCCACTCCAGAGAAGATCAGAGACCCGAACCACCACTTTGTCTGTGATTGTCTCTCTCAGCCACCGACCCTGTATCCACTCTCTCTTCCCCCTCTCTATCAAATGTACACACTAGAGTCTAGACTGCCACGCTACCACCATAGTCGACTTGCCCAACTTCGAAATTTGCAGGCACAATGCTCTGGCTATTCACCCAGGATGATCATTCCCAGTTGGCCCATCATTTTCCTTTTCTGACAACCTTGGCGGCCGAAACTGGTTCCAATCTGAGGTGAGGGTCGATATAACTTGAGGTGTTCTCCATATTCACCTGCCCATCTCTGTCTCTGAACTTCTCCTGGCTACTATCTATCCACACACCATGAAACTCCGACTTTCTCTCTGTCTAGGCCTGCTATGGCTAGCCCCCGCTCTGGCCGATACAACATGCTATAATCTCGACGGAAGCATAGCAGCGGATGATGTCCCATGTGAATCATCCGGAACCAGCAACTGCTGCAACTCAAACGATCTCTGCATGTCGAATGGGCTGTGCTATATGCAAGGCTGGCGGGGATTCTCCCTGACCCGCGGCAGCTGTACAGACAAGAGCTGGGGGGCAAAGTGCTATGCGCCATGCTGTACGTGCAGTCCAATCTCACACTTTGAGAGCACACACTGACTATTCTAATCCCAGCCGACTACAATCGCAACTCCGGATACCCTATCGTCAACATGGGCGGCTTCAGTGGAAAGTCAACAAATTGGTGCTGCGGATCGGTGACTTATGAAAATGGGAAAGCAACATGCGCGCAAGGAGATAGCTTTACGCTCGAAACCGGTCGTGCCGTCGTGGGAGCTGCTGCCCTGGCCAACTACACGGAAAAAAGCACTCAGTCCTCGAATACGTCCGATGCATCGTCTCCCGATTCGACTTCCAGTTCTTCTTCGGGCTCGTCTTCTGGATCTTCATCTCGAGATGCCGCTATCGGGGCGGGTGTTGGAGTGCCGCTTGGGGTGATTGCTCTCGCCTCGATCGGATGGGCATTGTGGGAGCGTCGAGGACGGAAGAAGGCCATCGCACAGGGCGTCCCGATGCAATCCGAACAAATTCAAGGCCAAGGCTTCACTGGGCACGAGCTGGGGTATCGCCATCCGATCGAAATTGGTACGAGTGGGCGGTCGGTATCGGAATTGGGTACAGCGAGGAGCTACAAAGCCCCCATCGAAGCCGATACTTGATGGATGAGTTCCAGCGGTAATATCCATGTTACGTCGATTTGCGAGTTGTTCTTTTCTTTCGTCCCATCATGACACGATATAAATAAATAGGTATAATAGTACATTGGCAGTGCCAAATCAGAGCAGATTATGTATATGCGCTGAGTTCAACTTTTATAATTACAAACTGAAACTGACAAGATCACGTCATGTCACCGACGTTCTGCGCCTTGCTCCTCCGCTGTCGTCTGGATATCACCCTTGTCCACCTGCTTGCTCTGTTCGGGGTCTTCCACTCCGCTTGACTCGCCTTCTGGTCGCTCCTGGACCATGAAGGAAGCATATGTCGTGAAAGGCACGCTAACCCAGAACACGACAAACGACACAATCAAGTTGGCCATGAGAGAGACGTTGCTGCTGGCTCCGATACCGTACGCGACGGCGAAACCTAGACTCTCTGCTGAGCGGAGAATACCGGTTGTGTATGCGAGCACGTCAACGTGGACGTCGTATGTTCCAAGGATCCAATAGGTCCATACGTTTGAGGCGTTGCTTCCGACACTGAAGAGTGGGTTAGTAAGATGGACGAATATTCCAACTATGGGACGGAAAACATACTTGAACAGAATGTACGCGGCAATCGCTTTACCAAAACCAGGGTCATGGATATCCAACGACGGAGTCGGGTGGGTATTCTGCAGCTTATCCTGCATGACAAAGTTAAGGACCCACTGTGGGATATAAAATGCCAGCATGAGCATCCACCCTGCGACGGCAAGACCCTTTCTCGTGCGGAAGATCTTCTGTGAATCCAACAACCAACCCCACAAGACAGTGGCGATTGTACCGACGATGGTAGCGACGAAGCCGGCGAGAGTGCGTCCACGGACGGAAAAGTATTCGGTGAGAAAGTTGCCCTGGTAGGTGGTACTCCAGCGGACGGTGATGAAGATGGGGAGGAGGAGCATCATGTGCTTTGTTTTAGACGCGCGCCAGAGACCCTTCAGGCCGTCTTTGACGGAGATGCGCTCCTCGCTGCTGTAGGTTGGTTTCGTGCCGTCCTTGCGGATGAGTTTGTTTGGTGATGCGATGGTCATGGCGAGTGGGAGACCGGCGCAACTCAATCCGACGAGTGCCAGGTAGGTGTTGGGGCTGACGCTGCCTTTTTCAGAGTCGTGGATGTTGAGAGCTAGTTGGATGGAGTTTCCAATAATGGAGCCCAGTTTGTTCAGGGCCATCCAGATACCGACTGTTGATGTTAGCTGGTTTCGGCTGATTTGACCTGGAGTGCTTACTGTAGAAACCTCGGTTTTCAACTTCGGGATAACCAACGGCAATGGCAGCCTCAGACACCCAGAGTGCTGATGCCTGTGAAAGTTAGCGATCACTCTTGAACCATACTGGAAGATATGGAACATACCGAGAAACCGCAAGTCACGGATCCCAAGATGAGAAACCACTGGGTGCCATACACACTGTTGCAGTACAGCGCAGCGAAATAAGGCACATAACCCAGAGTACCAGAAACCAGAACCCATTTCAGGTTGAAACGATTACCAGCAATGGCAAACAACGGGCAAGAGACGATCATAATCACATAGGTGATGACATTGGAGGCATTGACGAAGTACGGAGTGGCGAGACCACCAGCTCCCAGACCTGATTGAATCAGCGATGTTCAAGAAAAGATATAAGATAGACTCACTGTTCAATGCATCCCAAATACCAGGCTGAGTAAAACTCACAAGACCAAGCGCAAACGCCTGATAAAACGTGCCTCTATAAAAGCGATGCAGCGAGCCCAGCAGCCCCGACTTGGGCGTAGAATCCGACATCCTGAACAGTCACAATCCCAGTGGCAAAACAGAGACACTAGAGATATATAAAATGTTCTAGAAAAGAAGAATTAAAAAATAAGAACTGAATGACATGTCCGGGATCCAGTCCCTATGAACCTTGAAATATCTGCCGATGCCATGGCATTTTCAGTCCCCGCAGCGATGTCGTGATTTTGGCGTGAACAGGAGATCCACTTGGAGTACAGAATCTGCCTATATCCACGAGGAAAAAGGGCGGGTTGTGGGACCGACTTCGGACGTGCAGAATGCAGATTTTGGCAGTCTACTTTACGGGGATTAATCATTAAATGCAGAAACAATGAGAGGAGTTTATTTGATTGAGATTGATTAGAGTAGAATAGCATTGTGGCCATCGTGTCTTGATCATTTGACATATCTTGACATTGTGTCGGATCTGATACTGGTAGGTAGAATTGACAGTGACTCATGTCGCTCTGGCCTCGCCTCAGAGGCTACTCGGAGATGAGGTTATGTAAAAAGTAAAAGATCAGACCGATTGCTCATACATGCATAGGATGAAGCAAAAGGCACTACTGTTTGACAAAATCCCTCATTCTGTGTCTTCAATTCCTTGATTTCTTCAATTGTTGAAGCTGAAGAAAAAATAAAAATCAATTTTTATTGATAAGAATTAAGGTTGATCACTCGCATATTGGTGCCTTGCTGCCTGATACTAGTGCCTTATTTCTTCCTGCCTTGGTGCCTTGGTGCCTTAACTTCTGACGCCTGAGGCACTAACAGCGCGTCTCCCGATCAGCCTCGTCGACTCCACCGGCTATCTCCCCACCACCTTAATCGATAGAATGGAATCATAATATGCTGTTCTCACTGAATCATGGACTTTGTGCGTATCAATTCCTTCTTCCTTGTATCTAGGTCCTCAGCTAATCGTTGATAGTGGTCTCGTCTCATTGGCGGCTCCCGTTCGCTTTCCACTAAGAGCTACCGCGCAACCTCCCCTACTGAACGTCTGACGGCGTTCAAACGAACTTGCAATACGCTTCAGGTAAATGCTTCATCGGATCTTAGTGATCCTAGCTAACGGTTCGTCTTCATAGCAAATATGGCGCTCCAGCAACTCCCCTTCCGGCGACCAGGCCGCAACGGCTCACGCGCGCAATTGCATCGAACGTCTCAACTCCGTCCTCGCCGATGAATCCCGTGGCCCAGCTCCTCATCCTTGCCTAGCATATGCGTCTTCTTCTCAGATATTCGTGACCGTCACTAAGCTGGCGTTGTCGTCTTATGATGATGGGATGCTTCGTTCTGCGACTATCTTCTTCAACACCCTGATCGACGCGGAGGTAGATGGCGTCGTGGATAATCGGCTTTTTGCCCGCGCCCTTGTGGATTTGGTCCGCCGCGCTGATAAACGATCGGAAGAAATTGAGGGAAGATTGGTCGAGCTGTTGTTTGGCGTGGCCAACAACATTCGTCTGCAACCTAATATCTTGCCCGCTTGGTTTATGCCGAGGTCGCCCGACGGTCAGGATGGTGAGCGACAGACTACCACTGGAAAAGAGTTTGCGGGTGAAACAAGAAAAGATGATTTCCCTCTGTTTTATCTACTAGTTGAATATGTTCATCATGAAGGACGCGCAGGAGATTTCGCTCGCACAGGCTTGCTCTACCTGATTGAGACTGCATCCCGATCAAAGCATCTGGAGAGATGGTTAATTGAAAGTGACCTCGCAACCCTTATGGCGACCGGTTTGGGTGCTCTTTATAGTCAGCTTGGCAGGTGAGTTTTTTGATGCTAGGTGGGATGGAACCAAACTAATCACTTGCCATTAGCTTGTCCTTTGCGACAGACGAAGAGAATGTTCCGCATATTATTGCTCTGTCGGACCATGCTAAGCAGGAAACCGCCATTCCGCCATACCTCGGTGCACCTATGAACTCATTCATGTCGTACCTTTTGTTCTGGCAGGATACGATCGATCACTGCAAATCCGCTGAAGTGAACGCTACCTTGTTGGATCACTTTCAGGTTCTGTTCCTGGAGCAACTCCTCTACCCATCTTTGCTAGAGTCTTCCGATGTTGAAGGAGGCTCTACAGCCGCAGTTCTTACCTATCTATATCGCGTTCTCGACTCCATTGAACAGCACGACCTGGTCCATCGCATCCTGCACTTTCTACTTGCATCGCCTGACCAGCCGGTCAAAAGCTTGGACATGTCGGTCAGCCGACGAAAGTCTTTGGACGTCCTGGCCGCCTTCTCAGAGGAGGCTGCTAGACCATCACCGTCCCTCTTCAACCTTAAAGATCTAGCATTGCTTGGTCTTCAATCGATGAACCGCCAGACGATCCTAGCGACGCTGAGGCTCTTGAATATTGTTTTACAGCGGCATCCTTCGTTCGCCCGATCACTGATTCGGACCATTTCTGGGCAGCCCTCGAAGCAGCGAACTGTAGGCGCCCTGAATGCAGAGTTGGGGAACCTTCTTTCGATGGCTACATCAATTGTCGATGATCCCACCCTAAACGAGTCCTATGAAAACTACCTAAAAGATGCGTCGTATATCCTGGAATCCCGCTTGTGCATCCCGGTGAATGAGGAAAATATCGAAGACGACCGACCGCTGGAGCTGCGACTCGACGACCCTATTGTACGGGAGCTGTTGAGTTGCCTAGAAACCTTTTTCACCAACAGTGTTGTTGTCAACTTGGCTCTAACTGAGACTCTGATGAGTATCGCCTCATCGCATCTCGTGTCTTTGGATGGGTGGCTCCTGGTCGACCCCTCCAAGTACGAGTATCCCACCGAAATTACACCTTCGGTGGATGCCATGGCACAAGTTATACTTGCATACCAGGAGCCAACGTGGTCTAGCGCCAACACACCGGCCCTAGCTTCTGTTCTGCAGGACCTTGTACAGCAAATTCAAAATTGGCGCAAAGAGATGCCAGACTTTGATATTCTAGTTGCTGCGCGGAGGGACTTGCTCCACCAGGAGGGTGAGAGTACACCAGCTCCCAATACCCCGCGACAGGCATCCGGAACCCCATCTTCAGAGCGACAGCAGACGCGCTCATTACTCTGGGAAGCTGACTTCAGTTCGCCACGGGGTCGTACATCCCGACCGCTGGAGAATAGTGCATCGCCCTCATCGCAGCGAGGCGCAGCAGACTCTCCCTTGCGCGACTCAATTCGGGTACCACCATCGCGCGAATCGTCCACGTCACGGGCTGTTGCAGCAGAAGAGCTACGAAAACGACTGGCCAGGCCGTTTCATTTTGGTGAGCCCAGCAAGAACAACTCAGCCAATGAAGATCCGGACGAAACCGCAAACGAACCGGTTGAAGAAAACCCGGACGAAGCAATTGCCGATGAACGGCCCCACTCCGCATCGCTGGGCCATGTATTGACCAACGTGGTCATTCTGTATGAGTTTTTACTGGAGCTTTCGGCCATGGCGCAAGTTCGGGGTAGTTTGTTTGAGGAAGCGGGCTATCCGGGAGTGGAGAAGGAGGCAGAATGAGAGGATCTTGTAATATTGTAGTAGGCAGGCACCTACAGGGGAGGAAAGCGTCATTTTTATTCCGATATTCTGAACTGACTGTTGAATTATTTAGATAACTGTAGATGTATAGAAATGTATCTATGTCAATTTGATCCTAGCATTCTTCCTGTATTCTTCGCATCTTCTCTCATCGCCCGGTTCTTAAAATAACCTGAACTGTCAGACTAAGCCTAATCGTGGGGCGCAAAGAGGGGGTGATTGGTTGCGGAAATCTGGCCTTGGTGTTTCATGGAGATGGGAATTTAGAATGTCACTTTTAGATGGCTGAATAGGAGTTGTAGAGCGCAAATAATATTTATTGTAATTGATAGCATCGAATCTATTAGGGACTATTGGATTGCCTCTGCCCAAAATACGGTGCCTGAAAAGGAGTCCAGTATGGTTCTTGGCTGTGGAGATTAATTACATACATACTGTATCTTAGTTGGGGTCTTTTAGCTGTCTACTGCCATTATCAATATGAATTAAATGTCTTTATTACAGAATAATGCTATATAAAACTCAGTATGAATAATGGCTTCATGGATTTAGGCTTCAAACAACACGCGCACAGTATCTCAGCTCTGTCTTCCCCAAAACAACATCCGCTTCATTTCCCCGCGGCTGACGATCAAATAATGCACGGAATGGAAGAACCAAGGGTGCCCCTGTGATATTATCGACATCTATCTTGACGACTTGCGCATTATAAGAGCGCTGGTTTCCTGCTGCCTGGTGAACACGAGGAGGCATTGGAGCCGGCAATTGCTGGCGGATATGATTCAGTGTAGCACGAGTCACTGGGATTGGGGTATTTGGCGGCAAAAGCTGCCATTTCTCAATGGTTATTTCTTTCCTGGCCTTGCTGACAGCGATGACAAGGACGATTCGTACTGCACCGCTGGAGTTGTTGAACCACCAGTTGGCATCGTTACGCAGCCTGGGCAGCGATTCGGAGATTCCTGTTTCGATGACAAGTGTAGGCCATCCCTGGGTTGACCCTGTTGGCATTCTGCTTCCTGGGACGATACATTCATCTGGTTCTTTTTGTGTACTGGATGATAAGCCAGTGTATATGGCAGAGCGACGCTATGCGTAGTCGCTAAATGGGACACCTATGGTGGTTATTATTCTCTGGATCTGTTGTTGGAGATCACTGGTAACAGCTTGATGAGACCATGAGGGGATGAGTTTGGTGATCCCAATAGAGCCATCCAACGTAATTCGATATGGGATGCTTCCAAGGCGAGGATCGTCGCCTGCTAAGCGAGCATATGCAGGCTTTGTCAGGCCAAGAACAACGAGATATTGGTTTCCTTGGTTTTCATTTCTGTCGAGTTTGTCGAGGATGTTCTCGGCTGTTTTCTCGAGGGCTTTTATAGTGGTGAAGGTGTGTAAGATGTGGTCTTTTGGAAGATCAGATAGTGGGCTGTAGAGAGACGACATGGTTACCTAACGAGGGATCTGTATTGTCAGCAGAAGTGAATTCAAGGATCAATGAATATAATATCATCATGATGTATTCCATATGTACACATATATTCTGACTTCATATCACTTATAATTAATTCCCCTGTGAATGAATTAATGGAGATAATGTCTGCTAAAACACACCCACGCTAAGAATGTGGAGAAGCCATACGTATTACGCTTAGTATTCCTCTCCCTCCTCCCTCTCCCTTGGCAGCCCTGCCAATTCCTTTTGCTTTTCGCCCACCATGTCAATGTAATTCTTGTCAGTCTTTCTTTCTTTCTCTTCTTCACATGTGCCTTTATATATAACTTTTCACTCCTTGAAAAAGGCATGGTGGTAAACCATGTCTCCCGATCCCAATGACCGCTTCGACCGCGAAGACGCCCCGTTCCTCTCCGCCGACAGCCCCGACCACAGCCATGCAAAGCGACGTCCTGGGAATCACGAAGTCCACGATGCCTCCGTACAGAAGATCCGGTTTCGCCTGATGGTGACCTTGTTCGCCATTGTGCTGGCGGTTGAGATGGGCTTCATCATGTTCAGCGGTCCCCTGATTCGCATCTACGAGTCCGTCACTTGCCGGAAACATTATCGCGAATACGACCCCAGCCAGATCGGGGCAGATGGGAATGTGGACGAGAAGCTGTGCAAGATCAATGAGGTGCAGACCGAGTTGGCGGCCATACAGGGATATATGGAGTTCTTCGATGGTCTAATTTGTGGGTTGACCGATCATCTGTCTTCGTACTCTGGATCCTAATGGACTTCTTTCTAGGTGCTTTAATGGCCATCCCGTACGGTCTGCTGGCAGATCGAAAGGGCCGGAAGCCTGTCATCTGTCTCTGTATCCCCGCTTATGCAATCAACATCTCCATCGTCCTCCTTGTTTTGTGGTTTTCGGATACTCTTCCTTTGCGAACTGTGTGGTTGGGCTCTTTGGCTTGGTTTTTTAGTGGCGGCCATGTGGTGACCTTTGCTGTCGTTTGGACTATGATGGCCGATGTCACCACGGAAGATGAGAGAGCTACGATATTTTTCAGATTCGGCGTGGCCAGCATGGCGGCGGACTTTATCTCCAGTGCAATCAGTTCCTGGTTGATGGCGATGAATCCTTGGATTCCCCTGTTAATCGGGATGAGCATGGCCGCTGTGGGCTTTTTGACTACTTTGACTCTGCCGGAGACAAAGCATGCTTTCAAACCTCGTGCGCCAGAACCAGAATCACCTATCGAACTCTCCCGCATGAGCTCCGATGAAGACGGGGAGCTTCACCGTCGCAAGAGCCATGACTACGAGGACGATTACAATGCCACGGTTGACGAAGTGCCAGAAACCAAACCCACCACCAAACAGCCACCCCCTCCTACACTCCGGGCCCGTCTCCGCATGTATCTGTCTCCTTACGTATTCATCTTTCGCAACCGGCAGATTCTTCTTCTACTCGTGGCATTCTTGGTCTACCGTCTTAGTCGTGGTTCTTCCTGGTTCTTGGTTCAGTACATCTCTCTCCGATACAAGTGGACATTGGCCAGAGCCAACTTTCTCGTCTCCTTCAAACCTGCCTTGTCCATTCCGCTCTTTCTCTTTGGCATTCCAGCCCTTAAGAAGCACTTTTTCCGGTCTCTGACTGCCAAGGAGAAAGACCTTCGACTTGCTCGCTTGAGCATCGTTTGCCTTGCAATAGGCACACTGGGAATTGGGATCTCCCCGAACATCGAAATGCTGATCCCCAGTCTGATGACACAAACAACGGGTTCTGGGTTCACCTTCCTAACCCGATCATTAATCACCACCTTGGTGAAGAGAGAGGAAACGGCCAGATTATTCACAGTAATCGAGATCCTGCAGTCAGTCGGTAACGTCATTGCCAGCTTGTCCATCACCACTGTATTCCAGCTGGGTCTCAAGATTGGAGGCTTTTGGACAGGATTGGCTTGGATGATGACGAGCACGGCCTTTTGTGGAGTTGGGCTCTCGATATGGTCGTTTAGGATTCCTCCAACGGTGATAGTGGAGGACTACGATGCTGCTCGGGTACATACTTCATAGAAGTGTGGTCTGATATATACATGAATGTATACTAGATATAGAACAAACATTATTCAACTGTACTTTCACACGGTAAAAACCCCTCCGGCAGATCCCTCCGCTCAAACCAAGCACGCGCCGTCTCTGCAAATAACCCCGGCGCCTGTCGATTCCAAGGATGTCTCATATCGGGATGAATGACAGCAATCGTCTCCGGGTTGACTTCTCTACCAATCTCCGCCAGTCTACCCGCATACTCAGCATTATCGCTAGATGGAATAATCCCACCCTTGATCGCCGCAACGACAAGCGTTCTCGCACGCCACGGAGCAGGCCACTCCCCAGACGATCTCAGCGCCACCATGACCTGACGACACAAATCCAGCGTACAAACACTCGTATCAAGACGCACGACATCCGTCCCATCCATCAACCAACTAATCACAGACCTCGGAATCATATTCTCCACCCGTATCACCGGCCAGATAAGGTACGGCGCATACTCCGCCATCGCGGAAGGCGGGAAAATCGCAAACCCTGACACAAAAACATCCTGTACGAGATCCGGATACGCGCTCGCTAGTGTGATGGCTACATGCGCACCCAGGCTGTGGCCGATGACATGGGCAGAACCGTTCTTGGCTTCTTTGCGGATGAGCTGGGCGAGGAGGTCTGCGGAGGTATCGACGGTGAAGGGCGTGATGGAGCGCGATTTCGCATGGCCCGGGAGATCGGGGACGAGGAGGTGGTAGGAGGTCGAGAGATGGGGGATGACGAGATCCCAGTATTCGCTTGAGCAGAAGGCGCCGTGGATGAGGAGGATGGTGGTTTGGGCGGAGGGGTTGGAGGAGATGTAGTGGAGGGCAGCGAGGTCTGGTTGAGACATGGTTAGAGTATGAGGATGGATGATTTTGGATTTAGAGATTGTGAATTGAATGGTTTTATATTTGAGGATGTGACGACGCGTTTGTCTGCCTATATGGATGAATCCATTGTGGCTGCTTAGTGCTTACGATCCTATAGTTTAGACTGTGGGTTGACAGACGTAATGGATAGATGCCTTGTGTATCTCATCAAGCTAGATGATTACTATATCTCTATTCAGAGTATTTTAATATAATTAATGCGTCCTAGTTATTCTGTATAAAGAACAGACGATGTATATGGATGATATGTTGACCTCAGGCATCAACGGCGCACCCCTCATCTCCACTCCACTCCCTGACAACTGTCATTCATCAACCCCTGCATGAACCATCTTTGCTTCTAGACACAAAACAGGTAAGCAGCTACCGAATTGACTTTATAATGCGCCATAAATAACACCATTCTTTAGAACACCATGGAAGCCGCCGCCGAGGCATTCAACAAGGTCCCCCGTGTTGCCAAAACACCCACCGGCCTGCCAAACCACTGGTTCTTCTCCGTCCGCCACGTGCCATTGAACCCACCAGGCGATCTGGTTCATCTCGTGCACCCCCCAAGTCGCCTGGTCCATGTCGAAGGACCCAGGCAGATTGGCTCACTTCCTTCTCCGGACGTCAAGGCCGATGCGGTCGTCCCTTTGCTGCTCAAGGCGTTCATCACGGGGACCTCGACAGGCCCGGATGGAAAGCCTCTCGCGGGGGTGAAGCCTACTGTTCCTTGGACGTGGGGTACGAATGATGTTGTACTCGCCAAGGCTGTTGAAGACAAGCTGAAAAGCATCGGCGTGAGAGAAGAGCTCTGCGTGGTCCAGACTGGTAATAAGGAGCATGAAAAAATCTCCGACGAGTGCTGGTCTGGATTCCTCAGTGAGCTTACCAAACAGGCGGGCTTGCCGAATCCCGAAGCTGGAAAGGTCTGTGGTAGATGCAAGACGGGAGGATCGCTGAAACAGTGTGCCAAGTGCAAGAAGGAGGTTTACTGCTCTAGAGAGTGTCAGACAGCCGATTGGAAGCAGCATAAGAAGATTTGTGCCTCGTTGGCTGGAGGGGCTGTTTCTAGTGTCAGCAGTTCCAACTTGGATGCATTCGCCTACTACAACAACCATGCGCACAAGGTTCCTGAAGCTCAGGAGTTGGCCAAGTCACTCAATCTGACACTTCCAACTGGAGGGAATGAAGGACTGATGTAAGTGCTCTTGTGCTGAAGCTGTCTGCACAGCTAACGTGATACCGTTTAGCAAGCCAGTCCGCCGTCTGATCATCACAGGAAAGGACACCATCGGAAACTTTCAACTTCTGATGGGACCACAGTGGAGGAAAATCGCAGGTTCGATGCGCGAAGAACAGCGATTGGATGTTCTTCTTCGCCCTCAACCCGGTTCCCCAAGCTATGCTTTGCACCATCAATATGATGAGGATACGCCAACCTGGTCGCCAACTCCAGCCACCACGGCCGAGAACGAGAAGGTACAGGAGATCCGCGAAATGCAGGACTTTATTGTCAGTCGCGTTGGTCCAGGCAAGCAGCCGGATAAGGATGAGATGAGAGGCATTCTTACTGCATTCGGGGCGAACTGGGCTGAAAAGTTGGGCGTTTATCAGACGGCACTCAATGCATTGGACCAAGGAGTTCACGCTTAGAGTCTGGTTCATATAACTTGATAATTCTTACAAAATAATGTGTTATTTAAGGTCGGTTCTTCTGACCGTCTTAATACATAGCCTTTATGTGCATTCTTAATCAGAATCGAAAACAATATAATTTCAACTTGTTGAATAAGAACATGTCAACTACAAAATACCGCTAGACTAAAATAAATATCCGGACATTTCTAGTGGACTATACCAGTCATTCCATGTCAACAATCAGGGTCGACAGAACACAGTAGGTATCGATAGATCAAGTCAGAGTACATATACCCAACATAGGTTTTCTGTGGGACGGTTTGGCTGGTCGTTGGACTATACCATAATTGGATCCTTATGTAGCCCATAATGGCCTACTCCTTCTACGAATCGTTGTCCCTGTCTTGCTTGCGCGCAAGCTATCTGCACACATTTTCCGCCATAATCTCACGGAGACTTTCGAGATATATTGGTGGTGGCGTTGGTGTTTTATATGAAACAAGTTTATCTTTTTTATTTCGCAGAATCTGGCTCCAGTTGAAATCCAGGCATTGCTTATGGCGATCTTGGGGAGGAGGGTACAGACACTAGAATTAATTAGTTATCGTAGAGAGTATGGTAGAGATGTTGTATACCTTTCCGCCTCCATATTTGACCATTTTCCCTGCCTCTTGCTCGTACTGGTAGGCTTGCGCAAACCCACTCGCTACCTCTATCTCTTCAGGATCCAGTGGCTTTACTTTGGCCACAATGGCCAGTCCTATCCTTCCTTCAGACCCCTCTAACAATAATGCTGAATCATCATTATGGTCGTCGTCATGACCACCAGAGTATCCAGCTTCGAGAGCGATTGTTGGCCATTTTCTACCTTTGGGATATAGACCTGCAACTGGGAAGTTTGCACTAGTATTTGAATTAGAAATGATCAATATTGCAACCGGAAAAATCACTGGCTTGCCTTGTCTTATATCGGCCCTTGAAGTCTATCAAAGTCGCACCGTCCAAGACCATGAATGAAGTTTCGTCAAACTCCTCCGAAGCGTTCTTTAGATTCTCTTCCCATTGTCGCATCCATACCTGATAACTTGAATGCACAAATGTAGGCATCGTAAACGAGAGTATGCCAGTAAAGCTGTTAAAAGAGTACCTGCCATAGTTAGTAGACATAGTATCCTTCTTTTTATATGTGTAGTAGACTTGCTTGACTCTCTTCCTGGATAGAAGCTCTTCCACGTCTTCGAAAACCTCGCTGCTGACTAGGAATGATCCTGTCCACTTTGTGGCTAGATCTGCTACAATCTGAGACTGCTGGGTGAACATCTTGAGAATTTGCAGATGAAAGGAAACAAAATATGATAGTGAATTACAATCGCTGGCTTTATATGTCGTCAGTTCATGGCTGTGAATGATAGGAATCCTGAGGGTTGGTCCAGGATCACTGAATTTCCCTTTTTGGAAGACCCCAGGCAGTCGCAATATTGTAAAACACTGGGTAATGCTCTATCGCTGGCTTAATATAATACTTACTGTAAGCTAGACAGATTACTGTATACTTCTCTTTCTACCTCCTTTCTTCTCTATACTGCCATGATATCATGCTTATGCCTGCATAATTCATAGCACAATCCAACACGCTGATTGGCTGATTACGCCAAATAGGGTTCCGCCCGCATCCCCCACATAAACACACTATGCCAGATACGGCTAGCGCTGTATCGCAGCTGCCTCACATGTGACAGCTTCGACAATTCTCGGTCGAACTTTTGCTTCATATCTCCTTCTGCCACTCTGCATGCGACGATGTGGTGATGCTTCGCAGTCTTGTATATTGATTTTCCTTCGTCCTCTTCAGCGACTTACCGCAGTATACTGTTCACACTTCGTTATTTCATCTCACGTTAGTGGCCACATGGCCTATAAGTGATCTCGGCATTATCCCAGTCTTATCAAACCCACTTCGTACCCCTCATTGAATCATGGAGAAGTTCTCCCAGTTCCGCGATCGAGGTATGCGCCGGCCGTTTCTTGGAATCTTCTGCATTTGACTAATCGTGCCGTCTAGGATCCGGCATCGCGCCTTTCCTCCCCATTCCCTCTCAACCCTCCGGCTTCCGACTCCCTCTACACGTCTTTCTCTTCTTCTTCCGACTTCCTCTATTTATATTTGCGTGCTTGGCCTATTTCGTTGTTCTACAATGGCTCCCGATCGGGTCTCTAGGCAAGAAGGCCTCGCTGTGGTGTATTTTGGGTGTGCCCAGTATATGGTGGATTGATCTTCAGGTGGACGGCGTGAGGAAAGGGTGCGTAATTGCGATGGACTGCTTCGTGGATATAATCTGACAGCACCAGTTCCCTTGCCAAACAACATCAAGCCCGTCTTCCAGGTCCCGGATCCGTCATCGCCTCGTCCTTTACCTCTCCTATCGATGCGCTTTATCTGGCCGCCATCTTTGACCCGGTGTTTACTGCTTCATACCCGAATTCGCGTCAGGTGGAACGCATCTCGCTACTGCAAGCCGTCCTTCGTTCGTTCTCCCAGCCACAGGCGAGCGCTCCCAAGGGCACGCGATTGGTCGATGTATCGACTCTCTTGGAGAAGTATCCCAACCGTCCTATCGTCATATTCCCCGAATGCACTACGACCAACGGCCGCGGAATCCTGCCGCTCAGTCAGTCTCTTGTGGGAGCTCCTCCGAAGACCAAGATTTTCCCTGTCAGCCTGCGGTATACCCCGATGGACGTGGTGACCCCGCTGCCTGGAAGTTATCTGAGTTTCCTTTGGAACCTGCTGAGCAAGCCCACCCACTGCATTCGCGTTCGAATTGCCGAGTCTGTGGTGAGCGGCAGTGCTGCAAACACAACACCATCTTCACTCAACTCTTATGACACCAACTACTTGGACGTGCTAGAGCAAAAGGAAGCAGCGATTACTCAGGGCGAAAAGGCTGTGCTGGACAATATTGGGGAGTCTCTTGCTCGTTTGGGCCGAGTCAAGCGGGTTGGCTTGGGTGTCCAGGAGAAGCGGGATTTTGTCAAGATGTGGACCAAGACGCGACGCACGTGGTGATTGTGTTTACTGTATACGATTAGGGTTAGTAGATAGTTGATTCATTCATATGAAGTTTATCAACCAAACACGTTCTTTGTTTTTCGCAGAGCGGTGCCTGAGGGGAGAACGTGGTGGAGGCTACCATGGTTGGGCGATGAGGGGCTGATTCGCGATGATATCAATTGACCTCGAGTAATTTGATAATAGCAATCCACCTGGTGACTCAATATCGAAGCGTCGTATCTGAATAAATGAAGATATTGTTATCTATAGTAGCCTCCACTTGCCGGTTGGTTTCGGAGACCTCCGGCCGAGACATTTAAAAACTGTCGCATCCTCGACTCTTCGCTGTCGGACATGAAACCTCCCACTCATCATGTGTCTCTCTCCTCTTCATGACTTCCTCCACGGGCTCCCCAAATGCGAGCACCATGTCCATCTCGAGGGCTGTCTTACTCCGCAGTTGATCTTCCAACTAGCGCAGCGAAATAACGTCCAACTGCCCGAGGACAACCCAGCCTATGACTCCATCGAGGCCCTGACTCAACGCTATCACCACTTCTCCTCGCTGGATGACTTCCTCGGCTTCTACTTCCAGGGCATGTCCGTCCTGCTCCACGAACAGGACTTTACCGACCTCGCCTGGTGCTACTTCCAAAAGGCCCACTCCGACGGCGTCCACCATGCCGAGGTCTTCTTCGACCCCCAAGTCCACCAAGACCGCGGAATCCCACTCGACACTGTCGTCGCGGGGTTTTCGGCGGGGTGTAAACGCGCAGAGAAGGAACTGGGTCTATCTACCCGGTTGATTCTGTGCTTTGTGCGCCATCTCCCTGTCGCGTCCGCGAATCAATTGTACGACCAGATGCTCGCACAGGAGTATATCGAAAAGGACATCGTCCACGGCCTCGGATGGTCATCTACAGAAGTCGGTCCGCCCAAGGACATGTACCGGGAGATCTACGCCTCCGCCTCATCCAAGGGGATCCAGTTAACCGCGCACGCCGGCGAAGAAGGAGACCCGAGCTACATCCACACCGCACTGGAACTGGGCGCGCAACGCATCGACCACGGAATCCGGCTCATCGAAGATGCAGAATTAATGGAGCGCGTTGCGCGCGAGGAGATCATGCTCACCGTGTGTCCGTTGTCGAATGTGCGACTGCGGTGTGTGGATTCGGTGGATGAGGTTCCGATTCGGCGGTTTCTGGATGCGGGCGTCAAGTTCTCGATTAATAGTGACGATCCGGCGTATTTTGGGGGGTATATTCTGGATAATTATTGTGCTGTTCAGGGGGCGTTTCAGTTGTCGATTGGCGAGTGGAGGGGGATTGCTGAGAGTAGTGTTAAGGCGAGTTGGATTGATGATACACGGAAGGTGGAGTTGCTTGGGTTGATTGATGAGCATGTTCGGAGGCATGAGAAATAGTTGTATATGAATTATGAGTGTCAGATGTTTAGATACCAAACAGTATATATTATGGAATGAATATATTGCATCTAAGACAGATGATATCCCCGCATTGGGGGTTGGAGATTGGGGATATCCCCAACAATACAAAACATCAAAATCACAGCTCGCCAGGAAAAAACCTCTCCCTCCTCCAAGCCCCCCTTTCCCAGTCTGCATCATGCGCAAAAATAACCTCCACATCCCCAAGTTCCGTCGTATTCGACATGGTCTCGCGAATCACAGCCAGCGTCTTCTCCGCAGCCAGTCGATCAACGTGAATACAGCAGATACTCTCATACGCAGGATCTGTCCACGTAGCGATATCCTTTTCACCAGATAGTAATCGTCGATCGTGACATGCGTCGCCGGCGAGATAGACGTATTTCCCTGATTCCAGACGGACGAGGAGGTTGATGTGGCCGTCTAGATGGCCCGGTGCGGAGACGATGTATACACTGCCGTCGCGGAAGATGTCCATCGTATTGGGGAAGAGGGCTTTTTGATGCCATTTCTGCGTGAAGGTTGGGATCTATTTCTGGGAATTGGCATGCAGATGCAGATTATTGCTATCGTATGGGATACTATCACTATCAAGAGGAAGTTCAATCGTGCGAGTATCCGGCAAAAGACCTCTCTCAAAATGACAATGACTTCCATTCCTCAACATTCTCTCATCACTAATCAGAGCCTTCGCACCAGGCCCAATAACATACGTAGACCGCGGATAATCAGACGGCGTCCCAACATGATCCCAATGCAAATGACTGAAGATGACAAGATCAATATCATCCGGTGTCAGCTTTCCCTTTGCCAGACATGCAACCGGGTCTGGATCGCCTGAGAGCGGCTGTCTGGTGGTTGAGTGTTTGTAGATTGGTTCTGGGTAGTGGTTGATATTTTTTCGGATTCCCAGATCGAATATTATTCTTGTTGTCCGTGTGGGTGTTGTGTGCTGGATGAGGAAGGACAGAGATGGGACGGTGCTTCTGGTGGTGGGATCGTCGAGGGGTGAGATGAAGAACTTTTCAGGGAGAGTGAGATGGCCTGCTGTGAGGGCGTGGACTGTTGCCATGATGTATGATATGATACTACCAAGTAGGGTAGTTGAGATGACCAGGATATATTCATCCATTGGGGAGTTGGGGAAGTACTCCAAATATACATGAAGCGAGACAGAATAGGTATACAGCATATAGCCTACTTTATATACATCGAATCGGTTATTATATCTATTGTTGGAGAACCCCAACCCCGCATATCTTATAAAAACATTAATTTATCCCCTCATCATCCTCATTCATACACATACATCTAGTTACAAAATGTCCACCGAGCCAACCTTCGACAATCTCCACAGGGAAATGTTCGACCTCGGTCTCCAAAACCGGCGCGAAGTTGTTGGAGACGCATACGTCAATGCAGCATTGCAGAATGGATCGAGCGAGTTCGCCTATCCGGGCCAGCAGCTGGTTACCGAGTATGTGTTCATCCCCATCCGCTTTGATAGCTGCTAAGAGGTAGGTGGTGCTGGGGTAATATCTGGTCACGACCGGGTTTGGAGCGCAAACAGCGCAGTCTTCTCAGTATGTCCCCCTCCTTCTTTGCATACTGATGTGTCAAACTGACGATGTAGATATCGGCATGTTGATCGCACTCAAGAGTTGGCCGGAACTAGGCGCTCATGTCCGCGGTGCTATTAACAATGGTCTGACGGAGATTGAGATCCGCGAGGCTGTCCTCCACGCCACCATCTACTGTGGTGTCCCGGCAGGCGTGGAGGCGATGAAGGTGGCCGAGAGGGCGATTAACGATATGGTGGCCAAGGGAGAGCACAAGCGGAAGTTGGCGGAGAAGTCGCCGTTGATTCGATAGATCGATAGAAAAGTAATATAATACAGCTAGTTGGGTATTGTGAATGATGAGCAGTGTCTGGCAAGTTCGTCGATGCGTTTCGCGTACAAATCCATCGTGTGCATTAATGGATCGCCAAATACTACCTCCCTCACTTGTGCATCGGTCGTCACTAGCGCCTCTACCACTTCATCACCTGATACCGATGCATCCTCTGGAATCACTCCACTCTTCCTCTCCCGGAGAAGAATCAATAGCCCCGCTCTAGATAAAGTGGCCGGAGGAGTGAGCCAGGCGCGAGGCGCCCGGTTGCCCATGCGTTCCTGTCTTCGTGCTCCGAACGAGAAGTTGGTTGTCGGGGAGACGTAGAGATCGAGCAGAGAGACGACGTAGGCTTTTTCAGCTCTAGGCACAGGATCGCCCTCATTGATGAACGAGAAGAACATTGACGTTTTCTGCATGGGCACCTGCAGTGGACGGAGAGATACAGGTGGTGATCCGAACGAGACGCAGTGGATACACTTGAAGTAGTCTCGCAGAGGCGTCAGTTCAGACCGTACCGTCGCCGAAAGCATGTGGCAGTATAGTAGACTTGCGACAGCCGCGCCGGCCGAATGCCCAGTCAGAAGTAAAGTATACCCTGACCGACGGGGATTCTCAGCAAGGATGCTACGCAGGCGCGCAGCGACAGGTGCTACCATCTTCCGCGCGACGGATAGGAAGCCTGCGTGGCAGAAGTTGCTGGGATCGTCGAGGAAGTGGTGTGGAGATGTTGGTTCTGTCTTCATGTTGACGGCCCAGTCACGGAAGCTCTGCGTGCCGCGGATGGCGAAGACGATCGTGTCCATGTCATCGACTAAAAGGGACTTGATTACCATCGCCTTGGTGCCGTGGCGCCAGTCGGAATCGACAAATGAATGCCGTTCAACACCTGTGGGTCGTTCATACACGTCACGGGAATATTGCGCTGCGAGGCGTAGGAGGGGATAGGCGGGGCGGTATCTGCTCGTGTTAGTTGGACTATCCCCAGAGTCTTTGGTATGACATACAGCTTCAAAGGAGGGAGGTTAGATGGTAATCGCGAATTAGAGTAAAGGTAGACCTTGGAAAAGTACGTCGTGCAAGTATGTCGAACAGTCTTATCCTTCTCTTTCGAACCCTCTTTATGCTTGACAGCGTACGCGACAACTAAAACACATCAGCCACATCCTCTATTCTCATTAGAAAAGAAGCATACCCATCTCCTTATCCTTCCCCGTAAACAACCCATCATCAATCGAGGTGATGATCTGATCCAATTTCTTCGACATGACCGCATACACATCCACCCCACTCATAATACAGTCCTTCAGCTGCTGTTCCAGATCCGCTACGGTGAGATGCGCTATGCCGACCATATTCCTCGAACTGTTCATCGTGGCATGGGTCATTCCGACGACCATGTTCTTTGATCCGGTCATTGTATTGTTCGCCGCCCCAACTGTCTGCGAGACCATGATCTTCGATATATCCGTGCATGACTGCCATTTTGCAAGCGATCGTTGCGTCAGTCCGGGATTTGGGGATGGACTGGGGTGCGGTGGAGGTTGTGGTGGTAGATGGAGTGTTGATGTTGACATGGCATGTTGATATGCGACCGGGGGTGCATGTTGTGCAGGTACAGGCTGGACAGGCTGTGGAGAATATGCAGGATACGTAGGGAGTGAGTTCATCGAGTATCCCCCCGCTGGCATCGCATATACTGGCTGTTGCTGATGCGGCAGAGGTTGCGGTATCGCACTGGCCACATATTGCACCGACTGCGACTGCTGGTGACGAGGACGAGGTTGAGGTTGAGGTTGCGATTGATCCAAAGATTTCGACCGTCGACCCTTTGACCTTCCAAACCATGTCATTTTGCCAGAGCGCTATGATGGGAATATTCAAAGATATGCAACTTTGCGCGATCTCGAGAGTTGAAGAGGACGAGAGACATTGCTCAACCACGCCAATGCTGATACTAATGCTGGTCCGCAAACCAAGGCAACGCAAAACGAACGCAATATACCCCAGATTTGGAATCCTGTTCGTCCGATGGAGAGGAAATAGTCTGGTGCTTGTGATGTCGATGGTGGCCTCTTATATGGCCGTATTGCGGCGATGGGCTGCACCGCCTCGTTGGTGAACCCACCGCAGTGCATCGCGTGCGCCAATGATGGAGGAATCGGTCGACTTGCCAAGTGAAGATGGGCGATCATCGTCGCCACGAATATACCAAAATGGATTGGATTGTAGAAAATTAGCTCAGACAATCCAGTGATTTCATACATTAGACCAAAACTAGATTAAATGAGAGAAAAGGTATCTTGTGTTTAATACAACATGAGGGAAACAAATCGCTTTTCTGTCCTTGGTGGCCAGTCCAGCACTGCACATGCAAGATCCCAGACATCCTGGCCATCCAATTCCCAGTCCCAAAAGAAAAGGCTCCAATTATAAGTCCAAAATCATATCCTCCCAATTTACTCTACAGAGTCAGTGATACAGCCGTGGCTGGCATCCTTGACGGTTCTGTGGACGGAGACATTAGCAAATCATCATTGTAGTAAGTAGCAGACTCAACATACCTGGCATATTTGCCCAGAGTTCCTCTCATGGTCAAACCAGTAGGGGGCAGCTTGCCCTCCGCCTTGAGCTGCTCCCATTCCTTTCTTCTCTCGACAAGGTCGGTCTCCTCAACCTCGAGGTCAAGGACTCTGCGCTCAGCGTCAATGGTGATGACATCGCCATCCTTGACAAGACCAATGGGTCCTCCGACAGCGGCCTCAGGAACAATGTGTCCGATGAGGAAACCGTGGGAACCACCGGAGAAACGGCCGTCAGTGATCAGGGCACACGACGATCCGAGACCGGCACCCATGAGAGCAGACGAGGGCTTCAACATTTCTATTCATTGTTAGTGATTTAGTCATAAAACAGAACCAGTAAACATACCAGGCATGCCGGGACCACCCTTGGGTCCAGTGTAACGGATGACAACAACAGTCTTTTCGTCCTTCTTGATCTCGTTGCGCTCGAGAGAAGCAATAAAGTCATCCTCGCAGTCGTAGACGCGAGCCTTACCAGTGAAAGCAGTACCCTCCTTACCGGTGATCTTACCAACACTGCCACCAGGGGCCAACGAACCTCTGAGAATCTGAATGTGACCGGTAGGCTTGATGGGGTTGGAGAAGGGGCGGATGATCTTCTGGTCTTCAGGGAAGTCGGGGACCTTCTCCACGTTCTTGGCCAAGGTCTCACCAGTAACAGTCATGCCGGAGCCGTCAATGACACCCTCCTTGATCAGGAACTTCAGCAGAGAGGGGGTACCACCGATCTTGTGCAGATCAGCCATGACGTATTTACCAGAGGGCTTCAGATCGGCCAAGAAGGGGATGCGGTCAGAGACGGACTGGAAGTCCTCAATGTCCAGCTTGATACCGACAGAGTCGGCAATGGCGATCAGGTGGAGCACGGCGTTGGTCGAACCACCGGTAATGTTGACAACGACCATGGCGTTCTCGAAAGCCTGGCGAGTCAAGATATCACTGGGACGGATGTCCTCGACAAGCAGCTTCCTGATAGCTCCACCAGCAGCCAAACATTCCAAGTCCTTGGCCTTGGACTCGGCGGGGTTAGACGACGAGCCAGGCAGGGTCATACCCATGGTCTCAATGGCAGTAGCCATGGTGTTGGCAGTGTACATACCACCGCAAGCACCACCACCGGGGCAGGCGTTACGGATGATGTCGAAGCGCTGAGGCTCGGTGATCTCACCGGTCAAGAACTGACCGTAGGCCTGGAAAGCGGAGACGATATCAATATCGGCGTTGTTCTGCATCGACGCACAGCCGGGCTTGATGGTACCACCGTACACCATCAAACTGGGACGGTTGACACGGCCCATGGCCATCAAGACACCGGGCATGTTCTTGTCGCAACCGGGGATACTGATGTTGGCGTCGTACCACTGACCACCCATGACAGTTTCGATGGAATCGGCAATAAGGTCACGGCTCTGAAGAGAGAAGCGCATGCCGTTGGTACCCATACTGATGGCGTCACTGACACCGACGGTGTTGAACTGGAAGCCCACCAAGCCGGCCTGTTGCACACCTTCACGGACGCGGTTGTTGAGGTCGAGCAGGTGCATGTTGCACGGGTTTCCATTGTACCAGACAGACGAGATTCCGACCTGTGCCTTGTTCATATCTTCCTCGCTGAGACCGGCAGCATACAACATGGCCTGGGAAGCACCCTGCGAGATGGGCTGTGTGACATGACGGGAAACCTTGTTGAGGACGGGGGCATCCTTGTCTCGTCGGGGGAGGGTAGTAGAGATAGGGCGGCTGGATGATGAATTATTAGCAAGATGTGATGAATTGAAGACGAAAACAATGATTCTGCAATTGACCTACACAGCCAAAGGAGACCTGGAGAGGCTCCGGAGAGCGGCGGGCATGCGCCCTCGGGTCTGGGAGAGAAGCATTGTGGTTGCGCCTGCGATAAGGGCTCAATTCAAAGACGGGAATAGCTTCCTGAATCCCCTATTCTGGCAAATTGAGTCACGAGAGCAGCAGGTGAAAAGGGAAAAAAGAAGAAGCTGAAGTGCAAAAATTGGGGCAGCACAGCAGCAATTCGGTGCCTCCGGAGTCAGGCCCTTCCTCCGCGGCGAAGTCGGGGCTCGCTGGAGTGGAGCCAATTGCGGGCACGGGCCAATCCCGGGGCTAGGATTGTCAGCAGGGGAGTACAGCCAATCAGATGGAGTAGATTCATTGTATGGAGATAGAGAGATCGTGGCAGTCATTATTCATTAATATTATGCTAGTCTATAGTATATGATGGAAATTATAATAGACAATAGAGTACATCTAATCCTTGCTTAACCAACATGACTTGTCTCATACAAAGCATATCATTTCCGTTCTGTTGCTTTTAACGTACAAGAAAGACACAAGGTTGTTGAACGCCATATCAAAACAGACAATCTGAGAAAAGAGAATGAATATAAATAGTAAATCAAAGAATAAAGAGAATGAAAAATGTGAGGGTATAACAGATCCAGTCTAACCAAGGAATAAAATAAGTATCGTAAGCTCAATAAACATGTCGGAGCTTCGAACCATATGTCATGAGAAAGAAGAGAAAGAGAACAAAGTGAAGATAGGTAGAGAAAGGGAAGAATGAAAAATGCAAAAGTCAAAAAGTTAGAAAGTCAGAAAAATTAGTATAGGAAAACAAGCATCAATATGCAACGAACGCAGTATGCTGGTTTTATACCCGAGACCAGCTCTAAGGCACCTCTTTATCACCTCGCTTCAATCCTTCAGGGACATCGATCGCATCTCTGACCCATTCTGTGGCAGCAATCTCGGCAACGCTCTTACGTTTCATGTTTCTCTTCAGGAGCCCTTCAACACACACGCGTGCGCCCTCCAGGTCCTTGCCCTTTACGGGGTCCCACTCCTCGTCGCTGTCGGCATACCGATACCACGACCACTCGCACCGAGCAATCCGATGGGGTGTTCGTGCACGAAGTTTCGCGGGGTCGCCCCGAGCACCAGGAACAGCATCGAATGGCAGCCGGTTCTCCATGATGGCGTAGAGCAGGACTCCAAGAGCCCACGCGTCTGTTGACCGTCCGTCATATGGTTGGCCCATCAGAATCTCCGGTGCTGCATAGTCTTCACTTCCACATCGAGTGTGCAGAAGGGGGCATTCAGGAGGCTCGGGGATCCTCCTCGACAGACCTAGATCGCTCAGTGTAACGATTGCTCGATCGTAGGTGCGGTAGTCGGTGATCTTTTCCAGGGCGGCAGGGGGGAGAGTGACAAGAACATCTAATCAAGTTAGCACAGCATCAATAGATAAAGGAATAGTTCGACTTACTCTCAAGTTTAATATCCCGATGGACGATGAAGTTGTCATGCAGATATTGCACAGCAGACACAACTTCCGCGAAGATACGTCGGATGAGCGGCGGAGACATAGGTTTCACACCGGATGAAGCAACATCAAAGAGATCGCCTCCGGGGCAGTAGTCCAGGACCAGGAGCGCACGCTTGTCATCGCTTCCAAACGCCTTTAATTGCACCAGAGAAGGGTGGTTGACTGATTTGAGAATGTCGACTTCGCGTTTAAGAGAAACCTCCAACCGCTCCTCGTCAGCTCCTCCAGCCGGGCCGTGCTCGATAATCTTGACTGCAACCAGTTTCTGCGTCCCTGGAGCTGCATCATTCTGACTAGAGCCGTCACTAAGGTAACCTTCCTCTCCCAACTCCATGCGCACCGCCAAGCACACCTGACTGAAAGTGCCCTGGCCCAGCTGGCGCAGTTTGCGATATTTCCGAGACTGCTGGGTACGAACCGACCGGACCGTATATATTTGCTCGGGTACATCTAGGAGCGAGCGGTTAATAATAACCGGCTCTTTGTCGCTGTCATCATATCCACTGCGACTACTTCGAGGCGGAGTAGGCGGGCTAATAGTTGGTATCGCAATACCCCGATGGACCGCGAGATATTGTTCCCGGTGTAGAGCATTTGACTTGGAGTCCGTACTCGAAGAGGGAGCGATGCCTTGTAACGGACCCGTTCCCGAAACCACAATCGGACGAGGCTTTACGGGGATGCTCCGAGCGGGAGGAACATACTCGCTCAAACTCCGATTCCGCGCATGCTTCGGGGCACTCTCTTTGTGTGGTTTGCTAGGTGTTTCAGGAGCCTGTTCACCCAAACTGTCCAAACTCGGATATGCTTTCTGCGATCGAGACGATGGGCGACCAAACATTTGCGACGAGTCGCTGAGTCGCAAACCAAGACTCGAGCCCGGCCTCGAGGCATTCGACGGAGTCCGAGATAGCGATTGCGAATCAGTTCTGTGCAATCGCCACGGCGACATGCCCCCGATGGGCGACGGCAGGGGAGTGATATCACCCATAGCTATCAACTGCGGAGACGACAAAACGGAGGCGGGAGACAAGGAGCCGGTACTTGAATTGGGGCCGGTGAGGATAGCGCGAAGACTCGGGGTTCTCTGCAGGAAACTCGTGGACGATAAGCTATTATTGGAGAAAGGGTCAGGTGTGAGGTCCATGGGTCCAGAGCCGAACATATCAGTCCTGATATGCAGCGACGGGATAGGATGCGACATGACGGGTTGGGAAGGCATTTTATACCCCGAATCCGTCTGGAACAATCCGTCTAGCATCTCGGGAGGGGAGGGAAGGCCTCCATCACCCTGGGTCACGAAAGGAATTGAAAGAGCTTCATTGCTGCCGTTGCTGGGAGCGGATGCATGAAACCCGTGTAACTGGGCAGATCGACCTGAAAAGGATCCTGACCTCTCGGTCGGCAGGAAAGAATCAGGGTTCACCATGGAACCAGAAGATCAAGGTAATCTTCCTGTTGAATTGTGTCTTGTCTGTTTCCTTTCAGATGGAAGAATGGGGGGGAGGGTAGTATTCTGTGAACGGAAACAGCCAAGGCCAAGGACAAAGACGACAGTAGAAACACTAGGCTTGCGGGTAAGATCGGGGGATAAGGAAGCCAGCAAGCAAGACACAAAAAAAGACCCCTCGGTTCGAGACCGTTTTCAACCTTAAAAGCAAACCAAGCGTTAATATCAAGGCCCCGCAGGCCTTGGTCTAAATGTCACTTTGACTGAATCCTGTGTTGTGGATGAGTCAAGGCATGGGCAAGAGTCAAAGAGAGGAGTGTGAGAGAAAACAGAGAAGATGAGATTAATATGATCAAATGGAAAAATGAGGGGAAGTGAAGAGAAAAGAACGGGGTGGAAATAAGAAACCGGGTTTGTTCCCTGGTAAAATTAAATCTTGTTTCTTTTTTTCTTTCCTTTTTTTTTTCCAACGCAAGTGATGACGCTGCACTCACTGCAGCAAACAGGAAAAATCCACGCGGGGGTCAGCTGATGCGCAGTTCCCGTTTGGGGCTAGCGTCCACGAGCAGCAGCCACTCACAACACGGCGCTACCCCGCATTCGGTAATGCCGCTGCCGGAATGGCCAGAAGGGGAACTGAGCTTGAGATAAAAGAGGATAGAGCATCCAAAAGTAGAGGTGTTAGGGAGTATCATGGAATGTACGACTATGTAGGTGTAGATATGATTCTGCAAAAGATACAGCGCGCAGAAACGGAGTACAGCCGGCGGAATGCTCCGTACTTCTGCAGCGCCTTGCATCAGAAATGAAGAATCCAAAGCGCCCTAAAAGGCACGCAGTAGGGAGCTTTAGAGACACGACATGGCCTTTCCCTTGCCTTCCCCCAATTTTACCAGATCTGGCAACTGTGAGGCTATAGGATTCAAAATAGGAAGGTAGCCCTAATCTTCACTCCATCGAGATCGAGTGAGACATAAGACATACATGATCATGTACTTACAGAAACATTCCTACTGCATGTCTACAACCGTGTGCAAGCGGTGATACATACAGAACTACTCAGATTATGATTGACAAATTAAATAATTAATGGCCATACTCGGTCCAACTCGATATTCATTAATATCCAAAAGGCAAACTGCAGCTTTTAGTGGCGCCTATTTGTTATTATAATAGTACTCCCCTATTATTATTCCATTATTATTTCTTTTTTATTATGTCTGCATTCCGATCATCACCCATTCAGCATCCCTTAAAATCCTCACAAATTTTCCGTCATTCTCGGTTATCAAATTGATCGACATCCACGCGCCGAGTCCTACGTAAGCTAATTCAGATCCTTTCTTTTGTTCTTCTTCTTCGATTCTGTATGGTTGCATTGTTTTCAAACGCAAAATGTAGTTCGTCATGTTCATATTTATTTATGCTTTTACTGTAGTTATCTTGGATCAACAATTTCCCAAGCCCCTTTGTTAGCTTGGCAACAAAGCGCCGATGCACCTGGTAGATAGTGCGGTTCGTTATTACCTCCGAAGAGGGGGGCTGGGATAAAGGCTATCTCCACGTCTGGTCTTCATTATTTCCTTTGCGGTTCGAATGATGCTCTTTTCGGGATACCAGCAGGTCAAGGAGAATTAAAAAAAGAAATCGCGGATGCAGAGGGATGTCAATCATGTCGCGTTCGGGAAGGGATTGTCGCTTTGGGCGCGTTTGGCCACAGATCTACCTTTTTTCCATTGAGCATTGATCCCTGAAGGAGGCGAAAAAATGGTGGAATTTGTTGGGATCAACTAGGTAACGGCCTTCTTGTTGGTTCTTGGGAGGGATTTGATACAAGTGCCCTTCTGTATCAAAGACTAAATAATGAAATAATACGAAAAAAGAATGGTAAATTGTGTTTCATAATTTGAATCCTCCTAAATCAGTGTTGGTAAACTCATGCACCTGAAACATAAAAAGAAACATGCCTATCCTCAACACCAAACATCACAAAGAACTGTAATCATAGATTAATGCTCGATCCTCGATCATGAAACCATAGTAGCTGTTTGAGTACTTGAAAGAACCGTCGAACCCTGCTCCTTTGCCGTAGGAAGCAAACAAGTCTTCTCGAACCTTTCAACCTCGACCAAAGCCTGAGAAATTCGATCCAGCACTTCTTTCTGTTCTTCCATTCCAACACTGATTCGCACAATATGTTTCAACACCCCGTACGACTCTGCCCAATCCAACTCCCTAAAGTGGGCTAGCTGCGAGTAGGGAATAGCAAGCGTGAAGTTCGTTCCGATGCTGGGTCCCTTGCACACGTCTAGTGCATCATAGAAGCATATCGCGCTTTCCGGTTGTCGAAACACCATGCTCAGAAGAAATCCATATCCCCCATCACGACGACGGTATAGCTCATACAGTGGGGCGGAAGAGACCATCGTTGGGTAATTCACATGCTGGATTGATGGATGTGATGAGAGCATGGTCGCAATTGCCAATGCGCTGTGGTTGCAGCGTTGGGTACGCTCTTCGAAATCGGCGCTGTTATGTGCTAATGTGATAGCGTCGAGAGGGAAGACAGCGTCCTCATAGTCTGCGACAAGACCAGCATGGATCGCATCATGGTGCCGCGAGTCGGGGTTTACAACCACGCTGGGATCTATCAGCTGGTGAAGCTTTGGGTTGATAGAACTACTTACCTGCCTCCCATCACATTCGAAGCGCCGCTGAAAATCTTTGTGAGACTGGTCATAATCACATCGACATATGGGAACAGATCGACATTGACAAAGGTCCCCAATGTCTCGTCGCAGGCGACCACAAAGTCATATTCATCTGCCAGCGCGCGGATTCGTTCCAAATTCGGACTCTCCAACAGGGGGTTGCAGGGAAGCTCGCAGAAGAGAGCTCTTATGCGTTGACCGGATTTCAGCGATGCTTCCAGATCGTCGAGCTCTGCCTCTGTCCCTCGTCCGTATAGCGTAAATCGATGGTACCCAACGAGCTCCACCAATTTGGGCGTCTCAGCATACGGCCATCTAGGGGGAGGCCATCGTCAGTTGGTTCTCGAAATTTCCGGACGTTTCACTTACCCATAAACAACAGACCCTGAATAAGCTTTATCAGGAATAGTGGCTAACAATGATCTTGCTACAGCACCGATAGCACACATTCCTTTGGAATATAGGAAAACATCATCCTTCGAAACCGGCCGAGAGCCTGGACTTTCCGACGTCGCCAACCTCGCGATGAGATTTTTCATCTGTTCCTTGGCTGAAATAGCAGAGTCCGTCCAAGGGACTGGCCGAGGAAGTCTTGACAGATCAGGACATGGAGCAGCTGTCTGGAAAGAGGCGATGGCCGATTCGGACAACATAAAATCAACACGTTCAAGACAAAACTCGGCCTGTCTGGTTGATAACCCATCCCCGAAGATCATCCACAGTCTTCGTGCTTCCGAATCGAGGTCTTTGTGATAAAAAACCGCATGGAATTTTCCCCAAAGTGTTTCCTCTCGTTCTACCTCCCCCGTGAGGAAGAACCTCACAGACCCAACAACTTTCTCTGCATCCTTGGTCTTCAAACCCGAATAGAACCTGCCTGCGGTGGTATCGGACGGGAATAACATGCAGTCTAAATCGGCCGCAACCTCCAGTCTCCTTTTGATAATAGTGGTCAAGCTTCGAAGAACGTGGTGGATGAAGAACCTGATGAAAATGGTCGTATCAGCAGAATTTCTTTAAATTCCTGGTGGTTAAAATGCACCTTGGATAGACCGTTTGCATGCTATTCACCACCCAGTCCTCGCGATTACCCCAGGCAACGACAGTATCCCATTTTGGCATCGAAACGCTGACAGACTATTCTTGGAGTTAGTTTTGGTGGCATCATGAAGGCCCGTCAATTCAAACGTACGTGAACCTGGTTTGGAGGTTGAGCTTCACCTAGCGGCAGTGCATGCGGAGAGGGGGGATGTGTTGTCGGCATCATGATGTTGTTTATCCAGCGGTAAGGAATGCAGGAATCGAACAAAATCGCCAAACCCAAGAAAGAATCAAGGACAGAGGGTAAGAGAAGAGGGACGCAAGTTTATAAAGGGTTCACCGCCCATTATATCGGACCAGATGGAAATACGTCAAGGGAATGGAATCGAGGGAATGCACTGCACATTGCAATGCTGGCACAGCGGGGTTGGGCCAGGCATGAACGCATAAAGCGGAAGCAGTCATCCTGCAGCGTTAAGCCAGAGCCTGATTTTTGAATCAGCGATGGAGAACAAATAGCTTCAGCATCAAGGTTTGCGATCCCAAGTCACACTCGAATAAATTAACCCCTCTTGCAGGTGTGTCTTAGTGTCTTGGCGATCACGATCTTGTTTGTGATCGACAAGTAGAAGCCAGTCAGATTCGTGGGTTCTCAAAGGTATCCACAGTAGATGAAATCATTTAATATCTTTTAATCAACAGATATTGCGAACAGTTGTCGAGTCTGTATTCAGCTATCCCTGTTCGAAGTAGTATTGCAGAAATTCAATTGTTACTGGGCATGTCTCATTTGTGTTGTACAAAGCCAACGAACCATAAATACATCATACACAGTGAGTCAACAAGAGGACGAAGATGCAGACAACAGAGCAGTTATACGGCATGAAGCTGTGTAATTCTAGACGAGCTGGTAAGAAGATATAAACAGCCCGATAAGCTCCGATAAAGCTCAGATAAGGATATCAATCCTGGTGGCGATCATCCACTATGAAGGCAACATAGCATTATAACATCAATATGAATAGATCCTCGCATGGAACAATTCCAGAATATTAGAAGAATAAAAACACAAATAATACTACAAAATATAGAATCGATATAATTATGGGGCAGTGCTATCTTTATATCTGCTTGGCATCTCCATCCTGAATAGACTTTATCCGGCTTCTCCACTGCTCACTATGATCGATGCTTGTCTTTTTATCCGGTGTCAAGGGCTATCTATAGATTTCTTTTTTAAGATCATAAAATCATAATATGGAGTAAGACTATGATACTTTGATATTGTGGTGGTAGTTAGAATGATTGATCTGTCTATGAATATACTGTTGTCTTTATGGATGGATTGAACCACATCTAGGAAATCACATCATATCTACCGGATAAGATCAAGCCGGCCTATCTAGTGGTTGAGAATATGGACTGATCCAAGCATTTGCTTGCATGAAAGTTATATCTTGTATTGTCCCTATAGCTAGCCGGACTGCGTAATTTTGGTTTTGATGCTGCCTACACACCGTCTAGTATACCTCACTTCCATAAGGCTAGAGATATCCCAATACAGAAAATCAATACTAAGAATAACACCAAGATCATATCCACATCCACTTCTAATCTCACTAGTCCATCCTCGCGGATAAGTGTGTAGAAGGGTCTTCCACAGACCCTGGAAGACGCGTCACCCATCCATCTATCCAGATTAAAAAACCACCAGCCAAGAAACCCAAAGAGGGTCTCGATACAACATCAACCGCCGTATTCATTCCCACTATTGCCTCGATAATCTCAGACAGACCTGCCGTGGGCTCGCTTACTATCCGAGTTTGAGACACCTTCGTCAGCCCATCCCGGCTCAGCCAATGTTCTTGGGTGGGATATGCTTAAAATGGATGGCTTATTTTGGGACCAGTCTGTCTATACTAGGCTGGATATCACGGCTGGGAGGATGAGGGCGGATCTGCCAAGGTTGGGTGGTTGTTTTCTGGAGCAGATTCTGTCGCTGGTTCTGTGCATAAAAGGTCATCATCATCCATCCTATACCATTCCATCCATACCATTGCACTCTTTACCCTCACAATATACCTCCATCTCAAATCTATCATCTTCAAAATCTCCATCATGTCTACCACATCCACCTTATCCACCGCTACCACCACCGGTACAGCCTCAACCGCCACCTCCAGCTGCTCAGCAAAGCTCTACGACATCCCAACCCACGATGCCGCCTGCGCAATGCCCATGCGCAACAACAACTCGGCCATCATGAGCAGTTGCTGCGGTGAAGCCTCCGTCGTCTCCTACGACGACTGCGACTACTACTGCCTCGCCCGGGGCCAGAATGTCGGCGACCTCGCCACGTGTCTCATCAAGGCTTCCGAGGCCGGCGAGGTCTGGTGTAACACCAACGCCAATGCGACGGCCAGTGCGTCCGTCACCGTCGGGACGATTGTTGCTACCGGGTCCAGTGCTAGTTCCACCGGTGACTCGACTGAGGCGTCTGCTACCTCTTCCAGCGCGGCGGGGAGGATTCAGGCGCCGATGACATTGTCCAAGTCGGCTGCTGGGGTGCTTGCGATGTTGGTTCTTGGATCGACTGCTCAGTTGGTGCTTTAAGTTGTTATTATACTGTTAGGGAGGATGTGAGTTGGAGGTTCAATGTGCAGAATAGATTGTTTGCATTATGAAGTAACTGTGGGTTCGATTCTTTCCGCGTATTATTATTTCCTTATACTTGAACCTGTGATGCGTCTCAATTTATCCTATAGCACGTTCAGCCCTGTAGTCTGTTAGATATATACCTGATCTGCCGTACGTGATGCATGCCCAGGGTGCCATCTGTCCAGGCCACCAGCATACAAATCACTCATTAGGCTCACAATCCACCTACTATCATCCCTAATCAAACGAAGCCTCCAGTTTTCAGAAGTTTTCATTGTGCGCTTTAACAACATTAAGGTTACTTGATAGGCCAAAAGAAAACACACTTTTCCGCCGACAAGATCCACAGACACAGGAGACCTCTATATGTACAGGAAAAAAAAATAAGAAATGAAACCCATGATCATGCCCGGTCCCCAACCCACCGGAAAATGCGAAAAAACGGATGCTTCGAGCGCCGGAGAGAAGAGATTGGTAAAGGATAACGAAAAGCCGTTTCTAATACAGTGTAAACATGAAGGAATTAGGCGGTGGCTGACACCAGCCCGCTTTGCTGAATCAGAGCATATAGGGTATGGTTTCCGGACGACCGATGACAGCCCCGAGTCGACGCGGTTCGTACTAAAATACAACTGGCTATGCCAGCATTTACAGGAAGGCCTTTCGCACAACCTGAAACAAAGTCAGCATACGGATCACACAAGACAAACAATGGATGAACGTACAGCCCAGCCGCCCGCGATGCTGGCCACAATACCACCGGAGATCATCATGGGCTTAAGACCTCGGGTACTCTTGAAAACCATTCCACTCAGTGCACCGGCAACAACGCTGTTGGCGGAATCGTGCTTCCCTCGTGCATATCCAATTCCCGAGTTCAACCCGTTATATACCATGGCCACAACTCCAGCGGAGTTTCCGAGGAACGGTCCTCTCCGGGTAACCGAGTTGAGAACACCGTTCAGACGGATCTTCGGGGGCGCTGTCTCTGGTGTGCGCTTCAGTCCTTCAGCAAGTCCCCATACACCTCCAGCTGTGAGACCGGCAAGGTAGGTGGTTCCAGCTCCGTAACACAAGTCGTCCGACCATCCTCGGGATGGCAAAACCGATCGCGAGCCGGGCATGTCATCAAGGGCGGAGTCATCAAGGGTAAGGTAGTCGAGGGTATCCTGGTTCAAGCCAGACAATGGGTGAAGACGAGAAGCATCATTGCCGATCTCGGAGAGGAAAGAAGTGGCATCTTGTGTCGAAGGGTCAAGGACCTCGGGTCCGTTGGACTGCTTCTGGCCGCTGAACGAATCCCAGATCGCCATTGTGAAACAAGAGGAAATTAAAATATAAATGAATACACAATCAAGAAGAGAAAAGAAGGCGCAATTGGCGGTGTCCCAGCTCCACTGCTGGTTCTTGTTGACAAGTCTGGGGGTTGGTTATTTGGTGATGATCTGGAAGGTCGGAAACAAAAACTTCACCCCGTGACTGCCGGTCACGCCTCCCTCTGCCCCCGGGGCCGGGAAAAGCTTTGGCCGACGCTATTCCGCATCGGGTGCCCCACCTCGAAAATCCACAAGAATGTCCCAGACGCGGGGACCGAACATCTGCAAGATCAGATGCAATTGATTTTGATCAGAAAAGTCAGTGACAGTGCCTGAGGCATGCGGGATCTGCTGGACAATGGAAATTGAAACGACTCCGGGCGTCCATGTGGACGGGAGGTGGCCACAGATGGATGCCATCTCGCAAAATATACAAGTCTTGTCGGAAGAGACTCTTGCCCAGATTGTTAAAGGGCCGTTGCGCAAATTCACTCTCGAATGCGAGGATGATATGTAGGATTGATTCGTCTTGCACAGAGAAATACAATGGTCTAACTTTTGTCCCAAAGGAAAGTGAGCCAAGTCTGGCGATGCATGTTGAAGACATTTTCCACGACTTTCATTTCGCATCCTTTTACGACAGTGTCATGCAATGCTCTGAGTGCATTCATGGATGCGGCTCTGGTGTCTCAAAATGAACGGACCAGGCAAATTATCTACTCACACGAAACCTGGCTTACCGTATTTGAGGTTTATTTGGATCGATTTGAAGAATCGAAGCCCAAGCCGATGAAGCAGGTCTTGACCTCGTTGGTGAAGATCCTAGCGAAATACCGAGAGGGACCTAGTGCGCAGTCGATTTTAGCCAAAATCGTTGATGCAACGATTCCCAGCATTGTACTGGGCGAGTCACGTTTGCGACTCAAGGCTTCTCTCGTCTGCTGGGAAATCTTTCTCCGGAAGAGTGCAATTCTCCCTTCTGAACTAATCTTGATGAGTGGAGACTGGCTTTTGAAGAACCAGGGAAGATTACCATCCTCCTTCAAAGAGGAGTGTGAGACCTTATCGATAGACATTGCTCAGTTCATCCAAACACCCTCGAATGACAACGCTTCAAAGACGACAGTAGCCAAATCCCTAGTATTTGCACTATTGACTCGGGCTGAAAATCCCGATTTCACATCATCAGCAGGAGCTGTCATGGTGGCTTTCTTCCAGAAGATGAAAGATGCCCATCCCGAGGACGCGGAGAGCATATCCTCAATCTGGGTAGCCCCTGTCAAGTATATTGTGCAACAGAACCCAGAGGGCTTAGAGTCCATGTCTAACAATATCCTTCATCCTCTGTTTGGAATTGATTCTCGTGGATTTAACCGTTTCATCAACACATTGCCCCTCAAGAGTCTCCTTGCTGGAGACATGACTGATGCCCCATTGTCAGAGTACATGGTTCTTTTTACGGCATTGCAAGTCGCCAAAAAGACCGGTTTGGTGCACGAAGATCGTAAGTCCAGCCTGTATTATTTATGGATACCCTGCTTACTCTGGGGTAGATTATTTCTCTAAAGGCAGCGCAAAGGCAGAAGCGGATGGCGCAGTTGTTCTAAAAAGCGAGGTCATCGGCCAATTTCTCCTTCACAGAGAGCCTAGGATTAGAATCGCAGCCCTTTCGTTGTTAATCACAGCAACCGCCACGGCTAAACCTCTCACATCAACCGCGATCCGGACAATCCTAAAGGGTCTACCGCACATGCATGCTGAGCCCGACTCTTACCTGAGAGGAGAGATCTTGAGTTTAACGCGCAAATTGATCTTTCGCCTTAAAGGTGGCATTTTGCTGGATCAAGAGAACCCCACTGCACAGCCAGTTTCGACAGATAAGAAGGGACAGGCAATTTATGCCCGAAGTGATTCTGAGAGCCTAGCGTGTCTGAATGCTTATTTGGAGTTTCTGAAGGCTGATTTGCGGCCAACGGCTTCTTACCCTCGTCATATCGCTGCGCTTAAGGCACTGTATCTCATTCTGGACTCCGGTCTCGACCCTCGTATCGATAAACCGACAGCTGGCAAGTCCGACGGTGACAAAATCCCGTGGAAATTCAAGCTCGAAATCTTCCAGCCAAACCTACTTAGACTTCTTGTTGATCTTTTACTCGATCCTTTTGAGGAAGTTCGAGCAACCTCTCTCTCCATTCTGGCTTTATTCCCGCAAGATATCCTGTTGAACAGCCTCTCGACCGCAGACCAAGTGTCAACGACAGTACCGGGATTGATAAACGCACTGTCCAAGGCAGAACAGCTAGCAAGCAACACCAGCAGAGCTGACCATGCAGACACAGTCGCCCGTCTATACCATATCACGTTCTGTGCAGCAGCTCAGGGTGGGTCAAACGGATCTGCCTCGCAGTGGTGGGAAAGCAAGAACGGAGTTGTGGATGCGATCTTGAAAAAGCTCGAGGACAAATTGTCTCTTGCCGGCGGTCTCTTCAACGCTTCTATGCGAGATGCACCTCTTCACGGTTATATTTCTGCTCTCAGGTACGACTCTCGACCAGTTATTCAATGCCGAGCTAAGAACAGTTTAGATATATTGTGTCGATGTCTGATTTCTATTCTTTGATTTCTGAGCCCAAAAACACTGCCTATATTGAGTGGAAGACTGTCCATAGCAGAATAACTTCGTTGTGCGATAAGATTTGGGATGGAGTGAAGCCAGTGCTTTGCATTGATTCTCCCGAGGGACACACTGACGAGCCTGTTGAGGATCTGAATGTTGGACCAAAGGATATTCTCTCTTACTCTTGGCGTGCCCTTCGAGAAGCAAGGTACGTAATTCTGAGCTACGCTGGTGTTCTCTGCTGATGAAGGCAGTCTTTTACTTCACGCCACTCTTTCCAACGCCTCGTATGGACCAAAGGGAGAGAATGGACTGAAGGTCGATGACTATGAAAAAATAGGCAAAACGAGCTTCATCCAGCTTGCTGAACTCCGCCACCGAGGTGCATTCTCAACTGTATCTCAGACATTCACCACCTGTTGTCAACGTTGTGGCCAGTCGAAGGACTCTGCCATCTCCGCATTGCCTCAGAATTGGTATCAGGTAGGAGCGAAGCAAACTCTACATTTTATAAAAAATTACTAACGTACCGGCTGTAGGACGCAAAACGAATTATCTTTGAGACCGCCTCCAAACTGACAAGACGTTCGGCTGGTCTGCCCGCGCTGGCCACGGGTATTTTGTCTTCTGCCCCAGGAGGATCGCTATTCCAACAGGTTATGGGCGATCTTCACGAGATATCTCGCTTGCCAGCTGAACATGACAGTAGCAAGCAGGACTTAGAGCTGCCCCAAGTACATGCCATGAACTGCCTGAAGGATATATTTACCAATACTCGACTTGGTCCCTTTACAGAACCCTTCATCATGTCTGCTCTGAACCTATCAGCTGACCGGATGGGATCGCCAATGTAAGTGAAAAATCTGCTTTTCTGAAATTTGGACCGAGTTTCTGATATTCGACTTAGATGGGCTCTCCGCAACTCTGGATTGATGCTCTTCCGCGCTCTTTTGACAAGAATGTGTCGCGATATCCCCGGAGCTAGCTTAGGTTTCGGTGGCAGCTCAGGATCAGAACCCGGTGCCAGAATTCCATTCCAAAGATACTCTGGTTTGCTCCAGTTGCTGTCGGGTCTTCTCAGGCCATCGCAATCGGGTCAGAATTCTGAGGATGGAGGCATCGCGCTTGTTACTGAACGAGTGTTCCCGGCGCTTGAACTTATCGGTGAAAAGATCCCGTCTGTTTCTGGTGACGAAGATATTATGCTACGCGAACTGGTTCAGGAACATCTTAAGAGCTCTGTCTGGGGAATTAGGGAGCACGCAGCACGAGTATACGCGTCCCTACTAAACCGTTCAGAAATTTTGAAAGAAGTTCAAACATTACTCGATGTTGATCGCGATGTTAAGACACAGAATTTCGTGCACGGCAAAGCACTTTGCGTCCGGTACGCTCTGCGGAGGTTTGCATCGTCGCCTCCTTTACACTGGAACAGTAGGTCATCCCATCGCATGTCTTTTGAATCACCACTAACCTTTTAGACCACATCGATGAAGTGTTTTCCACGGATCGAAATGTACTCGCGACCTTGTTCCCGCTAGCCCAGTCTCCGTACATTGCCACTGCCTTGCTTGAAATTGTGACCGACACCGCCGAGAAAAGTATTGTGTCGGGAGCTGAAGGTATGTTCAGGGATTGTCTGCGGGATTCGGACTGCATCGCTAATAATCACGCAGAAAAATTGGGATTTCTGCTGACTGAGGTTTTCGATACATACCAACTCCACGATGTTATGGATTACATTTGGAAGTCATCTGATTCACTTCGGAGATCTTCGAGTGTTGCCCGTGCCTCGTCTCTACTTCGCAGGGTGCTGTCATGGACTACGGTTTTGCGGATGCTTAGCACTAAGGAATCAGTCGATTTACCGTCCTTCTTTAAACAGGTTTCAGATGTTGATTCCGACGCTGCCCGATGGGTATTGGAACAGCTACAAGACATTCTGGGAGAAACACAACGACACAGGAAATCGCTGCTTGATCTTTATTCTTCGGTGATCCTAGGAAACTATCCAGAAGATGTCAAGGCAGCGGCTATCTCGAACCTGGCCACTGGTCTAGAGGTCTTGCTTGACTTCCGCTACGACAATACCAAGGGACTTGATTTGCCGTGGGAAGCACTAGGTGCGCAAATCAAATCCGAGTTAGAGACGGGAACATGGAGCAGAGACACAAGTGATGCTGTACTTCGACTGCAAGGTTGTCTTCTCGCCATCAGGGCCAGTTTACACCAATGGCAGTTTTTGTCGGACTTTGAGTTAGACCTCCGGGGATGGGGAACTAAAGTCCAGTTTGCAATGCAGGAAGAAACGGTAAGCTTTGAGTTAGCACTGGGATCTTTCATGGGCTGAACGCTGATTTATTATAGGAATTCACAACTAGACACGCTGCTGTGTCATCCTTGAAAACCCTTGGCCGTGTATTACGACCTCTGGGCAGTCCTCCTCGGGAAGATCCCGTTTTCTTGGATATATATTTGATTCTGTATGACATGTTGAACGATGATGACGAAGAACTACGCGACATTGCTGCTTCTACAGCCTCTTGGGTGTTGTCATACTCATCTGTATCTCCTTCAAAGGCCGTGGCTCTGGCCTCTCTCCCTGCCGCTGAACTTCTTGCTGAATTCATTGCTGGCAATTACGCCAGCTCTCCGCTTCTTGGTAACAAGATCCTTCGATATATCGCCGGTCAAGAGCCCCGAATCAACGGTTTTGTTAGTCAAACAAAACTTACTCCGGTCTCATATCTTGTCTCTGAGTTCAGAAAAGAGAGCACAGTTCTGTTCGTGGAAGAGAAGCAGAATCTGTTCATTGACGAAATCCGTGATGTCGACATATGGACCAGAAAGCTTAATCAGTTAACGGACATATCCTTTGATGGATCGCTGATTCAGGAAATCTCAAAATGGGTATTCGAAGCAGTGTCTTATCTGGCTGAGACAACCGCACAAAGCGCTGGGGCGGACGGACTTTTGGGTTGGGCTTCAAAGCCTGAGGTATTTACCCTGGGAGTGCGAGCCATCAGTCTTGCAGCAGCCTTCTCGTCGGAGGGATCTTTCGCTTCACGATACCTGGGTGAGGATCAGAGTAAAATTAAGGGCTGTCTTAAGTCATTATTTGACAATGGGACAACTGCTTCTCTTCATGACGAGTGGCTTTTGAGAACTCAGGCAGCACTGGGAACTTCATGATATGATGTGTACAAATGATGGGTATAGACAAAAGATATAGATTTTCATTCAGTTCATTAAAAAAATCATTTTGACAGAATCTTAACTTTCATGGGGATCCTCTAGAAGCTAACATGGGAAAGACAGTGAATGGCATTGCGCACAACACACGCACACAGATAGTAATTTTGAGCAAACTTCCAACTTCTATCGATCTCCTGCTTGAGGAGGGGGGAACTGACAGTGCAACGTCTTGCTATCCTATCCTATCCTCTTACAACTGATGGTTTATCCCTTCTCACATGCACAAGCATCAAGGCATAGGACACAAAAAAAGGCATAGGAGATCAAAGTAAGACTATCTTCCCACTTCTTACCACTTATAATATTAAAAGTCATTAACCAAATAATCAAAAGCAGTCTAGCCAGAAACATGGACAGAAACCTAGCCATCGCGATCATCCTGCTTGTGGTACTCGGCTTGCTCGTGATATTTTGGGTACTCACAATCTGGTGGCGCAAAAACCTGAGAGAAAGCCTGGCCCATGCTCGGACTGGATCGCGACACAGAAAGACTTTTCGATCTACGGTTTATCCAGATCCCACGGACGATGAGACGAGGTTGAGGGCTAGGGAGGTCGAGAGGGATACACAGAGGGATGTACGGCCAGAGCCTGCGCCAACATCGTCAAGAAATGAGGGAAAGAAACCGACAGCAAGTCACTCGGAGAAATACCAGCCAGAAGCGTCAGATACACACGGAGGACAAGAACAAAGTACAAAGCCAGTGACCTCTGCAGGAGAATGGTCGAGTGAAGCTGCCCCGGAGCAACCTGAGCCTTTTTCAGGGGGATGGACGAGTGACGAACCCCCAGCTGAACCTCAGTCTGAACCAGCTGGAAACGAATGGTCTAGCACTACTGGAATATCGGAAACATCTGGAATACCTGGAGGATGGAGCAGTGAACCTGCGACGCAAGAACCTCAGGGACAATGGCAGAGTAATGATGGTTTCGATCCCAGGTTTTAGGGATTAGTGGGTTACTGGGCACTTGGTTATCCCGCTACTGCCTCTAGGATACTCGATAGGATAATGTTCATGGAGCGTTAATGGCAATCTTGGAGATATTGAATGGATATCCTTATGCGTGCATAAATATGTTTGTGCACAGCTGCATAACTGCATTAATGGTCGCTCTGCCCGCCCGAGTCAGTGACGTTGAATCCCCGCGAATCTCCAGGCGGTGACTATTGTTGATCGAACTGTGCCTTACCAACCACCCTTCTCCAACTCCACGCCTGGGTCTTCAGTGGATTCTATCGCTGTCTGGGAATCTCCAAATCCGTATTATTGCGTCTTGCTTTCGCATGGGATTTTTCTACTTCCCATGATTTAAGCCTGTTCCCGGTATATTAAACTTCCCAGGCTGCCTTGTCCAGCCTCCGGTTACCACTATGTGGAACGACGAAGATAATAACCCATACGGGGCATTCGACACCGAGGCCCATCTCTCTGATTCCCTACACTCCGCAGCGCTCTCACCTCGTAAGCATCTATGAGCTCATTGGATTTCTTTTAGCAATTGTTTATTCCTGACCTTCTACTAGCTCTCTATGATCGCGAGTCCACCCCTCCCTCCCCCTCCAGTCGGTCGTCAGAACAGGACCCGCCCGACTTTCTCTCACGCCAGGAGGACCTCAGCGATGAAGAAAACCCTGGCGAATATGGTGTTCAGCCAAACACCCATGGATACCTTCGAAAGAGTGTCTATGACAGCCGTATAGAACAAATCCTCTATGAGAACCCGGAGATGCCGATTCTCATTACAGATGCCGGAAAGAACCATGAGGGTGGCGGGGGTTATATAGTCTACACCATACGGACTGGGGTATGCTCTGATTTTCTGGGATTAATGCAGAATTATCAATCTGGGGAACGGATCTAATAATATCTAGGATCTGGAAGTTCGTCGACGATACTCGGAATTCGCCTCCCTGCGACAGACACTTGTCAACCTACATCCAACCCTCGTCGTACCTCCAATTCCCGAAAAACATACAATGGCAGACTATGCAGCTAAGCCGACCAAGGCCAAAGAAGATACAGCTATCATTGACCTGCGAAAACGCATGTTGGCCGTATTTCTGAACCGATGTCGTCAGATGAAGGAGGTCCGGGAGGATGGTGTCTGGTGGAGGTTTCTGGACCCCAATGTTAGCTGGGTATGTGTAAAACTGATAACGGATCCTTGTATACGTAAGGGTCTCAAATGCTAACTACGTTCATAGAGTGAGGTTCTCCATTCCCACCCTGCGTCCTCGGTGCCCAAAAACAATCTGAAAGCTCCTCCCCTCGACCCCGCAAACCCAACGGCTGCCCATGCATGGTTACCGGTTCCTGCATCATCTGCGAAGCTCAAATCGGGCTCGGGTGGTGCACCTTCGGGCGCGCCTTCGACTGATCAAGTTAGCAGTCCGTCACCAATTGCTCCCGGCTCTGATGTACTGGGACGTTTCCCTCCCGAATCACGGAAACTAAGCGAAAAGGACTTGGACCCGTATTTCATCAATTTCGAGGCATCTACCCGTGAGCTCGAGTTGCTTCTCCAGGGAAACATTGAGAAGGTGAATCGCCGCACACTGGCGCATCTCTCTTCGCTCTCTGCGGATTTAATGGAGTTGGGTGCACGTTATAATGGTTTCTCGCTGTCTGAACAATCTCCAACTGTGGCTGCGGCGGTTGAACGTGTCGGCCAGGCGGCAGACACGTCTTATATCGAAACCGAGGAATTATCTTCCGCTCTGAGCGCAAATTTCGCGGAGCCCATGAGAGAGAGCGCGCAGTTTGCTAGTGTGGTCCGCAGTGTTCTACGATACCGAGTTCTTAAACGGGTGCAAGAAGACATGACACGGGACGAGTTAGCAAAGAAAAAGACATTATTGGACTCTCTAGAACGGAGTGAGCTTGAAGCAAAGCGAATTGAGCAGTATTTGAACCGTACATCTCCCCCTTCAGGAGCAACGAAGCAGCGCTCTCTGTCCACTTCGTCGGCAGCCACTGCCCCTGACGGTCATGAAAACGAGAGACGGCCCAGTGGTCATGAGGAGACTGCATCTATTGATTCTGATTTTCCCCCTACCCATGGGGAGTCTATCACCTCACCCTCGCCGGCATCGCACATCTCTCCGCAAAGGAGACCTGATTTGAGCGCATCATCTCCCCCTGCACATCGCAAAACGTCGAGTGGAACTTTTATGAGTAACAAATTATTTGGTCGCATCAGTCATGCCGTTCATGGCTTCGTGGATGTTGATCCGGAAAGGACACGTCGGGATCAAATCGGAAAGACCAAGGAGAGTCTAGTCCAGGTAAATCATCCTTCAGTTCCGGTGCTGCCTATGGCTTTTTCTTTTTCCACCTCCCTAGTATTTTTGTTTCAACGGCATTAAAACTGATCTCGATCTACAGCTGGAACAAGCCCTTGAGGTATCAGAGAAGGATGTCAAAGACGCTAGCGCAGGGGTTTTGCAGGACCTGAAGCGCTTTCAGAAAGACAAAGAGACCGATCTGCGGAGATACATGGTATGCATGATGCAGTTTCTTTTCTTGAAGCATAAACTATTACCACTAGGGCTAACTTTGAGCACTTTAGGTTGCGTATGCCCGTTGCCATCTAGACTGGGCTCGCAAAAACCTGGAGACATGGACAGAGGCGAAGGATGAAGTGGATAAGATCGTCGCTCGGTAGTGTAGTTTTGGATTTTTATTTGCTTTTTTCCCACTTGCTTTTTATTTTCATCTTCGCTGCTCCTTCGAAATGGAAGGAGATGTTCAGAACGCCGGGCGTTGGTGGAGTTTCCATTCCTATTCCTGTCGTACGGAACCTGTTCCGCCACGAATATCGTACGTATATTTATCTCATGACCTCTTGTGCATGTGGACCATGAATGATATGATATTAGGTCTCCTGGCCAGACCATGTTGTCATCGGGGGTTTATTACAGATTACAGTGGACAAAGGCTCACGAGGTGTGCCGTTGCTCTGCCGTTATTCTCAAATATCAGTTGTAAATTGACTACATTCTGAATCATGATCCCGATCATCATCATTAAACCTCAGCAGTAGATAGTATCGTGCCATGAAAATGGGCAGATTTAAAGTTGTTCTCATTGTTGCAAGCAGTTTGTAGTGCCGAGTTTGCGTGGCTAAAAGCGGCGTCTCGCCCTCCATCCCAGCTTCTCTACCTCACCCACCAACAACAACGCCCATCACCGACGATCTTCTTCCCACCGCTCTCAATTCGACCAGGATGACGTACCGCGGAAAGACGGAAGAATGTGAGCTATGTGACAGATAATTCTCGATTGACACGAGTCGTGGGGCGCCCAAAAAAAGCAAGGAGAAGGAGAAGGAGCAGCACACCAAGCCTCAGAGGATTTGCCTACGGGCGGACCGCTCCACCAACAAGTTCCAACAACTCCAGAAGCCGAGACGATGATTCATCTGTTTGCAGGCGACGAGGATCACAATCGGAAACGGCGTCGTTCTAGCTTGCGAGGCGATGAACTTGGTGACCCATTTTAGGGACAATGGACTGTCAATCTCCTGATTGCGTCAACTCTGTCTCCCCCCCGAATCGGGGGATGCAAGGCTGAATCTCTAAGGCCGCCAGCTTGCTTGTTGACATGCTTCCAAGCCACCAACAGAACACTAAACAAAATATATCAGTTTCATGGCGATGAATCTGGCAGTCATTGTTGCAAATAGCCGCTGGGAATCAGAAAAAAAATACGCATGTTGATTGCTGAATATGATCCAAATTTGTCATGGATCCATGATCGACAGCCTTTCTGTTTTTCTCCCCTTGCCTGATCGACAGGAACCTAGTTGAACATCATTGAATATCATTGAACATCACTGGTAATCATCACGCTAACTTCTCGATCACAGGATAAACAGGATAAGGCGAGAACCTCCTTGCTGTCTCTCTCTACCGTCTTTGTTGTCTCCATCTGTTTCGTCGTCCCTTTATGCTGTCTCCACACTCCTCTAGTGCATCCCATCTTTGATCGAGGATGAGCCTCTGCTGCATTCATAATTTGACGACGACAGTGGAGTAGTGGAGATTTGTTTGTTCCTTCGCCTCTTGTCGGGTTCGGGGATGTCCAACACATGCTCACAATTTATCAAACTCTGCGGTCAATAATACGCACATCTCTAAGCCCACTTGATGGGGTCTGCATACAGTAGATACCCCGTGTACTCCGTACTATGAGTTGTTCTCCTGGACGGGTCTTGGACTCTCATAGAACCGAAAACGATGAGCCCCAAAGCCTGTCCAGCCAGGATTAACGTCAGGGCTGATGGCCCCCCTTCAGGGTCATTCAGTGATATTTATCACTGCCCTATTTCCCACATTCTTGTCCTGCAGAAGCTTCCGGGTAATCGTGAACAGTCATTCCTTTAGTTAGTCACTCGTTACTTTATCAAAATGGTCCGGTTACTACCTTCGCTCTCTATATTCTCGCTCGCTGCGGTGGGCACTGCCTTACCACAAGGACCAGTGAACTTCCCTCGCGATCCAGACGCTACCTTCCCTCCCACACATGGAACGGAGCTCCGTATCCATGACCCTACCATCATCAAGGTTGGCCCGACGTACTACTCGTACGGTGTGGGAGAGCACATGGTGATCCACGAGGCACCTTCCATGGACGGCCCCTGGCAACAGACCGGCCATGTTCTCGACGCCGAAAGTGTGATCCCCAAGGGCGATCGCAAGGCCCCCTGGGCCCCTACAACCATCCAGCTCGGCGACACTTTCTACATCTACTACTGTGTCAGTGTTTCCGGCTGCCGTGACAGCGCCATTGGTGTGGCCACCTCCAAGACCCCGGGTCCTGGTGACTGGACCGACCACGGTGCAATCTTCGAATCTGGTTCAGGACCAGGATCCGACCAGACTCCTTTCAACAGTTCGAACGCGATCGACCCTGCAGTTTTGGTTGAGAGCGACGGAAAGGGATATGTCAGCTTTGGCAGCTACTGGTCGGGCATCTGGCAGGTCCCCTTGGGCGAGGACCTGATCTCCCCTGGTGATGTCTCCCAGGCAAACCACCTGGCCTACGCCCCCAAGGCGATGTTCCCTGGCAGCACCAACCCAGAGCACCCTGAGTGTGCTGACCCCAGCGGCGGTCGTCCCGTCGAGGGAAGCTTCATCTCCTACCATGCACCATGGTACTACCTGTGGTTCAGCTATGGCCAGTGCTGCGGCTTTGACCTCAACAACCTTCCTCCCCCTGGTGATGAGTAAGTTTCCCTCTTAGCTATATTCTAGAAATGGCTTTCTAATACCGAAACAGATACCACATCCGTGTCGGACGGTCGGTCAGCCCCCACGGTCCCTTCGTGGACAAGGATGGCGTCGACTTGGTTGACGGCGGTGGTACCACCGTCTACGGCTCCAACCGCGATGTCTACGCCCCCGGTGGAAACGGTGTCTTGGTCGATGAAGATGGCGACAAGCTCTTCTATCACTACCGTAAGTAGTAACTGATAAACACGATAACGGATAACGGATAACGGATAACATTTACTGATGACATGTCAACAGAGAACAAGACCGTCAGCATCACTGACTTCTGGGATGCCCGAATGGGCTGGAACAAGCTGGAATACCCCGGCGGATGGCCCGTTGCAGTGTAAAACTGCATCCGGTCTTGATATGACTTTGTATAATCTTCTCGACATACTCGGCTTCGAACATATTTCCTCGGCATGTAATTATTAGCGTCTACTAGCATAGACTAGAGTCTATATAATATTGGATATAATACTTTTTGAAAAAGACCTAGTGCACTGCTAATGGTTTTTATCGGTTGATATTAGAAAACCATTTACTAATTGTTGAGGGGATCACCAGCGAGTTCTCCAAAGCGATAGTTATTAGGTTCTGGAGTTGAAATCATTTGATGCCTGTAGAGATCATCGACTTAGACAACACATTACTTGATTTTCAGCCTCACAGCTATTTACTATCTACGCATTAGCAAGAATATGGGCCAAAGCTCATACTTAAATAATACCTTGCAGTCAGTTTACAGTACAGCTTTATTATTATCCAAGTCCCACGTGAATGTTACATCCTTACCGCTTTAACTAGAAAGGCCATTTATTAACCCTAATTAGATCTTTCAGTATGCTTGGATGAGAGTGGGTATGGGGACATAGCCATTATCACCATAGTGTTTCGGTCAGGAACGAATGGACCGCATATTCGGAATAATAAGGCTGAAGAATCTGCACGAGATATTCAGTCCAATCATTTTGCCACTTCCAGACATGGAGAGCTTTTGAGAATTCCCAGTATTCAGGATACCAGCCACTGAACTTCCAGTCCAAGATCCCACTGACACATCCGTCCTTGATCATGATATTCTGGAGGCGTAGGTCTCCATGGGTGAACAGGATCTGGTGCCTGTTCTGGGACAGCATGCCAGCTAAGACATTCCTAATATGACGTTTTGGTGCCTTTGATTAGTAGGCATCGATAAGTCATTATTAAACGCCTCTTCAGTTTCAAATGGACCTTGTCATGATCATAAGCATTTGCAGAAATTCTGGCGTATCCACCACTAACCTTGAATGGGATGACTCTCCAAGATTGGATCAGTAACAGGGCCGAGATCAACCGAGCCTATGTAGTTGCTGTTGCCGATTTTGCGAAGTTCGCTGAGATATCCGTTAAGCTGGTTAGCGATATGACTTTTCATAGTCCGATCATAAGCATCCCAGCTTTGTCCAGGCTCTGGCCCTCTACCAAGCTCATGAATATGTAAGTATCAAATAGACTACCGTAGTTATCTCGGTGTATCGGACCGTAAGAGTAGCAAGCAAAGACTTTTGGTACTGGGACAGTTTCTGTATTTTGTTCAACAGACATCATGCTTTTCGCCTCGCTGAGCGTGACGTGGGATCCAAATTTGACAACCACTGTAGGAGATATCTTTGCTATCTTAACGCCGCCCCAGTTAAGGATAGTGTTACTGGCATTAACCTTCTTATTAACACTATCTGGAAAGGGAATGGTAAACCCGGGGACTAAGCAATGGACATTCACTTGTAGCTCGTAGTCCACTAACTGAGTGGTCTGCTTTCCTTCTCGGCTCGACATATTGAAGAGACGAATGGGGCAATAACCCAAAGAAAAGCGTAGACAGTAGATAAGGTGCGTAACGAAGGAGATCCTAAGAGACAAGGGCTAGGCGACCGACTTAACTGTAAGAGTAAAAGAATGCGTGGAGAGAAAGAAGAGAGAACGGGGAGGATCGTGAGTGCTAGAACGCGCGGGGCCTACGGGATCTATATACCGTCCATGCGGCTGATAAATCAGACATACAATCTACTACTTATTTGGGTTTCGAGCTCCAGTATATGTTGCTGACACCTACTTGAATACATCGAGAAAAGACCTGGGCCTGATATACGGCTAAACTTACCGGCCTGGTCATGTCACTGACTGAATTGGAGACTTAGTCTCCGGCTCTAACTAAACATGTACTATCATTGAAAACAGAAGGAAAGAGAGTCAATATTGAATCATTCTGTCCATGTAACCATCATCTAGCCGGTCATTGTCGGATATTCTCCCACGTACGCTTGCTGGTGGAATGAAACTCGAGATGGCTGTGCTTCAGATCTCTGCTCGATCTCACCCATTAGAACCAGCACAAGTCAGACAGATGATGCACAGTACCAGCGTTGACATCGACACACCTTGAAAAGTAAACCCCCACTTCAAAGCGAATTCTTATCCGAAACCGCGAACGGAATCTTCGATCGATGCAGGAACCCTTTCGAAGTCTTGACTGGCGCCGACACACGCCCAGCATCCTTTCCCCCCTGCTCATTCTCATTTCCCTCGCCATCGGCAGTCCTCGAGTTGCCATCACGCAGATCACAAATCGTCATGAAGTTGACAGTAACCGGCTCAGCCCTCATCCAAGCACCGTCATCACCCATTCCATCCCCGTATCGATAGTCATAGCCGTAGTCATAGTCATGCTTCTTCCCCGTCTCCTTCTGTTGTTCGCTCTGCGGGCTCTGGCTTTGGCTTTGCGTATTGGCAGTAAGACTGGGGCCGAGATCGAGGACGCTGATTTCGCTATCGCTTAGTGCGAGAGAGCGGTTTCGAGGTGCCGGGTAGGCGGGTTTGACTGTTGGGTTTGGGATTGCTGTAGTTGGTGGTGAGATGTTTCGGGAGGTGAGATTTTGGTTTGAGGGTGGAGAGGAGGAGGTGGGATTGGGTGTCATCTTGATGATGTGTTGGTTAGAGTAGATAGAGAGAGGAGGGAGAGAGAGAGATAGAAATGAGGATGGAAGAGAGGTAGAGTCAACCCCAAAAAGGAAGGAGGGAAGGAAAGAAGATGATGAGGATCGCAGAAGGATGGATACACGCGGGCATTGAGAAAGATAAATCGATAAATAAGTACTCAATAAATATACAATAGATACAATAAATATAGACTTTGAAATGTACTGGTTTATTTCATTTCATTGTCAGTTTCAGGTTCAGGGTCAACTGCTATTTATACTGGCGGTGGTGAATGATATGTTGTTAGACATGAGTGACTGTCTCAGATGACTTCTTTGTATCGGGTCAGCGAGGGCGATCATGCTGGGCTTTGAATGACTTTTTCAACAGTTTTATATGATATCTTATATTGCTTTCTGTTTCTGATTCTTGCTTTTTGGATGTGTTTTATTATGTCATTGTAAATTGATAACTGTGAGGCTGATGCAGTCACGTTGATATATTTAGTGTCTACTCATGGCCTCAGCCACTTTGCTACTATTTCAATAGTCAGGATGACATTTTTTATTTTTGTTTCATGCATTATTGATAATAGGAGACGTAAAATAATTTCTATCTAATAAATATATTCTTCTAGAGGTGCTCAACTGATATCATGAGGTACACTGTCGTAGCCAACAATTTCAATCTACCGCCGTGAAACAGCTTCAAGGTCAATAAAGATGATCATCTCACTGCGCTCTTCTCGGAGGACAGGACAGCAGCTGTACAGGACAGAATTCAAATCTCTGAGTGCGATTTTCTGCTGTTGATTCTTTTGACTCCTTTCTATTCACATATCCAGTATATACAACCACATGATGGCGTTCGCTCAGCTGGACTTTCCCAGAAACAAATATGTACGTGCTTTACTTCAAATAATCAGCACACCTTCAGAGAACAAAACCATCAAGGCTTGATCTTCCCACAGAGAACCACATCTTCTCCAAACGGATACCACTTGACGCCCGTCAAACGTGGAGTTGGAATAGCCACACCACTCTCGTCAACGCCTCGTTTCGGCGAAACCACCACACCACCCTGACCCAGCCATGTCGGAGCAATCGTAATAATCACCGAATCAATGAGTGACTGGTATGCCGTTTCCAGGAGGGAGTTGATGACCGTCCCGCCTCCCTCAATCATAACCGAGTTGAGACCTTCTTTCTTAAGACGCTCAAGTAGCGTATTCCAATCGAGCCTGGCGGACTGATCTGTCGCCGCAGTCACCATATCAAGCGTGATGAACTTCCCGCCGTACTTCTCCAACAACTCCCTCTTCGCCGACGGGGGCGATTGCAATCCGGTAATGATGTACGGTGCACGTCCTTGGCCTTCTCTAGCGAGCGTGAAGATTTTGGACTCCTCCGTGAAATCCCACTTCGCGCGTGGATCGATCACAATCGGCCTGGGCTGTCCTGATAGACCGTCGCCGCCGTACCCACCCACGCCTTGGATCCGACAGTTCAAGCCCGGGTCGTCTGCAACTGCTGTCCCGACGCCGATTAGAATGGCATCGTGTCGGGAGCGGAGGTAGTGCGTCATTGCTTTAGACTGGGGTCCTGAGAGAACTGTGCGAGTGCCTGGTGCGGCGGCCAGTGACGAGTCCAGTGATGTTGCGAATGTGAGGGTGGTGAAGGGCAGGTTGGGCTTGCCATTGTCTGTTTCTTCTCCATTCTTGGGTGGGAGGTGAGGTTCCAGGAAAACGCGATTGGAGTCTGGAAATTCCAGGGCATCTCTGGGAGGACCTGCCATGTTTGGATGTCTGATAAGATGTTGGGATGGCTGTTGTTATTGAAGATATAATATCTTCGGTGGAGGGGCACATATGATGATGTCACATGACCCATAAACCCCCACGAGTTCTTTTAATATGGAGGGCTGATCTGCCTGTTTAATTTAAATACTGGACGAGCTTACGTAGATTTATTGATAAAAGCAAAGAACAAAATCTTTTGATGCAACGCAGCGTGGGTAAAGCTGCTCTACCATCCCGATCAATCGAAAAATCACAAAAGGCTTTTGAACGCAATGCGAAAGGCCCGGATGAAGATCAAGGCCCCCAATTCCCATAAACCAACTCGTAGATGCAAGGATGACTCGATGATGCCATCTATCAACTCTTCAGAGTAATATAAGAAAACCATGCCCCGTCCAACATCTAAAGCATTGGCTACTAGACAACCCCCTTTTTCTTTGCGGCCCATCACGGATATCAAGTAAAATGAGGACCCATCAGTACAGAACAAAACGAAAGAAAAAAAAGCAGCAGGCGGTCATCGACTACATTTAAATCGTCATCCACGCTGCAGACCCCATTACCGGTCTTCGAAAGACCGCAACGCCGTAATTACTCATTTCACATGTCCAAAACAAGTCGTCTCCAATTAATCCGAAACGATCTTATCATCGTCGTTCACTCGTAGCTCCACCACAGGTAGCTCTTCATCGTCATCGGCGTCTAGCGGAGGAGGGATATCTTGGACTGGAGCCTCCTCCAGGGGTGTTCCCGGGAATGCGCCTCCTTGCCCACCTGGGCTGTCAGCTAAAGAGGCCAACCGGATATCGGAATCACTGAGGTCGAGGTCTCCTCCACCAACTGCCTGGTTGCTGGCGTTGTCGTCGAACAAGTCATCATCATTGTTGCCGTCAGAGATGGATCCCGGAGGTGCTGTCATCTGTGAAGGGCCATGAGCATCCGTGATTGGGCCGAACGACCACGAGGGTTCACTTGGGATCGGGAAGCGAAATGGGTCGGAGTGCGCTCCGTCGCCAAACTCATCTTCATCGAAGTCCATACCTTCCAGTCGATTTGCTTTTCCTAGGGTCTGCTCCCCGGATGCCGGGTCGTTGGAGTATTCGGGTGGCGATTCATTACCCTTGCTCAGTTGGGTTCCAGTTCGCAAACCACCATCTCCCGCTTGGTGAGCTGCTCCGACTCCGGCTAAAGCGCTCGACGACCCATTGCGGGAGGAGCCGCCGAGGCGCCGACCTTCCCCCGAAGGAGATTGCGCGCGGGATCCCATTTGTGATCCCGGCCGGGAGGACTCAGCGATTTCTTCAAGGATTTTGCCTCCCAGGGGACGCTCGGATCGCCGACGGTAGAACAGCAGATAGGCGGACGAGGTCACTACACTCTGGGGATCGAGGTTTCTCGAGACAGACGAATCTACAGAGGTTAGCATTCCGAGGCCGCTTCATGAATCACCTTGCTCGTTTTTGTCAATCTTACCATTGTACTCGTTCCACTCGCCGGTCATGAAGTTCTTCGCATAGGCCGTGTAGTGGCCTCCTCCAAGTCCACCATAGTGGTTGTCAACCGCAAAGAGATCATAGATCAAGCTCTCCCCTTCTTCGGGAGCTTCGACTCTGCCACTCATATCCAGTCCCTCAACCGGGAAGTCAACCAAAGCATCGAGCTTGTCCCGGAAACCACGGCTGGCGCTAAATCTCTTGAGGTGCATGACAAGGATATCAGGCGTCTTCCAGAGTTCGAATTTCTTGCTTGCCCGGCGGTGTTCTTTACAGCGAGGGCAGTACCAAGCATCGTTCTCAGAGAGAACTTCCTCCTTGTTGAACTCATCGAGACACTCGTAGAGGGTGACACCCTTCTTCTTCCGTGTCCGTCGAAGCTCACGGCGCTTAGACAGCTCTGGATCGGGCAAACGGTCGATGTTGGTCCACGTAGGGGCTCCATAGAGAGAATCCTTGTCCTTGGCATCTCCAGAAAAGAGTGCATCATGAGCTTCTTCGCTCCAATCCAGCACAAATCCCTCGCCAGGGCGGATCAACGGACGTCCCTCAACGGTAGACTTCTCGGACTTCTCAGATTTGGGGGTTTGGTTGCGGTTGGTGTGGCTGAAGATGTCGGAGCTGCTGTCCGAGCCACTTCCAGCACTTCCATCTTGGTCAGAATCATCACTAGCCTTGCGTTCGTTCACATTGGCGGTTTCAGACTGCGTCATTATTGTTAGCAGAGGCCCTGTGCCATTGAATGCAATCATATCCATGACTTACCTCTTTGCGTTTAGGGACAGTCTTCTTGACGCGCGCGGACATCGACGGGTATTCCTTGTTCTCTTCCACACCGGAGAATCCAAGAGGTATAGCCTCGCCGGTCCGGACAACCTTTACATCAAAGAGATTGCGGAAAGCAGGTGGAATGGAGCTTTCCGAACAAGGGGTGTCGGCATCGGAGTTGGCGTCCTGGGAAGGAGTTGTGGTATCCGTCTCGTCAGATGCATCCCGCATGGAAACATCCACCATACCATCCTCTCCCTCTACTGAAGATGTCTTTATCTTAGAGTCAGCCGACTGCGCATCGTCGTCATTCATGATAACGGTGTCCGAGTCTTCATGGTTTACCTCTTGCTGGTCGCCTCCGTTCATGTTTCCTTCATTAAAGAAATCACGGGTTGTCATGGTGTCAACCTCGGCCAGGACCTTTTTAAGAATAGCATCGTAATCAAAAGCCTCTTCCCGGTTGATAACAACATACGACGGTGCCCCGAACAGAGACCGTTGCAACTGTCGGTTGTTGTTTGGCTTAGGCTTCACAACACGGTTGAAAATCGGCACCAACAGTCGGTCAGCCTTGGGAGACTCAAAGCTGGGGATCTTGTCATCCGAGCGGCTAAACGAGAAGTAGCTCTTCGGGGCCTTATCCGGGTTATAGTTAGTGGGCACGGACTCCACCTCGAAGATGGCAATGTCATCACTCGAGCCAATTTGGCAGTCAGCGATGGAGTTTGTGTTGTCAAACATCTTGTAGAACTTGTGCTTGTAGATCTCAGCCATGATGAGACGCTGGGGGTCAGCACCCAACTTGCTTGCAACTTGTTCCTTCAACGACTTGACACTGGCGTGCTTGTCGATTTCAACATCAACGATAACCGGTTTCTTGTGAAGACCAAAGTAGAAGATTTCCTTGCTCCATAGGTTCTCGATCGGCAATTGGAGAGTAAGGTTGTTGAAAGGGTCGAAAATGATACTGACTTTCTCGCAAGCAGGGCAGTGGAGGGTTGACTTGTACATGCCAGCGAAGAGATCAGTAATGACGGAATCGTTACGAGCTTTGTAGATATCCCAGCACTTGGAGGCAAATTCCACTAGAGCCGCTCGATTGTGAACCATTTCATCCGTGGAGTCGGGCTTCTCAATATACGGCTTCTTTTGGATTCGGTTCAAGTCTTCCTGTAACCCATCAAGGAGGAACAAGAGGAATTCCTGGGAGTCCTGCTGTCCATAACCAGAGAAGGCTGGACCGTAGCGACCAATGGTGTTCTTGAGTTGCCGGGGAGCAAAAGAAGACTGGCCAGCTTCATCATAAATCATGCGAAGCAAGTTTGCATAAGACTTGGCCACCTCACCATTGTGAGCCAGGGGGTTACTAGGATTGAGATCCTGCTTGTAGACATCGTCTGAAGGGTATTAGTAACGAGTAATCACATTGCGAATGCTGTTTGAGATACGAACTTAAGAAATAGTGAGTTAATTCCTCCACACTTCGGACACATTGGAGAGCAGAGTTCATGTAGCAAGTATTTCCAAGGTTGCTCAGTCCAGTATTACCACGAGGCTTTCCATCTTTCCGTCTTCCTCTCACGGGCTCTGGGGCTGGAGAAGACCTGCCACTGGCCGTAGGGCTCTTGTTCTTGAGTTTTGTTGACGCAGCGTTCTTTGCAGTACTTGCAGTGCCAGTGGTGCTGGGAGTGCTCAATGGCACACCCAGGCGGCTGAGGGTCTGCTTGGAAACATCCGAGGCCCATTCTCCACTTCCAGACCCAACTCGTTCTTCGAGAACAATAACCTCACTTCCACCAAGTCCGGCAAGAGCCAATGTCATTCGACCATTGTAATTGGGGTTCGCGGTCTGGTCCTTTGCGCCATCGAGCAACTCTCTCTGGGCGCCCTCCGAGAGAGACAGGAAAGAGTTGACGTCCAGTACGAGACTGGTTCCAGCACCGGGGACAATAGAGGCTGCCGGGGCTGGGGAAGCACTGCGTGAAGCAGCCGGAGTGATTGCTGCGGACGCTGTTGCACTTCCAAGCCCGCCTAGTATCCTCCACACACGGACCTTGGTCGACATGTCGATGTTGGCCAGTCCCTTCGCCTGCTTCAGCCATTTCTGGAAGTTGGTGTGTCTGCTAGACAGGAATTTGACAGGCAGTGTGTTCTTGTCTTTGAGGGTCTGGGGTGTGGTTCCTGTTGTCGGGTTGCCCAACTTAAGAACGGTGAAAACTAGAGGGTTGATCTCCCACTGAACGTTCTCAAGATCTCCAGTTTCGTTGGTGTTGTGAGCATATCGAACGATAGCCGGTGATTGATTTGCCAGGTTGTACCACTGCATAATCAAGTCCCATCCTTCTTGAGGGACGATTTCAAAGTCCTCACCCAGTTGCAAGCCAGGTCGCAAAGGAACGAACGGCTCACCAGCTTCATCCTTGAAGCAGGTTCCCGGGTCCGTAACCAAAACAAGATCCGAGTTATCGACCGGTCCAATTTCTCCTTCTGCAGCACTCTTGTCGGTCTGGTCTGCATGCGTCGAGCTCCGAGCAAGCACCCTCTTCAACCAGGACATGGACAACACATAACCCTTCTGCTTTTCCTTCAACGGCTGCATCGTGAAGCAAGTCACCTTGGCCACCTGGTCGTCGATTGTAGGCAGGTCATGGGAGGAGGTAGAACCCTGGGACTTGGAGCTGTCCCGGGTCGACGTAGGAGCGGTGTAGGTCGCCATACTGGACGGAGTGGGATAGACGTTGTTGGAGGATGCAGTCGGGCCATTGTCCTCTGGACCAGTGTCCATGGACTCTGCGTTGTTGTTTTCCGGGTGCCGCGACTGAGACTCGTTTCCTGCGGAGCCTAGGTCCATCTCCACATCTGCGACTTCCGACGCCGGCCGTTTGACCGGCGAGGAGGATCGGGCATCACGGCCGGTGGGAGAGGCACTGCCGTCTCGCTTCTCGGAGCCAGACATGTCTGTAGCAGGGTCGCTGGACAGGGTAAGTCCAGCGCAAGCGGTTGAGGGGTAGTCGACACTACCAGCAGATTCCGGGGTCGGGGAGCTAGAATCGGCCTTGGATGATCTAGTCCCAAGCACTTCGTCCTGCAAATGGGCGGGAATGTAGCGAGGAGACGGGGAGTCAGAGACGCTCTGACTCCGATTCGAACCGGAGGTAGACGAAGGTCGAGTGTTCGGTGGCAACGAGGAGGATTGTTCGGAGGAAGGATGGCCGTGACGTCTTCCGGCCTGCGAGGCGATGGACAGACCCGGAAGCGCTCCTGGTCTGCGAGGCTCTGCAACCTTACGGCGCTTTGTGGAAGACGTCGTGACGGTGAGCTGCGCACGTCTCGTGGCAGCTCTGGACAGCACGATGAAAGGGTTTGGGGGGAGGAAAATTAGGGAGTCGAGACAATTAATTTGATTCGGTGAGAGCCCCAAGAAAAAAATGAGGGGAGGAAAAAAGAAAGATGGAGAAAGAAAGAAAATCCGAAGAGTCGGCGGGATCTCGTTTAGTCAGTGGCCGCTCAGTGGTTGAAGCGAAAAGAGGGTACGGTACGGTGGGGGGATTTTAACCTGACTTGAAGTAGTCGAGATATCAGGAGTTTCAAAAGACGAGATAGAAGAAGAAGAATTAATACAGAAGCTGCTTGGAAGGCAGCGAAGAGGCAATTGATGATGTTTTTTTGTGGTGGTTTTCGGTGGCAGAAGAAAGGGAGAAAAGGGAGGGAAAAGACAAATTGGGATAAAAGAGTCGATCGAATGGAGATATTATTTCTTTCTGGATATCAATATTCAGTCCCTTTGCTACCGTAGCATTCTCTCGTCTTCTTTGGTATTGTTGGGGTTTAAACTGCCTCATTCACCACCAGCTGACGGCCAGTGTTCTCCATCTTCTTCCACGATCACCTGAATCTACCATCAGCAGCAGTGTTGGCTTATAATACCATCAGAAATCAGATGAGCAAGATCAGATTATTCAAAAAGATTATAATAATTCAGCTGAAGCGTTTTATCCAGACTGTTGTTCAAAGACAGGCAAAAAGGTCCCTCCGACCGTGATCGTCAAGATTCAACAAAATTGGCGATCAAAAGCCAAAGGTATCACGATTGACGCATCTCCAAATCCGTCAAACCAGTATTTAATCTATGTGTCGGTATAGAAGCGATACATCTCATTTCCAGGCAAAAGAAAGCCAACGTCAGCGCGACAGCCAAACTCTTCATCCTCCTGTTTCGTCCTTGCGACGACCCGTGCAAGATTTCCATTATAAGCTCGCATGAGTAACTCGCATCTTTCACAAAGTAGCAACCCGCATCCTGTCGCCTCGGAAGAGGAGGCATCGACTGCTTCCTGGAATTTGTTGACCGACTGGGTGGTGGCACACCCATAAAACGCCGGATTCGGACACAATGAGCACCATGGATTTATCATCGCTGGTGTGTCTTGTCCTGGCCCAGGGACTAGACTCTCAAACGCAGCGTCGAAATTAAAAGATTCAATGTCATAGCCCTGCAAGGGGATGACTCGATGACTCGAGCATCGCATGATATGGATTCTCTCGAGGGCGCATGTCACACACATGCGGCTGGGCTTGTGACCTTGGCTTACATGGCCACCATCGACTTCATAATAATTGCCATCGCCAAAGTCCATCACTTCAACTGTTTTTCTTCCTAGACCTACAAGGCCGTATATAAAATTGTTGCACCAGTTGCAGGGATCAGTTCCATCTTCGGGAGGTTCATAGGCAAAGTCCATTGGGTGGGCATAAGAAGTCTGGATCATGCGAGTTATACCAATACTGCCTGTTTTTTCTGATTCTTTTGGCTCACTTGGTTCGCTCGCAAGTGAAGATGCAGATCCAGTTTCGTTAGGGTTGTCCGCAGGCTGAGGTTGAACGGCTTGAATTGGAACTTCCTCGGTTCCAGAATGGCTACCAACCTGGCTATCTTGCGCTGGTTCAGAGGCTTTTGGTATATACTTTGCAGGACCAGCAATGCACCGAATTCCTTGTTGCTGGCAGATTCTACACGGCAAGCTATGGTCACTTTTCTCATGGTTATAGGAACAGCCCTTTTTGATCCTTTTGCAGTTCTCGCACGTCCTCTTCCAGACTGGCGAAATTATGAGCACACAGTCAATCTCATCATCGCTGCAAAACTCACAAGGGTAATCGAGCGGGCTGTCCAAAAGCGAACACTCCTGATTGAGTTCCCAGCATGATTTGCATCCTCGGGCTGCCGGGTGACCCAGGTCTACATCGATGTCCGCATCGTTCGTTTTATCCCGCTTTCTGAAGGCATATCGCGATCCTGAAGCTGAACCGACGGCGTCAATCTCCATCAAGCCCCCTCCATCATGGTGAGGACCATCATGATAAAACGGAAGCGATGAAAGAAAAGCCTTCCCAGCATCAGACTTTATGCACATCGTCACGATCAATCTGGATGGAGGTCTGGCCTTTTTTGCTGGTCTACTGGATCCCGAATCATCTACTCGAGCCGGACACTTTCTCTTCAACGCCCGCTTGTCAGCTCGAGGGTCGTAGTCGTCTGTATCGTCATTGTCGATCCAGGTGGAACATAATGTTTGGGTTTGAGTCGTTCGCTTCCGCAGGGAATATTTGGTTCGAATCCAATCGTCGAAGTTCTCGTAATGGGTAGATTTCACGCCGAGGAATAGTCGCTTCACTTGCTGGAGTCTTTGAATGGTGTATGCCATCGTAGGGAGATCATTGGGAGGAAGGACTGGTCGGGGGAGGCGTGGGTTTATAACGTATCCCATCCGAGGGGGGGAGAATCTCTCAACTGAAGTGTAACGAGTGGCTAACTGGTGAGGGTGGATTGTCTGAATAGCAGAAGCAGACGAACCGAAGTTGCGGTTGAACACCTCAGTGAGGCATCACCGTCGCTTTTGATATCGCCACTTCGCAATGAGGAAAAGTAAGATCTGCGACGAACATACCGATCACCAATCTGAGATAATCTGGGTTTATATCTGAGAGATAGATATATCCTCGTGACAAGTTGTTTCAGTGACAGCGCTTTCATCGACAATCAAGGGTCGAAGATGAATTGTTCGAAGTGAGATCGGTTGATTGATGCTGGTACAGATACTCGTCTATCCTGCAGGAGATGTAAAGATGGAGAGCGACCATCACCAACCTCAGACACTGCAGCAGGACAGCATCGTTCAGTACGAAATTTCATTTCCCATTCTCGATGGCCAACGGCATTCATCAACTCCCCGATCAACTGCTGATTCTTGAGCTACAATGCCTTCGCTATTTGAAGCCTTTCACTATCATGTATACAAGCCCTCTGATTGGCCAGTACATCATCCTCTCAAGTAGGTAGATCGGTTTAGCGCAGATGCCAATGCCAACTTCCATTATTTTTTGCCTTTTTTTTTCTTCTATTTTTTTTTTTTTTTAAAAAAAAAAAAAATTGACTGTTGAAGATTCATTTGAGGATATATAGTTATATTATATGAAGCTATCAATATATCTTAGAGTGAAGGGTTTTTTACGTTACAGCATCAAATTATCTTGTCAATCTACAGAGTACTTTAAGGAGACATGCAAACAGCGAATCAATAACTATTTATCCATCTTCATAAGCAATAGCTCATCACTAGTAGAGGTCCATATTTAGTATATCCCCATAACCAAAGCAAACCATCCATCCTAGATCCATAATAGAACATCACAACGGCAACCCCAAAACCTCACTCCAAAGCCTATCGATCGACCCAATCCCATCCTTCTCCCCCTCAACCTCCGTCGAAGTAATCTTTACACCACCATCCCTCTTCCGACCCTGCTCCTGCTCCTGTTCCTGACTATGCCCCTCCTTCATCTTCTTCTCCTCCTCCTCCGCCGCCGCCTGCAGTACAATCAACTCCTCAACAGTCACCTTCAACTTGTGCAACAACGCAAGCTGCACGTTAGCCTCAGCAGCAGTCCCCATCATCCCCACGACGATCGCCTCCAATGCCCATACAATCATCAAGATAAGCATGAGCAGGACGGCGACGATGAAGACCAGAGCCACGGAACCCAGAATGGCCCTGGATGCGTCAATGCCGAAGTCGCGGAGAAAGTTCCGGTGACTTTTATACCAGGCTTGTATTCTTCCTGGGCGTGGTTTTTTGGGGGGTTGGGATTGGTTTTGGTTGTTGTTGTTGTTGTTGCGGGTGGCTGTGGTGGGTGGTCTGTCTTGGGTGTTGTTGGATGTTGCTTGATGGTGGTGGTTTGTTAGTTGGGATGGCATGCTATGGATCTATATATCGATGGATTTACCTGTGTTTAACTCGTCCAAGGGTGTGCCTTGGCCGCTTTCGAGGTCATTGTATGCTGGGGGGTTCGCCATTTTGGCTGTTCTGTATGTAAGATTTGTAGACTTGAGATGTGTATGTTAGGTAGTTAGGTAGTTAGGTAGGAAGTTGTAGAGTTGATAAAATCTCAGTGTAGCCGTTGATATGATGCAATCTATGCTGAGGCTTCCATGGATGGTGCCACAGATGAGAGGTTGAAATACGCATGGTAGACATCAAAAGATAGTTCATTCCGTTGAAGATAGAGATAGAGAAACCGAAATTGATAATTACATATGATATGGATGTTTATGCATGCAACACCTTTTTCTCAAAACGCCAAAACACCAAGCTCATGTCCTTCGTAACCCCCAAATCCCAAAATGACATCAAAACTGATCATCCATAACAAAGTTTCAACAGGCGCCAGTCCAGGGGTATTCGTCATCGACCAAACAAAAAAGAAGCAAAATATAATAAAAGGCCGATGGATGGACGTAACCGGCGCCTCGGCTGGATATCAAATAAGAAAACAACACAAGAAATGAAAAAAAAATTAAAACGTCTCAGCTGCGGAAACTGTACACTCGTGCTTCGCAGTCCTCACTGCCAGTAGCAAAGCGACTGTCACCAAGTCCAAGGCAGGTGATTGGGCCGGAATGACCAGTAAAGGTTCGCTCGCATTTGCCGGTTCTGGGATCCCAGATCTTGACCATGCGGTCTTCTGCGCCGGATACAATCCGAAGGGTGTCAGCGCCCAAAGCCCAGACACCTTCCAGGTGGCCGAAGAACGTGCGCAAGCATCGGCCCGTGCTCGTCTCCCAAAGACGAATCGTCGAGTCTAATGCGCTGGTGACCATGTAGCGTGGCGGTGCCGGACGTCCATTGTCAAATGATGGCCCAAAAGGCGACGAGTGAGCCGCAAATGGGTTCGATTCGAAACTAGGAGTACCGGCATCACTGTCACCTGAAGTGCTAACGTTGTCGTTTTCGCACTCCGCATCGTGCTCTTCAAATTCAAATTCTCTCGGCAGGGGAATGACCTGCTGCACTTGACCCACGTGGCCGTGGAAAGTCCTGATGCAGTTCTTGCTGTCCAGATCCCAGAGTCGAACGGTACAGTCATCAGACGCCGAAAACACAGTTCGGGATTTTGTGTCAACTCGAACCGCATTCACCCAGTCAGTGTGACCACGCAGGAGACACGTCGACTTGTCCTCAAAGTTCCAAATCTTCACCGTCTTGTCCACAGATCCAGATGCAAGAATTGTGGCATCAAAATGCAGTCCAATGACACCACCGCGGTGGCCAGTGTAGGTAGAAATACACTCTCCTGTACGCCAGTTCCACACCTTCAGGCTGCGGTCCATACTGCCGCTAATCAACTTAGTGTCGTCAAACTGGAGGCAACGAATACCGGACTGATGTCCGCGAAGGGTTCGCAGCTCCTCTCCTGTCTCGGTATCCCAAATCTTGATTGTAGCGTCGTAGGACCCGGTTGCCAAGATATTGTCCTCAAATTGCAAACACATGATACCATTGGTATGACCTTTGAACACCTTCATTGTGCATCGTCCGTATTTCCAATTCGTGCCCACCTTAAATCGATCCTTGTAAACCTCTTTCCACGGCCTGTAACGGGTCTTGAAGTAGTCCTCCTCTTTCTCTGGGGCTGGAGACGCAGTGCATTGGCGCTTGACAATTGCCGTCTCTTCTTCGACAGATTCAGGCTTTCGCTTAGCGCCAGTAGGCGCGGATTCGGCAGCGGGGGAAAGGCTATCTTCGATTTCTGCTACGGGGCTTGCACCTGCAGAGGGCCCATTGATGGCCCACGTTGTGGCGCGCAACTCAATTTCACGTTTCGACTCACGCAATCTCTTGCGTTCCAACAACGGGAGACCCCACCCGCACTTCTTGCACTTGCGATGAATGTGCTGCTCGCACATCCGATGCCAGACCACGTCGTCGTCTGCTAGGGCCCTCCAACGTCCAGAGACTTGTGCAGCTTTGCAGAGGGAGGTAGTATCAAGGTAACAAAGGATTTTGAATGATATTTCAGGGGGAAGCGCGGTGAGAAAATCGATTCGGATAAGATCCCGGACGGTGGTGGACACGAAGGAAAGCTGCGGGAAACAACACTGAGCCATGATCCCCTGGAGCATGAGCTTTCGGTGCTTGGCTGGCGCGGCGGAAAAAAGGGACCAAACATGGGCAATGCCCTGTTGATCGCTTTGAGGAAGCGTCTCGAGTTCCTTTGTAAGTCAAATTAGCCTTCAACGTCGTCATCACAATATCCAGGAGAAAAATCATACCCGTTGTAACAAATCCATCGAGGGCTCGTCAGCTTGTCGTCTGCATTTAAGATCTGGTCTGTGGCGATAGCAATATCTCGAGTTCGCCGGTGCGGGTATCGGATCGTCAAATCGTGAGCTTAGGCGCGCGTATTGTTCAGGGATGTGTTTTGCGAGGAATGGTGCGACGTTGTTCTCGTTCGCCAGCTTCACGGGTGTAGTCGTTTCTGCACTGTCGAAACTGTGGGGCGCAGAGCCGTTCGACTCGGAATCCGCATCAACATCCTCCGTAGAAGGACCGAAGATCGACTTGGAGACACTCTGCGATGAATCTATTAAGTAGTCCTCCGCGTGCGACTTCTTCCTCAGGAGGGCTTGTGAAGGAATGCCATCATTGTCCAGTGATGGCTCGTGGCGTTGCATGGCGTTGCGACTAAAGCGATCGATATTCACAAGCTAGTCTGTCTTCAGATAGATAAAGACCAGACAAAGTCCAGTCACTAGAGAGGAATCAAGCAGATAGATATATTATCAATCTTAGCGACTAGGAAAATCTCAGGTAGGGAGAGGAGAGGGAGGTGGCGGATGTGACGACGAGGTCCCCAGGAACGAAAGCGGGCTGAGATAACCCAGGACAGCGGGCAGAGTATGGGGGAGATTAAAAGGACTTAAATTATGGGCCAGCCCAACGTCAAATATCAGCAGCACCGCTGCATAAATACTCCACGGTCTGTGGGACAGACGAATATCATGAGTCAATCTTATTTTTCGCCTTTCAACACGAAATCTTTACTGGTTCTTCTTTCGTTCTTCATCGCGCGGAATCACGCAAGCAAGACGACCAGTCTCGTGATTCTGCCCCCCGCTAATCTCTTTGCAGTAGGTGCACGTGATCTGATGGCGCCATCGCCGCCATGCCTCGCATCACCGCTGCTCCAGTTCTCCATCCGCCCATCTGAAGGCGTCAACAGGATTGATCGCCATGTCCACTTGGTTTCTAGCGGTGTGCTCCAATTTGTCCAAATCGTCGCCATTGTCTCCCTCGCTTGCAGATCCTCCACTTGACGGCTGTCGGAGATTCGAAGCGGTCTAGAGGTGCTAAAAAGGTGCCTTTGGGAGCGAGCATAAACATAGACCCGGAAACCTGCGGGTCCTTAAGACGATTAGTTCATCAGCTACTATCACGTTTGTCTGGACTTCCTGTCCTGAGCTTCGTCCTCCCTGGATTTGTCGACAACCCAGTATTTTCCGACCTCGGTGCCCAAAAAAAGACCGTGGGGATAGCCTCATCACGCCATTCTGATCACGTTACCGGCACTTCCCATTAATCTTCAGCTATTGTTTGAAGACTCGTTACAAAGTACGCGTGGATCATTCTCCAAAGGTTAGTGTTGATTTGCATCTTGATTGTGTCAATCCTTTCTTGCGTGCGCTCCATGTTTTCCTGCCATGGTGCAATTGAAGAGGCAATTTTGCAAAGTATTGTGTGAATACCGTGTCAGATCATTGGCATTATTGGGCCCATCATCTCATTTTTGACAAACGCCGCGGAATGATAGCGCTATCTCCTATGCACACCCACCCCGGATCTCCGTGGATAGAAATCAATTATGCTAAGAAATTCTACGCAGACATACGGCCTTCTTTGGTTCTTTCTCCGAGGCCATCATGAATTGACCTTTTTTTCCAATCTTCCGTTGGGCAAAATTATCCTGCAGTGACGACGTGGCTGTACCTCCCTGCTAGTCAGGATTGTTTACGAGGACACGTTTATATCATCTATTACCAACATTGGGTTGCAATCCTATCGTCACACTCAACGGATCTGGCGCAATCTGTGGAAGGCCATGGCATCATCTCAGTCATCCTCGGTATTGAGTGGTGTTCCCCCTGCTGCTGGGCCTGAGCAAAGCCAGGAGACCCCGGTTCCACAGCTTGATACTCTCATATCTCATCTCGTTGCGGCCAAACGATCTTTGTCATCAATCAGCCATGTATGGCGTGCCAATGAGATCGTCACAGCCGCCCGCTCAGCGCTTGAACAAAGCGTTGTTGTCTCTGCGCGGACGGGTTTCCTCCGCCGTGGACTCAACAATCAGCTGCGGCTTCTCTATAATGTTCGGACGGAGGTCGAGGAGATTTCTGTCCGAGGCCGGTCAGAGTTTTCAGATGTACTGAAGAGTCTTGATGCTGCCGATGTACGACTAAGAAAAACGTTGGATTTATTAAGGGAAACGATTGTTCAAGCTTCGTTTCGACCTGAGGGTGAAGAGCCCAAAAGTCTGCACGATTTTGTGGACGAGCGTGTCTTAGAAGAGCTTAATGCAACCCTGAAAAGGTCAATAGATCGGACAAATGCAGCACAAGGAGAGCTGGATGTCTCAAACTCTGCCTTCGATGAGGAACTTCGCTCAATCAAGGAGGCTTTGGGCAATTACCGAGCTGCTACAAAGTTAGCATCTTCCAGGTCCCCTTCGTCTTCATCCACCTCCTCGGTCTCAAATTCCAGTTTGCCTTCAATGTCGTCAATACCTTCCATGCTGCATTCTTTGGAGATGCATGCGCAGGAAATGGCGAACCTTTTAGAGTCTCTGGTCCGACACTTTGACCTTTGTGTTACAGCTGTCAAGCACACAGAGGGTGGGGGAGCGGCTGCACAATCCATCACCGGGGATATGCACACCGGAGTAAGTGCCAGCGGCCGAGTTGGTCCCAACATTGAAGAGGAGATCAATGCCAATTTGAATGCTCCTCTTGATCCTCTAAGTAATTCGGAATACCAAGAGATGGTGAATGTTCTGATCAAGGATTCAGCCGAGGCAGAAGACGTTGTGGTAGAGATTCAAGACCGCATCAGAGACATGGAGTCTGTCTTGGAGAACATCCTGGCACAGCGGGATACTTCGCTCTCTGTCTATCACGCCACGACTGATGTGTTTCAGCACCTATCATCTCTTGCCTCTACGCGTTTGCCAGGATACATAGCACAGGCGCATAACTTCACCCGCGTGTGGAGCGAGGAGCATGATCGTATCAGTGAAGGTTTGGCAAATCTTTCAGCTCTATACTCTCTGTACGATGGGTTTTTAGATGCCTACGATGGCCTCCTTCTCGAAGTCTCTCGTCGGAGGCATGTTAGACAGCGTGTGGAGAAGGTGCTTCGTGAAACCAGACACAAGCTTGATCAGTTGTATGAAGAGGATGTTAGTGCCCGTGAAACGTTCCGCGTGGAACAGGGTGACTTTCTGCCATCTGACATCTGGCCTGGAATTGGCCGAGAGCCGATGCGGGTCGAGTTTCGGCGCATCTCTGGTGGTAACCTCAAGGGTGCCTCTGAGCAGAATCCCGATCAAGAGGAGGCCGTAGCAGGTGAACCCAAAGAAGGGTCCCATAATATTCAACCTCCAGAAGAGAACACTGATGTCGGTGAAGTCATTCCTGATTTGCCTCGGCAGGTGGTCGAACAGGCTTTTGCTCGTCTCAAATCCCGAGCTAAAAATGTCCCTTAACTCTGGATTGGATCGGGTTCCCTCCCAGTCTCATGAATGTATGAATTTTACGATACTTACCTTTTAGCTGAAGCATGAAATTGGATTCGTTTTCACATCTATCCTCCCTGGACTATCGCGTACATCTCTCAAAGGTCTTGCCATGACCAACATTTTGAGATTTGTCTACCTGCTTCTTCTTTTCTTCCTCCCCTCCATTAAGAAAGTGGCCATTAATCAGCCTGAATGATGGAATAAAAAGGCGGGCTCAATCCCGTACTGATATCAAGCCCAAATCTTCTCGCCGAACAAACTCCCATGAGCATCTCCCCAGACGCATACTCTGATGCCCCATTGGGGACAAGATGTAAGCGCTGGAGATGATATGCTACATGGAAGCTGTCTGGTGATAGTGATGGACTACATGATGTTCAAAGAGAGCTCTGATGGGTTTGATTAATGGCCTTTCCCCCCTTTTTTAGGATAAAGATAGAAAACGAGTTGAATACATGAACCTGCTTTTATACTGTGTTGCCTTTTTATTCCCCGCATGATGCCACAAGAATATATTTTTTCATATTTTTTCACAGTGAGTCATCACAAGCTTAAAAAAAAAGAATAAATTGAAAGACGTAACTTCACTGTTATATGCATATATCCATGACTTCATGCAAATATCTATCTATCAAATAAGAATCAAAAAAGAAAACCGATCATAAATTCCCATGATACCATGCTCATTATTTTCAAAATCCCATGCCAGTAATGCCCCAAAATCTAATGATATAAAACTTTTTTAGGTTGCGACTACTTTCGCTTCTTGGATGAAGAAGAGATGAGACGTTTCTTAAGATGCTTAGGCATCTTGTTGGCACGTTGCTCACGCTTCTCCTCCTTGACCTTTGCCTTGTGATCACGCTTGGAGTCTTTGTCCTCAAAGCGTTTACCACGCGGTTGCTTCTTCTCAAATGGGTCCCTGGGCTCTCCGTCTTCCTCTCCGGACTCGGATCCAGAGACAGACACACCACCACTGGCGTCTGATTCGTTGTCTTCTTCGTCATTCTTGGCAGCCGATTTCTCGCCTGCGAGGAGATCATGGTAAACAAGATCAGCTCCTTCTCCCGCACGAACCTTCTCAGCGTCGCGCTCAAAGTCGTAAACTTGTTCCAGTGTTTGCGGGATATATTGCTGACGGTAGACAGCAGTATCAACCTCGCGTGCCGCAGCATCCTGCTGCTCATCGTCCGTCCGGTTTTCGAGGAGCTTCTCAATGAAATCGATCATTTCTTCATTTGATGGTGCAATGGTAGTTGGGCCTGCGTGGCCGATAATGAACTGGAAAATAGTCTGTTCGGGCAGGACATCTACGTCCTTCCGACGGAAAAAGTCGCTGACGTTCTTGATGTCCATACGCAAGAACTCCAAGCTTCGAGGATGGTCATGCTCCACACTCTGACTGACATCAATAATGTAAAGCTGATCCTTGTGGTAGAGCATGTTATATTCACTCAAATCAGCGTGCACTAATCGGCATGTCTGGTACATTACACGCATGTAGCCGAGAAGCTCAATATAGATTGAGCGCCACTTCATCTCCGGTTCAGGAACATCGAACTCAACATCCTTGAGTCGAGGAGCACCAATGCCCTTGGAACTTCCAACGAAGCCCATAACAAGGACGTGAAGTCGCAGGTGGATAGGCTCTGGACAGGGAATACCAGAAGAATAAATTCTCCGCAAATTCCGCATTTCTTTTTCTGCCCAGAGTTTCACCATTGCGCGGTTGTTGCTCTTGCTGTATCCCTGTCGGAATCTAAACTCTCCTGTCACGTACTTGTCTCTGTCCTTGAATACGAGAATGCTGGTCTTGTAGACCTTGATGGCACGGTGTTGCGCGGAGCCGTCCTCATCGTCTTCGGGGAATGAGATAGAGTGGTAAACATTGGCTTCTTTACCTGTTGATAGACAGCCATGGATTTCTGAAACGATGTTTCGGTTGATCATCTGCAAAAGAATCATTCGTGTGCGTGGATCAAGCACTTGCTCTGACGTTGCTCTGTCGGCCCTGTCGCCACCACGTTCACCACGAGTAGCCATTCCTGACTGCATGTCGTCAAGCTTGATCTTGCCAGCATGACGAGTCAAAGATTTGACCTCATCGTCGACAGATGCATAGGTGTTCATAGTTGGCTTTTGTGTATTGGTCTTGGGGTATGTCCATTTCGGGGCATTAGGGTCTGCTGCAAGTTCGTTCACTTTACGTTGGCGGTTGTAGGCTTTGGTCAAATCAGCGGGATTCGCTGATGTAAAGTCCTCTTGATCCATCTCCTCCTCGAAAATGTCATCGTAGTATTCCTCATCGTCTTCCTCGCCTTCTTGCGCTTCCGGGTCTTGCCCCGCCACGGCAGGGGTAGTGCCATCAGGATTCACATATCCTTGGTTAGGGATATAGGTGTGCGAAGGCGCTAGGCCATCAGCAACACCTGCAGTCTGCGGATTCGACTCTGCGGAAGCCATTGCTAACTGCGATAATCCCACCGAGCTTGTTTAGGGGAAAACAGCTTATCGCGGATGAGGGGCGTTGAAAAAGCATTTTTTTATGGATCAGTGCGGACCAAATTTAGGATTCACCGCCCGGCAGAAACCCCGCGGCCACCGAGTCCAACGCGTGAGGAAGGCGGATCTTCGATGGTCCACGCGTATCTTGACAGTTCCGTTCAGCTGCCCGTCGCAAGAGACGCCATCATCTCCCCTGCCAGCTTGCGATCTTCCTCCCATCAACGGTTCGCCCTGCCAGGAACGTTCAGGGCATCTGCTCCTGGATCTCGGGTGACTACGCTGGCTGCGTGATGCTTTGGCTGTCATTGTTGTAAATTCTTTCGCGTCGCGCGCTGTCTTGTCAATATGTACGTCAAGCAAATTATCATCCAAGGCTTTAAAAGGTATGTTGCCTAATCTTGGAAGGGCCAATCGCTACTGTGGGCTTCAGCTGATTCTGTTTAATCTCATAGCTACAAAGATCAGACGGTTATCGAACCGTTCTCTCCCAAGCACAATGTGATTGTCGGTCGCAATGGTTCCGGCAAAAGTAACTTCTTCGCCGCTATTCGGTTCGTCCTCAGTGATGCCTATACTCATATGGGTAGGGAGGAGCGACAGGCTCTACTACACGTATGTCGTTCCCTTGTTCTCGTCGCCTCGGTTGTTGGCTTGCTTACAATGAACAGGAAGGGTCTGGCTCCGCAGTCATGTCGGCTTACGTCGAGATCATCTTCGATAACTCCGACGACCGATTTCCCACAGGGAAGCCCGAGGTGGTGCTTCGTCGAACGATCGGTTTGAAGAAAGATGAATATACCCTTGATCGCAAAAACGCGACAAAGAATGACGTGATGAATCTGCTCGAGTCCGCCGGTTTCTCGCGATCGAACCCTTACTACATTGTTCCCCAGGGTCGAGTTACGGCTTTGACTAACATGAAAGACTCTGAACGTTTGAACCTTCTCAAAGAAGTCGCAGGAACCCAGGTGTACGAAGCGCGCCGTGCGGAATCCTTGAAAATCATGCACGAGACCAACAGCAAGCGAGCGAAAATCGACGAGCTTCTGGACTTCATTAACGAACGACTTGCCGAGCTGGAGGAAGAGAAAGACGAACTTCGAAACTATCAAGACAAGGACAAGGAAAGAAGATGCTTGGAATATACTATTTATTCTCGCGAGCAACAGGAAATTGCTGGTGTTCTCGACAGCCTTGAAGAGCAGAGGCAAACCGGCGTCGAAGATACAGACATGAACCGTGACCGCTTCATTCAGGGTGAGAAGGATATGGCTCAGATTGACGCAGAAATCGCGGAGTGCAAGCAGCAGATCGAGTTCCTGAAAGTGGACAAATCTCAACTGGAAGATGAACGCCGTGAAGCCTCGAAAGCTCTTGCGCAGGTCGAACTGCAAGCCAAATCGCTCTCTGACAACCAAGTTGCTGCGCAGTCATTGAAGGCGCGTCGGGACGAAGATTTGCAATCCGTTCAGGCTGCAATTCAAGAGCGTGAAAGCGAACTCCAGGAACTCATTCCTCGCTTCAACTCTGCTAAGGACCATGAAGACAATGTTAAGGCGCAGCTCAATGAAGCTGAGACATCACGCCAACGACTATACGCCAAGCAGGGCCGAAATTCACGATTCAGGAATAAGTCGGAGCGGGACAAGTGGCTCAACGCGGAAATCAAGGAAAACTACAACTCTGTCTCGACAGTTCAGGGGGTGATGTCGCAAACCCAGGAGGATATCAAGGAACTTGAGAGTGATATCGCGTCACTGGAGCCGGAAACTGAACGTATTCGCAACCAAATCGACGGCAGAGGAGACACGATCCACTCAGTGGAGGAACAGGTCCAATCTGCAAAGGACGAGAGAGACCGATTAATGGACCAGAGAAAGTACGTTTATCCCTTAGCTTCTTGTACAAAGGGCGCAAACTAATTCTCTTATAGAGAACTTTGGAGAGAAGAGGCAAAACTTGATTCTGTGCTCTCAAATGCCTCTCAGGAAGTCGATCGAGCAGATCGCAACCTTTCACACATGATGGATCACAACACGAGTCGCGGAATTGCTGCTGTCCGTAGGATTAAGCGCCAGCACAACCTCGAAGGTGTATATGGGACGATGGCCGAATTGTTTGAAGTGAATGATCGATACCGAACTGCTGTCGAAGTTACGGCAGGCCAGAGTCTGTTCCACTACATTGTCGACACGGATGAAACCGCTACCAAGGTTTTGGAGATCTTGCAAAGCGAGAAGGCCGGGAGAGTTACATTCATGCCTTTGAACAGATTGAGAAACAGGCCCACCAATATGCCCAGGGCAAGTGACACGATTCCCATGATTGACAAGTTGCAGTTTGACCCTGCCTATGAAAGAGCGTTCCAACATGTGTTTGGCAAAACTATCATTTGTCCGAACTTGCAGGTTGCATCTCAGTATGCACGCAGTCATGGTGTCAATGCTATCACCCCTGAGGGTGATCGATCTGATAAGAGAGGTGCCCTTACCGGTGGTTTCCATGATTCTCGGTCATCCCGTCTTGACGCAGTCAAGAACTTGGCAAAGTGGAGGGATGAGCATGAAACCAAAAAGAACCGTGGGTCGGAAATCCGGAAAGAACTTGAAAAGCTGGATCAAGTCATCACTAGAGCTGTTGGTGAGCTGCAGAAGCTTGAGCAACAGAGACAGCAAGTACAGAATAGTAGCGGGCCACTGCGACAGGAGTTGAGGAGCAAGCGCGACCTCCTTCAGAAGAAGAATGACAACCTTGATGCTAAACGGCGAGCTCTGCGGAACATTGAGACAAACTTGGCTGCTCTGAGCGACCAGATCAAATCTTTCGAAGCCGAATTGAGTTCGCCCTTCCAGAAAGCCCTCAGCAGTGAAGAAGAAGCACGCCTAGAGTCTCTCAGTGGTGAAGTCCAGGAACTTCGAAAACAATACCAAGAACTCTCTGGCCAACGCAGCGAGTTGGAGGCCCGGAAATCAATCCTTGAGGTCGAGCTTCGAGAAAACCTCAACCCGCGTCTTGACCAACTTGTCGGCCAGGATCTCGATATGGCGGATGATGACTCGCAAGGCAACTTGAAGGAGACACAGCGTGAAATGAAACGCCTCAGCAAGAGCTTAGAAAAGCTCGGTCAGCGTCTCCAACAGGTTGACGATTCAATTGAGCAAGGCAACGCCCAGGTGGCTGAGCTGCAGCAAAAGAATGCAGACACTCGACGAGAATTGGAGGATCTGGCGAAGTCGATCGAGAAGCATCAACGTCGCATGGAGAAGAGCATGCAGAAGAAGGCTGCCTTGACAAAGCAGGCTGCTGAATGTGCTGCTAACATCCGTGACTTGGGAGTTCTCCCAGACGAGGCTTTCACCCGGTACAAGAATGCCGACTCCAACACAGTTGTCAAGAAGTTGCATAAGACCAACGAATCCCTCAAAAAATACTCGCATGTCAACAAGAAGGCGTTCGAACAATACAACAGCTTCACGAAGCAACGCGAAACCCTCACCACGCGACGAGAGGAACTGGATGCGTCTCAGAAATCGATCGACGACCTCATTAGTGTGCTTGACCAGAGAAAAGACGAAGCTATCGAACGAACGTTCAAGCAGGTGTCCCGCGAATTCCACAATGTTTTCGAAAAGCTCGTACCAGCAGGCCGTGGACGTCTGATCATCCAACGAAAGACCGACCGTGCTCTTCGACAGGATGACGAGCTCGATTCAGATGATGAACAAGCCCGGGAGAGCGTGGAGAACTACATCGGTGTTGGTATCAGCGTGAGCTTCAACAGTAAACATGATGACCAGCAGCGCATCCAACAGCTAAGTGGTGGACAGAAGAGTAAGAACTGCGTTCCATTTTTTCCATGGATTACTTACTGATGATTTTTGAACAGGTCTTTGCGCCCTTGCCTTGGTCTTTGCAATCCAGGCGTGTGATCCAGCACCATTCTACCTCTTCGATGAAATCGATGCCAACCTCGACGCGCAGTACCGAACCGCTGTGGCACAGATGCTCAAATCCATTTCAGATGCGACCAACGGACAGTTCATCTGTACCACCTTCCGTCCAGAGATGCTACATGTAGCCGAGAAGTGCTACGGAGTCAGCTTCCGACAGAAGGCCAGTACGATTGATGTCGTGTCGAGAGAAGAAGCACTTAAGTTTGTTGAAGAGCAGAAGTCATAGATACGAGTTCTCGCCTAATTGAAAGAGAGGCGACGGTTGCTGGGTGGAACTGTACACACCTTTTTTACTCGGTTTGCTTGGATGGGGCGGGATAGCAGGCGTATTCATGATGGATGATTTCTGCAATTGATGTTATTCTTTGCGTGTGCTTAACGATCACCCTGTCGGAGTGCCCCTTTTATGTTTTTGCTTGTATGTACTCTAAATCGTTTTATAATTGCACTGGGGCTGTTTTGTTCAAGATTCCCAATGCCATGTCTATATGCCCGAATAAATGGTTCTTTTATTTCATTATGCAAAATAGTCTTCAAGAGTTCGGTCTATGCAGTAGTATCTATATAGTAATATGCCAGCCATGTAATGCTCATCAAGTTCATATATCATGAAGACCGAGGCCAGAGTCATAATATCAATTCTTGGGAGGACTTTCGCCCGTCCACTCGTAAATGATTTCATTTGGCACATCTCTGACCAAAATGTGAGCATGATCTAGGGCCCTCACGCTTTGCAGAGCTGTCCAGTTCTTAAACCAAAGGACATGCTCCTGTGGATCTTGGAATATCTCAGGCTCCTTTGCTAGACGGTTCACAAACGTCCTCTGGATAAAACCCTCGATCAACGAGCGAGATTCATCTGTCATATCGCCATCACCATCCTCTTTCACAGGGATTGGGGTGCGAGACCAGACAACAAGATGCGTGATACCCGGTGCCATGCCGTAGGGCCAGTCATTGTGTAGGATCTTGTAGTCCGAGGGATCGGCAAAGGGGATCGGGTTTTTGAACGGCAAGACGGCGCCGCTGTCGGCGATTGCGCTTGGGTTCCCCGGTAAATGCCACTGCAGGCGGACCTGACAGATAAAATTCATGATGGAACCAAATTGGCGCTTTGTTTCGCTTGACCAGGCCAGATATCGGGCTAGGTCGGATGGTTTCCGCTTGAGAGCTCCGAGATCATTCCGGGCTGCATGCGGGGAAGAGAAAAGACACAGAATTGAAGGTTAGAATAAAAAAAAAGAAAAAGAAAAAAGAAAATGCACAACCGCAGGGGAGTGCGGGGAGAGAGGATGATGATGAGGGGAACGAAGGATGGTGGGATCAGAGGGATGAGGGCATACCGATGATGCCTTTGAGATCCTCCCAGTCATGGCTGACATACTCCTCGTCGGTCATGGACAGAAGCTGCCGGTCCAGAGGGGTGAGGTTGAAGGCCGGCTGATCAGAAGACATGATATGTTAAAAGAAGCAATATTCCGCGATAGAAAGCGAGTGTAGATACTGTAACGAGGCGTGGTTTACCCCAGGAAAACAACACCCCAACGGGTCTGCGAATCCGCGGTTTTTTTCCTCTTTTTGGGGCGGAAGGGCAACTCCCGCGGCTGGCGTCGATCGATTAAATGCAGAAATAATCCCGCCGTTTCTCACCTTTCGTTCTTCTTCTTCCTCTTCTTCTCTTCCACGCTCTCCCTGCTTCTCTACTTTCTTTTCCTTTCTTTCGCTCTTCTTCTGCTGGAGCGCCTGTCAAGATGAGGTTGGTTTTCCCTCTTGCTTTCGTGTTATCTCGCCTTATCTCTGTGTCTCCAATTGCTAACATTTCTCAACAAAACAGCGCCTTCTCCTCCGAGAACATCAATGGGGTCTATATCCCCTCGGCCCTTCTGATTTTCGGTACTTTCATCGTGAAGCAGGAATGGGTTCCTTTCGCAGTGGCGGTGGCTGCTGTTTTGGCCGGAGTGAAGCTTTTCACCGGCTCCAGCAACAGTGCGTAGAGCCCAGCTTCCCCTTTTCACATGTGCACATGTGCTATGTACCGACACCGAAGCTAATTCCCTGCAGAGCCCAGAAAGGTTCTCAACCCAACGGACTTCCAGTACTTCGTGTTGAAGGAGAAGAATGATATCTCTCACAACGTGACCATTTACCGTTTCGCCCTGCCCCAGCCCACTGACATCTTGGGTCTGCCGATCGGTCAACACATTTCCCTCGCCGCCACCATTGACGGCCAGCAGAAGGAGGTCGTTCGCTCCTACACTCCCATCTCCTCCGACAATGAGGCCGGTTACTTCGATCTCCTCATCAAGGCCTACCCTCAGGGTAACATCTCTCAGTACCTGACTGGTTTGCGACCCGGCCAGACCATGAAGGTGCGCGGTCCCAAGGGCGCCATGGTCTACACCCCCAACATGTGCCGTCGCATTGGTATGATTGCCGGAGGTACTGGTATCACCCCCATGCTGCAGATCATCAAGGCTATTATCCGCAACCGTCCCCGCAACGGTGGCAAGGATACCACCCAGGTTGATCTGATCTTCGCCAACGTCAACCCCGATGACATTCTGCTCAAGGACCAGTTGGAGGAGCTCGCCAAGGAAGACGATGGATTCAACCTTTACTACGTGCTTAACAACCCCCCTGAGGGCTGGACTGGTGGTGTCGGATTTGTGACCGCGGATATGATCAAGGTTGGTTCTTTTTATGAATCATCTTTCTGATTCAAATTGCTAACGGTGTAATAGGAACGCCTCCCTGCCCCTGCCAACGACATCAAGATCCTCCTTTGTGGTCCTCCTCCCATGGTCTCTGCCATGAAGAAGGCCACCGAGGGTCTCGGATACACCAAGGCCCGCCCCGTCAGCAAGCTCGAGGACCAGGTCTTCTGCTTCTAATTTTGCGGAAAGCTTGCCTTGGGTTGTTTTATGCGAGGATTGACAGTCCTCTAATTTTCAATGGCAGCAACCGCTTATAGCAACCTGCCATTCTCTCCGTCTGCGATGCGTGATAACTATTTGATAGATAGAAAAGTTTAGGTGGCCTGGCGCTATAGTCCTCTTTTCATTTTGTGAGAGTGATGAATGTTTATAATTAGACCGGGGACAAGTTTACGATCAGTAACGAGAGCAAGGTCTTTGATCATTAATGCTTAGATTTCAATTTAATCGTGTCTAAGTTATCATGCGGATTTCGTAAATCATCACGGGTGTGTTTCTATCATCCCATCAACCATAGCCAAGAATTTCTGTCGGTATTCCCTAGCCGTCGTTGTGATCGTCATGGGTCCTTGATGGCCGATAACGTTAAACGTCTGGACCATTCCCGTCATAGCCTGCGCATGAAACTTGTGCCTGGCCCAGAAGAAGTCCAACAGCACCAATCTGTATTTCCATTGTCCATCGACAGCAGAGAACCCAACACGCCACGGATCCTTTCTCCCAACGACATCAGGCTGAGATGATGCAGGGAATCGGACAAGGAAAAGAGAGTAGTCGACTGTATTTGCCGACTGGAGAAACTTGGTATCAATCTCCAAGGTTCGCTTCAGGTCCTCGTAATCCGCGCGTCGGAGTCGGATCTTGTCCTCGAATCTGTCGCCAAGACGGTGGATTGTCTCTTCGCTCACCAGCGGTTCCGGTACCAGATCCCGTTCGGGATAGAAGTAATCCACGGGTTTCAGGTCGAAAGTTTCCCATTGCTCGGCGGCGGGGTCTTCATCCTTCCCGTAAAGCAAGTTTTCCATTATGATGTGGTGAGCGGGGATGAATCGCAGGAGGCCCCCGATGGTTTTGTACGGGGCATAGACGTAGTCTGTGATCCAGACTAGCAGGGAGTCGGGATATATACGCATGTGGTCACAGTAGGGACGGAGCAGGTCTTCTCGAAAGAATGAGTGTTCAAAGTGCCGAGGAAGACTTTTGACGAGGAATTTGGAGTTGGAAGTACTAAAGAATGTCTAGAACGTCAGTAGAGTGTATTGTTGTATATTGCAGGACATGGACAAACCGATCCAGAATAACCCAGGTCTCCCATGGGCTTCAAAGGCGAATTTTTGCCCTGAGTCTGAAAAGAGACCTTGTACTCCTCCTCGTCAATCTCCCACGCCTCATGACGTAGTTTCCAGAATACATCCTTCCCATAGCGAAGAAGCCGGATGTAGAAAATACTGAAGAAGGCCAAGAACTGTCCAGTGACTGTCTTTTTGAAGGTCTCGGAGTCGCGAAAGAGCGCAGACTGAATAGATTTGGTCAGAGCAGACTGACGACGATTGCTACCCATCTTCACGTATATGAATGAATGGTAGAGGTAACAGCCCCATCTTCTAATTTAACAGACACGCCTTGCTGTTGCGCATGTTCACCAAGTTGTTGATAGTTGCTGAGCGGTGACGTCAAGGCTACGATCGCCGTATCAGGCATGTAGGGCTAGGGTGCGTAACATCATGTGACAGTACTTCTCACCGCCCTGGCAGTATCCAGAATTGCCGGTTTGAGCCAAAGAAACCCAAGAAAAAAAAAGTTCCCCTCCATTGAAGGCCTGCGATTCCCCTCCGTCTTATGGGTCGCTCTCTGGTAAGCGGGGCCCGGCGATTTTCGAGCGCCATTTTCCAGCCTCTGCAAACTTGCAGTCCAGCAAACAGTTACTCCTCTCTCTACCGTCGTCCCCGTTCGCATCTGCATTTTATTCCTCGCTCCCCTCCCTTCTCCCCTCGTCGCTTTGGTTCCAAAGCATCTTTATACGCGGCCATGGCATCCGATCTCCCTGTCGCTGTGGAGGGGCTGACCCTCCATACCACCTCCGAAACGTCCAAGTTCCCCAACTGCTTCCCCTCCCTGAACCCCGTCGATATCTACAGAGAGCACATCGCAGAGAAGCTGGGCGAGGCGACCGGTATCGACTCTGAGAAGATCTACACCCGATTGCAATGGACAAACACTTTGGACAAGGGTGACCTTGTGTTGCCGGTATGCGACAACAAAATATGAGTCATGTGTTTTGCTTCGTGAGGACTAATACCAACTGTGATGGTGTATAGGTTGCGGCTTTGCAAATAAAAAAGAAGCCTCAGGAGCTTTCCAAGGAACTTGCTGAGAAGTTCCCCGAGTCCGACCTTGTCCAGCCCCCCAACGCCGACGGCCCTCATCTCCAATTCTTCTTCAAGCCTGGACCCTTGAACAAGACTGTCATCGACCGCATTCTGAAGGACAAGGCCACCTATGGTACCAACGGTAACCAGGGTCTGCGGGACCCCAAGGACCCCTCCAAGGGCCAGAAGAAGTTGATTGTTGAGTTCTCGTCGCCCAACATCGCCAAGCCATTCCACGCTGGTCACTTGAGAAGTACCATCATTGGAGGTTTCCTGGCCAACCTGCACACTGTCATGGGATGGGATGTCACCAAGATGAACTACCTTGGTGACTGGGGTAAGCAGTATGGTCTGCTCGCCAACGGTTTCAAGCACTTCGGTAACGAGGAGGAGCTCACCAAGGACCCCATCAACCACCTGTTCGATGTCTACGTCAAGATCAACAACATCCTCTCCGAGCAGGACGGCCCTATCAAGGAGCTGAAGGAGCAGATCAAGGCCAAGAAGGAGAAGAGCGAGGATGTTTCCGAGCTGGAGAAGGAGTTGGAGAAGCTTGTGGACGTCAGTGAGGACGAGAAGGCCCGCCGCTACTTCAAGAGCATGGAAGACGGTGACGAATCTGCCCTTGCTCTCTGGACCCGCTTCCGTGACCTCAGTATCCAAAAGTACAAGCAAACATATGCCCGTCTTAACATTGATTTCGATGTCTACTCTGGAGAGTCGCAGATCAAGAACGAGAGCATGACTTCTGCCTATGAGACCATGGAGAAGGCCGGTGTCTCTGAGAAGTCCGAGGGTGCCGTGATTGTCGACTTCACCAAGCACAACGCCAAGAAGCTCGGAAAGGCCATCATCATCCGCAAGGACGGCACTCCCCTCTACCTGACCCGTGACATCGGTGCTATCTTGGAGCGTGAAGAGGAGTTCCACTTTGACAAGATGATGTATGTCGTTGCTGCTCAGCAGGATCTTCATTTGGCTCAGCTGTTCAAGATCACCGAGTTGATGGGCTACAAGGACCTCGCTAGCCGCTGCCAGCACATCAACTTCGGTATGGTCCGCGGTATGAGCACCCGTAAGGGTACCGTCAAGTTCTTGGACGACATCCTGCGGGATGTCCGTGACAAGATGCACGAGGTTATGAAGAAGAACACCGAGAAGTACGAGCAGGTTGAGAACCCTGAGCAGGTTGCCGACATTCTGGGTATTACCTCCGTTATGGTGCAAGATATGACTGGAAAGCGGTATGTATTTCTTTTTTTTGTTTGCGGTGTATCGAACTAACGTTTGTTTTAGTGTCAACGGATATGACTTCAACCTGGAAGCCATGACTTCGTTCGAGGGTGACACTGGCCCGTACTTGCAATACGCTCACGCCCGTCTCTGCTCTATCATCCGTAAATCGGGACTGGACGTGTCTACCTTGGACAGCGCTGACTTGACCCTGCTGTCCGAGACTCACGCTGCCAACCTTGTCCGTCTTCTGTCGCAGTGGCCTGACGTCTTGTTGAACACCACCAAGACTCTGGAGCCTACCACCATCATCACCTACCTGTTCCGCATGACTCACATTCTGAGCTCCAGCTACGATGTGCTCAAGGTTATTGGTAGCGAGCCTGAGGTGAAGAAGGCCCGTATGGCCCTGTACGAGTCTGCCAGACAGGTCTTGAACAACGGAATGAGGGTGCTGGGTCTCAGCCCCGTTGAGCGGTATGTTCTTTCTTTTTTCTATAATTGACAAGTATACTAACTATTCTGCAGTATGTAATTGGAAGCGACAAAAAATCATGATGTTTATTTCGAATACCAACAATGTTGACTGCTTAATCTGTTCTATGGGATATGGCAGTATAGTATAAAAATTAGAAGTTCAATAAAAAATACCCAAATTCCAAGTAACTGTCCATGTAGAATTCCAACTGTATCATCCAGTGCATATACCAGTCCAGTGCGTAAGCCGCCACTCTTGAACACGACGACCAAACCAGCCACTTCTGCACGAAGCAGCAAACTATAAACCAGCTAGTGATACGCTACAATATTAGCCGATGTCCATCAAGGCAGATCAAGCGAAGGATCTCGACTAGTCCTGGCGTTGAGGGGTTCGTTCTCCATAATTGCTTTTTCTGATGCGGTGAAAATTGACGCTGATAAGCTGTCGACTATAGTGGTCTTATTTGGGAAAAGCGCGGTGCGTGGTCGGAAGCCCCACTTTAGTATATACTTGATACTAGAAGCCAATCATATTGTTTAAATCGAAGCAGTTCTCTATCATTATGAAAAGTGCAAATATCAAGAAACCAAAAGGGTCTAAGTGGTTACAGTTGTTTCTCTATTTGAGAGTAATAAAAAGGACGCCCAAGTCCAGGATTCGAACCAAAGAGCTGCGGACTCAGGCATACACAGTATGTACACCTGAGGGTGATCTCGCTGTGTATCCACTTACACAAACCCGGGCTTCATTGACCCACTTATTTTGAAGTTGGTTCATGAAGGAGAAAAGCAAAGATCTGGTCTGCTAAATGCAAAGAATGGTGCTGGTAAGACTGATATGGTGGGATAGATAGCGTTGAGGCAGAAGAATGAGGGATGATTACCTAGGTACCTGTGTTCTATCCTCTGACGCAGCAAAATCGTCAGCATTCAGGCTAAAGCGTGCTGTCCACTTCCAATTTCATAAAACATTCGGAAGAAAGAGAAAGAGAACAGATGGGCAGCCGATGACAGAACAAAAAAAAAAAAAAATAGAAAGTACATAGGTAGGAGGGATAAGCTTGATTTATATACAGTGGGTCTGCCCTACCAGGTAGTGTTCCCCTAAGCCACACGTGATTGGATGTGAAAAAGCCACAGATTCTTATCCAAAAACCACGCATAATCTGGTCTTTCCATCGCCACCCATATTCCAACAATCTCTCGTCCGATAATAATAAAATCAGAAATTTAAAGACCGAGCTGAACCAGAAGTCAGATCCATCAACCGGCGTCTATGAAGTATAAACTAGTCGGCGTTGAAAAATGTGTCACTCGGGGACCTTTTATTCAGCGGGCTTTAGGGCTCAAAGGAACTGAAGCCCGTGCCCGAGTCGGGGTCTAGATAGTCGATCCTGGAGAAATGCCAATGCAAGGCTGTGGTTCCCGTTCATGACTGGCGGGGACTCGCTTTTGCTTAGCTCTCAGCTTTTGTGGTGGCTAGTTAATTAATTTAAATGCAGTTGGGAGTGAAATAATTTATTATAAATAAGACAGATTCCTGTGGATTTTATTTTCATCTTGTGCAAGAGTTACTCGTCGGAAGTACATAGCCAAGTCAACACCCACCATGAACAAAACATCCATGAATGGCCTCGATGGCCCAGACTTGGAAAGCAATGAAAGTAACCACTTTCTCGCAAATGAGACTGTTAAGAATTTCGCCTGGGATGGGTTAACGGTCACCGTCAAGGATCGTCAGACGAAGGAGCCGCGGAATCTGATTGATGGTATTAGTGGGAGTGTTGAACAAGGTGTGTTACATCTTTACAATCACACATGGTTACTACCTTAGAATAGTTACTTGAGCAGAGAATTGACAGCATGCAGGGGAACTGGTCGCGTTGATGGGCCCATCAGGTTGCGGAAAGACCACACTGTTAAACGTTCTTGCCCGCCGTGCTGCTGCGTCTGGGGCGAGAGAGAGCGGAGAATGTTATGTGAATGGAGGAAATATGAACACAGATGCCTTCGAGCGCATCACCTCTTATGTCGAGCAGGAAGATGCGCTGATCGGATCGTTGACGGTGCGGGAGACGCTCAAGTTTGCGGCCGATCTTTCTTTGCCAAGGTGTGTTTTCAGTACAGATAGTATATTGAGGTTGAGGGAGCTAACAGGTCAGATCCGTTTCTAAATCGCAAAAGCGCGATCGTGTTCAGACTCTGCTCGAGGCATTCGGGATTCAGAAACAGGCGTCGACGTTGGTGGGAACGCCTATACGCAAGGGGATCAGTGGAGGACAGAAGAGAAGAGTCAGCATGGCCAGTCAGTTGATTACTTGTCCGAAGATATTGTTTCTGGATGAGCCAACGAGTGGACTGGACTCGACGGCGAGTTTTGAGGTGATTTCGTATGTGAAGAAGTTGGCGAAAAGCAATGGGGTAAGTGCAGATGGATGAGAAAGTGAGCAATGCTAACGAGGATAGCTCATCATCATCGCGAGTATCCATCAACCATCTACATCGACCTTTCAGCTATTTGATAAACTGCTTCTTCTGTCTGGGGGCAAGACGTGCTATTTTGGCTCTGTTGGTGAAGTGCCATCGTACTTTGACCAGATTGGCCATCCTCTGCCGGCGCATACAAACCCGGCTGAATTCATCCTCGACATTGCCAGCTCTGATTTTACGGGCGATAAGGATTCGGCAGAAGACAGAGTGCAGAAAATCCAGTCTGCATGGACTCATTCGACCGAGTCTGAGACGTGGAAGCGACAGATCTCGAGTCGGATTGAAGCATCAGAGAAGGCGAGCATCTCGGTGGACGAGCTCAGTCGACCAAACATGGTGAGCATCACAGCGTCTCTACTCCATCGCTTGTTTATCAAGAGTTATCGTGATGTGGTGGCATATGGGATTCGCATTATTATGTATCTTGGTATGTATCCAGTCTATCTTATAAGAAGCTATACTAATGGACAGGGTTGGCGATTATGATGGGCACTGTATGGCTGCGTCTGCATTCCGACCAAGAGTACATCCAGCCATTCATCAATGCGATTGTAGGTCTTCTTACTTCCATATCAAACACTGCTAATATAACGTGGTAGTTCTTCGGATCGGCCTTTTTATCCTTCATGGCAGTGGCATATGTCCCTGCTTTCCTGGAAGATAGGGCCACATTCATCAAAGAACGCGCCAACGGACTCTACGGAGCGACGCCATTCATCGTGGCCAACTTTCTCATCGGCCTTCCCTTTCTCTGTATGTGACTCACCTGTCCAGGGAACGTTGGGTACTAACATCACAGTCCTGATCTCCATTCTCTTCTCCATCATCTCCTACTGGCTTAGCAACTTCCGCGCCGACGCAACCGCCTTCTTCACCTGGGTAATGTGGCTCTTCCTCGACCTCCTCGCCGCCGAATCCCTGGTGGTGTTTGTCTCCTCCATCTTCCCTAACTTCGTCATCTCCCTGGCCCTCGTCGCCTTTGCCAACGGCCTCTGGATGAGCGTCGGTGGCTTCCTTGTCCCCACCACCATCCTCAATCCCTTCTGGAAATACGTCTTTTCCTATATCGATTATCAGGCATACGTTTTTCAGGGGATGATGGTGAACGAGTTTGCAAACCGGAATTACACCTGCGGTGATGGGTGCCACTGCATGTACCAGACGGATTTGGCGGAGCAGTGTCAGATTCGCGGGACGGGGGTACTGGAGCAATATGGGTATGCGACTGGAAGAACGGGCAAGTGGGTGGGGATTCTGATTGGGATTATTGCTGTTTATCGGTTTTTTGGGTGGATTGCGTTGGTTTTGAGGAGGACTTGACTGGAGCACATACATACCTAGTACATCGTACATGCTGTGAGTATGTATGAGGTCATTGACTACTACACTAATAATATAATACATAACAACTCAGCTAGAATAGCGGTGTGATTGAAGATAATATAAATATTATAGACAGAGTACAGAATAATCTAGGCAGATAGAGTAAGAATATGACCGAACAAACTCTGTACCTGCTTACAGCCCACATTCGACCTGTAGAATATGATAAAGTTGAAAACGCCATCAGTGAGATGACGATCAACAAACCAGTGGAGCACGACAAAATATGACACAGTACAGTGCCAGACAGTCTGGATACCCGCCACAGTGGATAGAAGTTAGGTACCTAACCAGTCGAACTGAGGATGCATTAGGGCGATAATTTCTTTTGGTGATCATGAGTCATTGATAGGTATTAATTAGACGTTTTATAACATATCGATGGAGTTTGACCGACTATATTATGGATATTCCTTCATCCTCCAATCCTACAAACTCCATCTTTCCGGTCGCTACTCCGACTGCCTATTCAGCATTCCGGAGAAGAGATCGGAATATGGATTGATGAAAGTCATATGTCATAGAAGTGACGATATTTCTGTCTCATTTGAAATTAAATGAAAATATACTAATTCTAGCGCCCTTCCAAGTCTTCCATGCCGTTTTTTGGTTCCACTCGGATTCACCCATGGTTTGTGCTCGCGGATAGTCCCACTAGCATTATCTATATATCTATATTTATTTACTATACTTGAGTATATACAGAGTAGAATATATAAGAGCACATACTCTATATATCTACTATGGCGATGAAGATTTCCAGAATACTCCATGCACTAGAAGTGAGTTATTTTCTTGCCTGCAGGAGATGCCGCGGTGGAGGCGATCATTGGGCCGCAATCGATTGGTTTCGTTTCGTTTGGGCTTTTGGGCAGCGATAGAGAATTATTCCGTGAATATTAAATGTGATTATTGGAATTAGAATATTCAGTCTAAAAAACATTCTGAAGAAGGAATTATTATCCTATTCTATTAATACTGAGGAGCGGAATCTTATTGATAGTTGAGATTGAGAGCTGATGTGTGATTACGGCTCAGCCATGATAGAGATCATACATAATCCATAAGCTCAATATATCAATAGATCAGTAAGAACATTATATGAATGTGAATATCAAGAAAAACAAATATCAGAATCAGAATCAGAATCGAATATTGAGGACAATGTCTATATATCACCTTTTCTCTGACAATTTCTAGCGCAGATCAGGCATCATCTCTCCCCACCTTGTCCGACTGTAACTATCGCGACACCACCATCCGTAATCACCTGTATTATTGTTTTCCTTCTTTTCTTTTTTCCTGCTCTGTTTCCCTCTCGCTAAATCTCTTCTTACTGGTCTGTTCCAGTAAATTTCTATCAATCCGTGCCGGTTGCCCCTCTCTGCCCTCTCGCCTCCGTTTCTTCGCGATCTTGTGCTCCGACGCCTCTTTTTTTCCCCCTTCGGTTTTTCTTTTCTTCTCAACAACACCAAAAAAAAAACAACTTAAGAGTCCCGCTCGTCCTCGCATCTGCGCGTGCCTCTGCCTTGCATTTCCTCGACGTATCTTTTCGTCCCCTCTTTCTGTTTTATCCTCCGTCTCGCCATCCCTCCATTGGATCTGTTTCTTCCCCTCTCCTCCTATCTCTTCGTCTCCCATCTCCACAACCCCACCTCCGTCCTGTCTGTCGTCAGGCCCAGATCACAAACACCCAACCGCCGCCGGTTACACCCTTTGTCTGCATTCGCGAACTGCAGCCCGTCGACTTTTTTTGTCTCTCCTAAATTCTCCTCCTCCACTCACCGTCTGCCAGACCAGCAGTCTGCAGCTGTAGCAGCAAGCACTACTCCGGCTTGTTGACCCACGGCCCTTTGGCGCACACACTGTCTCTCGCACACACACTTTCTCTCCCTCTCGCTGCTCTGCTCTCTCTTGGTCTTATCCTACGACCAACCATACCCTCTTCTCGCCTCTCTCAACAAATCATACTCTTGTTCAGACTCTTTTCGATGGAGACATTGCGGCCTTTGGATATCCACTACCGTCTATCCACTGCTCGTCGCTGACACGCATTGATCTAGACGCGCCGTCGTCTGCCATCATCTGAGCGATCTGCAGGTCGTGAATCCGTCTAACACTATTACCACAGAAGTGGATAACAAAAGAGAAAGGGCACAAAAAATTTAATCAAACGAGAAAAAAAAAAGGAAAAAAGAAAAAGAAAAAAATTATTACAGAGAAGAAAAAAAAAAAAAAAAAACCGCCCCCCTGGGCTGAGTCACTCGACAAAAGCAGTAGTGGTGGCTGCTGTCGTCGACTAAGAATAACCCGGAGCCTGTTGGATCACCACGTTTCACGTCATCCACCGGATCTTTCCCAACCCCTCCCTTCCCCTAGGGACCCAACCCGGGCCTTGGCTTTCTCTGGCTCTCTCATGGGAAAAAAAGTCATGTCTGGTAAAGTTCCTCACGCCGCCTTCTGTGAAGAATACGACGAAGACGCAAACGAAATCTTACCCGACACCCGTCTCGTCGCCAACATCAAACCCCAAAAGACGACTGACTTGAGATCTGCCGCTGAGCCCCTGCCCATTGACGGTGCAAGTGATTCTGGTTATTCCAGTCGTACCGCCGCCACCGTCAACAGCACCCAATCTGCGCCGTCGGGCCGGAAGAGCCCTGTCCCTCTTAAGTTGGACACTGCCGCCCTCAAGAGAGCCGACCTTGAGAGGGTTCGATCCAGTCGCAAAGAACAACGAGTAAAGGACCGCACCGCACGTCAAGTGCGTGAGCGTGAGGAAAAGATGCAGGTCGGTTCCTACCCCAGTGGTGGCCATCACCCTTCCATGCAACGCTCGCCGTCGAGACGTGGACGAGAGAGTTCCCATGTTCGTCACTATCCTGGCACCTGTTGGGAGTGTGAACAAGGCCTCTACCACACCTCATCGACACCTGTTGAACCTCGTGCCATCGAATATCCCTACTATGGTTCGCAGTCGGGCCCCGTTCACGACTACCCACCGCCGCCGCCGTCGCCCAGACAAGCCCCGCGATACCCTCCCTCCGTCGTGCACGATGTCCATGTGTCCCACAGCAGCCGTCCTCATGCCCGGGCCAATCGCACCAACACCTACCATGCCAGCGGCAACAACCGTCCACTCAGCTACCACGGTATGATGCCCGGTATGGGAGGGATGATGTACAACCCATCTCCCATGAGTCGGTACGAGCACGGCCCGCCGCTGTCCTCGTCTGCGTACGCCAACCAGTCCTATGGTCCCGCTCCCTACCCCCCGCAGTCGCCCTACTACGCCATGTCGGACTACATGCCTCCCAGTGAGCACCACCAGGAACGGTCGGCCTCTCGACCCCGAGAGCAACCACGGGGGCGGCGGTCCTCTGTCTATGGACCGCCCGTGGTTGACTACGATCCTCCCACGCCGACCTATGAGGATGGGGAACCACTGGACCACGTGACGTCTCGCGACTCTCGACAGCGGATGCCCTCGAACTCGTCCTATGATCGGGAAGAGGACTACTATCGCATGCCCCCGCCGCCGTTGAAGCAAAAGTCGACCCCGCACATCATCCAGAAGAAACGGCCAGACGGACCCAGGAAATCGGCAACCACCAACTCCATCACCTCGGAACGACGCCAGTCCAAGTCCTCGTTTGACATGTCCGAAATCGATGCCGCTCTTCCAGACGAAGGATACCGACGATCCTCGCGGGAAACGATCATTCCCGAGCGAAGCCGCAGCCTGCGAGACTCACGACGCCCCGCCGCTTCGGCTTATCGTGAGTCTTCACGGCCATCGCGGATCGCTATCGAGGGCCCTCGTCGCCGTCGTCAGACGATCTACGATCTGGAAGGTGAAGAGATTGAGGAGAAGTCACGCGAGGCCGAGGAGTACCAGGCTTCCCGGTCGGCCAAGGCAGTGCCGGTCCCCTTGACCGCGGATGCCTTGTACAAGGCCAAGACCTCCCAGCGGGCCGAGAGTGACAGCGGAAGCCAGAAGAGTCGATCGAACAGCAGCCGTGGTAGCGATGCTCGCACCCAGAACGGAAGCGGCGTGGGATCCAAGCCGGAGGACGATAGCAACATTGTCATGACCATGAATGGTGTCACCATGAGCTTCACCCAGGAATCTGTCGGTGGGAAGAAGATCAGCGTTCGGACTGGCGATACTGGCGCAGTTGAGTTGAACATCGAGGGCAAGAAGCCTCAAAAGTATCTAACAGCACGCTCTGATTACACTGGTGGCAGTGCACGCAGAGAGCTGGAAGATATTAGGCGAGTCCGAGATGATCGACGATCTGAGCGTGCCAGTCGCCGGTCTAGCCGATCCACCTACAGCAACCGATTTCTGGAGTAAAGCCTTATGTCATGATGGTTCATTCTCCTCTAGATTTGGTTCTCCCATTTGTTTCCATTCTTCGTGCTTGTTCCCTTTCTTTTCCTTTTCCTCTTCCGCAAAAGCCATTACGTTTTAGCTTCGTCGATCAAGAGAAAAGAGATGCTGCCGGTTACCAAAAAGTTTTGTTGTTCTTGTTACTTCCAGGGTCGGGATCTGTTTTTGGGCGAAACAAAAAAGAAAGAGAGAGAAAGAAAAAGACAAAACTCAAAATGCAAAAGCGTGTGTGATCAAAAGTGTCCTTGTCAGCTGGAAAGACTTTCAAAAGTTGAAAAAAGTGCGATGACGCTGCTGAAAAAACTTCGTCTCTTTGCAAAAATGGGAGGCTTTTTGACTTGATCTTGACTTTTTTTTCTTTCTTCGTTTGATTTGCTATGTTTTTTATTGTCTCGGGATTTTCAACAGAAGGGCGGGTTTCATACGACTCCGACCGATCGCGTCCATCACGGTGACATGATTGTACGATTCTGATGACCTGCAATGACTGATTTTTTATGTTGTTTTTTGCTTTTCTTTCTCTGATGACTGTCTGCAAGCGTTGTGTATAATCTTTCTTCGAATGGCCCCAATTCGTTTCTTCGCCTGCCTGTTTGCTTTGCCTCTTGTCGGTATTGAAGAGATGGGTGGAATCGGCGGAGGAAAGAGATATATACCCTTGGCCTGTTTGCTGTCGCTTTTGTTCATTGTTTTCTTCCTTTTTGCTTCTATTTTTGCAGTTCATGTACCTGATTTCTGACTGCCGAGGCCTTCGACTTTTGTCGTTTGACTCTGTTTGATGATGTGTTTCCCCAACCCCCCCCTCTTTTTTTTTTTTGTTTCCGAGGTCATCGTTTGCCATGTTCATGATCATGTTACCCAAGAGTCTTTTTGCAATTGTACGCCATATTTGTTTTTGTGTCTATGTATTCTGCATAGCAGATTTCTTCTTCTTCTTTTCCCCTGTTGGCTTTTTTGTCTTCATCTGCGAATCTTCGACTTGGCGTGTGCTTCAACAACCCCATTTCGCATATTCCCTTTCTTGTCCTTCGTATCCGGTCGGCCTTGGTTGGGTTTTGATCCTCGACCGAGGCTAGCTGGGTTTTTTTTGCACTGTATCACTTGCATTGGTGTGTTTTTTTGAAGAGGTTTGCGTATTTGATGTTGTCCAATACCCTGATCGATAGTTGCATTTAGTCAATTCAGAAACCTTTAGAATTATCTTCGTTCTTGTAATCATCCACCTTGCATATCTTGACTCTATATCTAGTGCTGTTCTTATCGCGAGATAAGATCTGCGGAGACGCTGACTCAGCGAGTTGCCTGTGACAACGCGGATCCCCAAACAAAAAAAGCGTCATCCCCAGCCTCTCGATTTCCGCCAACCACCGCATTTTCCAGGGCGAGAAGGGCTTGCCAGAGTCCAGCTGCTGTCTCTTCTAAGTTACTGATTCTTTCTTCTTTCCTTGCGGTGTTGAGAAGTTGCAAATGAATAAATACTGATCAGAGTATACTCGACGAAGAATAGTGGTTCGATCGATCCGGTCCACATTCCAGTTTGTTATCTCGAGGGAATCCACGGTTTGAAAGACGGGCGGACGACGGCTTTTTGGAAACGTTCTTGCTACCATTATAAGGTGAGAACAATCCCATCTTTCAACTGATGAATGTAACAATAGTTTACTGATACCATCTGCAGAGTTCCGTCTTGAGCTGCGTGCTCTTGACAGCTCGATCTATCTACCGACCATGCCTCCAGTCGTCCAGTCAGTGGGGGACTTCCCCGGCATTCCAGGACGATCCATTCTTGATCTTATCACCAACACAACCTCATCCGCGTCACCGTCATCAACGCCATCGTCATCATCACTACCGGATCAAAATCTCAACCTCGACGCCCGTGATGTCTCATCGACAATCGACGATGGAAAGACCCTCGCGGCCCGCTCCGACTCGACATCAACCTCGAAGCCAATATCCGGCCAAGGCACCGTGGCTCCCAACAGTATCCACATGCAGGGTCTACTAGCCCTATTCGCAATCATCGGAGCCGCCTTCGTTCTCGCCATCATTTGGTTTTTCTTCTGGGCCAAGAACGGCGGGTTCATCTGGCGGAAGGGCGATTGGGAAGACTACAAGTCTACCGTTTTACGACGGAAGGGTCCCAATGGTGAGACGTTGAGTAATGCTACGAAGAGCACGAAGCTGGGTGGTGGGAGTATCGTGCATAATGGATACAGTGATGATGCGTACACGTACACGGAGAGTGGACTGGGATATACCGATACTGCGACGACGATTACGGAGAAGGGCGAGCCGAAGAAGAAGCGCAGACTCAAGGAGCGGTTTATGCGTCGACGCCGGGACGACGATGACGACGTTATCCAAGAGGAAAGAGAAAGGGAAGACGAGGACGTGCTCGCGTATCGCCAGGAGAAAGCCGCTCGGGTGGGCGGCATGAACCGCGAAGCAGAGGGAACCTACCACGGCAGCGACTACGACACCTCCAACCCACCGAGCTACTTCAACCAGAGCGAGATGAGCGAAGCTCGCGACTACGCCTACCACAAACCGCCCCGACAGAGCAGACAGAGTCGCGATTTCTCCTTCACGCCCGGAACCGAGGACGTCCTCAGCCAGACGACGGGAGACCGTGAAACCGCCCGCGCATCCTCGACTCGACGCCACAACCGTCGTCGTGAGCGCCGTCGTAACCCGCCTCCTCCGTCTACGTCGTCTCGTCAAAGCAGCCCCCGCAAGCGTGAGAGACGCTCCGTGCATGGTCACTACACTGAGCCTTTGGACTTTTCCTCCGCCGGAACGAGATCCGAGTACCAGTACTCCAATGTCGAGACGGATGATGGATCGGGGACGAAGAGCTACCACCACCCCCTCGGCAAAGGATACCGACGTGACGGAGGACGGAGTCGACGAAGAGATAGTTTGAGTGACAGTGATGGTGAGGGGACTCGGTATTCATGAGTTTGATACCTCACTCACGCTCACTGATCATCTTTCTGATACGCTGCTGGAACGAATGGACGTTTGTTTTAGTCTTTTGTTGTGCTTTTTTGAATTTGAATTTGTAAATAATGATGCTTACTTCACATGAACTACGGAACAAGAATGATGGATATGCAAACGGAATTTTTTTATGGGAAATGGCACGAATCGCTGGGAATGGAGTCTACTTATGGTTATCAATGATTGATGTGATAATGCGATTTTATCGATTTGAATGTATGTACAGATTACTTAGATAAGATATAAACTTGAATTTACTTGATCGATTTATAGAATTTCTTGAAATAAGTTCAATATCAAACTATGTAGTTCTAGAGCTAACAAGAGGAAATGAATAACAAGGAATTGAAAACACGGAATGGTATGTTGCGCCTTCTGGTTCTGTTTCTGTCAAACTTGTGAGATGGAAAAAGGTGAGAAAATGAAAAAAGAAATTCCAGGCGCCAGGCTCAATTCTATGCCATGCTTTATGATGCATATAAAAATGAAAACATGAAAATCCCAGGAGCGGAATGCAATATAGACTCAAGTACCAAATGAATGTAAGAGAGAATGGGATGAGGGTCAAATGAAATGTGGTAAATGAAAGAGAATCAAGTCACAGATAGAGAACGATGATAGATTGGATTGGTTCGATATGGTTGATCAGGATATGGGACTGAGTTGCTTCTCCGAAATATGGAATAGTCCATTGTTTGTCTATCAGGATCTCCGTCAAGCTCTATAAGTGGATCGAGAATGTCTTGATCTTCTGTATAGTATTCGAGTTGTGAAGAGGTTCGTGGTGACAATATAGCAGTGTCGTCTGTATACCACACTGTAAGTGCCAACCGGCTAATGCTCATTTCATCGCAGCCCTCTTCCCACAGCATCTGCAGTTCTGGAAGAGACTTCAATCGTCTGATTTCGATAGCCGAGTGACGCAGTTGGTGTAGGATCCATTTGTTGATGAACGCAGTTCGGCTGAACGGTGCAGAAGTCTCCGGCTCAAAGAATGGTGATCTATCCTCGAGTGCTGATGTCTTGAGTGGATCCTCTGCCTCCCTAACAAGGCAATCCAGACTTAGCTCATGGATGATATCAACGCCTCCTGTGTATTCATCCGTCAGAACGCCTTGTTCCTCGCAGATGGCTCGTAGCCGACCAACGTCGAGGAGAACATCGTTCATTTCTTTCCGCATCTGGTTTCTTTTTTCAGAGTAGGTGCGCAGGAACTCTTGCGACTCATCGTCCATGGATATGCCGAGATGTTGCCGTTGGGTCTTTTTATCACTAATAGCAAGCCATGATGAGTCAAGACCAGAAAGTTGCTCTTGAAGAAGGCGCACGTCTCCCACCCGAGACAGATATTCCACTACACTTGGAGGTAGGTTTTGCTCCATACTATCAATGGATGATGTGTCATCCAGGTCTCCATTCTCCATTTCTAGGTTTTCTTTCAGCACGGGATGTGAGGAGCCTCTGTTAAGGATATCGGAGAGTCTTCTCATCGATTTGAGGAGTGCGTACTCCTGCTGCACCAGGTCATCTTCTGCCTCTTGGAAATTACGTTCCAGGCCCAAAGATGTCTCCGCGGCTAACTCAAGGTGTTCAAATTCCTGGAGAAGTGGCTTGATATTTTGCGCCCCATCTTGTAGAAAGAGCATCCTAAGCCTCTTCATCAGAGCGGCTCTGAGCTGTCCTTCTTCGTCCCTCTTGTATCTTAAAATCAACCGCAGTTCTTGTACCCGCGATCTTGCTGCAGCAATATCATCATTCTGTTCAACCAATATATCGATTGTCTCTTTGAGATTAGTCGATGGTTTGGCACTAGAAGCCCTGTTGATTTGATCCACGGGGTACTCTGGATGTAAAAAGAGCGGCCTTTGTCGATCATCGGCGTTCCCTGCTGTATTTGGAATAAAAGGTAGAGCCTCGTCGATTTCAAGCTCGCTGTGGGATACAGGAGAAGGCAAGGTTCCTGGCAAGCTACCACGATACTGTGTGAGAAGATCCTCATCCTCATATAATTCAAAACTAGATGAGTCCTTGAAAGGGACTGGAGATGAACGTTGAATCGTTGATTCCAAATCCTGCAGGTTTCCAGGAAAGTCAAATGGAGTGTAATGAATAGAAGCTGTTGCGTTGTAAGAATCTAGCCCCACCATACTATACGCTCGATTGATATCGCTTCCCCTTTCCTAAAGGTTGGCGCCAGTAAGTATCAACAGTATCGAGTCGGCACACGCGACTTACCCTTTCGCGGTTTCCGTCCCTCAAGCATCCTGGCCAGGAAACCAAGGACGCCATATTAAAGAATGAAGGTAAAAGTTTGCAAGCTTTACATTTCCCAGAGGTGTGCGATCCTAAACAGCGGTAAGGACGGTGTAAGTCGGCCCCGACTCATGCATTGTTCATGCATCAGGACCCCACGGAACGCCTGGAGGCTTCAGAACTTGACAGTCTGTTGGGAGACATTTCCTCGGAGTGGGCCGTGTATCGGGTTTTTCTTTTTTTCCCCTAAAGCCTCCCTTAAAGCCTGATAAGAATATGTACGTGTCAATACACTTCGTTATTATAGGTGGAAAAGAAAGAAAGCCCGTGTGTAACGTACCAACGATGAGCAATTAACCGCTAGCTCGGGCATGTTTACCCTTTTTTTTCGACCTGATCCGATGCCATATGAAAGATTCCTCCTTCAGCTGTGCAACGGTGTGCCGTCCCTTCTGTTCCGGCCAGAATGGTGGTCTGTCACTGGCCAGTATGTCAAGCGTTCCCAGTCAAACAACCACGCCGTCGTATCGGGATCCAACAACTTCCAAGCGTAGCACCGACTAAACTGCTAGGCCATACAGTAGCGCCCGCAATCCCGCGATTTCGTGGGGGACGATGATGTCGTCTCGTGAACCAGACCAATGATGACCCCTGTAAGCACAACCAACCCGTTGCTGACCGGGAGACCCGTATGGAGCACCATCATTCTTTCTTTTGCTTAACCTGCGGGTTGCTCGATGGACTGTCATGTGCGGTTCGCACCTGCGAGTCATCGTTCGACAACACAGATGGCTCCAGCCCTACTACAGCAATCTCCGACATGCTACCGCCAGACTGGTTTTCCACGATGGGGAAACGGATTCAAAGAGCCGCATTATGTGTTATTTGAAGCCGGGTGTCTGGGTAGTAATCCATGACAGTAGTTCCCATTATCGCAGGCCTTAAACCTTACAGTTGTTCAAGGTGTTTTCGTATCGGTTGAACAACGCACGCCCTCCTCTCTTCGTTCCTCAGCTTGTCTCTTTGACGCAATGCTATAGCGATGACCTCCAGTCAGAATCAGTGGCAGTATCTCAATAGAAATATTCAGCCTGGTATGAGAAAAGTCCTGTCAGGGTTGACTGCATCAAAGGTATTGCTTCTAACACACGTACTGTCAACCAGTAGTTTTGAATAACGATATGAGGAGACATCTTGGTGGATCGGGGAATGCCTCACATGGTGCAGGTGGAAGGGATCCAACGGGGTACGGCAGGAACTCTGGCTGTCTTTTCTGGTGCTGTCGTGCTAACCCGAAAAAGCTTCCCCAACCACCCTTCTTGGAACTCTGCCCAACTGCCACCAACACCTCAGCCCTTTGCGGGACAGAGCGGTTACTCTGTCTACGCCCAAGGACCACAGGTCGATCCCCGAGCTTTATCTCATCTTTATCCTCCGTCCTACCCGCAAAGTACTCCAAGGACTATCAAAGAGTAAGTCATCTAGGTCCACATAGTGCAGGGATTTAGATTTTGATCATGAGACAATATCAGCCCAGAATTCAGCTCTGCCTCAGAGCCGAGTCAGCCTACTCAAATCATATCCGGTGGATATATACCTGGGTATTCATCCCATGGTGGACAACGATCATTGGGCATCGAAAGCGACAGCCTCAGTGGTATAGGCTCCGGATTTGGAATCAATGGAGACACCGCATTGCATTACAAGACACAGGAACCTAGTGCAGCTCACGCACCAAGTTATGAATCACGTCGTCGCTCGCATCCGGTAAGTCACAATGTATGACTGGAAAGAAAGTGATATCTAACTGCCACCTAGGATTCTCATCCTGTTCCCGCATACCGTATCGAGGGACAGAATGACGAGATAGAAGATACCCTTGATCGTCGTCTGTATTAGCCCGGTTCCATTTATGTTAGTTGATGTTCTGACGTTTATTAGGCTACCGAATCCAACAGAATAGTTTCTTCAAAGTCGGCAGGGTATGACCCGTCATGAAAATTGCGTTGAAAATTGCGTGGAGTCTTGAGTCTGACGCATTCATCAGGTTTTCTCACTTCTCTGGCATGAAAATGTTGGGCGAAATGGCACTCTGTTAACCCAGAGAAATATCCCAGTATCGATTGGGAGATATAACGAGAAGATATATAGTAGCATTCGGCGCATGGTGGTTGTGAAACAACAAGATAAATGTTCATGGTGCATGTAAGTAGGACTGGGCATTTTGATGCACCAAATACTTGCTAGGTAGTACTAACCATGTTATCCTAGCCCTGTGAGCACTTACTCTGGACAAGGCTTATCCAAGCCAGGTGTAGATGTATCAAAACACGCCATCATTTACATGCAAGGCTATAAACCGATAACTAGCTCCGATGAGCCTCTAATACCCAAGAGGCCTCTGGAGGTTCAACCAGCCTCGCCCGATCAGAAATTAGAGCCCATGTCACGCTTGAATTTCGGCAAGGTTTATACCGTCGAGCATAATGTCAAAGTTCTTCACGTTGGAAAGATTGCCCCAGCATCAATGGATGATTTTAGGGCTTATGTTAAAAAAGAGTTCGACTTCGGTCACTGAGAACTGTCCAGAAAGGACTCAATCTTGGATATGGCCATTCTTTCGAACTTGCAGCCCCATCAGAGTCGACTCTTAGCCGAGGCTATTGTCTTTGCTACTCGAACATCATACGTGACTTTCAGGTAGAAACTGGATTTCTGCCATTTACGGAACATATCTCCCACCTGCATCTTATCCGGATGATGGGTCGGTAGACTTTCTTTTCATTTCTGCTTCGAATACGCATCCATCTATCACGATTTATGATTGATTTTTGGGTTAGCAGCTGTTGGATTTTCGACGAATGGGTTCGCTGGATGACCTGAGATCATGTTTTCAATGCATCTGAGTTACACCAGTATTGTTGATTCGCCTTTGCTGTCCCGTTCTTTTTGCAGTTTTTTTTTCTAGTTGTTCCTCTCTCGTTTCTTTGTTCAGATTTGAATATCTTTCTCGATCAGTCAGTCGTTCGTTACCTTATAACATTTGTCTGTAGTGTCGAATCAAAGCAAATTCCGATTGCATTTCGATAACTAGTTTCAGAACAATATATATATTTCGGAGATCTTTCTTTGCCTGAATCAAGTATGAGATAAACAGAAAAACGTGGGATAAAAGTGATTGCGCAGAAAATCGTTGCAGTGTTTAGATGGATGTCTCCGTCTGGTGGATAAAAGTGGAGCAAAAAAAAGAAACTGCCGCAAAAAGTCTCACCGCCCACCAGATTTTCCAAACCCTCCGCCGACGAAAACTTTCTGCTTTCATATCTCGAAGACTAGAACAGAACAATACCCAGATCTCCTCGTGTGTTTACTAAAACTGCGAGGTTCTTACAGCAACAATGAAACGGAAGCTCGATGCAAACGATGTCCCCTCGCCAGAGGCAAAGGCCGCAGATGCGAATGATGCGAACGATACGGACTTCGAAAGCCTCAATCTTGACCCGCGACTGCGCCAAGCCCTGATCAAAGAGAAATTTACAAAACCTACTCTGGTCCAAGCAAAGGGAATTCCCCTGGCGCTTGAAGGAAAGGATATTTTGGGTGAGTACCGGGATGATCATCGCAATGTAATGAAGACAGAATACTAATAAAATCAGCCCGCGCAAAGACTGGCTCCGGCAAGACTGCCGCTTATGTTCTCCCGATCATTCAAACCATCCTCCAGAAGAAATCTGTTCGTCGTCGCCTTTTCCCTCCAAGGTTACATGTATACTGACTTGCGTGCGATTAGATCGACCCTTCATTGAAGGCTACAACAGGCCTCATCCTCGTCCCAACCCGAGAGCTTGCGGAACAAGTCCAGAATGTCGTTACTACTTTCGCAGCCTTCTGCGGAAAGGATGTTCGCTCGGTGAACCTTACACAGAAAGTATCAGACGCAGTACAACGTACCATGCTCGCTGACTACCCTGACTTGATCGTGTCGACTCCCTCCCGTGTCCTCGCCAACATCGGAAACTCAGCCCTGTCCTTGGAAAATCTGGCCCACCTTGTGATCGACGAAGCGGACTTGGTACTTTCATATGGTTATGAAGATGACATTCACACATTGGCAAAGGCTGTTCCTCGTGGTGTTCAAACATTCCTCATGAGCGCTACTCTCACATCGGAAGTTGATACCTTGAAGAGCTTGTTTTGTCGGAACCCCGTTATCCTGAAGCTGGAAGACAAAGAGGACGAGGGTGCCGGTATCAGTCAATTCGTGGTCAGGTGAGAATAATTATCCAATCGGTGGTATCGTATGAGAAGCCGTGCTAACATTCGCGAATATAGATGTGCGGAAGACGAAAAATTCCTCTTGACCTACGTCATCTTCAAGCTTCAACTGATTAAAGGAAAGGTCATTATTTTCGTTGGAGATGTGGATCGGTGCTACCGAGTGAAGTTGTTCCTCGAACAGTTTGGTATCAAGAGCTGTGTTCTCAACTCCGAATTGCCCGTCAACTCCCGGATACACGTCGTGCAGGAATTCAACAAGGGAGTCTATGATATCATAATTGCTGCCGACGATCAAGAAGTCATGGGCGTTTCCAAAAAGTCCAGAAAGTCAGAGGATGCTTCCAACGAACAAGGTGAAGAGGCAAACGAAGGAATCGGTTCGAGCGAGGATGAAGACGAGGAAGAAAATGGCAAATCATCTAAGCGCCGCAAAGTATCAGGCAAGGATAAGGACTACGGAGTTTCCCGCGGTATCGACTTCCAAAACGTCGCCTGTGTTCTGAACTTCGACCTGCCCTCCAATTCTAAATCATACACCCACCGTATCGGACGTACCGGAAGAGCGGGCAAGGCCGGTATGGCACTCTCGTTTGTCGTCCCGGCTGAAGACTTTGGAAAGCACAAGCCTACTTCCTTTTCAGGATCGAAGCGCGATGAGGCCGTGCTCGGAAAGATTGTCAAGCGGCAATCCAAGCGCGGGCACGAAGTCAAGCCCTACCATTTCGAAATGAAGCAGGTCGACGCTTTCCGATACCGAATGACTGACGCCCTTCGATCTATCACACGGCTGGCAGTGCAGGAAGCCCGTGCCCGAGAAATTCGGCAGGAACTGATTAAGAGTGAGAAGCTTAAGCGCCATTTCGAAGAGAACCCCGAGGAACTGCGCCAACTCCGCCACGACGGTGAGCTTCGCTCAGCACGTATTCAACCGCATCTCAAGCATATCCCAGAATACTTGATGCCCGCCAAGGGAAGAAAGGGCATCTCGAGTGAAAAGATCGGATACGTCGGTTTCGGAAAGTCTAATGATAACAGAATCCGAAAGGCAAGAGAAAAGAACCGTGGGAAGGGTAAGCCTAGGAAGGCTGGTGGAAGAGTTGATCCTCTGAAGACATTCAACAAGGGTCGTAAATAAAATTTGACAGACGTGATTTAATGATACCAATTGGTTGTGTGTACTTAAAAAAGAATTATATGAGATAGCGTCTCTGCCTTTATCACTGCATATAGCTTCTACAAACCCTAAATGTTTAAAACTGTGGTAGGAAAACACTTATATTTGAATAATAATTTTGTATATATGGGGGTTATAATGCATATATCACAGTAAATATCGTCTGTTCAAGCCCAGCCGAGAGAACATAGATAACCAATCACCACTTTCATGGGAAGAAACTGGAGTACTCGGGTCCTAGCAATTTCTTGAGAACCCCGGGCTCCAATTCTTCAAACCCGAAGGAGAAGTGCACCCATTTGCCTCGTCCTACTCTCCTAATCTGCTGGATACGTCTCTGGACTGCTTTTGCGGAGCGGGCAAGTTCACGATATCGTTCCAACTCCTTGGAGCGCCGATATTTGATCCGTTCCACCTCAACATCCCACGGGAGATCCGGCGAGTCAGGTGGTGTTGGATCTTCCCTGCCAAAGCCTCTAGATCGGGATGGAGCATGCATTGATGATGCCAGAGATTGGGACGCGGGGACATTGGATGACGCTGGCAATGGTGAACTCGTTTGCCTCTCCGTCTCTCTCTCCTTCTGGAGTGAGCTGACTAGCTCGGTATCATCAATGTGGGGAAGCCACCCGGGCCCCAACCGAATGTATTCGATGTCTCTCCATGATGCATTCCACTCTGGGCCTGTGGAGCCAGAGGGATACGCGTGCCCGTCCGGGTCAACCCCGTCCCAGTTTAACGCAGGGATCCAGTCCCCGCAGCCTTCCAGGTCCAGCCATTTAAGACAGTACGTGGCACGTGAAAGCTTGCGTAGCACACCAGCTGCTTCGGCCCAATTGTTTTCCATTGCAGAGTAGGCATCTGTGCCGCTGTACGCAAAAGACAATGAGTGATGTGTTGGGTGCCGGATGCGAGCATTTATCGCGTTAGGGGTGACTGTTGGGACGGGCCAGTGAGCTAAGGAGAGATGAGTGAGTGTGGATAACCGTGAGAGGAGACCAATGAGGGAATTCCAGTTCACAGCAGCTGGGCTAGGATGTGCCAGAGACAGAAAACGGAGATTCTCAAAGCGAAGGCCTTGGTTGAGAGACTTGGGGATAGCCGAATATTGACTCCCAGTGGAAGGGCCCGCATCTTCCTCGTAATCATCCTCCCATGAAGACGGAACGGCCTCTTTAGACGTGCGCTGCACAGAAGCTGAACGGGATTTCTGAGATGTAATCAACTCCCTGGTGAGTTGTTTGAACGTCATCCATCGCCCTATAACACCACATAAATCTAGCCGCGAGATATCCAGGTCTGTTTCTTGATAAGAATCACTTTCATCGTCACCCATTGATGTCTTTAAGAGCGGCCCTAAGCCCTGCATGAGACCCCCGAATCGTTGATCCCTCGCATAGACGGCAATATAGCTAAGCAATAGCACCTTAATCTGGCTGGGTAACAAGGCAAGAAACTCTCCATCATATTCAATATGCCACGCCCAATGCAAACCCATCGACTTGAGCAACATATGCAACAAGCTGTGTTTCGGAGGAAACGCGATCCCAGGAAGACGCTCTAAACGGTAAATAACTCTCTCCGTATCCGCAGCCGTTAGCGCTTCCTCATCATCGTCAAGGGTATTTGCATCATTGCTTCCCAAAAGCCAGCTTTCAGGTGGAGGTGGTCCAGCAATCCTTCTGGCTCGCTGTCCCCCAACTCCGACACGGCGGACACCTGGGCGGGGGCGGGGCGGTGGTGTCTCTGGGAGCTCTAGGAGATTTCGCAACGACGGATGGACAGATCGAGGAGCGATCGGCCTGGATGAAGCCGGTGTGCCATCTTCAGATGGACGAGACACCTGAGTGCGACGCAGATGATTGATGAGGTCATTCACGGATGGCTCCGCGGTTGAGGACGAAGCCTGGGACGATCGGGAACGATCATTCTGGTAGTTTCGAGGACCCGAGGAGAGAAGGGTAGGATGAACGGTGTTTGTCGGATTCGCAAAGATAGCGTTGTGTCGCTTTTTGGGCATAGGGAACTCGACTGCAAAAGCAGAAGATGACGAGGGGTGAAGTGAAGGAAAGTTGGAGCAGACTGTGGGGGTTTTTACATTGTAGTATGGCATTTGCCGCCCCCAATAATCATAGTCACAGCAGCTAAGCAATGAGTCAAGCAGTGAGTCAGAATAAAACACACATCTCTATTTCGCAATACGGAAAGAGAGATAGTGAAGGTATTCGAATCTATAATTTTGCTTTTTGAATTGTACAAACTGTTCTATATGCGCTGACTATACATGTGCCACTAACACTATTTTACATGGTACCACCAGACTTGGCGATGAACCAAACATGTCCTACAGTTCAAATATCTCGAACCCAGGATCCATCATCCATTTTACCTTCGTGCTTGGGTCCCTCTCGGATCCATGTCTCGACGAGACCTTCTTTTGGATCTTCGTCAGGGAGACCTCTCGTCGATCGCACTTCCAGTACAAGGTCTCTGACCTTTTTGGTGACTTCTTTCCGCAGCGCAACTGCCTCTTTGCCGTTCAAAAGCTCGTCGCTCAAGACTCCCAGAGGTAGATCCCGGGTCTCCGGCGAGGCTAACTCTGCCTTTGCCTTCAGTTCTTGCCAGCGCCTTCTTGTATCTCCAAAGACAGCCTCAGTGTCTACCTTGTTTCCAAAGGTAATGCTGATGTTCTTTCCGACACGAGGAGCAAAGCGTGGAAAGCCGCGGTCCTCATGCATGACCTCATCAAATCCTTCTAGCCAGATTGGCACAACATCCGGACACTCGGTGGCTTCCAGAATAAGCCGGGCGACACCCCACTTAAAGTAGCGCATTGTCTTCTGAGGTGCTTGGTGAATCTTGCCCTCAGGGAAAATATGTAACCACGAATGAGAATTGCAGGCGTAGGCCGAGGGCGCTAGATGAGAATCCTCGCCATCGGTGGTGTAAGCTGTGGGAAGGTCGGAGAACGGATCGACACAAACGTTGTGTATACTCCAATGCTGTCGTTCGGGCTTAGCGATATGGTGATCAACAGGGAATGGCCCCTTGGATAGTAATCGGATTGCTTGGGTCACGGCGGGTTGCGCAAGACCACCGTGTGGCGAATGAGCAAGTCGGTGTGTTGGAAGGACTTGGCCCATTGCGAAGAAAAGGGCTAAAGGCCTTTGAAACCCATATTGTCAGCCAAACACTACTATCCTGCCGTTTTGAAAAGATGAAGGAATCCAAGTATACCGAGTCTGATAACAAATGTCATGGCTGCCAAACGACCATCTTCGGTTCCATGTTGGCAATCCAAAGTGGAATCGCATTGGGAGAGACCCCCACATCACAGGATCATCCATACTGCACAATTCAGCGACCAGAGTCAGCGATTTTCGGATCAAACTGATTTAGACCGCCTCAATATCGAGGCTTTTCGCACGTACGTACACGCTGGTATGGTTCGAAACTGCAGTAGTGTACCAGCTATTAGCCATTGTTCTCTTGCAGCTGCAACAGTCCCTGGAAAGGAAGAACTGGGAAAAAGGAAGAAATTGGGCATTTGGTACCTGTAAGCAAACCCCTCGTTCTCTGCGATGGATCCCGCCTCGAATCGAGCAGTTCGATGAAAGGCTCCAGGCCATTTACTTCCGAATAACTCGCTGCGGTAAAAAAGGCACGACACAAAGCACCAACTCCAAACATAGTCGTAGAAGACAATGCCCTCCAAGGGGCCGAGGGACAATCCCCCGTTGCGCCGGAATCCGCACCGCTGAACATCTTGGCTCTATAGAAAATCCATGGAAAGAACCAGAGGCCAGAGGTAAATAAGAAATTGGGAGAAGAGAAAAAGGAGACGACGATGAGAGACGAGAAACCAAGGAAGAGAAACTTGTCCCCGGATCGGCGGCGTGAAGGCAGTTGGCGTCTTCATTGGTTTTTGCGCCGCGGAGGTCGGAGGCGGGCACGGACCAGCTCGACTTCGCTATCATTTTCGCCCTGCGAGATGGCTTCATCCTTCTCGACCCTCTTCGCCATTGCACATTCTCCGTCAATCTCCCTTTGACAACCCGCGAAGATGTTCAAGCCCTCGTCGCCTCTATTCTCAGGTCTTCTCTGGTACGTGGTGGTCCCATCTTCGACACCAATTTGACCCAAATCTTTTTTCAATTCGGTCTGTTTATGGGACATCATCTAATTGCTTCATCCAACAGGAAGATCCCATGGCGCATCTCGCAACCCCAGAAGGCAAGACAACGCAAGCGTCTTCGCTCCGTTGACCGGGTGATCGACACAGTCAGTGCCGCTTTGCAGCGAAATGGACAGAGCACACACTCCGTTGAGCGGTGGTTTACCGAGATGCCTCGCGAGGAGGAAATGTTGCCCAAGGACAAGTACACAATTTTCGACAAGAAGGAGAAGAAGTATCGCAAGGGAATTCACAGTAAGCTATTCGAGATCCGTCCCTCCCTGGCACAAAAGCTGGCTTGGTTTGGAGGCTGCGGTTTCCCTAGCCAGGAATAACGCAGCCATTTTTCTTTCGCTTTTTTTCTCAATTGAATACCGCTAACACCTTGTTTCTTCTTTGCTAGAACTTCCCAAGTGGACACGAGTCAGCCAGCGAGTGAACCCCCCGGGTTTCTAAGCTACGTGATTGCGCAGGTGGTGCGAGGAGGCATTTCGATTACAACGTTGACACAAGGCACCTATTGCCGTTCCTTGGGAGTAAATATTTGAATCATATTGTACGATAAATCGCAGCTCAGATCGGTCCTACGCTCCCGCGGGCAGAAATCTTTGGGCTAGCAAAAGAACACAGGAAGGATAACTGGAGTTTTAGGCAATTGGGGAATTGCACCATTATCGCAATGGGCTCTCTCTTTTACTCGCAGTGTTTCATTATTTGGGGTTTAGAACGCATCCATAATTTGACATGTTTCAGAAGTGAACTCTACGATGTCATTATCGATCTGACTAGTATAAAGATAGGACCAGAAAAATAGCTCACGGAAATGGCAATTCAAGGGAGTGGATTTATAAACATATAGCGCTAACAATGCGATACGCAACTACCTACTCAAATCTCGAGCACTAACCCCTAATATATTGGCCACAATTCAACATGAAACCGTTTCCCCCAGAAAACGCTGGACACAGACGAGGACCGAGTTCCAGCTGCTTGATTATACTCCATGCTATATAAGCTGTATCAATTGCCAAAAGCCATGTGGTAACCACCGATTTTCTGGCGGTGCCGTCGACATATGATAATCATTTCTCAGTGAATGCGTTTAGAGCATTTCGATTGCAGCTTCATGTCCTGGCCTTCGCGGTTTTTCCGCAAATCGTCAATGAGCCCTATAATCGCATTATCATCATATACTTGAGCTCCTAGATGGCCTTGATCGGCAATATCGCATAATACCGACTGCAATCTCCTTTGCTCTGGTTCGATTGACTCTGCCTTCATGTATTGCCTTGCGAATCCGGTAGCCACGGCGGATCTTCTGCCAATCGCTGAGTTTTTCTTGCCAGCCTGCGCCTCCTTCATAGTATGCATTTTTCTGCTTGGTTGACATCTCATACCCTTGAGGCGGTTTTCGAAGCATCCAGCTTGCTGTATCGACTTTACCATCGGGGGGTTCCTCGGCTGAGCCCTCATACAGTCCCACGGTTTTGATGATATCTCTGATACCTGATGCCCTTCTATGACGGTTCACTGCAACTCTCCAAGAATCTATTCTAGGCGTATGTGCCTTTTTGTATGATATCTTAGGGTACTTGGGCTTCGGGTCCCAACACGGTATTGGGTATGGCACGTTGAATCTCGGATCCCCCAGCTGTCTTCTTGCATCTATGGGAACTCGTGATATAGGGTCAAGTACAACCCACGTTTCCCTATTCAGCCAGTGATTGGCAAGTATCGAAAAATGGAAGGGCCTTCGACCTGGGTTTAGTTGACCGAGGAGCCATGCAAGCTTTCGATCCAGGCAATCGATTAATCGCATTTCCCAAGGACTCCAATTTTCAAAAGGAATCGGTTTTCTTTTCCGAATATTGGGCTTAAGTACTTCCTTGAGCTGCGACTTTTCCTTGATTCTGCTTCTCACGGATCGAATCGGCTTGGACGAGAATGAGCGGGAATTTAATTGTCTTATGTCGCAGAGAGACTGGAATCCATTTCGCCCGGCGATTTCGGCACTAGTAAGAGAGAGAGAAAGATATGGATGACATAGAGCTGGCGTGGAGCTCCACACTCCAGCTCCAACCGTGTTGTTCGGGGCATTTATTAATGTAGCTCGCTTTCTAGAGAAATGCTGCGCAAGGCCTGACAGGGTATGGCTACCTGAATCCGAAGAGTAACTACCATCAATGAAGCCATTCCGTGGCTCATCAAGAGATCTGAAAAGGGAATTTCCTTCTGATGAGTAACTGGCCAGGAGCTCCGAAATAGGACTTCCTGGGGGCTCTATGAACTCGCATGGGCTGTTTCGTGCCAGATTGGATGTCTGTATTTGCATTTGGGTAGACCAAACCTGGTACTTGCGCGCATAACGGAACATTTTGGGTTCATACGATGCACACTCTGCCGTGTTCGATGTTTCTTGTGAGCGAGCTGATAACTCATGTAATTTAGAAGGAAGAGGTCTTGCATTTAACAGACACGGAAGGGAAGCACTATGATTGCGTGCCGGCTCGCTTTCCTTTAGGTGCAAGAAAATGTTTCCTCTAGGAAAATTCTTAGGCTGATTCAGAGACCGGAACAGTCCGGGCTTATCGCATATTGTATGAGATCTCTGCGTCCAAGTTTTCTTTTTGTGAGACAAACTCCGATCAAAATTGTCTTTGAAATTCGATAATCGGTCTGCAAGCCCTGTTGATGGAAGGTAATCTATGGGATGTTTCCCGTCAAGTGTACTGTTGTGGTTCGTAACTGTCCTCTTCGGCAATCTTTGTGCTCCTGTCATCGTAGTGGTTGAGAATTTCGCTGGTCCATTATGACCATCTGGGTGGCCAGAGTTCCAGATTTCATCTGCTGTCGTGAACCTGTAGCTTCTAAGACATTTGGGCAGCCATCGGAGTGGCCTTTGGTTTTGATAATGCCTTTCCAGCTCTTTGTTGCCTGGGTCCCACCAGACCCAACGGTAGTCGGCTCTGGAAGACTTCCATGATGTCCACTCACTGATCTTTGCAGCGCATTTCCGAAATATGTCCTTAGTGGCCTCATGTCGCTCCCATGGTACCCAGCCGTACCAAGTCCTTGCGTACCGAGTGGTGGGAGTGTTGCCATTTCCCACCACCTTGCCCCGGCTGAGGGATCGGACAAATTTCCCAATCTTCCAGAAAAGAACACCAATCACAAATATGCAGATTGTCCCGGTAAATAGCTCGAGTAGTACTTTGAGGCTAATGAAACTCGTAACATGGACAGGCGTAGCCGGTGGTTCTTTTGGCGGTTGAGGGGGAGGAGGAAAGTGATAGAACTGTCGTGGAAGGACAGGTGCCATCTGTTGAATGCCGGTGTGTATGGCCAAATTGACATTCTGATAACGATATTGGTTTGGAGCTGTGACTGTTTCCAAGTCATGGTGTTGATCGATGAAGGGACAGTTGTCTGCCGGGTACGTGGGAGAGCAGCGAAGAGGGAAGGTGTAGGGTCGAAGAAGCTGCCACACACGCAGACTGGCTCAAACACAACCACTGCCTTTTCCTGACTGCAACAAGAGTTCTAAATTTATTACTACAGAGCATCTCATCCATACTCTGCATATCATGGCTCGTGATATGAACTTTCATTTTTCATTTCACGAGATGAAGTCAGTCTGTCTCTTAGGGAATTGGCCTCGCAGTCTGTGTCATCCTAAGCATTCGATGGCATGACCCTGTGGGGTATTGATAGATAGGCTTTCTTGTCTCTTCTGTGCACTTTCATATTGCTTCAGAGCTAGACTTATCTTGCTGTCTTTGAGCTTTCAGAAGCAGAATCAACTCAGGTTTGTTTCGAGTGCCAATGGCCCAGAGCGTTTAGGGTCAAACGACAGCGCCTATCAGAGTCCTTCCACTCATATACCCTCGATCTATCACTTCGGAGGAATTCAAAGCATGCCATTGGAAGTATTAGGTCCATCAGACTGTAACGATAGCCACTCGTGTGACCTACTCGGAGCATTACCGTAATGCCTGTCACCCGTGCCCCATGGAGGATCGACAGTCCGTGTTCGAATTATGAATTGAAGAATGGGATAAATGTGCTTGATACTCCTGCATAATGCTTGTGTCCGTCATCATAACAAAGTCCCACCGCCGGCAAATCGGTACATTATTGCTGTCAGTTATGTGCATATCCGTTATTCAACGTCAAATGCACATCTGTACCCAGTTTTACCCCTCACGGTGCAATGGTCTCGAACGATCAACAATGCTACCTACTTTTGAGCAATAATACAACTTGTATTGCTAAAGTGGTCGAAGCCAGGTCTGCTGTATTATTAGTGGTAGAACCCTTGTTGTAGCTTGCAGACGGTGTATTCTTTATCTCCGACTCCGACAATCATAACCGGTCCCGTATACGCGAGTCCGAAGGATTAACCGGTAGGACCGTCTGATCAACATCATCTTGTTTCATAGTAGCTCAAATGCATTACTGGGGCCATCTAGTAATTGAGTCACAAGTTGACAGAGTTGTTGTCGTACTAAGTAGTAGACATGCCTCTTCAAAACTATTTATATGCCGATGCACCAGCACATTTGGCAGATATTTTGGTTAATCTTCGCGAAGTACATACCAACCATTACAATGGATTTTATATTCCAGGCCTCGAAGGCTAATGTGGCTTCCATGGTTGCTTGGATATCATTTCTGGTGAGTACTCTGGCGCAAGAAGGTATTTCTTTGCCGTTGACAAGAAGTAGATTATATCTACCCTGCTAGGACGAGTCTTTTATCGGTTATATTTTCACCCTCTTAGAAATATTCCAGGCCCAAAGCTGGCAGCGAGTACAAAACTATGTTACCTCTATTGGACCAACTCAGGTCGCCTTCATTATAAGGTCAAGGAACTGCATGATCAATACGGCGACGTGGTACGCATTGCGCCCAATTTCCTTGTATACAAGGCTCCGCCTGCATGGAAGGATATCTATGGACACCGCAAACATGGCGACGGTTCTTTCCTCAAAGACCCGCAATTCTATATCCCCACTCCCAGTGGTCATAGTCTGATAGGTTCGAATGATGCTGATCATTCACGGGAAAGACGCCTTCTTTCGCATGCTTTCTCGGAAAAATCCTTGAGAGAACAAGAGTCACTTGTGCAATCCTATGTGGATTTACTCATCAATGGGCTCTATAACGAGATAGAAGCTTCCAGGGAAACAGTCGACCTGACCAAATGGTACAACTTCACCACATTCGATATCATTGGGGATTTGGTATTTGGGGAGCCCTTCAACTGTCTCCGTGATAACCGCTACCATCCATGGGTTTCAATTGTTTTTGGGGGCATGAAATCCAGCACCATTTTGAGGGGTGCCAGCCTTTATGGTTGCCTGGCTCCAATTATCAAAAGTCTGATCCCCAAGAGTGTACTGCAAAAGAGGATGGAGCACCATCGAATGACCCAGGATAAGCTCAATCGTCGTCTGGAAATGAAAACCACCAGGCCGGACTTTATGACATATGTCCTCAGATATAATGATGAAAGGGGGATGACACAGCGAGAACTTGAGGCGAATTCGAGCCTCCTCATCATTGCTGGTAGCGAAACAACAGCTACATTGCTGTCTGGCTGCACATTTTATCTTCTGAGACATCCTGAAATCCACAAGAAGTTGATCAACGAGGTCCGAGGGTCATTTCAGACCCAAGAAGAAATCAATTTCCTTTCTGTTGCAAAGCTTTCTTATATGAACTGTGTCCTTGAGGAGAGCTTACGTATGTACCCTCCCGTGCCCGGTGTACTTCCCAGACGAGTCCCAGATGGTGGTGCGATGATTGATGGTGAATTCATTCCTGAGGGAGTAAGTGATCCATTCCCAGCAGCATCCCGGCTTATCTTCGATGCTAACAAGACGATCAACAGACTTCTGTGTCAATGGGATACTATTCCGCCTTTCGAGCAGAATCCAATTTCGCCGAACCCGACTCTTTCATCCCCGAACGTTGGTCTGAAAATAAAGATCCAGCATTCGCATCCGATAATAAGGAAGTCTTGCAACCATTCTCTTATGGACCTCGTAATTGCCTTGGGAAAAAGTAAGGCCCTCTTCCACTTTTTTGTATACTCATAGCGCTGATATCTTTCCCATCTAGCCTGGCTTACGCAGAAATGCGTCTAATCATGGCCAAGGTTCTGTGGAATTTTGACTTGAGCCTTGATAGTGACAGCTACAACTGGGATATCCAGCCTTCATATACCATTTGGCAAAAGCATCCTTTGAATGTTAAGCTGACACCGGTTCAGCGTTGAGTGGAATCATTTTAAAGACCAGACACAATGAGGTTAACATGCCAGTGGAATGGTCTCAATGATTTGTTTGTGTTGTCAAGAAAGTGATCGCTTTGAGCAGTACAGTCAGTCATCCGGATCTTAGTATTTGTATTTGAGCTTTTGATCATAGCTTTTGAATTTGATAGCATATACACCCTAGCAGGGTATCCTGACCCTTCCTCCCAGCGTGTACACCGGCACAATAAGGCCCAGGAGGCAACCTGGAAGTATGACCCAGGTCGCTGAAAATCATCCTTTACGCTCGATGACCTCGTTGATCTCGATAATAACGTACTGTCTTGGTTGAAACCCCTTAAGGATATCCATGTCAGATGACATGCTGAGAGTCGATCTCGCCTCATTCACCCGCCTCACTTTTGGACCTCACTTCTCTCTCTTTGGTCATTTCCACGGCGCATTTGATGGAATAATTGACGACCAGGTGCAAATAATGTAGCCTGAACTCAGATTCCTTTTGCCGCACTCTGTACAGGAATAAAAATTCTCTCACGGTTGAGTTGAGCCACACCTACATGTTCTAGCCACATCCAGTGGCAACGCATTGCAAAACCGGATCCGAAAAATTTCCGGGAAATTGGTGGTGCATATTATCGGTAGCACTAACGTGATGGACACTGTGGATCTGCATGGGAATAACCTAGTCGGTTAGCTTAAAAAGAGCATGTTGGGAACAGAGAATGGTCATTGGTGACGAAGCAGATGGTGCAGCTAAGGTAAGACAGCGGTAAGGCGTGGCCGCGTGGTGCTTGGTGAATCCCTTAGCATTGTATCACTCCAGTAGGTCGTCCTAATCACCCGCCTATCATGAGAGACTATGTTTTGGCGGATATAGCTTCCTACACCACTGTTTCCCAATGTTATTCAGTACACCAAAAGCAATTTGTATGTGATCTCCTTCGTATGTGGCGCTCAAATGACTTGGTCAGATCACTTGGCGATTTGCGGCTGAACCGTCGTCCCCTCCTTTTTTTTCTTTTTCTTTTTTTTTTTTTTTTCTGTTTCGTTGCTTCCTCCATTTGCTATACTTTGCAAGAATTTCTCGAAACAGAAAGCATGCATCTACAGCTGACAGTCGTGAAACGGCAGTTTAAGCTGTTACATAACATATCCCCGCGAATAAGAAGACAAGACCTACACTTCCTCAATATGATATATAATAGTATGCACTTCAACGAGTGGCTCATACAAGCCATACAACATGGGAGGGGTCCATTGGATATTGAGTACTCCATACTCCGTCGTTCGTATAGACTGCATATCCAAAGATCTGCGGTGTAGGTTTCCTTGGCGAGCGTTACAACATTCTATTGCGCCACGAGGGAGGGGGCTAAGGGTAAGCCATGATAAAGCCAAACCATTCGACACCTGTACTTGCTCGAGTACGAGTACGAGTCATGGCCGGCATATGTCATAAGTACGATCATGAATTGCGTGAGATGTTGGCGACATCGTTCAAAGCAAAATGATAGACTTCCTGTGGCTATCTTTGACAAATAATGACAGCCAAAGGATCAAAAGAAGCAAAAAGAAAGGTTAATGTAAGGATGAGACTTGATGGCAACAGGGCATTCTCAACCGATAGGGTTCCTCAGTTCTTTGTTTATCGCTCAGACTACCAATCATATCGATTGATATGCTTGAGACAATCCCTGCTGTGAAGTCCGGTTCAAATACATAGCGAGCCGGACTATCATCGAGTATAGGAAGGTTCATACCCATGCGTATTGTAGCATCCTTGATTTCCTGTAGTGAAACTTTGGCGGGGCATGATAAAAGGAGCAGGAAGAGGGGAAGTTCTGAGATCATTGGCCATCTTCCCAATATTGATACCGTGAGATGCTCTCCGAGTAGAACTTCACACTTGATATAGAACCCAACTAAACGAATCGGCTGTTCGATAGTATTGATTACTAGGTAACCATCAAAGCAGACAAGACTGTTCCTTATCGGTAGGGGGGTCCATGGTCAATGCATTGTTCACCGCCACAACATCGGAAATTTGGAGCCTTCGTGTTCAGCCATCTTGTGGCTAGGGGTATTAAAGAATAGGCCTCGATTATCACATAGCTTATCGGTGAATCTGGATGATCTGCGTGCCATCAATGTGAGATCACACATGCCGGCTGGACGCCCGTGGTGTAAAAAGGCTATTGCCGTGTGTATTCTTGGTCAGACTTGAGCGATTTTAACCAGGGAAGAGCGATTTTAACCAGGGAAGAGCGATTTTAACCAGGGAAGAGCGATTCAATAGTGGAGCAACCAAGTTTCAATCAACATCATGCTTGGACTGGCTGCTTATTCCCTGCAGTCAGTCGAGATGGCCAGGCGGTTTTTCCAATCAATCACGTCTGTTTATTCAAGCCGGACGAAGGGAACAGCTTCATATCGGTCTAGAAAGGTGCCTGGGAATACCCCTCAAGCAATCTCCGCCTTGACAGAAGTGGATAAGTTGCTAATTTCAGTGGTATCAATAAGCCATGCATAATCTGTTCCCCACTGACTGTGTTCACTAGCATGGGTTATTTTTTATTTATTTTATTTTTTTTTTTTTTGCTGGGTACGCAACTATGCATATTTGATGGCTATTCTAATGGCAATGTCTTCTATGCCACAAGTAGTAAAAATTGCGAGCAGGATACCAAGCTCGTATACGGCTTCTCGGCGACATATGCATAATGAAAGAAGAAACCAAGAGAAACTCTTTTCTCGTCTGGGGTTCTAAGAGTGATTGACATCTCCCCAGGCATCATAATTCTCGTCACAGGTGACATTCCAAAGCCTAATTACTAGTTTCCATGAGTAGCGGCAAAAAAGAGGGTACTTTTGATGTCACTGACGACCAAGGGCCGCTGTTTTGGTAGTTTTCGGCCGAAGTTCCAAGTTCTGATGGCCGAGAAAATAATTGTAAACAAGGCACAGCGTTAATTGACGCCGGGAAATAGCATTGTTGCAATAATTGCAAACGCATTGACAAATCGAAGCAGTCTCGGTGCAACGGACCAGGATCGACAATCAGGCCGTTCACCGCCACAATTGGGCCGTTTGGCATCTGCCTGCTCAGCCACCTGTGGCTGATGAATGGTAGTGGCCGATCCAATGAGAACTATTCCTCAGTTGTTACATAACCTAATCAATAGATCTTGATCGATCTGCATTGCATGGCATTGCAGGGAATAGGGATTGAAGAAGAAATTTTCAAAGCGAGGTTCTTTCCCCATACGCTGAACGGCTGCATACCGGTTCGTCCAGGGGTTCTCGGCAGTTATTAGAAGGAAGATGATGTCAGCTGTCTTCGGTCTATGCATGCGATAGGTGTCAGCATAGGGGTCACTCGGGATCATATCATCAAAAGAGAATCACACAGACCATGATTTATTTGCAATGCATAGTTACCCTTCTTGGAAGTAGCTTCCATAATGTATGCAATGCGATATAAGCGCTGACCCCATTTCCAAAGAGATAATCTGTTGGGTAACTAACTTTGAATTACCAGAACCCTATGGTCGGATAACTCTACCGCGGGGAATCGGGGACTCATTGTCACATACTGGCCCGTGTCCGGCAAACACCGTAATTGTTACGGACGGAGCAACCGTAGCCCTAGACTATTGTGAATCCCGATAGATGAGTGGGTACGTCTCCCCAATCCCAGGTCGACAGGGGGTAACAGGGGATCGTTTCCCTCGTGGTGGAATCATGCAGGAGCCCCAACAGACTGGCCCAAGGCAGCAATAATCACTTGATCAGCAAATAGCTGCAGCGACGTTCCAGAGTCGAAACACGAAGAGGACATCCACGGAGTTACAGAAATGAGGCTAGGGACAAGTGCCGATAGTTGTGGCTAGTGACCCACTCTAGGCCAAAAATGGCAGTGTGGCGAAGTCGTCCTTGGGCGTGTGGCTTGAGCTTGTCGGACAGCCCGACTCGACTCGAACCTTTTGCTCCTCCTCGCTGTCGTCCAGATTCTTTCATTCTTTGGTTCACTAACTTGAATTGCAGTTCTTGGATCCTCTTCCATCCTGCTCAGTGGTGGATAGTGTCTCTGTCAACATCAGGCATCAATTATTCTCAACTTCCCTCCATTCTGATCGCCACACATTGCTGGTCCAAGCCACTCTTACACCATCGTGGATCGTACTGAACCTGTACGCAATTCCGCTTTGTAACACTTTCCAAGACTCATCTACCTTGTCGAAACAACTCGCAAGCATAGCCAAATGGGGTGGGAGGCGTGGAAATGGTATCCATGAATACGGGAATCCAGTCTCCCCCGAGTTGATCTTTCAGGGAGAGGCCAATGCAAGGGATTTTCCCCGAAGACATGAACAAATTCTATTTTTTTTTTTTCTTATCTTTTCTCACTTACAATCTAAGACAATCAAAGGCATAATGGCTGCCTCTCGAACCCCTTAGAAAGGAATTGGTGGGGAAGAACAAGCGAGTGGAAAAAGAAAAGAAAAGAAACTATGGTCTGAGAGCGCCGCTCTCCCGACGATAGTACCCTGCTGCTCCTTACGAACGGGGGATCTTGCATATCACGCCAATTTAGTTCTGTTAAGCTTTGAATCTCAATTTCTGGCACGCGGGCCCCCTGTGAACGATCTGACGTCTCAATCTACAGTCCCGCCATGGGTTTCCTGGCTTCGACCCTTCCATGTAAACGCCCCCAATCCAGCTCTCTCCACACTGACCCCCTTTGTTGACGCGTCCTGGATACGGCAAGCTCAGAAGAGAAAAAAAGAAAAGAAAAAAGAAACAACAGATACCAGGGTTCGTTTTCCCATTGCGCCTCTTACAGCTCGCTGCAAGATTACCAATTCCCTACCTTCGATTTGCTCGGACATGAGGGCTTTCTCTTTGCAGATCATAAGCCCTTGGCCGTTAACGATCTATTGACTCTAGTACTTTCGAAGTGGCAAACTGATACAGTTTTCTTTGTTCCCTTTTAGGTTCTGTCAGGATGACTCTCTGAGTTTGATAACATCCACTATGATGATCGAATAGATATATGAAGGCCCAGTCCATCTCTCGATTATTGTCCATCGATACTTCATCCATCTGAGAATTACTTCCTTATCTTCCTGATCACTTGTTTGATCCAACCCTTCAACACGTATCGTCCATTGCCAACTTGTCAATTTTTCTTCCCTACTCGATTCACCAGCCTTGTCATTGAATCAGCCTTGGCACTTGGAAGTGTTCAGTCAGACTGCCACGGGTAAGACATTCGTTTGTCTGATAGTCAATCCATCAAAAAATAAAGCACGACACCATGGTCCAAGGAAATTCAAGTGCCACCGGCAGTTCAAGCCGTGAATATGGAATCACATTCGAGATCTCTCCCCCAGCTGCTGTGCGCCCAGGAGTTCCGTTCACCATACCAGTTGTTGTAGCAGTGCGACCTGTGGGAAACCCAGGCGGCTCCGTTCAACAGCTGGTGATGAACGCCTCGTTGAGAAACGAAGCGGGGACCAGCGCCGCATCAGGTCTGGCTGGGAATCTTACTTCGAGTGTGCGCAGTCGCAGCGGTAACACCACCAGCGGATACGCCAGATTTGGACCCCTTACCATTGGACAGCCGGGCAAATACCGACTTCGAATCATGTTAGGGGCAGCTTCCGTGGGGGGAGTGACCACCAAGGACTACGTTGAATCGGGTGTTATTCATGTCCACGGGGCAGCAGAGGCATCTCAGCGACCAAGTAAGTCTTGTGATTGTGCCGCATATGCAAATCTACATAAATAGAAATGCAAACTGACAAATAATACAGCTGCGGCGCAGATATCCAAACTCCAGGCCCTGACGGCAGAGAACATAGACATATCAGCAGCCGACATTGCGGCGTGGCAGGCATGATACCGGATTGGGAAATGGATGTTGAATTTGGTTTCTGGAGTAGATTCCCGGTGAAATCAAGGAATCGGGCAGGGAGTTATGATGCGGATGACTTGGGATCATAATACCTTTCCGGCGAAATGGCAGGAGTACGGGATGAATGAATGGATTTCTCTTCTTGTTGCTTTGATGATACAGCCTATATACAAGACACGCGTCGAATCTTTTTAATCCCTCAGACAAGAGTATTTTCGCATTTCCCTCAGAAACCGGGCGTTTCCCAACATGTATCTCAAAAAGGCCGGGTAATCCCAACCTCTCTCCTGGGCAGCCAAAGCCATCAAGCTAGCCTGATCTTTACGACCAGGACGACCTGGTCCAGTCATATTCTACAACATTAGCTCAATCCTTCTAATCAAAGGAATCGCCTCTCCCACACGAGAAAGGATAAACATACCGGCTTCAAATTAACATCAAAAAGCGCAAACCTCCCTCCCTCCCTAAACCGGCGAATATCAATCCGAATCGGCGCCGTCGCCCCCAAAAACACCCCAACCTCTTCACACTCCCTCATAATACACGCAAAGGATTCATCCGCCTCCATCTCCCGCTTCGTAACCGCCCTCGAGTTCGCAGTCACCGCGACTAACCCGCTATACGGCGCGATGCCATCGACATGATTGAACCGCACCACGGGCGGGAGGGCCCAGTGTCGACTATCTACGCAATCAGGCGGCATGATGGTAACAGTCCCTTCTTCGCCGTGAAGATATTCCTCGAGGAGAACCTGGGACGAAGTCTCATTGAAGAAGCGGTTAACATGATCCCTTAGTTCAGCCGGTGAGTTGCAAACTTGCACGCCGTGGCTTCCTCGTCCTCGAACTGGCTTTGCGACGAGGGGATAATCAGACTGAGCTAATGAAGCGATAACAGTCTCTAGATTCCCCTGGCCCCCCGTCTCCGCGGTCCCATCGACACTCCACGCACGCGGTAGCGTAAACCCACCCCGTCGACGAAGCTTATCATTCAAAACCGCCTTATCGTCAAACCAATCCACACAAAGCGGCGGCTGGCCGACAACCTTCACACGGTCCTCATAAGGCGTCAACGCCCCCGATTCCTGCAGTGGATGCTCAGCAAAGACAACCGTGTTCGCCCAGAGATGCGTAGCGCCAGCGTGGATGGCCGCGAGAATGCCCTCTTCGGTATCAGGGAAGCACCAATCTTGCTGTCTGCGGGGATCTGGGGAGGAGATGGGCGTGAGGATCTTATGTCCTGTCTGCGATAGTGTGTAGGCGATGTCCGCGCCGGAGTCTTGATATCCTATTCGTTTTGTTAGATGGGTCATTGTGCTATGTGATGGGCCTTACCGCCGGGTTTGGGGGGCTTGCTCACTCCCCCGTATACAGGGGGTTTAAGGGCCTGGTATAAAAGGGCCACCGTGGGTTCGGATGCCATGTGTGATACGCGTCGATGGTTGATATGGAATTTATATCGAATAAATCTCTTCGTCTTGTATTGTGGTCGACTAGGCAAATAAGCATGTATCAGACAGTAGATCTCACCAACGACCCAAACTCGGCTCAACAAGTCATAAAGGTGCTGATTTCAATTTCATGACTATTACTGACTGTCAAAAGAATACTAACTTACTTTTTATACCCACAGTCACTCGATGAGACGGAGTAGTCCGCACATAATGAAGTTACTGCCGATCGAGGAGAAACTGCCGATATCGCTGCATGGCATACATGCAAGACAAGAGTTATCTATACAGGGCTTACTAGAGACTAGTACTAGAAGAAAGCTTCGCTGTTACTAAATATATCATGGATATCAAGGTGCGTCTTGAAATGGGAAGCTAAATAACAAGCATACATGGTGCATTGTGCATGGGAAGTACATACAGTAACCTAAGTCAACTCTACTCGGCACACTACGAATAATTATGTTGGACAATACCTTTTACTTTATTCAAGCTGTCTGAAAATAAATCGTTGATATCATCATTCTATATGTGAACCGTAACTGTAACTGTAACTGTACTCTCGCAGAGCATCGATAAACCATATTCCCGCAAGGGGATTAGAAACAGGAAGAAATATCCGAAAACCGGAGAATGACAGGGAATCGATTCCTCGAAACTGTGGATAACCTGGATATCCCCCAAAAACACCAAATGGTCACCCCGGAGGAGTGTGGTTTATCGGTTTAAAAATCCGAAATCGGTGGAATCTGCTGGCTGTATTCCTTTGACAGGATACAGACTGTCGATGTTGATGTTGGTGCAGCATCTGAGCTGCCCGTCTAGAGACGATGGTGACCGATAGTCCCTGGGCGACATGGTGTACTTTTCATGGCCCGGGGTTAAAGTCACTTGCGAGTTTCTGAATTCATCGGGATAGCATCATGCGTGCCAGAATCGAAAGACGAAAGTCGAGAGAGAGGGAAGCGAAGAGCGATATCAGATTCATTCAGCTCTCCTTCTCATCGTGGCGACCATGGTGACGCAGTCGCTCAACTCCATCGCGGACAGTGTCACGCAGACTGAATCCGCCAAAGAGCCAGTCATTCGAGTGACGGCCGTAGTGGTTGACTGTGCCCCGGTAGCGACGGTAATCATCGCTGCTGCGTCTCGAATGGTGAGAGCGTGAGTCTCGCTGGTTGCGAGAGTGACGAGGGCTGGTGGGAGACTGGGGAGAGCGCACGGGGCTGGCAGAGCGGCGGGGCATGTCTGCGGAAGTTGAAGCTGAAGGGTAACTGCGCGACATTGTCTGGTAGAGGGGGTCTGAAGTGTTTGGTTCTCTGCGATCGGGAATATCGATGGGGATAGGAGATTTGGAGCGGAGCAGTTTTGCGCTCAGACGGTGAGAGGATTTGGTGGTGTTCTGAGAGATGGGCTCGATGCTTTCGAAAGGACGAGTACTGTAGGAAGAGGAAGACGAAGAAGCAGTAAGAGTATGAGAGAGGCTGTTTTGGACGCGATCACTCATTTATATCGTGAACTATTGTCTGGACAGAAGAGAAGATGAAGAAGAAGAAGAAAAGAAACCCAACGAAGGATTTCCCCCCTTATTTATCTTCCAATTCTTCCACTTCGTCCTGTTTTTCCTCCGATTCAAACTGTCACTTCCCCATCCGCCCCTCGCCCAATCAGAGCCCTCAGCACAACAGCCCTATCCCCTCTATCCAATCGGAGGCTGCCAACACCACCCATGGGCTCCACTGATAGGGTCTAGCGTCGGACCCACTTGGCGAGCCAGCGGTGAAGTTGGCCGGGGTGGTCCCACTTTCTCTGCCCTACGAGGGGCACGAGCCAATCAGCAGGCCGGGTGGCTCAAGTGACCCATGGGAGAGGGCCGGATTCACCGCTTCTGCCTGAGGTGCTTGAGTCATCTGATGCTGCAGTCGACCGGATATGTACTATCCATTGGGAATAGGTAACATTTCCATATAATAAATTCTGTAATTCTACTCTGATACGTTGATCAAAAAGAAGAAAATAAACAGTCACAATCAGTCACTACTCGTAGTAACTTGAATCCTGTGCCATGGCAGCCAGGCAGAAGCAAAACCCAGCCTATTCTTAGCCGGATAGTGATCATCAAACCTGTCCAATCACAAGCCGTGTGTCCCTCCAGCTGGGTCAGTAGGGCTGAATGGCTTCCTTTCCGCCCGTCTTCGAGAAGAACGGGACACTTGGCCCCTCGATCAGCTCACGGTGAATATCGCAATATTGCAAGTCGATAGTCTAGAATATTATTCTAATGCATACAGCTACATTCAGAATAGATGGTCAAACTACTAGTAATTCCTAGTACTAGTAAATGACTCTGAAAATGACTCACTTTGCCCCGGGCAACTTCTAGCGCAGTCCGACTTGAGGCTCTTCGCCAATTTATCTCCACATTACATCACGGGTCCTTTGGCCCCAGCGTTGCCAAGAAGAAGCAGAAAATCATCGGCACGTCTTTTCCGTTGCAGCTCAGACATTCAGTACCCCTGTAGACTCCGTTGAATAGAAATAGTAGTGTCTGGAAGTTGATTCTTATCTACCCTTTTCTATTTTATTCAAAACACGCTTCTAACTCCGAATTCACATGCTAACCCGTATGCAAGAACAAGAAGTAAGAAGAAAAAAAAAAAACCGAAGATCACAACCCAGAAAGAGAAAGAAAGACCGCAATCAAGGATAGAAGCAAAAAACCTGCCGTCGTGGCTCGTCAACTAAAAATAAACCAGACAATCACTCCTCCTCCAGCGGCCAGAGACTCGCACTCGGCTTTCTCCACGCCCGTGGTTGCTCCGAGTGGCATCGACGATGTTTTCTCTCAACAGACAAAGACCCCGACTCTTCACGAACGATTCTCCGTCTCGTCATTTCCACCGCAGAAAGTGGTTGCACTGCTACCAACGGCACCGGGGCTGGCGGGGCCCAGTATGAAATCACCACATTCTGTCCAGTTGTAGTCGTGGTGGGCAAGACGAAAAGTGATCGCGCTTTGTCCAAGGGGGGACGGATCATCCGTCGTAGTGAGGCCGTGCTACTACTACCATTCGACTCACTGGCTCCAGCAGTAGTATCTCTCGAAGAGGACCAGATACGGTGGGATCGGGTGATCTTGGAACGAATGATACCGGCAGACGCGGCATCATCAACATCAAACCCACCGTCCGAGACCACGGGAGTCAAGAACTGCTGCTGAGGATATGGTATCTCTGACTGCGGAGCTCGGAGAGCTAACAGGTTTCGTCGGTGGGTAACTGGGCCGCAGTAGGGCCAGGAATGGCGTCTCTTGTGCTGGAGAAAGTGCGGCATGCCAACAAGTAGAGATGTAGATGAGAATGAATGAACAGAAGAACAAAGCAAAAAAGCAAGATCTGCAAGGAATGTTATTTCAAACCCAGTCCCAGGCAAAGACAGATGATCAGAGAGGGACCAGCTTCTAGCCCTCCTTGACGAATATCCCAAAGTTCGTAAGCAGGCAGTCTCCAGTCATGATGTGGTAAAAGAAAAGAAAAGAACACAGTAGTCCAAATCTAAATCAATCCCAGTCGAAGCCGAGTATATTATATATATAGAACGAAGAAAAAGTTGCCCCAGATTCTAGTCATGAGGCCAACATGTGCGAGGCGCACGCGAAACGAGATTGTGGGCAAAACCACGCCCGGGTGACAGAGAGAGAAACGAGATCAGGACGATCCATTATTCAAACCTTCGACGATCACAAGATCGACAAGTCCCCTGAATTGAGTCACGAAGGAACAAGGCAGCAGGGAAGAATCATGATGGCGGATGCGATGACGGCGAATAATGGCCAGAGAACAGAGAAGCTGACGGGAAGAAAAGTGTATCACGAAAAGCTAGAAGTTAAGCTTCAAAAAAATCACTCGTAGATTTATATCACTCGGGAATTCCACTTTTGAAATCTCATTCGATTCTGTTATTCTCCATCTTTGCATCTGCAGACAGATTGGGATCTCAGCAGGTTGGCTTGCCAGTCCTCCGCAGTTTCAGTCGGGGTGATCAAGCGGGGGGCTCCACGGTCAGCAGATGACTCGCAGTCTCTCGACCGCATCACAAGAATCTGATGCATGTTGAAGCAGGCTATTTAGCACGAGCAGTCGTCACAAATCAGTCCATACTGATTGATTAAAGTGACACTTTAAGGTGGTGATTCTGGAGAATATCCCCACTGCGGCCATTGTCGGATGGAACACAATGAAGTCATCGAGTGGCTTCAAGTCAATCCCAGCTTGTCTTTTCAGCAATAACCAGTCACGTGGTCTAATGGTTATGATATCTCGTTCACATTAGTTGAACTAATTCCGAGATGGTTCCCGGTTCGATCCCGGGCGTGACTACTTTTTTTGTTTTCTTTTGCCATGGACTGTTTTATTTCTCTCGAGAAATTAAAATGATTTATTTAATTTTAAGAAACAGAGTATAAGAGCTTATATTATACTATTTGAATATCTTATAATGATGGTTCTTACTATACCGATGGTGATCGAGTCTTTCTACCATGGTACATTTGCAACACCACCGAGAAAAATGAACGAAATCTGTGGCATAGGCAATATAATTTTAGCTGAATATCCTAGATATCTTAATATGCACTGTATTCGTAGCCTATTTACTGGAATATGCATCTACGAGCCAAGATAGTCATGATGGTATGTTGGAGAAACATAATCTCTCTCCAGAGCGGCCACGAATTCCTCTCGATCTAATTTAATTTAACAGATCATCAGCATAGTCAGTGATTAATGGCACATGAAATTTACTTACCCCCCACAGCCATAAAGGTTATTGTAATGGTGCCCTCCAAACGAGCTTTACCCTTCTCAGTCGGATTCCTGGTGATAATGTGAGCCATATCGAGAACCGTCCCAAGCGAGTACTGCATATGAGAAAAGCTAACCTGATTGCCATCCTTGGTCGGCTCCAGGGCTCCCGGGGGTATAGACATTGTAAGCCATTTGTCTGTGACGCGATCGTTCCATCGAGACGCAAGCTGAACGGAATTTCCGGTTCTCCAAAGCTTAACCTCGGCACCGCCTTTCCATTTCTTAGAGACGAAAAGGGTCTTTTCTTTTGCTGCGACCAAGTGAGCGTTCCTGGAGAAAAGCAGCTCATATGAGGTAGCGAGGGCGCTCATGAATGCGCGGAGGATAGGTTCGTGGCTAAACTCTACTGTCATTTTGCCCACCTTTTTCTCACAGTGGGAGAAGATCACAGGACTGTCGGCTCGATATAGCTTGTCAACGTGTGATGATATATAGTCGGTGTAGTAGATCCGAGGGAATTGGACGCGGAAACCCGAATGTTCATACGTGTAATTCGTATCACGGTACAGATAGAAGATATCGCAGTACTTCCAGGACGACTGACTTCGATGGAGCAATATAGTCTTGTACTGTTTTTGATCCAATACAGTATCTACCACGTCGTAGACACAGCCAGAACTGCTAGCCTGCGTCCATGAAAAACTTGGCCTGATACTCAGGCTCAGAATTGCCTGTTCGAATTCCTCGGCTTTCGCCTGGTTCCGAAAATGCAGACTCATGCCTATGTTGGGATTGCTGTGATCGTATACATAGGAAAACTGTTTGTTGTAATTTCCATCCGTGTCCGTTTTTTCTTGACAAGTGTCTGACCACTTAAGCACGACTTGACGGGAGGCTTCTTCGCGATTGATCTGAACATTGGCCATGGGCATGAACAGTTCCATGCTTCTCGGGATCTTCTCTGCCGCCGACGAGCTGATCACAATGCGTCGAACAGTCCGCCAAGCTTCTCCAAATGATCGTTCCAGTATGCGAACTTGGCAGGATCTGTGAACCATCCGGGGATTCATAGATTTCATGCTAGGGGCCTTCAGCTGTTCGAATATCTCAACAGAACCCCTGAACAAAACACTCTCGGAAAATTGGTCTGAATCCATCGGCTCCCGCTGCCATACTGCATCGAAATACGCTTTGGGTATATTGATGAACTCCAGGAGATCTGCTCCGTACTGAAATGATATCGAAACGCTGATGGATTCAAATTTCAGCAACACGGGCTCTGAGATTTTTGCACCAGGAACGCCGCTGAGGGAGGCATGGGAAATGCCAATGAGCTGTACCAGGTCATCCGGCACGACTGTAGAAACATTAGCCAATATCACACGAACAATAATATCGAGGTAGCTCACAATCTCGTTGTAAGCAGAGAGTCCCGCTCTGGTTACAGATGGTAATTTTCGGTTCACTCTCCCCATCTCTGGTTGACAAAAGGAGCATGTACGGGGCACCTTTTGTTCGCATACGGAATTTCTTACCCCCTATTCCAGCGTTCACAAATGTCCGAAACAGCACCTTTTCTTCTTCGTCCCCAGCGTCTTCTTGCTCGACTGTAATCCAACGGGCGTTCCCAAGACCAATAAAAGCATTGCCGCCATTCTCTAGCGATTCCTCCGACTGCAATGATTCCCATATCTCAAAGTTTTGGGAGTGGAGAATTGAGTACTCGGGGACATCCATAGCGCTGAACTGCGAGAGTTCTTCCTTTATCCCCTATATAGTGTTAATCTGACAGACCAGTTACTACGGCTGTCATACGCACCTCAGACAAATCAGCGATCAGTTTCCTGTTCTCATCTGCTAGAATTGCCTGTGAATTTTCATTTCCCCTCAGAACGATGTCGTACAGAATGTAGGATGCCTTCAAAATATCTATATAAGCCTGTTGACTTGTAGTCCTGGACTCTATCGATGGACTTATACTGCCCCGTGCGCCGGTGAGGTTTGCCTTGTCACAATTGGCGAGTGTTGAACGGGCCTTGTCTTTGTGTCAGGGAGATGAATGAATAGCTGGAATCCGAATTACCTTCAGCAACCACCAAACAGCAACCCGAAGCCAATCGCCTGTGCTTAGACGTCGAATTCTTAACTCATCATGGGCAGACTCGTCGAATTTCTTGAGGAGATCGGCGTCAGGCCTGTGGAATCTGTCCTGCGGTTCATATCGCAGAGGTCGAAGTGATTGCTCTCGTAATCGAACCTGGTGAAGCTGTTGCATAGCACTTGTAACAGCATCCTTGACGTTTGTTCTGTGTGATTCCGCCTCTGATATTGACTCACTATTCTTTCTCTGTAATTGATCATGAAACTCTCCTTGATCTTCAATCTGCCCAAGCTCCCTTCGCAAGTTCAAGATGCCATTTTGAGACACATTTGGGGACATGGAACGTATAGTCGTGGTGATAGAAGAAACCCCTGCACTTCCAAGATAAAGCGAAGCTTCTGAATTACCGGAGCCCATGGATTCTGAAGAAGTCGAGACATGACGGGGACGATTTCCAGACATCGGTCCACGCTGGGCGGCTAGCGGGATATGTAGAGGTTTAGGAAAGTCACTTTCATTCCCTTCCTGGAAACCGAAAGGTCCATTCTGTCTTGGAGGACTCAGCAGAGATACTGGGTATTCATCATCTTGTATCTGGGAATGTTCGAGCGTCGACAGGGACAACTCTTCCTTTTCTAAAGCCTCCATCATCGACCTTTCAATTCTTTCCAGGGAAGAACTAAATAATTAGGAGATATTTTCACGATCTGGGAAGACGCTTAAGGGAACTCACTCGCGAATCGAGCTCATACACAGACTAAGGCTGCAAGTATGAACCATTAACTTCGACCTGAGTTCCTCAATCTGCCCTCGTTGTGTATACCACTTCACTCTTTGCCAAAACTGCTTTTCGTCACCAATGCCCATATTTCGATACTTGGTAAGCAGGTCCCTGAGCCGCTGCAATGTTTGATAACAGCCATTCATGCATCGCTCCAGAATACGCTTCCGATTCTCCTCGAGTTCTTCGAAAAAGGATGTGTTCGAGTTGACATCATCACATAGTGCTCGAAGGACACCCTGAAAAGAGGCCAGCTCGGTGACAAGCTGCCTGAAACCATCGGGAGCATCTCTGGTTGCCAGGGAGCAGTTATGGTATAGGTCACATGCCAGTTTGGAGACTGTAAAAATGTCCACCACCTCAAAGTTTGAACCCATATTTATTATGCTATTCTTTCTTCGATAAAGGGTCGATGGAGGTATAGGATACCCTTCTGGGTTGTTATAGAGCAAGACGACACGTTGGAACAGGCGCAGGATCTCTCTCAAGGTTCATCTTCAAGCTTAGGAAAATCGAAAATCGGATAAGCGAGCGCGTAAAGCAGCGAAAGGAAAAGTGAGAGAGAATAAGTAAATCAAAACATTCATTCCAGTAGAAACTGATCGCATTGAAATCAAGCAGGGCGCGCAGTACTTTGTCAACCGCTGAATCTGAGGCGATGCGGGAGGCTGCAGGTATGAAATAGAGCAGTGTGCCTATACTGTACCCTCAAAAGCCGAAGTAAAAATGCAGGAATAACAATAAATTCCTGGGCCACTCTGGTGGGACGGCGCAGGGGTCGACCACGTTCGGGGCCGCGCTGTGTCTGAACGCCCACAATAAGAAACACAAGCGTCAGTGAAGAGACAGAGTGACCACAGAAAAAAATGTACCCTCCTTTCTCAAAAGGCGGAGCGAAGCGCCGGGATATAAAGACCAACGCATTTCTTAGGTTGGGAACCAGGGCTCGCCCAGAACGACAAATCACCTCGAGGAACAACAGAGGCTCTGCAAGAAATGCGAGTCCTCGTGGCTCACCCAGCCAGTCACCAGAAGACCCAGGAGAGGAGATGAGCCATCATTGAGCCGTTGTAGCCAGTGACAGAAGCTCGGGCTGACATCCCCGGGATCAGTCTTTCTTTCATCGTCTGCGCCACGAAGAAACTGGCCAGTAACGACACATCCTAGTTTTCGTTCCTTTTTCATTTGAATTTCCACCTCTCTCTTTCTTTTGCTGTATCCAAGGAACGAGCGTAGTAGTAGAGCCTGGTCTAACTGAACCATCCATGGTTGAGAGGAACAGGTGATAGCAACCCAACCAGCCTTGCCATGTACTGGTTGGCAGTCGCAATCTGCATCCTATTATCACCTGGGCCAATGCGAATGCCCAGGCCCCAAGTAGCCCCGAATCTAGTACTGCTAGTCAGACGCGGAGGATCGTCGTCAAAGACCAAGCGGGGAAGACTCGATCCTTGGAGTCCGGGGTCGCCACAGCCGTGCATTCAGTCATAAATAACAAATTATCGATCCATAGACCGATGAAATCACGTATTTAATAACGAGTATTCCACAATAGATGATGATTTTTGATCGTTGATTGATGGGTGTTGATGGACAGAAGAGGAGATGGTGAAGCCATACAAACAAAGCAAATATTGATGCCTGAGGCCACAACATCTGTGCGTGTCGGTCGCGTTCAGGGGCTCGACTTTAAGTACAACTCATCCATTTCAGACTTGGACAGCTGAATATATCTCGCCAACTGGACGAGAAAAGTGAGCTCTTTGGGAAAAGACCATAACCTCATCGACCATGTCGTCCGTCGTCCCCTTCACGCTCGACCTGCAGACGTCGCTGTGCATCGGCTTCGCCCTCTCCTTCATGCCCATCGCCTACATCTTGAGCACCTCGTTGATTCCTTCGACTTCCACCCGCAATCGCATCCTGTTCTTCTGGCACGCCTACGATGCCATGACCCACATCTTCATCGAGGGGTCTTTCCTCTACGAATGCTTCACTAGCTACATTACGATTCCCGCCGGATTGTCGCGCGAACCTTTCTTCCTGGGCTTCAAAGACCGTCTATATGGAGCTGCATACGGCACAGGGCCCAGCTCTCGATTGTGGCAAGAATATGCAAAGGCCGATCACCGTTGGGCTACAGCCGATGCGACAGTCATCTCTCTCGAGTTGTTGACCGTCTTCCTCGGAGGCCCGGCAGCCATCTACGTCTGCTATCTTCTGTGGAAATCGTCCAGCAGCCGTGCCACCGCATCGTCCAAGGGATCAGCCAAGGCCAAGTTGTGGTTGGTCGCACCAGCACTGGCAACGGCCGAACTATACGGAGGTTTCATGACTTTTGCGCCCGAATGGCTCACGGACAGCGCGCAGCTGGAGACAGGAAACCCGGTGTACATGTGGTTTTACCTTTTCTTCTTCAACACTCTGTGGGTGTTCATTCCCCTTTGGGTGTTGTGGGTGGCCGCAGGAGAAGTCCGAGCAGCCTTTGTGACGGCGGAGGAGCGAAAGGGCCAGTAAATAATAAGGATATTGTGGAAGGCGAGGTTGGATACTGGCTGGGATACCCGTCGCATGCATGTAAATGAGCGCATGAATTGAGAATGGATTTTCAGCGTGTTGATCAGTATATTTTTGTCCATCTGCCCGAGTATAGCCAGGGTCTTTACAGAATTCATGTGGACCACGGATTGATGATTCTCGAATAACAAAAGAATGAACCTTGCTGTCTATAATGCATACGTCAGTCCGTTCTAAAAATACGGAACCATCTTGATAATCAATCGTTCGTCTCCAGAGAGTTCGAGAAGTCTGCCTGCTTCTCCGCCTCGCCCTGCGCCACACTTGCCCGTGGATCGACGATGACGGCAACACGAGGGGTTATAAGAATCCCACCCTCTCCTTTTCTCCCCCATTGCCTGCGTCTGTAAACAGGAATTTACTCAGAATCCAGTGCAATTTCTATCTGGATAGTCGACCATGTCTTTCAATCAGTATCCCCCTCCAAACCGTGAGATTCCCCCGTTACCTATTCTTCATCTCCTCTTGCTAACTGTTTGTTTCCATCATAGAACCGCCATATCCTCAGGCTCCTCCTCACGGCTATCCGCAGCCGCCATATCCTCAGCAGCCGGGATTCGGTGGCCCTCCCCCTCCACAAGGCTTTCATCAACCTCCTTACCCTCCACAGCAGCATCCTCAACAACACCCCTCTAGTCATCCTCCCCCACAACGATTCTATCACCAGGATCAATTTGGTCAAGCTCCACCTCCCCAAGGAGGCAATCTAGGAGGACCACCTCAAGGATATCCCCAAGGCCCCGGGTTCAATGCTCCATCGCCACAGCCTCCTTACGGCGGACCTGGGTATCATCCAGGTCCTCCAGGCCCTCAAGGCCCTCCCGGACAGTTCGGCCCTCCCGGGAACTTTGGCGGTCCGGTTGGGGGTCCTCCTTTCCCTCCCCATGGACCTCCCATGGGCCAAGCACCTCCTTCGATGCCGTCTCTCGGATATGTACCAGGTCAAGTTGCTCCCGGTGATTTCCGCGGTGAAGCCGACCTCCTCCGCAAAGCGATGAAAGGATTTGGAACAGACGAGAAAACCCTCATTCAAGTCTTGTCGAAGCTTGACCCCCTGCAAATGGCCGCCTTGCGATCAACCTACACCAACCACATCCGCCGCGATCTCTACAAAGATGTCAAATCCGAAACAGGCGGCTACTTGCGCCAGGGTCTACTAGCCATCATCGAGGGACCCTTGATGCACGACGTCACTTCCGCCCGGGATGCAGTGCAAGGAATTGGTACAAAGGAATGGCTCCTCAACGATGTCCTCCTGGGCCGATCTAACGCAGACCTCCGCGCCATCAAAACCGCCTATGACCAAACTTTCCGCCGCTCCCTGCAGAAGGACGTCGAAGACGACCTCTCCTTCAAGACACTCACCCTCTTCTCGACTATCCTCCGCGCCTCCCGCAACGAAGAATCCGCCCCCATCAACCCGCAGACCATCGAAGCGGAAGTCAGGTCCCTGCACGGCTCCACCGCCGGTCGCGCGGTCAACCACGTCGAAGAAGTCTGCGGTATTCTCGCCCGGTCCTCCGACAATGAGATCCGCGCCATCAACCACGCCTTCAGCACAAGATACCACGCTTCGCTCGAGAAGCACATCGAGAAGGAATTCTCCGGTCATATGCAAGTTGCGCTGTTGCAAATGCTCCGTACAGCCCTGGACCCAGCTATGCGTGATGCCGACCTTCTCGAAGACTGCATGAAGGGCATGGGGACCAAGGACGAGATGCTGGTTGTGCGAGTTGTGCGAGTCCACTGGAACAGAGACCATCTGGACCAGGTGAAGCGGGCTTACAGGCACAAGTACAAGAAAGACTTGATTGATAGAGTTCGTGGGGAGACGAGTGGGGATTACCAGAGGTTGATGATTGCTATGCTGGAGTAGTTTTCTCTTCTTTCTTTTTCTCTTTATGCTTTATTTGTTGTTGGTAATACTCTCTGGGTGGGGTTTTGTCTTTGCTGTGATACCATGACGATGTGTATGTGTATTATACCTTACTACCTAATGTTTATGTTTATGATTACCAGGAAGACAGAGAATACCTTGTTTAATACTATGCATTAAAAAAATGGAAAAAGAATCATGCAATACATTTTCATCTCATAAGTTCATATGCTCATACCAGCATCATGTCATAGGAATACATCATCAAGTTTCAAGTCATAATCGTCGTAGACATCTCTCACCTGTCAACCCCTAAGCAATCTCCCCAACAATACTAACATGCGCTCCAGGAAAAAGACCCGTAAGACCAGCATAACACCCCCAATACCAATCATCGTTGATATTCTCCGCCTCGGTGATTTCCGCGCCGCGCGGAAACATGAGTTCATCTTCGACCCCGGCATCGGGATACCACGACCACAGCGCGTGAGCTGTTAGCCCGACACCGCCATCAGGCGGGAAACGGCGAAAGCTGGACTGGATTGGAGTTGTGGGGGCTGGTTCGGGGGTGTTGGTACGATCGCGGTCACCGTTCGCCGTCCAAGGGGTTCGGGTCCTGGAGGCCTTTTTGCGACGTTCGGTTCCTTCTTTCCAGCTCCAGTCGCCAGTTCCGACCTCGGGAGAGGGTGTTGCGGTGGGGAAGGTGTGGACGGTGGGGGATGGGAGGACGTGTTCGTCTTTCAGGGCGCGGCCGCCGACGAGGTCACGGACGATGACTCTTCTCTGGCCTTCTTCGTGGTCTTCGAAGCCGATGATGATCATTCGGTGTCCCTTGGGGCAGCGACGCCAGCCGTTGTGGCCGTTTTCTTTGCTGATTTTCCCGGTTGCTCCGAGTTTCAGGTAGCAGTTTGTGCACATGTCGTAGTCGCCGTCGTTGCATTCTAGGCAGTGGAAGCGGGTAGTCGATGCGGGGATTGGATAAGTGCAGATATCGCACTGGGTGGAGAAGGAGAGGATCTTGAATGTTTCTCTGTCGGTTGAGGATACGTCGGGTGTATTTGCTGAGTGTGGAGGGTTTGGATGATCATCAGGCGTAATGCGGCATATTGGTAGAAGTGCATGGGTGCAGCATTTTCCTTGGTTCACACAGCCATTGCAGAATCCCCAATCTCCTTCGTTGCACTGGTTGCATTTCCAGAAGCAATCATTGGCTGTGGACTGACAGATGTCGCAGAAGAGCCCTGCTTGTAACCTCCGAGCCGGATCATCACTTGTCATTTGTCTGTCTTCATTTGCAACACGCGCTGTCTCTGATGGTCGTTGATATTTGAATGAGAAGAGAATATGCGGCGTGACATGCGCCGGTGTCGATCCATTGGTCGAGGAAGCAAGCATCCTTTCAAAATTTGCGTCTGCAGAGGGGGCAAAACCAACCCATTGCAAACAGCCTCGTCCCAAGCGATAGCAACGCATGCAGAGATGGTAATTTCCATCCTTGCATTCTGAACACTTTTTATGAAGGTCATACTGAATGTTCTGACCACCGCATCGATCGCATGAGATTGATGGTTCGGCATACAACGCTGGGGGTTGAGAGGCATTTGACCATGAAGACGTCCTAGATCGTCCATTCTGGGTAGCTCCAGGTGGAAAAGATGGAGAGGCCAGCGAAGCATTTGATGCAGATGCACTGTGCCCTGGGCGAAGTGGAATCGAAGTATGCACACTACGAAGCATTGGCGAAGCGAGCGCCGTTGGGGAATTCGCAGATGACCTGCCTGTCCGTTCTCTAGATCCTGTCCATATATGCGGGATGCCTTGCTCAGATTCCGTGGCTCTCCTTGGTCTTGTAGGAGTAGATTCTGAGGTCCTGACTCGTCCATTCTGGGAACTACGAGCACGCTCAGATGTCATATCACTGGATGATCTCGTAGCAGGCCTCAGAGCCACCTCCGATGAAGATGCAGGGTTAACCGGCACGGGGGATGTTCTCCGACGGCTGCTTCCTTGTTCGGATAATCGTCTCTGATGGCCCGAGTGCCCAGGGCGCTGTACCAGAGGTTCAAGTAGGTACGGCCTTGAAACTGGGGGGTTTCTTGGTGATTCACGAGTAGATGCGGGCGGAGGTCTCTGTACTGATTGCGACCGAGTGCGAGAGTGGCTTGACGACGTAGGAGGGGCTGCCTGTGTCTCCTGCCGCTGCTGCGATCGCGAGCGCATTCTATGTCGTCGACGATAAGCATCAGCGATGCGCTCACTCAGCTCTTCCTCTTGTCTAGGTCCAAGGTTCTCCATGTCGATATCATCGAGCAGCCCTTCCTCGATGATTTGCCGTAGAATTTCCTCCTCCATAGTTTCAGCATCGGACAAACTCAGTAATGACCGTAGACTTGACTGATGTTCGACACGTCTCGTGCGCTCCGAAGCATTCTCTGCGGGTCGTTGCTGACCTTGTCGCCGTGTCCGGTCCTCATCACGTCGTCGTCTGGATCGTCCATCGGAATCGGTGCTCTCCACATGGCGGGTTCTTGATGAATGTCTTGCCCTATGATTTTGGCCCCGTGGCCGCGTACTATCCTGAAGACTCAACTCCCGAACCTCCTCCAATAACCTTCTATCATCTTCATCCGACTCAACAGAACTGTCGACCTGGGGAGCTGCCGTAGGAAAAACCGAATCCCCGGGTTTATATTTCTCGGCAATCTCCTCCTTCTCAGCATCCGACTTGACGCGGTCAGGACTTGCCGCCAGGATCATATCCAGTAATGTAGTAACGGTGGCATTGGGGCGAGTTTCGCGAACGACGGCACGACATGACGGGCAAGTGAATCGTGGAGAGGATCTAGAGGATCGGGGACGGGAGCCTTGAGCAGAGAACCATTCTTTCAAACATGAGCCGCAGAATGTATGGAGGCAGTCGAGGAGGGTGAGGGGTTGGTAGAGCAATTCGGTACAGATCTGGAAAGGCGGGGAGAGTCAGTCAGCGAAATGATGCCAAAAATAGTGATGGTCGATCCGGAGAATTTTGCACAATGCATCATGATGCATCAGAAGACAGGTAGGCAAATCCCACGAGGCAGGATTGAAAACAAGGGGGAAGAGAACGTGTTCTGGACTTCGCAGGTTCAAGTCATCGCACATACCGAACAGACCAGTTCCTTTTCGAGGTCCACCAGTGCTGGACCACCGCGTGGAGCAGTCGACATGAGGAAAGGGGTCCAATCTGGAGAAGTGGAGATGAGGAGAGAAAGAGTCAACAGTGGCTAGAAGATGATGGTGGACGATCCAAGGAACGATCTCACCGCATAACTGGGGAGTTGGGCGAAGTTGGTGTTGCGTCCCACGGATCAGATCCGCGGGGATCGCACTTAATCGGGCCCACTATGATGTCGCTTAATATCAGGTACGGAGTGTATAGGATAGTTTTGACGATTGTTTTAAGTATACTTCTAGGTAGATATATTCACTGAATAGAGATCTTACTGTCGTCTGATGAAGCGAAATATTGTCATCAATCAGTCTGCAGCATTATGTAAGCTCTTGCTTTAACTAGCTGGCACAAAATATATAACAGTAGGTCAATATAGCCTCACGAGACCATGAAACAACTACAATCAACATACTGTTTCTAATAGACAGAGGAAAAGATAATTAAGATAGACACATATAAAATAGGCAGAAGAGAGTAGAGAACAAACATAAAAAGCTCACCCACTAGTGGACCCCCTCATGAGGGCCTCACCTAGTGGGCTAGGAAAACCCCCGTTTATAGGGGATTTTGCTTTTGCTACGAATTCCAGCGCGAAGCCTGAAAAGCCGCAGCTTCAAAGGCTCCCACCTGGAATTGAACCCAGAGCCGGTAGTGGTTGAGCCTCCTGCTCAATTCCCTTTTGGGAAGAGCGAGGGAGACTTGCCACTGGACTACAGCCCTGGGTTGGTCGGGGGATTCTGCTGGAGGTGAATGATATGCGAAGGCTGGGCAGAAAGCATATGCTAGCCGTAAGCATACTGGATAGCAGTCAAGTAGCATGAAGATACAATCGGTATCTGATGTTGGTCTACAGATGGATGGATGCATTTGATAGCCAGGAAAAAGACCATCTGTTTGCTTCCTGCAATTCTGCCTGCGGGTCAATATCTCCTTTGTAGCAACACATGACGCTAAATCTCGCCTACCATTTCTTTGTTCGTGTCAGACATAAATACTCTGCCCTTCCTAGAGAAGATACGCTTGGCCATCATCTTTCTTTCTTATATATACCGACACCAATGCACCAGCTCAGGTATTTCTCCCTTTATACCAGGCACGGAGATGCTGATTGACAATTCTAGCTTCAACGCTTGACCCAATCCGAAGTGAGATGGATTTCTGGCGCAGAGAGGTATATAGAACGCCACTTGATAACCACAAGAAAGCATTTATCCTGGATATCTCGAACCTTCCAGATAGACATGACCTCCCGCTGGTGAGTTAGATCCTCTGATCTAACTTATCGCCAGAACTCTGACCATGGGTATATGATAGCAATGGAATTCCACCCAAACAGCGCATCAGGGCAGACCAAGATGGTGCGCGTGGTGGACTTTTCCATTATGGAAATGCAAAAGTTGTCTCCGGAATTGCCCAACTCTGAAACTGGTGAGTACATTCTCCCAATAATCAAGCCTTGAAAGCTGATATACTGACTGTCTCGTTCCCAGTAATCGCAAGGACGACACCAATCATAGATACAATAATGTACCATGATTGCGGCAAAACGACCAGATTGGCAATATATGAGCATTCCTGTAATGATTCGAACTCGAAAATCATAACTCGGTATGATGTTCAAAGACATGTATGGAAGAGAACGAACAGAAGCCAGCAAGATGTACCGTCGAACCCACCTTTCAACATTGCTGGGCGGCAGTGCTTTTTCGCAGTCTCAAATCGATGGGCGCTCAAGACTCAAGATGTCACCAGAGCGGTTCTGATTGAATATATATTCCTACATCTGTGCATTATATATCGTCGACATCGGTAAGTTGAATTGGATAGTATTGCCACGATGACTGTTCTAACTATCTATAAGACTAAGAGTACATAAAACCACCCACGAACTACTACTATACAAAACACCGGATCATCGACGCAAATAATCGCGCCAGAATATTGCGTGTTTAAACAAAGCGATGTCATCGAATCCAGCCTACCAACCTGCCCGATCTTTGCGCCTTCTTCCTCCTTTCCATGGACGCCAGGCTCGAGTCCGACTAATACCTGGCAGAGCAAGGTTGCTGGTGCTCTGTGGATTTCTATATACTACTTGCCAGTATGGAGACCCGAGGCATCCGTCTTGAACAGAAATGTTCCTGACTGGACATTCCACCAATCGAATATGTATTTGACGACATCATCTAGGGTTTGGTATTGATCCAATGTCCTATTCATGGACAGCACATACAAAATCACCAAGCGCAAAGATCACCGAGTGGAAGGGAAGCCAATCCGCTCTCCTGGACCACAAGCCATCGAGCTCTGTTGAACGGGTCCATCTACTGGTTGGTAGAAATTGACCGTGAAATAAGGCCGTGATTGGACGTTAGAAGCCACCGACCTCTTCCTTCGAGTGACATATTCACTCCTCGAAAGGGTCTGCACCTTATATTCAGCGTCGCACCATGACAAGTCTCCACGACAATTGCTATGACTCCTGCAAGAGAACCACGTCCATGACAAGGAGATGCTAGCGATGAATCTATCTATGCCCGACAGACTCCAGAAAGGACTGCTTTGATGTCGTCATCGATCCTGAATAGCCTCATTATCAGGCCCAACGCATCAGAAACTGACAGAACGATAGCTCAAAACGAAGAAAGCAAGCCGTCTAGGTGTCTGATTGGAATAATTTGCTGGTCACTCCGTTTTTTGCTTCTACTTGTGGAATGGGTTTTGTGTTTGAATGAGGATTCGACTTTATCTCGTGCTCATAAATTGCCAACAAGGTCACTGGTATTCTTAATGGGTCCTGGGTGATGATGATAGTAAAAAATGACTAGGGATTCTATATATTATCAACAGAACCAAGAGATTTTCCATCCAAAGCATAGCCAAGCAAAGTAATGCCGACAGTCATACCAAACCGTTATCCCATGTCAACCCCATACTCTGTACCATCCAATCCAGCATAGGTAATACAAAGACCCTCAAAACCCTCAACCTCGCCACCACAATCTACAGTTCCAGTTCTACAAGAAAACGCACACATAACGCAAACCCACCTTCTAGGACCACCCCATCTCATCACCCCATCACCAGGGCCGGATCCAGGAGCCCCCCCGGAACTCTAACATTTCACATTTCGCAACTGTCTCAAGTAACACGACCATCTTACCTACCATCCCACCAGCGTCACATTAGCACTTGGCGTTTCCTCACCGTACTTTTGCGCGACGATATCGGCGGTTTCGGGTTCGGTTTTGGATATATTGTGATGAAGTGGAGAGGTCGGTGAGGGATGGGATGGGATGGGGATGGTGGCGAGGGCGAGGGCGAAGGCGATTATATGTAGGATGATGGTGGTGGAAAGGATATCCTGACTGTTTGAGGTTTGGGGTGTGGTGGTGGCGGGAGTCTGGGATGTTGGTGATGTGATCATGGTGGTTTGGTTACATGTGAGTAGAAAAAATGGAAGGGAGAGAAAGAGAAAAAGAAGGGGAGGTGACTTTCTGCGACGCTGAGTGACTTGGAGGAGATGAGAAGAGGAGAAGAGGAGATGAAGATGAAGATGGTTAGTAGAGTACTTTTGATAAACCGTGCTACACTTTCCCTTTTTGTTCCCCTTCTTTTCTTCCCCTTCAAATATTCAGATTCAACATCATACCATCATTCACCTGATGGTCATACCGATATCCAAATTAATAGTCGTCAACAGTCAAGGGTCAGAAAAAAAAAAAAAGGAGGAGTAAAAAAGAGGCAAGATACTCTGTCGTCTCAACCCACCATCACAAGAACGGACCGTGCACGATTCTTGTTAAAATTCCCTCTCGCTCGGACGCTGAGTTGGCAACTGTGGCAGGACAGGACAGGACAGGGAAGCTCTGCACCCCGCAAGAAACAACAGCTGACGCAAGATCATTCTTGTATGCGTTATGTACTCCAGAAGTTAGTTAGAGGGGAGGGGATACGGGAGACAGTACCCCGCAAGCAAGAAGCAGAGGTGTTATCAGTTACGATCACCACGGGTAGGAGATGAAACTATCTCCACCTGGTCAGCGCTTACCAGTATTAGTATTACGGAGTACGACTGTCCGTTGTTGGATCTGGAGTGCTCAGGACCCGAGCTAATAGGAGGTCAGACTGGTGGAACAGGCCATGATTTTGATTCTGGCGGTTATCCTATACTACTTCCTATACTAGTATCGGACTACAATGCTATAGTATACTATACTGTAGTAAGTAGATGATGTCTACCTACCTATCTAGGTCTTACATGGTAATCAGCCTTGTTGATGATTTACGACGCTGTCATATCTGCATACAAAGCTACTGTATACCTAGTAAGACCATTCCTATCGCATACTCGATGCTTGGGCCTCGTGAATTGTCCATTCGCCAGGCTAATGCATCTCGTACATAAGCTCCTCCGGCCCCCACTGCAACGCCCGTTCTAGCCGGTAGTTCGCCTGGGTGGAGCTCTTGGCTATACATACAGTATAGGTATACAATAGTCAGGTGTTGATAATGATTTACTTAAATTACTTTTGATTGAATACATGAATATGAATATGCAGGGCTCGCTAATGCGATGTAGAATACATCTTAGCTTGCAAACGACCATTGGGATGGGTTCCGGGTTCACGACATACCCGTCCGTTGCAGTAGCATTGGTCAGAGTCTTAGAAGAAGCTGTACTGTACCTGAGTGAGCTCAACCAACTCGCTTCATTGGAAGTCCTGTACCCCAGAGAGCTATCTCCAAAGCTAAAGAAGTAGAACTATAATCAATCCCCATGGGGATTGTCAATCCCGGTCTCAATGGCTGTATACTGTATACTGCCAGGCGGGGTCAACCCCTCTTTAGGAGGATGGTATAGACAAGGAGACTGACAGATTGCGAATCCTCCGTGCACGAGCAGATAAGATGCTGAGAATCGACGGGGCGGGCCAATTGGAAGCCGTCTCAGCTGACGCCGAACGTGCAGAGGATATGTGTGATGGAGGCGAACCTACTGCATAGAAAGTTAACATTTCATCGATGGCTTGAGTCTGAGTCTGGAGAAATCGTTCAACTCCACGGTTAATGGGATTTACAGTGATCGCTGGTATTATCTCCGTGGTCCTTGCGACTCGCTCAGACACAGAGGCAAAGCATTCACCACCATAGCCTGCAACCAGTGACTAGCAGAAGTTAAATTGCGGAATTTCAGGGGGACAGCAGCACCTCCCAGCTTCTAGACCAGCCTGAGTGTGCGCACGGGGAAGAAAGAAAATAAAATATCCCCACTGTGTCTTGGTACTGCATTCTGTAATGTGATCAAAAAGATTTTTCTTTCCCCCCCTCTGAACTCGATTGATAGTACAAGTCAACTGAAACTGTAGTCAGTTAGACAGTGTTAGTGAGATAAATGTCTGTGTGTGGAATGGAAGGTCCTTGCAGAGCGGCGATCGCATTGAGTCTGGGATGTCTGGATGTCTCCGGTTAGGGAGGATTTACGATACGAGGTCAAACTTTCTCTTATAGCTTTATTCTATGACTCTACCTACTTATTTTTTTATGTAAACTCGTATAAGTGGCAAATAAAGATAAAATATCAAAACATAAGAAATAAAGTGAAAAGTTCAATTGATGAAAGTGAGACAAAAGACATTGTATGCAGGTCGATAATTGATATGTGAAACAGGCGCATACTTATAAATAGGCCCGACTATTGAAGATATTCACGTTACATTTGCCTCTACAATCGGCATCCTTTTCCGTAAGTTATCCGAACTCCCCAACTCCGTCCACAACACGGATCGGCTTCTGCTGGGAAACGACCTGCCAAGCGTAAGATGGAAATAACGGTCTGATGGCCCAGAAGCAGCCACTCAGATAGGCTCCACTCCCCCTAGCGAGCCGGGCGGCTGTCAAGGGCGTCTTGATGTCATGCACTGGCCATTTCCTTGGATTTTGTTGGCACGTACAGCTCTAGCTCACGCCGCTAGCGCTGGATTCAGGGTAGCCTAATGGGAAAATTTTTACTGGGAATGTGCTGATTTCCCCCTCCCCAGCCCATACAGCTGCATCTCCGTACACCATCTTTTTTTTTTTTTTTTTCTTTCTCAAAGTGGGTTTTATTTACTGCAGACTGACAATGGGCATTGCTAATACTACTAGTACTGCTACTAGTATATCTACTAGCAGTAGTAACCTATGTATAAACAGGTTTTTCACTCTACTCAGACGAACTGAATAATAATAATGGCTCATACGGTTGGTAATAGTATGACTGGTGTTATAGGGAGACAGACTACAAGGTCGGTAGCAGGCGGATGCCTGTTCTCCGTCGCACTACCATGGTGTTGCTGTTGCAATTTGCCGGGGTATGACCAGGTCAAGGTTCTGGCAGAAAGAAATGAAGAAATGAAGATAAATGAAGATAGTAAAAGTAAAATTATCGACGGATATCGCTAATATATGTCGACGACTTTGACAGTAAAAAACAGACCTGTCTGGTGGCAAGACGGTGTACCATAGTTTGGGAGGGGCGCACTGGGGCTGGGCCTGCAGGTCGGGGGTGGGTATATGGAGAACGGGCCTAGAGATAGCCAGGCGATGCACTAAGATAAGCCGATATTAGGTGATGTTGGGTGATATCCAGACATTCTGGACTGTCGCATCTCGCCATTATCAATTCTCCGCGCTTGTCGATAAGGAATTCCAGGCCAAGCGAGATCCTACAAGCCATGGCACTGGAAATGCCAAACCATGGTCCAGTTGGAACAAGAGAGAATCACAGAATCGCGACTCAACTGCACATAATCAGAGGTGCATGAATCCTGTTTGGATCCCAACTGCCTGTGTACTAGTAGACAGACATACATACAGATGCAGAGAGTGGAGTGTCAACGCAGGAAGATCACCTGCCCACCTGGAGAATGAATAGCCCATGTGTTTGTTGTACTCCCAGGTCAATCAAGGTACCGAGTACCTCAACAATCCCCGTGCAAGGGATATTCTTACACCTTCTTTCTCTCTTATCAAACTTTTTTTTCTCTTGTCGAAAATGGCCGAAACCGGTCGTTGCGGCAAGACTGACAACCACCACCACCACCACTGTATCTCCAGGCTATCCGGACAGACCCACGGGCGGCACGCATTGGCCTCTGCTGGCGATCGTCCCGGACTTGTTCGATCGGCGTTTTGGCTTTGAGCAGCGCCAGGGAAACAAGGCCCAAGTTTTTCCCAGCATCATCGGCATCATCAATCCTTCATGGCGGCGAGTCTGTCTGTCTTGCCCATGTTCGTTTTAACCTTCTCTCCCCTTGATTCTTGATTTGCCCCTCTTGCTGGCCATCAATTAATCCTCGACCCCAATCCCTCCCCGCTTCTCTCTCTATCCTTCTTATTCCTCTGCTTTCCTCTTCTCATTCTCTTCTTTTATTTGTTTCTGTAATCTTTTTTTATTTGATTTTTTTTTTTTTTTTTTTTTGGATAAACCTTGCGTGCCCTCCTCCACTCGCACGCAACCTCCCGCCTGAATAAATCATTTTGCCCTACTTCTTCCTACTACTACTCTAGATGTCGAGTCCGACTGGTATGGCCCACATGAATTCATCCCATCCTAGCATCCTGCCTTTTCCCCCAACTCTCCGGTGAACACAATGGCGTTGATTCTGCATGTCTCTTCCAATACCATTTCATCCGGATAGGTATCTCTGTGTTACTCCTACTCCGGTGGTGGTGTCGTAATACCCTCTTTTGCCTCCCGTTCTCGCGTCCGACGCTCCTTCTCATATCCTTCTTCTTTGTGCCCTCTCTCGTCCCACTTCCTCACCTCCTTTTTCCCTCCATTCTTTTCTTCGCTTTTTCTGTTCTTCTTTCCTTCCAGATGCTTTGGAAATTCTAATTCTGTCCATTCCTTTCGCCACTGATTCATCCTGGTCTGCAACTGCAGATCCCATTGCCACTGGTCCCTAAAAGACCCGCTAACTCGGGGAACAGGTTATATTGTCAGGAGTTTCTTTTCACCACGGGCCTTTTAAAAAGAATATTCTACTATCCCTTGCCTAAATAAATTTATAAAGGCCCCCTTCTGCCGTATATCCTGCCTGATTCTGCTTTTATCTTCCCGCTTCTTGTGTTTGTTCACACAAGTCGACCGGATGCCATACACTGCGCCACTGAAGTCGTCGCCTTTCGCGCAGCATATCGAATTCTCCGAACCTGTCATCCCTCACTCATATCCAGAGACCCCTAGACGGATACCCTCTCCCACTGGTCGTCCGCCTCTGTCCCGGTCTTATTCCTCCACAGCTTACGTTCGTAGGCACCGGAGGAGCCCCTCCGCCAGCAAGAACTTCGTCTTCCCAGACCCCGCCTCCAAATCCAAATATGTCCTCGACTCTCAGTCTAGTGTTCGTCAGTCTCCACCACCGTTGAGTGATGCCATCATTCCTCCTGGTGCCGTCATCTCTCCTCCCGAATCCGCACCCAACTCTAGTGATGAGGAAGCGTCATACCACCGGCCGGAGGGACCCAAGATGGAGGAACTGGAAGCTGCTGTGAGGTCTCTTGGACAACGACGGGAGTCGTCACCGGAGAGGTCACCGTCCGTCCAGACGGCAGAGAAGCCTACTCCTTCTCCTGTTCTGGTAGTCAAGACCAAGCCTGCTGGGTTGCCGCTCTCCAAGGAAGCCCGCAAGATTTCCCACTCGCGGTCGTCGACTGAGAGCTCTATTCTTCCACAGCATGAAGAGGCAGTGACTAGCTCCCCTGATGATAGTGACCGTGATGACGAGCCTAAGCGGAAGCCACCAATGCTCCGCAAAAAGTCGGGGGAACTTGTGAGACCCGCCTTGCGCCCGGCATCTGCCCGCCGTCGTCCGTCGAGTATGCCAGGCACTCCTACATACTCCAAGGCAGTTCACTTTGACTCTCAATTGGAGCACATTCGTCACTTTCTACAACTTGACAAGCCTCTGGCCGTGAGTGCCAACACATCGCCAGTCGAAGACTACGCGGGAGAATCTGAGTTTCCTTTTGGTAAAGAGGAGCCTGCCTTCGAATGGCAAATCCACCTGCCCAACTTTCCCAAGGACCCCTCGTCCCGGGGTTACCAGAAAGTCAAGTTGGAAAGGGTGTCGCTGTCGTCTGACCAGAATACCTTGGTCGGTGTGATAGCAGTTGCAAATCTTGCATTCCACAAGCACGTGGCTGCTCGATTTACTTTCGACTATTGGAGAACGGTCTCGGAAGTGACTGCAGAGTACAGTCATGACGTTCGCCGGAAGCAAATTCATGATGGATATGACAGATTTTCCTTTGAAATCAAGCTGAATGACCAGGCTAACCTGGAGAAGAAAACCATGTTTGTTTGCATTCGCTACAACGTGGATGGCCGAGAGTTCTGGGATAACAACAACGCCATGAATTACCAGATCGACTTCCTCAGGGTTCTCAAAGCGAAGCCTGAGAATCGCAGTTTGCCAACGTCGGGATCACGCAATCCTCTGCCTCGAAGCAGGACCTTCAATGCCCGTCCTCACTCGATGCCTCCATCTTTTGAGAATCTATCGGAATTCTCTTTCGGCAGCCCAAAGAAGAGCGCCAACAAGAAGGTCTCAACTAAAGAGCCTTCGGAAGATGACATTGAACCTATAGCTCCTGTCCGTCGTGAGAGACAGGACCGCCAGGCTTTTGGCAATCGCTATGATTTTGGAGCGTCTTTGTCGGCAGTCATGCGGACAAAGCCCAGCCAGGATCGCACTACTCTCACCGCGCGAGCAAAGTCGGAACCAGAGACCCAGCTTGCCGAGAAGAAGAAGGAACCAGGCTTGGTTTCCAACAAAGCTCTGCCTGTTAGCGAAGTCAGCCCGCATATGGCCCACTCGGTGCCTTCGGAGCCTTCTTCTCTCGTTTCTGGCAAGCCGCACCTCGAGTCTTCCGTGTACAAAGAGCTCGTCGACAAGTACTGCTTTTACGGGTCTCCAAGGAGCTCTATCAGCGCCCAAAGCCCTTCGACTGCGGATAAAGATAGTGCAGCTGCCGAAAAAGGCACTTCCCCGTCCTCGCCACCCTCTTCCCCCCCATCCACTTCGTGTATGGATTTTTCTGTGAGCCGTAACCCTCGGGAAACTCGTTCGTCATCATCGACCAATTCGAGCTCCCGTGCATCGTCTTCTTCACCCGCTAATTTCGGCTATTCATACCACCAGCCTACGCAGAACAACTTTATGAAAGGATCTCACACGCCGGCGGTCATCAGAGGGTGAGTCCGTCCTTCTATGACTAGTAGGAAGTCTGGTTATCAGGTTTTCGAAATCGGCCTTCATGCCCCAGGGTATTGACTCGTTGTGTTGAAGGGGCCAATATGCTTTACGCTCTCTACTTCAAGAGAGCCACATTGTCGAACCAGTTTCGTTTTCATCCGTTGCGGTTTTTCCAAGTCAGCCCTGTGTTGGGCCAGTTTAAAGCTTTATCTCTTTTTTTTCGCGGACGTTCAGCTATGGCTTTTATTTCGACCATAGCCCTTTTTTTGTTTTTCATGGTATCTCCTCTGCGATGTAACATAAACCGCGAGGAGGGAGCCTGTTTTATTGCTCATTACGTTTTCAAGGTGGAATGATTGAATGAGAAGGGATTCCATGCTCTGACAGTTGTCGAGTATGATTTCTTCTATTATGCATCAAAGCTTGTCACGATAACGATGTTACGATTTTACATCCTCGATTATGGGGTGTCCTTCGATTCTACACTTTCCCTGGCCATGCTACCCAGCAGCATTCGACCAGCCAATTATTTTTGAACAGGAAAAGTTTTACACAAACTCCTCTTTACAGCATTTTAGTATCATTTGTTCACTGTGTGTTATGTTGCGTGCATGGAGTCTGGGTGTTTTGCTGTCTTGTTATGTTCTCTGGGCTGATTGAGCCTTTCTTGTATTGATGAATTATCTTATTTCTTTGAGTCGAATGGAGAGGGTCAAATGTTGCAAGTTCAGCGTTGCGATGTAGTTCAGTCATGTCATGTCTGAACATAGGAAATCTATCCTATTGAGTTGCTTTTTCGTTATATGTGTTTCTTGTAATATGTAGTTCTGGCTTGCTGCGATAGCTCCCTTACGATTAATGTCGTAAGGATAGTGAGGGCGCATGGCTCCTGGTGGTTGGCCCTTAATGTGAGGAGTTGGCGATGCATAGCGATGCGACCAGAAGACATGACTTGCAGTATGGTGTGTTATGCAGTATACTTTAAATAATTTAGTGAATTAAATAATGGATGATATTGAATTATTTTGATAAAATACTCGATGGTATAGTTCGTGCCAAGACCACGTGACATCTACCCGCCCTGCAGTTCCGGCCGTTCAGTTCCACGGCGGAAAATGCGCCCAACATCAACGCGGCCAAACTCGCTCTCCAAAGCGGCCCTTCATAACGCCCTTTTTCCCAGCCGCCACCCGCCAATCAACACCGGGCATTTGTTCTGTCCAGATCACCCTTCCCTCCTGGCTTAGTCAACACCCTTTTCGAGAGAGAGCAAAAAAAAAGATCACGTTTTCGCTTCCCCGCCCTATTTAAGCCTATTGCCCGTCTCATTTGCTTTCTTCTCTTCTCTTTTTTCTCCCTTCTTGCAACCTTCTCGACAGCCAATCCGCTCCGACGCGTCAACGTCCAGCGACTTCCGCGTCTTTTACCATCCATTTTCATCTGTTTTTATATCATCCTACTATCTTTTATCATCTGACAATATGACTGGACGTAAGTATTATTCTTATTCTATTTTTCATTTGCTGTTGTCGTCATTTTGAATGAGATGAGATGGATGATGATGGCGATACGTTCCCCTGGGACACGTGACGTGCCTTGATGCCTCAGGCCTCGACCCATCCATCCATCCATCCATCCTTTCCATAACACGCTACCATCAACTCATACTAACAACTTCACAGGTGGCAAAGGTGGCAAGGGTCTCGGAAAAGGTGGCGCCAAGCGTCACCGCAAGATCTTGCGTGACAACATCCAGGGTATCACCAAGCCCGCTATCCGCCGTCTCGCACGTCGTGGTGGTGTCAAGCGTATCTCCGCCATGATCTACGAAGAGACCCGTGGTGTGCTCAAGTCCTTCCTCGAGTCGGTCATCCGTGACGCCGTCACCTACACCGAGCACGCCAAGCGCAAGACCGTCACCTCATTGGATGTCGTCTACGCCCTCAAGCGCCAGGGCCGTACCCTGTACGGTTTCGGTGGTTAAATTACTTGACCTACACCTTTCTGCCTTCTTGCTTTGATTCGATTTCTATTTGGCATTCACTCGACCATATGCTGTCCTGCTTGTGTTGTTGTTTTATCATACCTACCTACCACTCGCCGTTGGAGTGAGTGAATGTCAATGGATAAAGGGAAGGTCTTTTAATGCGCTATGATGTTTTTATCTTCTATCTTTGGTTTGCGTCGGCTATTTGGTCAATGGGTTTGGGAAATGGGAAATGGGATAAGAATGGATTTATATCGGATATTGGAATTGCGTCTGCTTCTATTTCTAGGGTCGGATGATTGATTTGTCTACTGTTGTAGATGTGGTCTTCTATAGAGGACTAGATCAATGAATTGATTGATTGATTGACCTACTGAATATTGTGATATCGATGTAGATGTAGATGTAGATTGGAATGTAGAATGTAGCTGCTCTTCACATGCGACCGTTAAAGTGCACGGGCCACATGGTATCCGCATGACGTTATCCTTGTCTTCTCTCCGCGATTTGTACGTCGGGAGCCTCGGTCGCATCAGAAGCCATCCAACAGGTTTATTTCACCTCGAGCATTTCCTGGACTGATTGCTATTGCCTTTGATCTTCATATAGCTATGAATTATTTCGTCTAGCGATGTTCTGAGTTCTGCAATCTGATCTTCACACTATCCATACCATAAGCGGTGCTACCAACAGCTCCCCTCCATCCACTCCATTCCATCTCATAGGTTTCACCTTGCAATCGACCTCTTAGCCATCAGATAGATCCCTTCATCTACCCATAAACCGTCAAATCCATCATATAGCCATAAAAATGGCAGAATACAAACTCAACTACGAATCAGAATTGGTAACTCACTCACCCCTCCAACCAGCAAGAATCATCCCATCTAACAAATAACTTCCTCCCCAGGACTCATTCCAATTATACTACCGCTATGAAGACAAACAGCCACACCACGACTGGCGCACAGCAGCACTTCGCGGTCCGGCTTTACCTGCTCTAGGGAATGCCGTCGCGGGCGCTGTCGGTGCCGCCATCTCCAACGTTACTACCTACCCGCTCAGTCTTATCGTAGCGAGGCTACAGACGCAGAGACAGCGCGGACGGTCGAAGACAGATTCAGGTGAGGACGAAGACGAAGACGAGGAGGAGGAATATACAAGCGTCTTGGACGCAGCAAGGAAGATCTACGCCCAAGAAGGGCTGGGAAGTCTATATAACGGTCTCGTGCAGGACACGGCCAAGACAGTCGCCGATTCGTTCCTGTTCTTCCTTGCGTATGAATCATTCCGGCAGAGACGAATCACGGCGCGGTTTGGGGCATCGCGGAAGGGAAGACGGAATGTTGTTTTGCCCGTGTGGGATGAATTGATGGTTGGGGTTTTGGCGGGGGCGGTTTCGAAGCTATTCACGACGCCTTTGGCGAATATTGTTACGAGGAAGCAGACGCAGGGTGGCGAGAAGAATGTGTCGACGAGGGATATCGCCGCCCAGATCAAGGCTGAGAAGGGCCTGCGAGGTTTCTGGTCTGGGTATTCGGCTACGCTTATCCTTACCCTCAATCCGTCAATTACGTTTTTCTTGAACGAGATGCTGAAATATGCTCTCCTTCCTCGGACTAAACGTGGCAGGCCTTCACCAGTAACGACGTTTCTCCTTGCTGCCCTCAGCAAAGCAGCCGCTTCATCAGTGACATATCCCATCTCGATGGCCAAAACCCGAGCCCAAGCCACGTCCTCCACCCAGACCAACTCACCAAAATCATCACCAGCATCATCAACAGTATCATCATTCACCCCCCAAATCCTCTCCGCCGTCTTCACAATCGCCAAAACAGAAGGCCTCGCCGCCCTCTACGCCGGGCTACCAGGCGAAGTGCTCAAGGGCTTCTTCTCCCACGGCTTCACCATGCTCGCCAAAGACGCCGTCTACTCCATCATCGTAAAAGCATACTATCTCCTCCTCATCGCGTTACGAAAATACCCCACACCAGAGGAACTGATCGAGCGCGCCCGCGAGCAAGCAGAAGAATACGCCGAGGCTGCGCGCGAGGGCGCAAAGGATCTAGTCGAGAAGACGAAAGCCGGGACCGAGGAAGCGTTGGAGAACCATGCTGGCAATGTTGCTGCGGATGGGACGTCTAATACTATGCCCGGCAACACTGCGAGTGGGAATGTGAATGATGGCGTCGAGTCCTCGTCTGGGTTTAGGGTTCCTCACGATCCAGCGTTGGATGTCGAGACCAATGAGACGGCCGAGTTGGTGGGTGATTATGTCGAGGATGAGGCTGATGAGTGGAGGAGTTTATACCATTGGTTTTGGGAGGGGAGGCATAAGGATTAGCTGACTCTATTTTCTGTCTATGAATCACGTCGCCATAATGAAGTGTGTATAATTACTATTAACAGTCTTGATTGTATAGCAGTGTCATACGAAATATTTCATTCATTCTTCTTATCATGATTATTTCTAAGAGCTTCCTGTCAATGCAAGAATATATGCTGAAACGAGCTTCAAAAAAAAAAAAAAAAAAGAGACAAAATTCCATCCAAAGACCCGCTCCAAGATGAACAAAGAAGAAAAGAACAGTTAAAAAGACAAAAAAAAGGCAGAACAAAAATAGATCAGACAACCACCTGAGAATAGATAAGTAATAAAACATGCCATAAGTTCTGGTTTTTTGTCTTCGTCGCAATCTGGTATAAGTAACTTTGTATTATCAAGTTTTCGAAATCGAAATCGGGAATGTATTAATCAACGTATGTAGATAGATAGATAGTATGTTCGGGTATGGTAAAGTCGTCAATCAAGAGAAACATTTCTCATAAGTCATCATCATTATTGTAATGTTGGCATGTTGGATGTTGGTGAATGGGTCGGCTACACACTTGCCGTTCTTCGTTTCACCTCGCTGGGCTTTTGTGCGTATGCGATCAGGAATCGAAAGCCTGTGCCGCGACGTTGGCACTCGCGGAGGATCTTCCGGTCTGCCCAGATGCTGAGATCGACGTCGCCACCTGGGAGGACGGGGATCTCGTAGCATCGCGTGTACCACCACCGGCCGACCTTGGCGACGATCTTGCGGATAGACTCATCGTTGGAGGGGGAAGGGTCGGACAGTAGATCCCCCAGGGACAGGTCTGTGTCGTTCGATGGGCATTTGCCGTGAGAGGTCGTCAATGTAGACTTTGCTGGGAGGGAAAAGGTACTCGTCGCAGCGGCGGACATGGACAGGTTGGAATAAGACGAGTCGGTTGAAGATGAGGAGGCAGAAGACCTGACGATCATACCTGCTACCGGAATTCGAACCATACAACGTCTCAGATTGTCAAATCCATGTCGTCCGAGGAATCTTTGGATGCTGTCGCTGGCCGGTTTGAGGCTGATATTGGCATCGGCCAGGTAGGTTCTCTCTTTGAGTCTGCGGACAGCCTTCCTGGTGCGGATACCCATGTTTACCATATCAAGATCCAGCAAGCTCATTTCCATGTAGCCTCCCGGGCGGAGCACGCGCTTGCATTCTGCCACTATGTTGTCTTGAACTTTTTCTGCACAGGCAGCGGGAAAACGTAGAACAGTCACTGCGAAGAATCCCTTGGGAAAAGGAATTTGTTTATCGAAGCTGGAGTGGTAGACTGTGTGATGGTTTGAAGGTGGCTGCCAGGCGGCTGGGTGTGTGGATGCTGATGGAGTTGGTCCGATGTTAAGATTGTACACATCGGCATGTGGATAGGTCAGGGAGCAGTAGAATGACCAGTCGTCGTTTCCTAAACCGTCTATCACCAGGATTCGCTCTTGCTCTCCAGTCTTAACGTGGTTGTGAGCAGGACTGAAAAGCACCCTCCCAAAAGATAGCCACCGGCTAGTCATGAGCGACCCTGACCGGAGGTTGGTTTGTGCTGTAGGACCCTCCCGATCACGCTCAGCAATGTCAAACAAAACAGTATTTCGCTGCCGACAGGTTTCGAAGCTCTGCGATCGTTTCAAAGATGGCGGGCGGATAAAATCCGGTTGCTGCTCAACAGGCTGGGTAGGAGCTGGCAAGTTGTCCAAGTGAGCCATGTGGATTTTGTCCTCACTTTGCGGATCGCCATATTTAGCGACGAGTTCATCATACGATGGTTGGGGAGGACCAACCGAGGTGCGAAGGGCTGAAGCAATTCTAGAGCGACGAAGTCGGATCGAGCCATTGCCTGATCGAGTTGGTGCCTCGGCCGGGTGTTCAGGCAAAGTAGGAAGCGTATTTTGATCTGCGTTGCCATCTAGCTCTGCTTGAAGCGTCTTGCTAGCCATTGTTGCCAACTCAAACTTCTCTTCTTCATCGGTTTGACCAGGAAACTCGGGTTGCGGAGACTCCGGGGACAGGACGTGGTCGATGAGATCGTCATATTCCCCCCAGACCTCGTCCTCGGTGGGTTCCGAACTGGGACCTGGAACCACAGCTGTCACTGCGGAAAAACGTTCCGAATCACTTGCAGATGAGACCACCGACCCTTTATCTGGAGAAAACTTCAAGAACTCATTCTTTGCATAAGGGCCCGCAATAAAATCCAGCACGCTTCCCTGCATAGGATCCCCGAAGGGTTTGGTGACATCAAAGCCTGGGTTGTATGGTCTAGGTTGGAAGTCGACCGCGGAATGATCCGACAAAGAACGTTCATGTGGCTTATCGAGGACCGGTGCCGTCAAAGAAGGGGACTCTGCATAGCTGAACGGCCTGGAGAATGACTGCATTGCCGGTTTGTGTTGCCTGTCACGCCGCGAGACTACTCGTGGAATACGGCCAACAGATGCCAATCGGCTTGGCCGTGTATCTTTGGGGCTCCTCTCAGGGCTCTTCTCAGAGTTAACAGTCGCAGTAGAGTCTTTTCTGAAATAGACTTTTGGCGAAGAGCAACCGTCCCTGGGTAGTTCGCCCTGAAGCTTGGGAGGCTCGGGAAGCAAGGTAGACTCGCGCGTCTTTCGTATGTTCAGACCCTCGGGGATTGTCACTGGAGATTCTGGCTCATCCTCTGTTGGTGGCGAGTCCTCATGTCTATGCATGATCTCTTCCAGGGGATCTGAATCCGTGTCTACAAACGCATAATGAGCAACAGGTCGATTCGCTGCTATTGGTGCGATCGTCGCATGAAGCTGAGGGACAGAGGGATTAGGCGTTTCCTCGGGAGTGGAGTTCTTGCGACCGCTGCCGTGGCTTCGCTGGAAGAAGCTCCATTTCATCCCTAGTCCCTTCATCTTACTTGGACTCTTCTCCCGGCTTTGTGGCTCATCCTTTTTCTCACTAAGCGGGGGGTGATCCGAAGCACTTGTGTGCGGTGGGCTCAAGCTATAATTATCCACAGGAAGAGGCGCTGTCGAGTTGAATCTCGTGAGAGGCGTGGTCTCACTAGACTCTGGAGGAACGGGCATGCTTGACTGTCCAGCAGTCTGGTAGCTATCGGAAGCTGCTCCTGGTTTGGAAACCTTTGGTTCGGGTTCGGGTTCGATGGTATCCGTTGAAGTGGCCAGTGAGTCGGTGGAATAACCGGTCGAGTGTGATCCCTTTGAGTATTTTGTCAAGTTTATAGTAGAGCCGCTGCTGCTGACTGCACTCTTTACGCTCTGTTCACTTCGCGTTCGTGTCAAAGCTGCTTCGTCCATGCCTCCACCATTGATAACCACGGGTTCCAGACGATCAAGAAAGAAGTTGTCGATGTTCAAATCCGGTCGACCTTTGACACCACCCTTAATGCTAGAGCCGGGCTTGGGTGCACTAGTCAAGCTATTGGATCGCGGTCTGGTACTGTTGCTGCTGGTGCTTGTCTTCCGGCCTCGCCCGGAATACTTTCCATAGCCTTCATGCCCGGTTCCAGCAGCTGGGCCTTTCCTAGTTGCTTTGATTTGCTCCAAGGTAGACCTGTCGAAGTCCGATTTTGATTTCTTGGGGAAGAGGCCGAATCTCTTAGGCGCTGGGGTCTTGACTTCCTGTTTCTTCTTTGGATCTTGGGTCAAAGGCTGCGGTTGTGGTGACTTCCGTGAAATCACTGGCGATATGGAAGTTGGCAGAGTAAGTTGCGATGTGCTGCGCGAATGAAGAGAGTCAACTGATGCAGCCGCAGACTGACTCGGAGGTTGCTGTTGCCGCACTGGGGAGTTCTCTGCTGACTCGCGCCGTTTGTGGCTGGTTACTGACTTGGGTGGCACATTGCTTCGGATCACGGGAGAAGGCTCCAACTCCAATCGATCAGTGCCATCTCTGCTCGGTCTTCTAGGACTCTGTTGTTTTGAGTCCTTGGAAGGATCGAGAGTCTTTGTGGCTCCCATACTTGCTCTACGGTCAATGCTGGGTCTTTTTATCTCGTCTTTCTTATGGGCTGGTTCAGCATCCGGCTTGGCTTTCGTCGGAAGGCTCGGCCTTAACGACGATCGCCGTGGCAGGAGGCTGTTTGATGGAGTCACTGCTTTTGCAGGTCCTGTGCTCTTCGGGGAGATTTCGAGTTCACCTTGGACCAATAATGACGTACTGGACCCAGCACCTTTTTCTAAATTCGGAGACTTGCTGGCATTTTGCTCCAATCGATCACTTTGTGGACTGGCGTATGATATCGGAGAGAAGAATGGAAGTCTGAACTGAGAAGGACTCGGGTGTCTTGAACGGTAACCAAACTTCACAGGTTGAACAATTCCCGGTGAGTATGACGAGACTGAAGTCGGAGTGGACCCCCTACTCCATATCCCCGGGGAGGAGGAGTACCGTGTCGAGGGCGTGCTGGCTGAGGGGAAGTTCGGAGTTGGCGGAGGGAGGTTCTGGGTATTGACGGTTGTTCGCAGGCTGGCAAGCTCTTTTGGTGCCTGGATAGCTTGAGGCTGGGGCTCTGCTGATTTTTGGGCAGTCTTATCTTGCGAAACAGATAGTGAGGTTCGCAGCCGAGCCAACTCCGGTTGGTCCCAGGGATTCCTCGGTGTAGCATTCATGGCCTGGGTGGGGCGAACGCTGTTCGGAATAATCACACTCAACTTTCCAGGCCTTGCGGTCTCGATCGTATGTTCAGCACGCTGCCCGATTGTTGGAGCCTTCCTGCGAAGGATATTTCGTGCTTTATTGCTCACAGATGCTTGCTTATCGGTCTTTGGCGTAGGTTGAGGTTTTGCCACCGGGCCAGAGGGTGACTGGGTGGTTTGGCCGGTTGTCAAGGGACTGATGGGTGAACGGTGTGATGCTCGAGGCAATGACTGAGTATTTGGTCGAGGAAGAAAAGACAGCCGGACATCGCTGTTGGAGGTTGTTTTGACAGGCCTCGATGGCGCTGGAATCTGAGAACCTTGCGCTGCGTCGGAAACTGACAATGTCCTGCTAGTCCTCGACGAGGTATTCATTTGAGGCTTGGGAAACAGTGAAATTGGAAAAGCGCCAGAAGTCGCAGAGGACGTTGTCACTGGGGACGATGCGCTTCGTGATTGTGATGCAAAATCTTTTGGTCTGGGTATTCGACCACCATTGGACTTGTGTGACGACGACATGGTGTGACCTTGACTTTTGTTCCCGGCTCCAGTCCGAAGAACAGCGATCTAACAATGGACATAGAATGTTGCAGATTCGAAATCATTCCGTCTAAACGATGGTGGGTTGCGTTGAAGGAATGTGCTGTGCGGGGGGGCAACTGATGAGCCTCAAGCCTGGGGGAAAATCACGAGAGTCGGAGAATTTCCACTTACAGCTCTTAAGTCATCTTCAGCAATTGTTAGAGCAAGTGCAATATACCGGAATGGAATGTCAAGTCAAAAACAATGCCGCGCCAGGAATGGGTATCTTCAAGAAGCAAATCGGTGGGTATAAATCAGAGTATAGCGCGAACAAGAAACAAAGCAAACAAGACGTCTGGTATTCTAAGTATTTTTCCCGAGCAAAAAGAGCGATGCGGCGATAATATAAAAACGCAGTAAATAAAAAAGTATAGGCTGCAGAAAAAAATCATCAAATCTCTTTGGTTGAATGGTTACAAAAATAATATGCATGCACCCACTCCGCCACAGTATGGAGTCACTGCCGGTGGCTAAAAGATAATGCCACAGCACTGTTGTTTTTCGAGCTGGATCCGCAGAACACGTCAGGGGAAAAGAAAGTAAGAACTGAATGTCAAAAAGAAAATAAAAAATAAAAATAAACGAGACCAGCTACACGAAAAAGTAAAGAAAAAAAAAGTAAAGGAGTGGAAGAGATAGATCGCGACCCAGGAATGTAGAAGTAAGAATATTTTTAAAACCACGAGATATTCCTGGACTTTTTCAAGGATTTAATGAGGGGATCCAACTAGTCAATAGTCAATCCCCCTTCCCCGTCCATAGTGGGGGAACTGACTAGGCGAAAGACAAAAAAGGACCTCTGGTAAACGGCCTTGCAAGTAGCATCTGTATTCTGGTCAATGGGAAAAGCGCACGAGAGATCCTGGCGCGGGTTTGTGCGATCGACGTCGGCTCCAGAGTGAAGGACAGATGTGACCAGGCTGGTCATTGGTGAGAGATGCGCTTTCTTTCCGACGAGTTGAAGCCCTTCAAACATGCAACTCCACGTCTGGGATACCTAGAAATTAGGATAGTATGGGATGTGCTCCTAACCACGGTAGGATTGTGCGCACACAACGGGTATGGGCCAGCGAGGTCCCACTTTCAGCCAGTATGTTATTATGTATGCCGTTGGGACGATGGAGTCGCGCGCGAGTCAGTATCAGACAAATAACCAGCAGTTGTCTTTCCAAATCCCTCGAGTTGGATGAAACTTGACAGGTTGCGATGGAGCATCGAGTGGCGTAATTGGACCAACTGGGCACAGCGACTCGGACTTTTGCGAACCCGCCATGATCGGAGAATCCACTCGAGCCCACAGATGCAGGTTTAGCATCCTGTAAGCTGGCTGTTGAAGTGCATGAATTGGTACCGTCTCAGTCAGGTGGTGGTCACTGACCAGTGTGCGCATATCATGGTTGTTGGTGATTCTGGCAGGCTTTCTGTTGGCCCCGGAGACGCCGACGAAGCAAGCCCGGCGCCGATCACGAGACATCATCATACAGATTCACTGGCTTGGATAATAATACCATCATCATAATATCAGCTTACAAAAGAATCCATCTTGCCGCAGGATGCATCGATGGAAACACATTGGTTCAACAGAATCAGTCCGTCGTCTTTGGCATTTGCGCCTCTGCTTTCTTCGGCACCTGTGCGCGAATTCTACAATCCCCCAAATTACAGTCGATAGCTTTGTTCGCTTTGCTTTTTTCCCTAAATTCTCTCAAGTATTTGTCAACCATTCGCATGTTAAACTGAACTCAGGATTTGCTCCGTAAATTCAGACCGTCCGTTTGTGACAGTGGTACGGGTCCAAGGTTCGACCCGAGCCTTTCTAGTTTCTTCACAAGCCCAACAATAGGCAAGGCGAGAGAGAATCAGAACAAGGGCCAAAAAAAGAAAAGAAAGGGCAAAGAAAGAAAACTCCGAGGCGCCCACGCCTTGGTGCGATGATCCCCTGCTGGAAAAGGAATCGTTGCTGAGCCTTGTTCAGGTGCAGACAACCAGTCAGATCGGCCAGGGCTAGGGTCTTGAATGATTTGATAAAACCTCAAACCCCGTATGTAGATTGTTTTTCGTCCGATTGAACCATGGATGCTCCCAATTTGGATCCAAACCCGAGATGTGCGCAGAAGTGACTTGTGGAGATGGTGAGAATCTGAGCCCGTGGGTCTTTTTGATCCGCCGCTAACAAGACAACCCGAAATTATCGGCCATGATTGATGGAGAGACAAGAAGTTTCTCTAGGCTTAGCACGAGGTCGACGAGAGAAAAAGTCGACGGGGAGGAAAGGGATTCGCCAGAGACAAAAGCAAAGACCTTGTGATGGCTGTGACGCCTAGTGGGGAACGGCGGTTAAGTCGAGACGGGCTCGTAAAACAGAGCATGCAATTATTATTGTTATTTATTATTGTAGAGTCTGGACAAGGCGAAACAGACGGGGAAGAGATGCCAATCACGGTTCGTCGACTCGTTCGACCTAGACACGCCAAGGTGGTTAGCAGACTGGCGACATATTAGCCCACACTGGCCTTGGGGATGAGATGCAGACTCAGACTCAAATTCAATCTGTAGACGGTCGAACAAAAGCCGGACTACTCCGCTCCTGCTGTGCAATTGCTGGACGCCGTGAAAATGATGCAAATGCAGATCCGATCGATGGCGTCTTGAGTGGGAGATTGTGTGCTGCAGGAACGAGACGGCCGGCCGACTAGCAACTGGGCTAATGCGCTTTTCAGCTCACGCTGTCTCTATCTTTGACTCATGGTCGTATTGTCCAACACAGACTAAAAGAACCTGGCTATTTCGATATGATAATAGCTAATCTAGAATTTCAGATTTGATTTCTGCTCGGCTCTTTGTACGCTTCTAGATATCACTGATTACATCTACTATCTAGATTATTTACTTGTAGCGGTGTGATAAAATCAACAGATACAGCGCAAGATAGTCAAAAATAAGTATTGAATTCAATATAATACCATAGTTTCCTTAATGACATCTCCCCAGAACGCCAACATAGATGAAAGGAAAAAATAATAAAAGAAAGTGTAGAAAAGAACGAAAGTATGAACAGACATGCGTTTCAACTATGCCGCCGCAGCGAATCTCTTCTTCCTGGCCTCCATCGCAAGAGCATCCTTCTCACTCAAGGCCTTAGGCGGCTGCTTATTGTTGTTATTGTTGTTGTTGTTTCCACCACGTCTTTGGCCTTGGTTCTGGTTTCGATTTCCATTACCCCGGCGGTTTTGCTGCTGGTTGTTCCGGCCCTTGTTATCACGTCTCTTTCCTCGTCCTCCTTGCTGTTCATTGTCGTTGCGGCGCTTGCGAGTCTTTTCGTCCGGAAGTGCTTCGTCCAGTCGCTTAACACCGACAGAGGCACCATCGGTGTTTTCAGCTCCAGTTCCAAATCGCTTCGCACGCTCCAGCTTCTCTTCTGCCGCTTTGATAGCAGCCTGCGAGTCCTCGGTGATGCCAAACTTCTCCGCACGAGCCTTGCGCTTCTTCAATTCCTCCTCCAACTCAGTAACCGGCAGTCCCCTTGTGTAATCCACTGCGGGTTTCTCCTCGGCCGGAGCGGGCGCGGCTTCCGTTGAAGCTGTCGCGTCTGATCCCTCAGCCTTCTCAGCCTCTGGGGCAGCTTCCTTCGATTCTGCCTTGGGGTCTTCGGTCGCAGCGGGTGCGGTCTCCTGTTTCTGGTCGGCATCCGCAGAGGCCTTGTCGCCAGCAGCAGCGGCTGGGGCTTCGGTCGACGGCTTCGCTGCAGAGCTGTCTGCAGGAGCATCATCATCCTCCCAGTCAATCACATCTTCAGCGGCCTCAGTCTTTCCGGAAGCAGCAGGGCCGGCATCGGTCTGGGTCTTGCCCTCGTCGTTCTCTTGAAGGCGAGCGACCATCTCGGCCTTCTTACCGGTGTGCGGGAGCGATCGAGACTTGAGGATCTCCACGAGCTCCGCGTTGGTTTTCTTGCTGTAATCGGTAGTCATCCTGACGGTAGTTTGGTTTCGGGTGATCGTAGGGGAAATCAGCGCGAAGGGCGAAGGTGAGCGAATTCAATTTATGCGCTTCAAAGGAATAATCGGAAAGTGATTGTAATTGATCCCTAGACAATGCTCATAATGTGGTGGATAGAAAAGAACGGAAATGGAGAATGGATGACGGTGAATGAAGGTGTAGCCATCAGCTCCGGCGACTGGAGGTCCAGGACGCGTTGCGCAGTGGCCAACCGCAGGCGGCCTGTTTGCAGGATCACGTGATTATCAATATATCTACAGTAGAATATCAACAAGTACAGCAGCAAAATATGAAGACTTTATTGTCTATATAGCCAGTTAACTCTCAGCTTAAATTGAGATATTTGATTCCATCACAGCAATTCGAACAGGATCAAAATCCTGCCATCTACTCTCACAGTAACCAAGCATCAAACTCAATTCACCAACACGCAGTACATACCTCACTCGAAAAGCGCCCAGGATCCTCCATAGAGACAAATACTCTCCCTTATTTCCACTTAACCCACGGCCTCAACACATACCCACTACGGAGCCCTCCTACCTATGACCAGCATCACCTTATGCATGCAACCCGTCATGACATAACAACTGACAGCTGTCCATCCCGTCTTACCTGGAAATCAGCTCATAACGTCTGAAGCTATGAACTATTCGGTAAAGCTTATCGGGGCCCCCGAGACGTTGGCAGCTGAAAGAAAGCCGGAGCTTCTGAGTTGGCAGTGTGGCGATGCGAAGCTGCATATTGTGGCGTCATAGTAAGGTCGTGTTATGATGTATGCACTGCGCCACAGATGGTGGGGTCATGTGATTAGCGTTGGTTTGGTTTTGGTTTGTCATGTTGGGAATTTTTGATTTTATTTTTCTTGTTGGGATAGTTGGATAATGATAATAGTAATAGTAATGAAGTTGATTACGAATAGCCTGAGGTGTCATGATGTCTAAGATAGACCGTCTGGATTCGTTGATATGGTCAATTCGAACTGGAACTCCATTTTCCATAGTTCTTCAACTATTGTAAACATGGTATAAACAATGACATGGGGAATATTGCTAGTTAAATAAAATCTATCATCAAAGTCGCTTGACGCCAGTGTAAAACATAAAGCAGAAACGCTAATCAGATCCGGAATCCAAAAGATAGCAAGAGAATATAGAGAGAAGACCACTTAGTCTCAAGTGCACTCATGTCAAGCATCAGATAATTATCAAGGTCTTATTAACCATAAAACCAATATTCTGCGGCATAGTCCACTTGGAAGCTGCCTTTTTGACGCTCACACGTGGATGGAGCAGCTCCTCCATATGTCTGAACACGATATACTTCCTATCACCAAAGTGTCAGTATACAACAATGATAGAAGCAAGCATATAGGTACTCACCTTAATCCCTGTCCCAGATGTAGACGCGAGTTTCAACCACGAAACGTCCTGTTTGGTATCGTGGTCTTGACTGCCCGAAGAAGACGTCGATGGTGCAGTCACGCTTGCATTCTGCTTTGCTGCCGCCCAGTCCTTGTCTCCGCCCAGCCTTAAATCGAAAAAGGGTGCTTTGTTACTGGTAAAGTAGTGCTGTCCCAGAATAAGACTACCAGGCTTTGGCGAAGTAAGCTGGCCCAAAAGCACAGTTAGATACGAGACAGCATCAACCGGAAGTCCGACAAGTGCAGCCGGAAGCGCATGAAGGAGTTTCGGATAAGATGAGGCGAGATAAGATGCGTCATAAAGCGTAGCAAGAGCGCCATTCGCAGCAGGAGTGGCTGTTTTGTCGGATGACGAGCAGGTGTAATTCTGTGTTCCTCGACCAAGAGCGACGTGTTTGAGGGTCAATCCGGGGGATACAGGAGGGAGTTTCGGATTCGTGTCTGACAGTGGAAGAGTGGCGTTGGTCAAGGAGAAGTTTCCAATCTGGGTGTGTCCTAGTAAGCTGGTGATCCGGGCGAGGTCTAGAGACAGAGCATTGTTTCTCGTGCGGAGAGGCGATGCGTCAACCACGAGGGTGAAACATAAGAGCAGTAGGGTAGAGAGATTCATATTCGCCAAAGGGTGTTCAATGCACAAAGCTCTGGACTGTTTTCGCAAACCGAAAAGAGATAATGCTGAGATTGATGTCAGATGCTGGAAGACCCAAAGTGGCTCGAGATCTGATGTTATATGTAGCAATGAGTATACACCGAAAACCAACATGAACGCAACACCATACCTTCAATCTATTTTCAACAAAAGGTCTGTAAGCCTCGGTGGGCCAATAGCTCACTTGGGTCCAATGCAATCATAGATAAGAATTCCAACATGGCGTAGCAAGGCAGATCCAACAGTTGCTGGCAGTGGTGCCGCTAGAAATCTTCCAACATCCTAGCGAACCATGTTGGTACCAACCCAGGATTTCGGGACATCAAGTGATTTGCATGATAGATATCAAATAACCAGATTTGTATTGCTTGAAAGAGATGATGCCAAAAATAGTCAGAAATAGCCGCGGGTGGATTGGGATCCTTGCGAGAGTTATCGAGGCGCAGTTTCACCATAAAACAATACCAACATGTAGTATCAATTTGGGGGCTGATTCGCTATTTTAAAGGTTTCAACACCGTTGGTGGATAGAATTGCTTGCCACTGTCAAATGAATAGACTGTCTACTCGGAGAAATACAAAAAGCACTCTCGAAGTGAAGCTTGGCCTTGACTGGCTGCATAGGTGGCTGGAATAAACCCGGAAGCCTTGAAGCGCCAGGCACCTTCCTACGTCGTATATAGCAAAGAGTCCATATATGCAGTAGTGGTCGTCTAGATATCGGACTAGCTCGAGTTAGCAATATAGCACCAGTTGAACGTAATAGAGAAGGGAATCAAAGAGATAGGCCAATCCAAAATGCACCATTCCTAGGGCTGTTAGACAAAGCAGTCCAGATTGAATCCCCACTGTGTGGTTCCATCTTGCAGTGAATGCCATCAAACAGAGTTCCGTGGCTGCTATTTGTTCAGGCCTCCATGCCACTCCAACTGCAGGCACCATTTCCCAGTCTTTCTCCCAATTATTCAACTTTCAACGCCCCAGAATGACCTACCACTTGACTTTTAATCTACCCCCACTCATTCAAATTTCGGATATTTCCTTCTACAAGCAACAGCATGTCTATCATGCCTACCTGCGCCTTCGACTTCACCGGCAGAGTTCGAGAAATCCACAATAGACATGTTAAGATTGAAAAACAACTTTCCGAGCACTTGGACGATCAATCTGGACAGCGGCATGTTCTGGCTCTCGCCCGCTACCTTGACACTGATGAAGAGATTATGCTGAAAATTCGCTATGAGTGAGTCTAAATCCCTTTTGATGGAAGCGTTTGGCTGATTAAAAGGTCTAGTTTGAACCCTGAACAATTTGACATTGAAGACCTTAAAGAAAGCCGAGAGGACGCTGACATGATGTTCCTTCATGAGGCTGATGGTGTTGAAAATGTGTACGCGATTCACCACGGGCCTCGATATATCACCTATGTCACGCAGCCTGCCGGGCAGGAAATGCCGTATCCAGATGGCTGGGCCGACTTTCTGATCACATCGAGAGTCCCAGGTGATGATGTTGCTGAGATTTCTGGCGAGCTTACGTTTGACCAGCTGGAGAGTATTCGCAAGCAGCTGGCTAACATCCTTGAGGACATTTCTCTCTTTCCCTGGCTTTTCATTACATCAGAAGTTTTGCTAATCGCTTTATTCTATCCACTTGCGGCAAAATGGAAAGGTCTTTTATACACAGGATCAGGGCACTCTACGATACGACGTCCAAAATGACAAGCTGTATTTCGTCGACTTCACCCACATGAGCCTCATAGACCCTAACTATGGGAATTGGACGTCCATTACACCCGACACCACGTTTGTAACCGGATTCAACCTTTGGTCCCATAGCCATTTGCGACGTGCCAAAGAGATCGCAAAAATTAAGTAGATACAAGCACAGAAACCGGAGAATCCAATTTTCGGGCTTTCAGGAACTCAATCTGGAAATGTTCGTCCGCCAGCGAGGTCGACCGGTCAGCACCCTGGCCTTGAAAGAAAAGAGTCTCAAAGGGATATCCAGGCAGAGAATCGAAGGGTTGTGCAGACGGAAAACCAACGTCCAGGATGGCGGTGGAGGACAGTGTGTTCTCTCATCGATAAAGTCGATGAAATTCGAATAGAACATTCCTTTCTCAAACAACAAACATCTTCGGTTTTGTTATCCACTCTTCGACGTGATCAATGTTTTCTTCTTGCACGACGTGATGTAACACTACACTTTGAAGATGGGGGCGATGTATAGTGATTTGGAATCGCTGTTCGGAGCTTAAAGCACAGCCCACCACGGAGATGAAACGAGGCGTACTCCTAGGCTTATATAGCATCAGGGTCCAAAAGAAACCCTTTCTCGTATAACAACATTGCCAACAGAGAACTGGATGACAAGATTGGCCCGTAAAGCAAGATTAAGCGCCGGGATGAATCCTGAATCCTTTCAGAAGTTAATCACGGATATCGTGAATTCCCAACATGGGTTCTCAAGTGGTACTGCTCAAATGCTATCTGTTTGAACGTTGCATTTGGCAACCTTGAAGAGCATTGTTATGATTGTTAAGATGTCGAGAAAGTCGCTCGATTTAGAAGGCAGATCACGTGTTTGGCTAAGCTTTAAGAGGAAAGGCCTTGGCATGTTTTTTCCTGGCCAATCAGGCAGACTATCCCTATCCTCTCTCTCCAACCTCAATTGCAGGGAAACACCTTCTTGCCTTCTCATCGCTTGACAATAACTAGAGACCAGTGATATGGGCTGACACAGCATCTATGCTAACGGAAAGCATTTCGAAAGCAAAAGCAGGAACCCTGAAAGTCAAATATCCAGCCAAGAAGTCATCATGATAGACTGCCTGCTGTTCACGATTGATCAATTCAAGGACGACAAGAGCTCCAAGCCCAGATTAGCACCTCGTTGACCCGTCCATTCGATTAACTATACCGAGCCATTTTCTATCTATGGACTTTTATCGCAGTTCAATTGCTGCTCAAAACTTCGAGTGTCGATATGGTGATTAAGGGGTGGCTTGTTGCATGTGATCTGCTTTGATCAAGATCCACATTTCCCTGTTAATTATCTCTGAATCATCCAAAGAACGAAGCAGAACTCTTAAGGGCATACCCGTCCTTTCTCGAGATTCTGTCTGGAGTGTGTCGAGATTTCAACCCAACAATAATGCAAACAGCCGGGGACAACGATAAGGACGACCCAGACGGGCTGGATAGACCTCTATAAACATGCCTACTGTCAAAACTGAGAGATATATCCAGTTTTGTACTTCATTTTGTTTGGTCGTGTTCTTTGCCGCTGGCCTCATTCGCCCACTTCACGAATTCGGTCTTTGGAAAATCATTGCCCTATGTCATTCCCGAAAATACAACAGTGCTTTAATATAGGATGATTCGTTTCTCTTGGAAGAGAGCTACGAGGATAGAACGGCGCCTTCGTGGCCGGCAGTGTGAGAACACGGACAGAGACATGCCGGTGAGGACCACTATAGGTTCAGTCACAGTACTGATGAGTAGTAATATGGAGTCACGGAAGTTGTCGCCGAAGGCTTGATGGCAGATATTTGCCGAACAGCTCAGATGCGATACTTGTCGATCCCCCTTGATCCGGCGCGATCATCAAAAAGTGCATAACATGTTGCACAAGAGTTCGGAATGAATCAGAATATGCAGGTGCAGGCAGCTAACCTTCATCCAGGCTGGCAATGGCAACACCATCGACGGGCGTTGACCATCCGAGGTCAAACCCCGCGTGGGACGGAGGTTGATTCTCCGCAACTCTATCCCCACAGCGTCAAATGAAATGCATAATTCTTTGTCTGTGTTATAAAAGCATAATGAAACCCAGGCTTTGGGGTAATTTAACAAAAAACCGATAAATAACTTGTACTGATCTTTAACATGGCCCTCCCTGTGGAATGCGACATCCTCGTCATCGGAGGTGGCAACGCAGGCTTCTGTGCAGCCATCTCCGCCGCTGAATCTGGTGCTCGCAGAGTGATCATTATCGACAAATGCCCTGAAGAATGGGCTGGAGGAAACTCTTACTTCACGGCGGGTGCATTCCGCACTGTCCACCACGGCTTGAAGGACTTGCTACCGATTGTGAACAATGTCGACGAAAAGACAGCACAAAAAATCGATATTAACCCATATACCACCGAAGACTTCACCCGAGATTTAGACCGCGTAACGAGCGGACGGACGCATCCCGCCCTTTCTCGTGTCCTTGTTCAGGAGTCGAACGGTGCCATCAAATGGCTGGCTCGCAATGGTGTTCGATTCCAGCTGTCCTTCAACCGGCAGGCATATGAGGTAGACGGACGATTCAAATTCTGGGGCGGACTATCACTCAAAACCGAGGATGGAGGGAAAGGACTCATCAAAGACCATCGTCAAGCAGCCCAAAGGCTTGGGGTAAAGACCTTCTTTTCAACCGCCGCCAAAAGACTGATCACCGACCCGACGACTGGGGAGGTGACGTCGGTGGTTGTGTCACACCACGGTCGAGACAGTGAGATCAAGGCTGGGGCCGTCATCCTGGCCGCGGGTGGGTTTGAAGCCAACCCACGCATGCGTGCACAGTTCCTCGGACCGCACTGGGATGTAGCCCTGGTACGCGGCACACCGTACAACCAAGGCGATGGCTTCGAGATGGCCATCCGCGATGTCTCAGCCAAACAAGCCGGGAACTGGTCTGGCTGCCACTGCGTGGCGTGGGATGCAAATGCACCCACCGACACGGGCGATCGCGAGATCTCAAACGAGTTCACCAAATCCGGGTATCCGCTGGGGATCATGGTGAATCGGCGCGGAGATCGATTTGTCGACGAGGGGTCGGATATGCGCAACTACACGTATGCGGTGGTCGGACGGCAGATCCTGAACCAGCCAGGCCATGTGGCATTCCAGGTCTGGGATTCACGAACGATTCCCTGGCTCCGTGCGGAAGAGTATCGGCCGGAGGTTGTGCAGCAGATCACTGCGTCTTCGATCAGCGAACTGGCGGATAAATGCGCCGAGCACGGTCTGGAGGATCGACAACGGTTTATCCAATCAATCAACGACTTCAACCACGCGGTCTATCAGAGTCAGAGGGAGAATCCGGGGTTGAAATGGGACCCGGCTGTTAAAGATGGGATGTCCACGCAGTCGTCGACGACGAACTTGTCCGTGCCCAAGTCGAACTGGGCTCTCCCGATTGACCAGGGACCCTTCCTAGCCGTGAAGGTTACGGCTGGGATTACCTTTACATTTGGCGGACTGGCCGTCAACCCAGAGACTGCGGCAGTGGTTTCATCGACGACTCACGCAGAGGTGCCGGGGTTGTACTGTGTTGGAGAGATGCTGGGTGGAATCTTCTATGACAACTATCCGGGAGGAAGTGGATTGACATCTGGAGCAGTTTTTGGTCGACGAGCAGGACAGGCTGCTGCACAGGCTGCTCGAGTGTCTAAGTCCATGAGTGCACGATTGTAATTACTCTCTTGACCTAATACTGTGCTACCAATATGAATCATAAGGCATAACCACAATCCATCTCCAGTTATACTAATCAGACATCCACACCATTAAAACCATCCACAACAACAAAAGTGATAAAAACCCCACACCCAAGACAAACCCATCCAAACCATCCAAAAATCCAATAATCCAATAATCCAAAGCATAGACTCAACCCTCAATGGATCCATCCATATCATCATATCCCCTACGGCCCTAACCCAAATCAGCCTAGAGCCAGTATACGCGGCCTGCTTTCTCATGTCCATTTTCCCTTCTTGGCAACTGCACCCCACGCCTGACGTCATTCTTCATTTCACCCTCACTGCTATTATCATACTAGGTAAGAGGACCTGATTTAATTTACTATGGGGTTTACAGGCTAGTACTATAATTGATGATGGAGATAGATAGTGATACAGGGGAATTACTTAGGCTGATACCTACTGTGTACTGTGATGGATGGAAGATGGTGGCAGTGGCAGTGGTACAAGCTGACGTACACCACCCCGTGCTTGTGCTTGCTTGTTTCTATTTTGACATTCCATGTTTTTTTTATTTAATTTAATTTTATTTTATTTTCCATAATCTGCAGGGTCTTTGGAGGCGGTGCCAGGTTGAAACGCCAAGAGGGAGTTAAATTCCAGGACGCGTGGAGGGAGTATGTCTTTTTGCGCTCCTTGCATGTAGCACTTAGTAGTTTATGTATACAATATTGAAGAAAAGAGATGAAGTTGAATATTGATTAGACAATAATATTGGTATAGTAGCGACTGTAATGACACATCTGGTGCCCTCCCAAGACCAAATTTCCCAGTAAAAACCAGAACCTCCTTATCCTGTCCGATTTTTTTTCATAATACTCCGGTATATCACTCCTGGGTACGCCTTCGAGGTCTCTGGGAGATTCTCTAATTTCAACATGATTCAATCCCCAGCAGTAGAACAAAGATGGATGCTTCAAAGTGACACAAGCATTGCTCTAATCAAATCAGAAAAAGACAGCCTGCTGCGAACATTTTCCGGACCCCGTTATTTCTCAACCATGCCACGGAACCGCAGAAACAACAAAAGACAAAGACATGGCAACCCCGCTGGTATCTGACAAAGTAAATAGGAAATAATAAAGGAAAAAAAAGGTCATGCAAAAAAAGTAGAAACCCAACTCCCAGGTCTAGCGAGAGAATAGAAAGAAAATAAAGAAAAAGATTTCCAACCAGAAAAGAAAAACAACCGGTACCTCTATGGTCGTAACATGAGAATATGAAAGTGGTCATCACCAACGAATTCCCCCAAGTTCTTGTACCGCATCATGCTCATCCATGAATGTAGAATAATAAAAGGATAAAAAATAAATAATAAATAAGAAAAGAACAACCGGTTGGGGTATCAATTCTCTGTCAAAACTTGCAGAGACGGGAATCGAAAAGAAGAAAGAAAACTGTTGTACAAGAGGGCAAAAGGCCGATCGGGAAAATCCAGTGTAACGCGACACTGGACAATCCCGTAGGCAGGATGTCATGATGCGATCAACACAAGGCTCAGAGGAAAAAACGAAGGACATTAAACGTTGGACGTTAAACTTAAGGAGAGGGCAGGATTTATTCCTCGTCCTCGCCAGAAGCGCCTTCTTTTTCACCCTTGTGGACCTTCTTGTGTCGGCGCAAGTTGGACACAACCGAAAAGTGTCGGCCACAACCTTCAACGTCGCATGCGAATGCTAAAAATTCCGAGTTAGTTTCACAGACCGCGTGCACGACAGGTTGCTCAAGAGAACTTACGTTTTTCGCCGGTGTGACTGTACATGTGTGTTTGCAAGGATGATGGGCGGGTGAATCGCTTGTCGCACACCTTGCACTTGTGCTTCTTCTGGGTGTTGGATGGCATTTTCGAGCTGAACTGGCTCATCATGGACTGGGGTCCGGGAGGCGCGCTTCCGGTCAGCAGGTTGGATGGCCGGGGGAGTGTGCGCGAAGGAAGGTTATCGTAGGATTCCGATGTTGTAGAGCTGTAGTCGGTCACGGACGATTCGACCGAGCCAACAGAAGCGCTGTAGTAGGGGTAGTTGCCGCCGGAAGAAATCGACGATCCGGACGAATGGGTCGAGGGGAAACCGTAGGAGTCACCCGAGCCTCTCGCATTGCGAGGGCCATAGATGTTTCGGGGGGTCAAGTCCTGGCTGAGCGCAACCATTCCCCGGCTAGCATCCAGCGCGTCACCAAAGGTAGGAGCGGAAGAAGGCTGTGCGCGGCTATCACTATAGACAGAAATGTAAGCGTGTTTTCTTTGACACCAGAGTAAGAGATTCTTACGCATGAGATATCCGACGGCTGTCGTGAGGCGGGTGAAGAGGAGGAGCGTAGCTAATCGGCGCATAGCTTGCAGGGGCGGCAAAGCTGCTCATGGAGGAAGCGGTGGTGTAGGTAGGAGCGGATTCAAAGGTGGTCCGGGGCATGTCGTGCTGCATGGTCATCATCTCCGGGCCAGGATAGCTGGGAGCCGTGGTGGCGGTCGAGTAATTGCTTCCGGTGACCAGCGAGGGCGCGGAAACGGGGATGCTGGGGTAGGGCATGGAGATGGCGGACGGCCGGCTCACTTCTTCCTGCTTGACGTGGTTGATACCGTCGGAGGCCATGGCAGTCGCGTAGACGGGGGGTTGGGAGTGAGAGGATGTGTGTGCGGCGGCCCAGGGATCGGTGAATTGAGGGGGATTGTGATGCGGCATATTGTGGTGGTAGACGTTGTCGAAGCCCATACCGCCGTACTGGCGGTTCTGGTTGTCAATGACCATCGTCATGAGGATAGAATTGGGTGATGTGAGGAATTGGAAGTGAGACTAGAGTGGCGCAACGCAATGCGATGACAATCGAGGAGTAGAGGGAGAGTGTGTATATGTAGTAGTGGAGAGGGATAAACAGGAACGACAAAGGAAGATCGATCGAGTTGGGATGTGATCCGCGTAAATAAAGCAAAGGTGCAGGAGAGAGAAGAAGAATCAGAAACAGGCGAGAAGGAAATGTAGTGGTAGTAGTAGTCTGGGGAAAGGGCCCGAAGGGGATCGGCGAAGCTTATGAACAAATACGGGATCGCAAGAAAAGAAGCGCAGGGACGAAGGGGAGTTTGTTGGAGGCACAACAACTAGTGCCACTGACGACGTCCCGTCGGGGACGGTTGCAGATCGTTACTTTGGGCCGCTTAGGTAGGCTTCGAAACGGCGTTAAACACAGCGGAATTGTACCAGTTCCTTGGTATTTATTATTATTATTCTTATTTTTTATTTTTACTTTTTACTTTTTATTTTTTATTTTTTATTTTTTATTTATTTTATTTTGTATTTTATTATACTTATTCATTTTATTTTATTTATTTTACTATTTTATTAATTATTAACTCCGGGATCGGAATAAAGTATGTATGCAAATACCTACCAGGTGACGGTCTGCAGACTGTACGTAATCCGTAATTTAGGTGGATGGAGTTGGGAGGTTTGGGACGGCAGAGCCAAAAGAAAATAAAATGGAATTAAAAAAGAAAAGGAAAAAAGAAAAAAGGCAGAATAGGAAAAAGAAAAAAAAGAAAAAGGAGAGGGGGGCAAGAGATGTGGGTTAGTACAGAGGGCAGACAGAGGCAAGAGGGAAAAAAAAAAAAAAAAAAAACAGTACAGTCTCACTGGTTCCAGTGGTCAACTGCAGTGCGGGAATAAGGGGCGGTGGGTTCCAACAGAGGAAGGTCAACTGGATTCTCACTATGGCCCTTTGAGTAAAGTACGCTCCGTAAAGGGGGGGCAGTTTGTGCCGTGTCTGCAAGAAGAAAATGGACAGCAAAAAAAAGAAAAACGAAAAAAAAAAAAAGGGTAATTAGGAAAAGAAAAAAATTAAAAATTAAAAATTAAAAAGGCAGGCAACGCCAAGAGTCCAGTCAGATGCAGCGACCAAGGTTCGCCTTTTGACTTTTGACTCTTTGAGAGTGTTTCAAAGTAGCGGGGAAAGTGGCAGATCACAGAGATACGTCAAAGGGTATACCCGTTCCGTGGGGGATTCTCTCCACTGCACAGTGTAGGTGTAGACTGTAGAGACAATAGAAGTGGAAGTAGAAGATAGAATTGACAATAAATGTAAATAAATGACTGTATACAAAAGAAATCCGCATTTTTCTCTAGTAGGGCATTCCTTCACCAAACCCAGGTTAAGCGGGGGTCCAAGTCCCCCCCGGGCCGCTGGTTGGTCGCCAGGCAAAACTGGTGATGACTTGGCCCATTGGAGGCTGCAGCCACCGCCCTATCGTTTTTGGCAGGGATGCTGGATGGAAATCCGATTGACCTTATTCATGTTAGATCTTAACAGAGTGTAACTAATATAATGTACAGAGTGTCCTCAGTACTGTCATATTGTGATTGTAGACATCTCGTGTGAAGTATGGCGGTCAGACATGTGGCATCGGGGGTTTAGGGAAAAATACGGAAGAATTCATCAATAAACGACAGCACCAGGAACTAAGATACAATGCAAGATGACGATATCTTCAAGATATGCACTATACATATTCTCGCGTGTCTGTCCATCTCCGATGCTGTCATGTTGTTGCTACATCTACATCCTACACCTCGAGTATCATGATTATTGCCCCGCCAAAGAACAGAATGCTGTCATCGGACTTGCTCCGTTGTCGCACTGTTTTGCATAGAGTAATAAATGTAGCACTACACTGTTAGCAACTAAGAGTAAGAAGATATGTATCTCGCAAGCCATCAACCAGGATTCCGACGACCGCCCCGCTTCTCCCGTGTTTTCAGTTCGACTGTAGCAAAATAAAAGCCGGTCCGGTAAGCCATCCATTTGCTTATCTCACTATGGGGTGGTGTGGGATCTCAGCAAGTCATTCCACACCGACGTCAGAGCTCGGGCATTAGCGGCGCGGCTTTCGCAATAGTGCAGAACAACACATCTACCAGTTATTGCCTGGGTGGACGCGATAGTAGTAGCCAGTAGGTCTAGATCTGATACTATGAAGTGCTACAGTAGGGTAGTAGCAGAATAATATCGGAGAATCTCCAGTCTGCGATCTGATTGGGACTAGCAACAAATCGCTAAAGCTAATTTATCTTATGGTGTAGAGAGAAGAGCCACATGGATCGATGAACTGCTCAATATTAAGACGGTGGGTATTTCCAGTAAAAATGACACCAGTTCTGCATGATGCAGCAGAAGAAATTAATAAAATAAGAAAATATACATATGATACATCGTACGTACAGCACATATCAAGTCGCCACTGAAGTTTAACTTTCCATGGCTGTAACCCATTTATTTGATGACTTCGTCGTCTTCTCTTCTCCGCATCCGATACTCGGAGTCTTTGACAGTACCACGGTTTAAGATATTATATATCATGGTTCACCAGTTCAGATTGTTTGGCTCGACCGTACAGAAAGCAAAAAAAGAAGCATCAAGAACAGGAGCCGAAGCAGTCAACCAAAGGAACCAACCAAACCCCAACTCGACATGCCGAAAGCAGCAGGTCCGGTGCGTTCTTTTTTGGCTACCATCCAATCACCCATGGAAATGGGTCCCCCTCCATGAATCCATAAATCCAACCAATCCATTGGATCGAAGACACAACTCCGCAGGGCCCAACGTGGGTCTGCGAAAGTGGGTGGTCCACACGGTTGGCACGAGGCAAGCCGTGGAAAAAGAAACGGACGAATGGGAAGCGAGCAGAAAACGATTCTGGGCCATGGGTCTTGCCTGTACTTTTACCGTTTAGAGTTTGGATCCGTCTCGGGATGTAAATGGGCGGCACTAGGGCGGATTGGGGTTAGGGTCAATCATTTCATTTAGGCTGACAGTGGTGGGTTCTTCAAATCCTGCAGCTTGGGATATTGGATTTAGTCTGAGACTTGAATGAATATGACGCAGTGAATAGTTAGTAACACTGAGTAAGCGGACATACTATGTAGTCCATAGTAATGTCTTGGATAGTACGGAGTAGGAGTCCGTAGGAATACAAATCATCAGCAGTAGACGAGGCCTGAGTGTACTAAGCGACTCCAGCTGGATGTGACTGCCTACATATTATCAGCTATGACTGGTCAAAGCTAAGATCAAGAACCAGGCACGTCTTATCAGAACCATGATTCGATATCAACAATAGCACAAGCCGACTTCGGTCCTTTGCTTGACCTGAACTTTGTAGATGTCCACTACCGAGTCTACAACAAAGACAAAGCTTTACTTTTGCCGTACGGAACAAGCCGGATAGGCGGTGCTTGGACGCATTGAGAATCGAGAAAATTCCTCATCGACAGAAGCGAACCACTGGTTTGACCATGACTCTTGACCTCCTTTTTGGGCAGCCATCAACACTCCACACCATATGATGCCGCTTGGTGGGATGCTAAGAATTAGCAACAAGAAACAGGTACTAAACAAGAATGAGATCATGAAGAGGATGAAGGCCCATGCGGGATTGCGTACACAGTTGGTCTAAGACTGAGTCTGAGTCTCAAGATTGTAATACTCTGTCAAATAAAAATAAAAAATAATATTTAAAAAGTAACAATAAAAAAATAAGACGGGAGGCTGCTTCAAGGTTGGTTTGCCTCCTTGACCGCTGGATCCGCTTTTTTTCCCATATTTCCTCTCAATCCCAGCGGAACCGTTGAAAAGATGAAGAAGGATTGGCTGAAAAGGATCGATCTCACCGCTTTTCCCGGCCCCATCCATCATTGGCTGCTAATCTCTCCCCCCTTTCAGCCGCCCCAGGGCCCTTAAAAACTAAAAAAGGCGCGTGCGCACCACAACCAGAGAAGAGAAAAGTCCCCATTTGGGGGCCCCACTCCCAAGAGGATCACCCTAATCCTATCCCGGTAGTTCGTACATTGCCTGTTTGGGAACAGCCCTCCCGCAACACGGCCCATCATCCCCAAAAACGCGTAACTCCCCCAAGCCGCCTGAACGAACCACATCACAATCCGCTCGATGCGGTCTCCACTGACAGTCTGACTCTAATCCTAAATCTATTGTGGGTGTTCCCAATCAGGTAGTCTGGTTCTTCCCCCCCCCCCCCTCCCCTCTCTACGTCCTTCCCGTTCCAAATGTGATCAAAAATCTCGTATCGAGTGTCTGCCTCACTAGTTGGCTGGCCGTCTGTCAGGTTAGGTAGGTAGGGTCCGGAGAAGAGCACGGTGACCACATGCCCGAGAAGCCCGCGACAAAGTCCAGCCACACTCGATACTCCTTTGTTCCTTGCTCACTTTACTGGATCGGGTTGATTGCCAGGGTTCCCTTATCATCTGGCTTGGCTCTCGGTAATTCGCTAACAGCCCTAACTTACGTCTTCATGTGCTTGTCTGTCTGTGCTATACTATGCTATGTATGATGCTGATGCGTTCAAACTCAGGGTCGATTTAATTAAAGCAGTTCGAGCGAAAATAGAATATTCATTTCGCTTCTGAGTAGGAGTGGATATACTACAGATGGGGGGGCGAGGACATGACGGCATCGCCCATTTCATATTTATTTTCCATTTCACGCTGTGGCAATAGCACCTACTACTGTGAGTAGTGTACATACTCCTACTAGATGAAAAACTTGATACTTGTATACAAATAATATTTATATTCATAGTCATAGTCATAGTCATAGTCATCTTATACTCTGATCCAAGTACCTGGATGATTGACATGAGGCTCTACAAACCAACTGATCGACTCAGGTTGCCTGGCAATCATCTGCGTTTTAGACAGTTCCATCTGTCATCTGCACGGGTTCCACGCGGCAGATCGTCATGATTGGCACTGTTCTTCCAACTTAACATCAACTCTGTACATAAGTATGAAGATAGTATTACTATTGAGATTCAGATTTATTACAATATGTATTATGTACTGAATATTAATTAATATAATTTAGTGAATGTAACCAGATAGATAGATTGGAGTCAGCCAACTCAGCTGTCCTCGCAAACACACTCAAGTCGAGTAAGCCTTCTTTTACGATATCCGGCATAGTGTGAATGGAGAGCGGCAATGGCATTTCCCTGGGACTGGAGTAGAGGAGATTGGAGTAAAGGCAAACCAAACCAAAAAAAGAGCGGCAAATTCGAGTTTCTGGAAAGGGGAACAAAAAAGAGAGTTTTCGAACCATGGGTCTGATCTGATTGGCCCGTCTTTCTTTCCAGTTGCAAGAGACTAAAGTGCGCCCCCACATCGCAGGTAAACCTTCTTTGGAAGTTTGGATGGGGGGAGACGATCCACACATGGTTAGTTAGGTTTAGACCAGGAAGGGTTCCAACCAGAGAAATAAAGAAAAAAAGAAAAAGAAAAAAAAAGATCAGACTATTGTTGAATAACAACAGGGGTAAGGGCAGGTAGTGCGGAAAACGCAGGGAGGGCCATGGCATGCGAGACGGCAGATAGTCGATAGCCGAGCTTGGCCTGGCCAGATAACCCAATTGCATTGTTGCCCCCACAGGAGCTGACGCGTGCACATCTCACGAACCTTTTCCTATCTGGGCTTCTACTGTATTACTACAAGAGTACTACGATATTTTATCTGCAATAGAGTACTCTGTAATTGCAATCTCTAATCAAGTAGTACAGAGTACATACTACATGTACATTCTACCTACAGGTAGCAGGTGCTGTTTGTACATACAATGTAGACAGAATAGGCTAGTCGACCTTGAACCCCGCAAGCCCGTTTGTCTGGTTGTTAATCCCTGTGTGCGATCCTAGCCGTCTCCACAGACACTGCCACCTTCAGTCACCACTAACAGTCTGAAACGCGCCGGTTGCCCCGTCCAGTGGGAGGGCGTGGATTTGTCCACCTGTGGCTGTCTGTACATACATACTCCATAGCCTATAGTAAATAGTAATAGTACATAGTATAATAATAGTTCTATTATATTAACTGTCTACATGTGTATATACACCACTGAATAACGATTAAATATTAATTAATAATAATACTATCAAGACCCTGACCAGGAACAAGCTTCTATGGCAGCGCCCCCAAGGGCAAACGAGTCTAGCGTGCAGAAAGTGGAGCCGAGTGGCTGTTTGGCGGCCTTGGCACATGTCATTGGCGGGTTCTTTTTCTGTCTCAACGCTCTTGATCCCCCTGGCCATGTGCAGATGGATAGATACAGTTACTGTCTGGATTCGATTATCTGATACTATCACATTACGGGTTCTCGTGCAGAAGAACGGAGGATTTTGAAATTAAATTGTATCCGTCCGGAGGAGAGAGACTGATTTGGAATATGCCTGCATTGGCATTTGTATTGTTGACGACGCTTGCCTTGCCACTACCACAGACAAGGACTGAATGTCAGCCCGTCAGACTATCTAATCACTGATGAAACACGCACTGATCAGAGTGGAACTAAAGATTTGTGATTTCTGATTCTGATTCAGCTAAAGTCTAGCCTTGTGGCCCAGTTGGCCTCGATCCTTCGAAATTCAACTGAGGAGGAAGTCCCTGAGTTAAACCGGATAAGGAATGATGGAGGGAATTTCCAACGGCATCGTCAACGTCAACTGTCAACGTCAACGGATCATGCTACCTGATACGGAATGACTACAGCATAAGCATTTGTTTGATTTGATTTAGCGGCTGTCTCAAACAGAGCGAGTTACGTGTGTTTGATTATGGCATTATGGCGGTTGGAGGAGGTTGTTTCTATCTTATTTTCACATGAACCGAGGAGCTGGATGAATGGTTATTGTTGTACTATTTTAATCAACACGTACGGAGTGTCCGTTTGATATCCTTGAAGAGGCAATGAAACATGATGAAATAGAATGATCAAAAAAAAAATTATAATCAAATAACCCTGACATGGGACATGACAAAACTAGGAAATAACATCCATCATACTTCCATCACATAGCTCCGATAGCACCCACCAAGCAAGGCAGCTCAGGTAGTTGGTATAGTTACATCTGCAATCCTTCCCACGGATATTGTGGCTGCATGTGCTCAAGGATACAGATACAGCATACAGTTATCTCCTACATAATACATATGTGTGCTTCTGGCTCGTACATGAGAATGATCAAAAAGATAGCTACATGATACATCCAAAGCTACCTCTGGTCCTTGCAGCTGCAACTGCACATTTCTTGTTAGTTCCTCCGGACCAGTCACAGTCACGCTTTGCTGGGGAAAAGAAGCTTCCCATTGGCAAAACAATCGGTGACTTTATGGAGTACGCTCGAGCCTCATGGCTCTACAGGTGAAAACCTCCGTGTAGAGTTACGACTGCATACGAGGATGAAGGATGGTGGTGAGATCTCTCTCTCATCCTACCAACTATATGATGCTATGGACATGCTACTGCTCAAGTCTCGACTAATCCATCCTGCTACCTACTCGATCGGGACTGGCGTGGGTTATCCGGAAACCACCCCCGTCCAGCCATGACAACAAATAGTTTCTTTTTAATTTTTTGGTTTTAGTTCAGCTGTGTTTTTTTTTTTTTTTTTCTCTCATATGACGATGCTGACTTATGCAGGGTCATCCAAGGAATGCGGGCTTGGCGGAGAAAAAAAGGAAAGGAAAGGGGAAAAAAAAGAAAAAGAAAAAGAAAAAAAGCAAAAAAGGGCGCAAACGGGCAGAAGCTGAATCTGAATTTCCAGTTTTTTTTTTTTTGTCACCCACAAGAAAAGCCCAGCGCCAAGCCCGCACATGACATCCACTATGGAGAAAGCTTACGCGGCACATACCCTGGCCATGCATGGTGAAGCTTGGCGGCACTCTCGAAGGACCAGCAGCTGCAGCAGCATGAGGGAAAGGAAAGAGTGGCGAGTCTGGGAAGATGATATGATATGTGTGATTTGGGAGGGGTTGAATTTTCAGTGGCATTAGATCATATTATTATAGTATTTATTATGTACTGTGTATTAGCTGTGGGCAAGATCTGTCAATAAAGGATGTGCAGTCGAAGAATTATGTAAAAAAGCTTATTGGTCGACTGATCTGCTTGTCATGTTTGGATATAGTGCTGATCAATATCCAGGGACTGTATCGATACCATCATATCATTAACATATCATTTCTATTCTCTACGAAGTATATAGTATTTCACAGTCATAATGAGTGGGTATCATATTTACACTCTTTATCCTAAAGCGTAGACGTAGGTCGTAGGTAGTGAGCTCCGATGAATATCGTGCCCGGTCGGATATATATAACCACATGGACTACGGAGTGTGCATATCTAAGAGATGGACAGTTGAAGAAAAAGTGTCGCTATTCATCACTCGCTATTTTGACTGATATAGATACACGCCAAATTCCCCCAGTAATGCAAACTCAACACCGTCGCGAATTAATCAATGCCCTAAACGAATAAAACACAGAAAACCCTCGTGGATTATCAAAAGTACACAGAAATATAATAGTAGATCGGCTCAAATTACAATCGACAATTCATGTCTCGCCAGTCCATCATCATCCAAGTTGGGATAGTACGGAACCATCGAGTCCGCACTCTGCACATACGCATCGTTGTACAGTCGCCAGTACGGCACCCGCACCTTCCGGGCTGGGTGGAAGAGACCTGCCCAGACGTAGTTCATCACGACACCAGTTCCCACGGCCATCCGAATCGAATCAATGGCTTCAATCACCCGATCGATAACGTGGGGACTCGTCTCGAAGATGTTCGGGAACACGAGGTTGAGAAGATGAACCATGGCATCCTCACAACCCAAGCCAACGACGCCAAGCGCGATGTGCTTGACCACACTGGCGGCAGTTTGTCGATGCACTTGATCCCGATCAATTAGGGCGTCTTCAATAAGAGGCGTAACCGCGTAGACATAGTCCTTGGCCATCTCGCCAATGTATTCGAACAAGAACGACATGGCCTTGAGAACACCATTTTGAACGTTCAGCTCGGGCACACGATACTCGTTCATCAGTGCTGGAAGAACAGTAAAAGGTGCACAAGTTTCGGCCACGATACCAATGGCGACGGCGGTACAGACACGGGACTGACGCTCCTGCACACGCAAGTTGTTGAGCAGTGTGGCGAGAACGTCCTGAGGACCAATGGCCTTGGCGATGAAACCAAATGTGTTGTTGGCAGCACGACGAATGCCCTTCTTATGGGCCTTCAGCATATCCAGGAGTTCGAAACAGATACGCATCCACTCCCGAGCGTTGACGGACTCGGGTCCGCGGTCTGCGATACGACCGACCAAATCAATTGTGTTCTCTTGGACCTTCTCGTGACGGTTACGGAGAATAGGAGTAAGGCGAGGAAGAAGATCTCTAATAGGAGGCTGCATCTGGTTGATACCGACCACGGTGACGATGGACCGCAAAGCGCCCAAGATGGATCCCAGGACTTCGGGGTATTCTTCACCCAAATATTCGTAAAGCACGATTCCGAGCTTGCCCATGAGAGCGTCTTCTCCGCACTGTCTCATGACCATTGCAATGCGGGAGATCAGATCTGCCGCTTGCTGACGGACTGTGGCGGACTTGTTGTTTAGTCGCCAGAGGATGGTACTGACAATCTGTGGGAGGTATGGCTTGCACCGGGTGCTGAGAGCATTCACAACAGTTCCAAAGCCGTTCAAGATTACAATATCCTCAATGCTTTGCTCCTGGAATGCATAAAGGACACCGTCGATAAGTCTTTCCTCCAATCTCTCAGAGATATCTGCAGCCCCGAGGGCTGCAACCAGCTTTTCAACCGTTTCCACGGTCATCTTACGATATGGCTCGCTTTCGTCTTTCAAGTTGTTAACGACGCGTTCCAAGATCTCCCCAACACCGACCTTCTGTCCCAGATCGACAGTGGTATCAACTACCTGGCGGTAGTTCCTTCGGTCTAGCGCCATTCGTCGTACCCAGAAACTCTTGAAGAAATCAGTCAAAACGTGTTCTTTGAGGTAACCGGCAGTCACACCATCCGTGCTAGCACATTGTGACACCACTTTGAGAACGACCTTCTTCATTTCTTCATCCGGAGAAGAGAACTCTCGGAGAAGAATTTCCATGATCTGACTAGTGTAGTAATTGGCATACTCTTCATCCATAAGAGGGATGATGTATCCAACAGCTTTGAGGAACGCAGCCAGACCCTTTCCGCGCTGCTTCCTAGCTCCTGTCCAAAGAGGGTTGAGGATCTCATCGAAGCTTTCGATACCATACGGGTTAGCAGCTTCTGCAAGAGCAGCCACAGCCAAAGCTGTGACGGTTCTGACCTTAGCCTGTTCATCGCTAAGGTTGTCGGCGATACAATCAACTAGGCCCTTTAGATGCGGAAGAATAGCACAACCCATAAGAATGGGAATCTGCTGGACAATCTTCACACCAGTGTGCCTAGCTTGCCAGGACTTCTTGCTGCGACACACAGCGCGGAGGAATGGAAGGAGGGCCGGAATACCGAGTGCAGAGGCAACGACAGCAAACGCCCGAGCTGTCGTGTTTCGGACATACTCATCCACATGATCAATATCGGGACGCATCGTACTAATCATGGTAGCAAGACCAGCTGCCTTGGCAAGGTTGGAGATAATTTCTCGACCTTCAACACGAGCATAATAATCTTGGTCAATGAGCAAGGGCTCAATGACGACCAAAATCTTATGGACGAAGGGGCGAACCAGATCATCAAGTTTGTAAAGCACACGGTCAATAACCTTGACCAGCAAGTGGCGTTCTTGGTCTTCAAGTGACTTCTCCATAAGCAGAGGAAGGATCTGGTTGAACAAAGGACCTGCGCCGAATTGTCGCGCATTGTCTGTGAGTTGTCGCAGCGCTGTCTTTCTCATGGGTGGTGTGCCGTTCTTAACCTTCAACAAAAGTCTCATAATCTTGCGCTCTTTCATTTCCTCCACGGACATGGCACTTTCATCGTTTCCTTCCATGAGCTTGCCGAAGTATGCCATATCTTCTGGCTTGAAAAACTGCAAATCTCCAACGCCTGGAATATCAGTCGGGAGCTGCTTGCCGAGAGAGCGAACACTCTCAGGCTCTTGCATCATGAATCCTCCAACCCCAGCGGCGCCTGGAATAGGAGCCGGGGTTGCCATAAGCTTTCTGGCAGGGGTTCGGATGGGGGCGTATCCCGGTGGGGGATCAAGGATTTTGTATCCCTCCGTGGGAAGCATCATATCAAGCTCCTCGTCCGACCAAGGGGCATTGCGGCCAGAAATATCAGTTCCAAAGCTGGTCGGCACGACAGCCGCACCTGCTTGGGATGGGTGCATGGGAGTTGCAAGTCCTTGGTTACCAACGGGAGTCGCTGCTGTGAGGGATGGAGCTTGATCCCATCTCGACCGACGCTTAGGAGCTTCCTCGGCACCTGGGACGGGTGTTTGGTCCCAACGCGATCGCTTTGTCTTGGTCTCTGTAGGCTGAGGCGCCTCAGCTTCTGCCTCAGTAGGTTCAGAGGATACATCCCACCGCTGCTTGCGCTTGCGCCCGGTTGCAACAGACACAGTCGAGCCTGCCTCGGCGTTTTCCTTATCCTCCAGCGTCAACGTGGCCTCGTGTTCTGCGACACCGTTATCACCATTGGCCTGCTTCTCTGAGATCAGCTTCTGAACACGTTCTTCTTCTTTTTCAAGCTCACGCAGGGCCATGACTTCACGATAGGTCTGGCCCTCCTCCCCCTCGACGTTCGCATGAGCGTTCGCAGCGAAGGGATCAGCTCGCGTGGGTGTCAGAGGTCCACGGTTGAACCTGCGCTTTTGGTAGTCCGTCTCACGGTCTGCAATCCGAGCCTGTTTTTCACGTCCGAGCAGAATGTCCTCCTCTTCCACCCCATTACCATGGGCAAATTCATCAACTTGATCTTTGGTGGCGGTGTACTGGCCGACTAGACGGTGTCCTGCGTCCGCATCTTCCATTTCTTCGTCGTCGCCATCGACGGCAATCGAGGTATTGTAGCCCGCATATTTTTCGGCTCCATCGCGATCGTAGACGGTCGTGTCGAAGGATTCAGTCAGAGAGGCCTTGGTCGAGTTGTCAGTGCGCTGGCTAGACGGATCAAAGGTCCTTGAACCTTTACTTCCAGCAGCAGCAGCGTTACGCTCCGCCTGGAGCTTTCGAACAGCTTCAAAATCGGCTGGTGAGGTGATTAGCACGGGGGTTGATAGTTCAGAGGGAGAAGACCTACAGTCAGACATGACGACACTTATGCGAATCCCGGAGATGAGATAGAGAGCAAACAATCTCGAGCATCGGTAGCAGCAGCTACATTCGGATTGAACACCGCAAAAACGGCGAACGTGAAGAAGCTAAGGGGTGCGATTGCTGATGGCTGATGGCTTGGATGAAGTCTTCCATCGCAAAAAGCAAGTCGGCGGCGAGTCGCGCTAACGAGCCACAGATGACTCAGCAGATTACTTCCACGTGACCTACTCAACGCGGATTTCTTACTCGCCGAATTGTGGCTTAGATCGTACGTGTTTTGAGATGAAGAGCATCCAAAATTTGAAAAATTAATTAGAATAGCTAAAAATACTTTGTAATATAAGAGGAATTCCAGAGGAGTAACCACCAGTAAATCACCATGGTTTCAATCCACTGTTGTGGTCTAGACGTTATTGACCAATTGATAAATACAGTCGAGTTTAGAGACAGTTAAAACAAAGCAAACCACCTGAACGCCAATGATGATATGATGGGAGGGCTGGCAGTAAGAAGAATTCTCAAAAGAAAGTCACGATATACTGAGCTCGACAGCACCAGGCAGTCCACAGCTCCATTAGCGCAATTTGATGGTTGACGTAAAGCAGGAGCCTTAACGAATTCGGTCCAGCTTGGACCGGTTCATGGCAATCTGATCGTCCACAAAGTCGCTCTGTTAAGGCATTAGCATTTTGCATAAGATCAAGAGGACAGAAATGAAACTCACCTTGCCTGTGATGCGCTCCAGATGACGGTTCTGCTCATCCAGTTCCTTACCCGTCGCACGAGCGAGACCGTTCAACCGGCCAGCGGCACCATTAAGCAAATGAAGATTCTGTTCGATCTCATCCTCCATTTGCTCGTCCTCACTGTCGGCCTCGAACTGATACTTCGCACGCTCAGTGACGTTCGTCCTTTGCTTACCAACCTGCTTGTTCGCATCCTTCTCAATATCACGGAAGGTCCGCTCCATGCGCTGGTTGGCTTGGAAGGCTTCACTCCGGGTGCCTTCCCGAGTGTCCCGATCTTGTCGATGCGTGTTGAGAATCTTCTCATCGCGCTCTCGCCGTCTTCGGGCACTGGTGAACGGGTTGGAAACGTGCACGGCGAACATGCTCTTGTTGAGCGTCTTCAGCTCCTTCGCCTTTTCTTCCGCAATCCGCCCTTCAATTGTGGCGACATCCAGGTTGCTTTCAGTATCGTGGATAGACTCTCCTTGAGCGCCCAAGCGTGCAAGGGTGGCCCGACCAGTCTCCTCGGCCTGCGCAGCAACCCGAAGTGCATTACGAGTGGACGAAACATCACCCTGCTTGACAAACCGCATTTCTTCCTTGATAGCTGTGATCTCCTCTTCCTCTTCCTCCTCCGCCGTAAGGTGTCTTTCCTGGTAGGTCGAGGTGTTGTATTCATTGCTTCCGCCACCGTAGCCCCCGGGGGCTCCAGTATCCTCCGAATAGGGAGGGGGAGGGCCATTCTGCTGCTGCTGCTGCTGGACTCTATCTCTAGCCCCGCCAAAGAGAGCATCTCTGTTCGCATCTGTTCCAGCGGGGTCGTTGGGATCCGCACTGCCTAATCCTCCGTAGCCACCAGCGCCATACCGGGAGGTCTGAGGGGTAGCGCCACCGCCAAATTTGTCGGTTCCATATCCTCCCTGATTGCCGTATTTGTTAGGCGTGTAGCCATATTTGTTGTCGGGAGGGAAACCATTTCCACCAGGGAGACCTGCAGGAGGGCCTGCGGGGGATTTGTTCTGGCCTGGAAGGGGTGGAGCGCCAGGTCGATCAGAGTCAGGAAGAGGAGCAACCCCCTCACCAATCTTGGCTCTGGTGTAGGGATCGATGGGAATCGGCTTCGCATAAGGGTTCGCTGGAGGTGCCGGGCTCTTGTTCTTCGATCGGGAGCCGAAGAGACCCCGCCTAGTCGAGGCCTCGTCGTCACCATCCCCGGACTTCTTGAACATACCCATGATGAATCAATGTAATAAGTATCTATCAGAAAAACCGCAAAAATAATTCACAGAGAACAAATATAGAAGGAAGGAGAAGAATCGAGATGAGGATGAAGGATAAGAACAGAAATATGAAACAACGACACTCAGGAGACTTTCAGGCAAAAGAGTAATTATTTGATGGCGGCGTGAGACCAGCAGTGAGCGGTAATACCAGTACATCCGCTTTAGGCTAACGCCAACAGTGAGACATTGTAATTACGGCAACAATACAATACTTAAAGGCTGTGCACTCGGTCTAGACCAAAAGAGGCTAGCCCCACACATCCAAGCCACAACGTGACTTCGACCGCAACCGTCGGCGTCATTCGCTTCTCTCTTTCTGTTCTATATTCATCGATCCAACGAGACAATTGTTGTCTGCTGCCTGTTCTAGCACAGTGTGCTTACTCCACAGCAGCTATGGCGCCCTACCCAGGGTCTGATGCGGACTATTTTAGGGACAAGGCGCGTAGGGATCTATTGACTCTTCTTGAAGGCGTGAGTAAGGCCTCTGGTCTTTTCTTCCCCCAAAGCCAGACTCAACTAAAACATTCATACAGGTCCGCGGCAAAAAGAATCTTGTCATAAGTCAGGCCCTGGCTGGCCCAGTTGGACTTTTCGTCAAGTTCTCTTCGCTCCAAGAGTATGGTGTAGATCGCGTGTTTCTGCTTGAAAACGCCAATGTGGACTCTTCTCAGCGCAATGTTGTATTCTTAGTCCATGCTGAGAAGGTGCGCCAGGTGCGGACAGTGGCAGGTATGCTTTTATTTCTTTTTCTACTGTCGCAACACCTGTTTTGTTGTAAATCGGCTCGTCAGGCCACCAGGTCTACTTTGCAGTCATGCAAATGGGACATCAGTAGATTACGCAGATTCATTTCTTACTACTCTACGTAATCAGTCAAGTTCCCTAGATTGAAATTTCTATTCAGTCACAAGAGAATCTTTTGAGCTCATCCATAGGCGTTCTTTTTTCTTATTCTTCAATTGAATGCCATCAGAATGAGCTGACATTATAATCCAGAGCAGATCAAGCGCTTGCAAAGAAATGGCAACGTGGAACATGAGTTCACCATCTTATGGGTTCCCAGACGAACCCTCGTAAGCAATACAGTCCTCGAAGAGACAGGAATTATTGGGGATGTGAACATCGCCGAACTACCCTTATTCTTCATGCCCCTGGAGGAGGATATTCTATCATTGGAGCTAGACGACTCCTTCAGTGACCTTTATATGGTAAGAAAGTGAGGCTGAATATGTAGATGCTCTTTGTTAACTTCCACAGCACAAAGATCCGGGCTGTATCTTCCTTGCCGCAAAGGCTCTCATGGATATCCAAAAGAGGCATGGATATTTCCCTCGCATTATCGGTAAGGGTGACAATGCACGTCGACTAGCAGACCTTCTGTTGCGAATGCGAAAGGAACTCAACGCCGAAGAGAGCTCTGGCTTGACTGATATATCTGCACGAGGGCTCCTGCCCAGTGCAGACTCCGAGAATTTGATAATCATCGACCGAGACGTGGATTTTGGCACTGCTCTTCTCACGCAGCTTACATACGAAGGGTTGATAGATGAAACGATTGGCATTAAGCACAACCAAGCGGATGTGGACACCACGATCGTTGGTCCTACCGCCGTGCCCCAAGCCCAAGAGTCTTCCAAAGCGCCTCAGCAGACCTCTAAGCAGGGCCAGAAACGTAAGATCCAATTGGATTCTTCCGATCAACTTTTTAGCCAATTGCGAGATGCAAACTTTGCCATAGTGGGTGATATTCTCAACAAGGTAGCTCGCCGCCTAGAGAGTGACTATGAAAGTCGTCATACAGCCAAGACAACCACGGAGCTTCGTGATTTTGTGAACAAGCTACCAGCGTATCAAGTGGAACACCAAAGTCTACGGGCACACACGAACCTCGCTGAAGAGATCATGAGACATACCCGTTCAGATACTTTCCGAAGAGTTCTCGAGGTCCAGCAAAACAATGCTGCAGGTGCCGATCCAACTTACCAACACGACTCTATTGAAGAGCTTATTTCTCGAGATGTCCCTCTGAAGACAGTCTTACGCCTGCTTTGTTTGGAGTCATGCATGTCTGGCGGATTACGGGCACGAGACCTTGAAAATTTCAAGAAGCAGATTGTTCAGGCATACGGACACCAGCATCTTCTCACATTCTGTGCTTTGGAGAAAATGGAGTTGCTTCAGCCTCGTTCTCCTGCGACGTCCATGCTCCTTCCGACTGCCGGTACACAGACTGGAAACAAAACTAATTATAGCTATCTTCGAAAGAACCTGCGACTTGTAATTGAAGAGGTTAGCGAGAAAGACCCTAATGATATCTCCTACGTATACAGCGGGTTTGCACCGCTCAGTGTTCGTCTCGTCCAGTGCGTGCTCCAAAAACCATATATCCTTTCCCTTGTCCGTGGCGGCTCTGCTCCTGCTGCTGTGAATTCTGCCAGCACGGCATCTCCTGGATGGCTTGGGTTTGAGGATGTGGTCAAGAGTGCTCGTGGCGCAACATTTAGTATCGTCCAAAAGGGCGATGACAAGGCAGTTCGTGCACGGCAAACACTTAGTGGCAGCAATTCCACCAAAACAGTGTACGTCTTCTTCTTGGGCGGCATCACCTTCACTGAGATTGCGGCGTTGCGGTTCATCGCTGCGCAGGAGGCTCCACGGAGGAAGATTGTCATTTGTACAACAAGTGTCATCAATGGTGATCGAATGATGGATGCTGCAATCGAGAAGAGCGATTTTGCGAAGACGGAGTAGCGTGATATTGTATTTAAGAATATCGCTGTTGCGCTGCCCGAGTTATGACCTGCATAAATTATACTAATGCTAACATGGAGATGACATTTTTGATGAATACAATGATAGCGAATTACGACCTCTCTTTATGTGTTATAGGTCTTGCTTGCCGATCAAATGCATGACAAGTTCTTCTGTTATTTATTCGGTATTGAACAGATAAACAATCAGTTTTAACATGTAGTTTACGCCTGTCTAGTGGTTACTGCGACGATACAGTGTGTTGCCCACAGAACCTCAATGTTGACTAGCTGTGTTTTTATGCCCTGGACCTGCTTTTGTTTTCCTCTCACTTCCCTCCTCCCTTTTTCTCTATCCTCAGTTCCCTTTTCACTATCTTCACATCACTTCTTTTTTCTTTACTTACTCTTCACTTCATCACCATGCCGGCTCTTTTTCCACTCGATTCCCGTCTCCTAAACTCTCTTTACGAAGAAGCGAAGGATCTGGAGGGCCTAGAAACCAAAATTGCAAAGTTCTGGATGGCCTTTCTACATCGTGAGTTTCCTGCTAACAGAGATCTTTATATCGTCCAAGAGCAGAATCCGTCCGATGAGAGTAAACGCAGGGTAGATTGCAAGGTCTTTTGCTGGAATAACCAGGATCAAGAAACCAACGATATACTCTACGTTGAATTCAAACGGGCGGATCTTAAGCTCGCGGATCGCCAGGAGGCAGTCAACCAGGTCGCAGAGTACTGTAACTTGCACTTCAAGGTGCCGCCAAGCACCAAAACACTTACGTGTATGGTCTGCTATGGAACAACGGTAACCTTCTGGGAAGCCAAGCCGAGGCTTAGGTCCAGGGCCTGCCAGCCAAACTTTGAAAAGCTGATCTGGTATGACGCCAAAACCTATTACCAAGCTGTTCATCCTGTTCTAAAGCACCTTCGGGCGCTGGCGAAAAGGTTTGGTCAGTAAGGAAAGGTTGAGTCTTCTTAGAATGAAATTGTTCCACTGAATGGTCTTTGTCTCATTTTCTATAGCAAGGACTTGAAGTACTAAAACAAACAATCCTTTCCACAAGACTAGTCAATGACAATTATCTTGTCCAAAGGCATCTCACATATACAGGGTTCGCTGTTTACACAGGGTTCACTGTTGGGCGTGTCCCCACGAACAAATCTTGTGTGTGGGTGTGCCTTTGTGCATTCGTGATGGGCAAACTTGGGAACAGGGCTACCACGAAAGACTGGATATGTCTGGGAAATATAGAAAGACAGAGAAGTTGGGTTTCTTGTCTCATTGATATCCCGATATATTTCTCTGATTGAACACAATGCTTTCCAGATTCGCTGACGGTTTTCCAATCCTAGGGCCTTTTCGGAGAGACGTTTCATCTCCAAATACGCCGTTTCCCAGCTGATTGTCGTGTCTGGAGGAAGTTCGGACAGTTCATAGATCATCCCATTCAACCGTCGACTCCAGTGTGATCCAGGGATTGGCAACCCGGTTGCCATACCGCACTTTTGCGCGTCACCATCGTCCAGAAAGTCGAGGACGCGTAAATAGACATCCCACGGAAGACGTGGAGGGAAGACCGGCTGCAAGGGCTTGGATCGTCGGGGAACCTGCCTCCGAGTGCTCTGTTTGATTATCCACTGCACTTCTGGGATGTCGACTGGGTCAGTCTGATATGGCCAAATTGTATATGCGGCATCCTGGTATATGAAGCAAATACAAGGAACCCAGGGGCGAGTGTAATTGCGCAAAGGCAAGTACTTGTCCAGGTCGTACTTATTATTGTACCAGTATCTGCGAATAGCTAGAATCAGATGCTCAAGTTGATCTTGGTTGATCTGGCCCAGACAGCGCTCCACGAGAAGCCAGCATTTGGCGTGGAATGCATATCCATGAGGATAACGATCACAGTTCTGAGAGTTCCAGTATCTGGCAGGATAGATGGCACAGGGATCCGATACTACCACACCGGAGTATCCCATATCGTGTGCAGTTTGAACTACCTCATCGACCCGTCTGGGTGCGTGGAGGAGTTCTTGCTCACTGTACTGCCACATGTAGTCGCATGCCCCGAGTCCAGAAAGACTGAACGTTTCATTGTTTGTGCCGGTTTCTCTGTCAACGATGACTGAGACTCCGGTTATTCAAACTGTTTCAAAGATAGAAGACAAAAAAACCACGCTTACCAACTCGATAGACTTGATGCCAGTCGTAAGATTCTTTAAGAATCTGGACGAAATAGACCCCACAAGCACCGCAGTAGGCAGGCTTGTCGCTAAATTGCACAACACCACGCGACCGAGTATCACTTTTGAAATTCGACATATTAGTTGTTTTTAATACTTTGGTGTATGGGCAGACGCATCTCTGCGTTGCCCAAGCAAAAATTGGTTTACCATAATCGATCGCGTCAGAATTTGTCAATGACGGGCCTTTTCACTTCAATTTTTGGATTTATTCATGGTTTTGGATCTGGAAGGAGGAATTTAGGCTCGAACCAAGGGTCAATATATGTATAGAACTATAGTAAGCTATTTACGGACCGGGATAGACTGCCAGTCAAGGAAATCAATATCCAAAGCCTACATTGACACCCATAAGCCGTCCCTGATATCTTTCCATCACCTCACCCAGCTTCACCATTACTCCTGCAGCTAGAGTTCGCACTTGCCCTTGGGGATCATTTTCTCCCTGCGCCGGTGGGATTCTATCGAATACCTCACCAGCCCATTCGCGCAGTTCGATCACCGGTGTCGCAAAATCAGTGACAAGTCGCTCTTCGCCTGTGGTACCTGAAGCAACATTCAGGTCGACGACTGCAAGGAAAAGCGACAGAAGGGCACAGAGGATGGTCGGCTCGTCTGCGACTGGGCGTCCATGTAGAGAAATTAGGAGCGAAAGTGTTTCTTGAGTTAATGTCGGGAGGAAAGGGTTGTGAGGGCCCATTGTGGAGAGAATGAGGGTGAGTGTTTGAAGGAAAAGGCAAAATAGATGAGGTATTAAAAATGGATTGTATGAAGATGGAGTGGTCCTAGAATGGTCACAAAACTGCGTCAGCTTATATATCCAGAACAGACAGGAGAGCCGGAACGTGTGTGCTGGTAGGAAAGAATGAAAAGAACTTACGACGAGAACTGCATCATCATCATTTCAAAACGGCCCTTCAGTGGATAGAAGAAGCCTTCCGATAGGACTTTCTGGATATCTTTGACTGTCGATTTCTGGCGTTGAGCTTCTCGCTGTTGTCGTTTCTTCTCAACTTCCATACGAGAGGAGAAAGTCCGTACTTTGAGTGCATTCGGACCAGAGACAGCATCTGCAGCATTAGCTGCCAGTGGCTGAAGGGACGTTTGAGCCAGCTTTCTAGTTAGACTCGCAACGGGAGACTCGTCAGTTGCATAGAGTGCTTCCAAATTGGCCGACAGCTTTTTGGAAGGGAATGAAGCGTTGGAAATTTCTGGAAGGCCCATCACCCGCGCGTCTTCTTCGCCATTCCCTGCCAATTCACGAGCACTAAGGCCCAGGGCTGTGAGAACTGCAGACCGTTGGATTTGAGATATGTCTCCGTCGAAAAACATTGCTGTGAACCAGCGACCCATTTTCACCGGCTGGGCCACTATCAGTGCGATCATACTTTGCAGTCGATATTCGTGGAATTTTGCAAGCTTGTTCTGATCTTGTAATCCGGTTATAACAAGGGCCAGTTCTTCAATGTTCTCAGTGAGTTCAGTTCCGAACCCAGTCTTTCGCCGAATCAACGAAGGTGCATTTTCGATACCTAAATGGTAGCGTTCTATATTTTCGGTATCTCGCAGACAAGTTATAAGATCGCGTATGTAGCTGTTTGAGTAGATTAGTCGTGTTACACAACACAGAAAATCCGATTCCACTTACACAGGCACAGTTGGTTTATTCCGCTGGATTAAAGTCGGGTCCTCGTCAGAATCGGATGGATCGTCATCTGGTTTTTCGTACGGGATCAAATCATCATCCTCCTCTTCCTCTTCATCTTCATTCGCTGAGTCCTCTATCTCCTCTATTGCAACAATCTTCGTTGTTTGTGATTGAGCAGGAGTCGAAGACGACTTTTTAGTTGGCCTGTTTGCTTTTGGTGCCGAATCTTTCTGTTCCTTCAGCAGGCCCAGAGATCCAGGTTCATCTTCCGTTCTGAGCAGATTGAGATACCAATGTGCTTCTTCACTTTCCATTTCTTCAAGATCGAATTTCATTCCCTTCCCGGGCTCTTCGATTAATTGTGAAATTGCTGTGCCAATTATCATGCCGAGGAAGCGTGCTCTGGTAGAAGAGGCAGCAAGTCGATTCGAAACAACATTGAGAAAGATACTAGAACGTCCAACCTCCTTTAAAATTGCAGAATTCAGTCGGTTGAGATAGCCCGCAGCTAGGAGAAGGACTTGTGTATTGGCTGGGCGATGTTAATGGGTTGGGGCTTTTGTAGGGGTTGAGTTAAATACCTTCTTGACTCCTAGATGGTGCATGTTTTATGTAGAACTTATCAGCAGATTGTTCAAGACTTCTTGTTAGTAGTGACCTTAACGCATCTATGTCACAAAGTATTAGCTGATTTCCAGTGTTGCTCCCGATGACAGCCTCACCTTGGTTATCTGCAAAATGCACCAATAAAGATCGACGCAATCCAGCCGTTTGTATCGAGCCCCCTTGACCTTTACAAAGCCAATCCACAATTTGGATTTCTATATTCGTTCGATTGCCAATTACAACGGGCCATAGAGCTGCGATGCCGTTGACTTTCGGGTTAGAAGTCTGCGCTTCTATCATGCCACCATAAATTTCTTCTGAGAAGTGTTTCTTTTCAACATCACGAAAGACCGCTTCGAGTATAGTGATTTGTTCCGTTGTTCGAAGGCTATCCAAAAGCAAACCAAACTGCTTTGGAAAACTCTGGTCGATCAAGAGTCCCAAATAAATTTCCCTCACTAAGTGATCTATCATAATTTAGTAACAGTAACAGATACTAAGTAAAGAAAACATATATTACCTGTATACCCGAGGCTCAATGACCGCCCTGTAAGAGACGCCACTGCTTTCCAGCCTCCCTGGTCATTTAGATCAATCTTCGAAGCCATATGGCAGATATTCCCCCCTAGCCAGGATGCATAATGATGTCCTTCTCCGACCCAGGAGATCGTATTCAAATCATTTAGGTCTTTAATTAGTGTAAAGGCCTCCGCTGCAGTTAGCAGAACTCTGCTGGCAGCGACGAGGGCAACAAGTTCTTTCCAGGTGATTTGTTTTTGAGTTTCATTATTGTAAGTTGCTGAAATATCCGTATACAAACGGAATAAAAAGTTTTTAGGTTGCAACAAAGCAGAAAGAACTGCTAGAGTGTCTTTAACGAGAAGAAGACTACCGGATCCTTTTGCTTGCTGAGATGATGAGCGGGAGGCAGCTATCAGCGAACGGAGTTGTGCCACCAAGGAGCTGAGACCAGCAACACTGCTAAGGCATCTTAGCAAAGCAGCACGTAGCTTTGTATCCTTGGACTTGTGCCCTTCAGATTTCACATTCAGAGAGTTCCAGTGATCGGGGATCGTGGTGCTGACTAAAATTTGAAGTACTTGGGCTGTGGTTGGCCCTGGGACTTGGATATCAAAGTCTTTTGGTGATATTTCCTTATTTGATGGATCAAGTATAGTGAGTGTATCAAAAAGCTGGCTGCGATCAGGTTTAGACTTGAGCATGCCCAAGATACGGCCTGACGATGTTGTGTCTGTATCCAACTCACGACGGCCCTCAAGACCATGATCACGAGAACTAGCTGCCGTATCCAAAGCAGGCCGGGAATCACGCGTGACAGTCTTAACTTCCGTGAGAAGCCCGTCCATATTTAATATTTTTTTTTCGAGGCGATTTTGAGGAAGGCTTTGCCTGGGAAGAGAGAATATGGGAGAAGGTGGGAGGAGATTGTATGGAGCGCCCAGGTCACGTGCGGCGGTGCCTGTATTATTCGATCAGTCAACGACAATCCAAGCTGTACCTCTCCATCACCACACCTTACACGCTTTATCTCGCTGGAAACTATTGCCGAGGCTTGATTAAGTCATTATTTAAGACTTGATATTTAGACCCGCAAGTTCACTATCTGGTCATCGAGGCTGTGGTTAAACATCTCTGTGCCCTCAACACAGCGAATCTTACTAGGCGTCAGTGGGGAAGTCGCAACGAATCCCAACCAAGCGAAACCCTTCACCCATAATGACTTTCACCACAGTGAGGTCTGCAGACCCTGCGCTTCGATGGTAAGCGCTGTCCAACCTATTTGTTGCATCACTTGTAATTCTCACGCCCCGCAGGAAACCGCTTTACAAAGTTCTTTCCAAACCCGGGCCATGCAGTGATGAAGATTGGGTTCCTGGGCCTGAAACAATAAGCACTCTCGAGTCATCAAAAGTTCTGTGAGTTGAGGAAGAAATAGCAACGTCAAGCCAGATTGCTAACATGGGAATTAGAGTTATGTTAGTTTAAAGACCAGCCTCGTTACTATAAGGCTTTATCACTAACGAGGAGAACTATAGAGGAGCAGGAGGTCTAGGATGCGAGATTTTGAAGAATCTTGCACTTTCGGGCTTTAAAGACATCCATGTTATCGACATGGGTAAGTTTGCCCTTAGAAATATTGACTGGGGTATATATCTAACTCAGAAATAGACACGATTGACATTTCGAACCTGAATCGCCAGTTTCTATTCCGTCAATCTGATATCGGAAAGCCCAAAGCAGAGGTTGCTGCAGCTTTTGTCGAAAGACGAGTAAAAGGCGTTAAGATCACTCCATACGTGGGCAAGATTCAGGATAAAGACGAAGACTACTACATGCAGTTCAAGATCATTGTCTGTGGCCTAGACAGCATTGAAGCTCGCAGATGGATCAACTCGACTCTCATTGGGATGCTTGATCCCGAAGATCCCGAAAGTCTGAAGCCGCTGATTGACGGTGGAACAGAAGGTATGATGCCTCTTAAGAACCAGGGGCATCAAACTCGATACTGACGAAGGAATAGGTTTCAAGGGTCAAGCTCGTGTTATTCTGCCAACACTATCTTCATGTATAGAGTGCCAGCTTGATATGCACGCCCCTAGACCTGCTGTCCCCCTTTGTACCATTGCAACCATTCCTCGACAGCCTCAACATTGTATTGAATGGGCGCACCAAATTGCCTGGCAGGAGAAGCGAAAGGATGACACCTTTGATAGCGATGACATGGAACATATCAACTGGGTCTATCAAGCTGCACTAGAGCGATCGAGCCAGTTCCACATCCATGGAGTGACTTTCCAGATGACGCAGGGCGTGGTTAAGAATATCATTCCGGCAATTGCTTCGACCAATGCTGTCATTGCGGCCTCGACTACTTCGGAAGCATTGAAGATCGCCACGTCGTGCAACCCTTACTTGGAGAATTACATGATGTACGCTGGTGAAGAGGGTGTTTACACTTATACATTTGAGGCTGAGAAGAAGCCCGATTGCCCCGTGTGTGGAAACCTCGCACGTAAAATGACTGTTGATCCCGATATGACGCTGGAAGCATATATTGAGAGTCTAGGAGAGCGAGCCGAATCGCAGCTGAAAAAGCCCAGCATGCGAACAGAGGAGAAAACACTGTACCAGCGTTTCCCGCCTCAATTGGAGGAGCACACGCGGCCTAATCTGAAACTCAAGCTCAGGGATCTGGTGGAAGACGGACAGGAAATCGCAGTCAGTGACCCTGCGTATACGATTGATTTCCGCTTCCGATTGGCGTTCAAATGAGACCTCGCACAATTCATCTAGTTGTTGAAATGAGAAATGAAGGTGACATGAATACACGATCTCTATTTTTTGCTGTTTTTTACCATAGCTAGAAATCGATACTCAGGAAATCAAAGCAGCATTTGCTGTTTCCAACCAGATTTCCCAATCCAGACTCCAGCATCTCAAAAGGGGGTTTGAGCCAACTTTTCGTAACTGTACAAAACTCAAAAGGGTAACAACAGAATCCAACGCCAATCAATGCATTATATAAACTCCGAGAGTCCAGTCGAAATTTTTTCCCCAGCAGAAGACGGCAAGAAGACTGGACAAACCTTAGCGAACAAGGTCCGTCAAGCCCCTCTGCCATCTCGCGCACTTCAGCTTCAACACCTTGACACTCTCGAGGAAGAGAACGTCGCTGTCAAACTGGCCAGAGCTCTCAACGTTGAAAATGAAGTGGTCCCGCACCCGACCAAGCTTCACCTTACCCTGGAACTCCTCGTGTCTCAGACACTCCCTGCTGACGGTATCATTGAATGGTTTGCGGACGACCGCTTTCATTTCGCCCGCGTGGCCTTCGTATCCGCTGTCTTTCTGTGCTGCTTCTTCCCGGGTGACGGGCTCAAGTTCGATGACGCCGCTAGGGAAGCACTTGGCGAACTTCTTAGCATCCTCTCCGATAATGGGACGTTCGATCTTGATGTCAGGCATCAAACGGTAGGTTGCGGTAGCCACGGGAGAAAACTTGGCATGGTCAGCACCGATGCCCTTGATGCAGTGCATCTCCATTTCGATCTTTTGGCCTGGTCGAAGTTTGGCGACCAAGATATCCGGGTTGACCGGCTGGATGGCGTCATCCCCAGTGAAGAACATTTCCTGACGACCGACTGGCTCGAAGGTAATGTCCTTGGCGTATACGTGCGCATTGTTGTATAGTTTGCGAGGATCTTGCTCGTCGGCATCGGCATCGGGATTCTCAGTACATTCCACATCCAGACGCAACACGATAGTATTGTAGTCGCTGGGGGTGCTGCCCTCCGGGTCGTCATCGGTGGGCTTCTTGAACCAGCGCATCCAGTTGAGACCTTCCACGGAGCCCTTGAATGGAATCAGGCCCAGTCGTGATGCAAGCACCTCATCCTGGATCACCGAGGTGTTGTTATGAACGAAGACGAATTCGATGGCAACGGTCGGGACCTCAGCCATGAGAATACGGCGGAAAGCGTTCGCAATCGCTGTATCGACTCCAATCAGGGAAAAGGAAGCTTCGAATTGGTCATTGCGGTGGAAATCAACGTTGAAGCCCTGTTAAGCACAGAAGTGTGAGAGGGTTGAAAAAAGAAGAAAAAAAAAGAAAGAAAAAGAGGGGAGAAAAGAAAAATTGAAAGGTCATGAGGGAAATCTCGAGAATTCGAATTGAGGAGCAGAACATACGTTTCTGAACTTTTCCAATGACCACTCGTGCGATTCGCCGGGCCAGTGGCCGGGAAAATCTGTGGAGGGGATGCTGGTGACGGTTTCTGCATTGATGCCGATGATCTTGAAATCGCAATTAGTGACGAGCGGAACAAACTGGAGCAAATTCAGACATACCCTTCTGCGATCGAGCTCCTCCTGCGATGGAACAAGAGGCGCCATGGTGATTAACAATTAGAGGAAAGTCTAGAAGCAAGTAAAGTGAGGGGGAGGAAGCAATGGAGATATGGAACGGCGACTTGAGCTCGTTGATAATAATTTCTTGGGTGGAGAGCGGCAGTATTTTCTGCATGCCTGAGGCGGAAAGACACCTCTCTATTCTGCGCGTGCTAGTGGGGCGTCCTTGGTGGGAGCGTTTCTCCGTCCGTCGCTCTGTGCTGGGAAAGTATACTAGTGTGAGTGCGGAATATGTGGGTGAAAAAGGCCAACCAGAGGCGGCCTGATGACCATAAGCTCCCCTCACGTGACTGCCAAATTGAACTCAGCGCAACCGCCAAAAGCATCATTTCAGTCCGCGTTGACCATCCCGCAGAGTGCCCCATTGATTGCGTCCGGATTGAGGACCGTCAGCCCTCTATTCCTCCCCATCTCCCCTCCGCTATCCCGAATGTCTGCTTCTTTCACTCGCCTGGCGGGCAATGCGCCCAAAAGGCTTTCTCTCCGCCCCTCCACTTTCAGACACACTGCCATCCCCAGATCCCGTTCGATAGCAACCTCTCTTCCCCGTCAATATGCCGAGCCCACCAGCTACCAGGCCACCAGACTCGTCCCGACTGACCCGACCTTCACATCTTTGGCCAACAAGGGAGCTGCCGAAGAGCCCGACACTGCCGCCGCTCTCGAGTCCGAGGCCGAAGGGGTCAACCGCAAGATTCGTCACTACACTGTCAACTTCGGTCCCCAGCATCCCGCTGCTCACGGTGTGCTTCGATTGATTCTGGAGCTCAATGGCGAAGAGATCGTCCGTTCCGACCCCCACGTCGGATTGCTTCACCGTGGTACCGAGAAGTTGATTGAGTACAAGACCTACATGCAGGCTTTGCCGTACTTCGACCGATTGGACTATGTCTCCATGATGACAAACGAGCAGTGCTTTGCTTTGGCTGTCGAGAAGTTGCTGAACGTTGAGATCCCCGAGAGAGCCAAGTGGATCCGGACATTGTTTGGAGAGATGACCCGAATTCTTAACCACCTCATGTCTGTTCTTTCTCACGCTATGGATGTTGGTGCTTTGACGCCTTTCCTGTGGGGTTTCGAAGAGCGTGAGAAGCTCATGGTAAGCTGGCCCCAATTGGAATTGAAAGCCAATTGAAGGGCAATCGCTAATTGGTAATTTTCTTGAACTAGGAATTCTACGAGCGAGTTTCCGGTGCCCGTCTCCACGCTGCCTACGTCCGCCCTGGTGGTGTGTCGCAAGATCTTCCCATTGGTCTTCTTGATGATATCTACCAATGGGCTACCCAGTTCGGTGACCGCATCGATGAGACTGAGGAACTGCTGACAGATAACCGTATCTGGAAGGCCAGAACCCAGGGTGTTGGTGTCGTCAAGGCCGCCGACGCTCTGAACATGAGTTTCACTGGTGTCATGCTCCGTGGATCTGGTGTGCCATGGGATATCCGCAAGTCTCAGCCATATGACGCTTACGACCAGGTCGAGTTTGACGTTCCCGTTGGTGTCAACGGTGACTGCTATGACCGTTATCTGTGCCGTATGGAGGAGTTCCGTCAGTCCCTCCGCATCATCCACCAGTGCCTGAACAAGATCACACCCGGTCCCGTTCGCGTTGAGGACTACAAGATCTCGCCCCCTCCCCGTGCCGCCATGAAGGAGAACATGGAGGCTCTCATCCACCACTTCCTTCTGTTCACCAAGGGTTACTCTGTCCCCCCTGGCGAGACCTACTCTGCCATTGAGGCCCCCAAGGGTGAGATGGCTGTGTTCTTGGTCAGTGACGGTAGCGAGAGACCTTACCGCTGCAAGATCCGTGCTCCTGGATTTGCTCACTTGGGTGGATTCGACCAAGTATCGCGTGGTCACCTTTTGGCTGACGCTGTCGCTATTATCGGTAAGTCGATTCATATGTCAATGTTATCATTGAGAGAGCTCCCAATAACTGATTTTTTTCTCTTTAGGAACAATGGATCTTGTGTTCGGTGAAGTCGACAGGTAGAGTTGCATATGTTTACCCGACTTCTGTAAGATCACTCAGAATACATCAGCTTGGTTTTTGAGAAAAGCGAAAGATAAAACAAAAGACTTGTTTTTATTACCCTTATGTTCCGAATAAACCACGGAATCTTCTCGCTGATGGATGATAATATCCAGCCCGTGGGACCAGTGTAAACTGAGCGGCGATCCAACTAGCTGTACCAATTCCTTATAATGGCGTTGTCTTTTTTCATGTCTACATTCACCTTGATCTACATCTCTTTTTTTTTTTCCTTTTTCCTTACTGTTTCAACATTTTTTTCCTGCTTACCTGAACCCTGTGTATAGTGACACGTGATTTTTCAATTACACTATCATGTGCTAAGTAGAAACATGGGACAAATGGTGTAGAGTAATGTAGTTCACATAATGTGTCTTGTGGTTCTCTATCGCAAGTTATGAATGAACATCATTCGCATGGAGACATACAACAACTCCCGCAAAGTCTAAATGAATACCGTTGTCTATAGAATAGTTGAAAGCATAAAAAAATGAGAATTAACTAACTGCACAAAACCTATCATAGTTCTCTATTCCCAAGAACTCCTCGTGAACTGCGCCAGCGCAAATGCAAGAAGACAGACGCTCTGACATCAACTAACGGCATAAGATCCTTCCAAGACGAAAGAAAACATAGAATGTGAAAGTCTTCATAGCCAATTCAGCGTCTAGCCATGTTATCCTGAATAGTAGAGTAGCCTAGCCAACAAGTAGGTGTAGTAGGCTCAGTCCCATTAATCGATTTCCCCCTCTTTCCACTACTCAATCTAACCAGACCAAAACAACAGAACCAAGCCAGGCGATCACATAATATGTCAGAGTAAATGGTACCCTCTATACATTATCATCGTCGTAGAAGAAGTTGATGTCCCGCGGTCGGCGCCGATTGTACGAGACAAAGTCGCTGTCACCCGGTGGTCGCTCGTTACGTGTGTTCGTAGTTAGCATGCTCTGGATGCTCATGCAGACACTCTCCACGGTTTGTACCGGGGACCAGCCAGCGGAACTTAACAGATCTAGACAAATGATTCCGTTGCTGTAAATGTGTGGATGAATGGGGATCGGACGCGGCGTTTCGGAAGTGGATGGGCATTCGATGAATTGGACCTCCGGAGGTTCTAATTGAAGGGGAGATTGTTCGTTAGAACGGTAAAAAAATATATAAGAAATGGAGATAGGCGTATAAAGAAGGGGGGGAGGGAAGCATACCAATGGGATACTTGGTCCCGAAGGTGAATTTGAGCCGATACACCTGGTTCTGGTAGAGCGGGTTCTCGTCCAATACTTTAATGTCCATTTGCCATTCCTCGAGGTTATCCGATTTCGCTATTGAGATGCCAGGTGGGAGGTGGTCCTGCATCTGTTTTTTACCCAAACATAACCATCAAATTAGCCAGTCCGATCGGCTTGTGTAGTTGAGTAGACTGCAACGTGAGATATGGGGGGCATTGGCTTCCATAGCTGTGATATGGCAATATAGACGAAAAGGACGGTATAGGGAGAGAGGAAAAGAGGGGTAAAGTACCTTGAGGAGCTCCTGTAATTTTATCATGAGTTAGCTGAGATGACCTTGATGGTAATGAGGGGTAGTATCGCATACCTTGCTCAAGCGCTTGCCGGCGAACATCTTGGGTGAGCCGTGCTATGGTTGATTTTGCCCGGAAAATATTTTCACTTTTAAAGACCAGAAGTGCGATCTTGGTTGGTAGTGATCAGTCACCTCCCTGGCATGTAGATCGCTGTTGGGTACAGGTGTATGACGTTTAGTAGAGCGCGGGGATATCTGCCGATGTGACAGTCAACAAACAAGAATCCCGGGAACAAAGGAGAGAAACAGGTCCAAAAAAACCAAGGGTAGGGGGGGATTAAGAATAATAGAATGAGAAAGAGGAGGAGACTGAGGAGTAAAGGAAGAACTGGAGGAGAAGCATCAGGTACTTCCACTGGGCTGGTGGTAATGCTAATAATATATGTCCGTCGCCCACTCGGAGTTGCGATCGCAGACGATCACCTGCCGCCGTGGGTGGCTTGGGAGGCCCGCGTGTGATTGGCCCGGACTGAGCACCACGTTGGCCAGACACGTGACATGCATGCACATGACCTTGTCACGAATATTGATAAAGGAAGATGGGATGCCACAAGACTTCTCGGATTGTAACTGATGACCTGGGCGGTGCATAATCTAGATAAATACTGACACTGGATGCCTTGGCCAAAGAAAAAGACAGATAACACCGGTATACAAGATAGGGAAATATGTATAACAACCTAAACGGGTCACCTCATCAAAAAGACAAAAATGAAATAAAAAAAGCCGGCAACCTCCAATCTTCATTATGGATGGGGAATCATAAAAATTATATTCACGAAGGAATCCAGACGATGGACCACGGCCCAACAGACATGAAAAAAGAAAGCAGGGGAATCGAATCAACAGACCAGCAGAAGAAAAACGCGGTGCGCAGGAGGGAAGAGGATCTTATTCATGCGCATGCGCAGCCTTTTCCCGGGCCTCGCGCTCCATCTTTTCTCTTTCTTCGGTTTCCTTCACCTCTCGTACCTTGGCGAGGACAACCTCTCGGAAGATCGCGCCGCGTGCGATCTTACTCAAGCTTCGCTTCTTAGTCGCACCAGTTTCACCTTCAGTGGACGGTCCGGCAGCCGACTTGCCGTTGGCATTCGAAAGTCCAGGGAAAGGAGTTGTACCAGACGAAGATTCTGCCATGGCGACAGGGCTGGGGATGTCTTCTTCGTCCTCTTCGTGCATCTTGAGTGCCTCGATGCGATTGGCGAGCTTGACGATCTCGATGCCGCGTCTGAGGCGAGACTTGGCAATGTAGGCACGGATCTCGGGCAGCAAGTCACGGTCGCTAGCAGATTCACCGGTCAACCAGGCGTGCTTCAGGGCAACCTCGGATGTAACACGGTGCGCAGGATCGGGCTGGAGGAGGGTGAGGATGAAGTCTTTGGCATCCTTGGAGACATCGCGCCAGTAACGCTCGTGGAAGATGATTTTACCGCTACGGCATTCTTCGATCAAGTCGGACAGGTTTTCGGACCGGAAGGGCGAGTATCCACAGAGGAGGGTATATGTGATAACACCCAGAGACCACATGTCGACAGCCTTGCCGTGGCCCTGCTTGAGCATGACCTCAGGAGCGGCATAACCGAACGATCCAGCCATGCTGGTGAGGACCTCGGTCGGGGTTTCCAACATTTTGGCAATACCGAAATCCGCCAGAACCAAGGGAGAGTGAGGGTCACGGGTGAGATAGAGGAGATTCTCGGGTTTCAAGTCTGAACAGGACCAAAGTCAGCATTGGAAACATGCGTAGAGCCGAGAGCAGAGAATGGGGTATGGAACAGACCTCGGTGGACAATGTTTCTCTCGTGCAGATAGTTGACAGCGTCAAGAACCTGTCGGATGGTCTGAGAAGCATCCTTCTCAGTGAACTTGCCGTACTCGCAAATTCTGTCAAACAGCTCACCACCAGTGGCTAATTGAGTGACAATGTAAAATTTGTCCTATCATCACATTAGCCCAGACGAATGGCTCCATCTAGCTAACGAGCAAACCAACCTTGGATTCGAACCAGTCGACAAAGTGGACAATGTTGGGGTGGTTGAGCGCCTGCAGCATCTCCAGCTCATCGTAGACCATGCGCTCGTTCCCGCGAACATTCTTCTTCAGGATAATCTTGACCGCAACCTTTTTACCCTGGTTGCATTCCGCCTCGCGGACAATGCCATATGTGCCAGCACCCAATGTCCTTCCGAATTTATACAGCGCTCTATAGTCGATGAGCAAGGGTCACGGTCTCAGTAAAGATAAAACAGAGATGAAAAGATTACGAAAGAGGAGAGGATATGAGCCGTACTTTTTTTCGTAGCTCTCCGGCTGCCCCGACAGCTTATTGAGCATATTGGCGACTGCAGTAGAGAAAGACAAAAGGTTAGCGCTTTGAAAACTAAACATTGAGAAAACCAAAACAATGAAAATTTGCGATCTGCACAAAAAGCAAAAAACAAAGAAAAAAAAAACAAGAAAAAAAAAGGGAAGACAAGTAAAATGGAAGAAACAGGACGCCGCAGAGACACTCAGACCATATAACCATAGCAAGACTAACGTCTCCCAGAGACGAGCACCATTGCTCAAAAGCACCACAAAAAATGTTGATAGAGTCATAGCTGGATGATGTTGGGCAAACAACAGGCTCCAGGATTCAGGCATACACACGCGACGGCAAAACACAGACCAGACCTTGGCCATCGAGGGACGCGAGCCGCATCACAGAGCCATTGGCAAGAGCACAAACACAGAGCGAAACAAAAACGGAGAAGAAAGAAGGGAAGAAGTTCTAGACTCACAACTCATGGTGTCTAAGAAGGGTCGCAGTTGCAGGACCCTTGGCTCCGAATTCCAATGTGCGGTGGGCTCTGAGCGGCGGGCACGAAGCTGATAGTAGTAAACCCCGCACGTGAGAATAAGGAGAGAGCGGGGCGGAGGGGAAGAAGAAAAAAAAAAAAAAAAGCTTCGTGAGATTCAACGGGAGAAGAATGAGATTATGAGGGATCTAAAATATATGAGAATGTTAGGACTGAGTTAACAAACCACGAAAGTGTATGGGGCACTTGGCAAGCGCATGGAGGAGAGAGTTTAGCTGGTTGAATCTAACCCCCCTATCGGTTGATTGATAGGGGGGAAACAAAACATACCTGATCGGCGATGAAAACTGCGTGCAGGATGCAGTTCAAGACACAGATGATTATCCCACCAAAGAGATGAAGTCGAAACCAACGACAAAAGATAGGTCCAGAGATATATAAGACCAGAAGAAAAGACGAGAGGAGGGGGAGAAGAAGAGAGAGAGGGTCTCGGCCACTCGATAGAGTTTGGTTTGGAGGGCCTCGTGCACAGCCACGGGGTTAGAGAGAGAGAGAGAGAAGCGGGGCGGATTCGATGGCGGGAGATTGTTTCAAGGCACATTATGGGCTGCAATGGGCGATTATGGAGTCGGATGGGAATAATCCTAGTCGATGCTACTATGTATGTAGTCAGATAGAAAAGCCACACTCAGCCTTGTCGCAGTGTGGTTGCATGTTACGGATCATATTGTCGACAGTCTCAGGCAGAATCATAGATCTGCTCCACCATGGCCAATATAGAACGGTATTTGTCTACTCCATAACACTAGGTAGCTAAAAGATGATGCCTGATACTCTGTATTCTCAATCATATTCATGAATCTAGACAATACTGGATTTTCATATTCTGAAACACCACGCGATTGCAGGGCTACCACTATCCTGCCCGCTAAAAGCATAGTGCGACGATGGTTCATGCGAGCCTGAAGACTGAAGGGAAAACATAAACCCATAAACTCAGCAGAAACGAAATCACAAGAGAAGGAGGAGACAAAATCAATAAGCTGCAAAAATACTTTTGGCTAAATCAACTCCATCTCATAGTCAAACATGAAATCCAGAAATAACTAACAGCTGATGTACCCTCGACACGCGGCCCCAAATCATTGCTAGTGGAAAGTGGAAACACTGTCCCAATGGCAGTTCCTTTCTCCCTCTCCAAGGAAATCCACACTCACATGTCAAGATATAGCTCGTCCAAAATAGAATTGCAGTATGCCTGGTAATACTCCGTCCCCTTCCATCCCCTCTCGCACGATTTTAATCCAACTGTGGACCAGCCATCCGCACGCAGTCGGGCAATCCGCTGTTCCTTGGTCTCCTTTACAACTGTTCGTCCGGAATAGGTAGGGCTGTCGTTCTTGTGTGATTCTTCTTTGACGGGACTGAAGCTCCAGAACGACGCCGATCGCCGCAGGTTCCTCGATGCTCTTCGAGCACGTTGCATCTCTGTGACTTCGTCAATCAGTGAATGAATATCCGCAATACTAGCATTAATCTGCGCGGCTAGGGAATGGATGGTATCGTTGTAGTGTAGGATAGCTTTCTTATGTGAAGGTGTAGTGGGTGTGCTTTTCCCATGGACATTCATCACATCTGTGCTCAGGAATTTCAAAGACTCTTCAGTACCGATCTTGATCTCCGTCCGGGCCGAATGGCCCTTTCTGTCTCCAGCTGGGACAATTCTGATAGGAAGAGGGGGAGGACGAGAAAACCTGACCAGCAAACTGATACGATTGGCAGCCTTTGCCGCTTTTGTGGTATTATCGGTTTCAAACATGGTCTGAACCACTGAACTGAGGTCACCAGAAGACTTTCGGATTCGAAGCGGAGAAGGAAGAAGCTGTTCAGCTTTGGGATCATCGTCAGGCAGCTTGAATGGAAGGGTGCCAGCCGAATCGAGACAAGGATCATTCCCAGAGACGAAGGGATCTTCTTCTGAACACTCGATTGAGTTGTCAATGATGCGGGTAATACTGCTCACAAGGCTTCCAACAGTAGAAGGACTCTCAGAAGAGTCAGATGGCGAAGAAAAGTCTACAAGAGACGCAGGACTAGACTCTTCAGCAGCATCTGAAGCAGAAATTGCTGAAGGCAGTACTGCGGTGCAGGTGACAAAGCAATCCAACGCAGAGTGCAGAAGGTGCAGTTTCTTGGTCGAGTAATTATGAGCTGATCTTCCTAGTATTTCGTAGGAAATGGCACTGTAAAAGTAGAGATAGGTCTTGTAAACTGGATGAATCTATTCGAAGCACACGATGTCAACCGATGCTCTTTAACCGTCCACTTAACGGGCTCAGAGGCTTGATACTTACAGGTTCACTCGCAGTCTTGAGAATCTCAGCAGAACGGGCTGCACATTGTTTGTACTGGCGCTGGAAATACAGCAGCTTCACTCCTTGAAGGGCGAGCCTCCACTGGTCTGGTGTTTGTGGATTTAAAGAGAGATCAAGGACTGACAGGGAAGAGAGCTTGGTTGCAATTACAGAAATCATCGTGGAAGAGGGTATATCAATACATAAACGAAAGGCAATAAAGTCATAAATCAAAAAAGGAAGTATTACATTTCAAAAAGAGCAAATAATGAAGTAGCTGTTAGTCGTAAGGGGTGTGTAGAGAGAAGAGTAGAGAGGAAGAAGAGTCTGGGTTGATTGTATAGAGCCAGTCAACAGGACGCGTCTACTACCATAGCAACAACAGCAAAACACGTCAAGCAGCGGGGCTCGATAGCATCAATTATCAGATCAAGTACTGGCCGTATGAGTTTGATTGTATTATTTATCAAATATTCCTTAGGCACTATATGCAATTCCAGATTTAGTAGTAGAGCTGGAAGACTGTCATTGAACATACTCTACTAAAACCAACCAAATAACCATAAAATGAAGTTGAGATTGATATTCTTTGGTAAATTTGCATACAAAAAATGCCTCATCCTGATTGGCTAGCATGGTTGGTATTATGTGCCTAAGGCCTGGTGCCTATTGACGCTGCAACATCTCGTCATGGACAACAAACCCTTCATCCTATTTCACTATCCCCCGGCTCTAAGATATCACCATACTGATATCAAAATGTCCGCATCATCCGGAATGTCCTTTCGTGAACAAATTGCATTACAGCTAGGCAAACCCTTCTTCAAGCTCGACTCCCCCCACCCGCAGCCATTCTACCACTACACCCAAGGCAACTGGGAATCCATCGAGCACGTTTCCGAAATCAATGGCAACGACACACATCATCCACCAACAGATGGGAAAATATCGAAAATCCGCTTAACAACATGGAACATTGATTTCCAAGCCGATTATACAAAAGAACGCATGGCGGGGGCTCTTGGACATCTATCTCACCTGCACGAGCCCTTGACCAACACAAAAACGAAGGACGATACGCCTCCGGCAGTTATATTTCTGCAAGAGATGCTAAATCCAGATATAGAGCAAATTAAGCAAGAGCAGTGGGTGCGGGACAATTTTTTCATTACTGATGTCTCGGATCATAAGTGGGAGTCGTTTTACGGGACGACTACGTTGATCGATAAACGGTTGGAGGTTGAGAGGGTATTCAGGGTTCCCTATGGGTCATCCAGGATGCAACGGGGTGCTCTTTTCGTTGATGTCAAGATCGGTGGAGAGGAGGGTAAGTCAAATACTATATCCACGGTGAGCCAGGACATGGCTCATTAAATATACTAGTCCCCCAAATCCTCCGCCTCTGCAACACACACCTCGAGAGCCTCATCTCGAACCCCCCGCGTCGCCCGGTTCAATTGAAATGCGCCTCGGAATTCATGCACGGTTCCGGGCCAAGTTCAACGGATGTTCACCTTCCCAGTCCCTATGCCTCTATTCTAGCCGGAGACCTAAATGCCTTTGCGCCTGAGGATCAGACCGCAGCTGGGGAATGTGGCCTGAATGATGCTTTTCTTGTTCTTGGTGGGAAAGACGGGACAGATGAGAGTTTTACTTGGGGCCAGCAGGCTTCGGATCAGGAGAGATGGAGGTTTGGGTGTAGTAGGATGGACAGAATTTTGTTTTGTGGCGCTGTTGAAGTCTTGTCGTTTTGCAGGATTGGAGAAGGGCTTCGAGTGACGGTGAATGATGAGGATTTTGGGGAAGATATAGTGTGGGTTACGGATCACTTGGGTCTGCAGGCTGATTTTAAAATCATTATGTGACCTAGAAAGTGAGAAGTGTTTGCTCAGAGGGATAGGGTAGACTGAAAGAATAACAAATTTATTGATATGGGAGATCTAGATAAAAACATCATTGCGTCCAAGATGGTGTGGTATGATACATTCGAGCCTGGTCTGTCTATTACTCTGCATTATATCTGACAGAGCAACCGTATAATATCGCGAATTTTAGAGTCGTAAATCGTCGGAGAAACCCGGAACCCCGGGTGTTCGTAGAAAAGTATGTAACGTCAGTGTAGATGGGAAGGTTTTCGAGAAGAGCATTATCGGTAAAGTCGTGTAAAAAGAAGAAAGTCATCACTCAGTCTGCTCAGGAGTAGGCTTGACATCCTTCTTCTGGGGACCTGGCGTGACTTTGGATAGCGCCTCTCCTGTGGCAGAGAGAGCATCCAAAAAGTCCTCGAGGAGTCTATCCATTTCGCCCATCACAATCCGATCTTCTGCTCCTTGTGACAGACTTTCAAGACACGGTGGCACCAGTTCTGGAAACTCAATAGGCTCCATGGCTTCTGTGGGGGCTGGACGGGGAGCGCGTCTGGCCGTAGGCAGTGGTTCTGGTATGGGCGAATCTGGCGTATCTGAAGAAACAGATGAGTTCATGTCCATATCATGTGATGAACTGGCATCGGGGAACGGCTCAGAGTGGCGTCCTATGATAGTCGTATTATCCTCCCAGACAGGATTTTGATCCTCTTCGTCTGGTCCAGGTCCGTCCAGAACCGACGTTTGTTCATAATCGCCATATCCGGCAGAGTCAATCATTTCTGGGAAGTCGTTATGGAAAAAGTGCTGATGTTGCTCAGACGTAACACCAGGAGGGGTCGAAGGGCGATCGAAACGGAATGGATCATAATCTGTTTCAGAGGTCGCAGAAAGACTGGACTCGGGAGAGGTAGAAGTCGAAGGTTGCGAATCACCGGGCTCGCCAATACTAGCTGGCCGAATGGTCTCCGAAGGTGGGATCAGAGTCAGAGGAGCCTTCAGAGTACTGCGGCGGCTATTATCTGTGCTTGCTGCGCTTCCCTCCGGTGGTGCGCCCATGACCGGAAATGTCCATTCCATCGTAGCTCGCTTGTCACTAGGATCAGGCCCGGGCCCGGGCTCAGGCTCAGTCACATTTTTTTCTTCCTCCTGTTCCTTTGGCGCTTCTGGTTCTTCCTCTTGTGATTGCATGAAGACTGGAAATTTCCAGTCCATGGTGGGAGGACGTGGCCCAGTCGGCGGTTGAAAGTCCTCCTCTTGACTGTCATTATCACCTACATCACTATCCAAATTAGAATGTCCCTCATTTGAGTTGCGGTGCTGACGACCGCTAGACCTGTTGGCCTTGATAGTATCTGCGTCCGCAAGCTGGAATGGCTGTGTTGTCGCCGCTCCAGCTGCATAGTGAGACGAATCGAATGATCCGATGTCAATGTCAATGAAAGTCGAAGTGACCGAAGAGCGATCTGTATCTGTTCGGAGAGGAAGATCAGACGTTGGTTGCTTCAGTTCGATTGGCACGAAATCATTCTTCGTCACGTATTTGTAGCTTGGCTTTTCTTCATCAAAAAGACCCTCCATGGCAGCTGCACCCCGCCGCACGCGCTCATCAAAGTTAGCCTTCTCTTCGGCATTCATCTCCGTATCACCCGGCTCATCAGTTGAGTCTTGTTCGGGCTGAGTTGTCGTTGGGCTGATTTCCTCCTCCATTTCAGCCAGCGAAGCGGCCAACTGATCCAGATCAATAACAGAGAATCTCCGCTCAAATCCATCGGTGGTACTGAAATTCCAGTCCTCTGCAGCTGTGTCTTCTGCATCTGGAAATTCCGCCGCTGCTGCACCTCCAGGGTGAAACAGTGAGATTCGTTGCCCACCACGCTGCGACCACTGATAGTAAATCCGCACTAGTTCACTCAGAGAGGAGATGGGATACTCCTCTTCTGAGCCAGCGATAAAGTCGTGAGACAAAACGTCAGACATGGTGGGTCGTGTTCTGGGGTCAGATTCCAACGAGAATGAGACGAGATCCCTGAGGCCTTCACTGTACTTGTCATTTTCCAGCTTGGGTGTCTTGCGACTTAGTTGTCTTCCTATTTGTATTCGCTCTCGAAGGTTGGCATTCGGAGGGTTCCCTGTAGCAAACTCGAACAGCGTGCAACCATAAGCCCACACATCGATCTGCAGCGGTTAGCAGGGGTATACCAGTAATGCGATTCAAACGTACCTCGCTTCCGTAATGATGGGCCTCGCCACGAGTCAAGAACATTTCTGGGGGCATCCAGTGAGGTGTACCGATCCAGGTCGATCGTTTGTCCGTCTGAGATTGAAGAACTCCCGCAACTCCAAAGTCGCAGATTTGCAACCGACCTTCTTCATGTATAAGAATATTGGCAGCTATCGATGGAAATGTTAGCATCGCTTCTCAGAGACCAGGTTAAAAGCCCTACCTTTAATATCTCGATGGATAATTCCAGCATCGTGGATAGCCTGCAATCCGACCGCGAGCTCACGCGCTACAGGGATTATGAACTTTTCATCGAGTCTATCTCCCGTAGCTCTCATCTGTCAATTTTGCATTAGCAAAATAAGTTCGGGTATAGCCAAACACAACCCAAGCATATGCGGTATAGGAAATGGTTGATGAAAGGATCAAGAGTCCTCAAGACCAAGCACTTACCAGAGTCCTGACGCTTCCACCAGGGCAATATTCACAAACTAGCCACAATTGCGAATGGATTGAAACCGCTTCAATTAATTCGTTGATATTCTTTGCACCGGAGTCTTTAACCTGCATCATAACCTTGGTCTCATGGATAAAATCTTTGATGGATTCATCCTTGAAGTCCCTTGGCGAATTGTAGTCTAACGAGTCGATATCCAGAACCTTAATGGCAACAAGCTTGTTGGAAGGGAGTTGATGGCCTTTGTACACACGTCCATAGGCACCCTTTCCAATCAGTTCCTCGAATTCGTAAGACGGCGCATCAGTTTTTGCTCTCCGACACATTTCCTGGACTGCTGCAGCTTGTTCTCGCGCAAGCTTCATGGCCTCCGCTTTGTGCTTGGTGATAGCGGCCACGGCCGACGTAGGGTCCAGAAACCGGGATGCGCGTGGCGGATCCATGATGAAGTCTGGAGTTCTGAGAATCCAAGTTTTCAAGGTATACGCAGTTTCGGCAGTGTGATGTGTGACGCTCGAGTCTTTTAACCTGTATTGGGACTGAAATTAGAATTAGATCTTCAGAATGATATGTAACTGGGTGCAAACCTTGAGCGGGGGTGACCGAGAAGGTGCAGATTCGAGGGTCAAGAAGAATTTCCACGGATGCACTTTTCTCTGTGCCTGGTTCAGTTTGTCCCAGGCGTGGCGTTCTATGAAGCCACGATATTAGAAATCCAACGCCCCGCGAGAAATGGCGAGGTTGGTTTGATGATTCGGTGAATAACAACCGAGTCTGTCTTAATTTGTCGTCGAAAACCCAGCCACCGGGGAAGACCTCGTCCACCTTTTATTCTTGCCGCTACAAACGTTTATGGTGGGGTTATTATTTATAAATAACCACCGTCTGATGGGGGCTTTTCCCTCGAAGATTCAACACAGTTCTCTCAGCAACTCCGATGAGTGACCTGCACCTTCAACCTGCTGGCCAAAACACCGCTTGCCACTGTTTATTTCGTCACGTTCTGATTGCCGGCAACAGAAGGTGAAGAGACAGACGTTGCCTTCTTTTTTTTTTTATTCCCTGAGATTCTGGACCGAGATTCTTTCGAAGAAATATCTTCGAGTTGGAATCCCTGATGCAATGGAAGGTCTGTGTCAGTATGTAGCTTCATAATCGAGTTTGAAAGAGTCGTTACTGCGTCGGCAATGAGGGGCGAAACACACTTGTGATATATATGAAGAAGTAGGATATTCGCTAAAAGAAGGAAAGTATTCCAGCGATTCCGTATACTCAGTTTGCGATGCACCTCGCTTCCCAATCGAAATATCTCGAAGCCGATCGGACCACCCAGAATAGGGTTATATCGATTTTACTCGACACTTGAGCTGGACGACCAAAGGGACTATACCGACGCCTTTTTCAGAGCGATATATTCCCTTTACACGTCCATGAGGTACATGGGACGATACGCTGGATATCTAGCAAGAGTGCGGCGAGATGGTTCTCGTGAGAAGCCAGATATGCTAGGAAGCAGTGGCTAATTTAGCGCCAACGCAATAGCTGACAACTAGAAAAATGCCACAAAAAGTGAATAGAGATAATTAAGGCGACAATCTCCGGTTGAAGATGGCTTTGAGTAGAAGGATTGGCAATGTTTGTGTCTACAGGGCAGAGCTCGAGGTGATATGGCAATTAACCAATATAAAAAAGCTGCAAGCTAAATTGTTTAGCAATCTAAGTTCTTGGTCAGTGATATTCCTTCGATGACTTGTAAAAACACGACAGGAGCTGACTCCACGATTGCCTGGCTGTAAAACTTCAAGAATTCCAAAAGCGCATGCATGAGTCGAGTCACGTGTTCAACAACAAAAGGAGTCAAAATCAACAATTCCACAGGGAACAGAATCTCTTGCGATGGGAAATAATAATATAAATGAATTTCAAGTGCTTCAATGCCGAAAACCAAAGACCGACTTACTGGCCAACTGATTCGAACTCCCCGATTCTGGCAGGTCGTAAGCTCAAAGTACGACACAGCTCAAACAGCGGGTTAAAACGGTAGAGGAAGAAAACACAGAAGAAAGAGAACAGTTTCAATCCTGCTTCACAATTCTCCAGCACTGCCGAAGATGGCAATCGACTGTATGGTCTAAATTGGCCGGTGCAGCACAACAATACGGGGTAAATCCAGCAGAACGTTCGATTAAAGTTCGGACAGCGATCACGTTACCGCCGATCGTTGGGATCTGCTCCGACGGAAGATCATTTTAACGGCGTACTTGTTTGATGCGCTCAAACATAGAATTTGTTTATTTTCTCTATATTAACAAGTAGGTTACATTGGGTATTATGTGGTTTGATCTTTTGTGTTGTGCTACTCGATTATATCCCGTGGAATGTGTGGCGTAAATTCATATTGAGGACGGTAAATCATTAAGCCCTGATGCTAATTGTTTTATTTTGACAAGAAACCAGGTATATCCATCTATCTAAACCGTTTTTTATAAATCGTTGTCGTCAATATTATATATTTTTACCCCCAGGTTCATCGCTCAAAGACGGAATTGGGCTCTAAGGGAATCACCGAATCTGGCAATTGCCTCCTCAATCTGATCCGCCGAAGCTGCGGCGAATGTAGCGCGGAAGAACATCTTGTGCTCCTCAACGGCGCGGTCTGCCTTGAACCAACTACCACGAGATACTAGCACACCATTGTCAACGGCAGCAGTGAAAATCTCCTCCTCGATGGCGTCGTGGGACTTGCCTGCGGCAACGTCAGGGTGTTTCTTCCAGTCAACCTCAATCCAGTGCTAGTTATATGTCAGCATTTATACTAGAGAAAATAATTGAGACAAGGCAGAAGCCAGACTGAACTTACAAACATTCCTGCGGCAGGAGCAACCCAGCGGGCAATTTCCGTGGGAACCTTGTTTTCACAAGCGTGAACCAAGGAGTCTCGGCGCTTCGTGTACTCCATGCGCAGGTTAATCAGCCAGTCAAGGTATCCTGAGTGACCCCAGTGCTCGTCCAAAAGCTTGAAGAGGACAATCTGGGAGATGCTGCTGGGGTGCTGGGCGGAAACCTCAGCGCATCTAATGAATCGTTCGATAATTTGCTCGGAACCAACAACCCAGCTGGTTCGCGAACCAGGAGAGATGACTTTGGAGAATGACTCGAGGCGGAGAACACGTCCATCAACGTCCAGGCTCAGGTAAGATGGGATGAGAGACTTGATAAACTCTTCGTGGTTTGCAGGTGGTGGCGCAGGTTCGCCGTGGGCACCCGCGTATGGCTGCATCTGAAGGAAGTAGTAAGGCTCATCTTCAATAATATACAAGTTGTGCTTTTGCGCAACCTTGTAGATGGCCTTGCGTCGCTCCACCAATTGGGTGGCGCCAGTGGGGTTCTGTCCCGTAGGAATTGTGTAAAGCACCTTGGGCTTGCCAGCACCCCGGGCAGCCTCATCCCAGTTGCTCATCACTTCATCCAACGACTCGGGCAAGAGGCCCTCGTCGTCCATCTTCACGGTTGCTATTCTAATGCCCTGTGGCAAAGCAGTCTCCAGGGCGCTGGAAAAGGTGTACTCTTCCACCAAAAGATAGTCTCCTCTCTCTAACAGCATGCGCAGTGCTGCATCCCACGAGAAAGTGCTGCCAGCGCTCAGGCAGCATTGCCAGTCAGCGTATGGGGGGTTGTGGATGAGCTGACGACATTAGGTTTTCGTTCAAAGCAAGCAGTTTGGCAATCGCATCCGACTCACCTCGGTGTGTTCAGTCACGAATCGGAGCAACTGAGGAGCGCCCGTGGCCTGGCCATAGTTAAGAGCGACCTCAAGATCTTAAAAAAAGCCAGTTAACAACCGCTAATTGCGACAATCAACCACGAAAGACACTGCTTACCATACAAGCTCTTTCCGTTACGAACGTCGTTCTTTGCAGCCTTCAGGACCGTACCAGACTCTCTGGTGGCTTCAGGAGAGAATCCCGGCGGTGTCGGAACCTTGATGTCGATCTCTTCAATGGGAAAGTATTCCGGGGATGGCAGTCCACCGCCAAGGGAGATAAGACCTAAATGAGGCGAACAAATCAGCCCTGGGCCAATGACTAGGTTTATATCCCAATCTTCCTACCAGGGTTCTTAAGGTACTTAGCAGCGCCCTTCAGCGTGCTGATTCCGCGAGACTTGGATTCCAAAGTAAGCAAATCTAGTGTAAACAGCAGTTAGCGGGGACCGAGGTACGGGAGTCGATAGCAATTCGATAAGAGGCGAAAGGGAGGAGGGAGTGTAGATTCGAGATGACTCACTATCCCATCGCTTCGCCTTGGGCTTCGTGTAGCAGGCCTATGAAGATATACAAAGATTAGCCCCCATTCTCTTTGTGCTTGTAGTAGAAGGAACGGACAGCCAGGTATACATGCTCACGCATACTACCATTCTATCGCAATTGGCAGACTCCTTACCGGGCTCTTGAACGAATCGCTGCTGGTGGCAGGCGCAACACCGGTGGGAATGGGAGCCGACTTGGCTCTCAACGCAGGAATGCCCTCGACAGTCAAAGGAGCAACAGACGGAGCGCCTGCAACGCCCCTCGAGTCGTTGTCCAAAGCGGCAGGAGGGCTCATTTCGGCGGTGTATAGTTTGTATGTACTTCGGATTGTGCGAGTGGTGCTGGGATATGAGGTGCAAGGATCTGGATGTCGACTTCGAAAGCTGCTGGATGTCCTCTTGAGGTAACCCCAGGATTCGAAGGAAAAAGAAAAGATTTATAGCAAGGATCCGAAGCGAGGTAGGGATGGAAGAGAGGTTGGAGGAGTTGGAGAACAAGTCAAATCAGTAGGTAATCACTGCAGACTCCACAATGATTGCTTTTTTTTTTTTTGTTCCGCCCCTCGAAGAAGGCGGCGGGTCGGGGAATCCGAGATAAAAGAAGTGCCGGATTCCCCCAGATATCATTCGAACACGACAGTCGCTAGTTGCACCATTTTACAAATAAGTACATCATGAAACCAGGATGATGACAATGATCTTCGTGTCTAGTTTCTCTTATCTAATTAAGCTCTTGGAGACATTGTTTCGTTGGCGGTGATACCCTGCATCTACACTCGTCATTCGGAGGGCGCGGGGAGTGACACAGGGCGTATTATATGTATTGGCCCGTAACGCCTGTATTTATCGGTACTGAGATTACCAAATAATTATTACGGATTGCGGAGAGAATCCCAAACCTTGACACATCAGTCGGGGAAGCAAAGATGGAGAAGATGGAGAAGCTGTCTTTCTATATGCTAATGATTATGAGATGGAGTTATTCCACGGCATCAGACAGTCAGAGAAGCAACAATTAATATAGCATTCAGTGGAAATGAAAACCTTGTATAGTAACTGTAAAACAGTCATCGGCCCGAACACCCCGCGCGCATAGATAAGGATATCACCGGCATCGGCCTCGCTTATCGATAGCGCGATAAGCAGTCACGAGATAGGGCGCAGCGATGATGGAATGGAGGGATAGAGAAATATGATTGATAAGCTGGAGAGACCTCGGATATAAATGCGGTATAAAGAGCTAGTGAGTTGTTCTATAGACAATGACGCAACTGAAACACTATTCACGCAATTCTACTCAATGGAACCTATTCCCGAGTATCACTCTACAGCCGAGAAGGAGAAACCTCTTTCTTTCCCACATACTTCCCAACTGTCCCATCCAGCTGAGCTTCCAAAACAGCTGGTTTCCCACTTTGTACGGTCTTGATAGCCTCTGGTAGCAGTTTCCCAAGTTCGGCAACTGTAGAAGCACGCCCAGCCCAGAGCTCCCCACCTGCTGCCGCCTTGGCAATGCCTGGGTAATCTGGAGACGGGGCAAATGAGATGTTGAGATCCTCGTTGGTAGCACGGGAGCCGTCGCCGTTCGGGTGTACCAGAAGCATACTTCTTCGGGGAGCATTCCAGCCCTTGTTGTTAAGGACAATGGTTAAGATGGGGATGTTGTACCGACGAGCAACCCAGTAAACAGAACCTGGTACTGAGAAGAGGAACGTCCCGTCACCCACAATCTGGCAGACAAATTTGCCCTTATTTTGGCCACCATGCTGCACGTCACTGGCCAGTTTGATTCCCAAAGCACCACCGCCAGACCAGCCCAATCCTCCTCCGCCACAGTTGATCCATGAGTTTGGAAAGGTAGCAGCAATCTGGTCCGCAACAAAGCCGGTTAAAGTCACTGCCTCGATAGCCCAGATGGTATCAATTGGACAACCAGTGCGAATCTGAGATGCGAGGTAGTTCGCATTCAAGGGCGCATCATTGCCTCCCGATGGTACCACTGCAAGATTTGTGATGGTTTGTTTGGTCTGCTTGTATGATTCTTCACGACGCTTTCCGAGCGCGATCTGTTCCTCGGAATTGACAATCTTCTTCAAAGATTCATTTGATGCGATGTAGTCATTGATCTGCTTGAAAGCTGTCGCTGACTCTGCGCGGAATGTAGCCATCGAAGGAATATAGAAAACAGGGATCTGCTGCTTGAGAGGATCGACATCGACGTGGATAATCTTGGCGGATTCAGAAGGCTTGCACTGAGTTGGGACCCAAGGGACATCGCAATCGGCAACCAAGATAAAGTCCGCGGTTTTGATAGCATCATGAGACCCGTAACGTAGCCCCAACCACGCAGGGTGGTCTCCGGGGAAACACATGTCACAGCCACCAGTATCAAGGACGCGAAGTCCCTTGAAGTTATCAGCCAGCTTCACAAGCTCTGTCACTCCCCGTGCCTCGCGACCTGAATACCCTACAATGGCCAGGGGTTCCTTAGCGGCAGCGAGATGAGATGCGATCAACTTCACACCCTCCGCAGGCAAAGCTGAAGGCGCAACCGGGTTCCAAACGCTCTGGTTAACACTGTATGGTGTGATCTCCTCCTCCATCGCTTCTCGGGCCCCGACCAAGTATACTGGTCCCTTAGGATCACTGGTAGCGAATTGCAAGGCACGGTTGACCATCTGCTTAACATTTCTCCCAGTCTTGATCTCTCCAGCATACCGACAATACTGAGAAACAATCTGCTTTTGGTCGGGAACATCTTGGATCCAATGGATATACTCAGTGCGAGAGCCACGAACCTCCCCCTCAATGGTGTAAGGGGATAGTCCGGCAAAGATCAGAACCGGGGCCCGACCACAAGAAGCATTATGTACTGCCGCCCCAAGACCTTGAGTCCCCACATCGACATGTACAATCACACACTGGGGCTTTCCAGTCAAACGTGCGTAGCCATCGGCCATGGAGAGTGCCACCATCTGCCGAGATGCGGGGTTAGCGAACGACGGTTTCTAAATGCCGATATGCCCGAAATGGGAAACATGATGCGATCACCTCAGAGAGTATAAACGTACCTCATTAGGACAGGTGATGATCCTGGGGAATTGGTCTCTTTTCTCCCTCTGTCCCTTTACCATGGCTTCCAGGATAGAGGGGTGATCAGACCCCAGGTTGACAAAGACATGGCTCACTCCAGCCTGTATTGAATGTCAAAACTCTTATCCACCGAAACTGATGAGGGGAAAAGATCCCATACCTCCCATAATGCCTCAAAAAAGGCGAAAGATGCAGTATAAACCCTGATCAAGTTAGGAGAATTGCAGACGAAAGCTGCCGTGGGCATGACAAGAGGCTCGAACGTACATTGCTAACCCCTAGTCAGAATATCACGTCGTAAATAAGCTAGTCACTGGTTATCGGTTAAGGAGGGATAAAGAAAGAGGAGAGAGAAGTGGATCGAGGACAATTGATATAGAAGATGGTTGATTGCTAAGACAGCTGGCAAAAGCGGAGAAAGCAGCTTCAACGGCGGAGGACCGCGAGGAAGTCCGTGAGATTCACCATCGGAAGAAACACCGACTTTCGGATTCCAAAGACCGCCTGAGAATGTCAACAGAGGATCTTCAGAGTGATTCCTACAAGCGAAGCATCGCAACATTTCCGCTGCGGGGTTCACACGTGATGGAGTCTGGAAAAGTAGACGAGCACTTTTATACAGCAATGTTAATTAATTAGCTCATAATAAAGAATATGTGCAATTCCTAATTGGATTATCATTGGATTATCAAAATTTACTATTCAATGGCACTATTATTACCATGCAGGCCACAGTAGGAGAGGTCTTTCATTACACTATAGATCTGCGTGGACATCAAGCAACAATGCCAAACCATTAACATAGATTATCTACATATATAGTATCAAATAGATGAAAATAAAAAGCTTCTTCTGGTTTTTTTTTTTTTTTTTTTTTTTGGAAATCTTTCTGCCTTGTAGGGCTGTGGAACGTCCATCGTGGATCTTTCGCCCTCAATATCAAGGCAGAGTAGTGACGGATGACGTCAAAAGCCTCTCCGACTTTCATAACAAGATCGCATTCCAACAAAGCGCTTTCGTCATTTGTTTGCTCCTCCAAATTGCATTCGTAGATGAGTTATAAGAAAGTCCACTGATACTCTTATCATCTCAGCCCTAGCATATATGGCGTGGAGCATGGTTAAATGCCTGGCCTTATATCAACACAACTAACCACTGATACGTCATCAGAACGGGGGCAATATGACTTCGACATATCTCCCCTGGAATATCGCCGAAGGGACACCAATCCAAAGTTTGATCAAAGTCTCTGGTACCGTGTTTTCAGCCTTTCTGGCTGCTGTGGCTCTTTTGATCGCACGTCAACCAACAAGTGATAACCAAACCCTGTGCAAAATGCTCCCGGAGAACGTCTATGAGCAATGCCACGATGATAAGACTGTAAGCTCGGAACTTTCGCGGGACCCGAGTCAACATCCATCCAAGGTCTTCCACAAACTATATGAGCATAAATCCGGAAAGTGCCATTTGAAGTCAAAGAACTCAGGAGGTGATGAGAAGGAGAGTCTGAAACGGGCATATGAGTGTGGAAATTGGGGCCCTACAGAACCAAGTAATCTATTTCTCAATGTGAGACCACCAATCGCAGTGTTTTCTGGGCCTATTCTTCAACTGACCTATTTTAACTCTTGGCGTTGCTAGATATATCACGATGCCCTCTGCGCGCTGGAAAAGAACCCCATGTCGAGCGTCGTTTCCCCGCCCTTAATGGGAAGCAATGGAGTCGTTCCCTTGACAATCGTCGGTCCACTGCCTGATCTCTGTCGTCATATTTCGAATTGCATCGTGCGGGCCGAGAAGGAGATATTCCTGGCAACCAACTTCTGGATTCACTCCAACGCATCAACTTTAGTGACGAATGCCTTCAGAGAATTGTCGAAACGAGCTGGCAAGCGTGGGACCAAGGTGGTCGTAAAGATGATTTACGATCGGGGCGATCTTCGGCAGGTCTTCGAGAATCATCTCACTGTTTCGGAGAAGCAATATATTAGCGAAAAGGTCAAACTTCCACCGGCAGAGGAGATACCAAACATCGATCTCCAGGTTATCAATTACCACCGCCCCATCTTTGGGACCTTCCATGCGAAATTCGTCGTCTTTGACAGGAGAGTCGCACTGCTTCAGAGCAGTAACATCCAAGACAATGATAATCTGGAAATGTTGATCAGGGTAGAAGGGCCAATTGTGGACTCCTTTTATGATGCTGCGTTGATTTCGTGGGGCAAGTCGTTGGGCTCGCCTCTTCCAATGCTGGATTCCCCTGCGGCATCGGCGCCAATTCCAAGCTCCAATATTCACCCACCAGGCAGTTCTGACGAGAACTCTTCCAATCCTTCGCTGCCAGAACATACCACGCAGGATCCTAACTATGATGCTGATATACATCAAGAAACAGAAAGAGTCAATGGGACTGTCAAGCCTCGAGAGGGAGAATCGAGGACATCAGCAGTCAGTCGTCATCTCAGTATGTCTTGTCAGTTGATAAAAGCTCAGTCACTTTCTAACCACTCAATAGATCACACAATCCAACCTTGCACCACAGGAGATGCCCCAGACAGCGACCAGGAAACACCAATGCAGCCATATCTCCTTTTACCCTCCCATAAACCATTCCCGATGGCCTTGGTGAATAGAGAACCATGGGGAGGCAAGTAGAAACCCTGTCATGTTTAACTTGGATTCTCTTTTACTAACATCCGACTCCAGTACCGAACCATACAAGCATCTATCCCCCGCAAAATGCCGCTTTTCTCTCAGCCATCAACCATGCGAAACACTCTATCCTAATCCAAACCCCGAATATGAACGCAGAGCCCCTTCTTGAGCCCCTTCTTAATGCCGTCCACCGGGGTGTCATTATCACTTGTTATCTCTGTTTAGGCTATAACGACGCAGGCGAATTGCTTCCTTTCCAAAATGGGACGAACGAAATGATTGCGAACCGGCTATATAATTCCCTGTCTACAGACGAGGAACGATCTCGACTCCGGATATATAATTATGTCGGCAAAGACCAAACACGGCCAATACACAACAGGTTCAAGTGTCGAAGCTGCCATATAAAACTTATGATCATTGACGAAAAGGTTGCTATTCAAGGTATGTACATTTCTTTCATCCTTTCACCAGAATACTATCTATACACATGCTAACCTAACTTTCTGCCCACCAGGAAACGGCAACCTCGACACCCAATCCTTCTACCACAGCCAAGAGATCAATCTCCTCCTCGACTCGCCTCTTGTCTGTCGCACATGGATAAAGACCATCAATCAAAACCAAAACACGGCGATTTATGGCGCTGTAGGCCCAGAAGATGGTTGCTGGCATGATCCAGTTACAGGGAAGATACCTGACGGATCTATTGGTGTGAATCCCGGGCATTTTAGCTGGGTCAAGGGGGTAGTTGGTGCTGTACAGAGGGTTAGAGGTGCTGGTGGGTTTTAGGTTTTGATCTTCTGCACTGTGGGTCACGGATAGTTTTTATGTCGTGGATCGGATATATATTTTTGTTCAGCGATGGTTCATCTTTTTCATTTGTATTTTCAGTTGTCAGCCAGACATGTATAATATTCTGCGCTCTACGTTGATAGTCAACTCTGCGAAATATCATGAGATGCGAGTCCTGCTTTGAATTGTAGAATACTTCTTAGATGTTGCATCGCCCCAATTCAGTGTGACACAGACAAGACCACCATTTATCATCAGCAAACGATAGCTAGACTCTGATTGTGGGACAGACAAGGGCAATATGTAGTACACTGTACTTCCTTTAGACAGTGAGATATTATCTGAAGATGCCCTTTAATAACCCGTTCTCGAATGGGTGTGGTTGCATTGAATTACTTTGGAGTCCTCTCCCTAGAAAGTAGTATATGAAGCTGAGCTCTGCAATCCAAACTGTAACCTACAGTAAAAATACTCAACAGTCCACTACCCGACCCAACCAACATCACCATGTCCCGTCCATACGACAAAGCCATCGTCGATATCACCCATTACGTATTCCACTACCAAATAGAAGATGACAAGGCATGGTCTTCTGCTCGCGTGGCCCTTCTAGACGCCATGGGCTGTGCAATCGAGGCAGTCGCAAAGAGCGAAGATTGTCGAAAGCTATTAGGCCCTACTGTCCCTGGCACGACTGTGCCTAACGGATTCCGGTTACCGGGAACGAATCTGGCATTGGATCCTGTCAAGGGCGCGTTTGATATGGGGGTGTTGATTCGGTATTTGGATCATAATGATGCCTTGGGGGGCGCTGAATGGGGGCATCCGTCTGGTATTGATCCTTACCTTACCTCTTTTGCCTTTCAGTATAAATATGGAGATGGTGCTTGGACTGAGGTGTTAATATTTTTTTGGGGCAGATAATCTAGGTGCCATCTTGGCTGTCACGGATTGGCTCTGTCGGGCTTCTGCGGCTGGAAAATATACACATACTGGTCCACCGCTGACTATGCGAACTCTAATGACTGCCATGATCAAGGCATACGAAATCCAGGGCTGTTACCAGATGGAGAATGCCTTTAATGCATTCGGAATCGACCATGTCATTCTTGTCAAACTAGCGTCCGCTGCTGTGGTGGCATGGTTACTTGGTTTAACGGAACAGCAGACCACGGCGACCATTTCACATGTGTGGATGGATGGACATCCAAACAGAGTCTATCGATCTGGTGTAAATACGATTCCACGCAAAGGTTGGGCAGCTGGTGATGCTTGTATGCGGGCGGTACATCTGGCACTGCTTACGCGGGCAGGACAGCCTGGGGCGCCCGAAGCTCTGAGTGCTTTACCATGGGGTTTTCTTGGGCGAACTTTTGGTGCGAAGGGGTTCGAGCTACCCAGGCCATTTGGAACATGGACTATCCAAAATATTTTGTTCAAAGTCATGCCAGTTGAGGGTCATGGGATTTCAGCCGTTGAAGCGGCTTTGATCCAGCTTGCTCGGCTCAGGGAACGGGGATTAAGGCCTGACGACATCTTCAAGGTTGAGGTTCGAACGACAGCGGCGGCGGATCTGATCATTAATAAGAAAGGAAAGCTACACAATGCTGCAGATCGCGACCACTGCGTCCAATACGTGATCGCACTCGCTTTTCTGAAAGGAACGACACCAGAGGCGCAGGACTACCTGGATAAGAGCCACTGGGCGACGAGCGAGGACCTTGCCTCCATGCGTCAAAAGATTATCGTCAGTGCAGATGATAAACTCACCAAGGATTACCTAGATTTAGACAGGAAGAGTATTGGATCCGGACTGACTGTTCATCTGAAGAACGGTTCCATCTTGCCAGAAGTCTTGATAGAATATCCAGCTGGCCATGCGCGGAATCCCGCAACTGTTAATATGGTTCGCGAGAAACTCTCGAAAAATATGAGACTTATGTTCTCAGAAACCGAGATTACCGGTATTATTCAAGCGGCTGAAGATGATAACTTGGCGATCATGGGGTTTGTTGACTTGCTCTCTCGGCAGACTCCAAGTAGTCCAAGGCTATAAGCCAAAAAATAGGCCTGTGAAACCAAAGGATAGAAGAATATTAGTCGCAGAGGGCTTGGAAAGATGGGAGAAGCAGTAGCTTTGCTCGAAAAACGATCCAGTGATGGAAAGTGAAGTTCACGTAGGTAGTATTGCTTTTTCTCAATGACGTGCATTAAAAATATATCCAAGGACGAGACCAAAATCCCCAATGAAAAAAAGCATCTATTGCTAAGTTCCCAAAAGACGGCAGTTTTATCCGATTTTGCCGACGCCTTGAAGAGTCAGGTATACATCAGTGCCCCATCCCCAAAGACTTTGCACAGCGATGCTGCCCCCAAAATATTCTGCATATGCTCTGCTCAAAGGTAGACCATATCCCAGTCCTGCAATGCTACTCAGTTGTCCACTGCTAGCTGAAATGGAATTCAGTCCATCGACGCTGCCATTTTCCGAGCCTTGAAGGTCGGAGAAGGTTGTATAACTGTAAGACCAAATGTCGGGCAGAACATCCGGAGGTATTCCGCCACCTCTATCTCGTATCCTAATCGTGATGCTTTGCGATGAAGGCGCTGAATATCTGATAGATTCGTTTGCATCCGCGGTACCACGAACAGAGTTAATTTGGAAGTCCACATCTGAATCAGATTGAATGCCTTGGCTACTGCTAGATGTCCTGGTAGCTTCGCGTGCATTATTCACAGGAACATCAGGTGCAGAAACGACGGTGACCTCAATTGGTTCCCGCTCATGTCCAGATTCAATAACAGCTCTGAATGCATTCTTCAGTAGTTCTGTGATGATATATTCCACATGCACGGGAACATAAGCAAATAAGGCGTCGGGCTGTCCACCGATTTGGACGTGTGGGCGCACACCGTACTTGAGTTCACATATTTCTCCCACAAAATCCTCACACAGTTTTATAATACGCGATGGTTGGAGGGCAGTATCTATTACTCCGATATAATTCGACGGGGCTGCATCTTTTGATGCTGGACGTGCACTGGCATCACCTTCAACTGGCTGGGACGCAAAGTGAAGAGCCAGGTGTTGTTCGGCTATCAATCGAGTTCCGATCCGCGCCCGCAAGTGTGTGTCCAAGAATCGAGTGACATCGGCCAGGTTGATATATCGTTGACACTCGAGAAAGCCACGTGCAAGTATAGGGATTGTATTTGCATGTGTATGAACCAAATCTGCCAGGACCTCTGCAAACTGATTTTCTTCCTCTAGTGTTGTAATCTGCCGTTTCTGATAGGGGAGAAGGGTTGAAAGCGAGTGGAGATAATTGTTATAGATCTTGGACACGTGTGGATTTGAGACGACAATAAAAGGGAGGTTTCGCAAGGCTTCTATACGAGACGCGAGTCGAGCCGGGAGAAGGGAAAGAGTGAAGTTCGCAGAAGCAAGAAGTGCATCTTTGGACAATGGCGGACGCCCGTGCCTAGACAGCAAAATGGCAATCAGTACAATGACCCTGCTGTGTATCTTATCTTCAACTCACTTGAGTAAATCTGTAAGCGTTAATGGCCTGCGACGGCTGGCCGCAAGGCGTGCAACTTCATCATTAGCCCCAGTAGGAAAGGGTGGGTTTTGCCTCGGCAGCTGCGAGGTGGAGGAGTGGCGTATGTTGAAAGGAGGATTGTAAGACGGAAGGATGTTATAACGAAATCTGCATCTTAAAGATAGAGTATTGAGAGCTTTGGGAACGGCCATAGTAAAAACTAGCCATGCTGCAAAGCGCAAATCATGGGGGTCGCCTCAGCAGAAGCAGCGTTGGTCGGGAGGGAAAAAGCAACGATGACTTCAGATCGACAGATCGACTGGGATGCCATTGCGCTAACCCAGATAGGCAATCCATGTGGCATCACGTTCTGTAGGAAAAGCAAAACCTGCATTGAAATTGGAATTGGAACTAGAGTACATTTTCGTAATGATACACAGAAACATGGGGCCTCAACTGATCTCATGTTTGTTTGGAAAACAAAAAAAAAAAAAATTTCGAACCCATCTTAGCAAAACACCGCCGCAAGTCCCAGGAGCCCACCGGCAAGGGGCCAAAGACCACGAATGCCATTCAGCACTTTCCACCGGTTCAGAAGCTGGTCAATTTCGCTGTCCTTTGCAGTTGATGAGTTGTCCGCACTCGCTATAAGCTTGTCGTTCGTCGAAGTCATTCCGAGAATCGTGTGAGGTACGATGCCCAATACCAACGCGGCAGCAGAACTGTAAAATAACACAGTGTTGTTTGATGCAAGATGAGAGAAGTGACCTTCCGATCGCAAAGCCCAAGCAAGATAGAGAAACGCGGCAGATGTGGCCAGAGCAACTGGGGGGTTTTGAGACTTCCCCTTGTTATACAGGAGCTTCCATTGCTTGGCTAGTGTCGTCGATTGTACGCCGGAGCTTGGTTTGGATTCAACGAGTGCGGGCACAGTGAGGAGAGAGAGCGCGGATATATTTCCTTGGAGAAGACGTCAGTCATTATGCCCAATTCTTCTTGGAAATGGGAGAAATATAGAAGCTCTATAGTACTTACCAGAAAGCCAGAAGGACCCAGATATGCCCACTGTCTGGGCAATGCGGAAAGCTGTTGGGAATGCGCTCATTGTGATTGTCTGTCGTGTTGTGATTTTCTACAGGTTTGAATGTTTTTAAGAGAAGAGGAAGAAGACGAAACACGTTCCAATATGTCAGTTTGATCTAACGTAGCATCGACGATCACCATTTATGTAATGGCGGTAAAATCCGGATAAACTCCGCACTCTATGATGCCACGAGTACCACCAGCCGGTTTCATCAACCAGACAAGGATATTATTCTTCATATTCTTGCTATGTATGATTCTATAGAATGGTTATAATTAGATCACAAAGCATGGGCTTGAATGTTGGATATTGTTACTGAAAAGCAATTCAAAACATCCATACTATATACAGTGTGTAGGTATAACGCTTAACACCGCCGGCTGCATTCTCCAAGGAATCAGAATTGATAATAACCTCCGAACGCTAAGATAACATCCCAGCCACATCACCTGTGATGTGTAAACTGTATTTCCCAGATCAAAATGCACGATGATGTGGCAACACTATCACTGCACATGTGCATACACTTATTGCAGAAGGATTGCAGAGTGGCTCATGCAAACTCAAGATCAGTTGACTACTACTATGTAGATATAGCGTGACGGTTTACAAGGGTATTCTGCATTTCTGTACTAGAGTTGTGGATGTAAATGTAAGCCATTCATCAACAGGCTGTCGTTGATCCATCCAGATCCCGCGCTGCAGGCTGTCTTTCAAAGATATTCATCGCCATAAGACACTTCAATCAATATTCATAATTCGTACATTGTCCAAGATAAATTCTGCAGATTGCCAGCCATATAGACTATGTCGAGTCCAGCCCATTCTGTTGACTTCTCAGTTCTTATCGTCAAGATATCCTGTTTCGTGATGCTGGTGCGAAGTGACCTAATTATTGGGTCCTGACTTCGCCATCACGTTCGACGTGGATGTGGTCGGAGGACTCGAGGATGTTGACATGGTCAGGTGGGTATTCAACACTAGAAGGATGGTCAGCTGGATGTCTCCATAGCGCCATAGAAAAAGCGACGCGACTCGAAGCAAAATAATTACTTACGTGAAGCCCTTGATAAGGCTGTACTCGTGCTGGATAGTTCCACCCTGCTTCTGGACTTCCTCCTTGGCTCTGATATTTGAAACCATCGATCAGCTATGATCTGTAACCACTGGTTGGAGAAGGTGACCTACTTGCTGAGCTCCTCGTGAGGAGAGTCCTTCTTCAAGGTGACCTAGACAAGAGCTAATTAGAGTCGAGGAAATAGAGTGCTGGGGTGCACCACGAACATTGAACAGAGGCATTTTTCTGATACTGGTAGAGAATAACCTTGGGATAGATGTTTTAAGAATTTTGAAGGTGAAAAGGTATGATGAGTAGGACGCTGGAGAGGTGGTAGTTGTGAAGTGGACAACCTTGGGCGCGGGGGAGAGCGCGTTTTAAAGCGTCCGAATGAGCTGATAAGGGAGCATGATAGGGCGTTTCCCTGGAGGGGCGCGGAGGGGGGAGTTTCATGGACAGGTGTGGCTGTTGCCTTTGTGCCTTGCCTGGTGCCAGATCTTACGCCATCCCAGTCACAAGGTAGTGCTCATCTGGATGGTAGATTATTCCAGTGCTTTCTAAACACGTTTTCTCATCCTATTGCTTTATTCTGCAATATTCTTGCTAACATTCTGTCCAGTGCCAGGGTGGCTAAATCGTGCAACTGTATTCCGTAGCGCCGTTGTTTATACCCCACCTGGGTGATGTGCATGCTACTCTACTTTGGGATCCTTGATGACGATTCATCCTTCATCAACCAGTTCGTGTTCTTAATCCAGTATGTTGGTTTTATTCCAAATACTTCCCCTCGCTATTTATTCCAATCTGTCCTACCTCAGACCCTGATTTTTCTGCGTTTTTTACGCCCTACCAAACGGTCGCAGCGGGGATTGCAGGTATGACGATACCCGGCAGACTAGTGGGGGCGGGGCATTGAATCACGTGCTCACAGGGTCGCATTCATCATCTGTTGTCATCTTCGTTTGGTCGATAGAATACATTGGATAAATAGACAGTAGGCATCTATGATAATACAGATAGAGAGAGACGTGATATGGCGCCCGGGTGTCCATGCATTGAGTGCTGCCTGGCAAATGACCAGATCGATTGCTTATCTGCTTCAGGGCAGCTGATAATGCCTAGGCAGATCCCGTGTACCTCACAGACCAACATAGCCCGTACCGTCCTCTTCTCGCGAAGGCATCTTTATTCCATGCATCCCCGTATATTTGGGGCTTTCGGGCTGCTTCCAGCCGTCCAGAACGTTAGGATCTGCTATCTTGTATACTTCCACCCCAAGAGGACGGGTGGTCGCTCCCATCTCAGCGCCTTTGTCCTCCCAACCCCAGTTGGAAAGGTCACCTACAAGGAAACAATTAGTGTTCTTTCACTGAATGTCTATAGAGGGAATACATACCACCAGGGCACGCTGAAAGGGCACATAGAACATCAACCTCAGCGAAGAATTCAAAATATTCTCCCACCTTGGCTGGGGAAGTTTCCATAAAGTACTTCCCTTGCTCATCAAGGCCCGTCACTTGGAATACATTCAGGACATCATGAACGTCCAATTCCGTCAGGCCAAAAGGCACCACGGAGCGGGTAAGGTTTGAGTGGCAGTGGAAGTCGAAAGTTTCCCCGCCCATCAAAAGGTTGACATACGGGTCGCATCTAGTACCCATAAGATCATGTACTCGTCCTCCCCATTTGGTAGTTCCGAAAACAACTTCTTCCCTTCGGTTCCCATCCGGTCCGAGGACTTCATGGAGCTGTCCACCTCCCAGAGAATCCCCAGTGATTGTCACGAGGGGTCGTAAGTACGGCAGATTCGACCATAGGCGATCGCCGACGGAAACATGCGAAGCATGGATTTGACGGGTACGAGCAGCCCACATACGCTCTCGTGGGTTGTTCGCATTCCAAATGTTCAGGTCACCAACCTGAGGGCCCTTGGGGGTAGTCAAGCGGCAGATATGGCCAGCCGGTACAACCCAAGCCTGGCCTGAGCATGGGCGAATCGTAAAGGATGACTCCTGAACTCTAGCTGAGGCAGTGGAAGCGGTCTCGGAAATGGACCGGTACAGTTGGGAAGTAGCATGAACCCCAGAGTCCGGAGGGGCCGTGTATGCGGGGGGAGGTCGACGCGGGGTAGACATTCTTGTGAATATCAAATGATTGAATGTATAATGGCTCAAGGGCTGGTTAATTGGCGGCAGGGAGTCAAGAAACAAGCAACCCCATGCCGGGGAAACTCTGTATTAGTACTCATCCAGGGGAGACCTGCCTCGGGAATATCCCGGTCATGATAGCACCCCACATTGCTATCTTTCCCCGCTTCGATTTCAACCCCTCTAGTCTATATCACAGCTCCGTTGTAGTTATCTCAATGACCAAATTGGTTTACTTTATTTGCAATGCGTCGGAAGGTCGGGCCGGGGATATAGGGCTAGGCCCTTATCGCGCAACCTCCGGTAGCAGTGACGGATAAGGCCTTACTGTTTTGAGAATATCAGTGCCTCAGGAATAAAGGCCGGCAGAAACTTTTTTTTGATCTCGGCGGGGGTAAAATTCCGCTCCGAGGTGGAAATAATAATTTTGGGTCGATCAAGCAACTAGCAATCGAAAGAGCAGCTCACTGACTGCTGTTTTTAGCTGTTGATTTTTTTTCTTTTTCAGAAGGGGAGTGTGTTCAGAGAGGTCTTGGACCTCGATTTTCCAAATATGGAGCAGCAATCGAATCGGACGCATCGGCCCTCCAAGGAGAAGAAGAAATTCGATGGTATGTTGAAGCTGCGCTCTGATAACTGTTTTGCAAAGATTTACAATGCTTCCAACTATGCGCCCTGATTGAACTCGATATGCTAAACTGATTATTTTGTCTCTATAGGACCGAACCCAAAGGCCTTTGCAGTCTCGAATCCTGGAAAGTTGAACAAACAGGCGGCACGTTCGCATGATGTATGTTTTATCACCTATCTTCGAGTGAGGCCATGGGATATTCGTTCGCTAACTACTGCGATTCTCTAGATCAAAGAAAAAAGGCTTCATGTACCTCTTGTGGATCGACTTCCGGAGGAGGCGCCTCCGATCGTCGTCGCCGTCGTTGGACCCCCAGGTGTATGTTTCTCTTGTCGCAATAAATGGAAGCTATAATTGGAAAACCTGACATTTTATCCTCTTTATAGGTCGGCAAAACGACTCTTGTCAAATCATTGGTCCGAAGATACACCAAGCAGACCCTCAGCACGCCGAAAGGACCGTTAACGGTGGTAACCTCGAAAAAGCGACGACTCACGATCCTCGAATGCCCCGCCGACTCGCTTGCGAGTATGATCGATGTCGCCAAGATCGCAGATATTGTGCTTCTCATGATCGATGCCAACTATGGTTTCGAGATGGAGACAATGGAGTTCCTAAACGTGCTAGCTTCGAGTGGTATGCCGGGCAATGTATTCGGCATCTTGACCCATCTGGACCTTTTCAAAAAACAGAGCACCCTGCGCATGGCGAAAAAGAGGCTCAAACATCGATTCTGGAGCGAACTTTACAACGGCGCAAAGCTATTTTACCTTTCCGGTGTGGTAAATGGCCGTTATCCTGACCGAGAAATACACAACCTCTCCCGTTTCCTGTCCGTCATGAAAAACCCTCGACCCTTGGTTTGGCGTAATTCCCACCCATACGCACTTGCAGATCGATTTTTGGACATCACACCACCTACCCAAATTGAAGAAAACCCGAAGTGCGATCGCACAGTGGCCCTTTACGGATATCTACGAGGAACAAACTTCCCGGCTCAAGGAGCTCGGGTTCACGTCCCAGGTGTAGGTGATCTCACTGTGTCGGGTATCGAGAGCCTTCCTGATCCTTGCCCAACTCCACACATGGATCAACAAATGGCTAAAGCATCCGGCAAAGGAGCAAGGCGCCGGCTAGGAGACAAACAGAAATTGCTTTTCGCCCCCATGTCCGATGTTGGAGGTGTCTTGGTTGACAAAGATGCTGTATACATTGACGTCAAGACATCCAACTTTGATAGGGACGAGGATGAAAGTGACGAAGACAACGAGGATCGTGGTCTCGGAGAGCAACTAGTTGTTGGTTTGCAGGGTGAACGTAAACTGCTTGGTGAAGCCGACTCCGGTGTTCGTCTATTCCGTGGTGGCGAGGCCATAGACAAGGCAGACGACGAAGACGAAGAAGTTGGAAGGAAGCACAGGCGGAATGTGAGGGCTATGGAAGGTGGACATGACAATGAAGGCTTATCAGCGGATGACGATGAGGGCTTCGACACTGGAGAGGATGAAGAGATGGACCAGGATGATGATGAAGGGGACAGTGATGAGGACAATGAGGTTGATGCATCTGCGCCGGCGGACTTTGAAGCAAACTTCAAGGAGAAGCAAGACGGAAAGGTTCGCCGTGAGGATGGCGACATTGCATTCGCCGATAGCGACTCCGACCTTGGTTCTATCTCGTCGGTAGAAGACCAGCAGTTTGACAGTGATGAGGAAGACGAAGATGAAAACGAAGACGACCTAGATGGCGAAGAGGATGGGGCAGTCCGATGGAAAGACAACATGCTCGCCAACGCCAAGGCTCTCCATGCCAAACGACCTGCATTCCGTGTTCCTGATCTATCCCGCATGATGTATGACGAGTCCATTGCGCCGGCTGACGTTGTTCGAACATGGCGAGGAGAAGACGACGAAGACGAAGAGGAGGAAGAGGCTGGAGAAGATGAAGATGACTTCTTCAAGAAGACCAACGTTGAGAAGGAAGATGAATCCGATTTCCGTGCCGTTCCAGAGTTCGACTATGAAAAGTTAGAACAAAAATGGCAAGATGATGAAATGATCGAGTCTTTGCGAAGCCGATTTGTCACTGCCAAGCTGGGAGGAGGAGACGACGACGATGATGAAGATGACTCTGATGTCGATGACGCTTTCGACGATGACGATGAAGGAGATGGAGAGTTCGAAGACTTGGAAACAGGCGAAGTGTTCAACGGGTTTGACGAAGAAAACGATGAATCCAAGAAGGAGGAAGGACCGGTGGACCTGGATGCCGAGCGCGAGCGCAATGCCAAGAAGAAAGAAGAGCTGAGATTGCGCTTTGAAGAAGAAGATCGCGAAGGTTTCGCCAACTCGAAAGACAATTCGCGACAGAATGGCGAAGGTGAAGAACAGTTTGGCGAGGATGACTGGTATGATGCGCAGAAGGCGAAGTTGCAAAAGCAGCAGGACATCAACCGGGCCGAATTCGATTCTCTTGACCCTGCCTCGAGAGCTAGAGCTGAGGGCTACAAAGCTGGAACATACGCACGGATTGTTCTAGAGAAGGTGCCATACGAATTTGCCGCCAAATTCAACCCTCGCTTCCCCGTCATTGTCGGTGGATTGGCGCCCACTGAAGATCGGTTTGGATATGTACAGATCCGTATCAAGAGGCACCGTTGGCACAAGAAGATCTTGAAGAGCAACGACCCCCTTATCTTTTCTCTGGGTTGGCGTCGATTCCAATCTCTACCCATTTACAGCACATCGGACAGTCGGACGCGTAACCGAATGCTCAAGTATACACCGGAGCATATGCACTGCTCTGCAATCTTTTATGGGCCTCTCGTTGCGCCTAATACTGGTTTCTGCTGCTTCCAGTCTTTCTCCAACAAGACGCCAGGCTTCCGAGTTGCAGCCACGGGAGTGGTACTCAGTGTGGATGAGCACACAGAGATCGTCAAGAAGTTGAAGTTGACTGGTTTCCCCTACAAGATTTTCAAGAACACTGCCTTCATCAAGGACATGTTCACCACTTCGCTTGAAATTGCCAAGTTTGAAGGTGCCTCCATTAAGACTGTGTCTGGTGTTCGAGGTCAGATCAAGCGGGCTCTTAGCAAGCCTGAAGGTTGTTTCCGTGCCACTTTTGAGGACAAGATCCTGATGAGCGACATCGCCTTCCTGCGTGCATGGTACCCGATTAAACCGCATCGCTTCTACAACCCGGTGACGAATCTGCTTGATCTGGACGAAGAAGCCTCGGGTGACAATGGATGGCAGGGAATGCGTCTGACTGGTGAAGTCCGACGCGATCAGGGCATTCCAACACCCATGAACAAGGACTCGGCCTACCGCCCCATCGAACGACCTACACGCCACTTCAACCCTCTCCGTGTGCCACGGCAGCTGGCTGCGGAACTTCCATTCAAATCCCAGATCACCAAGATGAAACCGCAGAAGGAGAAGACATATCTGCAGAAGCGGGCTGTGGTGCTCGGTGGAGAAGAAAAGAAGGCACGGGATCTCATGCAGAAGCTCACAACTATGCGGGGCGACAAACAGGCCAAGCGTGCAGCCAAACAGGAGGAGCGGAGACAAGTCTACCGTGCTAAGGTGGCAGACAGTCTGGAGAAGAAAGCGGAGAGAGAGAAGAGGGAGCGTGATGACTACTGGCGACGGGAGGGTAAGAAGCGCAAGAACAACGATGGAGAAGGCGGCGGCGGAGGAAAGAAGCGCAGGTAATCGTACCAGCTACGGGGGTTCTCTAATGGTTTCGTCTCTTAATGATTGGGTTTGTACCATGTTTCTGTCGGCCATCAAAAAGTCATTATTGTTGGATATTGTCGATATGTACACTGTATGTATTGCATGGTGGATGGCGTTTGAATTGCTTGTCTGATGACACTGTTTCTATCTACTACTGCCATTATTCCTCTCTTGATATACCAGGAACAGTCATTCAATTCATGATTTTTGTTTTGATATCGCGATACGATCACGTGGATCATATCTACCTTAGAGTTTGCGGCCTGGTCCATCAGGCATAAATCTCACGTGTTGGAACCGCGCGGACGCGTCTCGTTCGCAGCGCCAGACCGTTGGCTGTAGCATGCGACGATGATTTGGACGAATGATGCAATAAAACACCTGTTTCTCACCAGCCGAATTCTCCATGTAGGCCACACTGTTCCTCATGTTCCTTGGGCCTTTCATCCTTAGCTCTCTTCTTTGTGTGTCTTCACACCCATCAGAGCATCTGAAACACGAAGCCTGAGAGCTTGACGCCGTGTGGGGACCCGTTGAAGTGCCCGCCGCTCGTGCTCGATCTTGCGCATGCAGGTTCAAGGGAGCTCACTCCTTGCCTCTATAGGGCATTTATCTCAGATCAAGGGACTTTTGCCCGGAGTTGGCACAATTGCTCAGTGGACAGCGCTCGCTTTTGACAGCTGCATGGGCAACTCCGCGCCAACCCTGTAAGTGGTGAATAACTAGATCGCTCGTGCCGCCTGGAATTGAAGATCACTCTTCAAGATTCAAGCCCCTCACAGTACAGCTAGTGAACTCTTTCCTAGCTTTCATTTCACGCCTCTGTTTGACGTTTAATCTCGCTTATACTGTCGAGTATGAGCTACGGCAGCATTCGGTCAAGTCAAGGGCAGTTGCACCCAGGGCTCGTCGAAGATTCTCAGTCTAGGCAGCCATGCTCTGAGCATTCTTCGACTACTTCTATGCCCTCAAATTCAGTACAGAATTCGCTACACAGAAACGGAGACCAACATATGCGGATTTCCAACCCCTTGTCGTTGCAGATGGATGCACGGCATGCTGTCGCCATTGGGAACAGCAATGGTAGTCTGAACCCAAGCAAAACTTCTGACACAATGGAACAAAGTAGCGGCTACTCATCAGGTGCCTATAACTCGGAATCTCAGCAATTAATAGAATCAGGGAATGCTGCAGATTTGCTTCATAAGTCACAACCAGCTTCTACACACTTGAATTTGTCGGAACAGTTTTCCACGCAAATCCAATCGTCTCAAAGTCAACCACAAAAGCTTCAGCAGATTCAACCTGACCCCTCGTTATCGAGTATACAAAATAATGACCTGTCTGTGTCAGAACCCCATTGTCCGCCTAATATGGCGATGCCGGGCCAGAAAAGAACTGCTGCTAGCGGTATAAAATCTCCATCGAATATGGTGGGATCCCAGAGTCCAGAAGTAAATGGCACCGGAAGGCACCGGTCTAAAAGCATTGGGTCGGATCCGCATGGGAGCCGAATTGCAGCGGTAAATTGTCTTTGTATGCCAGTCACTTTGAAAAAGCCCGCTGATGATATAAATCCAGCTTTCTGTGCATCTCCGCACGCGTCTTTCTTATGCTGCAGCCAAGATAGAGAAGGACTGGCGCCAAAATGAAACTTCAGGGCTCCTACCAAATGTCTCGCGGGCACTCTCAGTCTCTGCTGTACATGGTTCAAGCCAGAGGAGCCCTTTTCATATTGAGCCAGTTAAAGGACATCCTTTTTTGGATGCTGGATCTCCTGAAGGCACTACTGTATCAGCACCAGACCCGTCCGCGAGTTCTCATTTCTACAATCCTAATGACTTTGCACGAGTGTCTCCGCTGGCTAGTTCAGATATCATGCCGTCATACTCAGCCCAGCGAACATCGCAATTCTACCCTACAAAACTGCATCAGCCTCCAAGACTGGCGCCCCCTGCAGACATTATCTCGAACGCGGGGAGTGGCCGGCGTCGACATCCGAATCCCAATGAGATGCCTGCGCCATCGTATTACAATCCTTCTAGCTATCGACGGCACCGCTCACAGCATGACCTTGATCTGTTCAAACCAAATACTAGCCCGCCTAAGGTTTTGGTGCCTGGGACGCCTCCCCCGGTGTACCCATTCTCTACACCGTATGGCGGACTCTCTAAACCACGAACTGATTCACAGAATGCATTGATGGAGCAAGATGCAATCGAAACGCTGCTTCATCTATCGTCAAGTCCAGGGCATTCGGGACATCACCCCAGTCCGCGACGTCAGCAAAATATTATTCCAAACAGCGTCAATGGTTCCATCGGTACTAGATCTAATGGGACTGGATGTCAGCATCGAAGCTCACAAACAAGTAGCTCATATGAACATGCTATCTCGGAATATAATCGAGTTCAAGGTTTGGAGGCTCAGGCTGGAGACGATATAGATCGCATGCTGGATCAAATGGAAGACAGCGACAGTGAAAACGAGAACTATCCATCTAATCGATATAGCCATTTCAGGACTGGGTCAGCTCTCGCGACTAATTCTCGAGGTTACAGTGCCCCATCCGAGTGCCCGAAACCTTGGTATACAACATCAAAATCTTGAGCGTGTTTAAGCATCATAAAAGCGTTTTCTTTTCTTTCTGAATCTCGTCTTCAACTGGCGTGCTTCATATTTTTCTTTGGATCACCATTTTGAAAACTGGCCTACACTGCATTTGCATTTCTTTTGGTTACTTATCAGCCAGTGCATGGTCCCGGCGAGTTCTTTTTTAGTAAGAGATGCCAATTTTCCAGGGCTCTTCATGAGTGTCTCTGCATATATTGTTTCTTTTTACCACATATGCCTGGTATGTAAGCGAGCGGTTGGGTTCAATTGGGCCGACTACCCTCCAGGGGCGAAATATTTCTTGGGGCTGTATAATATGCTTAACAGCCTGTCAGGCGTTTTCGGTGCAGGCTTGCAACAGCCACACTTCTGTCTATCTAGAAGTCGAAAAGTGACACCATGTGTTCATACCCGAATTGATTTTTGAGCTATCTTCTGCTGATATTTTTTTTTTCCCCCTGCTCTGTTGGATTGTTTAATGGAGTGTTTGCAGATGAGGGAGCCATCCTCAGCAGTAGTAAATGCGACGATATCTCGACACCACCCCCCGCTATTTCAAACAGAACCCCGCCTTCCAAACTGTCAGAAGCTAGAACCATCTCAGAAAACCAACAACCGCACAAGACAAGCACACTCAATATGACCAACCCACAAGAATCCTCTTCGCCCTTTGAACCAGGCGTCTTCCTCCCAGGCGGCCACAACAATGATCCCCCACTGCCCGAATCCAGCCCCACGGCAGGCTACAAACTGAATCACTCGATGCTCCGCATCCGAGACCCCAAACGCTCTCTCCATTTCTACATCACAGTCATGGGCATGCGTACCGTCTTCACCATGAACACTGGCCCCTTCACCATCTACTACCTAGGCTACCCATCCACAGAAGACGAAAGGTCCGATCTTCAGTCATGGGCCGCCAAAACTGCCGACATCTCGACACTGACGCAGACTTTGGGCTTGCTGGAGCTCTACCACATCCATGGGTCCGATAAGCCCACTGCTGATGGCGGTTACGAGATTTCTACTGGTAACTCGCCCCCGAATCTGGGATTCGGGCATTTGGGCTTCACGGTACCTGATGTGCCGGCGGCGGTGGAGCGATTGAAGATGGAGGGTGTGACGATCTTTAAGGATTTGGGGGATAGCTCCAGGGATTGTGTGCCCTTGAGTTCGTGGGAGGAGAATCGTGGAGTGGGTGTTGGGGAGATCCACCCGAACTATAAGAGGTTTTTCAACCAGATTGCTTATGTGGCTGACCCGGTGAGCTTCGACTGTTTACTCTATACTTTAGTCTCTTGTTTCGGGGATTATTTATCTGGTATGATTGTGGCTAACTGTTAGTAGGATGGATATATCGTAGAGCTTGTTCCTCAGAACATGCAATAGGTATTTCGCCAGTACCGTGGCCTTGTATATATTAACCTGAATCACTCAAACGCATAACTATCAAAATGGCTGCACATGTCTCCATGCTACAGCAGTACCGAATAACACAGTCAAAGACAAAGATAGGGGGAAAAGTCAAGAATATTTTTCTCGCTACCAACGCCGAAAATATTATATCCATACGTAGTACAAATAGTCATATCTACTCCACACCCCAGCTGTCATCCATATCCGCAACGTCATAATCAACGTCATGATTGCCGTCCTTTGGTGCGCCCAGTTGATCCGGCGGCAGTGATCCGGTTGTGTTGTCCATGGCTGTGTCCTCGTCCGACCCGGTCTTTGTGTCCGACACAGCGCCTGGGGTTGTAGGTGCAGTGATTGGGGGGTTGGGAACCCAGGTGAGTTGGACCTCGCCGACCGAGGGAATGGTCCAGCTTCCAAACATGAATCGCTCGGCCTGGTAGCGTTCCTTGAATGCGACGATCAAAGAGTCTTGTTGTTCAGGATTGGGTTCGATGGATTCGTATTCCCCAACGCCCTAAATAGAAATGTGTTAGCACCAAGTTGATCCATTTTCTGCGCATACAGGAGTACTGGAGATCGACTTACAATTAAGAATTGCCTCAAAGCTTCGTCCTTGTCCGAGTTGAACTCGACACCAGAAACGGCAACTCTCCGGGGCCGGTTGTCGAGACGCAACACACCTCCTCGACCACGGCCCATGCCTCTGCCGCGAAATCCTCCACGGAAGGAAGGATCATATCCACGACCCCGCGGGGGGAAGCCTCCTCTGCCCCGGTAGCCAGGGAATCCTCTTCCACGACCACGGCCGGCGAAAGGAGAGGATTCAGCATTAGGGTCAATCCCCAGAGTTTTTGCCTCCGCTTCGAGAGCCGCCAATTGAGCACGGAGCTGTTTGGTTTGATCGCTGGCATTCTCGTCGGCAGGAGCCGCAGTCTCTCCGCCGGTAGAGCCAACGCCATTACTAGCACCTTGGTCTCCGAGTCTCTGCAAGAGTCTTTCTTTCTCCTCTTGCTGCTTTTTGAGGAGCTCATCGCGTTGTCTTTCCAGAGCCTGCTTCGCTTCCTCGGTTTCCCTACGCTTCTGCATTTTCTCCTCGTATGCCTTCTGTGCTTCCTCTTGCTGTTTTTCGAATTCTTCTTGATTGAAAGCGGGGCCTTCATCTCCCCCGCCTTGTCCACCATTCTTGTCAAATCTGGGCTTGTGCCAATAGACTTTGACGAATCGGTTATCGAAGATGACCTTCGGGCTTGACCATGCCTGTTTGGCTGCAGCATGGCTGTCATATGTGATCAAAGCAAGCTTCTTTTGTGGCTGTAGTGAAAGTTCAACAATTTCACCGTACTGGGAGAAAAACTCCCGTACACTTGCGTCGTCAAGTTTGTCGTCGGGGATCTGCTCAACAACAATAGTCGTAATTGATGTGTCGTCATTGGGCCCAGCTGCAGAGAACTCTGATCGACGTCCTCGAGGTCCAAATCCGCCGCGATCACCACGGCCACGGCCCCGGCCTCTGTCGCTGCCACGCATACGGGGACCACCATCTCGTCCATGGCCATCCGTCATGATGTTAGATGATTTTGGATCATATTCTGTGTTTATTTTGTCAGCAGGGCTGTAAAAGGACTTCGATAGGAAACTTCTGCTTACCATCGTCCTTTGAAGCACCAGGAACCATATCATGTTGATAAGGGCAGGTAGCTCCCAGATAACAAATACCCTGTGTCTCATAGAACGGACAGCGTTCGGTACTCTTTGCTGCCATTTGGTCCGGCTGCTGCTGACCGGGCGCTCCAGTAGGAGGCATAGGCATAGGCATTCCTGGCATCTGGGGGAATCCCATACTCTGAAGAGCCATCATCGCTGCCATCGGGTCATTCTGATCGAATGGAGGGAACGCAGAAGGCATTGGGAATCCACCCGAGGGTGGGGGATACTGTCCGAGAGGCGCTGAAGGAGTTCGACCGTCTCTCCCCATCCAGTCTCCTCGGCCACCTCCTCGGCCTCGACGCGGGGTCTTGAATGTTCGGTTGTGTGGAGCATCTTGAAGTTCCTGGTCTGCCTGAAATCCTTCATGGTAGCTGCGTTTGCGATTGAAGTTTGCACCGTCTAGTCCACCTTGCGGGTGAGGCCCGCCCATGGGCGATCCATAGTAGTTTTTCGGGGGACCTGATAGCGGGTTGAATGGGAGAGGTTGTTGAGGAGCTGACACAGGATGCGAGATATCATGCGCAAGTTGCGGCTGGGTCTGCGGCTGAGGAGCCGATGGAGGGGCTTCTTTTTGGGGAGTAAACGTCGAGAATAGCTCATCAACGAATTGGGCGGTGTCTGCAATTTCCATCCAAGTCAATCAAATATGAACGCGCTTCAAAGCTAGCGGTTATCAAATCGGTATCACTGACGTTCTCTCAAAAAGTCTTCCAAGTTCTCCACAGAAGCTTTCCTGATCTCATCATCCGGCGCATCGGATCTAATGAGCGCTAGGACATAGTCCGCAAGTACATCCGAATCGGCATCTGATCTGTAGGAAGTCGAAGAAGTATGAGCATTTCACCTTCACATGGAGGCGGGAAAAAAAAAAAAAAAAAAGCAAGCCTGTCAACTTTGCGCATAGCATCGAAGCCTTACATATCTTCCAACTTTCGAACCACCCACGCCTTGACCTCCGCGGCTTGTGCTTCGGAAAACTGCATATTTTTTTTTCCAAAGAGACCTGGATCTCGAAAAAGCTGGCTAGAATGGGTTGCTTGGCAGTTGCGGGCCTGAAGAGGGTTCAGCACCAGTCGAAAGCGCAATTAAGCTCGGAGCTTGACGAGCAGGGTCTTAGGGCGTAAACAGGTGTCCAGGGAGCGGCCTATGAATATAAAATAGCGAAAAAGTAATATACGGATCAACCTCTAGATCATGCCATTGCGTGGGGGAGAAGATGAGAAGGGCTTTGCGGCGGCGTTGAACGAGCACAAAGCGAAGCTGGGGAAACGCGAGCGACGCGGATAGCAGAATCACGTGACTTCAATCGACATCTGCATGATCGCTGCATAATTCTATTTTGGAAAACGCAATTCTGAGCATGTTATAATAATTGTTTCACTGAAGCAAGAGCCACGGGATTGAAGATCAAGGCAGTGCTTAGACCAGAAGAGGCGGCATTTTAATCTACGAGAGGTGCAAGATAGATTTGAAGTGAACTACAATGAAATTTTCATGTCCAACCATAGAGCAAGTCAACTATGTAAAAAAGTCCCCACAGTCATAAACGTAACAATATAATAAAAAACCCTTAGCAAATGCACGTGTGCACCCCCATTCTACTTCTCTCTAGGTGTTCGGAAACCACATACGACAAGGACGAAGCCCGAAGAGACGAGAAATTTTGATGCTCGTTGATATTTTTTAACATGGACAATGTAATGCGTTCGTCAATCTCATTAACATAGGATTCCGCTGGAAACTGTAAGAAACCCTATCCGGCTGGTATTAACGAGTTTACAGCTTGTCGTAGTACTATCGAGAGGTTAGCATCACCCGGGATTTATTCGAAAAATTCTATAACTTACGTTCTCGTAGCCAGGAACGGTGTCCTTGAGACCCTTGCGGACACGCATATCCTTAACAATGCCACCAACCATAGTGCTGGGGTCAAGAGGAGATCCTCCTTCGAGAACATTCCAGTGGTCGAAGACACACTGGGGGAAGGCCTGACCACCGGTGGCGGCACGGAGAGCGCCGGTGAAACCGAAGGACTCGTTGACGGGCAGGTAAGCCTTGATGGTGAACAGAGGAGTACCGGGTCTCTGCTCCTCGGCGTAGACGTGACCACGACGAGTGGAAAGGACACCGTAGATACCACCCATGGCCTGCTCGGGAACCTGGATCTCGACGTTGAAGATGGGCTCGAGAATACAAGGGTCCGCAAGCATGGCGGCGGCGTACATGACACGACGAGTGGTAGGCATGATCTGACCAGCACCACGGTGAATGGCATCAGCGTGCAGGGTCACATCAAGGATGTTGAAGCGAATGGCACGCATGGGCTCCTCAGCAAGGGGACCCTCACGGGTGGCCCACTGGAAACCAGAGACAACGGAGTCCTTGATTTCGTTGAGGTACTGGACGGCCTTGGTCTGGTCAACCATCAAGTTGGTACCGTTGGTGTCGGGACCGAAAGTCCAGATCTTACGGGCGTCGGTGACATCCCACTCGTACTCGTCAGCGAGGACACGGGCACGGGCCTTGAAGTCGTCACGGGGGTTGATCTTGCCGGTTTCGATAGCCTGAGCGACTTCATCACCAAGGGGAGAGGCGGTAAGGTAGATACGGTTGTGCTTGTTGGGCGACTTGGACAAAGCAGTCATGCTGGACTCGCCAGTAACACTCTCACGGTAAGGAACGACAGGGTCACTGATGTTCAGGGGAACACCAGCGTGGTCCTCCTCGAGATCCTTCAAGCAAATTTCCAAGTGAAGCTCACCAGCACCGGCGACAACGTGTTGACCAGACTCGGAGATGAAAGTCAAGACACAAGGGTCAGACTTGGACAGACGCTTGAGACCTTCGACAAGCTTGGGCAGATCCTGGGCGTTCTTGACCTCAACGGAGCGCTGCACGACGGGAGAGACAGAGAACTTCATGACCTTCATGTTGTGGGCAGCCTCGTCGGTGGTAAGTGTACCAGACTTGAGCAAGAACTGGTCAACACCAACAAGACCGACGATGTTACCGGCAGGAACGTTCTCAATGGGCTCGATGAAGCGACCCATCATCAGAACGGTACGCTGAATGCTCTTGATGAACAGGTCGTCCTTCTTGCCAGGAACGTAGTTGGGACCCTGGATGCGGACCTTGAGACCAGATCGGACGGTACCAGCGTAGACACGACCAAAAGCGTAGAAACGACCCTTGTCAGAGGTGGGAACCATCTTAGAGACGTACAGCATGAGAGGAGCGGTCGAGTCACAATCACGGATAGCGGTGCAGAACTGGTCATCGGTAGGACCCTCGTACAGAGTCTCGGCACGGTACTTCTGGGCAGTGACGGGAGAGGGCAGGTGGATACAGATCATCTCCAACATGGCGTCGGCAGCGGGCAAGAACTTGCGCATAACCAGCTTGAGGAGAGCCTTGCCTTCAAGCTCCTTCTCGTCGGCGCTGAGCTTGACCTCGAGCTTCTCAACGATCTTCAGAACATCATCCTTCTTGTTCTTGCCAACGGCGTCGAAGATCTTGAAGATGGGGTCCAAAATGAACATGTTGAAGGCACGCTCGTCGGGCTCACCAGACTTGGACCACTTCTTGGTCTTGGGGTTGAAGTAGCTGTCACCCTGTAAATCTTGTCAGCCTCTGGACGCATTTCTCTCGGCATCGCAGAATCAACTTACCCACAGACGCTGAAGCATCTTCTTGCGGTCAACACCGAACTTCTTGGCGTACTTGACGGCGAACTGGCGGACGGTGAAACCCCAACCGTGGAGACCGGAACCGAAAGCAACGGTACCCTGGTCAGGGTAGACCTGGACATCACCGAGAGCCTTGTCATAGTAGGTGGAGATGATGACGTTGACGGACTCAACGGTACGGGCGAAGGACTGGTAAAGATCCTCCTTGGTGACCTGAAGCTCGAGAAGAGAACGGTCGACCTTGTTGATCATGAGGACGGGCTTGATACGCTCACCAAGAGCCTGACGCAGGACGGTCTCGGTCTGGACACAGACACCAGACACACAGTCGACAACGACGAGAGCACCATCGGTGACACGGAGAGCGGCAGTGACCTCAGACGAGAAGTCAACGTGACCGGGGGAGTCGATCAAGTTGATCAAGAACTCGCTACCATCGACAGCCTGGGGGATCTCCTTCAGATCCTCAGGGTCGGAGAAGTTGGAGTACAAGGAGATGGCAGTGGACTTGATAGTGATACCACGGTCCTGCTCGTCCTTACGGGTGTCCATGAAACGAGCCTCACCAGCCTTAGCAGCCGAAATGATACCGGCACGCTGGACCAGAGAGTCACTGAGGGTGGACTTTCCGTGATCGACTGTTCCGCAAACTCTAGGTTAATAAAAGTTTCCAAGACATTTGATAGCATTGATATCCATCTAATACATACCGTGAGCAATGACCGACATGTTACGGATGTTGGCCTTGCGGTCCATAAGGGACCGGATCTGTTCATCGTCAGCTACATGTACCCTGTTGGAGAGCCCCTCCTAGACGGGCGCGGGGAAACAGTAAACGGACCTCCTCGATGGTGAAGCTATTAGAGACATTGATGTTAGCAAGACATTCATCTTCTTCTCGATAAAAATTGGGGAGCTCTGATGATAATTGAGCTTTGGGTAGACTCACTTAACCATTTTGACTGATTTTTTTCAGCAACTGCCGTAGAGGCGGGGTTGTTAAAAAAAAGTATGAGGGGGGATAAATAGGAAGCAGAAAAGACACACAGATGACCAGAATCGAGAGCTAGCTCGACCTGATTCAAATGATATAGGATAGAAAACCTATGTGTACTGCTCCTAAGAGAGTCAAGGATGAGGCTTCGCAGAGGAAGGTGGAAGAGGGAAGAGCAGATGGTAGGAGGAGGGGGGAAGAAGAAAGCGAGAAATGGGTGGGGTGGGGCCTTTGCAGTCGACGAAGGATTTTCCCGATTTCAAATCTGGATGTGCGTTTCCAGGCAATACAACGGCTGTATCGTACGTATGGTAATGCGTTCGCCCGTTTGGCCGTACTATTGGGCACTGCCGCTGCGAGCCCCTCGTTTTAATACCGTTTCCTGAGGCCGGGCTGCCCCTCTTGCTCTCTGTCTGCCGTCGATGATGCTATTTGGATGCTGTTGACTCAACTATCAAAAGTTATCTTTGGTTTTGCTACAAGAATACATGGTTTCCTTCTACTCGCGGCCTAATTGTTGCTCGTTGACTGCGTTTTGTTGCCTCGGTTTGGTGTTTGCCACCACTGGCGAGTCAGAGTATGACTGCTATCTGGCCGCCATCCGTGGTTGTTTTCGTCCCCAGAGTCATTCGCATAGCTGTAACCAGTGCTTTGATGTCATGAGCTGTAAGCTAGGTTGAAGTCTAATTCTATCACCGAGCTCGTCAACATACAAGATGCATTCGAGATACAGCTTGGGATATGTGGGATAGCTAGGTGCTAGGTATCCTGAGAGCTTTGCTTGATAAATTACCAGCTCATTACCACATCATACCTCTCTGTATCGCTCAATGCGACAAAGTGTGAGAAAAATTTTTTGGCACATTCGCCAAAGTGGGCAACGGGCCAATCAGAGGCATCCAGCAAACCCCCCTCCTCCGCTTCTCAAATTGAGGCGGAGTTAGGATTTAATGGAGCTGCTGTATTAATCATCCATTTCGAATACATCATTTTTCTGTGCTTGTTATTAGCCCATAACTAGGATATCTATCTGCTCTAGACAAGGGGAGGAGAGAGAGAGAGAGAGAGAGAGAGAAAGAAAGAAAATAAAAAGAAGGACCCAATTCGAACGCCTCAAAAATACTAACAGGTCATGATAAAAAATAACAGCAACCACTGGCCCGATTATCTATTTGTACAAAATAGAGCCAGCTTATCATGATGACCCGAGAATCTTTGCATATGCATCCTCGACCTCTTTGGCAATCTCCAGCAATGTCACAATGATGATCTGGTGGGTAACATTGGGCAGCTTATCCCGCTGTAGCCCAATCCACTCTAACGGTGGCGTAGCTTCTCCCATGTCCCGTAGCTGCGGCGTCTCAATCACCGGTGGTTCCAAAGCAGTGTAAGTATACCTGGACTGAGGCACATTGACCACCGCTGTGATCTTTTCCTGGTCATGCTTGTCGCCATCGCTTTCCGAGGTCGGTCCACCAGTAATCTGGACCGCAGACGGGGGCAGCGGCTTCCCAAGTCGAGAAGCTAATGCGCGAGAGTGTGTTTCCCACATGTCGCGGATGAAGCCGATACGAGAATAGTTCCATCCAACGTCCACCTTGCCTTCAAATGTACTCTGGAAAATGTAGTCGATTTGGTGTGATCCAGGTACCTGCCAAGTCTCCATACTGGCTACAAGCCGAGGCACCTTGAGAATCGTTCCTCCGCGAGAGCCTGTAGCCCGGCTTGCAATCTCATGGACTGATAGCTCTTCGATATCTGCGGAGCTAGGGCGGTTGATTCCAGAAAATGCGACACGTAACTGACCAAGTGTGAGTCCCAACGCACTCTGAATCTTGCCTTTAATCAACGAGACGTCGAATCGAGCTTGTGCATCGTTTGCTTCGAGTTTGAGTAATTGGTTATCGAAAAGGGAGCTCGGGAATACACCAATATTGACAGTCTTGATTGTAACAACTACTCCGGTTTGAAGAGAGATAGGCGCCTTTTCAACATTCTTCTCGCCTGTCTTGGTTGTGTCACCCTCGGGGAGATCTGGCTTCTCAGGATAGATTGAAGACCTCCGGCTCAGGTACCTGTCAACCTCTCTCAAAGAAGCTTCATAGGCCGCTTGCTTATCTTGTGCCAGCCGTTGCCAAGCTTGGAATAATGCCAAGGACTGAGATGCTGTCAATGTTGTACAGAAGACTTGTACTTTATCTCCCTCCAGAATGCTGAAGAGTCGTTCATTCGGAGCACCGGATGCACCGCGGACATTGTACATCAAGAAATAGAACATTGCTATATGGGCCACCAGAAAAGGCTGGTAGTCAAATGAGACCTTAGCTTGCAACTGGTTGAAGGAAATAGAAGCTTGGATGAGTGGTGTTCGACCCGAGTTGGGTAACTCATCCGGCCAGTGGATAGAGGTCCGCACTTTGAGTGTCTGAAGCTCAACCAACCCACTCATTCTGCCCTTACTCTCTATCCCCACGGCCCCAAAACTGATGCAGAGCGTTTGCTCCCGATCAGAGGTCTTCTTTGATGACAGCCATAGATCGTTGATGGCGAACTGAGCCTTTCCAAGCGTAGAGCCCAGATCAAGTTGTATTTCTAGTTTCTCGATAGCGATTGTAGTATTCCACGGGAAAGCAGACGTCGATGCGACTTGTTGGTAGCGCTGCACGATATAAGTCTGCGTCTCGGTCGACTGTGACTGGAATGTCGGCGTAGAAGTATCGTCATCTGAGGGGAGCCAGATTTCGCGGAACAGCAACAGATCTTGGACTTGCTTCGCGTTAAGAGCAACTTTCATCGGGCTAACTCTAAGAATGGCCGCGATTCCTTTCGTGCTGCTGAGATGCTTGCTATTCATGAGTGACATGACCATGGACTTCACTTCGAAGCTTGCGGTTGACTCATTGGAGTACACGTGTTTTACTGAGGCTTGCAAAGAGTTAAAAGCCACAGAAAGTGCAACGAATCTCCCGTGATCATCGGACTGCACGGTGTTGACAGTCACATAGACACTGTCAAATTTTGCTGTAGCTGCCACTCTCGCGATCGGCTGACAACTCAAACTAAATTCTTGTTTTCTTATGAGGAGGCCCAGGTTCACCTTGCATCGCCCAAGAATCGAGTCTGGATCTCCAGCGTTGAGCGGTGTTTCTTGCATTAGTTTCTGTGGCTGCAATTTCATTGCCGTAGATGGTCTTCTGGGTTGTTGTGTTTGCGGTTGCTCTCCCATGAGCTCCTTTACCGTGGCAGTCATTTGCTTGATCAACGGAACAAGCGTTGGATACAGGACATTTGTGGATGCGTCGACCTTCAACTCCGCATTGAGTGCCGGGTCGTCTTTTCCATTATCCTCGAATTGAACCTTGAATGCGACCCCTGGAGCTCGGAAAGTTGCAGTAGTTGCCGCTTCTCCTTGAACGTATTGACCATACTTTCCCTCGGGAACCCGACTTCCTTTTAATTTGGCTGTCAGCATTGTCTGTTGGTCATCAGTGTGTCTGCCTTGGAGAGAGACAATAGCACCGGCGAAATCAACATCCACCAACACAGACCGGATACGTTTGTTTCCGAAAAGATTACGTTCTTTGGTGTTGTCTGAAGACGGCTTCGTCGCCCAAAGAGCATTGGCTTCGCGTATGGTCTGGGCTGCAGAAGCAATGGAGTCACGTATCATACTTGCTGGAAGTATGAAGTCAGATGTTGCTCGCATATCCAACGATTTCCCAGCTGCCTGGAAAGCAAGTCTCATCTCCTTTCCGTTTGAAGAATGGGCAACATTGAAAACCAACTCTGGCATCAGTGCCGAGGTGAGAGATCGAGTTCGCCTGGTTGTTGAAAACGGTACCATTTGCAGTTGCATATCTTCAATACGAAGCTTGGCGGAGTTCTTTCTTTTATTGGACAAATCCACCCGCTTTATCGAGAATACTAAATCATCCGGTTTGCGTCCAGAGATAGCCAATGGCGCAGTTGCCATATTCCAACCAATTTCTATGTTGTTGAACTCCAATGAGAAAACAGCATTGAAAAAGTCTGGCGAACCAGGTGCATCATTCACCTGGATATTGGGTATTTCCGGTGCCTTCGCTCCGGGCTCTGTCTGACTACGATGCCGTAGCTTTTTGAAGCGCTGGACCTCATGAGACAGGTCTAATGTCTTGATGCGTTCTTGAAGATAGACAGCAATGTCAACGACCAGGGAAGCTGTTTCCCTAAAAAGCTCAATATCGAATCTATTGCTGCTCAGATGGTAAACTCGGGCGGTCTCCCCATTTTCACGTATGATGGAAGTCCCATGAAGCTTTGCATCAATCGCCAAACTGCCGTAAGAACGACTCTTTGGCTTCTCTTGCCTCTTCAGATCAAAGCTGATATGAGATGCGTCGACATGGAATTCTGGATATTCCATTGGGGATCCGTCATCCAACCCATTATCGAGGCGCATACGCATCATTCCAAGGCTAAACTGCATATCTGCCGAATAGCCCTTGCCGCCTACCCCAGGCGCCGTGGCATGTATTTCTGTACCTGCCATAGTGAGACGAGATTTATAGAGAAGCCCGTGGTTGTCGGAAGGCTCTTTAGGTTGCGACGATGATTTTTTTAGAGCAAGAACGTCATCGAGGTGCGTTTGCAATGCCTCCACATTTTGCTTAAGATCGGAGACCAGGTGAGAAATTTCAGGCCCTGTTAAAGCACTGACCAGACTCCGTACAGCACTGGCTTCCAAACGAATGAGCTCAATCGTCACATCAACCTCCACTTCCGTGCGACTTGACAGCATATTTGCAATGACTCGACCGTTGATTGGGGGTATGTCTAAGACTGAAAGATCATGCCACCCATCCCCTTCGCTCGATGAAAAGGCATGCGAATTCTGTTTCAGATCGAAATCCACCTCAATCATTGATTCATTCTTGGGCATAACTGACAGTCGTGCCACCTCGCCTGAAATCGTATATATCAGAGAAGGCAAAAGGCAGAAGCTTAACTGGTAGTCGCCTAAGAAAGTTGCAATTTGGAATTTGTTGCTGACGATCTTTTTCTTCGCAATAGTAGATTCGTCTGGTTCGCGCTTTTGCACATCAAGGATGTCCACAAGACGGCGAATATATCGAACCTCATCTTCGATTAGTCGGTCTGCCGTATGGGCAAGGCCTAGTGGATCTTCTTGCATCTCATATCGAAGCTTTCTGCACGACCCCGCGACTTTCCATTCATGCCATGCTTCCATTTCGCTTTCTTGAGACATCCGCGAGCAGTAGATATATGGATCACCAATTCTCCAAAGCATGAGAGGCTTGTGGAGACTGGATATTTCAGAAGAGCACTCTGTGACACTAAACAATAAACTGAGGTCCTCGTTCAGAGTCTCCATAATATGAGACTTGTGAACCAGTGATCCCCTGAGAGCCTTGCCAACTAACTTTAGCTTGATATTGATCCCATCTAGAGTTATGGCCCCAAGATCAGTGCCCAGAACTATCTGCAACTCGGTCTGTCCTGCTGGCTTCTCAGTGGGGACATCAGGAGATGCCGCGGATTCGAGTGTGACAGTGGACATCGTCTTCGCTATCCCTTCAACAAGATCGAGGATCTCCCATCGTAGACTGAGTAGCACAGAGGAGCAATATGATTGCAAGATGATGAGTTTCACCAGATTCGCAACATCCTGGCTCTCTTGCTTTTGCGGGCTGATAGACAGTGTAGTAGATAAATCCTGAACAATGAAGTCGCTTTCCTTTGGCCCAGGGTCAATTAAAAATCTGAAAATTTTCACACTAGATGAAAACAAGACCGGTTTTTCGGGTGTTTCTGGAGTCGTCTCGAATATATTCCAAACTCTCCGCATCACGTAGCTCTTTTCAACATGTGCTAAATCCCAAGCTCGCCACTGATCGAAACTGGAAAGTACACTGGACTTCGCGTTGGATGGTAACGAAATGTCATTGATCATACACTTCGATGTCAACAGTTGTTGTTGATCCAGCGACAAATTATTGAAAACATTGCGAATGCGAGATATAATCTTCCAGGAATCATGCTGTCGCAAATGAGTCGGCGCAACTCGAAGGACATACGAAATGCGTGTCAGGAACGCAGGATCGGGAATATCAGCAGCTGGTTGAGTCAAAAAGTAAATAAGAAAACGCAAGCGTTTATTGCCAAGGGATGAGCTGTACTTGAAGGATGATGTGACGGAATCGAACATAGTTGTTGTGCGGCGAACAAGAGAAGCAAGATGTTCGACAGATTTTGTTGAAGTTATTGTGTCGAAAGACCGCATCTGAAGATGGGCTCGTACAAGGGGGGTTGTCACCAGCCAAAAGTTCAAGTCCCCAAAGACACACCTAAACTCAGCTTTCTCTTGAGATGCATCAGCTCGACTGCCCTTGACCGAAACTGAAAGATTGCTGGCTGCTGTATGAACAGTGAAACTATCTTTTATCCCACCAACAAGATCATTCTTTCGCCGTTCAACTTTGGTTCGAAGTTCCGTTTTCAGGTGGGAAATGCCAACACTGTACTCATCTTGGAAATTAAATTGATTGTTGCTAGGGGCCTCAGATAGGTTGACGAGCTTCAACAGAACAAGGGGAACTCTTATTGCAAATGCCGTCGATTTATTCGGCTTTTTGATTGACTTTTCGTACCCAACAATGTCCGATATGACTTCCTTTTGAAGCGAGTCAATGATTTCAACAGGGTGTCTTGGTTGCAAGCGTTCTGCCAAGGCTGATACAATGAGAAGGAATTCAGGTGTGCAAAATCCTTTAATTCCAACAGGGAACTCGCAGGCAAAGTTTGTGTGGGTTATATCATCATCTCCAAAAGGTGAAAACAGTTGGTTCACATTGATCACAGAAGAGTTTTGTTCTTCCCCATGATCGCTAGGGACCTGCTGCGAAGGCAACTTTGACGTGTCCAAAACAATACTGTGAAGGGAGAAGTTTGGCATTGCCCAAACATTGGAACCTGCAGCTTCCGATGCCTTTTGGTCTGTTGCTTGAGTGTGTAAACGTGAATTCATTGAATCATTCCCGTGGGCTGGTCTCTGAACCCTGTCATCCTGTGATGGCGAACTTGATGCGCTATTAATGCTGCGGGCTATTCTTTTCCTACCACCCTTGAGACTCGAAGCATCAGAGGATACAAGAAAGCTTCTTGCGCTAGAGTTGCTTTTACTTCCCGGGAAATGCCTCACTGAAGGCGATCCCAAAAAGTGTGTATGTCTGGTTAAAGGCTCTGGCATTGACGGTATAGCAATAGTTGGCGGGTCAAGGTCATCGGTATTTGGAGGCGAGGAGCTGGGGTCAATGTTCTCCCAGTCAAATAGTAGCCACTGTGTCCTTTGGGTTCTCTCGTCATGTATCTTGATGTGCTCTTGTTGCAGTTTTCGGTTTTCGCCAATGTCGCATTGCCTTTGTGCCATCTTCAGCTTTATTGTCGTTTGGAATAGTGCAAGTGGGTTCACTTTGCCATTGTGCGAGCTCCGAGCTTCATAAATGGAGTTGTTGTCCACTGCAGCTATAGAGAGTTCGGGAACCAGAAGGCTCAAGCGTTTTGAGAACTTAGAATTAGCCCAATCGTTGAACTTGGTTGTAAAAGGGCCAGAGCTCAGGATAAATGCCGACTGGTCAAGGAGTACGGAAATATGGATAGATGCCAAATTTGCCCGGAGAAAAGTCACATCGTGGAGGACGATGGGGACTAAAGGTGGCAGCTTATTCTCTTCGTTATCGAAAGACAAATCAAAGCTCTGCAAAGCCGCAAGCAAGCTGCTCAAAAACTCCGTCGAACATTCACCGATTATTTGCCCGACATTAAAATCCCAATTGCAAACGTAAGTTGGCTCCAGCGGAGGCAAGCCAAATAATCGATGACCATGGATTGTGAGACCATCAATGAACAGCTGTGTGTCAGATATAGTGGGGGGTTCTTCAGCCTGGCGTGATTCTAATGCCACCTTCAAAGGAGCCAGTGCGAAATGCAAATCCATGTAATAGTTTGTAAATCTCAAATTGACTTCCAACGAAGCGGCAGTGAGCTGTAAGAACTTCGAGTTGTCATAAATATTTTTGGGCAAAAGAGCACAAGGATTGTCAACAGTGACGTGCACAATTACATCGAGATCATTGCTTTTAGCGTTCGGATTAATTGCGTTATGCGTGTCTGACTGTTCATGCGGGTAAGCCAATTCTTGAAACTCCTCGAGAGTCTTGAAATGCATTTCCTCTCCAAAGTAATTCTCTCTGACTGTCATAAAGTACTGGATCAAAAACCCAAACAAATAGAGCCGCGGTGAGGCACCATCGATATTGAGTATCAAAGTATCGGTCAGCTCAGGTGAAGTTGAAGAATAATAGTCGTATGTTCCACTAATTAGCAGACCATCAAGTGTGGCTGCTGATTTATCTTGCAAGAAAGTATGCAACGTGTCCCACAACGGTGTCAAGAAATCAATGCCTCCATCCTGAATATTTAACTTGAAATCCACGGCACTTTTCTCAGGCTTAAATTTATTGAGAGGAATCATGACATCGGATGTGAATCTTTTGCTCTTGACGACGAGAAAGCGATTGTCATCCAAATCAGATGGATTGCTGATAATGTTCAAGTCATTGACATTCACAAACAATCGAATATCAGAAAATGAGAGATTTAGGTTGTAGATGAATGGGACAAAGGTATAATAATCTGAAGGAGGGCCAGATGCCCAATCAGTAACAAGGTCCGTTATGAGGAATATGTGGTCCCGTATCAGAAAAAGCTCCATATCTTGACTCTCGACATTGAAGTTCCAAGTGCGAAGAGCATTCCAAGTAAGAGGATTGGAAAGATCACAGGTTAAAAGTTGTCGAGGGCATTGCCATAACAGCCCATGGTTGACGCTCGATGACATCCTTGAATCCCGAAGATCTAGATCAAGTTGATTGTGATACCCCGAAGTGGAAGCTACCATGTCCATGGTGTAATTAATGGTTGAATCACCAGCCAGCCTGAGCGAAAGCCATCCGAAAGGACGAATATCAGGTCCTATATTGCCTTTATCACCCTCTTTGTTCCGTGATTGTCTTCTCTGTTGTTGTTGCTGCTTCAATTTCGATGTGCCCCTAATGGCATCAGCCCGGCCCTTCCACTGCCAGTCTTTGGACGGCTCTCTCGTTGGGATTCGTAAGGTTGTCTCGTCCGTTAGCTCAACGCGAAATTTGAAAACAGTACTTTGCCTCAGTGCTCCCGGTGCAAGCAGATCTACAGGTTGGGAACTTTTATATGAATTCGGGAAAAGCACGTTCTGAAGCCCGATTCGTTCCCTATCAGCCCATGGTCCGTAATTTACGGAGCCACCTTCTATCTTGAGGTCAATTCCCCATTCAGGAGCCGAGGCTCCATTGATGTCTGATGATAATTTCCGAGGAGAGAAGTCTGGACTGGGCTGTTCAGGACCAACACACCCGGCGATATCCCAAAAGTATGTGATAGTCAGACTTGGGCTGTCTAGGAGTGTTGAAAACCTGCCATACTCAACGGAGTTCCATTCTTCATGATCATCTTGGCTGCTCTCATCGAGATACCGTGAAAGACCAATCCAACGAACTTCGTCGGGGATTTCACCTTGGTTTCTTGACATGTTGTCTTGTTTTTCATGAACATGAAATGACTCCACTGAAGTCTGGAAATATGGAACAAGGTCGCGAATGCTGTGCCATACCCTGCGCTTCTGAAATTTATAGTTGAAAATGGTGTCTCGTTTGCGTTTTGCTCCGGACTGCTCCTCCTGCGTTGAACTTAATCCTTTTGCAGCCGTAAGCTGATTATGCTTGAAGTCTGGGTTTGGCCGCATTTGGATAATCGGGTGGCTTAATTGGAAGGAAAACACTTGGCGGTATAGGTCAAGAGGTCCTGCAGGACAGGCTTCGATTGATCCAATTGCGTTGTCAAAGGTCGTGGTCAAGACAGATCGAGTATTCTCATTTCCAATGACAATGGCCCCTTTATCACACACCAGCTTCAAAGGGAGAAGCTGAAGTAACGTTGACAAAGAGCCTCCTATTCCATTTGTTCCATCTTGGGATTCGACTGTGTCCTCCCTCTTAAGTCCTGGGTTGTTCTCCGAAGGCGGCTTGTGGTCGGAGTTCGCCTCGGCCGCAAAAGCACCATCTTGGTTCTCCTTACGTTTGGAGTTCAATGAGCTTCTCACATCTGGATCGTCGTATGATTTGGAAGATCTTGGTGAAGGCGGGGCATTGCCATCGTCTGCCAGACCGAAGCCAGCCAGGATGCTGTCATATGCAGCGGTTCTATTGTAGATAAACCATTCAAGACCGTAGAATTTGGCAGTAATCCGACACGGGAGCGCATCCGTTTTTTTCAATCCCCCTTGCTCTCCCCTATCATTGTTCTTGTTACTATCATTATCACCACGCGCAGGACGGTCGGGTTCGTTCGCCGATGGCTCGCTGTTGCGGTCGAGGTTGAACAGTTCGGTTTTTTTCACTGCGCGTTTCCAGTAGTGCCAAGTTATGAATCCTCCATGGACAAAAATCGTCTCATTCGCCCCATGATACCGGATCCCTTTGAAGAAGACCCTCCCTCCAAGCAAGGAAACCTGGATTGCATTGATATCCACATAGGCGCGATAATAGTGCCAAGTGTATGCGCGAATAGCGTAGGATAAGAGAGCTGCAAAGAGGCGGTTAAAGTAGAGGAGAAAGAACAGGACGCTTTGCGAACCGTCAGCGATCCGGGTTGTAGTTCGTAGGTGGTAGTGTATATGTAGGCCCTGGACTTACAGGATGCACGACACGATGAGCTCCAAAAGGAAAAACCTAGATAACTGAATGTCAGTAACTGAAATGCGATGGCAGTATGAGAGCTCACCAATTGAAACTCGTGTCCGGAGTAAAGCTCAGTGATGTCAAGCTTGAGCTTGTGCTAGCCATCTCTAAATAATCCCAAGGCACTGACGGCCGTACACATGACGACTCCGCGGGACAGTCAGTCTCCCCTTTGGTGGGTCGACAAAGGCGAAATGGTAAAATTCATGCACAAAATCATTCCATTCCAAAAGACACCTGAGGGAGCAAGCCTGTTGGGATAACAAATGGTGGTGGAAAGAAGCTCGAAGCTCTGCGGCGGGCGGTGTCGCCGTTGGAGAGAAAGGAGAGCCGGGGTGTGATGATCATCTCCTCGCCTGCCAACGCAATACGCGGCACGATCCCCTCTGATCTTGCTTTAGTCTGTGTGGCCATGCAACCACCCAAGTTCTCTCCACCTTGGGACTTTTGATTCTCGAGGCTAGGAGATTTCTGGTGTCTGCTTATCCCTGCTTGATTATCATGTTCTGGTTTCCCTAACCCGCCCACATTTCTTTTGCTTGTTTGAGGACTGCGGAATGATTTGCGCCCATATCTAGAGCAACGCGGTCGAGAGAGTCGACAATGGTTGACAGCACCAGTGCCCCCTCTGGTGGTACAGGCTCGAGTCTGGCTCGAGCCCTGGTGATTGTCGCTGGTGTTTCTTCGCTTGTGGCATCACTGCTGTCTTTTGTGTGAGAACAACTTCTCCAGGCTCCCTCAGGAGCTCCCGCGAACTCTGTGCTAACGTTTTATCTTTGCCATCACAGATCGATATGGCTTCAGACGTACGGATGCAACTCCCTTCTCGCAGCCACTCAATCAGTCGCTAATATATTTTCTACAGCAAAAATTATCGAAAGCCGCTACTCCAGCGATATGTCGTCCGTATATTGTTGATGTTTGTGCTGGCGCGGTTCTGAGTGATATACCGGTTAGGCTAATGGTATCAGGGTTCCCATATATGCGGCATCATCCTGGACCAGTATCATATCGCTGAAGGCTTCCCTATTCTTGGATCCCGTTCGTGATGTTTACGAGGTACATTCGACAACATAGTCTAGCTTATCTCTTGATACTGACAAGACCCCGCAGGCATTCACAATCTACACTTTTTTCCAGCTACTTATCAACTTCCTCGGAGGCGAAAGAGCTGTGATTATAATGACTCATGGCCGTCCACCTGTTCAACATGCTTGGCCTCTAAATCATTTGCTTCCCAAGGTTGATATTTCCGACCCACATACATTTCTAGCTATCAAACGAGGAATCCTACAATATACATGGTTGAAGCCAATACTAGCCATGATCTCTATCATCATGAAAGCAACCGATACCTACCAAGAAGGCTATCTGGGGCTTACATCCGGTTATCTCTGGACCGGACTTGTGTATAATATCAGTGTTACTCTATGTCTTTATGCTCTTGCCTTGTTTTGGGTTTGTCTACACGACGACTTGGCTCCATTTCGACCCGTTCCCAAATTCCTTTGCGTTAAGCTTATCATCTTTGCTTCCTACTGGCAAGGCTTCTTTTTGTCTATTTTGCAATGGCTTGGAGCATTATCAAACGGAGTTGCGGGTTATACACCTGACAACCTTGCGGCCGCTATTCAGGACACCTTAATTTGCTTTGAAATGCCCATCTTTGCAATCTCACATTGGCACGGCTTCTCTTGGCATGATTATGCAGACCCGACAATTTCTGCGGCTCGGTTGCCTGTGATCTACGCTCTCCGCGATGCTTTCGGGATCCGAGATCTCGTTGAAGATACAAAGATGACTCTCCGGGGTGAAAACTACGAATACAGGCTATTTGACTCCGGTGACAACATCATACCACACGCTGAGTCCAAGTCCCGGGTGAACCGGGTGATGGATGGCATGAGATATGAGCGAGGAGGAAAAGGAAAATATTGGATTCCGAAGCCAGGCGAAGTGAACAGCCGAACCCCCCTGCTTTCTGGAGGGGAATCGAGTCGCCGCGACAGGAGAAGCAGCACGCTGGAACGGTTCCGCTCCCACAGTGAACTTGAAGAGACGATTTTGGACGATGAAGATGAACGTTTGTTTAGGGGCGCCCGAGCACTCGAATTTGGCGATTGGAATGTAGGTTGATTGATATCGTTCAAAAGACATGCCAGGCTGACGAGTAATCCATAGTACCCGGTTATTACGGCAAATGAGGTACCGAGAGATCAACGTTTGTATGGCGCCAGGATCGGTACAAGCGTCCCATCATCGAAACCCGTGAAAAAAGCCCGTAAGCACCGGAAAAGCCGCGCGGTGGACAGCGAGGGTAAGCGTCGGAGTAGTCATACTAGCTCTCACTCATCTCCGAAAGGGGGCCCAGGCAAGTCAGAGGCAATACAGCAAGTGAACTCTTCCGCTTCCCACAACTCTCGTCGTAGTCAGCTGGTGGATCTCGTGGTTGAAGATCGAAAAACGGAGGAGCGGGAGCGGAATCAGGTTCAGAAAGAACGTGGCTCCGTCTGGGCTGATCCCGGAGAGAGGCATTTTCAGTTAGTACACGATGAACCACTTGTCAATCGGGCAACGACTGAAGTAACCTCAATTAGGAGACCATCTGGCGAACCAATCGAACCCTCTGCTGGTCAGCGACAGGAAATCGAACGGTCGGCCATTGAAGATGCTGAGCGTGTTCGAGAACACGAAGAACCTGAGAATGCGACCGAGAATCCCCAAACGCCCATTTGGTCTTATGGGGGATTGGAAGAAAATGTCTGGAACAAATAGCTTTGCGCGCACGGATTGGAGTATCATGATTTTCTTTGCCTTTTTTTTTCTGTTTTTATCATCACAGCGACATTTCCTTCTATCTGTTCATGGTGGGTATGTTTATTTCGGGATATATCGTCAGGGGTGATATAAATAGTATGACATGAAGTCGTGATATCGTGGAATCGATATGGTCAAGGGTTTAAAAAACCTGGAACTTTTGCGGGTCACTCTTTTTCCCTGGCAGCGAAACTGAAGAATCTAATATAAAATAAGATTAGCATCCGACCATGTTGGAATACAGAGCAACAATAATAGCACCTCAGGCACTCTCCTGTGATGAAAAGCCTCCGATCAATGACAGCCGGCCGTTACGCGCCCAACTGCAACACTAACAGCTCGAAACAGATACCCTCCGGCTCAGGCAGCCGCTGACTAGTCGGTGATGCGTGACAAGCGATGTGATATCCCCGCCGCATATCCTCATATCAGGCCTGCCAGCGAATTGGACGCAGAGCGCAGATCATGGCCCGGTGGCCGATCGACACGTTGTCCGGCATGGTGGCCAGCGCAGCACGCTGACTGGCCGTCGACAGCTGTCGAGGAGATGAAAACAGCAACCGTGTGTCTCATCAGGCGATACTGAGTCTGGAATAGCCTGACGACGGGCGAGCTGCATGAAAGAATGATAAGTTGGATGCCATCTCACTCACAGGCGGGGTCAGCGTGGACTTTGCTGGCAGCAGTCACAAGCAAGCCTGTCCAGCCTCTCAGACGAGCGTTTGAGGTCCTCTTTTTCCCCTCTAATCTCACTCTCTCGCTCTTTTTTTCTGATGTGTCTCTTTTCTGTCTTTTTCTTTCATTTTCTTTTCCCTCCTTTCCTTTTAGGTCTCCCCCGCACTTGTTGCCCCATCTAGACGGAAGTGATGGGCCAACGGCTTTGAAGCGCTGGCAGCGATGAAGCTGGAACTTGGACAAGCAGGGTCGATATTCACTGGCTGGATTCCATCCTGCTTATTTTGTCCGACTCCTGCAGATGACGATGATGCTGGCTCTCGTCATCGGCAGGCTGGGAAAGATAAGGGTGTGTGTGCATGTTGCTTCTTGTTCTTTACAATCCATCTATCATGGTTTGAGCTATACTGATAAGCGTTTACTCAGGTGTCGAACGGGAAATGAAGATATGCCATACTCAACCTCATCTTGTTCCTCCCATGAGACTGGTCGTCTATGATGACCTTCCGAGTCCGGGTCCTCCACCTCGGACGGCGTCGCTGCCATCCTGGGTGGTGAATGAAGGCAGGCAACTGGCTTCACGAGCATCTAGCCGGGCCAGTATGTCTTTCAAGAGAAAATCCACTGCGCCTTTGAGAATCAGCGCGCCAACGGACTTTCGAAGGATTGATATCGACCCTTTCGAGGACTCGGATGAATTCCAGCCATTGGAGTTGAGCATCCATACTCCGAAGAATCGGTTGTCGAATCTTCCCAGTTTCGAAAACTTTGGAATACAAGAAGAACGACAATATCTTCCGGCCCGACCCCCGAGAGTTCTATCCCCTTCGGCTGATATACCACGCTCTCGATCTCATCGGCCCTCACATTCATTCCAGTTGCCTCGCAAGCCAGTAGGCTCTGGATCGCGTCGATCCTCGCTAGCTACTCTGGAGCAGCTCTTGGAAAGACAACAGTCACCCATGGCCAGTCCTCTTATACCCCATTTCTCAAGTCGGCCCTCAACCACAGCTGGCCCTGCCGATAACCTTCCTTCACCTGCGCCCACCAGGCTGGATTCCCCTGGTGACTTTGGAGGTCTGTTCAACACTGAACGCCGTAGGCGAACAGACGATGCGGAAGCTTCCACGTTCCCTAGAACTCCAACAAACCTGCAGGACAGGCCATTCACCTCTATGCCTCCTCCAGAGGAGGAGTCTTCTTCCATTGACTCTCCCCGTACCCCCACCGCTTGCCCTGACAGCCCAAATACAACGCCCTCACGAGCTCAGCGCTCGGGCCGAGTAACACAATGGCTGTTCCCAGGAAGCAACAAGAATGGCTCTCCCCAATCAAGTCCGTTGAAATCGGCTTGTCATGACAAAGCCACTGCTCGCACTCGCACCCGAACACTGAGTGGCTCGACCCTGGCTTCGTCCTTGAGCTCCATCACGGGAAATTTCAAAATTACCCCGTCCTTCTCCAGTGGCCTGGCAGCGTCACCGACGTTTCGCTCAGACAGCCGCAGGGGAAAGGAGTTCGATTTGCCAATTTCTCGACCTATTCCCATCACAAGCTTTGAAGAACGGGCGTATCCTACGATATACGAAGGGCAGCAGCAGCCGCCTCAACAAGAATATCAGGATTCGGTCTATAAACATTATGCGAGACAACGTGAGTCTGCAGTTGGCGTTGCGTTTTGATCTTTCTCGATCAATCAGCACTCGCCGGTATAGCATCGCTATACCCGTTATCATCGCTTGATGATTTAGCAAGCAAATGGAGGCGGATATATTCTAATGGGCCCTACAGGTTCACATCTGTCTACCACTTTTAATTACCTTTCCCTCTCGCCTCTCTCCATTTTCTTTCCGTTCGACACGTTTGATTTTGCTTATCTCACACGGAGTACTTGCACATCAGATACCCTTTGCTTTTTTCCTCCCCTGGTTCTTTCGCTAGATAGAACACTATAACTCAACATATACTCCATTAAATCACATTCTATTCATATATATATAACCAATAGCTTCACACCCTATATGATCTACATAGCTCACACTGCATCCATAAAAAGCCCCTCAAATCCAGCCCCCAAAAGCAACCAGAGCACAGCCCTGTCCATACGAGGCTTCCGTCAGCACTAGCTAACCCTTGACACCTGCAAACCTTAACAGTCCAAACCTATGCAAAGCCATGCAAAGCCATGTAATGTTATGTACATGATCACCGAAAAAGAAAAGATAAGATGTGTGATGTGATTTAGGCAACCGGAATATGTGCAGGTCTAGTCTTTGCCCCTTACGAATTGTGTCTATGGGATCTGCATTTACTGTAGGGGGTGGAAATACGTGATGCCTACTGGATGACATAATAAACCTACAAATGTCTACAATTGTATCGGAAAAAAAATATCAAATCCAGAAAGCAATCGACTTGTTTCTTCCGTGCCTCTCTACATTGGGACGTTTCGGGGAATCGATGATCGTCAAGGTATATAAAACGATCCAAAATCAGGGGGAAGAGGGCATAAATAATCGAAAGAAACCGAATTGAAGCTCCGAATTGGAGCAAGATCAGACGGACGAGTTGCAAAAAATAAAACCAGCATGGCAGATGAAAACTGTAAGAACACCATCATACACCTTCGTTTCACTTGGTATCATATCTGGAATGTTTAATGAAAATCGATCCTCCGCCATGATTGCCACACAAGACCTTTCCACACCCACTACTTGGAAAAAAGAACACAATCACAAGACATGGACAAAAAACAAAAGAGGAGAGAAAACCATGAACTGAAAATCAAAGAATCAAATCGAGGACGACGCATAACAGACCTGTCGGTCACAAAGTGATATCCCCATTCTTGCTGTATTTTTTTCGACTCTTTTCTAACATCTTTGCGTGCTCTCGGTGGTATCAAAAAAAAAGAGAAAAGGAAATCCGAAACAACAAACGCTGGAAACAAAAAACAAAAGATAAAAATAAGTGCCTTGGGGTATACTGCTGCAAATTGATATTTTTCATTTAACGCGGTGGCCCAATAGGGGCCGGGTATCCAGAAGTAGAATTTGAAGTGCTAGGACGACCACTGTCAAAAGATGCGCGCGGGTCATGCTTGGGAGTCATGTCCCCGGGCGCAGTACCGAATGGAAACTTTGTGTCAAAGCGCGCTGGCCAGCCATTGCTGCTGCTGTGGCTGTGGGAGCTACCGAGGACAGGCACATCGTCCTCGGGGAGATTCACACCGGAATCATTCCATGGGTTGCGGTAACCACTGTCCCGAGACTCCATGGAGACCAGGGAGGCCTTGGAGGCATTGCTGGAGGCGTGCTTGAAAAACGATCCGGGAGAGGCAGAGTGATTCTTGCGGCCAATGAACGAGGAAAATGAGGAGATGCTTCCGGGCTTCCGGAGCCTTTCGAAGATCGATCCACGCTCACTGGTTTCATCAGAGAAGTTGGGTCGAGTAGGAGAATCCGTCACAAGGGGTGCAGGGGCATGCTGCAGCAACTTCGAGTCAAAGAAGGGCAGGGACTCTTCGAACGAGTCAGACTTCGGGCGCGGGATTGCGCCCTTGACCGTGGTCGCGTCGAGTCCGTGAGCAACAAGGCGTGAGATCAAGAAGTCGATGGCATCCTTAAGTCCGCCCGCATTGTTGCGCGTGTATCCAAGCACAACACGGTCCTCAGGGGGTGGGGTCGGAGAAGCTGATCCCGCATCAGAACCGGAGGCGGAGGCTGAGGCAGCAGGGGCGGGGAGGTCCGCGCTTGTATCCACCGTAGTGTCGACTTCGTACTGCTCCTTAAGCTTAATACAGACATCATCGCGGAAATCAGTAGACTTAAAAAACTCTCGGAGTTCAACAGAGCTCTGGAAGTGAAGCTCATGGCTCTCCGGAACCATTCCCTGCAAATAATTGTTAGCGATGTCCGCAGTTGATTTGAAGGGAGATACACACCAATAAGGCATCTACAGCCTGAGGAACTTGGTACTCAGGTCCCGAGATTGCCACGACATCACTGGCAAGTTCAGTGCTAGGGAACTCGATCTTGCAGTTCCACTTCTTTTCAAGCTCATCGATTTCCGAGATACGAGCAAGCAGTTCACGGTGATAGAGTCGGTTGATAACAACTCGTTCCGAAACATACTCAGCGTCCTGAATTGGAAACAAGTCAGGTGTCATTCAATGAACATAAAGAGAAAAAGCATCCACTTACGACTTTTTCGACCATGTCCATAATCTCCTGCTTGACGAGGTCTAGACTCTGAGCATTGCGTGCAGGTGTGCGACAGATGACGTTATCAACCTTGATGTCATCGTCTTCCTTGCCCATACCACCACGGTCCATTGCATTGGAGAACTTGACGAAGACAGAGTACTTCTTCATAATGCGTTGGATGTGCTGGCCGCCAATGCCGATGATCCGCTTGTGGTACTGATCAGGCACGTGGAAGGAGATAGAAGCCGGCATTTCTTGTTCGACAAGATCGAGTCCATTCTTCGTGGACTCGTACTGGTTACCGCAGACATCAATGTAGAAGTTGTACTCGTTGAAACCATCGAAGATGATTTGCACATTGCCTGTATGTATATTAGCCACCGCAATTTGAATCAATAGTTTCCCGGGCGATAGTGACTCACTCTGGCCCATGATCTTGTTGATCTTGCCGTTCTTCTTGCCACTGACAAACTCCTTGTGCTCGTTGGCGAGTTCAATCTTCACACGCATCTGGTATTGGCTTCGCTTGACAAAGGGTATCTGGTTGATGACCATCATTGCTGACTTGACGGCATCATCGGATCCGTTGATGGTAAAGGTCAAGTTGTCGAAGCTGACTTCAGCCCCAGAGTTGGTACAGATATCGGACAACATCGTGCGAACATCAGCTGCAGATGGAGCACGGAATCCACCCTGAGAGGGATCGGGCATGATAATCCACCAAGACGCACTGTAGAATTGACCGGCCTGTTAAAGGGTTTGGTTAGCGGCAAGACAAGTTAATGGAATCGAGCATGTACACACCAATGCCATAATTTCCCTAACGGTGCGCTCGACATGCAACACCTCGGTGCCTTGGATCCGAACTAGACCCCGTTGACTGCCAAGCTGAGGGAAAAGAACATAAGACCCGTTCATCTCCATAACCTTCCGAACCTTGTCCAGACGATCAAGCAAGACGTTGTCGATCTTGTTGGAGTTGACGATAACATCCTTAACATAGATCTTGACACCCATAACAAGCTCTCGCAGCTTTTGCTTAGCCCTGGCAATTTGTTCCTGGGTGTCACCAGTGATGTAGACCTCATCCTCACTTCGACGATGAGCACCTGGAGGGGTATAGCCAAAGATTCGAGGGAAGGGCGGAGGGAAATAGATAGCCGTGCCAGTTGCTGCCTCGATAAGTTTGATGTTCTTGCGAGTCCGACCGCAGACCAAGGTATGCATAGTCAACTCCAACTTCATAGCATCCACGTGACGTTTGAGCTGGCAGATTATTAGTATTCACAAGTGTGGGAAAAAAAGAGTCAGGGAGGAACATACAATTTGATCGATCATGATCAAAACCCTAGTCTTGGCATGTTCGGCACTCTCCATGTCTCCATAGATAGACACCCGAAACCGGTGATCCAAACCATTGTCAGAAGCGTAGCCGTAGGACGAGACCACTGCACTGTCCGTATCCCGAAACTTGGGAGTCAAGAGAAAGATATCAGTGCCAGTGTAGGCGGCCAAAGTATCCAAATGCTCCAACACGCTGCTTCGAATGCCCTTGGTCGATCCATCCATGATGAGATGCATATCCACGTCGACGGTCGCACATCGCTACCAGGCAAAATATAGCGTTAGCAATAGACACACAAAATGTGATGAGTCACTCCCAGCATACCAATAAGATAGGAGTCTCATTAAGGATCCTGGCTCGCATCTTGCGCACCATTTCTCCATCACCAGTGATGCACACGTTAGTCACCAAGCCCTGGGGTCGTCGTTGTAACGAAGGAACCGTCTTGGGCTCCGAGGACGTCACTGTGGCCTCCATTCTCCCACCACTGCTCTCAGTGATCTGACGACATAATCTCCGGAGGGATTCGACGTTGCTGGCGTGAACAGGCAGTTTATGGACCGGTGTGCCCTCTGGGGTGCCTTCAGGAAAGGACCAGCGCTGCAGAGCACCGGGACTCGCGTGGAGCACATCCTCCGCTTCAGGGCCACTCAAAGTAGACGAGAAGGGCACATTGAGCGACAAGTTGACGGTGGGATCGATACCCGTAGGAGGAGTCATTGGTGGTGCGCCGTGAGGCCGTCGAAGAGAGTGGGAAGCCATGTCGGTGTGAGGTCTGGACATGCCGAACGTGGGTGTCATTCGCTCCCAGCCATGACGGGCCTGGCCCGTGAAGTTGGAAATCTTGTGCATGGGAAGGACGGATCGAATCTCTGACCCCTTGAGCAAGTCGAGGGGAGAGAGACGAGGGAGGTCAGAGGGAGGTGAATAATGGCGGAGGGAGAAGGTCGGATGAGGAGGGAAGAATCTTTCAAGGATCGAGCCCGACGAGAAAGGAGACGACGACGCTGTTCACGACAGGGATGGGTAGAGGAATTGTCGCGGAGGTGGTGTGGGTGGACAGCACGTTAGAGTCCGGAATGATGGGGAATCAAGAAACACAAGGAAAGGGGAGAAATGGGTATTAAAAAAAGAGGAGGAAGAAGAAAGAAAAGGAATAAAAAAAAGGGAAAAGGGAAAAAGAAAATAGAAGACGCAGGAGAGAAGAGAAGGGATGTGAAAAGGGAACAGAATGTCAGCCCTGCAAGAGCTCAAGCCTGAAGGTATTTCCTCGACCCAGTTTGGCTGGACTGGGTTAGGAACGGATGGTTTGGAGTAGTCAGCAGGACCACCTGTTTTCCCTTGTGTGGGGGGAGAGAGAGAAGGGAAGAAGGAAGAATGCAGAGGGGAATAAGAATAAAAAAAAGAAGCGAAATGATAAAATGGGGAGAAGAGCAAAGAAGAAAAATACGAGGGGCTTAGGGGGAAGACAGAAAGAAGGAAAAAGGTCGAAAGTCAAAAGGAAAAAATCAAATGGGTCGAATTGTTCTTTTTTCGATTTCTCTCTTCTTCTGCAGGGTTGAAGTTTGAAGTCGCTGTCTTTTTCTCTCTCACAGACTCGCAGGCGGGCTGTGTCGTCAGTTCGGGGTGGTGCGGGTCGCGGTGGTCACGGCGTCTAGGCCGTTCATTGCGCAAACATGAAGTTGTAGATGGTCTGTTTTCTTTTTTTTCTCGTGATGATTACAAGGTCTATCATATCTCAAAAGTAATGGTCTATACACAGCGTTGGATGAGGAATGTAGGAGAGGGTGGCAGTCATCGACTCTCGCCAGATCTCCAGACACTCCGTAACTAACTAAGAAAGCCAATTCCTCGGGGATGTCAACTTTAAGGGTCCCTTTCTGGACATCAGCCTTGATTCTCATCTCATGCTCATCTCATTTCTGGATCTTCCTCATCTTCTTCCTTTTCTAAATATCTGACAGTTCTCTTCCTTTCCCTCATCCTGCCCTATTCCAGATCGGGGCCCCCAAGCGAGGCCACTGCGGTCACGTGGATCATTACGATCGTCCATCATCATCTCCATTCAGCCAACTCTCGCTTCAACAATCCCATCATCCTGGTGCAAAATGCCTAGATGCTATGGTGGAAGCAAGGGCACACACTGACTCTCCGGACAAAATCGCCGATATCTGCTCGGAATCTGTAGGGTGTCGGAGAGAAAATCCATTGTATCTAGTATTAGTATTACCAGAGCATACCAGCACTATCACCAGGGAACTGGATGGAATCCACCCCTTGGTTCTCACTGAGAACTGAACTCTCCTTTCATCATGAATCATGGATAGCAATGGCATCGATCAATGGATTCGCCCTGTGCGTACCTTACCTTTGCTCCTGGTACGCTACTGGATGGGGCTTTGCGTCATGATCTCTGGATGTCGTTTACGGAGGATTCGGCCCGGAATTTTCAAGGAAATGAATGAATTGGGAATCCGGAAAAGACAGGAAGAACAGAAAGCATTACTGTGCCTGGTATCATCTGCTTCAATCATTATGATTAGAATTGTCTGCGGGGAATTCCTGGCAATTATTACCAATCTAGTACCTTTGTCATGAGAGCAGATAAAAATACATATTGTATGGACACCACTCTTATGGCAAAAGTACTCATTTGCATATATTAATGTATGTGGCATAAAACACACTTACAGAGTGTACAGAGTAGACATGGCGATATATTTTGCTATCCGCCAATTCACCAACATCCACATCCCACACACAGTAGACTAAGCATTAACTAGAATATCCCCAGACATCCAAATCCTTCCCAACAACTGAAACAAAAATCAACAACAATCCATGTTAATCAACAGCCCATCGAAAATCCCGGCAATCTCGATCCCTCCAAAGTAATCGACGTCATCTACCAGTCATCAAGTGGGTCATCAAATCAAACGGTCAATTTCTCTCCTTTCTGTAGCAAATTTTAACGGAGAGAGTCTGAGACAAAGTGGCACTATGGATTGATGAAGAAAAAAAAATACTCCACTTTCTTGCTTTGCTGCCTTGATTATCGCACAAATATAGTGTGTTTGGATCGAGGTGGTCCATGTGTTGTACAGATATGTAGTTAATAAAAGTAGGTACCTTGCTATCCATGTCACTATATCTAAGAAACCCCCTTTTTCTTGCAGCATCATCGGCCAATTATCAATTCTGTATGGTCTTTGCTATCTTTCACTTTTTTAACTGGGATGGTAATAATCTTCCAACTCATGGACAGGTCGATAGGTGATATCGTCCAATAATGAGTGGCATGGAGTCCTAGAAGATATGTAATCATGGTCTGCCTGATAGAAAATAATCATCCACCTTCAGTACTTAGTGTTATCTTTGCCGAGTTTGTCGCTTCATTTCAACAACTCAGTCTGGATTGCTGATTGAACAGGTGGAATCTGCATGCCCTGGTTTATCAATTGGAAAATCGACTGACTAGTAGGACCACCTTGCTCTACTTTGATCTAGGTACCCTTGTACTGTCTTGCATATGATAAAAACCTATTGTCTGTTGTAATACTCCATGTCATTATGCACCCTTTTCTGATTTTGTAGTGGTATCTCTGATGCAAGTCATTTGATCCAAGGCCGAGTTCATGTCTATCTACCTTACAAAATTCCTATCATATCGTGACTGTTCGTTATTCCCATTAAACTAGTCCCACACCAAATTCCAACTTAAATACATACACATATCTCAATACCGGGGAGGAGCCCGATGGACTACATCCCTCCCCCCTTCGAGAAGCATCCGCTCTGGTTCTCCGCCATCGTAGTAGCGTTCTTCCCTGGCTGGAGCACGAGCTGCCATATACACAGGCCGCTCAATGTAATCCCTCGCTCGTCGGGGATCTTCGTCCACGTAGACACTCATGTCTCGTCCGCCCGGGCGCACACTTTCAACCCGTTGAATCACCTCACGCGGTTCATCGTACCGGGTTGCAGTCGGAGGTCGGACACTAGACATCCTGACCAACCGTTCCCGTGGAATATCAGCTTCATCCACGTAGGCCGCATGCCGGGGAGGGTACTCGGTGACTTGAACGCTGCTGCTGCGTGGATATGGTTCTCGTTCATCTAAAGCCGTATACGGTCGTCGCTCAGCCGGGGTCGGTCGAGCGTAGTCGGTGACCCGTCGATACGTGCTCTGCGGAGGCGGCATTTCCTGGACATATCTTCGACCACCATATGGATCTTCAATGATCGAGGCAGCCCGCACACTTGCCGGACGTACTGGTGGGTGATCTTCATAGACGTCCCCTTTCGGTATCCGGCTAACTGGTGGGGCCATTGGTTGCATCCTCGGTGTAGCCATAGTCTCGTAATATTGATTCCCTTGTGCGTCAACCACAATTCGGCGCGGGGGAGGCGCCATGATCCGAGTTGGAGGCTCTTCGTCATAGTAGACCTCACGATATCTAGTTGAAGTTGGCGATTCATCGATTGGAACGTAACGTCTCGAGTAGGGCTGGGCGGGTTTGTCATAATACCGAGGTTGTTCTGGCAGTGGACGCTCAACAACCGCATAAGATGGGGCTCGCAGGGCACGGGGGCTAGTTTGGTCGATGTACTCGCGCGGATATTCTGGTTGCCGGGCATTGTGCAAGCTCGCAACCCTCCTGAGATCTTGGTCATCGCGCGCAGGCCGTCTGGTACTGAGACGGGAAACTGTGCGTTGGATGCCAGGTTCAGTATGGATTTCACGGTATGGATCCAACTCGTACGCAGGGTCCCTAATTGAAGGCTCTCTCCGCTCCACCGCAGGAGTATATTGCGGAGATGCGATATCAATGTAGATGGGTCTCTCTTGAGGCTGCCGACTTCGAAAAGCCGGGGTGTCTGCGAACGGTGGAGGCGAAACTGGCTCCTCTTTAATATAAGGGTCAGAGTCAAAAGCTTGTCTTCTATACGAAACCTGACGGGGTTTATCCCTTCCTTCCTGCAACCGCCTACGTTTTCTAGGCATCAAGTGTGGAGCGGCAACATCGGGAGTAGCGCGATCAGAATCCTGACCAGGATTGCCCCGGTCTGATCCATATTCTGGTCGCGACTCCTTGAGCTGATGGACAGATGGAACCTTAGTTATTGCTAAAGGCGAGACTCTGGATGGCTGGGGAGCTGCGGGTGATGTTATATGATTTCTCACAATCCTCATATCGCCTCCTGGTGATGCCGATCTGCGAGTGTAACGAATTCGATCGGCCTGCCGGCCATCGGGAGCTCGTCGTTGTCTTGTACCTCCCGGATAGCCCCTCGTAAATTCCTGGCTGTCTCTCCTTTCCATCGGTGGCACACCCGGAGCCGGAGGCGAATACTCGGGCTCCTCAAGGGCATCGGTCGGTGGCTGGGCCTCGTAAGACCTAGGGGTTGCAAGGTCTACCTGAGCATTATGCGGCTGCCTCTGATGATAGGGTAAACGCTGGTCTGCAACTGGGTTGTAAGTATCTTGCATTTCCTGATCCGGTCCAGTTCTGTTGAGGGCCTCAAGCCGTTGCAACTCATCTGAATTATGTTCTACTGGGGCTTCAGTAGCAAGGTCATCTGGGTTTGATGGAGGCGCTAGAGATGTTCTCTGCGGCTCGCCATTTTGTGGGGAGTCCGGGGCTCTACTAGAGTAGAAGGAATTCTCGTCAAACGAGTCACTAGGGGCCCCTGTACCATTGGGCCCAGCGATATCGCTTGGAGCAGTGGGCCTGACCATATCAAGAGCCTTATTCAAAACATCAGAGACATCGAAGTCTGGTTTTGTATCTTGTATAGAGGTTTTTTGCCTCGACTCTTGCCTTTTTTGGTCAAGCTGTTCACGCAATGTCCTCTCCACCCTCTGCCGCTCCAACTGTATTTCCGCCCTGACCAGATCATCCGACTTGGTCAAAAATATGGGATCAATCTCGGAGGCAGGCTTGGGGACGATACGCGAAGATGGACCCATCGCGGTCGCTGCAGCAGACGGACCATTCATGGGAGTAGTTTGTGAGCTCGTAACTTCTGATGCCGGCAGGATAGACTGCGACGACTTTTCCGTTCCCTCTGGAGGAGATACGGGTGGTCCGCCAGCCTTTGCTACCTGTGTTTGTGTTGTGATAGGGGGGTTGGGAGGGTTTCTCGAGGTAGCCTTGCGCACAAACTGGCGAGGAACTTTCAATCTGGGGTGAATTCCAGAAAAGACATCGTCACTTATTCTCAAAATTTTCTCATACTCCTTCACCTCTTCGCCTATTGGTAGCCCCGTAGGTATACTACCTGTTGGAAGTTGAGTGGCCCCGTGAGCCGCCATGATCTTGGAAGCTGCTGCAATAGTGAAAAATTATGCTGCCAGTGCAATGTGTTTCCAGAGTGGATCAAATAGACCTCTCTTATCACCTGGACAGAATACAACTGTCAGAGTCAACACACTGAACTCCAAGTCAATGACCTGGCTCAAGGTGAATGGAGGATGGGAATAATAAATAATGGTCGTAGGAGAGAAGAGGAGGTTGCGAGTTGGCACGGAAGCTCGCCCTTTCAGCCGGCCTGACGCTAAACTCGCTGGGGCATGACGCGGGTTGGCGGCGCGGCTAATCCCGCATCGGAGTTGCAACAGCGACGCCGGCTTCACCTCACAGTTGCGCAGTTATCCCCCACTTGTCGACGATAGACGTCTATTGAACGCGCTGGAGTTGAGTCCTATCGCTCATGTATCGTGCCTTCTGCGCATCTCCCAGACCGCAATTCTTATCTGGAGGCCTCTCGTCTTTCTTCCGTGCTCCGTCCTGCTATCGGAACAATATAGTTCGCAATCGGAGGACCATGGCAAATTCCGCCTGCCCGGCCCCTGAGGCATTTGATTCCAGGCCGGTTTTCTTTTTTGATATTGACAATTGTGTATGCAAAAGCTGCGATCGCATCGACATTAATACGTGGTTCTTACCTTATACTGACTTGAGTTGGTATAGCTTTATTCCAGATGTTAGACAGACCCCGCATATTGTTAGAATGACACGATAAGTGCTGACAGATGGGCGTGCAGCATGTAACATACACGATGAGATGCAGATATTGATAAGTGAGCTATTCTGGGTCCTCTCCGTCTTTGAAACCACCCCTTCTAACAGACCTACGATATGTAGATAAATTCTTCGTCAAACACCTTTCCCTCGATCCTCAAGACGCTCATATGCTCCACCAGAAATACTACAAAGAATACGGCCTTGCCATCGAAGGACTCACCCGTCATCACCAAATTGATGCTCTTGATTTCAATCGCGAAGTCGACGATGCTCTGCCGCTGAACAACATCCTGAAGCCGGACCCCAAGCTGCGGAAGCTACTTGAGGACATTGATAAGACAAAAGTCAAGCTATGGCTTCTCACGAACGCATACGTCAATCATGGCAAGCGTGTCGTGAAATTGTTGCAAGTTGATGACCTTTTTGAGGGGATCACATACTGTGACTATGCGCAGCCGCCGCCGTTGGTTTGTAAACCTAGCCAGGATATGTACGAAAAAGCGGAGATAGAGGCGGGCGCTCCAAGTACAGAGCAGTGCTACTTTGTCGGTACGTTTTTCTTTCTTACAATGCTGATTTCGCAAAGGCTGACCAAATTGCTGGCAGATGATTCCCACCTGAACTGCAAGCACGCTGAGGCTCGCGGCTGGATCACAGCTCACTTTCTTGAGCCCGAGCTTCCGATGCCTCGTGTTCCAGCGTCAAAATATTTGGTACGAAACCTCGAGGAATTGCGGCTTCATTTCCCTCAGTTCTTCAAGTAATGCCGGGGTGGTAGCCGTCCTCCGAAATTAGATTTTAGATGCCCCCGTTGAACTTGTCATGATGTATTCACTATTCTATCATAATTCCTTTTTTACATAACTAGAATTATACATACAATTATCTACAGGGAAGAAGTGCAAATAATTCGATTCATCTGGTATAATCGGAAAATAAATGGATCGGCAGTAATAGTGGTAGAAAAAAAAAAAGGGTTGGAAGGCCCAGCATATTGGCCTATGATTGTCGTAAATTCGGATCCATTAGATTGGGAATTATTATTTCCCCATGTTGTGTTTTCAGCTTGCTGCTGCTCGTGTTGCTATGATTGTTGACTGACATTCACTGCTACTCACTGGTTTCCTTTATTTTTCCTGCTTTTTCTCACTTCCAACCTTCAAAGAGACACAACTTCAGTGACCAGGCAGTAGGCTCTGCTATTCCTCCCACCCCATAAACAGGCAGCCAACTTGACATCCGGACTGGTCTACCTGGGGATTTTTTATGCACCTCGCTGCCTTTCTGGTCCGCCGGGAGTAGTTAAAGAACCACTCCCCACAACCCTCATTGAACTGACAACAAGAGATCTGGGGCCTTCCAGTGGTTGCTGCCAAGATGTCCGACCAGTCAGTCCTGCGTATTACTCGGGTAAGTATTCCGCTGGTTTTTTGTCGTTCGCTTCTTCTTGCAAATACATTACAGATCTCAGCTGGCTAATGAGGGGGCCTTGTTTCTTTTGGTGGGGTTTTAGGACATCAAGCAGTTACAGCAAAGTGCAGACCTCTGTAGGTACACCTTTTGTACACAAGCATGATATGAGAAATCCTTCTATCGCCTTTTCGCTCCCCCCCCCTCCCCCTTTCTATGGCAGGATAGGCTTATGTTGTTTGTTTATAGCTCTCGCGGTGTATTGTGACGAGTCAGATGTCCGCACCGTCAGCGCGCTCATCCTGGGACCCCCAGAATCGCCTTACCAGTTCGGCTTCTTTGAGGTTTGTTCTTAGTCCCTTCTAAAAGAATATATCACGGCATATTTGTAGGTCATGTACTAACCACCAGAGATACTATTCAGTTCGCGATTAAATTCGGCAAAGGTATGACGGGTTTAGGAAATCTGTCGCAGAAAATCTGATCTCTTGTACCTTAGATTATCCAGCAAGCCCTCCTACTGTCAAGGCAGTGACTACGAATGGAGGAAGATGCAGGTTCAACCCAAACATCTATGCTTCTGGCAAGGTTTGCTTGTGAGTCTCTGGTGGAAACTTGATTTTATAGTGGTACATGTGCTGACAAAACGTCGACGTAGATCGATTCTTGGGTAGGACTACCCCCGAAAAATAAAACCGAGGAACGTTGCTGATACTCGCAGAACCTGGCGTGGTGAAAGTGGGGAGCAGTGGTCGTCGGCTCAGGGATTAGAGTCAATTTTGATCTCGATCCAGAGCTTGATGTCTGCTAATCCATACGAGAATGAGCCTGGCTATGAGAATGCCAACATGGAATCGGATTTGACGAACATGAAGTCCTATATCGCCAAGGTAAATAAGCCCAATTCCCGTGGAACTGCTTAGTTCATGTCATGCTAATAGAGCCACGTATTTCCTATAAAAAGATTCGCCATGAGACTCTACGAATTGCTGTTATGGCGCCTCTGGAACGGACATTGGGCATCATGTCGAATGGGAAAGTTATTCCACCTAGATTCAGGAAACCATTTGAAGAACGGGACGAAGAAGAAGATTTTGGTTTTTCAGGAAGTATTCTGCCCTATGACCCGTTTACGGATATTCGCAAGAGACGATTCCTGTGGTATTTCGAGTCGTATATGCAGGCCATCGATGCCGCGGAACAGGAGAAGCCTGGAAAGCGTAAATTCGAAAGAATGCCTTTTGAATCGACCGGGAACGCCATGGACGGAAATTTCGACTATGCTGAGCTGAGGCGAAGGCTTACCGTGATCAGAATGGTCATTATCCATGAGACCCAGAAGTGGCCCGTTGAGGGACGCAAGGCTCAGGAGGAAGAAGCGGGTATTGCGGCGAACCTGTACCGTCAGCACGAGCAGATCATTGAAGATTTTAAGCGTCGAGGGAGCTTCACTGTTGACTTGGGCCTTTCGGATGGCAACCCTTTCCTTTGGGAATTGACATACTTTGGTCGACCTATGACGCACTTGGATGGCGGTATCTTCAAGATGAAGGTCTACTTGAGCCCGCGGTTCCCAGAGGAACAGCCCCGTGTTTTCGTAGAGACGCCGCTCTTCCACCATCGTGTTTCCAAAGATAAGGTACTCTTCTATCTTCCGCTGCGTACGGATGAAATGAGATACCACATCGAAGCAATCGTGGATGCTTTAGAAGACGAATCACCGGCTTATGATCCGCGAACTACTGTGAACCCGGAGGCAACAAAGCTTCTCTGGGGCTCCCCTGATGAGAAGAAGCAATACAAACGCGCGCTGCGCCGTTCAGTGGAAAGAAGTGCTGAGTAAGTCCTGTATCCTCCTGATGCTATTCTGGATGCTAATGAAGACCATTCAATGATATAGAGAAGCGTTTGCATGAATGCATCAAGTTCAGTCGCACTTTTGAGAATGCCACCAGCCTTGGGGTTCGATCTGAGCCGAATCATTCTCAATACCTTGCTTTGAAATATCAATCGGTCTTTCAGTTTTTTGATTCCATCTCGCTATATCCCAGCATGCGCTTTCAGGGTGTTCTTTTTCGGGTGTTTAGGAGCCACGGCACTATTCTCCAAATGCATAGGGCGGAAGGATTGCATTGCAATCTAAATCAACATAATGATAATGAATATTTTCCCTTGGATGTGTTGCCACGGAGTAAAGCCAGTCATTGGCATATTGACAGTACTCCGAAGGGCCATCTTATTGTTCCCCCTTTGCAACATGAATGCTCTTTGTACCTAATCTGGTCAATAGCAATCAATACCACTGTGTATTAGGGTGAAACATGACTTGCTGCACCTAATTTTTTTTTTAATATAAGAGTAATATTAGACTGGGCAAGACACCCATCCTGAGCTGTCGAGGAGAAAAAAACACGAGGCAGGTAATCTGGTTCCTTGAGATTAATATGTGGGGGGTCCGAGCTTTGGCCCCGGGGATTCTCCATCTTCAACAATCGCCGCCGACGGCCTCCTTAATCCTACCAACTGTCTTCTCCTTCTTTACCCCACACTCACTTCAGAACAGGATTTCACTTCGAACGCCATAATGTCAGTCAAGCGACCTACTATGTCGTTGGGTACCGTCCTGGTGGTCGGTGGTTGCGGGTTTCTAGGCTGGCATATTGTCGATCAGTTGCTCAATTTTCCGTCGGAGACCGACCCCAGTGTTGCCCTCCCCAAACCGCAAGGAGACGCTCGATTCGAATACCCTCTTTTGAAAGACCGATACCCCAGAAATATCGCGAAGGTCGCGGTGGTGGATCTGCGGACGTCCAAGAATCGGTTGCCTGGCGCAGAGTATCATGAGGGCGATATCACATCGGTGGAGTCCATGTTGACCGTATTCCGCGCGGTCAAGCCTGACGTGGTTATTCACACTGCAACACCATCAGTGTTAGATGCTAGCAAGGAAATGCTGCACAAAGTCAATGTGAATGGAACCAAGACGTTGGTGGAGGTCGCAGGCGGAGAGCATGGTGACTGGGGTGGAAAGTGCAAGGCTTTCGTATACACCAGTTCGTCCTCTGTCGTGCATGACACACAGAGCAACCTGATCAATGCTACTGAGGAATGGCCTCTTATTAGAGGAGAGCGCCAGCTGGAGTACTACTCGGAGACAAAGGTATGTCTTCTTTTCTTCTGTTAAGTTGTTTGATTGATGCTGATGAACCAATTTGAAATAGGCCGATGCGGAAGAGCTGGTCTTGAAGTACAACCGCGCATCACCTTCTTCGATGTTGACCTGCGCCCTCCGTCCTGCCGGTATCTACGGAGAGAAGGACACCACATTCACCTACAAAATCCTGGAACACTCGGCCAAGGCTTCCCCGACTGTCCTACGAATGCAACTCGGCGAAAATAACAACCTCTTCGATTTCACCTACGTGGGCAACATCGCATACTCCCACATGCTAGCTGCGTTCCGTTTATTGGCGACCAAGGAACGGCTCGAGTCTGGCCAGGGTGAACTGCTAGACATCGAGCGAGTCGATGGAGAGGCGTTCAACATTACCAATGACTCTCCGGTTTACTTCTGGGACATGACACGCGCTGCCTGGGCATTGACTGACAAGGTCGTTGAGCCTGAGCAAGTGTATGAACTTCCAGAGTCGATCCTGGGACCCGTGGGTGGTATCGCAGAAACGGTGCTGGGTTTGTTCGGCAAGACACCACGTCTCACCAGACGTACTGTGCGGTACTCGTGTATGACACGATACTACTCGGCTGACAAGGCCAAAGTACGACTTGGATATTACCCCATTATCCCGGTGGACGAGGGTCTTGCTCGAGCAGTTGGGTACGTCGTTGAAAGCAATCGCTTGGAAGCGCAGAAGAAAGGACTGTAAATCAGTCGGTTTTAATTGAGTTCTTCCGGCATATAATGTATTACTATGAGTAATTTTTATTTTGTTTCCCTGTTTTTATCTTTGAGTTGTTGATAAGCATTACCTATCGCCATGGGCAATCCTATTTTATCTGCTGATGAAGTTCAATATTTTCCATCTTCTGGGGCTGGAGCTTGCTTTACATTGTTCTTGCTAGCGTGTGAGTTGCGCCTGGAGCTCAGAATCCAAAACTACAAACTCGACTCGACGGCAGGAACAACCCTGGCGATGTTATTCACTCGGACTTCACAGCCCATCACCATGGATTCTCCTTCGACCTATTCATCTGCTCATTTTCTCTGCACTGCTAACTCTTTAATGCGCATTAGTCAATCCCTTCGTATCAGATATCGTTCACGCCATTCAAATGCTGCTGTTGTTCTCCTTGCTCGTGGCTCTGGCAGCATCAGTTGCAGGCATACAGGGAAGTTCAGAAAACATTCTCTACAGCAATCTGCCTGGAACCTCGGAAGGTCTACCTGGTATTCATGCCTCCTTTGACTATGTAGTGGTTGGTGGTGGTACCGCAGGCGTGACGATCGCAGCGCGCCTAGCTGAGAACAAGTTTCGCGTGGCGCTGATAGAAGCAGGGGACTTCTATGAGGTCAAATATCCGATTTCAAAAATTCCTGGGGCCTGCAGTCTTGGGGTTGGATCGGACCCAAAGTCGACGTTGCCAGTGGACTGGAAGTTTGTGGCGAAGAGTGTTCCTGGTGCCAACTATCGTGACATTCACTATCCCAGAGGAAAATGCCTGGGTGGATCGTACGAATCTGATACTTTCTACTGCCGCATATTGGGACTGCATGGTGCTAACCATTCTATCATCACTTAGGTCGGCGTTGAACTTTATGATATACCAAAGGTCCGTGGATGGTCTTCTCCCCGCCTCTTGATATGATGCTGAGATACGGTTGGAAACAGACCGACTGTCGATTCGATGCAGCTCTGGGCTGACCTCATCCATGATCAGAGCTATACTTTCGACAAAGTCCTTCCTTATTTCAAGAAAACAGTCCATTTCACTTCTCCGCGTGACAAGCTTCGTTTTGCCAATGCCACGGCGCGATTTAACGAGAATGCATTTGACAACAATGGCCAGCCGCTTCAAGTATCCTATCCTAACTATGCCATGTCCTTTTCTAGCTGGGTGAAACAAGGATTGGAGACTATTGGAATTAAAGAGACACAAGATTTCAACAGTGGATCGTTGATTGGCTCCCAATATTGCGCCTTCACTATTCGGCCTTCTGATGAGAGGAGAAGTAGCTCAGAAGCTGCCTTTTTCAGGACCTTTTCATCAATAAAACGATTAAAAACCCTGAGAGTTTATAAGAACACCCTGGCTAAACGGATTCTATTTGACTCTCGGAAACGAGCAACAGGGGTAGAAGTTAAGACTGGTTTTCTGAAATACGCGTTGAACGCCAAACGAGAGGTCATAGTCTCTGCAGGTGCCTTTCAGTCCCCTCAGCTCCTGATGGTATCAGGTATTGGCCCGGTTGACGTTTTAGAAGAACATGGAATCAAAGTCATCTCTAACCTTCCAGGGGTTGGCCAGAACATGTGGGATCATCCTTTTTTTGGGCCAACATATCAGGTGGCTCTAGAAACATATACTAAAATGGCTACGGACACTGTTTACCTCGCAAGACAGCTGTCCAAGTACGCAACTTTTCATAAAGGACCACTGACAAACCCTGTCGCGGACTACTTAGCTTTTGAAAAGATCCCCAAAGATTTTCGGTCTGGATTTTCTCCCCAGATGGAGAATGACCTTTCCTGGTTTCCTGGTGACTGGCCCGAGGTGGAGGTTTGTGGTTTCCAGCATTACTGATACGTAGGAATGCTGATTCACTGAACGCGGCAGTATCTCTCCGCGGCAGTTTATGTGGGCAACTTCTCTAACCCTTTCGCCATACAACCAAAAGGTGGTGGTCAGTACGCAACCATCTTGGGAACTTTGGTTGCACCCACATCTCGTGGAAATGTCACAATCACCTCGGCCGACACAGCGGATCTTCCAGTTATCAATCCTAACTGGCTTTCTACTGAAACCGACCAGCAGGTGGCAATAGCTACGTATAAACGCATCCGAGATGCCTTTCACAGTGACTCGATGGCACCTATTATTGTCGGTGATGAATACTTCCCGGGGTCTAAGTATAAGACGGATGTTGAGATTCTCGAAGTAATTCGAAATAGCGTGATGACAATTTTTCACGCAGCTTGTACATGCAAAATGGGCATTAGTAGTGACAATATGGCCGTGCTTGACAGCAAGGCCCGAGTATTTGGCGTTGGCAAACTGAGGGTCGTGGATGCCAGTGCATTCCCGATTCTGACCCCTGGGCACCCTCAATCAACAGTTTGTAAGTTGATCTTCAATGCCAGTCATTTGCTGGCTGTTGACACATCGCAGATATGCTTGCAGAGAAAATTGCCTCGAATATAGTCAATAATTCTGACTGAGTTCTGTTGAGTCGTATTCATGCGATATGCTTTGCAAAAAAACTTGATATGGATTTAATATGCATAAGATACGAGAAATGAGTATATATACAAGTCCATAGAGAAGCCAAAAAGCCTAACTCAAAATTAAGTACCATTTGAAGAATCAACAAGACCTCCTGTTTGTTCGTAAAAAATCAGTTCCCATCGTCAGTGCAGTAAGAATATCGTTCATTAACCATGTCAAACCAATCACAGAGCTGCACGCACGCGTGTGCTCTCGGCTTGAGATAGAGACCAAGTCTCTTTGATCAAGTCCGCGCACTTTTCCCCAATGCCGTAGGCAGGCATCTGGGTATGACCTCCATGGAGGGTAGGCATGACACTGCAATCGGCGACACGAAGTCCAGAGACACCTCGTACGCGCAGCTTATTATCCAAGACTGCTTGACGATTATTGTCTTTCCCCATGGCGCAAGTTCCGGCTGCGTGGTAGCCTAAGCAAGAAGTATGTTAGCGGTATGCTATCGCCAGAAAAGTTTGATCGAACTCACATGTAGTAGCATGCTCCTTTACATAAGGCACCCATTCTTCACGAGTGGTGTAGGCATGATGGCTCAGATTAGGCGGCCAAGAACCCTTGACAAGATCTCTAGTTCCAGCGCCGCCCATAATGATTTCATTACCAAATCTGCACGCCTCTGACAACACAAGCATGTCCAGGGGATCAGATAGGTAATTGCAATCAACGACGGGATTATCAAGGGGATCACTAGAAGCCAACGTCACCGACCCCCTTGACCTCGGAGAAAACAGCTCAGCAATCATCGAAAACACATGTTGATTGTTAACCGGGAACTGATCATATTGTTTCGGACCGCCGTAGCATTCCGTCGTGAAGAGTTCGATATTCGGCTGTTTGGATGGGATGAGGCCCATGGGGTCGCGGGTTTTGTCGTTCTTGGGGAAGCTGTTTTTCCAGAGTGGTTCGTTGGCGAGACGGTCGTCGAGACGGGCAAAGGCAAAGGAGCCAAAGGGGAAGGAGGAAAGGAAGCCTTGTTTTTGGGACTTCCAGAGGTTGTATGTGGTGGTGAAGTTGTCGTCGTGGTAGACGTGGTGGTCGTTGGTGAGGTTTTTCCGGGCAGTTTCGTAGAACATGAAGACGATCTAGGTTATGTCAGTACTAGGTATTATCTTATTGAGTTCTTTCTGTGGATTTTCTAGGGATTACCGGGTGGTCCATTAGGTTTCTTCCAACACCAGGGGAGTCGACTAGACATGGGATGGAGTGCTTGTTCAGTTCCTCTCGTGGGCCGATTCCGGATCGTAAAAGAATAGCCGGACTGCAGTATGCGCCTCCACTGATGATAACTTCCTTTTTTGCATGGTAAGTCCGAGTCTTTCCCCCTACATCGCGGACCAGAACGCCCGTAGCCCGTAAGCCAGAGTTGCCATCGTCCTCGATGAGAATCTTGTCCACAGTACTATCCGTCTTGATGGTGGTGTTTTTCCTCTGGTGGCCGTTGGTGATGAAATCGGCGCTGGTGGTACGCAGCCCGTTGTGCACTGTGCGCGGGACATGGCCACATCCATGCGGAGTCTCGCCCGTTGAAAACATATCATGGACTAGGGGTAGACCTTGTGAAACGAAAGAGTCCATTATACGCTGGGATATGGGAGCTAGGTCGTGAGGTTCTGTATGGAGTGGGCCAGAGTAGCCGTGGCTGTTTTCATCTTCTCTGAACCAGCCTTTGGGATGGAAGGTTTCGACCTGGGATGTGTGAGTATATGGACTGACTGACTGCTTTTGGGGGACGAAGATGAAAAGTGCGCACATACTCTTTTCATGCAATCGAAGAATTCCTCTCCACTCCATCCTTCCAAATCCCAATCATCAAAGTCTTGCTTGGACCCGCGAATGCAGAGAGTGCCATTGCATCCACTGCAGCCGCTGAGGAATTTGCCTCTGCTGAGTTTGACCTGGCGGTTGTTGACGCCAGGCATAGGCGGAGTGATTACGTTCCAGTCCGTGTTGGCATCGTCGAAGTTGTTGGACCAGCTGTGATAGTTGATTTCATCAGGATGGGGTGTGTCGAGAGAAACGAAGAGTGGAGGGATGAGACTGACTTACCCACCAACCATGTGGACATTCTCCAGGTCTTTATGATGAGGTCCAGCCTCGAGAACAAGGACTTTGAGGTTTGGATTTTCCGCCAGACGGCCAGCAACGACGCATCCAGATGTGCCACCGCTAGAAGATTCAGGGGGGCATTGTTTAGATGTGTTTTTTTGGCCATGGTGGAGCGTTGGATTTGGGGCTGAAACTCACCCGCAGATAATATAGTCGTAGTATGGTTCAATTGAACTCATCTTGCCGTTTCTGTTTCATGTGCTTTCTTCTTATCCACTTCAATTTGGTCTACCAAAGACTCAGAAATGAAAGAAATCACACCGGTTTATATCTTTATCGGACGGCCCCTACATCGCGAGGAATCTTGTAAAACCCTATGGGGAATTCCGCCATGAATTCCGCTATGTCACGAACGTCGCCGCGAGTCTGATTGGAGACTGGAGTAATATCAATCCGGGGAAGGAGACTGGGATGGTAGAATATGCTTTGGTGGGGTGAGTGGTGAGACAGTCTGTGCGGGGGAGGATCGAGTAGCAGGCTAGATGAGGCGGAAATGTGCGGATTGAATTCCTTTGAAGCATTTAAGAGTGCTTGGATGGCTATACGAAGGTTGGTTGGTGATGATTGCATGACTCGACTGAGTTGGTGGCAAGAGGAGATATATATTGTCTGTGTGATATCTGTCTGATCTGAATGATAGCTACATATTGACGTGACATTTTATTGATGATAGAAGGGATATACACAACATTAGATCCTCCTTTTGGTATCCAACACTGTAAAATCACAGCAGAATCCATGATAAAGACGGCACCAGATCACAACGCGGAGATGCCTCCACAAAGGACGATCATTGCCACTTCCCCTCGAGACGGGGTAATGATTGACAGTGGAACGTGGAGAGAGAACCAGAAGAACCAGAAAGTGGATTCGCATCCTTTATGATGATTTATTAGAGAAAATCCTGAAAGTGTGATAACAGAGTTTGCCTCCGTCGATGTTAGTTAATAATGACTCCAGGTTCGGTTCGAGGACGATGGGCGATGACGATAGTCATCCTATCATCTCAAAAATCAGACCAACGACCGAATTGGACGACGTGCTGAACCAGTGGACACCAGCCAATGCATTCATCAATGTCCACAGGGGCATCTGATTGATTGATGCAGCCAGCAGAGAAGAAGATCCCCGTCTCTCAGGTGATGGACAGACAGCACAGTTACCCCGCAGAATGCTGGTTCTTACAGGTCAGAGTTTGATCGATCAAAAGGGACACAGCAGAGCACAGAAAGCAGAGAAAAAAGTGAAATAAACAAGTTGGAGACCGGTGGAAATCCACCCCGAGCAGTCCGTGGAAAGATTGTACGACTTGATGCTGTAGAGGACAGGCAAGGAGGTCGCTTAGCAGCGGGGGATAAGAGAATCCATTGTGATGGTGACCTTTTTATATCAAAATAACGCATACAATCCATTAGAATTAATAATAACAACAATAAACATCATAGCAACCAGACTGGAAGAATGTCGAGTATGGAGGAGCGACAGGAGTGGCGTTGGTCGTGTGGTCGATGATCCTGGATGGGATCTGGAGTTGATCAGAAGATGTATTAGTACGACTATAACAGTGGATTATAATAGTGATATTATTGGCTTGGAGTAATACATAGCATATTAATATAATTAAATTAATAAAATAAAAGAATAACAGGGCAAAGAAAGCTATTGAGAATAATAATACGATCTGTTATAACAACATCTCATCCGGAAAACAGCAGTTGGTCAACAAAAGTACAACAACAAATATGGATAATTCTATTAATTCTACAGAGTATTCTATTCGATCGAATTCTACATCTCGTCTATCCCAATATAACTCTAATCCAGTTAATAACCATAGTAGTTGTAAATCCAGACTAATTGCTGTAAATCTGGGTATCTTCATCTCCTGCTAAACGAACAAAGTACCCGATAAGCAGTCCTGCAAATCCCTAGTATTTTCTCTCGTCCATTCGAATTCATTCTTCTTCGACTCTGTATGTCTACTTCTTTATGATATCGAATACTTCTTCTGATACTTCTCTTTTTTAATCCTCATTTTTTCCTACTGTGGTCTGATTTCCCACCGCCCACTACCTTTCCCGCCTTTTCTCTCTTTCGCTCTCGTCAATCTTTCTTCGCTGTTCTTCTCCCCCTCCTCGTTTTTTCTTTCCCCATCCCATGGAGTAACCTCTCCTTTGCCCTCCCCATTGCTTTCTCTTTCTCTTATTTATCATCTATATTCGACCTGCCTCGTGCCAGCCTCAACCAGAGGTTGGCTTGTCGTCAATCGTTTTGGCTTCGCGTCCAACGTCTTTCCGTCGCGCCAATTCCCCCGCATAGCCGCTTCTCTCCGTTTTCCCCTGCCTCGATTTTCTTGTCCTTACGTGACCAAGACATTTTTTGTCTCTCGTCTGTTGCTTCTGCAATTTTTTTTCCTTTATCTGTTATTTTTCGGAACCCTCATCCTTTTCGGGAGCAGTATCTACTGCAAATCCAATAGCTTCGTCCACTTCGCAGTGAGGTCATCTTTTGTCTTTACTGGCGTTCCACCCCCCGCCCGCGAATCTCGCCATGGCCAGTTGATGCTGCGGATGAATCCATAACCTCCAATCCAAAGGGCACCCGCTCTGCCCGGCAGACGGTTCTGCTCAGAATCTGTTTACTGTTCCCAATCTCTTTTGTTCGACTTTCCTATCCTCTCCCTACGAGCCGCAAACCGACCGTCGTCCTCCCTCCGCTGGGGGGCTTTTCCATCGTCTCGATCGTGTCCCTACCCAGCATGGCAGGCAATGGCACCTCGAGTGCTCAGTTCCTTGCTCCCCCGGCCGTTACGGCCTTGAGGCAGGAGGCTCGGAGCATCGATCCGAAATTCTCACCCATGACTCGCACCCTCAGCGACAATATGCGCGAAGAACGCCAGGACTTGAAGGAGGCGGCGGAGCAGACCTTGAACGTTATCATTGATCTGGATCTTGATGGTCGGATCAAATGGGTTAGTCCCTCGTGGAAGCAGGTCGTCGGGACCCCTCCCGATTCTGTCGAAGGGCGCATGGTCTCCGATATCCTGGTCGGCTATAAGAATACTTTTCACGACGCGATTGAGTCTTTGAAGGAGGATGACTCGCGCAGTCGCTTTATTCGCTTTGGTGTGCAAATGGGCCCCGACTCGGTCTTGAAATACTCGCCGGAACCGCCCCCTTTGGAATCAGACAAGGAAATTAGCGAGAAGCAGGACGAGGAGGATGCCCAAGTACCACCGGAGACGACAGAGGAGCACCGGCATGATGTTATTCATATGGAAGCGCAAGGAATTATGGTTTTTGACCGTACAGCTGATGGTGCAGGCCATGTAGGTGTTCTTGAAATTCTATCAACAATGCTATTCAACGATCGATTACTAATGGCGCTCGTATAAATGCAGACCATGTGGATGTTACGGCCGTTCACCGAGCCAAGGGAAGTGACAATTGACCTTCCTCATTTATTGGTGGAATCTTTGGGCGTTGGAGCCGAAGTTCTGGCGAACTACTTAACGACGTTGGCCGAGGCTGCAGCGAATGAGCCAGATCAATCGAAGCATCCCGCTCCAGATCCTGTCCTATGTCGTATTTGTGAACGTCAAATCACCCCGTGGTGGTTTGAAAAGCACTCGGATCTCTGTCTACAGGAACATCGGGCCGAGATGGACGTCCAAATCGCCCAGGAAAATCTCAATGAGCATCGTCATGCAATAGTGAAGGTGTTGGACGGTCTCGAGGCCCGACATAGCAGGACACTCCCCAGTGAAAGCAGCCCTGCTACCACCCCTCAGCCAGAATATAAAGGACTGCCCATTGGGCCGTCGCCCGCCAACTCTGCCCCATCATCTGGAGCCGTTTCCAGCTCGAGCTCTGCCCCTGGTACCCCGCCAAGGTCGAGAGATCATTCTGCCTCTGGTATCGGACATGCCCGAGCTCGGTCGTTCGCTGTGCGGCGGCCGCTGTCTCGTATTGTGGAGCTGGTTCTCGATCTATGTGACACGGCGCTGGAAATCAATATGCCAGTCATCAGGGAGTCACGTCCAGACAACGCGGAAGATTTTCGAACGTTGTCACCACAATCCGAGTCTAGAATCTCCCAGGTTATTCAATGGCAGTCCCCCAGCTCCAATACTTTGGAACAGGAACAGGGCCTAGCTGCCTTGTGTACCGATACAGAACAGGTCTCCAAAGCCAAAGTGGACGCAGTCATCCGCCACCGCAAAATTGTTGAATATGCGGAACGCATTCGTATCGAATACACTGTCCTGGTTGAAGAGTGCATCACAGCGGCTCTTAGCAAGGCTGAGCGCATCGCTGCTGGTCAGTTGAGTGACTCATCTTGCTCTGACGATGATACTCCGCATGAGCTTGACTCCGGGTTCACGGAAGATTCGAGTCAGGAGCAACTGCCGCAGCATCCACTACCGCAGCAACCACAACCGCAACCACGACTGCCGCAGCAGCAGCAGCAACAGCAACAGCAACAACAGCCAATGTCCGCATTGACGATGTCCATGCGTAACTCTTCCGAACGCGTTCAGCCGCCTCCATTGGATGGTAAACCGTCATCTGTTGCCGTCTCCACCGGATCTAACAGTCCTATGGAGTGTCCTACCCCTCGCTCTCATAAGAGTGCTTCTGGTTTACTAGGCACTTCGCAGCCATCCAGAAGAGGTATTTCGCTGGCAGAGCTCGATGCGAGTGAAAACAGCGACAGCAGTGCTCTTTCTTCTGCCTTTCCCGGGGGCGTTCGAACAGAATCACCCTCTTCTGAAAGAAGTTTCGACCGAAAACGCAGGAGCCTAGTACTTCCTTTATCCAGTTCTCCTCGACGCCAGCCCTCACCGGCCAGAATGTCGGGCCCCCATTCGCCGTTGCGCATGCCGAAACCTCGTCTTTCCAATGGCGCAGAAAGCTTGCCATCCCCCATAGTTTCACCGTCGACGAATTCCGGCGAATTGACACATCTTCACTTTCGCCATCATCGCAGAGAATCATCGGCAACTTCTTCAGACGCCGCCAAACCGGCTGTTTCACCTCGTTTGACCTCCGTTAGCCAACCTCAGCCCCGCCCGGCACCTCCGTCCATCAAAGATTTTGAAATCATTAAGCCCATTAGTAAAGGTGCCTTTGGTAGCGTGTATCTATCCAAGAAAAAGACGACAGGGGAATACTTCGCAATCAAAGTGTTGAAGAAGACGGACATGGTTGCGAAGAACCAGGTCACAAATGTCAAGGCCGAGCGAGCAATTATGATGTGGCAAGGGGAAAGTGATTTCGTTGCTAAACTTTACTGGACATTTTCGAGCAAGGACTATCTTTATCTGGTCATGGAATATTTGAATGGCGGTGATTGTGCTTCTCTGGTGAAAATCTTGGGTGGACTGCCAGAAGACTGGGCCAAAAAGTACATCGCCGAAGTCGTTCTAGGAGTCGAACATTTACACGGCAGGGGCATCGTGCATCGCGATCTCAAGCCGGATAATTTGCTCATCGATCAAACAGGACATCTGAAATTGACCGACTTTGGCTTGTCCCGCATGGGTCTCGTCGGGCGCCAGAAACGCGTCCTTAAAAGTCCCAATGATGTAGCTCCCGACCTTCTCAACCAGGGACCATTCCCTCGTGCCACATCCATCACCTCCTCTCGGTCAGCTTCATTCGATTTCCAGGGTGGTAACTCGCCAGGCTCTACGCCGGTGATCGCTCCTGATGTGTCGGGCAGCTTGACCCAGCCGTCGTACTTTAATCTCAACCAAAGTGGCAACGGGCTTACTCGGCAAACATCTCGACGTGCATCTGGCTACCGCAGTGATAGTGGTGGAAGCGAAAATTTGAGCGCGATATTTCGAACTTTCTCTTTGAATGAAAGCAACGAAGGATCTGCTCCAATACCGGTTCCTCATTCGAATAATCATACCGAAGAAGAGCCCCAGAGTGAGCTTAGCGAATCTCCATATTTGCACCCGCTACAGCCAACATTTAGCAACCCCCAAGGATCATATGGTACGCCTCCCCAGCAATCAATGATGCCCCCTTTGATGGCACTCTTCGATCCCGAAGATCACAATAGACGCTTCGTTGGTACCCCAGACTATCTCGCACCCGAGACAATCAACGGAGTTGGTCAGGATGAGATGAGTGATTGGTGGTCCTTGGGGTGTATTATGTTTGAATTTCTCTTCGGTTATCCACCCTTCAATGCTCCTACTCCAGACGAGGTGTTCGATAATATTCTCAATAGGAGAATCGACTGGCCAGATGACCCAGAAGAGCTAGCATCCCTCGAGTCGATCGACCTTATGAACAAACTAATGACAATCAACCCTCAAGAGCGGCTCGGGGCCAATGTCGGCGAGAAATTCCCGAATGGAGGGGCTCAGATTCGCAGCCACCCATGGTTTTCAGATGTTCAGTGGGATACTCTGCTCGAGGATAAAGCCGAGTTTGTCCCTAACATTGAAAACCCAGAAGACACAGAGTATTTTGACGCGCGTGGCGCTACCCTTCAGGCTTTTACCGAGGAACTGGAGGATGAGCCAGCTCAGCAAACTCCATCCACATCTGGCTCGTACCCAGATCGTCCTCATGATGCACTCTTCAAGGTCCGCTCACAAGTCAACTCGATCAAACGGCCATTAATGCCATTGCACATCCCACCTCATGTCCGTGATTCCCGTGATTCCCGTATTAGAAGGTTGAGTGAGCCCACTTTGGCAGATGACTTTGGCAGTTTCTCCTTCAAGAATCTGCCGATGCTGGAGAAGGCAAACAAAGACGTCATTCAGAAGCTGCGACAGGAGGCATTGCAAGCACAACAACGGCAATCCGCGTCAGGGTCGCAATCGCAATCACAACCGCAACAACCGCCACAGCCACAGCCGCAGCCGCAGGGTCAGACTCAGAACGGGGCGCAGACCCAACAGCCACCGCTGACACAACCACAAGGACCGCCACCCTCGTCTGGACCTTCTCTTGAAGGCAGCCCATTACCCATGCCGCTGCAACGGACCATGTCCCAGAACAAAGGCAACAACCGACCCTCGTCTCCATCTAGTTTGAGCCAGGCCAATTCATCACCAAGTCGCCCATCACAGCCATCCTCCCCGCTCTTGGTCCAATTCAGCACTGGTACCAACCATGAACGCAGAAAAACTTCTGGCTCATCTTCAACTAACTCGCACCAGTCGAGTGGATCAGCTCAACCTGGAAATGTGGATCAAAGCCGTGTATCCAGCGTGAGACATGGTTCAGCTGCATCGTCTCCTATCAAAACTGGCCGGGTTACAGCTCACTCACCAGACAAAACACCTTCAGGGCAACGTTTCAGCAGTTCTCCGACCACTAGGACGCGATCACAGACCATTGGATCTCAGGATGGCGAATTGTCATCGTCCTTGGCGAAGGAATCATACGTCGCAGGCCACTACAAGCGTCGAAGCCAATTATTTGATATCTCACCTTCGTCGTCCGATAACGAAGATCCACGCACCAAGGCTCTACTCAAAGTACAACGCCGTCGTCAGAGCTCTCGACGCCTCTCCCAGATTAATCTTCTTGAAGGGCCATTCTTCCGGCCATTGGACGTACTCATTTGCGAAGATCATCCTGTTTCGAGATTAGTTATGGAGCGCCTGTTTGAAAAACTTCGTTGTCGAACAATCACGGCTGTAAATGGTGGGGAGGCTATGCGTTATGCCTTGAGTGAAGTCCAATTTGATATTATCATGTCGGAGTTCAAGCTGCCTCAGGTAAATGGGTCAGATCTGGCACGTATGGTGCGAGAAACACGAAGTGCTAACCGGCATACTCCCATCATTGCCCTGACTGGCTATCTGAAAGACCTGCCCGAAACCCATCATTTTGACGCGCTGATTGAAAAACCCCCTACCCTAACCAAACTCACGGAGGCATTGTGCAAGTTTTGCCAGTGGAAGCCTCCGCCCAAGGACTACAATCCTTCCCAGTCGTTGCCAGTGCCTTCTTCCACTAGCCGCCATACTCCCATGCCTACTGAGGATAGTCCAGGCTCAACATCTTCTGGATTCCCTCTTATGCCTTCCAGCTCATACCGGGGGTCCAGCCGCGAAGATTCTATTGGTAGCAGCTATTTTGGAGATATGGATTCCATCAAGAATGAGGAAGTCCCCGTCATTGTTAGCCGCCATACCGATGAATGGGGGAATCAGGACAAAGGCGGACTGGGGATATCGGAAGAGGCAGCTGCAGCTCAGGATACTCCAGATTTCAAATCAGATTCAAATAAAGTTCCCTTCCCGGACCTCCTTCATGCGGCTTCTGCTCCAGCTGCTATGAACATCCCTGAAACTCCCACGCCTCGCAAGCAGCGGTCTACTGAAGCCATCCGAGCGAAACGCGAATCGTTAGAAAAAAAGCGATACGAGTGCGCTGAGTCTGGCGATGACGAGGATGAAGAGCTTGGAAATTCCCAGGGCCGATCAAGCAGTCCGCAGTCCAGGGCTAACAGGCCTGGCTCCAAGCTGGGAATTGAGATGATGAGGACAAATAGTCGGGGCAGCGTTGTCAGTGGTAGCGAAGAATTACTTAAAAAGGAGAGAGAGTCATTGGAACGCGGCAGAAATGTCAATTCTGAAGCTATTGAGGAAAGCGGAGAGGAGTCACCTGAATCTCTTCCCAGTACTGGATTGGAGGATAAATTCAACGATCTCTATATCCCCGAGGAATCCGAGGAATCGGTTGGGGATGAAATCGGTCCGAAAGAGACACCTTCGCCCAATGAGCCGGAATCCAGCGAAATGACCCCTATGATGACTTTTTCAGAATCGCCTTCGCGTTCCCAAACTTATGCTGAAGTCCTTGCGCACACAAGTGACCCAGAGAACAAAGGCCAATCAACCCCTCCAATGGCATCTGCGGACACAGGCGCTCTGAATTCTGAGACGACCGGTCCCAACACACCATCCATGAAGACGACCAAGGATACAGGATTTGGTCCCGACGCCGATATCGACCCAACCCTGGATTCCGAAGCCACGCCTCGGCCTTTACATACACCCTTGCCAAATTTGGATCCTGAGCAGACCCCTCGACCGAGATAGATCGAGGTTTATTTAGATTGGAGTGATAACACTGGCCGTTTTCCTGAATCTGCCTGGTGATATTTACAGACATCTTCGCTCCTTGGTTTACATTCTATGGTACCTTTTTCTTATTGCTTCTAGTTTTGTCATTGTCAGAGTACCCTCACCAGTCTGTCGCATTTTCATTTCATTTATCTCCCATCTTTTTTTCAAGCTATTCTGAGCGGGTGTTCGGGCTTTTATTTCATCTCCGTTTCAATCTTGGGTGTAATCACATGTTTACATTCATCGAATTGTTCGGCTTTTTTCTTCTATTCTCTTCTTTATCCATTTTTTTTTTTATCAGATCGTCTATCACTGATGTCCATTCTTGCGTTTCTTTTGTGTTTCGTTTCTCTTTTCTCTTTTCTGTTTCAAAATTGTGTATCTACGAGACTTGAAATTTTCAACAGGCCCAGACAAAAGCAGGATAAAAAAAAAACCTTGAACAACATCAAGAAATATATAAAAGGCAGAAAAAAAAAGGAAAGAAAAAAAAGAAAAACAAGAAAAGGAACCAAAAAAAAGGAGTGATTTCAAACCCGGCCATTTACTGTACATGAACTGGTTCTTTTGCATTAATGAGTAATGAGATGATATGACATGAATAACTTTTTTTTTTTTCTCTTTCTGTATGAATCAATAGTGGTCTGATTAAAATGATATGATATTTGATTTCTTCTAAACAGTATATATATATATATATATATATATATATTCCATCCCAAATCATGTGTCCATGGAACCATATCCATAAATCCAATTTGTAAATAAACGTACCACCAACGTAGAAACATCGCAGAGTGACTCATGAAAACAGGCTAATATGGCATTTTGAAATTGTGTAGATGGGTTGATCATCCTGTCGTATGTGAAAGAAATCATATGAAAAGGGTAGGAAACAAGAGAATATGAAATAGTCTAAAAGTAAAAACAGTCACTCACTGGGTGTGCGCGTGTAGGTATGTAAGACCCGGGAATATGTTCAAAAAAAGAATATGTGGAAGAAATGTGAAATGATTCCCCTTCCCTACAGCCAGGGGGGTAATACTAGGGGGTTGTTGCAGATGTTGTATGATTATTGATGGTGTTGGTGCGCGGAATGCTGATCAACACTCCTGGCGTCACCGGGCGAAACGGCACGGATCTGAGAATTGGAACGCCCTTGTTCCATCATGTCGTCCTGCTCACGACTGGCGTTGCTGCGATGACGGAAGAAGCGATTTCGGCCGATGGAGGAGATACTGTTGGCGCCCTGGGATTCCACGGATCGACGGCCAATTGCGTCGTTGGAGGGGACGCTGAGGTTGGTATTGTTGGAGTGGCGGCGGTTACGGGACGATGTGCGGCTCCTGCGTTCTTCTTCTTCCTCCTCCTCTACTTTTTGGATGCGACGTTCAGCAGCTTCACGGTTGGTTTGGCGGACGACTTCATCGATACGGTTACCGCGGTCTTCGAAGACATCGCCCATCACGTCGGCTGAGGAGACGTCGCGCATGCCAAGAGAGAAGTCGACGTGTTTACGGGAGGCGACTGAGTCGCCGCGAGCGCGGGCAGCAGCGGTGTTCATGCCCTTGCGAAGGATGGAGGGGTGACGCATGGCGCTGTTTGTGTTGGCGCTCTCGGGAAGGGAGGTGGTGACGCTCCTATCACCGCTGGACTGGGGCCTGTCCTCGCCGCTGCTACCGGGGGGCACGATGGGTTGGGTAGGCATGGCGTTACCACCAGCGCCGTGCCAGTTGACATGGAAGGGAATGTCGACACCGGCACCCTGGAGGTTCATGCGTGGTCCCTCGATGCCGATCTCCTGCAGGGCGATCATAAGCATGCAGATGAACTTGTTGCGGCGTTGAAGACGCAGGCCTTCGTTCTGCCAGTTGGATTTGTAGAAGAAGACAACGTTGAGCGTGATGGAGAAGTTATCGGTAACAGCGCGCAATTCAGTGAGGATGTTAGTCTGGAATTCTCGCTGTTCACTGCGGACAAACTCGAGCAGGCGTTGCCGAAGGGCGTCGATCTGATCGAGTGTGGTGCCGTACTTGATGACGATGGGAACAGCCTCAGCCAAGGCACCTGAACGGCGCTGGTTGAGAATGAATAGTCCATTCAGGTAAGTGTTGGGGGCTTGGACAACGTGGCCTTGCATCTTCTTGAACTCAGTGTAGAGCAAGGAGATCTGTTTGACGAAATAGTCATCACCCAGACCAGCATCACCCGAGTTACCGTAGACGGTGACACGGTCCCCAACGTCGAAAGGGTGTTTGACGAAGACGAAGATGACTGACTGGAGAAACTCCTGCGCAGTGGCGGAGAAAAGCCAGGACAGGGCGAGGACACTGGAGCCCGCAGAGGTGAGCACACCGGCGGCCGAGGTCGAGATCAAAGACAAGAAAACAATCAAAGAAATGACGATGACGAAGAATTCCAGGACATTGTCCAGGCGACCAACGACCGAGTCGAGATCCTTCAGCGAGGCGGTGATGGACTTGCGTTCACGACCGATTTCTACACAAACAGCCTCAAGCTCCTCCATAGAGATGTCTCCGTTCATGTCCTTATCGAACATGACAAAGGCGGCGTCGGCCTCATCGTTGTTGTCAAAAGCTTCCTTCAAGTCACCCGAGAAGACGGTGTCAAACCCATCCCGCACAAAGGTACGGTAAAGACGGCGAGCCAGGACCTGGCAGCCACTTGTGGTTCGCAGGAGAGTCAGAACAACGGAATAGGGGTGACTGCTGTTGGTTGCTTTGCGGCCAGTAAAATCAGCGGCGACAGCCCCAGCTACATCGCCGACCTTGTTCAAAGCTCCCTTGGCTACACGTCCAGCACCCTTAGCATAGCGCAGCGGAGTCTTAGCACCAGTGCCAGAGGCCTCCCCTTTCTCTTCGAACTCGTCATCGGCAGCTTCGATCTTAGCCTTGGAGAAATCGTACAGCTTGACCAAGCTTCCAATCTGGAACTTGTTGATCTCGATGCGATCGGCGTATGTGCGCAGGTGGAAGCTGATAGCGATGAGCTGTATAATGAACTTTTCGATGAGGTTCAGAATGGTCCAGACAAAGATAGAGATGATGATCTTGTTGACTGTGTTCTCCCAGCTTCTGGTGGCCTTATCGCCATCAACGTGGTGGTTTTTCATGGTTGGCAGGAAGGAGATTTCCACTCCCAACCACCAAAAGAAGATAGTTCCATGAAGCTCGAGCTGTTTCGCCAAGTCGCGCCATTTCTTTCCATTGTTGGTGAAAATGCTGGCAAGAACGCCTACAGGGACAGGGATACACTTGGAGACGATCTAGTGCAAATGTTAGCGATGTCTCATTATCCAGTAAGTTGGTGCTGACATACCCTTCCTGCCCAAAGAGTCAACCAAACGATTTCCAACCAGACGGAGAACCATAGCAGTTTGACCCCCCCAACGCTTGCGTCGGGGAAAGCCAGAGCACCAACGAGAAGAGGGATCAACAGGAGGATAACGACGGGTATGATGTAAGTAGCATAGCGAACGATGAAGCTGGAGTTGTGTAGCTTCTTGATGAACTTGGCGAGCTTGGTGTTGGGGTTCTCCGGGGGGTTATACACGGCGGCCTTCTCGTGCAATGGGTTGGTGGCCTCATCGAATTCATCGACAGGCTGAGATCGATGAGAGCGCGTACGACTGATGGAGTGACTCTCTTCCCCTTGAGTCTCACGATCGTCATGGGTCGACTTGGAGGCGACACGCTCGGCCTCGAGCAAGGCTAGGTCATCTTCGAGACGCATGGCCTGCTCTCGGGCGGCCGAGGGAGAGCGGAGACCACCAATGTCATCGTCTGCGTACGAGGTATCTACCTTGAGATGGTCGGTCAGATTGTCTCTGGAGCCTTCATGGACGTAAGTGCCATCGTCCGAAGTGGGGGAGACATCGTTGCCCTCTTTTTCCTTCTTCTTCTCTTCGGGGTAATGGGGAGCTTTGGTTTCGTCCACGGGGGTCGACATGGCACCAGGCCAATTATGAAAAGATGTTGTGCTAAAGGATGTTAGTAAGAAGCAAGATAAAAGAATGATGATGAAAAAGGAAGAAAAGAAGAAGAAGAAAACTGGGAATTGGAAAACTGATTGGAAGCAAGAAAGACCGAGACCGAAGAGAGACATACCAAGACTAGAGACGAAACTAAAGAACAGTAGTGGGGAGGATCGGGCCTTTTTTTTCTGTGGCTAACGATCTAGATGGGGAAAAAGCCGCTGGAGAGAACGAGAGAAGGGAATCACAGCAGGCCAAAGAAGGAAACAAAAGGAATTGAAGGAGACGATGAAGACGACAAGAAAAGAAGATCGCAAGAGAAGAGGAAAAAGAAACGCAATCGAAGCCAGATAAGGACCAAGATGAAGAAAGAAGATTAATTAATTAAGAGAGCCGGATGGCAAATGCAGAGACGCCGATCGCACGGGTCGGCTTGGCCGTATGGGTCAAGTACGGCGTAATTTATGGGTCCGAGCAGAGATTTCTGGTCCAGACCGTTGGGATACGAAGATAAAGATGAGGTTATTTATAAACATAATGGAGCTGAGGGTTTAAATTGACGGATGTTGATGAAGACATGTGGTTTTGAGCATCTACATACATAGTAGTTAGTACCTTATGAGGTAGCAGATCTCTCCAGCTCTACGCATGTCATCTAAAATGATACCTCTATTTTGCACGAGCCAATCAGAGGCCGGGGGGGGATCCTTGCTTGCTCGCCACTGAAACAAAACAAATGAAAGATCGATCGTGCAATGCGATTGGAGGATCTGATTGGCAGTACTGGCAGGGGCTGTCACGTGAAGCCAGGTGACCCAGTCCATCCTTACCACCTACCTAAGTCGTACTACGCTGCCTTGCCTCTATCTTGAAGTGTTAGTAGTGTACCAGATGCAGTGGCGGATAGACGAGCATAAGGAAATTATGATTTTCTCCGCTGCAGATATTCATCTGCAGACATCCGTTGCAAAAGAAAACAGTCGAGTCTTGACATCATTTGTCGAGTGGGTTGACGTGTTGGCCCCGCTTGGATGCGAATTATCCATGCTGAGAATATATTAACATCGATTCGGCTGCCACAATGGAATCGTGCCAATAATAGACTCGCTACTCGTTTCTTTCCATGGTTTGTCCATCGCAAGGACCTGGACTCCCTTACGGATACTACCCAAGTCAGTCCAAGGGATGTGTCATCTACCCCCCCCCCCCCACATTCCACAGCCGTAAAAGCACGTGGTAGATGGATTGTAAACAGGTCCATCTTTACTCTGTAAATAACTTCATCAAAAACAATGTCGACTCCATCGAGATTCCATATCAGATATCACATTTGGATTCCCAATAATGAGATCAATGATCCGCACAAGACGGTCAGGGGCGGCAGAACGGACCCTGATTGGCTGCTTAATCATCCATGCTCCTAGTAAGAGTCGTCCAACTCACCCAGCGTCCATCTTCTTTCTCTTCTTCTCTTCTTCCTCCAACGTCGCCTTTGCTGGCTTTTTTTCTCTCTCCGCCACCGCTGGAATAGCTGCCAGTGTTCTCTATCTCTACATATTCTCTAATTAATTTTCCCGTTTCTTCATCCACAATGAGAGGCGAGGTATGTGCTTCTGCCCGTTTATTTACCTTGCCCCGTCCCCGCATTCTGTCCCCCTCTCCCCTGAACCAAACATCCAAGAACCCATCTAATTGATCCTCCTGATGAGGATTCGATTGTCAAGTTCGTCTACTAACGCATTTTTCAACTTAGATCTGCCATCTTCACATCGGCCAGGCTGGTACCCAGCTGGGTAACAGTGCTTGGGAGCTGTATGTCCTTCACCGCTTTTTGACCCCAATCCCGCCTCTCCAAAAATCAATCAACATTGCCTAACCACACTCGTCTCTACTCATTTAGTTACATGCTCGAACATGGTCTGAAGGCTGACGGTCGTGTCGACCCCGATGCTAATGATCTCGCTGAGGGTGGCTCTCACGACACCTTCTTCTCCGAGACCAGCAGCGGCAAATATGTTCCCCGCTCCATCTTTGTCGACCTCGACCCATCGGTGCGTATTTCAAGCCGATCAATTCGATGCACGAGAATGAATATCGAGCTGACTGTTCCAAGCCCATTGACCAAATCCGCACTGGCGCCAACCGCCAGCTCTTCCACCCCGAACTCTTGGTGAGCGGAAAGGAGGATGCCGCCAACAACTGTATGACCATTTACCAAAGGGAAACAAAAAAACACAAAGGAAGCAGGGCTGATCCATGCTAGATGCTCGTGGCCACTACACCATCGGAAAGGAGCTCGTCGACGATGTCATTGACCGCATTCGCCGTGTTGCCGGTAAGATGTCAAAACAGACACCACCAGTTCCCCACACTAATTCTCCATAGACAACTGCTCGTCCTTGCAGGGTTTCTTGATCTTCCACTCGTTCGGTGGTGGTACTGGCTCCGGTTTCGGTGCGTTGCTGCTCGAGCGTCTTTCCACCGAATATGGTAAGAAGTCTAAGCTGGAGTTTGCCGTCTACCCATCCCCTCGTGTCTCGACTGCCGTTGTCGAGCCCTACAACGCCGTCCTGTCCACCCACAGCACCATTGAGAACGCGGACTGTACCTTCTTGGTCGATAATGAGGCAGTCTATGACATTTGCCGCCGCAACTTGGACATCCCTCGTCCTAGCTACGAGCACCTCAACCACTTGATTGCCCAGGTTGTCAGCTCCATCACCTCTAGTCTTCGTTTCGATGGTGTCCTCAACGTCGACCTGAACGAGTTCCAGACCAACCTGGTGCCATTCCCTCGTATTCACTACCCTCTGATCTCCTACGCCCCTGTTGTTTCCAGCAAGCGCAGCTCTCACGAGAGCTTTAAGGTCCAGGACTTGACCTTCCAGTGTATGTGACCCGATATTATCTCTGAAATTCTTACACGGTTGTGCTGGGTGACTGACCTTCTCCACAGGCTTCGAGCCTAACAACCAGATGGTCGTCTGCGACCCCCGCAATGGCAAGTACATGGCTGTCGCTTTGCTGTACCGTGGTGACGTCGTGCCCCGCGACTGCACCCAGGCCGTGGCTTCCGTCAAGGCCAAGGCCTCTTTCAACCTTGTCGAATGGTGCCCGACTGGTTTCAAGCTCGGAATCAACTACCAGAAGCCCATGCGCGTCCCCGACAGCGAGCTCGCCCCTGTCGACCGCTCCGTCAGCATGCTGTCCAACACCACCGCCATCTCCGAGGCATGGAGCCGTCTTGACCACAAGTTCGACCTCATGTACTCCAAGCGCGCTTTCGTTCACTGGTATGTCGGTGAAGGTATGGAGGAGGGTGAGTTCTCTGAGGCTCGTGAGGACTTGGCCGCTTTGGAGAAGGACTACGAAGAAGTCGCCGGCGACAGCATGGATCAGGAGCTTGAGGAGGAGGTCGAGTACTAATCTGTGGCCGCCTCTCCTATGCTGGCTGATTCTTTCGTGTCTTGTTTCCATTGTCAAATATGAATATATCCTGCCCTTTTGCTTGCGACACCCCCTGCTGTTCTAGCGCTGCTTGACTTTGAGTCTCCAAACCAAATTAAGACTCGGCACATATCAGAGTAAGAGATGAATACAAATGAATCGAACTTTAGACTTGTTTCCCAAGATCAAGCGATATGTTACATATTATAATTTGATGTACTTGAGCAGTACACTAGCTAGACACCAACCTCCATTTCCCTCAGCACCTTCAATGACCGCTCATACGTCCACATGGTCACCGCACTGGCAGGTGCAGCTTTGACTAGACTGACAACTAATCCTCGATACAGCCCTCGGACACCCTGGGTCCGCAGAATCATCGAAATGGTGTTGAATACACCACGGTACTCAGGGATATTCCGATGCACGTAGAGGTGACGCGTCGGGCCCTGCACCTGCAACCTCTTGCGAACCAGATCCAACGGGAACACACCCGTCTTGGCCAAAACACTCGCGATAACTCCGGAAACCGCATCTCCGGATCCAAACGGCAGATTCTCATACCCAGACAACGCCGGCCGCAACGTCTCGTACGTCGCAAAGAACATCCCCATATATGGTACGATCTGGCCCACGGCTGCAGAACAGCCACGGAAGAACCCTGCAGCGCCTTCATTGTGTGCGATGTCCCGTACGGACGAGAAGAGAGATTTGTAGATACGCTCGGGGCCCTGGGCGGCGAAACGCGTTCGTAGAAGATCGAGTGGGTATGTTGCAGCGGTTGCTAGGCCGCCTGCGACGGCGCCGGAGACGAAGGATTCAAGGGGGGGAGGGAGACGGTGAGGGCCGAGTTGGGAGAGAGCTTGCGTTGTGCTGCGGTAGGCGGTAAATTGGACGGCGCCATAGCAGACGTACATGAGTTCGGCGGGAACGTTGCCTTTCCAGAGGCCCTGATGAAGACATTCGCGTTAATTACTGCATTGAACTCCATTGTAGCATTGTCAATGTTGATATTTTAAACCGTACCGTCACTCCCTCTTCTTTTAGGATGGCCCGCATCGTGGATAATGTCCCCTTGTAGATTGGCCCATTGACGCCATGGTGAGAGATTGGGTCGGTCAACGAATGAATCTGAAGCTGAAGTCGGATCTTGACAACATCGAGGGGTGCGACGCAGAATCTATCGTATCGATTTCATTAGCATGGTATCTCTCCATCTGTCGGTAAATCATTCAAACCCTACCGTGAGACAAGACCGGCAATGCCGCCTGCCAGGACAACCTGACGCCGTGTGCCCTGGGGTAATCAGATTAGTCAAGAAGCTAATTGGAAGCTGGGATAAGACGATCTCTACCTCATCCTTGAGGTGTTCCCCCCCGGCCGACATACATGTGATTGTATGGGGTTGGTATTAAATTTTCATTCAAGAGCGAAAATGGCGATTCCACCTCGCGCTCATCGAGGTAGATGATGATGATTCAGTCAGGCAAAAGGATAGATGGAATTGATGACTGGATCATTGAACGAAAAAAGAAAAATCCGAGATGAGTGATCAAAATGTTGGGAAATATGGGGTAGCTGTGGGTAGCGACAGAAAGCCCATGCTTGTGCGTGGGCTTTAGATTCCGACGCGTGGTTTTTCCGCGTGGAAATCCTGAATTGACTGACTATACCCGGTTTGCCCTAGGGCCTACATGCATAGCCTTGTGGATTTCTATCTGACGTCTCCTTATTTATTCCAAGGCATAAGATAGTAAAAGCTCTTTTGCATCATATCCCCTGGAACACTTTCAATTGTTTTATTCTTAAAATACCTCGAATCAAGATAGAACTCCGAGAAGATCTATTAGAACAGCTTTGTTTAGCAGCCCGATAGTAAAACGAAAGTGCTTCTTCAGATTCAACATCCGTTTGCAGTACAGAAATAAACAACATTATTCAACACTGAATACGGCGATCTGATTGGTTGAATGAGAATAGCATCGGGATATTTTGTCAGGTCACCTCAGATCTCTACCTGGTAGTTGAACCGTTTCCTTCACTCTTCAGAGGCGGCTTTTCCCTCTGAAGGATCGGAAGAACTGTCGTTCACCTAGAACCACTTCCATTGACGAAGTCAAACAGCCTATCTGGGCTCCACATAGTTTGTCTGTGTCTGTTTACTAAGGTGGTGCTATATATTTACATTTGACTGTTTTTCCGACAACGTAGGATAGTCTCGTCTTTTTCGGCAACAATTGCAATGAACACTCTAAGACCGCCCATTTCTCATTTGCCTGCTTTGTTTCGCAAGAAACCCTTTACCATGCCTTCTCCTGGGCCACCTTTGCCGCCTGGCATACTCGTTGATGAAGAGATCTCGCCAATATACGATTCCAAGTACTTCTACCCAGCGAGGCCTGGAGAGGTACTCGCCGATCGTTACCAAACCCTGGTCAAGGTTGGCTGGGGCGTGTCGTCAACAGTATGGCTCGCGCGTGATTTGCAAGGGTAGCTTTCAATGATTTCTGTTCAATTCAAAGTTATCTCTGTCTCTAACAAAGATAAAGGCATATCGAAGAACCAGAGAGTGTTGTGGCACTGAAAATCGCCAATAACAATGCGAGCTCCGCTGGTCATGAGCGCGAGGTTAAAGAGCACATTTCCACGGCAAATCCATCACATCATGGTCACTCACTGGTCCGAACATTACTAGACTCTTTTAAAGTTAAAATTTAGGAGGTTCATATTCATGTCTTGTATACCCGCCTATGAGGAAGCCATTATCAATATATCAGTGGCGTTTTAGCAATAGAAAAGTGCCACTGCCACTCATTAAAGCATACATTCATGCTCTTCTTACCAGGTTTGATTATCTTCACAAAGAATGCAGGATAGCTCATACGGGTAAGTCTATCTTCGGCCTTGATTCCTGTCACTGATCCTGATCCCATGCGGCTGCCTAGATATAAAGCTTGAGAACATCACAGTCTCATTCAAGGATCCAACAGTGCTTGCTGATTTCATGGATTCTCAGCTTGAAAAGCCAATGGCTTTCAAGATTGATTTAACAGGACAACCAGTGTATCAGTCCCATAATGACTTCAGGCCACTCAAAAGCTTGAGAAGTATACCACAACTTATCAACTTTAGTTTAGCAACTAGACTCAAGGAAGACAACGACTGGAGCGTCTAGCCCATTCAGCCAGACCACTATCAGGCGCCAGAGGTGATACTGGGTAATGGATAGCAAATGCCTGCGGATATTTAGAATCTTAGTGTTCTGGTGCGTTCCTTTCTTCTTCTAAGTTATTGCATCCACTAATGTCAGATCAGTTATAGGACATGATCAAAGGCAAAGAGCTATTTCGGCATATCCATGATCAACAAGGTCACTACAATGCTAAACTACACATCGCTGAAATGATAGCCTTATTCAGTCCACCCGTTCCAGAAGTATTACAAAGGTATCAATACATGCAAGAGTACTCATGGCCGGAACCTGTCAGGCAAGAAGACAACAGAGTATACAAGACCGCGGAGGAGTATTTCTGTGGGCCATTCTTTAACAATAATGGTATTTGGGTTTCCAATCTCAAACAAATTATTTTCAGACTCACAAAACATCTTAGGTGGATTTCTCTACAAAGATCTGATCCCTGACTGGAAACTAGGCGACACAATTGACTTCCTTAAGGGAGAGGACAGGGAAGCATTTCTGGATCTCACCAAGGGAATGCTTGTCTGGCATCCAAATGCAAGAAAAACAGCAGGCGAGCTGGCAGAGCACCCTTTTCTTCAACCAAAGCCAACAAGCGCCTGATTGCTACGAGCGTTTGCTAGCGGAATGGCTCGAAATAGTGGTTGATCCCAGTTCGGCGATGACAGATGACCGGTTGAAGCGTTAAACGTAGTTGTCTTTTTTGAATGACATCTCGTAGTTGATCTGTCTTTGATCGGATTGGTTGGATCTCCAATAACGTAATGAAATCGGGGAAAACAAAAGCCGTTGTCATCTGTACCGTACCGTACAGAATCACCCGATACTAGCGGTAACCGGAGCTTCGGCCTCGGCCTTGAGGCCTTAGCTTAGCTTCTCCTCAAATTCATCCTCCGTCCTCCATCGCATTCCTTCGTTTATCGCTGCCATTGATCCACCATGGCTCACCCACTGCCTGCTCTATTACGATCCTCTCGGAGGGTCGTAGTGCCTTCTTCCATCCCGTTCTCTCTTCGCAGCTACTCAGCTACTCCTACCGGCAAAGATCAAGCCCAAGCCGCGGCCCAAGTCAACACCAAACCTCCTATTAGAACCGTCCACAAGCAAGATCCTAGGACTGGGCCATCACGTCGCCCCGCGAGCAAATCTATACTTCGGGATGTTCCCAAGCTAGAAGAACCTCTCCCCGCGGGTCTTGAAGTCACCAAAACAGCACTGCTTCATGAAAGCAGTCGCGGTAAAAAGCCCTCCTTGTATTTCAGTCTGCGAGACGCCTGCAAATGCCCCAAATGCGTGGATCCGCATTCGAAGCAACGTAACTTCCGGACAACTGACATCCATCCTTTTGTCGCACCCCGGAACATCAGACGGAATGGCCAGCAAATCGAGATTAAATGGACCAACGATATCAAAGGCTACGATGAATCTCACACATCTGTTTACAACCTGGAAGAATTACAGTGGCCTAACCGTTTCGTCAGCGACAACACCGGCACAATGAGACTGCGAAAGCGATGGAATGCTTATGAGATGAGCAAATACCAGCATTGGATCTCGTACGATGATTACATGAATGATGAGGCCAAGCTCTCCTCCGCTATGCGCTCTCTGGCAGCCATGGGGATGATTTTCGTCAAGGATATTCCTGATTCCCGTGAGATGGTCGAGAAGATCGCAACTAGGATGGGTCCTCTACGCAACACTTTCTACGGGCCGACGTGGGATGTCCGCACAGTCCCCGAGGCCAAAAATGTTGCTTACACGAGCCAATTCTTGGACTTTCATATGGACTTGATGTACATGAACGAGCCACCGGGATTTCAGCTGTTGCACTGCCTGGAAAACTCTTGCGATGGGGGCGAGTCTCTATTTGTGGACACCGTCAACGCCGCCGAAGATATGCAAACGTTTGCGCCAGACCACTTCAAGACACTGACCGAATTCAATTTGAGCTATGAGTATGTGCACGACAACAGCGTCTATTACAACAGCTGGCCTGTTTTTGAAGTCGCTCGTTCGCGACATGACAACACGCAGCAAGTTCGTCATGTCAATTATTCGCCTCCTTTCCAGTCCAACATGCTTGGCAAGCGCCGGTCCTACGAAGCACTGGAGAGAGGCCGCAGGGCACTATGCCATTTCGAAAACATTCTCCAGGATAAGGAGAACATTTTTGAGCTGAAGCTCAAGCCTGGTGAATGTGTTATTTTCGAAAACCGCCGGGTTGCTCACGCCCGTCGTCATTTCAACACCAATTCCGGTAAACGTTGGCTTGCGGGTGCATATGTCGACGAGGATGCCTTGATTTCTCGGTTCCGGGTGTCTCGTAATAACCACCCCGATCCCTGGAACAAACGAATTCGGTATACTGAACCCCATGGGTCTCAAACTGAACAAGGAAAGGACGAATTGAAGACAGAGCAGCAGGGAACGCAGGTGCCAGACAGCCAGGCGTAGAGATATCAGGTTGAGAATTGTTATTGTGACCACAGCGACGCTTTGCCGTGTATCCAACATTTGTCCTCGTCTTTACAAGCATATACTACAGTAGATGTGCTGGTGTATATTTTATCCAAATATTGTTGGGAAGCGTTTGCATCGAATGTAATTCCAAACTTCCTTTACATTTGAGTGCCTATTCAGTCACACTTGATAAAAATGGATAAATAGAAAAACCGCTGGAAATAAGACATGAACTTGAAGATGACGAGAGATCACGAGCAGAAGTCAATCCCCATCGCTCCTTTAAAAAAATCTAGAAAGAAAAGAAATCAATGGAAAACAAAATCGGATGCATGCCCTGACACCCGTACATTATTTTTTAATGATGCACTATTTCAAGCAGCAGCGGCGGGTCTGCTGACAGAAAATTCAGCAAGGAAGTTCGGGTCACTGCTGAGTTCCTCCTTGACCTGTAGTAGAATCAATTGGTTAGCATTCCATGAGAAACGAGAGAATAGAATTCATGAGAAACACGTACAATATCCAAACCACCGACCAGCTCTCCCTTCACCCACAATTGCGGGAAAGTTGGCCAGTCTGCGAATTCCTTCAAACCCTGTCTCACATCCTCATCGGCCAAGATGTTGAAGAATCCGTACTTGACGCTGTTCTCACGCAAGATCCCCACCAACTGCCGACTGAAGCCACACTGAGGCCCACTCGGGGTTCCCTTCATGAAGAGCATCACCGGCGCAGCCTTGACCAATTCCGCCAGACGAGCAAACAGGGCCTCCTTCGACTGCTCGGGGGTCAACGTCGACCCACCAATAGTACCGTTCGCGTTCACTGGAGGCTGAGTAGCTGTCGTCGGGGCGTTTTCTCTCGGGGTAGCAGTCAATGGTGGAGGGATGTTGGCCTTTGCGCCATCCGCGCCGGGTCCGCGGCCAGCGTGCCGTTCCACAGCGTCCCGCACCTTGGTGGCATCACTGCCACTGACCGACTCCAGGACTCTGCCTTCCCGGATGATGACGACGAATGGAACAGCGGTAACATCATAGTCCTCGGAGATGTCGGGGAGTTCCTCTGCGTTGATGCTCACAAAAGAGATGGCGGGCGGGGTAGTGACGGGGTATTGGGATGCGAGAGTGGAGAGGACAGTGCGCATGTGCGTGCAAGGAGCAGCCCAGGGAGTGTGGAAGTAGAGCACGAGCAAGGACGAGGAAGGGAGGGCGACGAGGTGCGACGAGAACTCCTGCTCGGAGGTGGCTTCGATGAGGCTCGACATGGTGGGTTAATTGACTGATTGATTATGGTGGGGGGTGGGCGGCAGGCGGGGTGATGGAGCGTGAGTGCCTTATTTGAAAGAGACAGGGAGAAAGAAATAGTTATATAAAGGAATAATCGCTACAATCAGCTAGACAGGTCAAGAAAAAGTAATGTCCGCGATATCGCAATTGTAGAGTCTCCAGAAGCCGGAAAAAAGGACGAGATGGTGGAAGGATGAGAGGAAGAAGAGAAGGCGAATTTTGATCTGATAACTCGTACCGTAATATTACGGGCCGACTCCGAAGTGACGCCATCGATGAGTCAGCATCGGTCCTCCCATCTTGTCGTTGAACACACCCCTTTGTACACATAATATCATTGCTAAATCAAAATGGGTGAATCAGATACCTATTTTGTACTCCTGTATCCATAGTTAAGTGTTCTTGAATAAAGGAATGTGTCTATCAAGACAGAAAAGACGGAGAGATCTGATATGGTCAGTATCACGTGACCCGTAAATAAAAGTCCTCCGACTCCGCCAACCACCGGAAACAAAGACCAGCAGCTATCATTCTCGCCGAATTCTACTGGAACCGCCATCGGAAGATCGAAGGAACGAAGATATCGCCTAATTCGACTCGAATCCTACGACTTTCACGGAAACCCTCCCGCATCGGCTTGTGATGGCCACCACCAGCCCTGACATGGCTGGGACGAAAAAGCGAAAGCGCGCGGAGGCCGGATATTTGGAGGACGATGACCCTGTGAAGCCGGATTCCGCTCCGGGAAATGGCTTTGGAGTCGCTCAGACATTGTCTCGTCTCCAGAATGCCGATGCGCCTGCAGCAGGCGAACCTAGCAAGTCGACACAGGTCCAGGGCGACACAACGGACAACAGAGCGAAGAAGAAGAAACGGTTAGATGGCGAGAAGATTAAATATCCAGTTCTTACCTATGTCGAAGGTAGGTTACAGTCGTCCATTCGCATTGCAGATCTCCAAGGCCTGCTGCTCTATTGCTTCGCAGATGGGATCGCTCCGCAGTGGATATCAGTGAAGCATTCGGGCCATGTTCGCAAAGTTGTTGTTTTGATGGTCCCAGGTTTGGAAATGGGCATGTTCGATGGCACAATTCCGCTGGAGGAAAACCCGCTCAGTGAAGAACAGAAGGCTGGTCTTACGGGCCCCGATAGTGACAAAGGCAGGGAAGACGAGCAAGATGCCAAAGCGGCGGACTTTGAGAGATGGAAGCAAGGACTTCCTCTCGAAGATAGATCACATCGTTTCAACCCTCGCCCTCTTTCGCGCGAGACTCTCCCCAATCCATTGGAGCCACTGGCAGACATATTCCCTCACATTTGGCCTGTTAAGGCCCCAGGAGACTCGAAATATAATAAAGTCCATTCTCCTCTTCAGGCAATTCTACTCTCGGCGCTACCAAAGTCCAAGGATAACGAAGGCCAAAAGGGTCCTAAACGAGCAAAGGTAGACAAGAGCTTTGTCGCCAAACGAACTCCGATTACGACCTTCATCACCTCCGTCGATGACCTTCGCGATAACGAGTACGTCTTACATCCGGCCTTTTTCAACACCGAACAGGAGAAACTGGTACATTCGGAGAACCGTAAACGAGCCGGTCAGTCTGCTGAAGATGGTTGGGTTGACACTCTTGTCCCGAACCTGGACGCTGGCCAAGTGCCTGAAGCCGAGATTCAACAAGGTAGCATTACAGCAGCCCGCAACGTGTTGGCGCTCGACTGCGAGATGTGCATTACGGAAGGAGGTCAATCGGAGCTTACCCGCATCAGCTTGGTCGGCTGGGACGGCGAGATGGTGCTGGATGAACTGGTGAAGCCTCAGAAGCCGATTATCGACTACCTAACTCGTTTCTCCGGCATCACCAAGGAAAAATTGGATCCGGTGACAACGACACTTGCTGATATCCAGCAAAAGCTCCTTACTATTTTAACTCCGCGTACGGTGCTGATCGGCCACTCCCTTAACTCTGATTTTAACGCCCTCAAACTTACCCATCCTTTCATCATTGATACCACCGTTATCTACCCGCATCCGCGCGGACCGCCACTCAAGTGCAGCCTGAAATGGCTTTGCCAAAAGTATTTAGGGAAAGAGATCCAAAAGGGGATGACAGGTCACGATTCCATCGAGGACTCACGTGCTGTGCTGGAACTTGTGAAGCTGAAATGTGAAAAGGGAGAGAGCTGGGGCACCAGCGAAGCTTCGAATGAAAGCATCTTCCGCCGTCTCGCTCGCTCCCAACGATCAGGAAAATCGACACCAACTGGTCAGGGTCGAACAGGGGCCGTTGTTGACTGGGGCAATCCCGAGCGCGGATTCGGATCGCAGGCGACCGTCGCGATTGGGTGCAGTGACGATGAGGGCATCGTCAAGGGCATTTCCTCGGTTGTGAACGGCGACGAGAACAATGCTTCTATTCCGGGGGGCGGTGTAGACTTCACTTGGGCACGGATGCGAGAACTCGAAGCCCTTCGAGGCTGGTGCAACCGTCTCCCGGATCCAAACAAAGCCAACGAGTCAACCAGCTTGAATCCTCCCCCTGAAGAAACCACGCCAACATCCTCCGAGGCTACCCCAGGCACTGGCACCTCCCAGGAAGATCTCTCAAATACGGTGTCGCGCACCGTATCTAACATTTCCAGAATCTACGAATCCCTTCCACCCTGTACTCTGTTCGTGGTTTACTCGGGAACTGGTGACCCGCGAGAGGTTGGCCGCTTACAGGGAATGCACAAGACATACCGGGAAGAGTTCCAATCACGCAAACCATGGGATGAGCTAACCGTAAAGTGGACGGACACAGAGGAACAAGCCTTGAAGAAGGCATGCGAGAGGGCCCGGGAGGGCTGTGGATTCATGTGTGTGAAATGATTCTATATGACCTGGCCATATAAAGTTGATAGACTTCAGAATTGTATGACTTGAAATAGGGACGGAAATGTTATACAGCGATTGGGATATTGACATTGGGGAAAAGAAATGTCTAGATCAATTTCGTGTATGAAGAATACTTCTGTACAAAAAGCCTCATGGCGAAGCAAACCCAAATAGATAAATAATACATTGGTAGAATGAAAAATTCATCGAGACTCCTCTGTTTCCATGGCTTCTTCCCGCTGCATGGCCAGTCGGGCCATGGTATCCCGCGCGGCTACCTGTGCCTTGCGCTTCTTATGGATTTCATGGTTTTCCTCGTGTTCTTGGACGCCGTTAGTGGTTGGTGGGGGAATTTCTTTTCCCGATGATGGCTTTTGGTCTGTTTCGATATCGCCATTATTATTCGTATGCGCCTGCCCGTTACCATTACTCTGCTCCCCCTGTGGCGAATCTGGTTTTGTAGGATTACCTCCTACATCAGACTGTCGGGTTATTCGACTGGATGGTGGTCGGGATCGACTGCGTATACTCCTCGAGCGGGTTGGTCGAATCCCTTTTTGGTGATGTTCGCTCGGGCTTGTATTTAGTGCGGGGTTCTCCTTCTGGTTACTCCCGTTGGTATTCGCGTTTTGCTCGCTCAATGGTGTCGCTTTAGGTGTTTGTGGAATTTCCGGCTTTGGACCCTGGGAGAATGACTTCCTTGGTCGTCCTGCCTTTTTTTTCTCCGTTCCTGTGCTGGATGGAGGTTTGTCCGTCGGCTGCTGTGTGAGACGCGGCCGTTTGACGATGGGCTGCTGTTGTGGACTCGACTGAGAATCACGTATTGTATCTGCCATATTCTCAGTATATGGAGACTGCTGCCGCGATTGACTGACTTCGAGACGAAACCTTGATGACCCTGGCGTTGTCTGGTCTTGCGGCGTATTGGTCAGGGATGGCATAGTTTCATGGTCCTTTAATGGAATTTTCACCGACTGCGGATCGGCCAAAGACATGTTCTCAAAGATATCCTCGTCATCCTCAAAAGAGTCGGCAATTTGGTGCGTGCGACCACTGGGAAATGAGTCTGGCCAAGGTCGTTTTCTGCTTCCTTGTAGAAGGCCTGGGCTCTGGACTTGCGGAAGCGTCGTTTCGATGGCCAGCGTCGAGGGGGAACTTTTCGCCGCTTGTTCCTCCATAAACCGGTTCTTCAGCCTCAGTGCCTCCATTTCCAATTTCAATCTTTCGATCTCTTCTGATTTCGCTCGGAGTTCCTTCAAGACTGTTTTGATCATATCGAAATCGTTGCCGTTGGAGATGTCTGTTTCCGAGCTAAAGCGGTTGGGAACATTCAACTCGATCCGAAGGGCCGTGAACGCATGCTTCAGCTCACTCATGGTATCATGTAAATTGCTGACGGAACTCGTGATATGATCGAGGCTCAGGCCTTGGGTTTGAATCTGCTGCGACACAGAAATATTATAACCATCCACCTCCGACGAGCCGGCTGGCACCAGCGCTCCTGGTTGGATAGAGTTTCTGTCTCGTCTCGAGCCGGTCAAGCTGGATTCTTTGGGCGGCGGATGTAGGAGACGTTCGAGCGCCCTTTCGTTGAAAACCGGTTCCACTGTTCTCATGGTGACAATTTCCCTGAAAGCTACTTTGGAGAGTTTCCAAAAGATATTGGGGCTGAGCCCCCCGTTAGCCAACTGCATGCGCACAGAAAGTTCCTGCTTCAATTTTACTCACCCATTGTCCAGCGCACACAAAACTCCTAATTTTTGCTGGCAGAGCTTACACGCGATCTCCTGCAGGATGCGCCCTCGCAGCAAACTCATGTCTGATGTCGGTGGAATCTGCTTTTTCTCCGATGAAATCGATATCCGGTGAAGGTCAACACTCAGCCATTCTGTAGCGATGGAATAGGAGTTGGAGACTTTGGCCCATTCGTTTTCGAGCGCGGCCAGCGAACTCGAGCAACGAGAACACTGGCACAGGATGGCCGGGCGAGTGAGCCTGGAAAGATCCATCATGAAGAGGGTATTCTAGGAAACCCACAACATGAAGTTCTTTACTGGCGCGCCACCTGGCCGTTCGGAGCAGGATTTGGTGATGTGGGATGAAGTCGACGCCGCTGAACAAGAATTCTGGTGGTTGAAGGTGTCGGATGCTTGCCGAGAAATCCAAAGGAATCTCGACTGCGCGCTGGCGGGTCGCGCCATTCCCGATGCGGAAACGGTTTCATCATAGCCGTGGGCGGTACTGTCAGGCGGTAATACTGTGACGGACAATACGCCAGGGTCTGTAAAAAACGAGCGATCCCCGCATGGCCGTTTGGGTCACGTGCTCGACTGCTCCAGCGTAGTAACTAGTAGAAGTTCCCCTCATTCCTGCGGCATCCATTTATCTTATCAATTGGGTGGTAGCCACTTCATGTCACACGCAGCGCGTACTCTTCTTCGTTCTTTGCCATTGTTTCGACTGGCATCACCGGTCAAAAGATTCGGATACGGTCAAAGAATCGCCATGGCAAGCATCTCAACCAGCTCCTCCGGAGCTAATGGAGGTAAACAGACTGCCTGGCACGGTGCTGGCGCTGCTGAATTCGACATGAGGAGTAAGTTTCTGTCTTTTCATCTCTATGCCTGGCCATCACACTGAGGCGCTGCGCGAATTAGGTGACACCATGACCAAACCAACCCCGGCCATGCTTGAAGCAATATGTCAAACCACTCTTCTTGATGACGTCTTTAATGAGGATCCTGTCACAAATTCGCTACAGCAATACGTGGCTGATCGGGCCAAGCACGAGGACGCGTTATTAGTGATGTCAGGCACAATGGGTAACCAGGTCGCGATACGAACCCATTTAGTGCAGCCTCCCTACTCAGTCATCTGCGACCAACGGTCTCACATTATCTGCTACGAAGCTGGAGGAGTCAGTGCCTGGACCGGGGCAATGGTCCAGCCTATTGCTCCCAAAAATGGCACCTATCTTACTTTGGAAGACATTCAAAAGTATGCCGTACTAGATGACGATATCCACCACTGTCCTACGAAGCTTATTAGCTTGGAAAACACCTTGGATGGTATGGTCATGCCTCTTGATGAAGCTCGTCGAATAGCAGATTGGGCGCATGACAATGACATTAAGGTGCATCTGGACGGTGCAAGGCTTTGGGAAGCTGTGGTGTCCGGAGCGGGGAGCCTACCCGACTATGCCAGTCTGTTTGATAGCGTGAGTCTCTGCTTTTCTAAAGGACTGGGAGCGCCCATTGGGAGCATTATCGTGGGTTCCAAACAATTTATCAGGAAAGCACGGTGGTTCCGCAAATCAATTGGGGGTGGTACTCGCCAAGCTGGAGTGATTGCGGCAGCAGCTCGAGTTGCGGTTGAAGAAACATTTGGGCCAGATCCCCATGGGCATGAAGGAAAACTGCGTGACACGCATCTCAAAGCGAAAAGAGTTGCTGATCTATGGACGAGTCGCGGGGGGAAGCTCCTACACCCTGTGCAAACCAACATGATCTGGTTGGACCTTGAATCGTCCGGCGTGGGACCCAACGATCTTGCGGAAATTGGGAATGAAAAAGGCCTGAAGTTGCTGGGAGGGCGGATCGTCGTTCACTATCGTAAGTTGTCTGCCTAGCAGGCTCCAGATGGAGCAAGCGATTTTCTGACTAGTCACAGAGGTATCCGACGAGGCGATCGCCCGGTTGGCGCAGGTGTTTGAAGTCGCGATGAGTGGGGAATACCAACGTAGTTACGACCAAAGTAAACCATACGGAATGAAAACCTAGCCAGATACCTGTAATTTGTACATGGATATGCGATTGCAAAGAGAGTAATATATATGAGACTATTCCATGGGAAAATGAACATCAATTCCCGACCCTTGTGACTGCTGCAGCGATCCGTGGATGCCTCCCGCCTATCCAAAACCAAATTGCAGTATGATTGGCTGGCTGGACTTCGCAGCCTGAGGTATCAGTAGATTGGTGCCTAAGGCTGTTCAACCTCCAAAATAAAGGCGGAACATCAGCTCTGCCTGATGCTGCTTGTTTCTCCGACGACGACTCTGGTCCAGAGAGCATCGCGTCTCGTCCCTGTTGCCCGACTCCCTTCCTTCAGTAAAGACGCGACTGCTGCAACTATTCCACAGATTATGTCGTCGATGGCTGACAGGGAGCTTGCCAACTGTGTGAGTATTTCATTTGACCTTGATCGAAACCTTTAGCTAACATCTGGGGATATCTTATAGAAATAGTCATTCCCCACTCAAACCCACCTGCCTCGCATACCTCGTGACGTTCTTTTCCCTTCATTACACGCAACTAAAGCTGCGCTTGGCTTTCAGATTGGGACTGTCGAGATCGTTTCGAGCACACAGCATTTTGTCGTCGGTCTTTGATAGCTATAGAACGACTCATACAGCCCCGAACTCAAATCTAGCACACTCCCTTTTTGAGACATTTGGATCGTCCTTGGGTTATATGCACCTCCCATCCTGTTAGGCTCATTCCTTGGACTTTGGATATATTCTGCTTCGCTTGAACATTCAGAAGGTGGATTTCAAATTTGCAGCTGAGATACTGCGTTTATTGGAACCATTGCGTTCAATATTTCTAGCTTGACGACTACGTGCCTACGCGATCGTTACTGGTTGGGGCAACCATCTCGCCTTTGACTCTTCTGGGGATCTTGAACGAGTCACGCCCGTCGTTGGTGTTTTGACTTCTCTTACTCCTCCAAGGTGAGCGGGCATCCTGCTTTCTGTAATATGTGCTTCTGTAAGATACTGTGCTAACACATGGTAGGGACGTATGATATGAATTTGTATTAATGATTGTATTGGTTATCCAAACATCTCTCCTTCCACGCATCACCAAAGATACCCTAGATCGTCTGCTTTTTTTTTTGCCAGTAGTTTTTTTTTTTTTTTTGCTTCTTTCTTCGTTCTCTCTTTGTTTAAAGCAACTTCTGTCAAATTTCGTCGTTAATTGGTCCTCAAGATGGAGGCGACTCAAGAATCAACCCAACCGTGCACAGACCCACGTCGCATGGGCTACAACAACTCTGGGCTGCATGAGCAAGATGTAGCAGATATCATTTGCATCTTACACCCCAACTCGCTTGCCGCTCATGATGCAGTGGCGGCCACCGCTGACATGGCACCCCAGCATATCCTTCAGAGAAATGAACTAGAGTATCAAAGCTCTGATACCGCGGCCTTGGACATTGCCTTAAGACTGTCATCCGGCGTCCATGACTTGCAAATGGGCTTTTGTTTTGGTCGGAACAGGACGCGCTGTGACCTTTTGCTCGTTGCTGACGATAACTCCAAACGCATATCAAACACGCACTTTCGCATCTATATCACGAGCGACGGGATCCTCATGCTCCAAGACACTTCCACTAACGGCACGGTTGTAGACAACTATCGTCTGCGCAAGAGCCAAAAGGATAACAGCCGGATGCTCACCAGCGGGTCTGTCATCCAGGTGGTTAATGGCAATCAGTCCTCCGAAGAGGTCAGATTCGTGGTTCGGATTCCATCTCGGGAAACGTTTGAAATGCAATACACCGAGAACATGATTCGTTACTTTCAGCGAGTGCAGCAGTATGAAATTGACAACGCACGACCAAGAGCTCGACAGCCCTCGACACAACCTACCTTACACTTCACAGTTGCCAATCAGTATGGAATGCACTGGACGGGTGGCTCTGAATATAACGTGACTGGACAAATTGGGAAGGGGGCTTTCGCGACGGTTTACAAGCTCGCCACGAAACAGCATGGAATGGTGTATGCAGCCAAGGAGCTTGACAAACGAAAGTTCATGAAGAACGGCATTCTGGACCAAAAAGTAGATAATGAAATGAAGATCATGAGGGATCTCCGGCATGTGAGTGACTTGCTATGTGACGGTATGAAGTTTGCATCAACATCTTACTGATCATCTCACAGCCTAACATCGTGCAATACATCGCCCACCACGAGCATGAGCGATGGATCTACATCATTATGGAGTATGTGCCTGGCGGAGAGCTTTCCACGTACCTCCAGTCTCAAGGTAAAATGCATGAAGACATGGTGAGAAGCGTGGCTCGTCAGATCCTCCATGCCTTGCAATACTTACATAAGCGCAAAATCACTCATCGTGACATCAAACCGGACAATATTCTGATTGCGTCCGTCGATCCGCTACGGGTTAAACTGTCCGATTTTGGGCTATCGAAGGTGGTTCAAGAGGAGACCTTTCTCAAAACATTTTGCGGTACGCTTCTATACTGTGCCCCGGAGGTGTATCCAGAATACGAAACATATCGCCGTGGTGAAGCTAGAAAAAGGCGTCGGCTGGGTGATCCGTGAGTACTTCCTTCTTCTAGCCTTATTTTTGAATATTGCTGATTTTCAGGCCACCGAAAACATCACCCTACGGTCAATCCGTTGATACATGGTCTTTTGGTGCAGTGCTATTTCACATTCTTTCTGGCATTCCTCCCTATACAGGCCGCGGTGACGATAGAGGTGCCCAGATGCTGCAAACCATTATGACTACTGACCCCGACTTCAATGTGCTCCGTGACGCAGGCGTATCAGAGGCCGGTGTTGATTTTGTCGCTCGCCTCTTGAACCGTGACCCACTTTCACGTCCAAAAGAACGGGATTGTTTCCAGCATCCATGGATAGCCGAGGTTGCCGACGTAGATGAATACGAAGACGATGATATTCAATCTGACCATCATGATGGGCTGTCGGATATCAGCGAAAATGAGGAGGAAGAACTGGATGCATCCCAGCTTTCTATCAATGATAACCGGGATGCGGAGGATGAAAGCGCCGAAGAAGATATTGACCTGGCTCAATCCAAGAGACCTAGGATCGATTATCCTCCCGCAGAGATTCGCTATCCATCCCTACCCAAAATTGAGAGCTTCAAAGATTTTCGCCCTGTTCCTGAACCAAGCCCGCGGCGTCTTTTTGGTGAGATTACTTCATCTGCGTTACGCAGTTCCAATGTTCTAGGAGCCAGCATGGATGCCTTCGAGGGCGACGACTTCAGTATCCATGATTTCGTTTCTTCAAGTGGTGAGTCGTTAATCAGCGATGGTCAAAGCATCAATTCCGTTGTCTCCCTTCCGGAACACCCATTCGGTGGCTCTGCACCAAGTTTGATGGGAGCTGAGAACCTCGTTCGGCAGCTGAACATGAACTCGTGGCACCCCGGCCAGTCGAACATTCGTCACCAAACCGCCGCAACCCCGGTGCAACCAACTAGTCCCAAAGGCCAGAATGCAGCAGCCGATGACAGTGCCCCCGTTACAAGTCATTCCAACGATGCCACCCCTAAAGCACCCAAATTCAGACGTCGGATCGAGCTGCCCGTTCCCGAAACCGCCAGTGAGCGGTCCAGTGAAGATAATACAAGAGAAAATTCCAGGGATCCATGTGGAAATCCTGCAAACCAGTCCAGAGAAGCATTTGATATTGAATTGGCGACCACCATTGACGCCCAAACTGGAAAAAAAACCTCGGGATCTCCCGTGAGAGTACATGATGTTAACCATGTCAACAGCTCTAGCAAGGAATCCATTGGAATCCCACAGGCTGTGTTTGCTTCCCGTTCTAGTGAACGTCGGCCTTTGCTTGGCAAGTTGACGACCCTTCCGGGCTCTATATTCGATTTGACGATTCCTTTGAGAGAGCGCTTGAACTCCTGGGGCCGAGGACCGCAGGCCAATATTCGCCATCCCGATCCCATGGAAACCAGAATCCCCGCATATGCTCTGAATGTGACATTTTGGTCACCAACCCTGGGACCGCAGGTTGCGAACGGCGAAGACTGGATGACTATGCCTGGGGTGAGGGCTATCCTATCGACAAAAACACGCCAATGTATTTGGGTTAATGGAGTGGAGTTACAACGTGAGCCCGAACAGTACGGAAACTTGTATACTGGGGATATTATTACTGTCTACGAATATAAAGGCAGGTTCCTGAAGTTCCAGTGCGAATTTTACCATGGGGACAGTGCACAGTTGCGACCTGATTCTGAAAAGGGCTTTGTCATCCAACGAAAGGCACCTTTAACGGCCAAGGAGGATAGGTCGACGAACTGTTTACCTGTGCGGAAGGATCAAGGTCAAAGAGAAAAGAAGCCTGCTGTTTAAACGATCATCTTGTACATTTGTATGGCACAGTGTTATTGGTGTTGTTATTGTTATTGTTACTTTTTTTTTTTCTCGCATGTGTCTCCTCTCCTTGTTGTATTAAGGGCAGACTGGATGTGCATAGGATGAACATTGGGTGGATAATGTCTTTTCTCAAAAAAGAACAAAAAAATAATAATAGGAATTGATGATAATGACCCTGGGACATTCCTGACGCACGAGCCATTTATGCCTGAGGCAGAAGTGGGTATTTGTTACAGTACCGTATAAAATACCGCGGCCCATACACATCCCCTGCATTCGATCTTAGAAATCTGAAGAATCGCAGCGCCTTTAGTAGAGATGATCGGCAGTGAATCGGCCAATCTCACAAAATTGCAGAAATGGAGCTTAGAATCCTGACATCTTTGACGGACCCTCTCTGCACAGTGCACAGCATTTGAATGGAATTGAACCGCAGATGTAACTCTAGGCGAGGAGCTTACACCCAATTTTACCTTGCGGTCCCAGAAGGATTAATCTCCTGAGAACGGGCCACTCAAGATGCGTTCAGCCATTTTGCTTTTGCCATCTTCTTATTCTTGTTGCATCCACAACTCACTACCCACTCTTTCTGGTGCCATCTGTTACAATCGCAATGTCTTCTTCGCTGAGATGAAGATTTCCCAATAGTTTCACCCGTCTCTCCTTCAACGTTCCATGGAACCCTATCCTCGACTCCTTGCTTCCCCAACACGAGGTGACTGAGACTTGACCCGTTCACGGTGACGCTCTCGGACCCTAAGGAGGCCTTCTTTCGACGATCAGTTAATCTTCGCCGCTTCTGGTTGTTCTTTTTTTTGATTCCGTGATCTGATTCTTATCGGTGACGAAGACATTATTTCTTCCTCTTTCTTTTCAATCTACGAGAATTTTTTTTAATCTTTTTAACCGGAGGCTTACCTCCCACCCCTTACTCACACCATGGCTCCCCAAAAGGATCGAGAGGGCTCGCATCACCGGCGACGTTCCTCTACAACAGTCCCTCCGCTCCGTTTACACAAGCCCTCTCCCGAGCCTGAGGTCGCTGGAAGTACCTCAGGCCTATCCGTTGGCCATCATACTCGCGTTCCACTATCCCCCGTCCCTGGAACACCCGCTGCCACTGACTATTCGCCTATGTCCCTCTCCCGATCACCCTCTCCCCACCCGGGAGGAGGGTGGTCGAGTCCTGCTGTGACGCCTGGCAGTGGCACCTCGACGCCGCATAGTGGTCTCTTCTCTCCAGGCCCAATGGGCCCCAGCGGAGTGTCCTGGGCGGCGGCCAAGGCCAAAAGTGAGGAAGTCAGAGGTTATCCGTCCTTTTCCACTCGGAACAATGGATTCTTTTCTCGGTCAAAGCGCAAAATCTCCGCCAGTCTTCCGCGATTCAGTATGACTTCGGCTCCCGGGGGTTACGTTGATAAGGATGATTTTGGACGTGGGAAATTCCCGATTCACGGGGCAGGTCAGCGCACAGCTTTGGGCTCTATGCTACAGAAGAGGAGAATACGGGCGTTGCTGGGATTGGTCGTTATCTGGCTTGGATATTTGTTCTTCTGGACGTGTAAGTGAAACCCTATATTTTCCTTTGATCTTTGGCTGATCCTTGTCTGACTGGTGACTTTGTCAATTGTAGCAATTATCCAGACCTATAGACATTCCGCGTTGGGTGGAGGGAGCAAGTTTGTGGTGGTACTGGGGTCAAATGTGGAGGGAGGTGTTATGGAGTGGAAAGGTGCGCGCGAGTGGGCAATTGAACGCAACAGTATCTGGAACAAAAAAAAGTATACCCAACGCTGGGGCTACGAATTGGAGGTTGTGAACATGTTGGCCAAGAAGCGCTATTCCCATGAGTGGCGTGAAAGCTGGGAGAAAGTCGACAGCCTTCGAGAAGCCATGCGCAGGCATCCTGATGCTGAGTGGTGAGTGTTCTTTCCAGCCGCCAGCGGTGTTGATGTTTCAGTGCTAATTGAAACCCGTAGGTTTTGGTGGTTAGATCTCGGTACTTGGGTCATGGAGTACTCATACTCTTTGCAGGATCATATATTCAACCACTTGGATTCGATCCCCTATCGCGACATCAATCTTTACAATCCTTTGAATATCAGCCACCCTCCGACAGATCAATACCTAGATGAAGTTTCTCGTTCGCCTGATGGGGACAAGGATACCTCCTCGATCCATATGTTGCTATCTCAGGACTGCGGCGGTTTCAATCTAGGTTCTTTCATGATGCGCCGATCTGTCTGGACAGATCGCCTACTGGACACCTGGTGGGACCCTGTGATGTACGAACAAAAGCACATGGAGTGGGAACACAAAGAGCAGGATGCATTGGAATATCTATATGAGAGTCAGCCATGGGTCCGCAGCGGCGTTGCCTTCTTGCCCCAGCGATACATCAACTCATTCCCTGAAGGGGCGTGCGGCGACGAAAGAGACCCCGGCATCCATTACAACCAAGATGATCGGGATTTCGTGGTTAATATGGCCGGTTGTAAGTTTGGCCGCGACTGCTGGGGTGAAATGTACCAGTTTCGTGAGCATAGCAATTGGCTGAATCGTACGCGGTGGGAACGCTTCAAGGATGCTTTGAGCGGCGTGTATAATACGTTGTTCGGGAAGGGGGAGAAGCAGGAGCAATAGGCCTACGGCTGGGCTGCTAAGACCCCAAGGGTCTTCGAAATTTCGGAAATTATGTGCTGGATGATATCACGCCATGTCTCCTGATTTGTTTTACTTATTCTTTTCTAATAGTCTTATACGTTTTCCTTTTTGTACATTGACCCGCCGACCAGCCCGGTTATGGGTATTGTCTACGGGATAAGGCGACGACGGCGATCTGGGTTGATTTGGCGTGACGGTTGACTCTTTATATTCAGATGTATAACAATTTAGTATCAATGATTTATATTCTAGACGAATCTGGCAATAATGTCTATTCTTGAAGTATGAAGTTGAGGGAAATGCTATCACATGACCTATTACTAAGCCTATCCCGGTTCAAACATGCGCATATGGTCTGCATGTCGTGCTCTAACCCCTTCACCGCTTTTGATCCCACCAATCACACAATCCCAATTGCGCATTCTCTCCGCCGACGACATCCATGAAAACGAGTCCGACAACTTCAACGAAATCCCCAGCTTGACTCCCCGGCCGGATTGTCCTCCTTCCACCATCCCGACGCGATCCAATCTCCTCTCCTCCTCAGACAGACCATCTTTCCGTCCTGGGAGAAAACCAAGATGCCTACCCCCGAGTCCGCCGCGTTCCTGGCTAAGAAGCCCACCGTCCCTCCGACCTACGATGGCGTCGACTTCGAGGACAGCGCCGCCGTCCACAACGCCCGTGACGCTATCATCCGTGAGCAGTGGGTGCGCAGCATGATGTCCCGATTGGTCGGGGAGGAATTGGGCAAGTGCTACGCCCGAGAGGGTGTTAACCACTTTGAGAAGTGTGGTGTCTTGAGAGGTGAGTCTTTTTCTTCAATTCTCTTTGCTCCCCTACTCTACTTTATAAGTTATTTTCTCTCTTGTAATATGCAAGTGGCTAATGAGTTTTTAATCCAGAAAAATACTTCGAGCTCCTCAGCGAACGCAAGATCAAGGGTTACCTTTTCCAGGAGAAGAACACTTTCGGCGAATCGAAATCGCAATAAATGTTCCCCGTTTATTGTTGTCGTCCTGTATTATGTGGTTTTTAGCTTGTTTTATGCAATCAACTGGGGTTACCGTTTCCTCTTTTTATTTCCCGAACTTTCCTGTCTTACATGCTGAATGCAGCAAATTGATATCATCGACGAAAGGAAATAAACATTTGGAATTAGAGAAATGAGGAAAGAATGAAAGATCTCTGGAAAAAAAAAACTGGAATAGCTACCAGATACCCTGGTCTTTCCCGCAAATCCCGGCCAAGGGATGCAGAGTGAACTTTGTTTTGGGTTGTACTGTACATATATTATTGGGGGATTAGGAATCCTCCACCTCAGTGCTGTTGGAGTTGATTAAATTGTGGTTCCCTGTGATCAGGTCGAATACCATGCATCATTCTACGATATAGTACCATTGGCATTCCCATTACATTGGTCTTAATGACTGTATCTATAGACAGCCAATTGAACACACAAGCATGCATCAACTAGGTAGATAGAAACAAGATATAGTAAAACAAAATAGTGTATATCCAGTACATCGGCGATAACACCAATGAATATATGCAAAATATATGCAGAAATATCACGATATGAGAATGAGAAATGGGTATCATGATCAATAATAAGCACTTTCACTCCGCTCAGGCACCGTAGAAGGCGTGTCTCGCGTAGGTGCAGCAGCTTCATCGTCACTATCATCAATATCACTTCCAGGTCCAAAGTCTTCCTCCGTGGGTGGTGCTCGCATCCTCACGAGGTGATCTTCATCGAGAGATGGGAGCTTGTACGGACCTGGAGGTGAATGGATATCTCGACCCGAAGGCAAGTTTGCCAGGAGATCTGTAGATGGTGGAATCAATTGCGTATTGATCTGGATATCCAATCAGCAATTGCCGCGAGAGATAAAAGGACAAGAGAGATACTCACGGTATCATTCATCCGCACCCATTTTGTCTCCAACATCTCAATAACTCGTCCCTCTTCCTCTCGTCCTGCATCATCGCCAGGATCAAGCTCGCCTTTCTCGCCCCGATCTCTATTGCCAGCGTCCTTCTCCATCTTACGCCCTTCTCGTCGTTCAGCCCATTCCCGTTTCAACTTTGAGAAGCCTCCTCTGCTTTTTGTAGGTGTTTCTTTCTCTCCAGGTGCCGCACTCTTCAGTCCCAGTGCCCCCTTGGCTGCCCGCAGCCATGCAATCCCCTCCCCAATCTTCCCTACCAACTCCGCATCCACCCCAAAGAACCGACAGGCACGTGCCCGCGCTACCCTACCCAGCACACGCGCGTACCGGATAAGATCATCAGCTACCCCGGTCTTCCCCTCTGCACTAACCGCGCCTAACCCAGCAGCTGCTTGCTCCCCATATTCAGCTGCTCGAACACACAGCCGGGCAAAGAGGAGCGCCCGTACTTTGGGGATCTCCGGTGCTCGAACCATCCAGTCCTTGTCATTGGGGTTGCGAGCCTGGATACAGGCGGTGACATATGAATCGTCTTTCAACACGGCCAGCAAAGTGGCTTCGGCAAGTGCAAGAGACGAGAGGGCCGACTGTGTCGCCGGATCGAGATCTGGCACGTTTAACCCCGCAGCTAGTGTGCGGGTAGTATTTGCAAAAGAAGGCGACGTGAGGAGGAGAGAATGTACAGAGCTGGCTTGGAGGAGGTATTTGGTGGCTGTTTGAACGGCCGCAGTGCGCTGTTCGGCAGATGGGGTGGTAGAGGCATAAAGAGTCCGTACGACGCCTGACCGGGCCAGACTGCTCAAGACATAACCTAATGTAGTCAAGACAAAACCAATCTCGAAATCAATTCCATGGCCTTGGACTCGGCCGGTTTTCTGGCGGCCTCGCAAGGAGAGGGAATTAGAGGTTAGAGTGGCGCGCCATTCCGTTTCGATCTCTTTATGGAGAACGATTTCAATCTCCTCTTGATTCCCCGTGCTACTTTCCACAGGCTTCCCACTGAGGCCATGTGATATAGCGAGAAGGTATGGCAGATAATCGTTCAGCGTGGTGAGGACGGTGGAGAGGTGGGAGTCCTGCTGGGGTCCGCGGGGTAAGCGCTTGTGTGTCTTGAGTGCGAGTTGCAGTGCATGACGGGTGGTAGAAGCCGATTGAGGTAAAGAAGGATGAGTACTTGACGAAAGGAAGGTTTGGAATGAAAGATGTGAGGTGGTTGGAAGAATGAAGCTGAAAACCATGGTGGAGAGAATGCAGATGTTGATGGTTGAAGAAGATGGAGTTGAATTACGTTGTTGGGCTGCTGATGTCACCGCCAGAAGGCAGCCAAGAACATCAGCATCGCGGCTTTTCTAGGCCTGCAGAAAGGAATCTACATGTACGAGGGTGAAACTATCGAATCACATTGCTTCTTGTTAATATTCTCCATATGAATTCCATTCGTCTGAGCGTATAGCTGCCTGGCTTGGTTGAAGGGCGTCCTTATGATGCCCTTCAAGCAAATATCACCGAAACCACTCCAAACAAAAGCTTCCCCCAGTGAAGATATATCCGGCATATCTTCGGAATCAATGCACAGCGGACAGTCTGCCACTTGCATATTCCTTCTCTCTCGGCGTGGTTGCTTTTCCCAAGCTACCTGGCTCGAGGATCCTCCTTTTAGCCGCCCAGAGACCACTCAATCCATAATTTATGTAGATCGATAAATGGGAAATATATCCAGTCGTGGCTCTGCTGACTTCCTTCGATTTTGCTGGAAGTGAGGGCCATCCCTTGTAATTGTATATGTCAGCCGCCCATGCAGGGCACGGCTTTGCTCGGACACGGAAACCGCAGAAAATCCGGGCCCAGAGCTCTGGAAGACTTGATGTCGCTTTGTGGAGTTTCGACGAACCTTCTCTCGTTTGGTGTTGAGAATCCCGCATCAATTTGAATCAATATTCGTGTTCTGCAGTGACCATCACACGTCCATCCCTTCTACATCCGACAGATTGCTCGGGGCACTGCTGACTGCCGACGAGTCGCTTTCAGCAGAATATGGAATTCTCGATCGCACCTGCGTGCCCCATTCCTGGATACTAGGCACACCGCCCTCAATCACAATGGGATGCTCCTCAGCACTTTTCCCCAGCACAGTCCCTGCATATCGAGATTCCTCTCCTGTTTTGCTATGCTTCTTCTTCAGCGATGTGAGGAAGTCTTCCTTTTCGAGGGACTCCGTGTCGATCATATCGCCCTCACTTGGCACAAACCCGGCAATACGTCGAATCTCGCGGTTTGCAGGGCCTGTGAACCATTCTAAGAAACCTTCCAGTCCTCGCATATCTTCTTCAGCTGCCCATTCTTCCTCCCACTCACGTAACTGAGGTCGTAGCGCGCCTGCATCTTGTAGCGATTGGTAAATATCTTCCAGCGCCGGAACTGGATCGCTCGGATGGGCGTTAGCGGCGTGTGCAGTAGCAGATGAAGCCAGAATCATCATGTATCGTGCTGTAAGATCGGCTAGAGTGTCTAACACCGAGGGGCGCGTCGCATGAAAGCCAGCTGCACGCAAGATCTGAATAATAGGCGGGCGGAGGAGGGCGTTGTGAAGATTCGAGGCAGACATGGCGACGTTCAATTAATTATATGAATTATGGTTCAGGGCGTCAGGTCGCAATAACTATTGATAGAAAGTGAAGTGAAATATAAGAGATAGGAACTCAGGAGAATGCGATGGATAGAAAGGCTCTTGAGGCCACCAGGGCTGGTGTTGTTGTTGGGAGGAAGTGAAGTGAAGGAAAGACGGTCCGAAGGCAGCACTGGCGTTCTTCCGTCGCCGCCAATCTTCCTCTTCCTCCATCCACCCTTCGACTGACTACTCTCCACCTCCACCGCGTCAGAAAAATATCTCTTCATCTCCCCAGCTGCTGCTCGGGGCTAGATAGAGTGTCTGGTTACTGCAATACCTATTCACCATGTCTGAAACTCCCCGACCCTCTCTTAAGCTCACCTTGGGCAAGAAGAAGGCGCCGGAGCAGCAGCCACCCCAGAATCCGCCTCCGTCTGCTTCCTCAGACACGCCTCAACGAAAGCTCACCTTGAAGATCGCTCGAAAGCCACAGGCCGATGAAAGCGAAGAGAAACCCAAGAAGAAGAAGCCATCGAAGAAACGGCCTGCTGAAGGACCTGCTCTGAACGAACTCGCGCCCTCCGCGGTCGCATTACAGCCGCAACCGCAAGCAGGGCCCAAACGACTAAAACTAAACCCATCGAAGAAACCTGGAGTGCAGTCGATTCGAATCAAAAACAAGGGGCTGGTCCCCACTCGACCTACCGGTGTTGGATACGATTCGGAAGCTTCTGATACGGAAGCTGACCCAGCGATCGAGGAACAGTTTATTTTACGTATGCTCCCCGGAGAAGACTGTGATTATCTACGACAGACGATCAACGACCGGCGATTTGATCGGTCTGAATTTTCCTTCAAACCCCTCGACCGTGAAGGGCGACGCTCTGTCCTTAGGATTCGAGACAAACAGTACGCGGCGATATTGGTTGATTTACCATGTATTATTGAAGGCATGAAGAGTTGGGACCGACGTGGTTGGTACAAATCTGCAGACATTTGTCAAATGCTTCTCGTTCTCGGTCTGGTTTCTAGCGACAAAGAGGCCACTGAGTATCCTCTCCCTTCGGACGTCCATATCCCGGACGACAAAACTTTGCAGTACGCACATGGCCTGACGCCTCCATTGCAGTGGGTGAGGAAGCGACGGTTCCGTGATCGCATCAGTACTCGGACAATTGAACAGGTCGAGAAGGCAGTTGAGGATTTGATCGCGCAAGATGAGGCCGCCGTCTCCGCTCCCAAATATGAATTGCTGGATAGTGCATCGCTGAATCGGGCCGAGGGACTCGTCCAGAGTGGTGAATATGGGTTTGACGAATATGATGAATATGACGATGAACAAGACGCGGATGGTGAGGTGGATTATGGCATGCAAGAGGGCGGTGCTGGCTTGGATGACTTTGAAGATAGTCTTGCCGCCGAAATGGAGGCCGAAATGGAAGCCGCGCTGGCAGAAGGCTCAGGTAACGCAGAAGGAGCTGGTGAAAGCAAGGTGGCGACTGCTCCGGAAACTGGAGTGCCGCATCTGTATCAGGCCGGCACACCGACGGCAACCAAGCCGTCCACCCCGGCAGCCGAGTCGTCCGGAGACGAGAGTGAAATTTCGGATGGAAACGAAGGCGACGAGCCCGACGATCTGGATGAAGATCAACTGGAACAGCAGCAACAATTCCAGCAACAGCGCGAGGAAATTGCAGAATTGGAAGCGCTGATCCGCGTGGAAACTGCCAAGTGGGAGAAGATGCCAAACGCCATCCTGCGGAACAAGCTTGCCAAACGTATTCAAGATCTGAAGCAGGATTTGTCTTTGAAAAAGGTTTCAATTGGAGAAGGAGACGATGCCGACGGTTGATTTACTTTCTCTTCTTTTTGTTTTGAGCCTAATAATTTACTCGATCATTTGATACCCGGTTGGCATGACTTGTACAATATCTTAGAATCTTGTTTGTCCTTTTTCATTCTTCAGCTGAATGGAACATTATGATACAGAACTTTGTGTTGATCCACGCTTCATGTTTACTCTCCTTACTTTTTACCAATCTATTGGCCTACTACGGGATCGCCTGTGGCCTCATGAACGGCACTCTTCACATCAAGATTCTGATGCTGCTTCAGTTTTCGCTGCCTCACAGCCTCCCTTTCGGCCGTTTCCCCATCTGGCTCTGGAGGACTCTGTCCAACCCGTTCTCCTAACACTCGGTCATGTTCTTCCCTCTTCCTTGCCATATCCGCAGCCAGATCTCGTTCCTCTCCAAACCCAGGATGTCCAGGTCCGCTGGCACTGCCCACGGGACCAGCATGCGCTCCCGCCTGAGCGCGTGCTCTTTCTTTCTTATGCTCCACCGCATCTGCAATATTCCCTTCTGACGGCTGCTGCTCAACACCGTACTGTAAATCGACGTCAGGCACAGCCTGCATTGTTCTCTGTTCACGCTGATGCCTTTCAGTCAGATGGGCGATGTTCTCATCGTTGGAGGGCTTCGAGTCGGCCGCACGACGGAAGATAGAGGGAACAGGATCTCCACGTTGGCGTTGGGAAATATCGCGCTGCTCAAGCGGAGAGTGCGTTACTGGGTTTTGGGGTTGCTTGTAAGCGGCTTCCTTGGGAGGTTGGGCTGGCTGTTGCGTTGCCATTGGGAAATTGAATTGATTGGTGGCGTGAGATCAGATTGTGTATGCAGCGGATGATTTTGGGTATTCTCGGAATGCTTTATTGTATTGAATTGAATATCAATGTTGAACACTCATCGCATATAAATAAGAGAATGTAAAGAAGCAGAAAGATAGTTGGCTGGATTGATGATATTCAAGGATAGAGCCCTGATGTCCGCATGACGTCAGTGACGACATCTTGGTTTTTGCTTGTCTTTTCCCATAGATTCTACTCAAAGTTTGACTTGGTTGGTGATGATTGTGACTATTATTTGATAGGCTTGGATGGTTTTATGGATCTTGGTGATAATAATAGTACTATTCAATTTGGTTGATATATGTCGAGGCGGAGTTGTTTCCTCGAATTGTAGGAAGAGAGTTACAAACCAACAACAGTTTAATTCAAACCATCCGTACACGATTCATGCAAATACCACTGAAGGGTATACTCTAACACAGCATGTTCTTCAAACCTTGAACCGTCTCTTAAATCCGATAAATCTCATTTATTCCGCCTTCTTGGAAGCCTTTGTTCGAAGTTTCATCATCAAGAAAACCAGTCCATAAGAACTGATGATGAAAATGACAGTAATGGCAGCGTCCCTCCAACCGTAAAAGTAATCCTTCAAATTGACCGTATACAAGTAGTCACTGCCCCTGTGATACTGACAAACACGACAAGCGGAGGTGGAATCAGGATTAACAAGATTAGGCCTGAGCCCCATCTGCTCAAGGTAGGGAGTCAGATATTCCAGACAAGTCGAGTTGGGTGGGGGATCGAAAATGGCGAATTCATCTTCTGCACAATTGACTTCTGCATCGAATACACTGAAGACTAACAGACCACCAACCATATAGTTGAATGGGTCAAGATAGTACATCCAATATCTCCAGAACGGAGTTAACTGGACATAAGGCACCAAGATTCCGCAGAAGCAGACCAACATGCTGATTGCCAGGGGGTTGACATGGGACGCAAAGACTGCGTTGGGTGCAAAAGCTGCGATGGCTTGACCGATGCCAGTATAGAGAAATTCATATGCCAGAGTGATGAAGAAGACGCCGCCAGCTTTATTTGTTTCCGCTGGGAACCCCACTGTATAATACCAGCAGAAAAAGTAGAAAACCGCACAGATGCAAAGATAAGGAAATTCGGAGATAATAAGAGCAGTCACAAAAGCCTTCCAGGAATACATGCGGGACTTCTTCTCCCTGGCATCATATATTTCCCTTCGCTCAATGAACAATGGCTGAAGTTGGTTTATCACACCAGGCGCCACAAAAATGAAGACAAATATAGTGAAGAGCCGTTGTTCCAAGTCAGAAACAGTATCCCCAATCATCCAAAATGAGAAGCCATTGAACAATGCCATTGCGATATGGAGAATGAGCTTGTTGTTGATATACCGCGTGTTCCGAAATAATGCCATATTCATCCGGTTAGACACAATCACTATTTGGGACCAAAGAGACGTCGCAAACTCATTATCGTCATCTTCAATGCTGGGCTCCTTGCATGCAGCATCCTCGACCATGCGGTCCAATTCGCCCAGTCTATGACCATACTCTGGCGAATCAAGCCAGACTTGACTCCAGTCCACACCGGCCATCTCACGAATGTTACCTGACACAACATCTATCATGTGCTCTGCTGGGTTGACATGAGCAGGACAGGGCGCACCATGGCGTCCAAAATAATCTTTGACAATTTGCCCATTTCTTCCAATGTCTCCAAAGTATACTGTCTTCCCACCTTTGGCAAGAAGAAGCAATGTATCGAATTGAGCAAATAACTGAGCCGAAGGCTGATGAATAGTGACTAAGATAGCCTGACCTAAATCAGCAAGCTTTCGAAGGAACCTGACTGTATTATATGCAGACTGCCCGTCAAGACCTGACGTCGGCTCATCCAAAAATATAAGGATCTTTGGCTTTGAAACCAGCTCGACTCCAATCGTGACGCGTTTTCTTTGCTCAATGCTGAGACCAGCACCGACCTTTCCAATCAACGTATCCGAAATGTCGTGGAGTTCAAGGAGATCAATGATAACATCAACATATCTCAACTTATCTTGTTTCGAAATACCCTGAGGTTGGCGTAGGAGAGCCGAAAACTCCAAAGCTTCACGAACTGTGGCATAGGGCTCATGGACATCAAGTTGTTCGCAATATCCAGCAGATCTTTGAAATGAGACTGGAAGCATGCGGCCATCCACCCTTATTGTTCCATGAATGGTGCCTTCTGTTTTCCGTTGTGCCAGGACATCCAATAAAGTCGTTTTACCGGCTATGGAGTTAAGTTAGCTTTTTGTCAAGTAATTTTGTATACCAGTGTAAGGAAGTCGAACCTCCCGAAGCTCCCATCAATGCCCCAAGCATTCCCGGTTTCACCCATCCATGCACATTGTCCAGAAGCAACCGTTCTCCCGATGGTGTTTTGACAGAGTATGAAAGGTCTCTCCATGTGAAAATTGACGTATTTTGGGCCAATTGCCCATCTAGATCTTTGTCGTTGCCTTGGTTTTCCACGGGCAATGAAGTATTGTGCGGGAGTTTGAGCTCCAATGTAGGCGATTCTTCGTCAGCAACATATTTTATCATTTTGTGATTGTTGAGCTTCTCTCGGGGAATGAGAAGCAAGCCTCCACGTTCGGAAGCTGTCTTCCATTTCGTGGTCGCGACAATTGTGATGCCAACGTAGAGCACCCACCAAGCCCATAGAATACCCATGTTCCTCCACATATGTTGGTGATTAAAGCTCAGGGATTGTAAATACTGATCACCAGTCAAGGATGTTTCGCCTTGAACAGCACCACTCACACCAGCACAAGATGCAGGTTCTCCGATATAATTCGGCCCGTTGGGAACGAGGTTGTTACCAACACAATCGATCGTTGTGTCATGCAGTTCGTTGGTCATGAGTGCCTCCATGGAGTAAACCAATGGATTTATCCAGTAAATCCATACGAACCAAGGGTGGATACGTGGTTTTTTAATCTCATAGCCCGCATATACGGCCATGACGGAGAGCAGCAACCCCGAGATCTTCGACGCATTATCAAAGGAACTGAAGATTGCCCCAACTGCACGGAAAAGAGCATTTGTGCACTGTAAGAAGCCTTGTTAGTATCTGAACAAACTCATAGTTTTGTATAACAGTACTCTAACTTGTTCTCGAGAGGGGCGCGGAAGTTTGATGTGAATTCGGCAAAAATACTAACTTACCATTGCTGTAGAAAAGAGAAAAACCCAATACGTAAAGAACGAGGGAGCTGATAGGCTTAGACCGACCATGAAGTACACTACCAACGCAAAGATGGTAATTTGCATCAAGATGACTGGTATGTCTGCTGCGATTTGTGCGATACAAAACGCTGCGGGATGAAAAAAAGCAAACTCCTTGTGTTTAACCAAGACAGGCCGGCCGCTAAAGGAGTTGGTGACCTCAGACATTGATACCAAGGCATTGTAGAGAGCCGACCAAAAAAGGGCACCGGATTTAGTGAACAGACCAGAGGAATCTCCGGGGGTATTGTAGTACAATGAACCGGTGAGAAGGGCTTGAATCAGTGTGGTTGTCTGTTGAATCAGAAGAGTAGACTTGTCACCGAGAAGTATCTGATATTGGCGAGCAACACAGGCGATTACCTGGTTGGGAAAACTTGTAGTCAGTGGACTGCTCTGGGGTAGGTGCTTGTGCTTGTCGGATGCAACAGATTCCTTGAATGCCTCTGTTCGGTTTGCCGCGATTTTGGTCTCAGGGTAGTTGTATTCCGCAATCATGTCGGAGTGGATATCTGACTTTTCATATTCAGACCGTAGCATATATGCATTTTTCGGAAACTTTGCTTCAAAGCCTGGTATGATCACCCTCTCTGTTGGAACTGTAACTGCTGTGAGGTAGTCTGCAATATTCGCGCCCTCCTGGCAAAGGAACCCAAGTTCTTCCATGAATGGCCGTGCCTTCTTCATTGGACCATAGTAGACTTGCTGCCCTTCATCTAAGATAAGTACTTTGTCAAAGAGGTTGTAAATCCCATTGCCGGCTTGGTAAAGGGTGACAATTGTTGAAAGCCCATAAACATCAGTCATAGAACGCACTGCTCTTGTCCATTCTAATGCACTGCTAGCATCAAGACCGCGCGTACTATTATCCCAACAAAAGATCGAGCCTCTGGAAGCCATACATTCCACAATAGAAACACGCTTTCTCTCACCCCCTGAAACACCACGGACGTACTCGTTGCCAACCTTGGTTTCCGCAGTATGGGAGATTCCCATCGAAGCCAGAAGAAATTCCTTCATCTCATCCTTATAAGTTTTGGAAGACTGAACTCCATTTGGCAAGTGAAATGGGGTCTTCAGGCGCGCCGCAAAGTCAAGAGTTTCATTCACACTGAGGGTTGGGAAGAAAATCTCATCCTCCGTGTTCATAACAATCTGACCACGATACTTCTTCTCTACCTCAATATGGCTGATATTGCCGTACCGAACATCTCCCTCCACGGTGCTGTATTCTTTGCGCCGGTTGGCAAGTATTTTCAAAAGCGAGGTACAGCCGGATCCCGGACGACCCAGGACCAGAAGCATTTCGCCAGGTCTCACACACCCGTGGCTTCGATCCAAGATGGTTTGAAGTGGTGCTCTTTGATGAGATCGTCGAAGATGTTTTAAGACATTGAACTGAGACAAAGCATTTTCGTTGACGGCAGATTCCATACTTGTCGCTCTCACGGTGAGATCTTTCCATGTCACGCCCAGCTCTTTTTTGCATAGGCCCGATGCCAGATCACGGTCATGGAATTCTTTGAGCCGAGACAGAAACTGCCATTCTTTTTCTTTTTCCTCTTCGGGTGACGGCGAACCTTCCCTTCCATCTGACTGGCCAACTGTCCTAGTAGCACTGTCGTTGTCAGGTTTTAAATCATCTTTGAGGGCGTGAGTACCTCGAATCGATTCGTCCATGGCGAATTAGAGAGTAAAAAAAGAACAAAGAAAAGGAACTGAATTTGGAGGAATCGACCAGTAAGCCAAGAGGAAACCAAAGAGTGATGCCCCAAACAAGCAACAACTTGCCTGGGTTTCAATCAATTCTTTATCACAAGCCTAACAGTCTGATAAATGTCAAGTTTCCAGGGATTCGGCATATAAAAAGCCCATGGGCATCTGTATAGGCGAAGAAATCTCTTCTCGAGGCTCCATCTTTGTTTCCGAATATCCTATTTCGGATTCAAGCTGTCTCCGAATGGGCTCGAGTGAAATTACGCCGCAAAAAATGATTAGTGAGGGGACTTTAGCAATATGGACCCGGAAATAGCATATGATTTGGTTAGTCTTGGTGGATCTCTGCAGACATAATGCAGGCATTTGAATACCCGAAAGTCCTTGGGAATTTGACTCCGAGAGGTAGTCATGTTAGCGTGAGCAGTCGATTGTCATCAACAAACATTAATATTGTAGCAAATATCATTGCCGCATAATAAGCAGCATGGCCTTTTCTCTTCCCTTTTTCTCTGTGTGTCTGTAGACGACCAGCATGGTTATTGTTGTTGCTGTGGTGGTGGTAGTGGTGTTGACAGTCGAGATCTCGACAAACTTCCGAAAACCCGACTCGGATTCTCGGCTTTTCATCGACAAAAAGAACCCACCTTCTGCTCTGACAGCACAACTCTGAAAGCCAGCTATTTATCGGATTGTGCTAGTTGATTGTCTTACAATTGGCGTGCTAATACAGCCCCCCGAGAATTTCCGTCGGTTTGTTTCAATGGCAATCGGCTCGTGGGAAAGGTGTCGTCATGGCTGAAAATGTCCAGCATCCGCCAACAACCCGCAAACTGCCTGCAGTGAGTGACCATCACAACTCCACTCCACGTGTTGGTTTACATGGCAACATGGCCCTTGATTATCTCTCTCGCTGACAGCTGGAATTAGTGTGACATGTGCCATGCCCGGAAGGTATGTCAGGTTCTGCCCGCATCGAGTCACTGCCATTGAAACAATAACGGCCTCTGACGTCTTCTTTTGATTAGGTCAAATGTGATAGAAAACGGCAGTGTCTGAATTGCTCTGATGCGCTTATCAACTGCATTCGCTCTCGACAGAGACGTCCTCGTCGCCCTCGACTATCACAGTAAGCCCTATAATCATGGATTCCCCACATATCAGCAAACAGGATAATGACATAAACAGTGCCATCAAATCACAGAACCCTAGCCCTGCTGATATCGATGATAGTTCTAGTTCAATACCTTTGCAAAATACTGGGGGGGCAGATACGACTGCTAACACACAAGCAACTGACAATGCTCAACGTTCAAATGTACAGAGACGGGGGCCGGCAAGGTCATACGCAAGGAAGAGAAAGTCTGTCCACTTGCCAGTCACCTCCCAGTTGGAGGATCAAATGACATCAGGCGATAACATAGAAGGACACACTCAAAGTCCTGCGGAAAATATGCACCAAACCGAGGAGGCTCAAAATTTGATCAGAGGTGAACTAGAGTCCAATACGCACTTATCACTTAGCCGGCGTAGGGTTCTGGAATCTGCATTGTCTCTTGTCAATAGGTTTGCCAATACATGCCAGCCTGTCGGCAATCGAAGCTACGAAGAAAACCTGGACGATGAAACCGTCTCACTACCTGACTGTCCACATGCAGAATTGCTTTACATGATGCTTGGTAGTATGTCCTTTTTTCTTGCCCATCTATAATTCTCTTCATACACTTACTCTACCAGGCTCTACTGATGGTACCGATCCATTACAGCGGCTTTGGCCTGATCATATTTCCAATAAAACAATGGAAAGGATGTTCCTTGCGCTTATGAACGGAACTGCTACTGGCCAGGTGGCCCATCAATACAAAGTCAATGTCTATGTGAGAGCAGTCATGTATTTCAGCAGGTGGCTGCGAGCTTTTCCAGATGGAGAACTGTCTGAATCTCTGGCGCAGTCAAAGAAAAAATATGTTACAGTTGCACTCGCTTCCTTGAGGAAGCTTGATTTCCTAAGCGTGCCGAGTCTTTCGCTATTGCAGTCACTACTGTCAGGGGTATGATTTCAGTTTACAGAATTATTAATTGATCTACTGATTTGCTAACCGCAAGCAGACAATCCTGGTGCAATTGCTCGGAGACGCATCGCGAGCTTGGGTGCTAAACGCCTTCGCCTCCCAAGTCCTGGTTAGCCTAGGATATCATAATGCAACTACAGAGTCATTAGAAGACAATGACTCTAAATACGAAATTCATGATTGTATTTTTTGGTGTTATTATTATGACAAGACATTGAGCATGCTATTGGTTCGACCCCCTTCTCTGCCGAATATTCGGCTTCAGCCTACCTCACTGGTTCGTGTGCAGCCAAAGGATCCCTTAACCTGGAAAGTAAGAATCTTGGTCAGACTTTCTCAAGTCCAGGAGACTGCTTTATCTCTAGTCCTCCGAGACAAAGAGATGCGGGTACCGATCGTTGCGGAGTCCCTTCGCCGCGAACTGGAAAGTATCCAGGCCGAGACTACTCAGGTATGTTGTACGATTCTTCCTATCCGCACATGGAAATCCAGGAGTCTTAAAGATGGACCAGGCACGGGAACAGTCAAAGGACTTTGCAGCTATTGAATGGGATGCTGTCGATTTCACAACTTATGCCATCTTCACGACTATCCTTCGACTCAGCTCAACGTCTCTGCATGACCATGACAGTCGTGAGGAATGTTTATTCTATGCTCGGAAAGCCCTTGCCTCCATGATATCACTGCAAACTGAGATGCTGAGCTCAAATAAATCCTACCTTCATCCTCTTCCCTGGTATGAAACCCTTATTAAACAAAGTGGAGCCCTAATCTGACTGTTAAAATAGGACGATACTATTAACACCACTCACGCCGTTCTATGTTGTGTTCTGCAATGTTGTTGCCACTTCAAATGCCCGTGACCTTCGGCTGCTACAGGAAATTACTACAGGACTGTCTCGATTCATAAGTTATAGCCCACCCATATCCAATGTACATGGGCTCTTCTCTCAATTTATTGGCCTCTGTGGTCAAATTATCAGTGCCCAAGGGGATGAATCGTCGAATCTTACAAGCGAGGCAAATGCTATACAGCCCGCCCCACATTCAGATCACTTTCCTATCTCCCAACAGTTCCACGACCATCAACCAATGACAGCCACGGACTTCCACAGGCAAACCTCTGGGATTATTCCAGATTGCAACGAGGGATCACAGGTACAAATACCCACATTTGAGGCAGGAACAGCCCCAAAGGAAGGATCACTGTGGGATAACGGTCTCATGTGGGAGCTATTCAATGCGCAGCCTTCTATTGAATGGTTTGATCCCGGATTTCGAGATGCTATTCCTGACTTTTAAAAATGCTTCAAGGGAGAAACTCTCCCATTCAACTCAAATAACAAACATGGTCATAGTTGGATATAGTGGGCTTGCGCATAAACAACGAGCAGTTAAGGGTTTCATTCATCCAAGATACTATAATCAAATGACCCAAGAAATTTCCGCGGATCTGATTTCTTTCAGATCTTATGCAAGGCTATTCATGGGGTACATTTGTCGAAAAATTCTGCGAGAATTTCATTGACCTCCTCCCGTGCCTCCAGTTGCATCCAATGTCCAGTCGTGCTGACCTCTTTGACGACAACCTTGTCAGCAATGCACCTCATTTGCTCCCCTATACCCGGAAGCTCGACTGGACTGGGTTGTGGGCTGATCATCAAGACCGGCACTGTTAGATTTGGATTCAGATCTGCTTGAAGCTCTTCCTCTTCATTGAGGTTCCAGACCAGTGCACGATACCAGTTTAGTGCTGAGGAGTACTGGCCTTGCATGATCTCCCGGTGGATAATTCTCTCCTGGTAAAAGTTCATACGGTTTCTGGTATAAGAAGGTGGATATACTTCATACCTCTTCATTTATATAAGGAGCCAATGGTCCTTGCGTGTCATTTTGGAGCCATGCTTCCATGGCGCCTGATGGACCAACATGTTTAATCGATAATTCCGGATTTGCCGGATAGAACAGCGTGAAGAACGAGTCAATCTGAAGATAGAAATCAGTTTCTCTGCCAATTCTTTTAGATATAAATGCGACGGGATTCACATGGTTATCCAGAAGAATCCCTGCTCGGTCGCTAACAAAAAAGCTCAAATATCCAAATTTTTCGAACCCCAGAAGCTGCTTTGTCAATTTATTGACCTCATCCAAGTCGAAGTGTCCTCCGGGTTTCGAATAGGGAACCGCCAGAAAGGCACATGTCAAGAGACGATTAGGAAAGTAATTCCCGAGCCGAGAGAGAAGCATACATCCTATATCGTGGGCTACGGCATGGACCTGGGTCAGTCTCTCATGGTCTAAAAGCTCAACGATTTCTGCTGCCATATTTTTGCAGGTGTATTCTCTCGTAGCTGAGGGTTTGGAAGTATCGCCGTATCCCAGCAGGTCTGGCGCAAGGACGCCATATCCATGGCGGGCAAAATATGCAATCTGATGCCTCCAGTCGTAGCAGGAGGATGGAAAGCCATGGAGGAACAGGATTGTGGGACAGGATGGTTTGGATGCCGGGAAGAAGACGTAGGTATACGAATGTGAGGTTGAAAGGGTGAGGGATTTGGAATTATGAGGAAATGCGATGGACGCCATTTTGTCTACCCGAGTTGAAAAGAATCCAGAAACTTATACAGAAATCAAGACGGACAACAAACAGATTAAATGCTCTGCTCATCACCAGTGAGATATCGGCGACATTCGGAGACTTTATGTAGTGTTGGTTCTTGGTAGTGATGCTATTGGCTATCTTAAATTGCCATGTAAGTGGATATAGAAACAATAAATATTTGAAATATCAGTCTTGATGAAGATATTGTGTAACCATTTATTTCCATTCTTATCCAGATGCTGATGACGCTCGCTGCCAGGCTGACTGATGATAGGATGCATCATGAAAACTGTCATTATTATGTCCATTCAAGTCAGCAGACCTACTTCCAAAGGACTCAGCACGTGCTATGTGCCCCTTCCGAATCTAGTTGAAATGAAGATATAAATGTGGTCCATCGACGCTCAATAAACTCATCTTCATTTTCACATGTGATGCCGCGGAACCAGACGCGATTACAATCTCCATCATTCCAAGCCGACGGCCGATCGGGATTCTCATCCACTGCAATCTATTAATTCGGAGGACACGGATTAACATATATATATTAAGATCCCCAAATCTCCATCTCCATAGTCGGCTTTAAAAAAAGACGGTAGTTCCTGACACCTCTCTCACAACCCGAGCATCGCGCCCAACTGTGTAACAGCACTACGTCATCCATCATGACCTCGTTATTCACCATCCCCATTGCCTCGACAGGCGGAAGCATCGTCTGCACGAATCCGTCTCCAGCTGAAAATGACAAGAATATCTACCTGCTCACATTTACCTCGCCCAAGGACAACCGACTCACTCCGACCTTTATCGAGGCGTTGTTGCTCGCGTTGGACGTGATCGAGCATCGCTTCCCCAAGGGCGTCGTGGTGACCACCAGCGGCATTGCCAAATTCTACAGTAACGGATTGGATCTGGAGCTGGCGACGAGCACAGAGGGATTCCTGGAGAAATGGCTGTGGAAATTATTCCGCCGATTTTTGACGTATGTTTTACCTTTCCCCTTTCCCTTAAAATGAACGAGCTATATAAAATTAACACCCCGATTCAGATATCCCATGCCAACTGTCGCTCTTCTCAACGGACACGCCTTCGCCGGTGGCTTCATGGTAGCAATGTACCACGACTACCGTATCCAAAACCCCAGCAAAGGCTTCCTGTGCATCAACGAACTCGAATTCGGCGTCCCGCTCCAAACCCCCATGATGAACATCTTCCGGGAAAAGCTCACCCCAGCCAATTTCCGGAACGTAGTGCTGGGGGCTAAGCGGTTCCCTGGTCCCGAGTCTTTGAGTGCGGGCATTGTCGATGGTCTGGGTGGACTGGACGAGACGTTGGCGTTTATTCGCGAGCGTGGGCTGCAGACTAAAGCGGCTACGGGGATTTATGGGACGATGAAGGAGGAAATGTATCATCATACGCTTGGGGTTTTGGATAACCATGCGGGGAATCTGGAGTGGAGGGATCGAGTAGAGGATAAGAAGGAGAAGGAGCAAGAAGCGACGTTGAAGGCTGTCGAGGCGTGGGAGAAGCAAAGAGGCTCGAAGCTTTAGATTTTTGTTCATATATTCCCTTAGACGTGCATTCATATATACAGGATAAATGCAGACCAGTACTGATCAATAGAATCATAACTTTCTCGTCCGTAGGGACTTTCTTTAACAGTGCGAGAAATTTGATAGACGTAGTGTGGAGAGATGTCAGCCAGTGTCTGAAACAGGGCTAACAGGCTACGGAATATCAACGTATAATTTGAATAGGAAGGTCAATATGAAAGGCATCAAATACAAAAGGATATTTCTAATATAACACTGATGACTTTGGTCTGTCTGACTAGCGGCAGAGCCATGTTCATTCACTGCTGGCTGCCCAGTGTTGTGTTTTCTCTCCTCCAGCTTCACATCTCAATCTCTCCAACATGAATCCGGGCTCTTCTATCTCAACCACCACTCAGTCACGGAAAGCGCCGAGAAAAATTTCTCCTAATTCACACAAAAAAATGGCCAAGCGTAGGTATGTTGAGAGGAATACAAATATTTCCTCCCAAACCCCCCCCCCCCCAGCAACACCTTTCTTTCCTCCAGACTCGACCTCCCCCTCCTCTTCTCGTCTCTCTTGTCACTTCTTCAGTCACACACTACCGTTCAGACCTTACTCTTTTATTCTTTCTCATCTGACACTTCTCAGTCTCCTCCCTTCAACTATCGAAGACAAAGCAAGCCTCGATTCCGAAATGAAGCGTGGAGCTTACCTCGTCGAGCTTGCCTCTCTCCAGGTCAACAACCGCGAGAATCAGCCCAAGCGCCAGGACAACACCAGTCGTGTGGAAGACAGCTTGTACCTGGCCGGCTACCGCTCTGAGAAAGCTTCGGCGCTTGATATGCCTTTTGTCGGTGCCAGTGAACCAAGAATGTCACTCCCCTTTTCCTCCGTTATGGACCAGGTAAGATAGCCTCATGAGAGTTCTTTGACAGATTCTTGAACTGGCTTGCTAACTCAAAACCACCCAGATCATTGCTACCCAGGAGCCTCGCTATGAAGGCAGCGTCCGGGGCCCAGCTCTCAGCAGAGACGCCATCGCCAACCTCCTTCGTCAGGCTAACCCGAACTGCCCCAGGGCTCACGGCTGGCTCAAAGCTCATGAGTGGAGCAAGGCCGAGCAGGAGAAAATCAAAAAGAGGGTGGAGGACAGAAACGCCCTGAGGAAGAAGATCAACCAGAACCTGCGGGCCAAGGCTCGCGAGGCCCTGGGTGATCTGGACATCCCGTCCGATCACCTGGGGCCCGAGGTGGGCGAGGACGAAGAGGAGAGCAAGGAGACGCCGGAGGAGAGGGTCAAGAAGGCCCATGACCGACTCCAGGAGGCGTTGTTTGGCTAAATCCAGCCAGACGGTCATGGCGCTGGTTCTGTTTTTCTTTTCTTTCTTTCTCTTTTCTTTTCTTTTCTTTTCTTTCTTCCTCTTTTCTTTTCTTTTCTTTTCTTTGCTTGTTTTTTCTTCCATGGACTCATGTAACATAACGAGATGACGAGATGACGAGATGACATGTTAACGCTCTATGACCGAATGGAAGACGAATGCTCGTCGCATATTCCAAATGTCTGTCCAAAATCCTTCTAGCCTTCTCTGCTCTTGTTCGTTGTCCCCTTTCCATCCGCCGGATTTTCCAATCTATCTACCAAAGGACGATACGGCGATGCCAATACATGCTCCGGGGCTCTCTGGGTGCTTTCATCTCGTCTCGGTTCCCCAGGAGATGGACGCCGCCGCTGGTCCTCATGGATCTTATCCAACGAATCCCCCACGACCTGATACTTGGCCCAATTAACTGGAGGCATTCGGACGACATTTTGCGGTGTCGGGATCTTGCCCAAATTAGAAACATCTATATCCCCCTCATCACCTTGCTCATTATCCGTCGAGGTATCCTGGTCGTCGTCTTGGAAGTTGATAAACCCGCCCTTATCTTGCGCGGTGAGATTCCCCGCCGCCAGTTCTCTCGCAAACCCTTCCGGATCCGCGGCAGCCGCCCTCTTCATCCGATCCAAAGTCTGAATATCCCTAAGACTCTGCTGCTTCTGTAACTGTAGGATAGAAAGGGCCGAGCGCAACGCGATCGCATCAGGGTTGTCGCTCTCGGAGATTGGCACCGGGACGGGTTCGGGCGCAAAGACAGGCCTCGGTGTAGCCGGGGCGTCAAAGGGAGGAGGAGGCGGGATATTTGTCGTAGGTGAAGGCGACGAGACCGCGGGCGGGACTATGGGGTTTCGTCCATTGGAATTGGAGTTGTGGACGGGGGCGAGATGGGCGAAGACTGGAGTCACTGGGGAATAAGGCGGGCGGGGTGGAGTGCCTGGTCGATCATTGTGGTCGCTGGCGGGGGTGTCCTGATTCTCTTGCGATGATGGCTGCATCGTTTGTCCCTGGGTGTGAGGGATGGCTGGGTTTGAGGAGCCAGCGAGGATGTTTGGAAGGCTTTTATCGCTGGTTGGGGAGAAGGAGAGGAGAAGGAATGATGGATCAACGACAGGCACAGGAACAAAGAGGCGGCAATGACGACAGCGGTTGGTTTCCGCCGCCAGCCAGACCGGTGGAGTAGTGATTTAATCTATCCAAATGGTGTTTCAAAATAAATAATACTATTTTATTCAATATTGAAGATATCCAAATTAGTCTATGAGACTGATAATATCTAAATGACAACCCTACAAATCCGATACTCCATCGCATTCGGCATTTCCTGCTCAACAACAAAACGACCCTGAGCAACAAACACCGACTCCTCAACCCACTTCAGATCAGGATGACTTGTTTCAAGAATAGGAGTAGTAAACCATTCGTGATCTCCAAACTGAGTTGATCCGACATTGGGCCCTCCTCCAATGACACTTTTGGCCTTTTCGTCTAGCTTTATGATGCCCTTGTAGCGGATATAAAAGCCGTGTCCGTCGGGTGTTCGAGCTTGCGTGCGAACGTCAATGTGCATTGCATTTGTTGTTGGGTCCATCTTCTCTTGGGATTAGTAGGTGGTTTAGATATTCCAGATGAAGGATAATACCAAAACCCAGTCAGCGCCTCCAGGGAGGATATCAGCTTTGATCCCACATCCCTCAAAGTAACCGTGCGTAATGGCAGTGATCATCCGCAAAGGACCAGATTTGATCGCATTGAGATTGAGGGTGTCTTCTTTGGCTATATAGCCCCTTAAGGTGAAGCATGGCTCTAGTTTGGGGACGGCCATTTTGGCTGAAGATCAGAGGATGCAGAGGGGCATATCGCCCCTATTTATGCCGATAATGTGGTATTGTAGGTTGATCCTTGTTAGTATTCTTGATGAATGTGCAGAGATGGCGTAGAAAATGGATACTGGTGATGATCCATTGCGGCAGCAACATTCCTCAGACGAAACCGTCAATTCAACTGCTTTTGCGGCGACGGAAAAGTCACGTCATCCTAAAGTTGGAGATTTGACAGTGAAAAAGTAGCTGGATATTCCAAGCAACAACAATATGAGAGAAATTGGAGCTCGGTGTTGACATTGATTGATGCTTGACGATACTCTGCTCAGATGCTCAGATGAGGGGAATTTGAAGCCATGGCCATGTAGAAGCTTCACAGTACCCCTCAGTCTCGCCGGAGAGAGCTGGGTTCTCAAGTGCATCCCAGAGACCATGCAATAGAAAATATGGATATCAGCAACTGATTAGGTTCCTACCACATTGCTCTTATCTGATTCTGAGCAGTCAGCAAAGATGCCGTTTTCTGTGTTTTAGATTGTTGGATTATGCTTGAGCGCAATGTCAGTGATTTGATAACAGCAATTGTAGGAGGAAGCTCAGTATACCATGAGCAACCCCTCATCAACACATATTGCTTCTGAAGATCAATAATACCTTCATCACATGGAGATAATCAGGCCATAGTCGGAATCAACTCCGCCCGATCGATCGTCTGATCCCCGCAGAATTTCTCACCGCCCAAAAAAGAAAAGAAAAATGGGGGGAAAGAAAAAGATTTCATCCAGTCCATCGTTGCGATTTCATCACTCTTCAATCCTCCCATTTTTATCATCACACACACAACATGAAGCGCAAGACAGGAAGAGAATCAACCGGCGCCAATGGGCAGCCCGAATCGAAAAAACGGGCGTTGTCGAATGAAGAGGTTGCGGCGCGCTTCCGTGACGGCTTGTTCGAGCCTTCGGAGCAGCAGAAATATACCGAGGAATATGCCCAGTCTGCGCCGTATGTCTTGCATCTATCTTGATGGAAGATGGAAAATTTGCTAATTATTTTCTATTATAGATACAAGCATGGAGTGATCCACTCTCTGTTCGAGAACTCTCTTTTACGCTCGGTCCGCGACGAAATCCAGGAACATCTCCACTTTACTGAGAAGGAGACGGATATTTACAAGATCTTCCAGTCCGGCGATTTGGCCAACCTGGATGGACTCGATGATGCATCTCTGTCACGATTGCCGGCAATTCTGAGACTCCGCGATGCCCTTTACTCTGCCCGCTTCCGCGAGTACCTCTCGGGAGTGACTGGCTCGGGGAAGCTGAGCGGTCGCAAGACTGACATGGCCATCAACGTCTACAATGAAGGTTGCCATCTTCTGTGCCATGACGATGTTATTGGCAGCCGTCGCCTTAGTTACATTCTGTACCTTACCGACCCCGACACCCCATGGCAGGCCGAATGGGGTGGTGCTTTGCGTTTGTACCCGACTACTACGGAGAAGGATGTGAATGGTGAGGATGTCAAGGTTCCCAGCCCAGACTACAGTCTCGTTATCCCGCCCGCATTCAACCAACTCAGCTTCTTCACCGTCCAGCCCGGAGAGAGTTTCCACGACGTCGAGGAGGTGTACTACCCCAAGGAAGGAGAAGACAAGAAGAAACGTGTGCGCATGGCGATTAGCGGATGGTTCCATATCCCGCAAAAGGGCGAGGATGGATACGAAGAGGGTTTGGAGGAGAAGCTGGCGGAGCGCAGTAGTTTGGCGCAGCTCCAGGGCCGCGGCGACATCTATGACCTACCGCAGCCCAAGGCGATCCCGTACGTCGATGAGACCGAAGTCGAGGGCAAGGGCAAAGGAAAGATGGAAGAGCAGCCCGATACCAGTGGCGAATTCACCGAAGCCGACCTGGGCTTCCTGGTCCAGTACATCGCCCCGTCATACTTGACGCCTGATATCGCCGAGGAAATGTCCGAGACATTCTCCAACGAGTCCTCGTTGAGCCTCGAGAAGTTCCTGTCTGAGAAATTCCAAGCACGCGTGCGCACATACATCGAGGAGCAGGAGAAGAAGAAACTGCCCCAATCTTCGGCCGAGATCCTATCTGAAACCGGATGGACCGTGGCCCGACCTCCTCACAAGCACCGCTACTTGTACCAGCAGTGCCCGACACCCGCTGAAGACCAGAAGACGCCCATTCAAGAACTACTGAACGATCTGTTCCCCTCGCCAGCTTTCCGCAAATGGCTGGCACACATTACCGGCTCGGACCGTCTGACAAGCTATAACTTCCTGGCCCGTCGTTTCCGTCGCGGCGAGGACTACACACTGGCGAATGAGTACACTGGCGAGGAGCCCCGATTGGAGTTTACACTTGGTCTGACGCCCACTCCCGGATGGGAAAAGGAAGAAGACGAGGAAGAGGAGGGCGAGAACGGAGAATCAGCCGAGAAGCCCAAGCCCAAGCCCAAGAAGGACAACAAGGACGCGGAGGAGGAACCCGCCGTGGGCGGCTACGAAATCTACATGGCCGGCGACGACGAAGATGATGCCGACGCAGCAATCTACCGATCTGCCGGGGCAGACGAAGACGACGGAATCCTCCTCACCACGGCAGCGGGATGGAACCGACTGAACATTGTCTTGCGGGACAGCGGGACGCTCAAGTTCGTCAAGTACGTGAGCGAAGCCGCCAAGGGAGACCGATGGGACATTACGGGCGAGATGGGCGTTGAATTTGACGACGACGACGACGAAGATGACGAGGAGGGTGGAGATGAAGAAGACGGAGAAGAGGATGAAGACGAGGAATAAAAATAGTTTCCCTGTACATACAAACTATAGTAGATACGACGATCTGGTTAGGCGTTGGGTATTTTCAAAAACAAAATCCCATTTATTTCCTACTAGTTATCCAGAGCAACGGCCCAAAATAGTAAGGTAGCCCACTCACTCACAATAGCATGGATGGAAATAGTATGTCGCTGCCTAAAACCCTTTAGACAAGACACAAAGTAGGCAAGTAAACGAAATGCCATGTGGCTTAGACCAGAGCAATTGATCCTTGCAGACTCAACACGGACAAAATAAAAAATAAAACCGAAAAGAAAAGAAAAGAGTTATTCAAGACATGGCTTACGATTCCAAAGTGAGTGGATTAAGTCGCACACGTACAAGGCCCAAGATAACCCCAGAACCGACCACATCTCGGCCAATTTTACACTACGGACGACGTGTGTGGTTCACCAAATGCAAGGATCGACGAAAATGAAAGCAGTTAGTTATCTAGCAGAGTTGAGCGACAAAAAAAAAAAAAAGTGTCTCATGTCTCATGTCTCATGTGCTTGTTATCTTTTTTTTTTCCATGATGCAATGCAATCTAACCCTTGATTTGAGAATCCAGTGACCATATGGTGTACATATGGTTCCATGATTCATCCCTTGATCGAAAAAAATAAAAAACCACATGATGGGCAATCGAGTGTGGGAATGCCATGTGGCCGGTGGGATCAACATTGGGGGGGGGGGGAAAGAAAGGATGACGACATTGACCAGTGATGGTATCATTGGGAATGTAAGACTCAAAAAGAAAGATGATCGACACGCGATGAAAAATAAGCGATGAGAATCCAATTAAAAAGAAATCAAACATGTGGTCCAAGACAGTTAGATATTACTGCTAGTCTGATTAGGTACATATTAAAGTAATGGATCTATACCAACCCAGGTAGGTCGATAAGTGTCAAATTAAATACACGTTCAGAAGGGCATCACCTCGACTAAGAAGTAAGAACTAGAAGCAAGACTAACCTGCATATCCCTGTTCCATCACACCCGAAGACAAATCAAACATCCTGGGGTTTGCCTCGTTGCCACCAGAGTCGTTGAGTGTTGAGGAAGTGTGTACAGGTCAACTTGAGGAACAAAGAAAAAAAAAATTCAACAGCAAAAAAAAAACTCGGGTTATTGCATTATTGACAATCTGACGGACAGGCCAGGGGATTTCGGGACGGTTTTTCTTTGTGACACCCTGGCTGGAACTCGGTTACACTCGATGCAGACTGTACTCTACTACACGCACATACAGTTTACTCAATCTACATAATACATCATACAGATACATCATACTCTACAGAATACTCACTCACATTCCAACATTCAGCATCAAATATTCAAATATAAAGATAAACAACGCAAGGTCTGACTCCAAAACATCCCTGGACTCGGCCACATTGTGACTTCTTGGCGCTGTAACACAAGCGGCCAAACTAGGGGCGATCCTCGGGGGGACCATGGGAGCCATGTGTTGTTGCTGTGTGTATACAAGACAGACACACACACACACACACACACACACACACACACGTCTGACGGCTCAAAAATGGGCCGCAACCGGCGGTATTTGGCAGACGCCCCCGGTCGCTAGTGCGGGTTACTTTGGACTGGCTGTCTAGTTCTTACAGCATGCAAGTACATGTTACTGGGTACATATGTACACACTACTGATGGTGATACTCTGAGCAAGGCCTATCTCCTTACGTTGTGGAACAGTGGAACCTTGAGCTGATCATCCACGTGAAGAGTCAGTTGTACTTTACTTTTCGTGATCTGTTAGGGTTATTTAGTGCTCAGTAGTTTAGCGACATAGATAAAGTAGGTATCTATCATAATCATATTTCATTATCTATCTAGAATAGATATGTACTTTTATTGTGGGAATACTGGATTCTTCAGGCCACGGGACTTTTTATTTCAACGGAGAGCTGCACTGGGGGGTGTTTGCATGTCCTGATTGGTCTGTTCGCCCTGGATCGACTCGGACCCACTTCCCGCTGGGATCCAGACCACGCTAGTCCCCTCCCAGCCAGTCGCCGGGCCGGATCTGCCCCTCCCCCGTCTCGATCAGAGAATGAGTACTTGAGTATGAAGATGATAATGATAATAAGAAGAGGATTTTTGAAGATATTAACATAAAGATTGGAATATAGTAGGTGTAGTTATTCTGTTATCAAGTATAGTATAGTCGCAAGATGGATATAGTAGATCTGCGATCAAGTGGACCGTACCTGGCATGTCCTCCACCTAGTGGAAAAGCACTCTGGACTTGCTGTCTTGCGCCGGAAAGGGGATCGCCTCGTGGGAGTCGTGGCGGTAGACTTTGTCGCCCTCTAGTGCACATCTCCAATGCTTGGCGGGCAGAACTGTTGCTTCAACTTCTTCCGAGTCTGACAGTAATCGCTGCTTTCTGGCTCAGAGTGGTTCTTCAGCTTAGTCGATCATCTGCCTGTTCTTCCCCAGGCACTTTAATATCAACAGCCAAAGAGGGGTGTTGCAGCACAACATATTCTACCTTTTTCTTTCTTCCTCCTTCTTTCTTTTTGTATTTCTTGTTTCTTCTTTCTTTATTGCTTGTCCTGTCATCTACTACATCTTTATCGATCCCCCACTATCTGGCCCGTTCTTCTTCCGTCTCTCTCCAACTCTCCTACTATCGATAGCTTCCGCTACTAACCCATCGACTAGCTCTGCGATTTTCCCACCTGATCGTGTCGTTCCATCTGTTCCTCAGATCCGTCGTTTCTTTCTTTCTTTTCTTTTTCTTTTTTTCAACCCTTTAATTTCTCTCAATTGCTCTTTATCTCTCTCCTCCCACTGTCTCTCTGACTCGTTTCCCTTCTCCCTCTACTTTAACTTCCCTCCTCAACCTCAACATCTCCACCTCGTACTCGGACATCTTTCCCAATCAGTCTCTCCAATTGTTCTCCCACTTTTCGTGCCACGTTTTGTCTCCACGACGTGCACGACGGCTGGCGAAAAAAATCCCAGGTAAGCTCCTGTGCGCTTGGCTGGGAACCATGTTGCTGCGCCCCGGACAAAACTCCCTGAAACCCTACGTTGGTTTTTAATTTATTTTAATTTCTTCAGAGCTGACGCATATTCCACGTTTTTTCCCCTTGACTAACAGACTTAAACAACCATCTATACTATAATTTCTCTCTCTCTCTCTCCCTCTCTTTTTCTCATTTCTATTAACTAAAATTTTTTATCCCCCTCTCTTCCCCTCTCGGTTCGTGTCTCTTTTTTGGGTCTTTTTCTGCTCTCTCCCAAATAAAAGCGGTCTTGGCTCCGACCATTCCTGCCACCGTCCCGTCCTCCGCCCTCCACCTCGACTGCTACGACCACGAACCGTCGGTCTCCCGCCTTCCTCCACCCCTCCTCCTCCTCTTCTTTCTGTCTGCTCCCCTGCCTAGTCTCCCGTGTATATTGGAGACTTTTTGGTATATATTTCAAGCCGGTGTTCGCCAGTTGCCTTGCTCCTGTTTGCGCGGCTTTTCTCCGTTTGCGCCATCGAGGACTACCTATCCATTCTACGAGTCGCATCGCTCGAGTCGCTCATTGACCCTGGAGGAAAGCTGTTCGGACGACTTGTTGGTGACTTGCATTGATCTACCAGGGGCCGGTTTAAAATTTCACCAATTTACATATCGCGAGCGTTTTACGAATACCCTTTTCCTCCCTCCGGACTATTTCCCATCAGTACGTCCGTCACGACGAAAATCCTGACCCGGGTCTTGTTACCAACAATCGACTGCACGATTCCACGAACCGATCCTATCTTCCTTCGCTCTTGTCCATCGTCCCAGATAATGAACTAGTGCGAACGTGGCGTACCAAGGATTCTTTTGCATTTAGTTTGAAACATTCGTGCGATCTTCACCTACTACAACGTCCGCTCTCCGCTATGGAGACCACTGTCACTCATCGGCCATGGGAGCCTGCCACCACAGGGCAACAAAGCCCTCCAATCCCATCGTCGAGCCAAACTCTCCCTTCGATATCAACTCTCACCGCAAGCATGACCACCACCGCCGCCATGCACACGGCTGAAAAGTCGCCCGGGAACGCCTCGTTAAATACGATCGAGCGAGACTCGGGAAATTGGTCAATGCCTCAAAGTACAAGTGACTCTCCCTCTTCATGTATGCATTCGCTGACTGGACGCTGACCTCGGTGCTGTAGGGTCCTCCACCTACTCGACCGCCACAAATGGAACCAATAACTACCCCTCCCTCTCCTTCCTTACCACCACCGCTCAACCCTCTCCGAATCGTGTCTCTGGCATCTCCGACCGCTCACCCTACCCCAATGACCACTCTAATACCAATACCCCACCCTCCGCTGGAGCTCAACCCTCCCCCAACTTTGGCTCCTCGCAGCAGCCTTCAGCACTTCCGTCAATCAATCAGAACTATGAAGGTCCATCTCAACGGGGCAGCGTGGCTGATCCTCCCGAGTCGCGTCGCAGCAGCGTGGATAGTCGGGTGAACCAGGCAATCAGCTCCTTGGTCATCAACCCAGCTTCTCCCTACCACAGCACCAATGCGTCCCAGTCATCCATCGTCTCCGGTCTCCAAAGAGAGCGGGGAATCCCGACAGATGTCAACATGGCCAATGTTTACCGCGGTCCCCGATACTCGGGGGGTCAACCTCTCTCCCCGTTGGGCCCGCGGGGCGAGCATCGTAGCTTTGCGGCTGGCCGCACAGCACCTGCGATTTCGTCCAACCCTCGTTCCGAGATTTACAATGCGGAGGCACCCACGGCTGGTTTGGCCTATGCCTTCCCAGACCCGGATGTGGCACGATCCAATTCGGTCTCTTCTACCACTGAAAAGTCGAGCCATCAATTATTTCGGAAGGGCAGCGCTGCCGAGTCCGTCACAAGTAGCATATACTCCGATTCACGCTTACCTCGTGGCCAGCATGGTATGTGACATTCTTTCCCCTAAACCCGACACAAAGCTGACTCACATAGAACTTCCTCAAAATGTACACCATCATTCAATGCAACATAAACAAGTCCGTGATTTGATTGGAGACCCCGATCAACACGGCGGCACCCCATACAGCCGAACACCGGAGCTGAGGGTGACACATAAATTGGCGGAGCGAAAGCGTCGGAGCGAGATGAAAGATTGCTTTGAGTCTTTGCGAGTGCGTCTTCCGCAGAGCCAGAACAACAAATCCAGCAAATGGGAGACGCTCACAAGAGGTACGTGGCTAAAGGACTTACATTATTAACTGCTTCTTTACTGACTTTTCATAGCAATTGAATACATCTCACAACTGGAAAAAACGGTTAATAGTGTACGCCGGGAGAACTCGGTTTTGAGGACCGAGATGGAAGAGATGCGGGCTCAGCTCGGCCAGCAACAGGCCAACGGACATTCTCGACCCGCATCTATCTTTGAACATCATCCAATGGCAGGACCGCAGGCGAATGGACAGCCTCAGGGCCCGATATTCTCCAACTACGGTCCCGGGCCTGGCATGGTCCAGGAACAGCCCCGTACTTTACCGCCTCTGATGAACGGTTCTGTCGCCCCCATGCAGGGTGTGCAATATACCGATGAACGGCGGTAATGTTGATGCGGATGAATTGTTATGTATATGGATTGCAGCGACAAGTTTGATGATGATGTCGGCTCAGTTGACCGTTATTTGTCCTTTGTTTTAGACGCGAAACGGCTTTGTATTAAACTCATGATCCTAGATCTGATTCGGGTGGCTTATCTCCCTTTAAGCGAGATACTTGGTTTCTTTTTCTTTTGGTTTTATTTTCATACCCGTGGGATGTGTTTATTATTTTTCTGTTATGATATCAGGCTCTGTTGGATTTCGACTGCTGTGCCGAGTGTTGTCTGCTCTACGACGGGAAGAACGTTGTGCTCATTTATTCGTTTTTCGCGCATAGCTCTGCATTCTGGGCATCTTTTTTACTTCTTCTGCATTGGAATGGAATGCAAGGAATTTGGATATAGATATGGGATGTGTTTGGTTACTCCATCTGTGTTGGGCTTGGAGGTTTTGCGATTTTAACGTGTACCAAAAGAAAACATCAAAACTTGGCATGGAAGTGTTCTGGTGTGGAATGCAATATCATGGTCTTTTTTATCTTCATGCAGCATCTTGATACCTCAGTACCTACTATGGTATACAAATGAATGGGATTGATTTATGAAGTCGCCAGCCAGCCATGTGCATAGTGAGTCGAGATCGCCGTGTACAAATAAATAGCTGAAACACTTGAACTGTCAAGCACCTCGATGACAGTCCTTCTTAATTTAACTATCGCAATCTCAAAATCCCATCTATAATTGAATCTATGATCTATTTTTGTTGCGGGCCATCCTGATTGGCTGTCTGTGTGTGCTCTTCACGTTTGGCGCCATCCTGCGACTCCTCCATCGTCATCCCCAAGCGCTGCCAACATCTCGGCGGCTACAGAGCTGCAACCTCTTCCCCTCCAGCCAATGCGATCGAGGAACCTGAATTTCACACTTCATTCTGCAGAGTCGATCCCGAGCTTCTATCCAATCAAGAAGAATGACGGAGCTCTCGCTGCAACAGCACCCCTGGAGGGCTGGCGGGCCTCATGGCCATACCCGCTCGATTGGGTTTCTGCAGAGGGCGAGAGAAGAATCAAAACAATGCTGGACCTGCGCATGAGCTCTCTGGACTAATAATAATCGCTGTCTGGTGGATGGTAGTTTCTGCAGCGCATGTTCCTTCTCTCTCTCTTCTTTTTCTTCTTTCTTTCATCTCTTTCTCTTCCACCCTCACTCGAGTATTTTTCTTGTGACTGGCTTTTGATTTGATGACTCTCTTTTTTCTTGGAAACGAGGGTGTCTGGCCGGAATTTTCCTTTCACTCTTTCTTCTTCCTTCTGGTTCTCTTCGACTGGATGGTTTTGTGTTCACAGTGAATGACAACAGCTGGTGCTATTGTTTCGCCTTTGAGACCCTTTGTCTGTCCCGCCTATTATTCACGGTCGTTTCCATTCTCAATGCTTTGTTCTCAATAATAGAAGCCGGGTCTTTTTTTTCTCTTCTTCTTCCTTCTTTGTTTTTCGTTTCAAAACGCACTGGTTGCTTCATATGACCTTCTCGCTGCTTTGTCTGCAGGTTATTCTCGACGTCTAACCACCCTGGCAGTCATATCTGTCTATCACTTTTGGTATGTCTCGGTCGAGTTAAAAATATCTTCATGGTGAGGCTGACTTACATCTCGCGAAGTAGATAAAGAAAATCCAAGACATTGCATAATAAAATGGCTCCTGCTTTGCAGAAACCGCAACCCGGGTTGCTTCGTATACCTACAGTGCCAAATTTCCCTTTGTCCTCTCCGATCACAGAAGAGGTTGACAGCCCAACATCGTCACCTGAGGACAGAGAGATGGCGAGAGAACGACCCTACGAGTACCTCGCTGCTAAGTCGTCGAGTCAGAATCCGTTCATCCACGAAGCAGATTATAACACAAATCGAAGTCAACACGGGTCGTGGATTGATATAGATTCCTCGCATACTGCACACCAAGCAGAGTTTATCGGGGATGGATCGAGTTTCAATAATAATGGGATCATGAAGCAGAACCCTGACAAGCCAGTAGGGTTGAATCTCGTCACGGATTTTACTCTTGCGAGTCCCCCGAAACGTAACGATACTCCTGCCGGTCCGTTTGTCGATTTGGATGATTTGAAACAGCTTTCTAGGGCACGGGAGCAGGAAAGGTCTGCGCAGAAGCTCAAGGGAATCTTGAAAAAGGGAACAGCTCAGGGATTTCATCGGTTACCGGAAGAAGCTGCTGAGCAGGAGAAGGGGGGTTCTTCGTATCTTGATCTTGGGAAGAAAGGCTCTTCAAGCAAGAAGGGTAAAGATGAACTCTCACCGTCTGACAGGCCGATTATGATCGGTTACTCAGGCCCGTTTGATGAAACTGATCCTCGGAAAGACAAGCCAAGAGAGCTTGACAGTGCATGCAGTCAACTCACGCCGCTTACTCCATCTATTGTCGTCACCCCCGCCAAGGGAGATAGCTTTTGGGGTGGTCGTCTTAGCCCAGAGCAGCATCGTCCACGAGTGGCATCCAGCGTGTATTCCCAACCCACGCCGTGTCTGATGAACGGTGAGGTTCCTCCTGTTCCTGCTATACCAGCCTTTCACTCGACAGTGAAAAATGGAGAAGGGGACTTGGACCTACTTCAGAGACAATCCGTTGTATCGAGGAAACAACGGCCCTTCTCGACGGGTACGCTTTTCGAGGATGACAGCCCACCGGGTGCACCAGGCTCGCGTTTCCGGTCTTATTCGAACGAAAATCTCAAAAGGTCTCTCGACCGTTTGAGCATCAACACGGATACGAATAGACATCAATCGCAGGGATGGTGGAACTATCTTCTGACTCCTATGATGAACCGTTCTAGCACCTGGAGCCGAAAAACAACACCAACCAGTCCAGAAATACCCCCGCTGCCCACTCTCATCACTACTTCCCCAGAGTCAAGCGTTAACTGGTGGGATACGGATAAGGAAGTATCCTGCTTTTCTCCGGATACCCCTGAAACGTCGGTAGCTGGTCGAGGCGAGGTACCGAGCTGGAACGGCGCTGGAACGAATCCTTTCGCCGGTCTCAAACGGGGCAACAATGAGGAAGAAAACAGCACAAGAACAGGTGAAGGTCAACGCGGCATGGAATCTTCTCTGTTCTCCTCGGGAAGTCCGATTCAGGGCCACGCCGCTGAGTACTATCAAGCTTGCGCGCATGAACTGTTTAGTGGCACGCCCTACTTCGAATGTTGCAACCATGTATGCTCAATAACGCCCAAGGGCCAGGCAGCTGCTCCCATCCCCCAGGAAAGTGCCCAACCGACCCAAGGCGACAGAGGTCTAGCTATATTCGCAGCATCGCCCCACCTCGAAGAGAAACCCGCAAGCTCACCAGCCGACAAGGGAATCTCTTCTCCCACTCCTACTTCCCCTAATACACAATCAGTCGCAATCAAAAAAGCAGCCGATGCCATCTTCAACGCAGTCAGGGAAATGAACGCCCCGAAAGAGAAAGAGGGCTCCGGAACCTTGCCCAAAGGTGGCCCGCCTACTCCAATCGCCAAAGACAGCCCTAAGCCACCGCAGCCCGTTCCTGAAATTTACTCGGAGAAGCAAGCGCCGGAAAGCTATAACCAACCGGGTCTTACTATCCCGCCCCCTGTTACTCATATTTACTATCCAGCTGCTGCGAATACAGCGCCTGTTCAAATGCCAGTCCCGATGCCAGCACCGATGCAAATGCCACCACCAGCACCAGAATCGGCGCCAGCGCAAGCTCCAGCTCAAATGCCAGCACCGGTATCAATGCCAGAGCCAGAGCCAGCACGAACGCAAACGCCAGTGCCAGTGTCAATGCCAATGCCAATGTCAGAGCTAAAGCCAACCCCAATGCCAGAACCAGAACCCGCCCCAGCACCAGCAGTCCCAGCGGAAATGGCGGTTCCTCATCATTTAGTTGTGCCCTCGCCGAACCCAGATGCACAGAAGCAGCCTCCTGCTCCGGCTTCTCCTGGCCCAATATCCCCCGCTTATCAGCAAGCGACGGAGAGAAGTGGCCCTGGTTTCATTCCACTGGCTCCGATGCCGATGGCCCCTCCAGTACCGGCGTTTGTTGCGAGAGACAACAATCATCATAGTATGGCATCGTCGCGTATGGACCTTCTCCCAATGACGAGAGTGGATATGTCACACCCCGTCACGGAAAGAGATAGGATTGAGTCTCGACGACGCAGGCTTGAGAAGGAGGACAAGGCTTTCAAAAAGTCAGAAAACATGTGGCGGGGCCGATGTCTATTTAGCAACAAAAAGGGGTGTTTTGGAAAGTCAACTAGAGAAGGCAAAGAAGGACGCACGAAACGACGCTGGTACTGTGTCATCGCCACGTTCTTCCTCATCATTATAATAATCGCCATTATCCTCGCAATCAAGCTGACCAGGAATGGCGATGACACACCAGGACAGTCGCGATGGCTGAACCTGACTGGCTATCCACCAATGCCCACGGGTGTTGCAACAGTTGCTGGGCCCGAGGCCCAGGTGCAGAACTCTGGATGTATCAAACCGTCTACTTTATGGAGCTGCGCCTTACCAAAGGAGGACCAATCTGCCAACAAGCCCTACAATGCCAACAACCCCAATTTCCGAGTGAATATTCAATTTCAAAACGGAACTTACGATCATAGTACCACAATTGCGTCAAGATCAAATTATCTGCTAGGGTCTAGGGCTGGTGGATTCGAACCATCCCCATCGGCGCCTTCTATCAAAGACCAGACCTTTCTGGGCAATACGACTGACAAGAACTCTGTCCCCTTTGCTGGGGAAGAGACCCCATTTTTCATCTCAATGCTATCAACCGTCTCTTCATCAGCATCCCGACTGGCTCGGAGATCTGATGATCTGTTTCCTAACCTCAGATCTCTCATCCCCGATCCTGATCTCGCCTCCGATGGGACTGCGGCGGCTGCAACCCTTTATCCTCTCCCCTCTTACCAGCCTATACGACTCTATAACCGCGGAAAGGATGACGAGCACTACGGCTTCTACACGTATTTCGACAGATCCATCTTTCTGGAGACCAACGGTCCCCTCAACGGCAATGGAACGGACACCTTTCCCAACGATGCAAATGGCGGATCAACCAAAGAGGATGCCAAAGTACGATGCACATGGGCACAGACCCGATTCTTAGTCCAGATCTGGACCCGCTCTACAAAAACACTCCTCACGCCATCCTCCAGTCCAACGCCCACCGCCACCACCATCGCAACCCAAGCAACACAGACAAGCAAATCGACCACCTCATCCTATGCAAACGATTTCACGCGCCCAGGCTCCTTCCCATACCCGGTTACAATTACACTAGACCGACACGGAGGAACCGCCAGAAAGAAAATGGTCTACTGCTACGGCATGGAAGAAAATCAGCACGTCAATTCCACCGCAGTCAAGTTGCAGGTCGAACAGCGCGGGTTCGACGGTACATATATTGACCCAGCACCGGGTATCTTCAGTGGTTCTGACTCGTCGTCTTCGTCTTCGAATAGCACGGATTCTACCTCGGATGGTATCGATGGCGGTACGGGAGGATGTTCTTGTCAATGGACGAATTGGATATCTACATCATAGTTGGGGGATTACATTGATGATGACTTGACGGCATTGATATTGGGTTTGTAATTTGTTTGGAAATAATAGCCTGTTATATTAATTATGTTTTCGTGACTTGGCTTGATGAATAGAAAGCAAAAAAAGGAAAACAAAAAAACCTTCGTTGGTGTTTCTAGATAGTTGATAGAAATAGACCATTGGAATAACGAATTAATTCATGATACATGTATCTCAATATTAGCATTAATCTAGAAGTCTAGCAGCCTAACAATCTAGTTGATAAACCCCGTGTGATAGTAAAATCAGCATAGCCAAAGGAAGGGGGGGACGTAAATGAAACGCCAGATTTCTCCAATAAAATAATGACCAAAGACATTCTAACACCATAACAACGAAACCAGTGGTAGAATAGCCAACCAAGGGAGTTGGGTTAGGTAAGGTAAAACAGAACAAATCCAACACCGAAAGGCAAAATAAACTAGGCAATAGACTCCTCTTCAAGCTAGTCGTAAAGCAAGAAAAGGGAAAGAGTTCATCATCTATGCCATGAGCATCACACCCCAGGCGAGACTGCCCGCAACGGCAGAGATGTACCCGAACTCAGGCGAGATCTTAGCGCCCGGGTTCGAAGGGACGAAACCAGTGGAGGTAGGAGACTCGGGCTGAGCGCCGTTGACAATGTTTCCGCCTCCATTGGGTCCTGAGCCGGCGCTGGTGCCGGAGGGAGCGGCGGAGCCGGAGCTAGTCTTGGTCTTGCTCTGGGAGGCGATGCCGCTGGAGCTAGCGTGGCCGCTGGCGTGGGCGCTACTCGTGGGAATAACGGGGTGGGAAGAGGTGACGACAGCAGCGCTGGTTGGGTTGGTGTGTTTGGCACTTGTGGTGTGGGTGAGGTGACTGGTCTTGGAGGAAATGGTCACGCTGGGGAAGGTCTGGTGTTGGCTGTGGGTCTTGACGGGTTCGACAGTGGTATGAGGGACCTTCTCGGTGGTATGAGAGACCTTCTCAGTAGTGTGAGGGACAGCCGTAGTCTTAATTGTGGTCTCCTCCTTGATCTGGCCGGCGTGGGCGGAGCCAGCGGCGAGGGCCAGGAGAGCGACAGCGGAGACGTGCATTTTGATGTGTTGATTTGGTTATTTGTTGATGTGAGTAGACTGTTTTGTGTCAAGAGTCAAAGTCTTAGGACTTAGATAACGAGAAGAGCAGTAAAGATTTCACGGACGGAATGAAGATATCACTAATGGAATGAGAATGGAGAAGAATGAAGCTGGGGATAGACGGATTTCCAGGGATTCTTATAGATTTCTGGACTCACGCAAATCTCGACTTTGGAATTCATCAAAGACACGCATTTCCCTCTTTGCTTCTGCTTTCCCTCTGCTGATCGTCTTGTATTTCTCTGGATTCGGAATAAAGAATATAAAAGTTTGAATAAGGTGTTCCTCCGGCATTCCAGCAGCGCTGTTCAGAATGCACTTTGTATCTCCGCGAAGGGCATTCCATGTCACGTGACATGGCGGGTTCGGCCATGCCTCAGCCCTGTCGCTCCCAAAGAGGAATAGCGCCGCTCTGCATTTCCGTTTCCGGAAGTCCCCTGGCTGTTGCCGGACAAACGATAGCGGAAAAGAAATGGAAGAAGAAAAAGACGACGACGACGAAGACGAAGACATTGTTTTGGAGAGACACAGCTGGGGTGTGGATGGGGTTGCCATATGGCATGCCAGGATCAACACGATGCGCTTGCGGGATAAAGGACATGACATCTGAATGCATTATCCAAGTCGGGTACAATCCTTTTGTCTTCAAAACATTCTTCAAACTGCACGTTACATCCTTATATTGAGAGTAGATGAAGGGTGCAGGAGCGGCAACTGATCATATGGCACAATGCATTGTCGCATCGCGTGGCAGAGGTACAGAAGGCTGATGGTACACGTCCTTCCTTTCCTCAGGAGATCAATAAGGCAATAAGACTCAATTCGAATTGTACCGTGTTGAAGCTATGCATATCTGCTTGTGATTTCGATGTTAGCTCAGCTATCTGGCTTCGTATTGTCGCATCTGTAGCATCTTTCAGTCACTGGTGCAAGCTCTAGCCTGCCTCTATGATCAAGGCAAACAATCAGAATTTTCAATCAAGTTGCTAGGCTGGTTATCTCCTTTTGATGCCCCAGGCATGTAATGTGATTATTGGCACGAGGCCGGGGAATGGCCCTTATGGTTCGAAAATAGAACTGCTAGCTGCTGGCACTATTAGTGGCCCAAGCTCATTTCTTCTTCTCCTCAACATGTCATTCAAACGGTCCATGGTTTATTTTGGATATGAATTGAAGATGGTGGTTGATAGGGATGGTGCCTTGAGTATTATGGCTTCATCAATTGAGAAAGCCTAGAAAACCATCCACCAGAAACGCCTAGATGGTAAATGTCTTTATTTCGTGATGATCTAAAGATAATTCGATGATTATCCTTGAGGATCAAAAGGAGAAGGAGAAGAAAGAGAAGGTGAGACCGAAGATGAGGTCCGTTTAATCAGGCGGGTCTCAACTCCGGTCCGTCGATCCCTCCGACTCCTTTGCTTGGTTATCGCCAACACCCCCCTCTTTTCTCCTCCTTTCTCATTACCATCACCTTTGTGGTTCATGTCTTCCTGCAAGGGCTTGATGCCATCAATAATCGTCCATGCCTCCGAGACCCGATATCCACAGCCCGTCACTCCTCTCCCCCGCCGGCTACGATGACGATGCCTCGTTGCGATCGCCGTCGGAACAGGACTCGGACTCCGAGGACGACGAGTTCCTGCGCAACTCTCGCACCACATTGGAACTAGCAGAATATGACAGAAGTGTCCTGCAGGAAGAGGATGAGATGGAGAAGCTTTTGACGCGCAGTGGTCCCACCCATGGACTGCGCAGGATCTTCAGCCCCAACGGCAGCAGTGTCAAGATCGGCAAACGAGAACGGCGGCGACAGCGGAAGAAAGCGCGGCATGATGAACGACGCGGGCGCCGTGAACAAGTGAGCGAAGATGGAGAACTGATGTATGAGATGGAAGAAGGTCATGGGGATGATGAGGCCTCCCTCCTTAGCTCTCAATCGTCGGAATTCGATCGTCCGGAGAAGGGGGAATTTACTTATGTTCAGGTGAGAATACAGTTCCCTTTGAATGCGCATTCATAGATTATGGCCAATTGACATTCTCTTTACCAGCCTCGACGACTTCCATGGTGGAGGCTTCTCATAATATCCGCTGCAATCCTCGTTCTCTTCCTCATCTTCCTTCTGGGTGCTTACAAGGCCTCGAGTGAATTCCGAGCCTCCCATTCTCATCAGCCTTTGTTATCGAACGGATCTGCCCTATTTGCGCCCACAACCATCTTTATCTCTCTTGATGGGTTTCGAGCCGACTTTCTCGATCGCGGATTAACCCCTAGCCTCAGTTCATTCATCGCGGCCGGCGTTTCCCCACAGTATATGCTTCCAAGCTTTCCCAGTGTCACATTCCCGAACCACTTCACTCTGATGACTGGACTATATCCGGAAAGCCATGGTATTGTAGGTAACACCTTCTGGGACCCAGACCTACAGGAGGAGTTCTACTATACGCACCCATCGGTCAGCATGCAAGCCAAATGGTGGAATGCAGAACCCCTTTGGGTGTCAGCGGAGAAAAGAGGCTTGAAAACCGCCGTCCACATGTGGCCTGGCTCCGAGGCGCATATTGCGGACATGGATCCCTCGTTATTGGATCAATACAATGGATCGGAAGCCCTTTCCCGGAAAGTCGATCGCATTCTGGAATTTCTCGACCTGCCCGGTAAGGAAGGGGAATCGACAGTTGTATCCGAGAGACCTCAACTCATCGCTGCTTATGTTCCTAACATTGATGCGAATGGGCACAATTACGGCCCCAACAGCACCGAGACTCGAAGCACCATCGCGCGGGTAGACGAGATGCTTGGTGATTTGTTCTCGGGTATCCAGGATCGCAATCTGACCGACATTGTCAATATTGTAATTGTTTCCGATCACGGTATGGCTACAACAGCCAATGAGCGGCTGGTGCAGCTTGACGATCTGATCGATCTCAACCTTGTCGATCACATTGATGGATGGCCGTCTCGCGGACTGCGCCCTAAGAAGCCGGAAGATTTAGAGACCCTGAAAGCGCAGCTGGCAAACGTCGCGGAGAACTATTCCCATGCTGTCGAGATTTACACGCTTGATACTATGCCTGAACGCTATCACTTTAAAAATAACGATCGCATTGCTCCGCTCTGGGTAATCCCCAAGACTGGTTGGGCCATTGTCGAAAGGCCCGATTTTGATGTCGAGGAAGCCATTCGCACAGGAAAGACCTACCACCCTAAGGGTATTCACGGATACGATCACGAACATCCTCTAATGCGGGCTATTTTCATGGCTAGAGGCCCTTCATTTCCCCATCAGCCCAACAGCCGGCTGGAACCTTTCCGTAAGTTCACACCCGTTCCCTCGAGCTTAACTTAAAAAGCTGACAACCATCTAGAAAACGTAAATGTCTACAACATCATTTGCGATTCCCTAGGAATCGAGCCGCTTCCAAACAACGGAACGCTGCGTCTTCCTTTGCAACCAGTTGGCCTCCATTCCGACGAAGACGCTCCTGTTCGTGTTAATGTCGATGATCCCCCGGTCAGCAGTACTACTCCCGGCATTATCCCAACAACAACGACAACAACTCCAGCTGTAACCGTTCCAGAGCCTACGTCTCCAGCATCTGAAACGACGCCAGAGGACCCCGAAACGGACGATGAAAGCGAAGATGAGGAAAGCTCTACCTGGTGGGGGTCTATTTGGGACAAGGTTGAAGACTTGAAGGACTGGGCGGGCGAGTTGATCGACTCCGTGAAAGATAAAATTCATCACGGTAAATCTAGTCAATAAAAATTGGCTGTAAATTATTTGGTGTGGTGATGTTTTCCGGTGGGCGATGGTGGTGCTGCGTTTCTAGCGTTGATATACTGAGACAGTGAGGTCATTGTGGCTTATGATACCCTTTTTTTTCAGCTTGTACACAATATCGATATATTTTTATCAGAATAATTACTATGAGTTTCATTGCTTGCGGGCCTAATGGCTTGTTTAAACGAGGAATAATGAGTCAAGTGGCGATTCTATACAACGATGACCCACTGAGCATCAACAGCCCAAACTTGTTTAGGAGCCCGAAATGATCTGCAGACCTGGATCGACATGGCAGGATTTACAATTCCCCCAATGAATAGATGCCATCTAGCCGAGCGGCCTTGTAAGGTAAGGTTCATGCGTCATCCTGCAGCCAATGAGGCTAGATGGAACAAAATGGGCGACTGATGCCTACGAATGATTAAGAGCCGCATGATGATGCCTGGGCCTCTTGAGACGGTGAGAAAGGGTATAAATAGGTTTTGATTTCTTCTTCTGTTGTTTCTTCTTCAGTGTGTTTCTTCATTTATTTTCTTGACCTTTGATAAGTTGCCTCGTGCACAATGGCAACTACACCCTTCCCGAGCATCAACAGTACGTACCCTCGGCCGTCATCCGAGACGGAGGTCCTCGAGGCTTTTATCCCCGGATATTCATTCGTCTCTCGATTTGCCGCTTCATACCTGCACATTGACATATCGTATTACGTTCCTTTTCTCGTCGCGACGGGTATCCTCATTGCATCCATCAAATTCAGCTCCGGGAGGATCTGGGAGCTGTGTCGGACGTATTTTGTGTCGACGGCGGAGATCCGACTCGACGATGAGATCTACAATTATCTCATGTTTTGGATGGCAAAGCAGCCGTTTGCCAATCGGACGATTCATTTCGTCGCGGGGACCAAGACGAAAAGTTCGATGAGGTATTGGGAGGATGAATCCGATCGCGGGTCTGATGATGAAGATGAAGAGGGCATCGAAGGCGAAGTAGGTGTTGGAAGCAAGAACGAGAAAGGGCAGACCAGCTTCGACGACTACTGGGCCCGGACGGTCAGTCGAGACAAGTACAAGAAGCTCCGGTTCACGCCATCGATAGGAACCCACTACTTCTGGTATAGAGGGCGCTTGCTAGCATTCATTCGCGAGCAGGATGAGAACACCAGCAAACTGACCTGGCTGCTCAACAACGAGAAACTATATATCAGCTGTCTGGGCCGGGATCCGACCATCCTCAAGGAGTTGCTCGCTGAGGCGCAACAGACATACGTGGAACGCGATGGGAATCGCACCGTCATCTATCGCGCACAGAAGAACGGCTCGTATTTCGACTGGGTGCGGTGTATGGCGAGGGCACCACGGCCTCTGTCCACCGTCGTGCTTGATCACGAGCAGAAGCAAGCGTTTATCGAAGATATCAAGGAATATCTTCACCCACGAACACGCCGATGGTATTTTATCCGAGGTATCCCATACCGACGCGGTTACCTCCTGCATGGACCTCCGGGTACAGGAAAGACGAGTCTGTGTTTTGCGGCATCTGGATTGCTGGGTCTCAAGCTATATCTTCTTAGCTTGAACTCGAAGACTCTTGATGAGGATGGCTTGATGTCGTTATTTCAAGAGCTTCCTCGAAGATGCATCGTCCTACTGGAGGACGTCGACAGTGCTGGTATCACAAACAAGCGAAGCAATGAAGAGGAAACGGAGCCGTCACCTGAGCAGGGCTCAAAGGGGGCAGAACTTGAAAAGGGAAAGCCCAAGGAGGAGAAAGAGGAAAAGGGGGGTGTTACCCTCTCTGCTCTACTCAACGTCATCGACGGCGTGGCCGCCAGTGAAGGCCGTATCCTCGTCATGACGACCAACCACGCTGAGAACCTGGATCCTGCCCTGCTTCGTCCTGGACGTGTCGATATGAGCATTCATTTTGGATATGCCGATCGCAATGCGATGCAGGAACTCTTCTCTTCCATTTACGCCACACTCGAAGGTGACTTGCAGCCATCGTACGTGAAGCGCGCGGTGGAGAAAACCAATGTGGATGAAATAAAACGACCATCACGAGGTCAGATCGCTGCATTGGCTGCCGAATTTGCCTCGCGTGTCCCAGAAGGAGAATTCACTGCAGCTGAAATCCAAGGCTATCTTCTCAAGCACAAGGACCTGCCAGAAGCTGCGATCGAAGGGGCAGAGGAGTGGGTGGAAACCACCCAAAAGCAGCGGGAGGAGAAGGTAAGCAGTTCTGCGAGGCCATCAGCTGGAAAATAAAGAATATGAGAAAGGCCATGATATGATGATGATGAAGTACATAGCACCACTCAGGACGTCGATCTTGTGTATATAGACACTCATCTTAATGACTCGTGAATAATTGAAACCAATTACCAAAGATCTTGACGGTCTCTCCTTTGTTCATTTTGATGGTTTAACAGTTACAGCTTGTAGATAGAGACTTGAAAATATGTCAGGGAAGCTTCAAGTAGCTTTTTGTTTATGTCACTGCTCTCGACCGAAGAATTGTGGCCGATTCCCCAGATGAAGAGAGCCACAGCATATAGAATCTGGATTCTATTGGGTTACTGTTTTTAAAAAGCATGGATGAGTGTATACAGCCAGGTCATTCGAGGGACAATTGTCTATATGATACACATATTTCAAATGCTGCCATCTAACAGCGTGTGATACACCTGGTACATTTAGCTGAATATATCCCATTACGCTATGTTAGTTCGTAGTACCAGACAATGTTTTATAGTCTGGAACCTTTGAGCTTGAAAATAGCACATTTTCACTTTCAACTGGCAACAATTAGGGCAACAAATCGAAAGTGACAAGTCCAGGTATCCGAAAGCGGCCATCTGTCGTCGTCCAGTTTCAGATGCAGGAGCCTCCACTCTCTAGCAGCTAGGATCGACCATCGAAAAGAAATAATGAAGTTGATAATTCATATGACATGTTCAACATCATTACCTCATATTCTCTAGGTCTGTAGAAGGCAACTAACTCCCCTCAACGCGGGAGAAGTGGGGTGCCGGCGACGCAAGGGCAGGGTTGCCCGCTCATGGCATCAATTGGAGACTCGAGGCAAACATGGGTTAGATACATACCATTCTGTCTCAAAGGCTTGGACTAGAGCATTTCATATCTGCATATGTATACACGTGTACATATCCCGGTCACCATGCGCTGTTCTCTTTGGTAAGTAAACATTAGTTGAGTCTCAATGCCATCCATTCCTGTCTGTGTCTGGGTGAGACACTCACAAACTTCACATCTTCGGGAGCCAACTGAAGAAAAATAGAAGAATGAAGAATCGCAATTATTCAAGGTCGTTGGCTAACGAGAAAAAAAGGCTTTCCGGCCTCAGTTTGAAACATCGTACTTCTGTACCATGGCTTATCCATGCCATTGTAAGTTAGTTTGAGGCCTATCATCATCATATCTTCCAGGTTTGCTTGATTGGCTATAAGCCATGTGGAACGCTGCACCAATCCTTGATGCATGTACCGAGAAGGAGAGAAAAAAGCACTCATTGCCTGCATTGGAGCCCAAGCAGCATGAACCCTTGGGCATTGACTCGGCGTTGCCCTCGAGTGACTACCTGGTATTACATTGTCTCTGTATGGCTATCGGTCCAATAGTATTATATTGTCAAGTCCACGGAGCAAGGAGATACCCTGTGACATACTTCCAGGGTCAGTGAAAATAAAAAAGTTTGTTGGGGCCTGCAAACTCACAAGTCCCTGCAATAGGTCTAGAAGAGGCTATCGTATATTTTTCTCACTGGTAGCATAAGCTGCTGCATCAAGCAACTTTCTGGAGTATAACTTTGACTGGATCATCCTGCCAGAAATTCTGACAGTTAGGCACTGTGGATTCCAAACCACCAAAAAGCGTTCCCACTAAGGCTGGACCGGCTCTGTGTGTATTTCGCTCGTCTAGGCTATCGAACAAGCGTGTCGGGTGGCCAAACTCTCTTGATTCATGTAGAAGATACAGACTCCTAAGTGGCTCTCTTCGGCTTCCATCGGACTAAGCCAAATCTCGTGAAGATCGCATCTGTCAACCTTCTTCATTCGTATTTACCCCGCATGTGTTTGTTTCACCTAGAGATCCTTGTAAATAAGTCGACGGGGAAATGAATCCTACTGCGGCTTTTTATCCCATAACGTCACGGACACCACCTTTGTCATATGCGGTCTGCGGGGAAAGAGCATCGATATTAGATTCAATACAAAAATCAGCTTTTAATCAGGCGACTTACCACCTCAAAACGAAAATTTATCGGAGGTCGACGTCATGGGAGCCTAGTTTGTGGGATTGGCAAAGGGTAGCAATGCGATTGAGGTATTTTGGCAATGTGAATGCAGGCGATCACTGGATTTCAGGGTTTATTACCCCAAATCCAAGAAGATCAGAGCGTAAAGAAGGGAAATCTCGTGCCTGAGGAGATTGGTTCTAGTTGTGGGGTTTTGGGAAGAGGAGCAAGAGGGAAAAGAGAGGAAAAAGGTGGACGAAGAAGGAGACGTGAAGTCTTCGCTGTGTTCCCGTTTAGGATGGCGGCTCAACACAGAGAGCCAGCGTAGGGTTGGAGTTGCATACCTTCTCTATTTTATAATGCAATCTTCCCATGATGGTCATAATCATACAAAACATTTCAATACACCAAAACCGCTGAAGACTTCTTCAAATGAACCCAATAAATAACCCCTGAACGCCTCTTAATCATCATATACATATAGTATAAACAGACAGTATATGTCTAGGACTTTGTAAGAACCCAAGACTCAAATGGTGTCCCACGCATCTCCTTCCTCCCATTCGGCTGGGTATTATATAGAACCGGCTCAAAGTCAGAGACAGAAGCATACTGCCGGACCAGATGACGCCAGTAGCAAGACTCGGCAGCAGGAGTGAGATATCTATCCCGGAAAGTCTTGACTGCATTGTTCGCAATGCGTTCAGCTGTCTCGGGGTTGTCGATGAGAAACTCCATCTTCCGGCTGAGATCAGAAAAGTCACGCTCGACTTCGACGTAATTGGCATCAGCACCAGAAGAGACGAGAGCGGCATGATGAGCCTCTCGCCAGACCAGTTTGTGCGAGATGACCACCGAGCGACAGTTGAGAAGATACTTGCCGCGACCCGAAAAGCTGCGTCCTTCTGCATGAGCCAGGAACATGTATCGACAATGCTCCTCCATAGGCAGTAGATTGTATCGAAGATCGTTCTCGTCGTCCCAGTCGATCACCCGGATGCTGGCCCAGCTGTTCCCTAACGACGATTTCAGCAGTTTACTGCGAACCTCAGGGTTTGTCGCGATGCTTCCTCGCCAGACAAGCTGCTTCTTCTTATCCTGGAAGCGAAGTGCAGGAACAGATTTACCACCCGGCGTCGTCTCGCCTTCGTCGATGACGGCAATCCTTTGTCTGATGCTGTTGTACGGACCGATCATGACCTCGGGCCATGACCAGTATCCAAAGTCTGGCATCAACCATACACTCTCGTCCTCGTCTCGTTTGGAATACGACCATACTGGCCCTTGGCCATCGCTGAAGTCTTCCGATGTAAAGATGAATTCGATGTCGGGGAGATTGTGCCGCTCAGGAAATGCCATCAACGCACGATGCAGAGAGTTCAACGTTGCCTTGGCCCGCGAGTAGGTCACAGGCATCTTTGCGAAATCGATAATATACAACTATCGAACCAAATCAAAAGTCAGGAAGATCCTCACTATAGACAGCAAGGAGGCGTCATATTGATAACTTACCTCGCCCTGAACAATCATCCCTCTCACCATCCCATCCTCCACCGTCCGACTCTCCAAATCCTTAAACGTAATCCGCTTATCATTCTCCCTCCTCCAAGACGCAGACTTGTCGATCTCCACAAACAGCTTCGGGAAAGCAATGTGACACTGCTCATCGGAAAGCCCATGGTTATTCCCATCACGCTCGACCGCAAACTCCCAGCTCGCGTTATTCGATGATAACGGCGCAGGTGGGGGACATTCCTGCGGGGTCTGTTTGATAGGAGTCTTCACGACATATTTGACGACATCATCGGATTCTCGGATGCCGAAGACGAGGAATGTGATGAGGGTTAGCGAGAGGAGAGAGCCGGTGACGATGAATCGGAACCAGGGAGACTGGCTTTGTGTCCACCACATTGGAGTGTGTATCTGTCTGTATAGGTATTGAATTGAGTTGACGTTGTCGTCTTTTTAATCCGAACACAGGCTGTTGTATACACAGTATTCCGTGATTTGTTACTCAATCATAGGCGATCTTCAAGTCAAAACAACGTATAGCCAAAATAATAGCTTTAAAGTAAAAATATATTCATTTAAGGATAGATGATCTGATAAAATGAGTGATTGTCATCGCCATCACCATGTTGTTTTATCGATTGTCTGAGATTCCCCTCACAACTTGATCGACGGTCTCCATAGCAACGGATCAACGATTCTGGGCCATCGACGATCTGCCGTCATCGAGATATGCTTAACCCGTTCCACGGTCTGGACTTTATTGCATATGACATGAGCTTGTTAAATATACATTTATTTATTCTGGGGTCGAGATTCGGTGCCAATCATGGGTAGAAATGACCGATCACCAGGTTAAAATCATTGAGCAGTTCAAGATCACCAGTCTGCCAATCTATCGAATCTATAATTTCGAAAATCTCAATTATGTATGTACATGGAGACTGCGAGTGCCACAAGGGGAAGATGTATTCAAGGGGTATCTCAAAGTAAATCAAAATATAATAAGGGCAAAAGATGATGGTAGCTTAGCGTCAGAATAGCTAGACCCCAGGTCTGTAAACCAGCCGAAGAAAGAAAAAGAAAGAAAGAAATAGAGGGGAGGTGAGTACCGTGAAGACAAAGGGCCGTTAGACACTGACAGCATCGAAGATTCGCGAGAAAGTGGCAGTCAAATCCAAAAATACAACGCTTCTCATTGAAATCCGTTCAGGGTGTCGAGACATTAAGTGCATGATTCGAAATGGAGGTCTTCCAAGTCAGCCCCCATCAAGGGTAAATGACAAAGGGCTATCGTCCACCATTACTCACAGCCGATCCGCCAGGACTGCTACTGAAGTAACTTTCATCGATCTTCAGGATCCATTCAACCTTCTGGCCTTCTGTTCGGGCTGCAAAGAGGAACGTGTTCTGCGTTCCGTACACTGCAAACACATTCGGCCGGCCTTTAACAGGGGTACCATCGCCTCCTGACCCTGAACCATCGAGCAATCGTGCGAAATCGGGTGCATGATCCACACGTGAATTGCGTAGGTTGATAGCATTGATCTCATCCCCATCCGGAACGGAGTGGATATGGAGATATGGTCGACGAAGTTCGACAAAGCGCCGTACCCAGTGGCTGTTGGTATCATCGGGCGTCAACAAGTATCCAGACTTCAGGGAGGCGGGGTTCTTCGGAAGAGTTTGGATATTTGCAATGAACCGTGGCCTCAGCGGTGGCTGTTCAGAAGCAGGGCTATTGAGATCCGATGAGGATGTCTGTTGCGAAAGCAAAGCAGATGGCGCTCCTTCTGTGGGAGGATCCGTATTACTCCTCACAAGTATAGCTTCCGTAGGATCTGTCTTGGTTGCCCAAAGGTCGAGATATTTTCGGAGAAGCTTGTCTCTCCGATCCATACGCTCTTGGTTACGCAAAGGCGTGGTTCGACCACTCCGGACCGGTGATGCCCTAAGGCTGCTCGCGCTGAGGGCTCCTTTGGCAGCATTCAATTCTGCAATACGTTGTCGGCGCTTGCGGGCTGCTATGTAATCACGGACTAATGAGACCTTCCGTGGAGACCAGGTAGTCAAGAGTTCCTCGCCCTTCACGTAGTCATTTTGGGTGTTCATGCGCCAAAGATCGGCCGCACGTTTGGCAGAAACGGGACGGACGGCTAACGAAAACATGCGAACCGTAGAGTGTACGATCCGAGTTGAGTTGAATAATTGTTTGAACATTGACTGCTGCCGCACATATGTCCGTCCCTGGATCTGGATAGTCGGGTCCACTTCAAATACGACTGGATCTTGCAGCCGGGCTGAGACTAGATTCCACCTAACTGTTACCTGCACACGATACTTGTCTGCGGTAACACGATCAAGGAGGAGAGAGCCGTGCAAGCTTGAATCCCACTGGCCCACTATTGTGACATTAGATGTTCCATCTGCATTGTCCTTTACCATAGGTTCTTGAACAAATTTTAAAGGAACATCTGGGGTTTGAAGATCTTGGTCCGGAATCTTGCCCCACGGGTCAAGCAATCGAACAGAACCCACGCGGATCCCATTAAGGTCATCCCACGGAAGGCTTTCGGTTGAGCTATAAGTGAGGTTGATCAAAATACGGCGTTGTAGACCTTGGTGAAGCTGGTACGTGCCTGCGTCGAGGCTGTCATTCTGCACTACTTCGACGGGGAGGTATTCACCCGATTCGGCCAATTCGAGTATTTGGATTCTCGCAAAAACGTCGTGTCTCTCTTCAGAGTAGAATTCCGACTCTGCGATACGAGGAGCTTTTCGTTTCTGGGGTGCAGGCTCCGCTGAGTCACGCATATCATCCCAACTCAAGAGCTTGTCAAGATGCATTTGTGTCACATGAGCATAAACGCAAATTTTCAGCGCTGCGGTGCGTGGGCTGGACAAAGGTAGACTCATGCTGTGAACACTTTCGAACCGGACAGGACTCTCGTCGAATCCACTGATCATCTGCGTTGTAGTGGCACCCCCTTCCTCGGAAATACCGGGCACGAATAACTGCGCATGAACTTCCGTTCCTTCCCACTCGGCGAAACCAACCATGTCTCGCATGACCACATTGAACTTGAGAGTTGATGAAGGTGCCTGGGCTGACGATGGCTCTAAAGAGAGTCTGATTATACCAATAACGCTTTGTGTATATGGAGAGGTGACTTCAACCGAGAAATCTTGGACACGAGTTTCAAACACAGCAGTAAGCGGGATATCAGCGTCACCCACAAGGGAATATTGTGGCGAACAGGGCTCAGAAAAGGGATTCTCAAGTTTGAAGTGCTGAATATAATCTGGGCGATCGATGTACTGGTGCAACTGGCGCATGGCCTGCAGGCGGCGTTGTAGTTTCTCAATAGACCAAAGGTGGATGACACATTGTTTGAAATCAATGACTCGTACAGCAATACAAGGCTTCTTTGTCTCGTCTAGTATAATATCTTCGTCTCCGGAAATGCCATTGAGCACGAGGTCATAGGATGACGCCATGTTATGACCATGGTCAATGACTGCAAATTGGAATACGGCATTTTTGTCCATGATTTGGCTCATCACCTGGGCCTCCTTCAGCAAGGAAGCATGCTGCAGGACTTTTTCCGCCATGCGAACGTAGTTTTGCTGTGACCAATGGCGGTAAACCGAAGTTGCAATCTCGAGCTCCCTAGGGTCCAATTTTGCAAAGCCATTCTCGAAGATTTTTGGGATTGGTTGGCCCAAGTCCTTCATCTGAGTTTCAAAGGCTTCCTTCTGCTTTTTTAACTGCTGTTCATACTCCTCTTTAGCCGTTCGAAGCGCTTCTTCCATTCGAACCTTTTCGGACCGTATTTCGTCGCCATCCTGGTTAGAAGAGGCTTCCGCAGTACGCAGTTTGTCCTGGTACTCTTCTTTTTGTCTGTCTAGTTGACGCTGCATGTCCTGGCGAACAGACTGCAGGGTGGTAGGACCATGCGTGCTATCATCGTCATCTTGTTGCCGAGGGGTTCCAGGCATAGTAATAGCAGTGTCTAGCGAGAAGTTGTCGATAGTTCCATTGGACATGTATTTATCACGAACTGGGAACGAACTGAGCGAATCTGAATCCTCCTCGTGCTCCATCAGCCCACGACGGGTCGCTCGTACTTTTTGCACGTCTTCGAAGAGAGCATCCAATTCATCATCAGGCATATGCGAGATGTGATCAGTACCCAGTACAGCACTGACGGCTTCTCTGCGAGCTTGAAACCAATCTGACTCACGACCACGGGAGGGCATCGGAGAATCGCCCCTGTTTGACTCCCCATCTAGGTCCGAGCCAGTTTTGCTCAGGTTTCGATCATGCGTTTTGTTCGGGGCCGGAGAGCCAAGTTGGCTAGTAGTAACAGAGTGGCGTAGTAGACTCTGTTCTACCCGTTCGGCGCGGGCTTCTTGGGGATGGTTAAAACGGAAAATGTGAAAGTCGCCCATGATAACACGGAAACCACTTTTGAGTCTTGTGGGTTTATCCACTCGGAGTCCGTTCACCATAACCGCGGCACCTTCGTTCGGTACAACTGTAACGACGTTGTCCACATTCTCAAACTTACAATGGTTGGGAAGGATTTTGGAGCCATTGAGCCTGATCTCAACGCCACTATCTTGGTCCATATTCCCAACCGTTGTTGTTCCCGGTTTGATGTTGTAGACCAAACACTCCGCCAGCAGTGGATCGTCACTTAGATTGACCAAATGTGGCATCTTCTTGGGTGTGCTCAGGCCAATGAAGCCTTTCTCAATGCTGATTCCCAGTTCTTCCAAGGCAGTCTCACGTTCCTTGTGGATACGCTCCGTTGTCTGCAACTTCTCTTCCCATGTCTGGTTAAGATCCTTGTAAAGCTTCTCGCTTTGGTTGAGCTGCTCCACAATCTCGGCTTTGCTGACTTTGGTGACGGAACCATCTGACTGATGAATGGAGACTAATTGTTTTTCCAACGGAGTATCTGGCGGGTAATATTCCTCCGGGGGTACTCCCCCTGTTGCTACCGCTGCACCACCTGCTGCCGCCCCTGCTCCTCCCGCACCCCCTACAAGCTTGGATCTTAGCTGAGCCAGCTCCTCCTTCAACTCTCTTATCATTCGCGCGTTCGGATCCTCGTTCACGACGGCATGGTTCTTGATTCGTTTGGCCGAGTCGGCGTACCGTAGAGTACCAAGGGTTTCCTCAAAGTTGATATCTGCAGGTGAGATGGCTGCAATCATCGCGGTCATAGAGTTACCTCCTAGTGAGTCCTTGAGAAGCCATGTTAATACGGAATCACGATACGGAACCATTGATGCATTTTTCTTCTTGCCGGCAGCCACATCTGCAAGCGCGGCAATTACACGACCAAGTGTTGAAAGAGAGCGGTTAATCTCTGCACCCTCCTTCAAACGAGCACCGGTGGCTCCGGTAGATGTTGCTCTTTCAGATCCTGCCAAATCGACCAAACTAATTCTTGACACTTTCTCTGTATCCATTGATGTTTCCGAGTCATGGCGTTTTTGGGTGAGTGTCAGTGTAAAGACGGCGTGTGATCGACTGGATGTTTCGTTCATGTTGGTCGCAGCAACCGTTCTTGCCTTGTTACCTTCGTCCATCAGATTCTCAATCTCGTCGAAAGAGCGCACAACAAGCTTGGCGAGATCTTCGACATAAGGACCTGTCGACGGATGCTCACGGACCTTGAGATTCCCTTTGTTCGACGGGTTGAGCAGATCGCGGACCCTTTCGTTGTAAATTTCGAGATAGGACACCTCGACTGTGCAACCAAGATTCTTGTCCTGTTGGATGGTATTGATGCGCTCAAACATGGCCTGGCAAATCCTGGGGATAACACCGTATTCCTTCCCATATCCCATCATGGAGTACGATTTTCCGGAACCCGTTTGACCGTATGCGAAGATACAGTTGTTGTAACCCCCAAAGGCATTGTCCAAGAGCGGCGTACCAAGATCATCGAATAGGTTGTCCTGACTGGCGAAGTTCGGGGCCTTCTTGTCGAAGGACCAATATGATCTGTCGAAGGCGAACGTTTTCGGTCCCTCTACACCTTTCGCGCCTCCCTTTCGTGTTTTTTCTTCGGCACCTGGTGGTGGTATGAGGACGGTCTGAGAACCTTTCATTTGCACAATACATTTTGCGCCTCTGTCGGTTTCTATATTCGATCACACCCCACGTTAGCGGAGGTCTCCGAACGTTGTCCAATTTCACCGACTCACCTCTGCTGTTGAAAGGCCGTACTCTCACCACCACCTTGATATTTCCACCACCGCCTGGAGCCATGATGGCTTATGCCCCATGCACTGGGGGCTCGTCACCGGCCGTCGTGGGTGAAAAGAATTGGCTCCGAGGGCGCGCCGTCGGAAACAATTGGGAACACCCGAGTCGCGAACGCCACAAGGAGCGCCGCACTAGGAAGATGTTGCGAGCTGGTTTAGGTCGAGTCTGCTATCGTAAATTCGAGGGTGTTGGTTGATTTTTGATGGTCTGGTCACTGGCAGACTGCAAGATGATGTTAAGTGTCAACAAAGACGTCATGTACGGAGTAGTATTAGGGGGGGTGCTCCAGCGCGTCTCTGGGGTAAATATGGCAACTGAATCGCAGCAACCCCAGCGTTAAATTGGATGGCTGTACAACTGGGACTGTTGATAGAACAGCAGCCGACGAGAAGGCTTCGAAGGGAGAGTGAAGGGATTGCAATGACCGACTCGGAGTCTCGCCAGGCGGCTTTCTCGCTCTGTCCTCTGACTGACTCTCGCTCTTTTGCCAGGCACGGGGAAAAGCCACATGAGACCGAAGGCGGGATCCAAGTGGGCTGCTTAGGTAAGCAGCCAATCAGGATGGAGCGCTCCCCGTTTCTGCACCGCCACAGGCAAAAAACAAGATGAACACCACAAGTGGGAGTGGATGGTTTCTGCATCCATCCGTCTTATTGGTTTCCCAGCATCTCCTTTTCTCGATTGACTACTGTGCGGGGTGCTGGGATATTGGTTGTGGTTGGCGATCGGTTGGACCATGGTTGGCCGTTCCATATTGTATGCAGATTAGAAATGAAGAGGCTGTCTGCTTGGCTGGTTATTGCTGTTAGCCACACAGGTACAGTGTGCTATGAGGAGTGAACGGTCTCGACTCTGGCATTCATTCTTATAATCTATTAAATAACTAATATGAGTCCTCCATAAATATATTACTTCTCACATTGGTAACTCTACAACCATCCATCATTCAAGTTGAGTTACCCGTCTAAATCAACTGTCAAAATATATACCTCCAGGTTATATCTATTTAGTATCAGGACCATTTTATTCGAGAGAACACGAAAATAATAGCCAAACTTCATATCATTGTCTACATTATTCTATATCCATAGCTCAACACTCCAGAATATAGTTATATCCCCAAGCACCAACACTTATTCCGGGCATCGCACCAAGCGAAGCCCACCGTCAATCGTAATTCTACCCGTTCCAAAAAATCCATTGCATCATGCCTTACTCATACAAGATCTAACGGCTGATAGACAACTCATGTCATTAGCAATGTCAAATGCGTCTGATCACTGCTGTGTTACACAAGGCTGGCCAAGTACATCCATCCCATGCTGTACTCGGTAAGCACCCCGCATCTACAATTCTCACATCTGCATAAATAATAAGCAGATTACGATCAATTAACATACAGGATCCGTAAGAGGCAGTATTAGAAACAGTGATGTAAATTTTATGCCTAAATTAGTAATATAGTCCTGGTAGGTGGCCTAAGACTATCGGCATGGGGTGTAAGCATTGTAGGTAGGTGTAGATGTTCGTGCCCTAAACTTACGTCGATCTGGATGCAAAAAGTGGGATGGGATGGATGAGACCTACACCGCCACTATGCTAGGCATTTATTATGTGTGTTTAAGTTTTCACTTGCAATTAGATCGACTCCATTGCTAATTATAATAAAGTATTAAGTATTATTATCTGTGTAACTCTGTGGTGCTACCACTCGACAAAGTTGGTGTATACTTCCTGGATGGAGATCAAAGCATCTTCATCTTCAATATTTATAATTTATCTCTGCATATGTATGCAGCTCATGATCCTGCATTGGCATTGGTATACTACCCTACCTATAAAATGACTCACTGGGCAAGTATGATACCTTATCCTGCCCAGTCATCTGCTTCTCAGCAGCCCAAGTCTCCATCCTACATGCCTGTCTTTGAACCTATAAGACCGAAGCATATAGCAAGCGGTGAGCCTTGATTTCCAAATCCACTGCAGTTTAATATCTTTCCTCTGTTTGGTTTGTTTTTCTTTTCCTCGGTGGAGGGGGGTCCAGTGTAGTACGTCCACATGTATCGATGCCCAACCGAGCCAGCTGTGTGGGCAGGCTCGACTGATTAATTCTGCACATATAAAAAAGGGAAACAGAAGGACTGACTTTTAAAATTCCAAATGTACCTGTTGGGATTTTTTCCTTCTCCTTTTATTTTTTCTCTTTCCACTATTTTCTTAATTTTATCCCTTTGACTTACATTTTGTATCCTAATTTCACTAGAAATATCTTTAAACCCGTCGACGGGGCACGACATCGAATGAATGCGCTCGACTTTCCTCGTCCCAACCTTCTCGATCAGTCGAAACGGACATCGCATGATATTCGGGTGGAGAATACAATATACCTACACTAGGCTGAGGGATTTGGCATATGCCAAATGGCTTGGAGTGCTTGGAGAGTGTCTTGGAGGGCCTACAGGCAAATAGGGGGCTACTATCCTTGCTGCCCTTTCTGGGCATAGCAGGAATCAAAACGAGGCGACACTAAAAATGCAGCAGGAATGCCTTAGACACAGTCGCAAGCTGGAGAATGAGATGGACGTTGAAGTGGCCAGGGGGACGCACTGGATAGGTTGGGAAATCGTCAGAAAATGACAGACCAGGGCCAAGAACGAGTAGCTGACGAAAAGGGAGAGGTGGGAGTTGCGAAGACGACCCCTCCAAGGCGCGTAAAATTCGGAGACAGGAGGTGATTGTCAGTTCCAGACCCTTGTGTCCAGCAAACTAGGCACATCGTGATGTCCTATCAGATCCGGAGAGGCAATGATTGGGCTCTTATTGGACACAGGCGATGGGGCGAGATCGTCCAGCTCATTTTGATTCCCTTGCTCAAGGCTGTCAGGAACCACATATCCTCGGGCTTTGGTTATTGGTAGTGTAGTGCTGTCATCCAGCTTTGTGGCTATGCCACCCAGTTCTCCTGACTGACACTGGGCCAAGTCTCTGGGGGTTCTGCATTGCATGATGCGTTGTGTAAGACTGACTTCAGCTGTAGCTCGTAGCACACCTCTACAGTAGCGATGGGGACAAGTCACGCCAAATGACACAGTGATTGGTGTTTCGAATGACGCAGGGAACAACCTGGAAGATCACAGCATAACCGTTATTTCCATGCCCCGCGCTTTGCGAGGCCTTAACCGTGGGAAGTGGGAACCGGAGTACCCGCACGGTATTACTTCCTTTTGCAAAACTCCGTTTTCTCCATTTGCTTGAGTGAAGCAAGTGGCCTTGCCTGTATCACCTATCCTCCGCGTCACGGGGATGATTTGCGTAAGAACCCCCGATTCACAGGGGGGCCCAAATCCAATGAAGAGTCGAGGAGTGGTAAATCTTTAGCAAAGACCACAAGTGGCCAAACATCCGTAGATCCATATTGTCTGATTTTCTAGGGAGCTGAGTCTGGTGGCAGTGAATGATGTGAAGGATACACGGGGATGGTCCAATAGTTTCCCGGGGAGCAATCTTCATCACATCCTATCCCACTTTTCCTTTCATGAGACGCAAATGGTACTACTTGGGTAGACCTAGTAGCTGAGATTGTAATGTGCCATACGTAAGATACGAGTAATTCTCGACGATATGGACTATTCAAGGCGGACAAGAAAGAAACGGCCACGCATATCAACCATCACGTTCCTTGGCCCCGTTTCATTTGCCTGAATGAGCATCCAGCATCGTTCCGGCCGAGAAAGTCCGTCGGGGAGTAATCAGACGACGTCGCAGCATATAAATTCTTGGAATATCAATCATAACATCGAGCACCATCACGTGTGTACGGAGTACTGTATGCCGATTTGATTTCGGCAGTTGACCTTGTGTAGAGGCCAGCCAGTAGATGTTACTGGCTGAGAGGACTGTATTGAACGTGCATCTGATCTAAAAAACGGTTGTAGACGTGTCCTAGCCCCGAATGGCCTTGTCGATGCAATAGACAGCACTCGGATCAAGCAGCAATGCACAACTTTGGATCGAGAAGGTGGGCTCTTGTGCATGAGATCAAGTGTTTTGCAGTATGTACGGCAGTGAAACAGCAGCGACTGCAGTCAAGGGATGCATGGTCAAGTTTGTATCTGAAGAGAACCATACAATCCACGCACTGGAAGACAAATATTGATCAGGTCGTAGATGCCTCAAATTGCCTGAAAACAATTATTTTGTCCTCGACTGCTCTTGTATCTGGCGGACAAGCGGTGTCGGTGGGGGTCACAAAAACTTGACGTAAAGTGGTCAGAGCTTCCTTTTTACCTGGTAGATCTATGGATGTATGTTTGGTACTGTACTATACAACACTTTCATTTCACAAACAATCTAGTTTCAAACCACACTAATAACAAATTAATAATGGAATACGCAGAGTTCTTTCCATGTGATTCATTTCGTTGCTGCACTGCTCGAGTTCCAAGTCCAGGATCCCTCAGCTCTGATGAGACAGAAATAACCAGCGGTCAAGCTTCCACACGTGGAGTGGGACAGATCGGCACCAATCTCCTCTGGCTGGGATTGGGCCACTTGAGAATCCGTGTGTTTCGCAAAGTAAGAAAGACTGGGATTCCCTGTTAGGTTGTTGGTGCCTTCAGGTTGCGTTGATGATTTGATACCTTCTCCTCGGTACTGGGGTAGAATCTTCGTGGGCAAGATTAAGCTCATCTAGAAGCTATTAGCTTTACATATGAAGTATCATAGGAAAATCATTCCTGCTGTACGCCCCCAGACAAAGAAAGGAAGCCGCAAAGAGAATAAAAAAGAAACCAATCATTTTATTTCCACTCTGGTGGAGTATGAAGGATCAAAGCCCGCTTGGACTATTTTTGCATGCATACTTTATGTTATCATATCCCACTACTATCTGCTACATCGAGTACATTTCAAGTGGCTTTGAAAACAGACGTGCATTAAAGCTAGCAGTATCACGGTTGCCTAGATGCAAGAAGACTAAATTGGCACACCAGGCAAGTTGTGAGATTGAAAGATAGAATGCACCATAGTAGTACGGTATTATTATCATTTGCAAGTATTTATCTTGATGGTTATTTTATAGTGGTGAGTAAATTGATCTTTGTCTTGACATACCAGGATTCGGAGCCCGACGGGATGAAGCAGACTTGCCCAAATAGGTAACACAACCGAGGGCCATGGACGGGTCACAGCCATCACGAGTGACGAGATCCGCCGAGCACACTGCTTAGTAGGAAAAAAATAAATAATAAAAGTAAAAAAGAAATTAAGGATACGTATTTAGCGGGTAAATATATGATAGATATGATACTGTAGACATTCTCCATCTTTTTCCAGGAAATTATCCATGAGAATACATAGGTAGACAGCAGCCAGTCAAGAAAAGCTGGCGCCAGCACAATTGATTGGTAAAATCAAGTCTTGTTCTTTGGGAACCAATTGGGGTGGCTGGTCCATGTTATTTTCAGATCGTGCGTCATGGTATTGTCCCGAGGGCGACTCGCCCGGGTTGCACATGATGGGCGTCAACTTCGGGATGACCGGATTTGCAGATTTCAGACTTGTTTGGATGTTGTTGATTTTATATTCTATAAAATAATAATACAATAACATTATGATGATTATAATCGTTGCTATTACTATATATCAACCCAATCTGACACTCTTATTAGAAAATCTACTAAATACTATGTGCTGACTACCAGATGATGATGGTTGATGTCATCCAATGAATACCATACCGTACAGTACCAGCAGTGGGGCATACAATACCATACCGCACAATACCGCCGTCCGCTGGTCTGATTCATCGCCGCCTCGACCGCTAAACCAACAGCCGAGCCAGTCAGCTCCCCCTCTGTGTGCGCCCGGTACAAATGCCCCATCGCCCGCTCTTTTCGTCGCTGCGGCTTTCTCTCTCTGCTCCCTCTCGTTGGTCATCCGCCCTCTCCAGTCCTTGCTTTGCTCTCCAGTCACCGTCCTGGCCGCACAGAACCCCCCCCTCTCTGCCTCCCAGGTTTTTACCGTATCATCTCGTCTTTCTTTTCAAGAAAGAGAGATCACTGGACTCGGTGCCCAACCCAATCATCATTGCGTTTCTCCTCTGGTCTTCCCCTCCCCATCCAATCCATCCTTCTTCTTCCCCTCGTGATTGATAGCTGCGATTTATTATCGCCTCGCGATTTCCACGGTTTGGTCGAATCACCGTCCTAGGTACGTTGGAATTAATTTGTCCCTTGCTTTGCTGCTGTTTGGTATAATACCTTTTTCCTCTTCTATCCAATTATACATCAATTCCCATTACCTTTCGACGCTCGTGCGGCTCTTGTCGCATTCTCCAGAGTCGTCCAACCAGTGTGCGCGCGCGCTCGCTGTTGTTTACACCACCACCCAACCAGACATCTTGCTGCAATCCATCCATTTCCATCAATCAATCAATCCATCTCCCCTCCCCCCTCTCTTCCCTCTCCACAAATCACAATCATCATTTTCCTGGCACCCCATCATTACCTTATTATTACCTACCTGCACCCATACCACTGCCTGTCGCGTTTTGGCTGAACGCTTCGACCTCGTTCGCGGATCAGCTCGGGCCTGACATCAGCAGTCGCTGCCAGCCCACGGTCGCGCAGAGAACCGCCTTGCGCTGTCCGCCCTCTCGTTGGCAGAGCTTGCGCTTTCTCGCCCCGCGAATCAACTCCAGTTCCTCTCTTGACACACGGGCGTGGTCAAATCATCGCGTTGCTTTGGTTTGGAAGTTGTTTCTGCTTGTTACTGTTCATTATATCCCTGCGGAGAATATCCTTCCAGGTAATAATTAGCCTCACCCAACCACCACGCATGCCGTTTTTGTCCCTTGGCTTTGGCTTGCGGCCCGCAGACGCGACTGTGATTCCCCCCTCCCCTCACCTTCTGATGTTACTACCCACCTTCCAAATCATCAAAACTTCAGACAGCATCTCGTGCTAGTGTCGCATGTTCTTCAGGACACTGCACATATGCTTGTCGTTGGAGTAGCCCAAAATTGTACAATTGTTGATCCATTGTTATGGCCCCTCGTCGCGTTGAAACTGTGATGTCAACCCCCCAGTCGCCCAATCAGCACGCGTCAATCTTTTATTTACTATGTTGATTTCTTTCCTTTTCTCTTATCGTTTCTAATATTCTTATCCTATCTAGACGCGCAAATTTTCTGTCCGCTGTCGCAAAACAACATTCGCACTTTGCGCGCGCCAACGACCGGCTTCCCTTGTACAAGGCGTTGAATGCGATCGACAAGGTATGTCCCCGGCTGCATCATGGTTCCCGCTCTTGCCAACGCATACATACTTCGGCCCTGAGTAAACGACTCTGCCACGATACCCCCCACCACTTCAATCGTCCCCCAATTGACAGCACACAAACCAAAAATCAGCCATTTTTGTTGGTGGGACACCGCAGTGCTAATCATTCTTCTATAGTTGAGTTAGCCGTGCAAGCCTTTCCCAGGCGCATCCTGACATCAACTCTCCTCGAATCGCGTCATAGTCCTGAGACCGTGGACCAGGATATCTTCACCCACCTTGACTCCGGAGAAGTGGGCAGCCTACGCCGCAGCACCGCCTCAGATCCCAGTCTTCTGTTCCCCACTCCTCACTCTCATCCGGGTGTGGCCGAACAGCCTGACGGTTTTTGGGTCTAAACCAGATTAACAAGGTAGCCATCGGATCAAATAGACTGCGTAGTTCCGACTATTATCAGCCCCTTGCCCTGTGCTGGTGATAGACAGGCGACCGGCATTATCAGGTCATCAAGATCGCGCTTTGTCTGACAACGCATCAAGTACGACATTGTCTCGAGACACCCTTGTCCGCTGCATCAGAGCCCAACCACGTTACATCCGGAAGTGGGTGTAAAGGATTTGCACAAAAGACGCAGAACCTCCGCAAAGGAGTTCAAAGTCTGTTTAGCAAACAAGCGTTCATTGTTGTTGATTTCTTTTATTGCCGAACATTGAAAGTCATTTGGTGGTATCAGCAAACCAAAGGTAAGCGCTCTGGTTCTGGTGCCTTTTATCTCCATACCCACCCCCACTCGCAATCCAGTGACCGGTCGGTGCTGCGCTCTGTGCTGACGCGATCCCTCGACCTGCAGAGATTCGCATTTAACTCGTCGAATCATCAGTCGCAAACGCCAACTGCTCTTGCGACTGTCCCTCTTTCGCGCGTAACAGTGATAGCCTCAAGTGCAATTTCCGAAACGACACTCACGTCCTATCAACTTATCTGCTTTTTCTGCCCCTCTCTTATTTTGGGGTAACTGTTATTCTTCTCGCTGGGCTTGTTCCTGACAGCCAGTTCTCTCCAATCACAGCCCAAATCGGAAGCGTGACGGAGAAGCGCCGTCGCGACTTCACCATGGAGTATCCCCCGCAGTATCAACAGCCTCACGGCCAACATCCTCATGCTCCCTCGCACATCCAAGCCCCTTACCAACCCGCGCCACAGAACCCAGGGCCGGCTGCGGGCTCGATGGCTTCTCCTACCAACCCACAGGCTCACATGCAACAAACCCACTCAACTCACCAGGCATCTCCCATCGTGCCGTCGCAATCGCATTACCAGCAAGCCCAGAATCCTCCGGGCTCGGTACATCAGCCGATGAACTTTTCACAGCCGTATGGTGTTACACCGGCTATGCCCCAATCGTACGGCATCTCGCCCACCCAGGCTGCCGCGATGGCCACTGCTGCCGCCTCGGGGCAGTTTTATCCTCTTCATCAGGATTCCATGGCCAGTCAAATGCCCCAAGGACCGCGTGGCTCGCCACGCATGGCCGGTGTACAAGTGAAGAACGACCGAAATCCTCGCTCACCACCTCAAATACCGGGGCAAATGCCTCCCATTAGCTCGCAGGTGCAGATGTCACAGAATGCCCAGATGCAACAGCGTCGCATGAGCCATGTTGGCAGCCCACACATCCCGAATGCTCAGCCAGTTCTTAGTCATGTCGGTCGACCTTCAGTGCCGCCAACGATGCCGCCTCCGCCTCAGCCCCCTGTGCAGCAAAGCCAACCGTCACCGGAGCTGGTTGCAGGTGGTGCTGAAGAGTCTCCTCTCTATGTCAACGCCAAGCAGTTCCATCGCATTCTAAAGCGTCGAGTTGCTCGTCAAAAACTGGAGGAACAGTTGCGACTCACCTCCAAGGGTAGGAAACCCTACCTGCACGAGTCACGACACAACCATGCCATGCGGCGGCCTCGCGGCCCTGGTGGTAGGTTCCTTACCGCTGACGAAGTCGCTGAGATGGAGAGAAAGCAATCTATCGCATCTGGGCAAGAAAATTTCCATAGCAATGCTATGAAAGCAGCCGTGGAAAATGTATCTTCTGGACAGAAACGGAAATCCAGCGATGTCAATGATGACAACCTGAACACAACGAAGAAAGCAAGGACTGGGGCACCTCCCCGAACAAGCGCCAGCGCCGAGGAAAGTGACCCCGAGTCTGGGGATGTGTCCGATGAGGAAGGTTGAGTGTCGTTTCTCGCCACAAGCCTATCTCACATGGCATTTTTTACGTTCTTCGTATCTACTTATCATGGCTTTTATGGATGGATGTCTGGATTTAACCTATTTTTATTTTCTAGCAAGCGATATGTGACTCCGCGTCTCTACCCCTGCTTCCATTTCTTTTCTCTATCAAATTTCCCCTATCTTATGTCTGTCTATATTGTTATGCTGGGACGATGGTTTCTTTTCTTTTTCTTTTTTTCTTCATTCCCCTCTCACCGCACCAATGATGTTTCGACCTGCTTGAATTGCATTATTGTATGAAATGATTTCGAGTTCTTTTCCTTTTTTTCCTATTCCCTTTCTCTCGACACTTGTCGACACCCTGGAATATAATGTTCCGAGGTTGTCGCGAGTGCCACGATGCTGCTTCCCATGTTCGGCTTGCAGGCAACGTCCAGCCTTGTTTTCCCAAGGCAAGACATGAATCCGGGGAAGTGCCTACTACACCGGCGCAAAATCTCTATGGAATCATTGCCCTCTCCTACCGACAGCAGCGCGAACTATGGCCGCGTCTACTTTTCATTTGACCTTATTTTTGTTTTATCACTCATGCTGTGCGTTCTGCAGGATTATGATTGGGATCTAGAGGGACGTTTCCATCACTGGTAAAATCAAAAACAAGGATTTACTGGAAGAAGTGATATGGTATGACTGAATTTATGACTCGGTTTAAACCGGACGTGCAATGGATATTGGTCATGAGTTCCGGGCAGCCTAAGCTCCTGGAACGTGTCATGTTGTCCTCCGGTTATGTATCTACGGCTTTGAGCCTGGGTTCGGGGTGTGCGAGTTCTGCTGTTCTTCGGTTTCTTTCTGTTCCGAGTGTTACCCTTCTGATGGCTTCATGACGGCCACCTTGGCCTGTTGGACTGTCTCTTCGAGACGCAGCTGATGCTTGATGTCTGATTATCATCTTCCCATCGTTATTGGGTATTTTGGGACTGTTTACGGGGAACCTCGCGTTTCTCTTGGATCTCCTTGAGGATCCTTCTACACGAGTATATTTACGATTTTCATTCTCTCTTTCGTCGTGCGGTTTTGCCTTGCAAAGCTTTTTTTTTCCAGTGGATTTGTGCTATGTGTATACGAGTCACAAGGGTGATTCCCCTGGTAGTTGTACAAATATCAAGACATACTTTTCGACATTTACCTTCGTGATCTTTGTAAACTGGTGTGAATATTAAGTGAATTAGCTATTTACTGAGTCGGTGTTAATGTAGTTAGTGGTGAGCTGGTGAATTTAGTTTTGCGCGGATATAGTGTCGAGGTCTGGTAACAAATATTGTTTCCAACCTTTCAAGAATCCTGGGTCAACAACTACTCAAGTATTTCTGGGATATATTACTACGAGTAATATAATCTCAATATCAGTATGTCAGCCTGCCAAATTACTCTCCCATCCTCATCGCTTCTCCTCATCCTATAAATCAATGCCAATTCATCTGCTGGTCGATGGTTGCGTAAGGTACCGTTTGCTGTCTGCACCATTCCCCATTCGGACTAGTGTCGGCTCCAGCTCCAACTGCGTCTCTCCAGCCTCATTTCCTCTCGCTCTCTCTCTCTCTCTTTTCCCTTCTTCGTCAGCATCGCAGCTGTGAGTCCCTATCCCCGGGTCTAGTTGTCTGGTTCTATCTGAAAATATTCAGATTGGATGTGCTTGGGATTAATCGCCTTTATATCATCTCCACTCATCCTTCTTCATAAGGCTTCTTTTGTAGGTCGCCTGCTGCATCTTACACTCTTCTTATCAAGTTCCCAGTCATTACCGCCCTCGTCTCTCATCTTGCCCCTTCACCTTCCTCAGTCTTCTCGCCCTCAATCAATAATTTCCTGCTCTTCATTGATTCGGGTTTATTATTTTCTTTGACATGCCCTGATCCTTTAAAAAAATATCACTCTCCTTCCCCGTCATTCCTATCGTCGCGCCGTTGTTGGCCTTCGAGACACTTCATTGACTCTTTTGCGCAATCTGTTCTTCTCTACCTTTCTATTCATCTCTCTTTCTTTTTCTTTTATTTTGCTCCCATGAGCGCGCTTTCATTTTATTCTACTGCCTCGTTCACTTTCTGAATCATTGTGATTCGACGAGAATATGCTTTCCCTATCCTTCTCTGCCGCCTTGCGGATATCAATTTCTCAGCACATCCCGCCCCTGTAACCCTTCGTCAACGTCCACGCTATCAGCTACACTTCACAATTGGAAAGACCTTGCTCTAATGTTGATCATGTCGGATCTTAGCTTATTCATCCAATCTCCGCTGTCTCGAACGTCACCGTCCGGTCATTCCGTTTCGCCTCGATTCGAGCCCATTGTGATATTTCCTCTTCGCCAATTACGTTGCGAATACCACCGTGAAAGCGAACCGCTACGTGATACTTGATTGTTTCTGGTGTTGAGAACATCTCTATTTGCCGCCAAATGGATTCTTACGACGGGTACGGATCCCCCGGCAGGAACCGTGATGGGGACTCGTATGTGTCCAGGGTGCCAGTGGATTCCTATCGACGCAGATCTCCTGGTAAGTCATCACCTATACGATGAAAATGCTTTTCTTAACAATGGTCTGACTAGACAACTCTACAGCGTCGCAGGATCGTCGTCGCGGACGAGGCCGCTCCCGCTCTCCTGTTATCATTGACCGTTACGAACCTTCCGACCGCCGACCCTCTCGAGATGACTTCTACGCCGCGCCCCGCGAACATGCCTTGCGAGAACGCGAAGACCGTCGCCGTGCCCCTTCACCAAACGTCGCCAACATCGACCGCTATGTTCCTGGGCAGGATTCGGGAAAACGACCACTTCCAAACAATCCTCTTCCAAACCCGCTCAGCTTGGATTTCCAAGTAGGTTTCAACTGGTTTGCAGAATGGTGGAGAGGCGAGCAATCCGTGAAGGAGGAGAAGGAACGTGCAAAACACGGCGGCCGTCGGCCATCTGATCGTGTCAAGGGGGAGCGGGAGGCACGGGAGGACCGAGACCGCGAAAGGGCGCAGATTCAAGCTGCTTACGATTCGTACAAGGTGGATCTCCAGATCAAGATGGCTAGGACATTTGTGCAGCAGCACCGGGGGGAGGAATGGTTCAAGGAGCGCTATCTACCCGAGGTCAGAGATCCCGTGCGACGACAGACGATGGATTTCCGTGGAGGTGCTTATCAGCAGTGGGAACGCGATATTGATGGTGGTCTGTTTGACGATTTCACGCTGGAAGGAATTTACAAAAGCGAAAGCGATGGTGCAGGCGGTGTCATCGAGAAGGAGGAGGGCGAGACCACTGCCGTCGGCGAAACGCTAGGCGTTTTGGACCTGCTCCCAGCTAGGGGTGGTGAGCTGCGAGATGATGCTCTGTCACAGCCCGCCTTGCTCATCAAGACATTAGCACCAAATGTCAGTAGAGCCAAAATTGAAGATTTCTGCAAGGAGCATTTGGGTGAGCAAGATGGTGGGTTCAAGTGGCTTAGTCTGAGCGATCCAAATCCTTCCAAGAAGTACCATCGCATGGGGTGGATTATGTTACATCCGGCCCCCGATGTTGCTGTTGTGGAAAGAGGCGATGGACGAGAGGAAGAAGGTGAAGAAATGGACCAGGACAATGCCGAAAATGGGGCTGTCACCGTTTCTGCTGCGGAGAAGGCTCTTGAAGCCATCAACGACAAGACCATTCACGACCCTGTTCATGGTGATTTCGTCTGTCACGTTGGTGTGCATGTTCCCCCGTCTCAACCCCGCAAAAAGGCCCTCTGGGACCTGTTTTCGTCACCCGAACGTATCGAGCGGGATTTGGAACTGGCCAGACGATTAGTCTCGAAGCTTGATTACGAGATGGGCGGAAATGTTGATGGTTTCGCCAAGATTGAAGAGCGAGTGGAGGAGTTGCGCGGGAAAGGCTGGCTGCAACCTCCCGTTACAGGTCCAGTGAGCGTCAAGAAGAGGAAGCCCGATTTCGATGCGGAGAATGATGGTGAGGATGAGATGGAGGAAGGTGAGGAAGGCGAGGAGCAGGAAGGATGGGACGACGATTCCGATGATGAAGAACTCCTGGCAAAGAAAAAGAAGCTAGACCTGATGGTTGAGTATCTCCGCAGAGTCTACAATTTCTGTTTCTTCTGTGTCTTTGAAAGCGATTCTGTCCACGAGCTTGTTCGAAAATGCCCCGGTGGACATCTCCGCCGTCCACGCACCGGCCTTACCAACCAGTCCAAGGCGGTGGCTAGAGCCAGCGCTCTCGGCGAGCCATTCCCTGTCAAGAAGAAGGAGCCAAGCGAGGAGGGAGAGGAAGCGCCCGTCGAGGATAAGCGACAACAGAAGTTCAGTTCCAAGTCTGAACAGCAGCTGCAACGCGCCTTCAACTGGGTAAAAACATTTGAAGACAAGCTACTGCAGATACTGGAACCGGACAATGTAGATATCAAGAAGATGGGTGGCAAGCCTGTGGAAGAAGCCCTTGAGGAAGAGTTGGCGAAACATGTCAAGCAAGAGGACGAGTCGAAGTATCGCTGCAAGGTGCCTGAATGTTCGAAGCTGTTCAAGGCGGACCACTTTTGGCGCAAGCATATTGAGAAGCGCCATGCAGAGTGGTATGAAAATATCAGGAACGATGTAAGTTCATTAATACAGCCCACGTCGTGCAAGGATTCCCAGCTAACAGCCAACAGCTTTCCTTGGTGAATTCCTACGTTCTTGATCCTGCTCGCATTGCCCCTTCCAGGTCTGATGCCAACAGCAACGGCCACTTCCCTCTCACTTCCGGTCAGAACCATGCGGGTACTCCTCGTGGATTCAGTCTGTCGAACATGCCTCCTTACCTTGCAGGTAACGGTCCTTTACCAAGTGGCTTCCATGGTCTTCCCGGCGCAGTGCCTGGTTTTATGGGCGCGAACCAGGCTGGCTGGAATGGGAATGGCATTGTTACGGGCGAGTCTGGATTACACCAGCCAGGTGCCATGCGCCGGGGTGGAAACCGCTACAATAACCGCTCGGGCCCTTACGACCGCCGTGGAAATCGGTATGGCGGTGCAGGAAATGGTCGCTTGAGCCCTGTCCGTGGCATGTCAAACATGTATGGGCCCGGTGGTCGTCTGCCACCCAACCCTGCTTCAGCGTACATCCCCCCTGGACACCCCGCTGCGGCTTTAGTTGGGGCCGGTCCCTTCCCCGATGCAATGGGACCAGGCGGTGTGCAACAAGGCATGCCACCTCGTGAGGCCGTTCAGGGTCGCAGTCTGAAGAGCTACGAGGATCTCGATGCAGTGGGTGGTGCTGGAGGTGGCGAACTAAACTACTAGGTATTCAGTTCTTAGTATTTTCTGATTTTCTCCCTTATTTTTTCGGATCTTTCTTTTTAATTTGATTTCTCCTGGCCATCCATTTGACACATGGCGCTCACCGGTTTATTTTCTTTATCTTCAGCAATTCATCTTGAGAATCGTCGACTGCATATTTTGTGGTAGACATTGTCTTTCGCATGCGACAGCCAAAATTGTTTTCTTTCTTGAATTCGAGCAAACGAGGCATTTCTAGGAAAATGCTGATTTTATTGTTCCCTTCCTTCACCGTCTCTTTTGTCATGCAGTGTTCTCTTCTTTTCCCAAATTGTACCTCTAGTCGGTCATGCTAGACCCTGGCTTTGGGGGGCGTCCAGAGCTTACAATTACAGTTTCTGGCATCGACTTCTTTATCGAAGTGTACCATAGTTGCCTTTCTATTCTTGAGTTGGAAATGATATGGGTTCTTATTTAATATTTTGTCCCTGCGTAGGTTTTGACAATCGACTGGTTCTTAACAGTCATTCAGCACAGTCATTCAGCCCGCCGAGAACTATCAAGAATTAAAATTACTGGTTTGGCTGGAAACCTTTATACAAAAAGTATATACATACAGGATGATTATACAAATTCTATAGTTCTATACCAAGCAAGCCCCATCCATCTTCAAATCAGAAGTACTACATTTGAATAACCACCTCTTGTGACCCATCCCGCCACTGGGCCCCCATTTTTCGGACCCGGCGCTCGCTAGCCAGGAACAAGAGCAGATAGATGTGCATGGCTATTTCACCCCATGCGTAGATTTTGAAAACAAGCGGTCTGGAGGGATGGGGAGGTGGTTTCTTTTCCTCATGATCTTCGCGGGTGGGAAACGTTGTTGGATCTGCAGGTTGCGGGGTTAATGCATGTACGTCATCAGCTTGTTCTTCTTCGTCCAATAAGCACCATACTCCCCAACCGGCGCGACTTTCTTTGGAGATAAAGTCGGATAGAAAGCGCCAGAAGCGATGGAAGGTAGGTAGGGTCCAGGTGTTTGGGTTTGTTGTTTGAGGTTGTTGGTTTGGTGGGTTGTTGGCTGTGTTTGTATGTACATCTGATACATGAGGTTCGAGGATATTTATACGGAGGAACCAGTGTCCTCTTTCTAGAATGTCCAGGTCTCGGGTCTTTTTGATTGGCTTATATGTTCGTGATGGGTTTAAGCGTTCAGTTAGCATGGTTAGTGTTGGGGTGATGTGAGTTACGAAATGGGCATTTGACACTGGAGGCAATGGCGGGTGGATTTGTAGAGGCAGCGAAGCGAGTGATATATACGGCGATGCGTCGTCCGTTGAGGTAGATGGGGGTGGGATGATTTGAGAAGACAATGGCGAATCCACGCGACGCCGCTTGGCAGATGAAGACGAGCCAGTGACAAATTGGCACTTAGAAGGCTGAGGAATCTCCTGCAAATGCAAACCCCCCTCTGGTTCTGGGGCCAGGTGCTCGGGTTGCGAATCGGGGATCACGCTGACTGGGCTGTCGAGAGAGTCCTTCTCTAATCGAGCCCGACTTTGATGCTTTTCTGATAATGCAGGATTTAATGGCGACGGGGCCGTTCGATCTGGTGCAGCGACGGCGGCCGCTAGGCCGATTGACTGGGATATACCGAGTGGACCCAACGAAGCCTCATTGTCCTGCAGGGTGATGTGCTCTGTTTGGTGATCTGCAGTGACCAACGGCGATTGGAGACGCTCGTTATTTTGGGGGATTTTCCCTTTGTCTTGAGAAGGTGAAAGTGGCGCTGTAGCTATGATGCTTTCCTGCTCATCTCCCGAAGTGGTGGTGTTGTTATCGTTGTTGCCTTGGTCAGACGGTAAGACTGTGACGAGTTCGGGGAGTCTGCTCGGACCGTCGGGGTTATTACTGTCATCCTCGACGGTCTCGGATGGCTGCAAAATGATATTGATATTTTGGCACGAGACGCTCTGAAAGCCCAGGATAGCCTCGACCTGGGCTCGATACCTGGCGTCATCCCTGACCCCGCTGGGAGCGGAGACGTGGACTAGGATTTCTGATTTCTCCATGGGACAAGAACTGCATGCATTCCCGTGCAAACTTCATGGTGGATCCTGATTGATTGCCTTGAGATCGTGCCTGGGAATGATAAATGATGCCAATAGCGTGGATTCTGAATTAGGGAGGATAGTCCGACACCCCCGGTCGGTGTTTGGTGGTGAAGACTAAGAGAGAGAGAGAGAAAGAGAGAGGAAAGGCAAAAGCGGGCGGAGAAGAAAGCGAGGGTTTCCGGATCGGGATGGCGCCTCGATAGTCTGGGAGGCCCGATCATTGCGATCACCACCACCATTGTCGAGCATCACATCTTGACTTGACTCTATTCCATCTGATATCATCATCTTACTGGCTGGACTCATCAGCGGTGCGTTGGAACGTGCCATGTCTTGCCTAATCAACCCAAGCTAAGGCTGATTTTCCCTTGCTTAATGCTTTTCGCGTGTGGTGCTCGACTAACGCCAATACTACCTTAAGCACAGATATCAACCAAGGAAAGAAACCTATAGACTCAAAAATCTACAGCACACTGTTTCGCCGTCGACGGATCGGAATCGGAATTTCAAATTTAATGCACTGTCCGATCATCCGGCCCAGCGGCTTGTCAAGGGCTGGACAATGGGCGACATTTCCAGTGACATCGTCGTGCTTCTTGAGATTCCTTCTGTCCGCCTGTCTGTCTGTCTCTGGCCCTTGCACATGAGGTTTGAAACCGTCGGGTGCGACTGGGCATTCGTGCCTTGTCCGGGAGAAACCGTATTGGAAGGGATACCTAGAGAAGTACACAAACAAAGGGGATACATCCAAGCTCAAGGGCAATGACTCCTGTCATCCATTGGAGGACGCAGAGTGATGCAGGGTCACGAGTGACCGGTCCAGGCACCATTACGGAGTACATGGCTCTGTATTATTTCCCCAGAGGTTGCACAGGAGCAAAGGACAACGCTATTAGATGTCGAGCGAGTGTTATTATTTACAGCGGGACTAGTGGTTGTGACCATGACCAGGATAATCACTGAGCAGGATTTCTCGGATCCCCAACGATCCAGAAGGGAAGAAGGTTCGGATGGACTACGGGAGCATGGAGAACGAACGCCATGCCATCTGTTCAACTGTTTTGATCTGGTATCATGTATGTATTATTTCGCTCTTGTCCGCTTCATACTTGCTTTTTTTTCCAATCCTTTGATTCGTGAAAACCTGGAAGTCAAGGGGAGCTAGGGAGTGAAGAAGCCACACAGATTTGAATTTGGAGCGACGATCGGCCAGCGATGGACAAGTCAGGTTTTTCCTTCCTCCAGTCTAGTCCACACGGGGGCGGACGGATGCATTCGTTGCTTTTTTTGTTCTTAATTCTCTCTCTGTCTCTTGCAGACTGCAGCCACCAGACCAGATACCGAGGATGATCCCCAAGAAGCCAAACTCGAACAGGAATAAGCCTAGGAGGGGGTGTGGGAATAGGTGAGATTTCGGGTGGCGCTGCCCCCTACCAACTCGCAACGCTTTTGATGAGCCCTTGGTTCCCTAGATTTAGAGTCAAGAAACGAGTCAGTTCAAAGTCAGATTGTGTGTCTTATGCAATGGACTGGTTTACCTGTAGAGACTGACTGGTTGTCAGTGTCAGAGCAAGAGGGTCCGGGAGGGTCGGTCCATTAGGCTAGTGGTAACAATACGGTAACGGTAATATTGATCTGGATCTGAAGAACAGTTGGACTGTCCTTTTGGTGCTTAGCAGTTCGTTACTCTTAAATCCTACTACCTCGACGGCTACTGCAGCTACTCCTGTATGTGCATCGATAGACTCCAGGGTTTCCCTCTCTTTTCTTTGCTCTGATCTCTTAACTAGCCCGTCTTCTCGTCTAGTTGATTCGTAGTACCAGAATCCACTGTCGTTCCACCTTGTGTCCTTGTCCTTTTTGCTCTCTTTCTCTCCTCTCTTTTCCTTCTTCCTTCTTCCTCCCCTCTGGAATCATCAGCCGTTTGTCTGGCATTTCTGTCCTTTTAATTTTTCCTCGTCTATCTACTCTATTTCCCCATCTTCCCATCTCCAGAGCAGTCAAGGTTAAGCTCTTCCTCAACGTTAATTCCACTCGTGCGCGTCGGGATTCGGGCAACTCACTAACCACGACTACTGCCGGTACGCCCACGACACTACTTTTACCAACGGTGAGGCGCTTGGACAAGAGAAACCCACTCTCCTGGTATTGGCTTTGGTCTGTCCTCTAGTTACCAAACCTCCTCCATACAAGGCTGACTTGACGGTCCAGATTCCAGCCCATGAACTTGTTCTCTCTTTAAATCGTCTGATCTCCCTGTTCGTCGTGCGCGCAACTCGTTCTTGGCCTTTTTTTTTTTTTTCTCCTCTCCTCTCTTCTCCTCTCTCCTTCGCTCGGCCTCGCCATCTTTTCCCCGCCCGCTCTCCGATCTGGCTTAATACTCTGCCAACGCGCCGGTCGCATTCGCCCTCCCTCCGACTGTCCACAATCATAAAATACCATGTCGAATTTGAATGGTGGGGGTTATCCCTTGGAACACGGTCTACGTGGTAAGTCCATTTACGTCGCATACTATTCCTTTTCGTCCGTTTCGAGTATTTTGGTCGTTATTTGGATCGGGCATCATTTCCTCTCGGTGGCAAGATGAGCTGTTTCTGCCTGGGTGGTACTGGTTTATGGTGAATTTGGCTATACTGTGTGGGAGCTGGTTACCCGGTTTGGATACTGGAAGCTTCCATCTGGAGCTGCGTTGCTTGCTATTCAGAAAGAGCTATCATCTTTTCAAACTTGCCTACTGGACTTTGCTGGCATACTGCTATTTTTTCAACTCAGGCTGACCTTCCCAGCACAACCATCACAGGCCAGCATGAAAGCTTCTATCGGTTCGGATTTTCTCAAGATTTTTAGCGGAAACAGCGGAAACAGTGGTAGCGGTGGTGGTAGTGGGAATGGAGGACAAAAGAAAGTGACCAGAGGTGTGTGGTGATGGAATTTCCCTCTTTGCATCCGATATTCATGCCTTTTAGATGGTCAACCAGCAAAACGACGAGGTCCCAAGCCAGACAGCAAGCCTGCTATGACCAGGAGGCAAGAGCTGAATCGCCAGGCTCAAAGGTATATTTCACGAACCAACTTCGTTTTTTGTGAGATATTGACGTGGTGCAGGACACATCGCGAACGCAAAGAGCAATATATGCGAGCATTGGAGACCGAGGTGTCACGGTTACGAGAGGCTTACACTCAAGAAATCTCGACGGCCAATATATCCCTGCAACAGCATAAGCAGATGGTACACGCTTTGATGGACGAAACCGACATCCTGAAAGACATTTTAAGGGCTCATGGCATCAGCTTCGATGCGGAACTGGAACGACGAAAGGCAGAGCGTCCACCACCAGGCTACCAGTCCAGCCCTCTTGCGAGCAGCAGTATTGGGTCACAGACCGCCGGAGCTGCCCCGTCAAACAGTAATCATTTTACCGCTACTCCCCCAACCACGATTTCATCCGGCTTGAGTCCCCGGGTCAACGGCCCGGAAGCCCACATTGATGTTTCACCAACCCAGGACTTCTCGCCCCAAACTCAAATATGCCATAACACACCGAGTGAATTGCCCGCTTTTCTCGATCGGTCAGGCTCGGATGGTGGATGTGGCCCGGTCCAGGCTATACGAGGTGTTTTTGAAACGGACCCTCAGCTCCAGGTGGATTTTATCCTAACGTACGTCTTGTCCATCCCTTGGTCTGTGCGGGTGTATACTAACTTGTTGAAGGCTTGAATCACCATGTCGCGAGCATACTGACTATCTCTGCCGGCGTTCCATCACGGAAGCAGACGATGAGGATATGCCTTTCTCGGGACATGCCTTGATGGCCTCGTGTCCGCCTCCCAGTTACATTGCCAACACAACCCATGAGCAGGCTTATCCGCACAAGACATACGACCTTCCCCACGCAAATCTCACAACCCTGCTTAATCTCAGCCGACAGCTCGTTACAGAGGGCCAAATCACACCCATCATGGCCCTACAGTGTCTCAAGAGCCATGAAATGTATCGCAAACTAACAAAAGACGACGTCAAAATCATCATTGAAACGCTCAACACAAAGGTCCGATGCTATGGCTTTGGGGCCGTGGTGGAAGACTTTGAAATGATGGACTGCTTAAGCAGTGTCTTAGGGACCAAGCTAGATACAGGGTTTTCCAACCAACGAGACGATCTGATGTATTCGTGATCTTGTTGGACCTGCATGAGTAGCCTGGAGCTTGCTTATTCCTTTCTTTTTTGGGTTTCTTTTTTCCCGTTCTTGGCTTGGAGAGATAGAGGTGTATATAAAACGAAGAGCTCAGGGAGCAATCTGTTTTGGGATTCTTTATTTCTTTCTTTCTTTCTTTCCCTTTTTACATCTATTGTTTCGGCATTTGCCTGTGAGAGTACTGGTCATCATTCAGTTTGTGATTTCTTTTGTCGCAGATTTCACCCCAACTTTGCCACTTCCTCTTGACGACGAGGATTCCTTACTGACTCCTCGATTTGTTCCATTCTTCCATTCTTCCATTCCCCAGGCTTCTAGTCAGACGATTAGATGCTGATCTTGTCTTTTTGAAATTCTTTTCTTTTATTTCCTTGGCAAAGATTTTTTATCTCGTCTCGAGCAACATTATTAATTTTCATATACCTACAGGCATCTATAGTCTGATCAGTTACCCCGTGCATGATTTCTGTCACCATCAATTGATGATAATCGAGCTCTTATGTACTATTGAATCAACAGCAGTCTGAGTTTTGGGACACGCCAAATTTGCACAATTGAAAATAACCGAGCAGGAAACAAGAAAACGCCAGACAATTACCCTTATATACATATCTGTACACTATTATCTTCTCACGACGGAGAAGCAACACACTGCTCAGCGAAAGCCGCCACTTCTTCCATTGGCGCTCCACTGCGGATCATTGCAACCAAGTGCTGCACCACCTCGGGCGACCCAGACTGCAGAGCGGCATACACAATCTCCATGGTTAACGAGCCATTTTGTTGCTCCTCATCGTCGTCTTCGGGTGTGCTAGCATGGCGGCGCTGGAAGTGCCGCTCCTGCTCGACCTGGGATAGTTTCCCCTTGAGCCCTTTCACTGTGGCCCGGAGGTCGGTGATGAGCTCTGCTTGGGCGATGGACTGTCTGTCTTCGTCGTTGGCGCTGTATTTGCACTCATTTGCCACACCCCGACTGATGCATGTCTCGCAGGGGTCAAGGCGGTTGCACTAGCGAACCAGTCATTACTTATACGAGATCAACAGAGAAGGACGAAATAAAATAGAGTAAAAAGAAAGAAAGATAACCCCCGAAATGAAATTTTATATTGTATATAATGTAGAGAGAGAGAAAGAAAAAAGAAATGACTATATGATTTGGCATTACTGCAAAGGGGCACAAGGTGATCACACTCACTTTAACCTTCCGATTCCTGCAGGGGATGCACGATGATGAAGGGCGGGCTTTGGGGGCTCTCGAACTCCTCATCATCATCACCTGTCGGTCCCAGGGGAAAGAAGAAAAACCCGACCCCGAGGGACGGTGATTGTTGGTGTCCATTATTTCCCTCCTTTCTTGTGGAGTTCTGCAGTTAAATCAAGGTAAGTGAAAAGAAAAAGAAAAACAAGGTGAAACTGGGATCAACAGGGGAAAAAAGAAAAAGAGAGGTTTGAAGGGGGGCGAGAGGAAAAACGGTTGGGCATAGTCTTTTTTTCTTTTTTTTTTTTTCTTTTTTCTTTCTGGCCAAGAATTCAAGATGGAGTTTGGCTAAAAAACTAGTCGTTAGCTAAACTGGGGACGCGCTAAACCGGATTTGTGGTGAGGGTCTCTGGGCCGCGATACCAGTATCATGCATGTTGCCGGTTATTGTTGGACAGATGTTATTATAATTGCTATATTAGATAATTCAGAGTGTTACATTTGTTTATTAGCTGTTTAATCATCACAAGAATAATGGTATTTAGTATCAAGGAAGTGGTCGTGTGTTGTCGACAGTGGAGTCCAGCCAAGATATACATCGAATCCAAGCCTGCAGTAGAATCATGCAGCATTGTCCCAGTTACTGCCGTACCTGTATGTAAATCGTAAATCCTGTATTAAAATCTGTAGCAGACCAGGGGCTCAAGGCCCAGATGTCCATGTGTCACATTAACGCTCCTGAGGACTTGAGGTAGACTCTCACATGGTCGTACAAGAAACTGACAGGTCGTTTTTCGACAGGTTTTTTTTTTTTTTTTTCGTTCTGCTGTCTCCACCTTGAGACGTTTGTGGGCACGGAATGAACCTTTTTTTCGGTTTAATTTTACGAGAAGAGTGACGTGTGTTGACGGAATACGGGGTGGGTGCGACGTGGCTGTGTTTGGCCGGGATTATCATGTTGGGAATTGGAAATGCTGTGCGTGTTACTGGGTGGGAAATTACAAATACGGGGTAGTAGATAGATGGAAGTGGTAAGTAAACTGAATATCAATGGCTCAATCATCAGGATCTAAGCGACTTTTCTCATATGCACACGAAAATAAAGGCATCAAATCAAACGTGACATTAAGCGGACATGGAGACCATAACCCACCCGGTCAATCATTCATTACTTATTCCTCCTCCTCGGCTTCCTTGGCCTCCTGCTCCTCGGCAGCGGCCTCTTCGTCCTCCTCGAAGGTAGTGGCGGGCACGCTGTACAGGCGGATGACGGGCTTGTTGGGGTCCTTGATCAGGACGTACTTCTTGACCTTCTCGGCATCATCCTCAGCGTCGAGAGCACGGATACGGTCGACAATGGTACGGACGATACCCCATCCGTTGCCCAGGTTCAGGTTCATCTGGGTAGCGAACTCGCGGGGCTTGTAGCCAACAACGCCGAGAACGACGTGAGAAGAGGCAGAGCGAGGGTTGACACGAGAGACGAAACCAAGCTTGATAGCGTCGGCCTTGGCGAGGATAGCCTGGGTGGTCCAGCGGGCGAGCTTGCTGCTGTTGTTCTTCATCTCAGTGGCAACAACGGCACCGCGCTGCGACCAGAGCTTGCTGCGCCAGTCCAGAGCACCACCGGAGCCCTGGGCCTTGCTGTCGAACTCGTTCAGGGCCTTGACAACCAACTGCTGGTCATCGCCGGTGACGGGGTTTCTCATGACGGCGTCCACCTCGGTACGGACAATCAGGTTGAAGGGCTCCTCGTCACGCTCCAGAGAAAGGTCGAAGCGTCTGTACTTGTAACCCTTGGAGGCAAGAGGCTCAGTCTCCTCCGCTTCGTTGTAGAAGGGGTTGGGCTGGTTGAACTCAACCTTGGCCTCAGGGGACTCGGACACGGTCTGCAGAGCGAAGTTGTGGTTGATGAAAGTGGCCTCCATGGCCAGAGCGCTGGGAGTGTTGATAGACTCCTGCTTGCCTGACGACTCGGCAACCTCCATGGGAGCATCGGCGGCGTTCTCGTTAACGGTCACCAGATCAATCGAAGCACCATCGCGCTTGTCGAAGTAGATCTTGTTGCCCTGGTGGACAATGACGATATCCCACGAGTACACACTGCGAGGGGCGCACATGAGCATAGACAGGATATCGGAGGTGGCAAAGATAGTGGCTTCGTCCTTTTCGGCGAGCTCCTGGATCACAGGATCTTGAGAAGTAGTGACATTGTAGGCGGCACGGTCCAAGGACTGCAGTCTGCGCTCGGCGTTCTTGACCGGGGCCTTGTCGTAGGATCGGTCGTAGTAGGACAGGAAACCGTAAGTGTCGAGATCCTCACCATCGGGGGTGTCCAAGTTGAGCTTGGAGAGACGGCTGAAGTCAACCTCCTCCAACATGGTCCAGTCGGGTCGGATGTTGATCGACGGCTCACGGGTGCGCTGCGGCTTGTCGTAATCCTTCCATCCAAAGCGACGTCCGCGGTTGCTACGGGCATTACGGCTGTCGTAGTAGCGGTCACCCTGGCCACGGCCACCAGCGCCAACTCTCTGGAAGCCAGCCCGGCCACCTCTCTGGCCCATACCACCACGCTGGCCACGGCCACGGAAAACGGTGCCACCACCACGGCCAAAGGTACGCTTCGCGGAGGTACGGGTGTTGTCGACAACGGAGAAAGAAGACTCGTCTTCGGCTGTCTGGACGGCGAAAAGGCTGGAAGTGCCTGCTCCGTAGACTTGCTGGTCTGTTCAAGAATTCCCAATTAGCTCCACTTTCCCCTCCATGGTAAAAAATTATACAAAGAATAAACCATACCTCTGAAGTTCCTGTTGTAGTTCTGGCGACCCTGCCTTTCACGGTCTCCAGACCCAGCAGTCCAGTCGGCCATACGTCCCAGCTTGTCGCCCTTGGAGAAGGGGGCGTATGGGACACCGTCGAGCATGTTGTCGCCCGCGGTGGCCGGTCCCCAGGTGTCCTCCGCGGGGAGGGCGGCCACGATGTCTGCAATAGAGAAAGGCGCCATGGTGTATGTCTTGAAGATGGAGAATTAACGAATCCTCCGTGAAGACAGTTCCGAGTGGCAGAAGAAAAGGTGGGTTCAAGTCAGATCGCAGGCGGCGGGATAATTATTGCGATTCCCGGCAAGTTTTTGTGTCGCGAGTGTCACGGTGGCTTGTGGGCTTGGCGCGCACTAGCCACAGGTTCGCTTTGCAGTGCACGGCCACATGGCGCTATTCCCGTTTGGGTCATGTCCCCTCCATCTCCAAGAGATTATTCTGATTCTCTACAAAGCACGCGACAACAGCTGCAGGCTCATCGTCATCAAGGCCATCATGGTTATCAATGGTCAGTAATGACTTGGTGTTCCAAATTTCATGCCACTTCTTTGATGTGGTCTTCATAACACAAGAACGTCCAAGTCAACCAAGTCACGCCGTCCGTTCAAAACGAGGCACAAAGAAGAACGGAAGCTCTCAGCATAGAAAATGAGTAGAAAATACCAAGTAATGTCCTATTATGTGGTCTGATCGAAGCTTTACTAAAGTCAATCGAGTCACAAGGCATTCCCTCCGATTGTCGGTGCCGCTTCAGGCTAGAGTCATCGATAGAGCCTTGTCCAAGCGATTATTCGAGATATCAATAATCCTCTCTGATCAGGGCTTTCGGTGACAGTTTACGGAGTACTGGAGTTTGCAGCCGGTGAACATAGCCGAGGTTCGATAATGCGATGATAGACAAGGCCAGGGAACAACCGAGATCTCAAATCGGATAACCGGGACTGAACTTTGCTCTATACAGACTTTGAGCCTTTACGTAAATGGGATCTGGATCAGTATCAGCATGTTTGATGTCATAAGATCCAAGAAAACACAGAGTCGGGCGTACCGATACTCTGGACCTGGACTTCGCCCTGCCAGGTGGGAATTGATGCTGGACAAACCGCCGATATCGTTCTACAACCCTATCCAATGAGCTCTGGGGCATATCATCATGGATTACACATTGATATTCAAATCATAATGAAACAAAGTCAACCTTATCTATTACTTTCTTTTTCCATTGTTTCTTTTTCTTGACTTTCGCTCTCCTTTCCCCACCGCAATAGCCGCACTGTATCCTGACTTGCCGATGGCCTAGCAGCGTGTGCATTCTCAAATGCGGAGCCCCTGAATCTGACGGATCAGGGCTTCTAATTCGAGTTCCGAGCCCGACGTCCGTTATCATGGACTCAGCGCTGCGCGAGTTCCGGTTCTTGGCCCCCTGGTGATGATCGTCAGCCTCCGCCGATCTGATTTGCCTCTTAGGCTCCTCATCCCCATTCCGGAGATCCTCCCGAGTGGCACTGGATCCACCACTGATAAGACAACTCCATGCCATCCGTCCATTTGGATGGAAATGTCTTGGCCTTGCTCGAACTAGCGACTGGAGATATCAGGCTCCTTACAAGGAGAATTACTTGATGTCGATTACCACATGATAGATGTACATTGTCGTTCCTGCTTCTCACTCCACAATTCATCTAGTTTGGGTCCTGGTCTTTACCAAACATGGCAATTGTCAAAGGCTATCACTGCGTGTTCATCGTATGCTTTAATCTCAGCTGCAATTGTTCCTGCAGCGAATCTCGATAGTTTGGGTCGCTATTATATTAATTTTTTTTCTTTTTTTCCCTCTTTCTATCCTCTCGAACGCTTCTCTATGGTTCATGAGGGCTGGCCTCACCCTATCTAGAGTTTGCAGATCTCAGTTTTTGTCCAGACTATGTCTGGTACCGAGATGGATTCTCTCTACACATCACACTGCGATGCTTCGTTCTGGGAAGCAGGAGATAACACTCACTGTGTAGAGACGAATATGGGCATCATCGATTTGTCAATGGGTTGCCTAGTATCCCGATAGCCTCTCCTTTAGAGGAATGGCTCTGTCTGAACAGCATATATAGAGCTCGAGCATCCCTCCGATATTCTCTCTTCATCAGACAATCTCAAGCACTCCTTCAATCAGACTCACTCTCTTCTCTCATTCATTTGACATTCTTTCAAAAGCTTCACGCTTTCAAACCACCACCATCAAAATGAAGTTCTCCATCTTTTCCACCCTCGCCATCGTCGGCGCCACCATGGTGTCCGCTGTCCCTCACGAGAAGCGCGTTGACCAATCTGCTCTGAAGCAGCAGGTCGAGAGCGCTGCTAAGTCTTCTCCTGCCTCGAGCATCACCCAGACCGAGGTCACCGAAGTCGACTGCATCAAGCCTCTGCTCTGCTGCGACGGCCTCACCACCCCTCTTGACGGCATCGTCGACGGTGTCCTGGCTGCTCTGGACATCAACGGCGCTGCCATCGTTGGCTCCATCGGTCTCCTCTGTAAGATCCTACCAAAGCATCCTTTCACTCAAATCATTCTAACCAACCTCTTAGGCCACGCCTATGACGACAGTTGCCCCTCCGCACCCCAGTGCTGCACTGAGGCCAACATTCTGGTAAGTTCACCCCGAATAAAATGCCAGAAGCCTAGGGCATCGACTAACTGTACTACAGGGCGGTACCCTTGCTCTTGGCTGCCAGGCTCTCAAGCAGTAGATCGATCAGATCGAGTAGGCAGTGGCTCCGCCCTGTCAGCCTTGGATGACGAATCCTGCGGGTGAAATGCGCACTGTACAGTGGATATAGATGGATTGTGCTTGAAATCTTTCGTTCTGGACAGTCTCGTTTGTGTGTATGGTTTAATTATAATAATAAATTAATAGATCTAGATTGGGTTCGCCCAGCTCAACTGATGTCTTCTAGGATATGGATAATAACCCAAGTATAGTAGAGCCTAATCATTCCTGTACTTCTCGTCAACATTTCTCAGATCAGCTAGTAGATCTTCCCATAGTCTCTCTCGGAATTGCTTCCCCTCCGCGCCCACCAAGGGAGGCGTATCACTAAAGCACATTAGTTTCATCAATAGAGCCTCATCCCAGAAAAAGCATACCTAGGAGCCCCACGAGTATGCGACAAAAACCTCCCATGGCTCTCCTCTCCCACAATCCCCGCCGCATCCACCAACGTCCTGCCTCCATCCTCAACCGACTTCGCAAAGACCTTCCGCGCCATATACATGATCCCCCGCAGCCAACCCGGTAACTCCTTGTCGAACCCCGTAGCCACCATCCCCGGATCGACGGTATTAGCAATAACCTCCCGAGCCGGAATGACCGAGGCAAGATGTTGTGCGAAGGCATTCATCACCAATTTGCTATTAGCGTACTGTCTAAACCCATTATATGTTGACTTATCGTCTAGATATGCCATTATGGATTTATCTTTTGGTAACTGGGAGAGATTGTGCATATTCTGCGCCGAGGAACCGACCATGACGAGACGAGAGGGGGATTTCCGAATCGTAGCTGTAGAACAGAGGAGGGGGAGGAGTTCGAGGGCGATGAGGAAGTGGGTGTAGGCGTTTACTATTCTGTCAGAATGACTTCCATCAAGAAATGAATATGAATGTATAGATACCCTGCATAACCTTCTCATGCCCACTTCTACTCCTCATAAACCTCATAACATTCATCCCCGCATTCGCAATAAAAACATCCAACATCTTCATCTCCGCCTTGATCTTCCTCGCAAAATCCAATCCAGACCGATAATCATCCAGATCAAGTCTGAACACGTCCAGTCTCGCACCGGGGTTGACTTTGTTGATTTCAGGATTCGCGCGGAGTGCCGATATGGCTTCTTGCCCCTTTTTCACGGAGCGGACGCCGAATATGACTCGTTCTGCGTTGAGGAGGAGGCATTGTCGTGCGGCTTCGTAGCCGATGCCGGAGTTGGCGCCTGTTATGAGGATGGTTTTGTGGGTGAATGTTGCTGGGGTCATTTTTTGTATGTATTTGAGTATGGTTGATTGTGAGAGAAGTTGGATGTCGTAATTGTCAGTCAGTATTGGTTGTCTTTATGGCGAGGGTGATCGGAAGTTGCTTCCGAGCCAAAGAGAATGTTATATCAAGATAGACCTTGTCTTTTTCAATAATTCATTCAGCTGCCTACTTTCCAACAATAATTACAGTAGTGGAATGATAGATGGCTGAGCTCTTCCTCTATTATCTACACAGCCACCGCGGAAACATACGGCCAGTCTTAAGATCAACCATATATCAACCCATACAATCAATAACACCATTATACACCCCCGTCCGCCAATAATCCAGCAACATATCCACCAATCTCCTCATTGTTCCATTCCTCGTAGCCTCCCAAAACGCCCAAATCTGCGACATGAGACAATCCCGATCCGATTTCTGGGTCACAGATATCCCGAGAACGAAAAACGGCCATCCGTAGTATTCTGCAAAGTAGTCTGATGATGGCTGTAGCTGGCTGGCGAGGTTCATTGCTTCGGAGACCAAGGCACGGTAGCATGGATTTGTGTTTGTGTTTTTGGTGTGTGATTCGGAACTGGTCATGCGGTTGAGGAGGATTCGTGCTGCTAGGACGTAGAGTCTTGGGCCTAGGAGTAGGGCGTTTGGGGAGTTTGTTGGTGTGTTGAAGCTGAGGATGGGATCGAGTAGATTCTGGGTGTCCATTTCTCCATAAGAAAGACATTTTGTTACTGTCTCCTTATCCCATTGTCTTAGTGTATACTCCAGCTCACAGCAACGTATCACATTCACCCCCTCCACTGGATATTCCCGATACATCAGCGCCACTTCACGAATATACCCAAACAATCGCGGAGGAACACCAAGAACAGGCGATCCTGCATGGAGAGGAGTCTCTGGATGGAAAAACGCTTCGAGGTTGTATTCTGCTAGCGAAAAGGCAGAGTCGATCAGTGCGGAGTTCGTCGCTGGTTGGAATGGGATACTGGTTGCGGTGTGGAATATAAATGCCTCGAGGATTAAACGCTGTGTAACGGCTTCTGTTTGTGATGAGCTGGGACGGAAAGAGTCGCGGTGGAAATATAGTTGGATGAGTTGTGCTGCACCAAGGAGGTGGACATCGACGCCTCGGGAAAGACGTGGTTTTGATCGCTGGTGGTATTCTCAGCAATTAATGTCACTTTTCAGGTTAACCGAACTCACCTCGTAGATACATAGTATGATAACAGCACGCAGCATCGTAGTCAATTTATACTGTAAATCCCCCGCAGCTAGATCGGCCCGCAATCCAGCCACGGCTTTGGCGTAATGTGTCTCCCCGATTCGCCGGTAATGGTGAGGTGTTTCGACTGGAATCTCTGCGCCACAGCAAGCTAGAAGAGCATGCATAAAGTATGGTGTTTGGAAGGCTAGTTTCAGGCCTTCTGCGTTGAAGCGTTCGATCACGGACTCGTGGGCCATTGGTCGAATGAGCTGTCGGAGGAATACCATCTGTAGAAAGTCGAATAGGAGGATACTATCAGGTGTAATGGCAGGGGAGTATAATGTAGATGGTGTATAGATGGACAGCGATAGATCATCGTCTGATAATGGTGTCATTGTGAAGTCGCATTCATCCAGGCTCGGTCGATATTCTGGCGATTCACGCACCGCAAGTGTCATATCCTCATTACTGTGACCATCCACAGATACGGAATCTGGTGAACTGGTCGAAGACGGCTCTGTAGAAGATCCTTCATCTGGTGAGAATTGGGGCCTGCTTCTCCCGGTACCGTTGGCCTCTGGCCAGACACACGACAGACTCCCTCGAGAGCAGTTTTGACAAATGAATCGCGTCTCGTCGCATTTCTTCTTTCTCTGCCTACCTAGATATTATCAGCACGCTGAATCAGACATAGATGCAATCAAAAAGAAGACATACAAGTCAAACAACCAGTCTTGGTTCGAAGATAGGCAGGTCGCCGTCGTGGTCGGCGGTAGTGTTTCTGTGGAGGACGAGTCTCACTCCCTCCAGCGCTGTCAGATTGAGCCATGCTGCATTGCTTCTGCGTGCATGTACATTCAACGCATTGCAGTGACTAACTAACCAGATCAGATCAGATCACATATTGACCATGAAGGAAAAGTTGCGGCCTGCTGTGATATGGAGGAACGAGCAGCAGATAGTCCGGCCAATCAGAGAGTCGGATTTTATCGTTGCTGGGGCTAACTATCCCAAAAGGGAATCTTCAGCCTATCGCACATTTCCTCCACAGCACGTCAAGTAATTGGGCTGGATATGATGCCACCAGAGATCCTACTCTCTCTGACACGGTAGTCGATACGATCCCAAACCTTCTTCACCCCGCACAGTGATATTGCGGAGAGTCGAGATGTGGAGGTGGATCCATGACTAGCAGCCGTAAGTGAGCCGTGTCGATGATCCAAAAATAACAAACCCTCTGTTTCAGTCGACAAATCTGAGAATAATGAAATGCAACAACAGCTACAGAAAGCAAAAATAAAATGCAAAAAAGAAGCGCGATCCCGGTGCGACTCGAACGCACAACCTTTAGTACCGGAAACTAATGCGCTACCATTGCGCCACGAGACCGTCACTGGAAGAAGACTTTGCCGTGTCGAGAATATAGCCCAACTGCCTCGGAAAACCGCGCTAGCAAATAGCTCCACTTATATTTACGCTAACTTTTTGAGTAACTCTTCCTATTGGTCAATGTTCTGCACTAGATATCAACCATAAAAAAACCCCACACCATTAGAGCTCATGCGAAAGATAGGCAAAAATGAAAGAAGAGCAAAAAAAGAACCGATCCCGGTGCGATTCGAACGCACAACCTTTAGTACCGGAAACTAATGCGCTACCATTGCGCCACGAGACCAGTTGATGTCTTTGTTGTCGTAAGTTTGCTCTATGATTCAGCTTTGCTGTGTAACATGAGCGCCACTCGATGGCTACACTCTTAATGCTTTGACGGACCATAAATGACTTTTTTATGTATATTTGTGTATATTTTCAACGTCAGTATGTCTATTATAATTTAATTTCAGGCTTTAGATTATTATAATTTAGCGCTTAACTGCGTGGAACATGCTGATATGCAAAGAAATGTGTGAGTCTTGATTGATATATATTTCTGAGCCAGTATCACTATTGGGTGTACACACATATCCTAGCCATATATTCCACGGCTATTTGCATTACAAAAGAATGACGAAGAGAAAGGCTGAAATAAATTTCTAAATAGACAATGTCAATTGAGCAAGATATCCCAATGACAGACACAGTGATGCGCGCTATGTACTTGTCTTCCGATTTACCTGCCCCTTAGACTGCCATATCAGACGGAAAACCAATCAACGATTTAACATATGATATTATAAATATTAAAATAAAAACTGTCCAAAGCAGGGCATTTCTTATCAAATTCTGAATAATCAGACATATTTCCCACATTTACCACATACATGCAAGGGCCATACAGACTGAACTGACCAATGGCGTCACTTTGCGCCGTTAATGATACTACACCCTGCCAAGTCCTATCGGAATGCAGATCGGTTAGTTTCTACTGTTATCAGGATGACTTTGGAGATGCGATGATGTATAGACACACACCCCTGCGACCATGTTAGGGTGTATTATGATATAAGATGCATGCTGGGTGCAGGTATCTCAAAGACTGAACTTCTCAACTCCGCAATCTGCTTGAGAATATTCAGTATGGTAGAGGCAATTGAAGACATGAATCACCGGGGCCCACCAGGGACGGTATATCTGGGAAATGGTACGCCTGGATTCGAACTTCCTAAATTGAACGTCTATTAATGATTGAAGGAGACTCTGATCCTGCCGGTTTTGATCGCGACGTTGATGGCCATGTCATTCTCCATCCACGACCATCGAATGACCCCAATGAACCCTTGGTGGGTTAATCAGTAACTGCAATGTACGAATAAAACTGACTCTACAGAACTGGTCTACACGTCACAAAACCATCAACTTTGCCACAGCCTGTCTCTTTACTCTGATGGTATTTGCTACGTATGTCTACCATATCAATACATGTACAGCCATAGAAACTAACCAACCAGACTCGACGTGGGAACCGTAACATGGAACGCGCTGGAAGACGAACTCGGCTTCGACTCCGGATTCCTCAACAATAGCTACGCAGCCGGGCTAGCAGGAATGACAGTTGGCTGTATATTCTTCATCCCAGCTGCGTTGATATTCGGCCGCAAACCTGTTTTCTTTATCGCATCGTTGACGATGGTGCTGGTTAACGTGGGACAGGCGCTGTTTCGGACAAAGACGCAGTATATTGTTCTGCAGGTGATTGCGGGGTTGGCGGGGTCGATTAACGATACTATTATTCAGATGACGGTCGGTTGCTCTGTTTTTGGTTGATGTTGAGGCTGATGATGTGTAGATATCGGATTTGTTCTTTGTGCATCAGCGGGCTACCATGAATGGGATTTATTCGGTTATGGTGGTTATTGGGGTAAGTTTTGAATACTTCACTATACCATGCATGCTAATGGTGGCAGACATACTTGAGTCTGATTCCAGCTGGTTATATTGTCATTTCCCAAGGATGGCGCTGGGTCTGGTGGTGGTGTGCGATTATCAACGCAGCAGTCTTGATGATGATCACCTTTGCCTATGAAGAGACGCGATACGACAAAGCAGAGAGTAACTGCTTCATAGGAGAAGAACCACCATCTGATATCCAAGAGAAATCAGATCTACCTCTCTCACCTAAAAAGTCCAATCCAGAACCTCATCCTTATATACCAGAGACAGCCCATACCGAACAAACCATGACTCGAAAAACATACATCCAGCGAATGTCCCTGACAAAAGCATCCTCATTCAGCATCAACACCTACATGCAGCACGTGTGGCGCCCATTCGTCCTTCTCTTTCGCATCCCAGCCGTGGCCTTTGTGGCCATCGAGTATTCCTTCATCATGTGCTGGGTGGCAATTCTCGCAACAACACAGCCTGTTCTCTTCGCACAACCACCATATTTATTCTCAGCGATCGGAGTTGGCAATATCAACGTTGCTCCGTTTATCGGGGCACTCGTGGGCTCTATATACGGGGGCCCTGTGAATGACTATTATGTTGTTTTTGTGGCGAGACGGAGATCGGGGATATATGATCCTGAAACACGGCTTCATATGCTTGCCATGTCGATGATATTAACACCATTGGGATTGTGGTTATACGGAATTAGTATTTCAAGGGTAATCCCTCCATCTATTCGTATACAACCAGACAACTGACTCGTCAGGATCAACCCTGGATAATCCCCCTGATAGGCTCAGCCCTTGTAGGATTCGGCATTGGCTCGACAACATCTATCACGCTGACCTACTTTGCGGATTCTTACCGAGAGGTATTACCCTTTTGACCTCGTAAATATAGGCATCTATTAACCATGTTCAGATCGTAGCCGAAGGCCTCATCGTGATAACATACGTCCGCAACGGCCTCGCCACAGCAACTACATTTGCCATAAACCCGTGGTTAAACGGATTAGGAGTTCAGAATATGTTTATCAGTGTGGGATGTTTGTGTATTGGGATTCAGCTGTTGTTTATTCCGATGGTGGTTTGGGGAAGGAGGGCGAGGGGGTGGACGGAGGGGTATTATACTGGTCTTATTGATTAATACCTAGGTGGAGTGGATTTATGAATTGGATATGGAATGATCAGTTATTATCTATCTGAAGTTGATTAAATAGTTGATGCATATTATCTGAGTAGATATGCAGTGCCTCAAAGATTTTGCCACGCAAAGTTGTATGAATGCTTTCGATGTGGCAACAGACAGCCAAATGAAAGTTTCACATTGCTAGATGCTGTAGCCCAGGCATATACCTTGAAATCAGTATTATTTATCTACATTTACATATATTAAGGATCTCCATTCAACAAATCAGCAGAAATGGCACATCCTGCGCTTCAGATTCCAGAGATCCTAGAACAGATCCTCCTGGACGTAGACATGCGAACACTCCTGGTTTCCGCCCAGCGAGTCAGCCAGCACTGGAACACGGTGATCTCCCAGTCCCAACCTCTCCAACAAGCCCTATTCTTCCAGCCCGTCCAGAATAAACAGCAAACCCGCATCCGAAACCCACTGCTAGAAGAACTCTTCTGGCACCCCGATGCCGATCCCCAGCCGGACCTCGGCATCCCCAGTCTCAAATTCAAAGTTCGCGTCCCATACCAAGACCGCGTATTCGCCCACCGCAACGCCAGCTGGCAACGCATGCTCATCCAGCAGCCCCCAACCTCCAAAATTGGCTTCTTCATGGGCAGCCAGAACACTGCCTACTACAGCAATAAGACGATATGGATGATGGATTTTTACAACTCAAGTCACCAGACCAAGAAGGAGCATCTTCGAATGGGCGATTTCTACGCACCCATGCGGGGACGGGGACTACAGTGCACTGATGATAAATGGATCTTGTTTAATCGGGATGCCGAGACGCATCAGGAATGTTTGAAATCAGAGTGCGATGTGATGATGGCGAGAGCGCTGGGGGAGTGCGATATTGTTATTACGGCGTGGTTTATTGCAGGGGTGGTTGCACCTAGGATTCGGGAGAGGAGGAGCGATAGCTTTATGCAGTGGGTGGATTGGCTTTTGGATGAGCATTTGGATTATAAACCACGGATGAAGGTGATGAATGCTGAAGACAGGTGAAATATACCTGATTAGGCTTGCTTAATATGGATTATTTATAGAATAGAATTAATGAATGGCTGATCTATTCGATACTCTCTCCACGCACTAACAGGGCAATAGTCGAGCCCTCACGGACTCTAAACTTTTCCGAATTACACGCCAGCAGAATCGCAGAAATCGCATACGAATGAACAGTAAGAGAGACAAATTGACTATCATCCGTTGCAAAAATCTCCTCCAGAACCCGTTGCTTTCTGGCGATATGTTCATCTTGAGATTCCCAGTAATCCGCCTTCCACAGCACATCTTCTTCTGAAAGCCCAGCCTCGATGATGTAGGATGGATAGTGGCTTTCAATCCACGTTCGCGTACTTCTCTTGTCACAGGTATGGTCTGTCAGCCTCTCTCGAAACAGCTCTTTTACTTCTGGCTGAAAAGTTTTTCCTGAGTCTTGCATGATCTTGGAGAAGACGAGTTTTGTGGTTTCCAGACATCGTGCGAGGGGGCTTGTGTACAGCTTTTCTGGGAGGGGAATCTTGTCTTTCTTTATGGCATCTGCCCAGAATTGGCTCAGTTCTTGGGCTTGTTGAATGCCGGTTTCTGTGAGCTTTGCGTCGTTCCAAGTGACGGTGCCGTCTCCATCGAGATGAGACCAGTGGTTCTATACTGTCAGCTACGATGTGAGTGGGATGGGGGTATCTTACATTCCAGGCTTCTTTTCCAACCTCTGCCTCGTGGATATTGTGAGTACCAAGGCCGTGTCTTGTCAGGTATAGCACTTTGTAAGAGACATTATCTGGATTCTCCGTGTTCAGTCGATTGACATATGCTGCGAATTGCTCCCATGGTTTCTTCTTATCGGACTGATTATCTGATTCATATGGACGATCAATCAGACCAAGGCTCGGTTGGGTGGTTACTTTCGATCCCGGGCTTTCTCTGGCGAGTTGGAAATAATCCACGAAGAACTGGGGCTGAATCTCGAATTTGTATTGATGGGCCATGGCGTGGGTTGATGAAGTTAATGTCCTGCTGATCGGCACATTCTGTAAGCCTCGCTTATGCAGGTTCCCCGCATTCATTGCTTGTATCTTGATAATATAGTCCCCAGTAATATCTTTCGTCTATATTTCATATCATTCTGACGAATCTACATACAAGCATCAAACGTCTTCCTCCCCTGAAACCACGTCTGCTGCACTCTCGCCTGCAACAACCTCTCCGGCTTCCAATCCATCTCCAAAACCACAAAATCCGCACTCAGACCAGCTGCCAAACTCCCCGTCCACGATTCCGCGAACCGCGAAAACGCAGCCGTCTTCGTGGCCGCAGTGAACGCCGCCGCCATCGACAGACCAAAGTGCTCATTCACCACTTCTGTCGATTCCGGCTCGATCACCGATCGTCGTGTCGTCGCGTTGTACAGATTCGGCAGGGCAAAGTGGTCAGCTGTTGGTGCGTCTGTGCCGATTGCCACTGGGGCACCTCCGTCGAGGAATTCCTTGTATGCGAATGCGCGTCCGCAACGGTGCGATCCGATGAGGTGTGGCCAGGCGCGGAAGAGGACGGGGTCGGAGTGGACTGGTTGGACAGAGGCTGTGATGCCGTGTTGGCCTAGGCGTTTTGCGTCTTCGGGGGAGGTGAGCTCGAGATGCTCGATGCGGTGGCGTTGGCCAGGTTGGACTTGGGAGAGAGCGTCGATGGCTTGTTTGACTGCTTGATCGCCGATTGCGTGGATGGCGCATTGGAGACCGGCACTGTCTGCTTTCTTGACGACGGCTTGTAGTGCTTCTGCGGGCCAGGTTGGGTCGATGAGGCTGGGAGAGCCACCGTAGGGCTGGCTCAGTGCTGCAGTGCACCCATCCACTACGCCATCGGTCATGAGTTTGATGCCTGCGATGCAGAAGGCGGGCGATGTCGCTGCGTTGAATTCCTGATGCAGAGAAATCGCCCTGTCCACATGCTTAAACACTTCCTCCTGATCCTCTGAAAACGGAACTAGCCAATGCATCGCAAGATGAAACGGGGTCTTCCCCTGATGACGTTCTCGATACAGATTAAACACCTTCCACAGACTCTCGTCCACAGCCATATCAATCATCCCCGTATACCCAGCCGCACTATACGCAGCAGCTCCGTAGTCCAACGCAGACAATTTATCCTCGATGGACGTGACTTGTATCAAAAACGGCATTACAATCATCAGTGCAGCAGTTTCGGTCAACAGGCCGGATGGTTTACCATTTTCGTCGCGATGGATCGTCCCACCCGCTGGGTCAGACATGGCGTCTACGCCCAGTTCTTCCAGAGCAGCCGTATTGCACCATACGGAGTGCAGATCGTTAGCCTGGATGTATATCGGGCGCGGGTCAAGATCATCCAACATGCTAGCCAGCGCTAGTCCATCCGTTGACGACTGGATCCAGCCTTTGCATGTAATCCGTGGATATCCAGGATGGATTTCTGCGTGAATCTTGATCTTCTGTCTGATCTCATGGAGAGATTTGCAGGATAGGAGATGCAGTTTGCGTAGCGAGAGGGCGAAATCCAGAATGTGCACGTGGCTGTCTATGAAGCCTGGGACGACGATGTGGTTTTGGAGGTCGACTTCTGTTGCTCCTTCAGTGCGTGCTTGAATGATTTCTGCATCATCGTGTTTGCCGACATGTTGGATGTGATTGTCTGTAACCACCATCGCCTCGAGGAAGTTATCTTCATTGTTGTCGGTAGGCGCGAAGAGGCGGCCGTTGGTGAAGATTGTACTCATGGTGGCAGTATACTCTATAGAATTGTGTCAATTTAACCAAATCATGAAGTTGAGAAACATTCTACTTATAGACGAGATGGTTGATTACTTCCAGCCAAGACAGTATACAGTCCTTGTGATAGACCGCGGAAAGTGACGCTATTCGCTGATTCAAGTGGGACTGCATATCTCTACCTAGGTATTACTTAGGCGATGTATCGTGATATCGGCTATTTAATCAAACAACAAAGTCCGATAAATAAGAACTGTCCATTTACATATCCAATCCTGATAAATTTAGTCGACTCAATGCCCGCGGCATATATGTTGTGCATATGCAAATTATATATACTACCTTTTCATGTTCTAGATAAAAGTTATTACCGCTGAATATTATCAAGCAGCCAATCAGATTACCATCTGGTTATCCGCCTCAGCATCATTGGTCTAGTGGTAGAATTCATCGTTGCCATCGATGAGGCCCGTGTTCGATTCACGGATGATGCATTCTTTTTTGCGTTTTCTTTTTTATTTTTGATATTAGTTTCTGATTGATTGATTGGCACGCATACAACCAGGTAGGTTGTCTATATTTTGTATGGTCCACATTACTATCAACCCCCACTGATTAATTACCCGGGGCTTTCAAGGATAGGGCTCGATTATTTCCAGTACATTTACCACGTTCTAAATCTCACAGTTTAAGCTGAGATAATAAAGTGGGCCGTAGCTCTTATACACAAATTCATTAGGCGGTGATAGCAGTGAGATGGATGGGTCCAGAGTGTGTTGAAACTTATGGAACATGATCGTAGCAGTGTCCCCATTTTTCCTGAAGAACTAGGGACCACCGCCCTTCTGGCCTAAGCTTGTCGTACGATCCTGGGTTGTTGCTTTGATCCGGTGGATAAGAGGGTGTGGGGACCGATTGCCTACTCTTACGGATAAAGGAAAATCATTTTACCAGTACGATGCGCTAAACCACTTCAGGCTGAGTTTGCCCAGCTCATCCGCATTGCTGCACGCCAGGGTCCAAGGGCTTATTTCCTTTGGTTTCCCAGAGCAATTATTAGATGGTGTTGACCATTATGGAATACCCTCAACACAAAGCCTCTCAAGCATGTGGCGCTTGCAAGAAACAAAAACGAAAATGCGACAAACTGCTGCCCCAATGCGGCCGGTGCCTCCGCATCAGCCGCCCCTGCGACTATGCTGATACACCAAAGCCACCTTCGACTGCGGCCGATCTCGAAAGCCTTCAGGCAAGGTTGACCGAGCTGGAACATCGGCTAAGCGGCGCTTCTGAACCGGACTCTCTGTCTGCTACAGGCAGCGTTTCGAGATCAAGTAGTCTTGCCACTGAATCTAGTACTCCCAGTCGAGGACCCAACAGCTTTCCGTCAGCATTGTTCTTGGACATTGACTGCTACAAATGGTCCCATATGCAACTTCCGAGCCCAGCTGCCAGCATTCCCATGGTGAGTAGTAAATTATCGCTACTTATGAAATTCTACCCTTCATTCCCGGAAGATTGCTGAGTAATATCCAGGATATACTCAGTATTCTCAACCAGGGAAATAGTATATTGGAAACATCTACACTCTTCTTCGATACGATCCATCAGTGGATGCCAATCATCTCGAAAAAGCGACTAGAACTTGGCATTTCGCTGAAGGATGGTAGGCCAGAAATTGCGCTGCTTTTCCTCACTATGAAGCTAAACACCTCCCCTCCACCGGCCGGAAACAAGTTCGATCCAATTTACTCAGCTGCTAAGAGTTTCATGGTGACCCTGGAAGCCAGTGGAGTGGTGTCACTCATTTCCCTGCAGGCCATGACTTTGATGGCCGTGTACGAATACAGTCACTCCATCTACCCTGCGGCCTGGATGACCGTGGGAGCATGTGCTCGACTCGCCGAGCTTCTTGGTGTTTCACCTGGTAAGGATTCGATGAAAATCATGAGTCCCGCTGTAAGTCTGGAAATTGTCAAGAATGGTACAGGAAAGATATTCACAGAGTATTTACAACAGACGACCTGGACGGAATTGGAGGAGAAAAGACGGGTGTGGTGGGCCATATATGTCTTGGATCGCATTATTTCCCTAGGCAGCCGGAGGAGGTTCTGCCTCCCCGATCCTGCGGATACGGATGTCATTCCTGTAGATGATGATGCATGGGTGAGAGACACCTACCTACCTCATATATCATATCTTGACTGATTCTATCTCTTCCAGGATTTGGGTGATGTAGCCCATATAGTACATTATCCAGTTACAACGCCCCTTTCCACCCCAGTCTCTCCCTTCTCTCGCCTATGCCAGTCGGCCATCTTCATTAGCCGTGCCGCCATATGTCGCAGCGATTCGCAGACAGAGGTTGCACACCACATTGCCGCTGTTGCTAGTCTTACCGAGGACTTAAACACCTTCAGCTTTATTCTTGCTGAAGAAATGACGCCTTTATCCCCCACCAGATATCTCCGACTACTTGCCCCGCAGTGCCTTACGTGGTCGGCTCTCTTTCTGCTACTCGATAACTATTGCTGCCCGGAGAAACTTAGCGATGAACCAGGTTATATTTTATCCGCTGACGTTAAAGGTCAAGACGAAGTTGTCACCCAGGTCCAGGCTACGCTGGTAGTGCGGAATATCAGCGACCGGGCGCACGGATTAACTGCCAACCTCATGAATATTGTATCTCATCTGCCATGTAACGATCAACTAGGGACTATAAGCCCGTTCCTTTTGGATGCGCTGTACTGCGTCATGGTGACTTTCCAATGGATCTTTCGCGAAGGCGGTGACGAGCAAGCCAAAGCCCGACTAGCTGATATAGAGGCTTGTATGGGAAGGTTGAGTGAGCGGTGGATGTTGGCGGCGGAATACCTTGCTCTCAGTGGAATCTACCGTCAGGCAGGAAACACCTAAGACCAATCCGAGGCCTACGTTTCCGCTTTCATTACAGGAATACTGGCTACCTAAAACAGTTATTCAATCTATGACCTCGGGAAAGCCACAAAAACGAAACGGGGCAGCCCTCAACGGGGCTAACTTCGCAGGAACCCTAAGACAGACGGTCCTTGTCACACGAAGACCCCGAACAAAACCAGTCGAGGATAGATGCGTCGAAGAGGTAATCAAAGCCATTAACACGGTATTTGTGCAAGGAACACTGGCAAGACTATTTCTAAGGTCAAGAGCAGGGTGAAAAGACGACTAAATCGCGATCCTAGGGGACACAAATAACTAGGATAAACCTACAGCCAGGAGCAAGCGGGGGAGAGAACGGAGGCTTTACGAAGGACCAAGCTCTTCGTAACGCAATAAAAACCATGAATCATGATAAGGCGTAACAAGCAGCTGAATCAGAAACGCCACAAAGAGGATTGCCGCTTTAACTGGTAATTATTCAATCAGGTTTGGGGCTATATAGCTTCTTTAGACCAGCAGCAAACATGGAATCATTATAGCTCAAAACGCTTATAATCCAATCAAAGGTCAAAATTGGAAAACATGCTTTATGTTATTTGTCAGATGGTACGCGGCCGCAATCACCGCCTCTCCTGGGTTATCGTCCTGCTTGATCATTCTAGATAAACTAGTAATCTTGTTCTTGTCCGCTTTCGTCCTCTTATCGGTCTTGGCCTGATGTCATTCTCTTCGGATCCGCAATGTGGGTCAGCGGGAAGTGCGGCCGCCTCTCCAGTCTGCGGGATGCGTTCAAAGTTAATTAGTGACCGATGATGCTTACAGAAAAGCTATATAAACCCTCGACTTCACCACCGGGCTTGATCTGTCTGATGTATTTCATTTCACACGCACCCGACTGACACAATGAGTTTGAACTTTGGAATGAGATGCAGCACCGTTCTGCCTAATAAAGCGACGTTAACTGAGAAGAACTTGCCGGATCAGAGTGGAAAGGTGGGCATTCGCATCAAGATCCTTTCCCTTCTCGATTGGTTGGCTGACCTTCAGAGTAGGTGTTTTTGGTAACAGGCGCCTCTGGGGGCCTCGGCAAACTCCTCACAGATATCCTATATCAGCATAATGGCAAGATTTACCTTGCCGCCCGGTCCGAGTCGAAGACAAAGGAGGCTATCGAGGAGATCAAGGCGGCCCACCCATCCTCAAAGGGTGAACTGATATTTCTCAACCTGCAGCTCGACGATCTGACTACAATCAAGCAGACAGCTGATGAATTCCTGGCAAAGGAGAATCACTTGGATGTTCTTTGGAATAATGCAGGTGTCATGATCCCCCCCGAAGGCTCTCGAACAAAGCAGGGGTATGAGCTCCAGTACGGGGTGAACAATATCGCCCATTTCTTGCTTACCCACTTTCTGCGCCCGGCACTCGAGACCGCGGCGAAAACAGCACCCAGAAGCTCGGTCCGCGTCGTTTGGGTTTCCTCCAGTGCTGCCGATGCTGCACCAAATCCTGCCGTCGATCTGACTAACATGGATTACCACCGAGAGGAGGGGGCTTGGATGAAATACTCGCGTAGCAAGGCGGCTAGTGTAGTTCATTCGGCGGAGTTTGCACGAAGAACCAAGGGTACGGGCATTATTAGCCTGGTGAGCACATTATGATCCATACGCAGGCTGGCTTCTTCCTGACCACAGACTTCAGGCTCTTAACCCCGGAAATTTTGTGACGAATCTCCAGCAAAATATGTCCAAGATGGAGCTCGCGATGTTTGTATGTTCCTGACATGGATTTATGCTTTCTTTGCCATTATACTAAAATGCAATTATAGAAACTCATCGCGTCGGAACCGATCAATGGCGCTTATACCGAATTGTTCGCAGGTCTCAGTGACCAAATCACGGAGAAGGAGAACGGAGCATGGGGTGGGACACCCGTGTATACGCCTATTTTCTAGAACCACCTTGCCTGCTAACTTGTTCTCATTAGTCTCCCCATTCGGTAAGCTTGAGAAAGTCCGAAAAGACTTAGTGGACCCGGCTCTCGGAGAGAAATTCTGGGACTGGAGTTTGGAGCAGGCGAAACCCTACATGTAGAGATGCTGAATGATCAACACCTCCAGCATTGTGCCTGTGGAAAATGCCAGACAGTGTAGTTTTATATATTACTTAAACCACACAGAGTTTACAGTGACCTAATAGACTTTCTATGTCAACCCCTAATATTTCTACTTCTAATTAATCACCTTTTTCCACATTATCTGCTTAAATAATTAAGATAATTATAATTTTTAAAAAGTTCTTAGGTTAAAATAGCTGGGTTATTGAGTACTAGTATTAGGGAGATTATTTCTTTAAGTTCAGATAAGGATATATCCCTTATTACTTTACTTTAGGTCTAAACTAAGTGGCTATATATATTACCATTACTAATTTTCTAATATAAAAATATAGCAGCCTTTCTAGAATATTTAATATACTAGTAGTAGACTTACTAATATTATTATATTAAGTATATTATTATCATATATAGAGCATGTACTATACTTTACCTCCTTAATCCAAGGCGTAGAACTATATAGAGAAGTGTAACATTAGTAGTAGTAGCCTTACTAATATATATATATATAAATGTTGCTACAGATCACAGTATTTAGATTGTTATCTGTTAGTAATGAATGATCATGTGTCCATGACTGAATGCTGGCTGGGAGATAAAGAGAAGGGAAATTAGGGATAACGCAGTTTTCATCAGACCACCAGAGGGCTGTGGGTTAAATAATCAGCTTTATAGCACATATCTCAATAAAGGGAAAGGGAAAAAAAAAAAAAAAAAAAAAAAAAACCAAGAGCAAAGGCACAGGGAGGCACAGGGAGATAGTGGTAATACTAGTAGGCAAATAATAGAAAAAAAAGAACCGCGAATGAACTCTATAAGGGTCAGTATAGCAACTATGCTAATGTCACACACATACCCTAACAGCTGAAGCCAGTATTATTGAGACTGCCCTGGGCGCGGTTCGAACTGGGATTATTAGCCACTGCAGTACAGAGGTTTCCCTCTACACCACAGAGTGGTCAGATCATCTGGTGGGGGGACAAAAATATAAAGGAAGATTTAGGCTGGTAGGGTTACTGCTTGGTAGGCCAGTATGCCTTATGCCATGATGATTGGATCTCCTCTATTAGAATTGAATTAGATGAGAGATAGTAGATGAGGTAAACGATGAAGAAATTGATGTTGTTACCCATGTAATATCTCAAAGCGTTCTTAAGAACAAAAGATGTGTTTGAATATCTGCAACTGGTATCGGGATTGGGAAAAGCAGTGCAGGAGAACTATCCAAACTCTTGATCATCTAGATTCAGTCATGCATGTCAGACGAAGTTTCCCCACATCTTCTGAGCGATCCGTGTCCACATATTGGGGATAGACCATCGATGTAATACTACATTAGGAGCTTTCTGCAGTCATATAACTGTTTTTTTTTTCTTATGAATCCTGGAGGCTTAATGTAATGGCTAGTGAAGGGACTACCTCTGAAGATGTGAGAACTCATTACAACCTAGTTAAACATCGTTTGGGACAACATGATACCTCTCACACTTAGTGATGTTCTTTTGCAGTCAATATATCCAGAAAAAGGAAAGGGGTACAATATTATAGACCCCCTTTACCTTTATTTAAGCATTATCCTACATTATAGCTAACGATATCATGTTCCTATATATTATCCTAGGTAACTAGAAAGAACCAAAAGCTCTCCTCATAATGAATAAAGGCTGACAGAACTAACCAAGGAAGGAGAGAGGAAGAAAGAGAATAACAGATATACCTAGATAAGATATCTTATTTAAAGATACTAAGTTGCGTATCTAACTGTAAAATAATATAATTGAATAATTTTTATTTGATTACTTATATAGAGATCCTTTTAAGGACTATCAATCATAACTAAATATCATAAAAGGCTGCGATCTTCAAAGAAGAGAGCTAGTTATTATATTTAATAGTCACATTATGGCTATGAATACGCTATAATATAATTCTTAGATGCCTACATATTATGGTACCTATAAAAATACTTCCTCCTGAGTGCGGTATACCCATCTGACCTTGCGGTCCTAGTTACCTATCCCCGCTCTAAAAGCCCCTATTGTCTCTGTGTTTCAGGAAATAAGCACCTTATAGTTGTAACTAATATCTTAAATGTTAAGAGTGAATAAAGCAAGAGGATATCTTGGAATAAAGGAAAAATTAAGTAAATAAACTTCTTTTTTTTAATACTTGAAACACATTTATATGCTGCTAAATCTCCACAATTCCACTTTAGTAAGATATTCTGAGAGAAAGATGTATATATATAGCTTTATTTATACATTAAAGGAATCAGTGAGAATAGATAATATTTGCCGTCCATTAAATTAAGGATGATAGTCCTCGAAGTTTCCGTCTTCCGGGTCTCTGTCCAGAAGGAAAGGAAATCGGTCTTTATTCAACTTGAGGTAGCCCGGCACGTCACTTGCAGGCACCTTTTCATATTTCTCACTTTCCCTGTCAAATAAATCAAGCCCGTTCCTCACCCTCCTCACAATCTCCTGTGGATCGCGAAACTGTGGTTTGTTGTATTCTGTATGCGAGAAGCTTTCAATCTTCTTCGCCATCTCAGCAACAGTAGAGAAGCATGAGCTGCAATGCCAGCTCGCATTCCAAATATCTTTCCCGCCGTGCATGCGCAAATCCTCGGGGAGGATTGTCTTATTCAAGCCCGCGTAGAATGTGGCTTGGGGATGATGCCAGTCGTTTCCAACATGTTGCCATTGGAAGGAATAATAGAAGAACCTGCTGCGCAGAGTGACTCGGTCGGGGAACTCACAGTTTCGCAGCACTGTCAGGGTTTCGGGTCGAGGGATTTCATCAGTATCGGAAACAAGAATTACATCGTACATACTGGGGGCAACGGGAGGAAACATCGACGGAAAGATCGATGTAAAGAGGGCATTGCGACTGTAGGCCTCCCGTTCCCAAGTACTTTTCCCTCTCAGATGTGATAGATCGAGTGCATGGTACACAATCTTGTCTGCGAATTGGGCGAATCTGGAATAGTTTTCCTTGAAGATGAGGGGTTTTGGATTGCCGGTAAAGGTTTCTGTAGCCTCAACAACGACAAAGTAATCGACCTGGCTGTTCAGCTCGTTCATGCGAATTTCAAGCCAATCTAGCTCCGTGCTGATGAGAATGAGGTCGTATATCTTGCGTGGATGTGAGCGGTTTTGGTATAGTTGTAGGCCATTCACAGTACAAAGAAATTCTGCATCTTGTACTGGGAGAAAATCATTGAATGATCGATTTAAGAATGAAAATTCATTAAATTGTTGACTGGAAGAAAGCGATGTGGGAATGGTAAAGTCTTGAAATTTGAGAAAGGTGCAGACCAAGAGAAAAACCATCGAGGCGAGGATGTACTGTCGTACTCGTCTGCCAGGCATGTTGCAAGATGCTGTGTGAAGAAAATCTGAATATTGCAGAAAGTAATCCCACTTCACTAAGCTCAGTGTCAAGAATCCTCTAAAAAATCCTTTCCATATGTTGCCCAAGTGAGAGTACTGGAGGATTTGGGGTTGTGACTGGGAGAGTTTTCTAATAATGTGACTCAATTCTAACAGTGATTAAGTCATTTACAGGTTGTATTCAGATTGTTCAGATTGAGTTTGAAAACCTATGCAGATGATCTGAATTACCTGACTTCTTGTATGTCAAGATGATATAATTCGTCAGATTATCAGTGCCCAGGTAACAAAAAAAAAAAAAAGCCAAATCTAGAACTCATTCAATTTTGCCACATAATTTTGGAAAATAATATACATCAAAGTTTCATATTTTAGATATGTCTAGTCCAATTTCTATCTAATATTCATTTTTCATTTCCATGTATACATATATGGCTGTCTTACCCGCAGATAGCCACTCTTTCCGTACCAATATCGGGAGTTCCATGGGACAATAGATACTCACAAATTAGGTTCAAGGTGTTCATGGTGCTCGCTCTACATAGCCTGATTTTCTTAGCGCGGCTAATATCCTTGGCAAAAACAGTTTTGAGGTGAATTTCCGGTCTAGATTGTATAGATTTCCTCATGACCAATTTCACCTTTGGAATGATATTTGCTTCCGAGGAAAAGCAAGAATAAACTGATAGCTACAGAATTTCCAAAATTTGACATAGATGTCATGATATAAACAGCCAGGAGCATTCTGAAAGTTTTACCAGTTTGTTATTTGCAGAAGGCTAGTATTCAAAGGTAGCAGCTTCAAATCACTTTCACTATACAACCTTAAATAAGCTATGCTGTGATACAGTAAGATACTTAATACGCGGATTCGAAAATGAATGCGTGATTTTTATTAGTAGCGGATAGTAATGATTTATATTCTCCTGGAACCATTGTAAGAACCTCCCTTGAGTGTTTGTAAAGTGCCAAATATGGATAAGGAATATACATTGCTATGGTGCTTATCTAAATGTATAGCATAAATGAAGTACTTGACAGAATATTAAATACTAACACGAGTCAAGAAACCCGAGAGGACTATCTGGACACTTTATGCTGAACAGCATTGGAATAGAAGATGATCCCCAAAACCGCTAGAAGAATACCTAAGATGCTCTCATTTTTCACATCATTTGGACTCCCCATCCACCCTATTCCCACAATCAAGCATGTCTTTAAATGTCCAACAACAGCACTGCTTACCGGACCAGCTTGGCGAATAACAAAAACTGAAGTCAGATTGATCAGACATGCACAACCCCCACTCAGTAAAAGCAGACCCCATTGGTGGGTGGTGACAGTGCTCCAAATAGGAAATTTGTCTGTAAATAAAGATAGCAAGCCCAGCAAAAGTGCGGAAGGGGGTATCTGTTTATAAAGAAGCTGCATGCTGGAAATTTGAAGTGATGAATTATAATGCGCAACCCAAACAGTATAAAGAGAAGAGCAGACCACTCCGCTAAGTGCAAAGATAATGCCGAGATAAGAAGATGACTCAGTGTTGGGAGACAATGAAGATAAGTCATCTGGTTTTTTAGACTGCAGATTAGAAACGGAGACCAGCCCCACACCAGCACACGCTGGGATGAGTGCCAATGTTGCATTGAGCGGAAGCTTCGAACCATAAAAAACGAAATTTATCAGGGCAGTGAGAGGTACTAGTAAGATCCGGATTATTTGATAGCTCACAATTGAACTATATGCCAGGGACAGGTTCATCAGTACCACATTGGCACACATGACAAGCGACAGTGGGAGAATGGAAAGGATCGGAGGCTCAATAGGGTTGAATTTTGCAATGGCAAATCTGCCTGCAAAAGAAAGAATAAAACCGGTTATGGTGAAATGATATGCCACAAAGCTGAGTTGACAGCTCGAAAAAGGTGAATTTGACAGGATCGATTTGTTGACAGGGACCTATAACTGGTTAAAGACCTTCCTTGGCTGGAGTATGCGTTGCTTCGATTCATTCAAATCTTTAATATTCGACTTACAATTGAAACTGTCGCGAGGATGTTAAGAACGATCCATAGATATAGGTATGTGCTTGGATTCTGATGTGATGGTGGTGCCGGACTCAGAGATGGTTCCTCTCCGATTTCGAGGTCTTTTTCCCTTTCTATCGAAGGGGGAAGCAGCTTTTCCTTCTCGTAAGAGATATCGGAAGCCATCTTGAATCGGTACGAAGGAAGGCTAGGTCTTTTTGATAGGACATGCGATGATCAGTATTAAAGCATAGGATTTAACAACGAAACGGCAGAGAAATTTATTAGGCGATTTTCATGCAGATTTCAGATGACACGAATGCTTTATCTTTGGGGTGATCAGGGTATGTGAATGTGCTGTGGTAAAGGTCATCTCCACATAAATAATGCGAAAGCAGAACAAGTATTTAATTGTAGTGTCATGATCATGTATTATTTTACTATTATGTTGATGCCATGGCTATCAGCACTCTGGTCTAGAATCTGTCTGTTGTAAAAACAGTTGAGCTTAAGCGGTTAATTAAACCCTAATTCTACTGTTGCTTAATCTAGCCATGTATAAAGCTCAAGTAAAGTTAGCTTTCGCCCAAGCAAACAATCTATTGGATGGGAAATTCACCCAGTAGTGGGATGGTGTGGGGCTGGTGTTGAATAGACCAGTGTAGAATTCCCTTGTAATTTTCATACCTAAGAACTCTTTTGGCCGTCTACAAATTTATACTGACGCCGGGTCTCGCCGCCAGCGCTTTGATTCGCCACTGTCATCATAAATCATCTAAAGCCGAAACGACTGATCAAATCAGATTCAGTTATACATGGGAAGGATAAAGTTAAAAAAATATCTAAACCAGACATAGGACCCATTGAATCAACTAGTTAGCTGGCTAGTATGGAACTGCTTCCGATGAGCAGAGACTTACCGACCATGGATATTGTCACTGACAGGTGACATGTACATTTATGGTTTTTCCAGCTACCTGTGATAATTTTTGATTAAACAACCAACACTCACATGCAGCACATGTGCTCCGTGTAATATTTGATGAAAATGAGCTGAATTTGTCTACCATCCATTTGGCATACTATAATTCTCAACTTTTTTGCTTACCCTGGGTTTATGAACGTGCATTCCACGATGCGAGGGATGAATCAGATTGTGTTTGCTACTTGCCTCATTTTCCTGGTGTCAATTACAATTATATGGAAAAATGCTTCAGAGGTATGAAAATTCCTCCCAACTCCCCTCGTCCCCGTCCCAATGAGCACTTCTGACAAGTGTGCTAAATATTTCTTAGGGACGGATTTCTGTCTCGAAAGCGTTCCTCAGTAGACCTGGATATCAGCAGTTGCGAACACACCTTCTTATGCCCGCAAACAAGGCCAACAGTGGGCTGTGTCGAACATTAACATCGGCAATGATCAATGATTACCCTCCACCGGTACTACTCAACTGGGGACTTAATGAAGGAGACCCCGCTATGAATGGATACGACATGACAACAGGAAAGATATGGGGTGTCCTGAAATATCTCCGATCACTACCCCGGGAAGCTGAAAATGACATTGTCATAACAATTGATGCCCATGATGTCGTGTTTCAACTGCCCCTTCCAATCCTTCTGTCACGGTATCATGGCATCAACAATCGTGTGAATGAAAGACTTGCCAGGCAGCATGGCCTGGACGTAGTCAAGCAGAAAAATATAACGCAAACTATTATCATGGGCGCTGAAAAATACTGCTGGCCCTTGGACCACCGCCACCCCGCATGTTACGCAGTGCCTCCATCGCCGCTACGGCCCGATGCATACGGTAAAGACACGGATAAGTCAACTGAAACAAACCGACCTCGCTGGCTGAATTCCGGCACTATAGTTGGCCCTGTCCGCGATATGCGCTTTCTATACGAGTGGGTGCACTTGCTGTGGAGAGCGTACTACACGCGGGGCGGCGACCAGGATTACTTCAGCTATATTTATGGTATGCAGGAACTAGGACGACAGAAGCTACGTGGAACCCATGATTGGGTATTCGGTTTCAATGAATCATTTGATGAGAAAGACTTTGTGCCGACTCATCTACCCGTGGAGCACACAGATTACCATCTCGGCCTTGACCTAGGGAGCGAAATCTTTCAGGCCGTCAACAAAGCCTGGGAGGATCTTTCACCTGTGGTACATGAAAACAACACGCTTGTTGATGAGCGAGACCGTGTTCATGGGACTGCCAGTATATACCAGGAGCATTTCCGATACGCACAAGATCTCAGTGAAATTGCATCTCCATTTCAAGATCTAAAGGGCACCGAAGCAGCAGAGACTGAACACCTGCTCAATATTAATTGGCGTGGAGTGCCCCTTTTTACCAATTTCAACTCCCGATCTATTCCCGTGGCCATGCACCATAATGGCGACAAAAAGAAGATGGAGGAATGGTGGCATCTGCTGTGGTGGAAAGGAAGGGGAAGGGACATGAAAAACGCTAAAGAAAGAAAAATGGGGAAGTCTGGATTTTGGATTTCAACTGATTCCGGTCATAGACTAACATGGGACCAAATCTGCGCTGACCACCAGGCGTCTGTTTTTGTGCAGAAAGAAAGTACCTGAGTCAAAGTGCTAGCAGCTGATAGGTTAGTGACTCCATAAATGTACTACGTCATTACAATTGTATTGTATTTAGGTGTACTATCTCATTCTGGTAGGCCATACTTTTATAGACAAGAGGGTAAAAAAAAAAAAAAAAGAAAATAAATAAATAAAAATGGTAAAATAAAAAGAAAAAAGAAAAATTACCTCAAAAGTATGAAAACTGATTGTGTAGCATCCCGATCATTTCTGGGTCAGTAGCAGTAATAGGGGATCAATTAGTTTGTTACAAAATCCTTTTCAGGGTGCTCTCAGCCAATCTGTTTTATTTCCATTAGGAATTGCAGATGTCAGGTATGATAAATCCAATGCTTGTACTATGTTCCTTATTAATGTAAAACAACACAACAAAACGGTTACAGAAAAAGTCAATGGTACTGTAATGATGCTAGTTAATAGCACCGACTCTCTTCGCGATATCAACGGTCATGCCCAGGACATCTACCTCGTCACGACTTAAATCCAAAACACTCGTTGAGGTCATACAGCAAACGTTATTCTGCTTTAATTCCCAGGACCCAGAGCTTCTTGAGTCTCTCGGCTCCCGGATGTAGCTTGTGAAATTACCTGGCTTTTGATACTTGTCCCCTGAAAACTTATTTGGTAGTAGCCATCCATTAAACCATAATGGCCTACCATTGGAATCAAGATGCAGAAGTTGTGGCGCGCAAATGGTATGTTTCGGGGGCTTCGGCGGAGAGGTAGAAGGAACATTTCCCTTTGTACTTGCGACAGAGGCACCCTGATCACCTGTTGCTGGTTGAACGGTCTGAGGCTCAGGCTGGGCGGATCCCATAACAGCAGCATCACCCGCGTGGAAAGTATAATCAAGATCCCCTACCAGTTCCCACCCAAGCCAGAATGTTTCCTTGTCACCTATGACATGTAAGCAGTCTATCAGACAGGAAGGTGTGCAAGCCCACTTACCATATACCATGTCGTAAACGCCCACAAGGCCTTGATCTTTTTTTCCATCTCGATCAGGCCCATTCATTCTGGCTACCATCAGTAGAGCAACAAAATGCTTCCACTTGTCCACAACTACCACCCCTGATTCCTGCATGTGGGCACTTTCGCCGGTCCACATACGGGTCTCTCTGACCTTCTGAGATATTGGCTTTGGAAGTATCTGTTGTAACCAATCTTTCTTCGATTGAGGGAGCATAAGTCGATCCTTGAAGAATAAAGCACCCGTCTTTTGATAGGATGGATATTCAAACAGCTCCTCGGGGTTGCGGAAGAACAACGAGTCCGCGTCAATGAATATCACCTCACGAAAGGAAGAATACAAAATAGAGAATGGCTTCCCAGCCCAACCGGCCAGGGTCCATCCATCATCGTTGACCATTCGGCTCAGATCGCGCGTAACAACATCGGGCAGAACCTCTAATTCTTCCCGGAAGTCTTCGCTCAGGTCACTGTCTCCGAGATACATAACCTCGATGGGTAAGGTACATCCTATTCGACGGAGAGATTGGATTGAAGTCAGGAGATAAGGTGCTTGCCGATTGCCAGCTGAGAAGACAAGCCCACGACTTTGGTTCAAGTACTGCGCGCGCATAGACATAGGATCAGAGAAGTAAGGCGTTATCCAAGGGAAAAGCGCCTCTGAAAAGTATGCCAAGAAATGGCGATATGCCTCATACGAATGGATTATCCCCGCCATGTTAGTTCGTAAGCCCTTAGCGACATCAGCATGGGCCCGCAGATACTGGATGATATCGTTGCGGATATAGCTGACACCATGGTGGGATACCAGGTGCAGCTTCTCCCAAGCCTCAAAAAGCTCTTTGAACGACCGCGATCGCAAGCCTGTTTCACGGATTTTCGCTTCTCCAGTGTCCTTGATTGGCTCGATTAGAGCGGACATGTGTAGTTCGTCAGGCAATAATGACAGGAGCCGGCCGAGAAAAGATTGAAAATCATCATAAGAGGGAATTTCCGGCCTCTTGTCAGTCCCGATGACTCCCCAGGAGTTTTCATTGATATTGGATGGCACCTCAGGGCTAATCTGCGATGTGAGCGGATTATGGGTATTATGCGATTCTGTCTGCCCATTTTTACCAAGACAGGAAGCGTCGTATCGTTTATCGTAGAGTGATGGACTATTGACATTGCGGCTTAAGCTGCGTCCTCCCGAACAAGGAAAATCGGGTTTAATAGTATTTATATATCGATTATAGTTGAGCCACGTAAAGGTAGTGTGATAAAAAAAGCTGATAAAGAGAATAAGAAGGAAGGACCTTATTGTTGTAGTTCGTGGTCGTGTTCTGAAGTAGAAATTATACGAAAGAGCCATATTGAAGTCTGTCTTAGAGATGGGTATATTCAGCTCTTCTGGTTGCTCGCACATAGGTATAATTATTATATAAATATCTGTAACTGATGCTTCATGTCCAAGATGATATAGTACGAACGCTCAGAAGCTTTCTTTGACTGGCAATTCTTGTGGCCATCTAACTTTTAGATTCCGTGGTTTTCGGATGAGCCCAATTCTTGTTCTAGTTTTCTGGGCTGCGATCGATTTTGATTTTCAACTGACAAGTTCCCCCCGCATGTGGCAAAATATTGAGGCTAATTGTCCGAGGGTTGAACTTAAGTGGCACAAGCGTCCCAGAGGTTATTTAAGGTTTTATCTAATGAACATGATTTCTAAATAACTTTAACTTTGGTTCAATCAGCTAGTTCATACCAACAATCATAAATAGGAGTAGATAAAATATACTTGTCTATAATTAAGCACATTGTATTTTATAGTACATTCGAGACCACTGTGGGTCTAATTTGACATTGTTAGGCTGAATGTTAAGTTTTACCACCCTGTATATCAATACGATTGTAATAGAATCTACGTGTAATCCGAGTTCTAGGATATGGTTAAACCATAATTCATAGTGATTGGTGACATGAGCAAGGTAATTCGGATATTTTGCATTTATGTTGTAATGATTATACAACATAAATGATTCAGCCCAGGATATTGAGTAGAGAAAATGGACAATCTGGGCTGCGTCCCTCCCTTCAACAGGGACGTGTGACAGCTGATAGGTCCAAAACACAACTGGAGGAGCAGTAAGTGAGGGTTCAATTCCATGAACTCACAACGCCTTGTGGTAACGGCACCTCTTCCGCAGTAGTCTTGTAGAATATGTCTACTTTCACTACCGATGTGTAGGCCCTACCAAAATGAAAAACAGCTTAAGCTGTAAATAGATGGACCGACCCATACTGGCTAGAATTTGTTAAAAAACAGGAAATTTCCCGAAGTATGAAATTAATTCGGGAATTAACTAACTATTGGGCCATGATACTAACAGACCTTCGGACCTTATGCGGCTGCTGATATTCTAGCCAAAGGCAACAAGCTTTCCGAGTATTGCGTACTAGCTAGGTCAGCATAGTCCATCTAGCACCTGACAAGATTATACTTTATGCACATTCTTTACAAACCGCAGAGCTGGGGGAAGCCTTTCAAACATGATGTTTACATAGAATCATGGGCAGATTACGAGTCTTAGTGTATGATTCCAAACCCCTTTGAACACATTGATGATCTCAGTGACTTTGTGGCGCTTCAGGTAGTTCTAGATCTAAGGAATGGGTTGGGCTTTTAAGGTGGTTCTAGACAATAATCTGTGCTATGAATATATTTCAGCAGCCTAGATTGACTTTCAAGTTACCATGATTGCCATTTGCGACAAAATATTCTTGCATAAATATTAAAAATTGACATATGGTATAGTGATGAGATAGGAGATAGGTCACGCTCATACATCAGGGGAGGTTCTTCCGATGTTATATAAAGGCAAGAGAGGGAATTTGAACCTAAGTAGATTGGTAATTTTTTTTTCCCCTCCATTAAGTATTGCAACTGAAATTTGTCCTTGGTCTGCTACCGGGCTCATTCTTCAACATGAAGTTCCTTCGAATTTTTGCAATTCTCTTTGTCTTCATTGTTTCAGATAATGTTTTCGCCGAATCGCTTCCCAAAAGATTCTTATCCTACTACTCTAAGAACCATCTATTCAAGCGGGCAGCCCCAACTGGTGTTGACGTGTCATGTGCGCCCTGGCTGGTTGGCAACCAGCCCACAGGTCAATCAGTCTGTATAAGTGTTTCTGGAACTAATTTAATTGTCAAATATCCACAAGTTTCACCACTTGTATATGACAATGCCCATGTCTGGATTGGTGAGGGACAGCCACCAAGTAACCCAGGGTCATATCCATATGCCATTGGGAGTGGCTGTGCCTATGATGATGCACAACATACTAGTGTAACATGCACTATCCCAATAAGTGGATTCACAGATATTGAGAGTGCATGTGGGAAAAAATTTAATATTGTTACTCATGCTAGTGTGCACAACACACAGACTGGGGAGGCTGATACTGGAACAGCAGGGGATATGTGCATTAACCCACGCTGTAACCCATGGTTTAAATACTTCTCCTTTACATTCACATGTGGCCCAGTGACTACTACTACTACTACTACTACCACTGAACCGCCTCCTACTACTACTACTACCACTGAACCGCCTCCTACTACTAC